CCTCCATCCTCGGAACAAACAACAAACATTGGTTCATGTAACGCAAAACCGATAATCTGAGCGATGATGGTGCGACAGTCAGTCCTGGTCTCTCGGTCGTTATCCTGCTTCGTAGCCGCTTTTTGATGCGCTACTACAACTGCCTTGCCTTCTTCAAGAGCTCCAACTTCATTACGACGTTCGTTGTCACTCTCGTTACGCTATCAGAGGCCTGCAGAGCCTTGTGTTTTGATTGAAGAATCCGTTTTGTTGTGGGGTTAAAAGACCAACACTTTTGTGCACGAGGATTGATCCGGGTCGTTGGATGTCGTGTTTGTATGGGATATATTGAGAGGATTGACGCGTTGGTAGCATGAGCTGCATGATGGTTCTTTGTCACTTGTAACATAAGGTTGTGTGCGTGGATTTAACGCTTATCGACAACGGTGTGTGCCTTCAAGTGTATCGTTAATTTTTGGGACAGAATCTATACCTTTCTGATGTCTTCAACATGATTATGGCGTACTAAGCTAGTTCCTTTGTCAATTCCGTTTTAGGAAACGATCTTTTCCTCATGGCACAGTACAAAACAGAAATGTCGCGGCCAGAGCCACCTAAAAATAATAATAATAATAATAATAATAATAATAATGGCAATCACTAGGACAGACAGACGTTCTCAGTGCGCATATTTTCCGTGTGCAGTCTACCAATGTCGTTGACGTGGAACGTGTTGGAGGAGGCAGGAGTGACGAATGCGCTAAGAGGCGTCCCAGCGTCGTAATGCCGCTGCACTCCCCAGCCACACGTCTGTAATGCTGCGGCTGCCCAGGAACCACTGCACCACGAAAGACGAGCCACTCATAACTTTCGCAAACTCATACGATCCATGTACAGAAAGAGGCTCTCGAAAGAGAAGTACCGCAAATATAAGGAACTGCACCACGAAAGCGAACTCGCCAGATCCTGCCGCGAAGGCTTAAGTGATGAATGTCGTCTACAAGTAGTTCCCCCTGCCGTCGCGTCATAAGCCTCTTCTCGCCACTTTGCTAACTCTTAATCGGAACTTCCGTGGTACGTTGTGATATATTAGATATCATGGGCAACTGCGCAGTAAAGGCGGTGATTGTGCATGACATGGACTGGCAAAACTCCCCTCGGTCCACCATTGCCCGGCCCCACTCCACCCCACCGACTTGACGCTACTATCGCTGTTTTTCAGCCTTGCAGATGAACAAAATATAGGAATAAGTAGGCATTTGTCTACCTCGTTCCCATCAATCGAGCAACAGTTCGATCGCCAGCATCGGTGGTTTAGTGGTAAAATTAGCCGTTGCCATCCTCTACAGGACAGTTTCGGCTAGCCCCGGGTTCGATTCCCGGCCGATGCATCAGCAATATATTTGTTTTCTTTTTGTGGTTGGAAGTGATGTGGTGGTTGGGTAGGACGATGAGAGTTGGGGGAGTGGACTTGGTCGCATGAGGGAAAATGTCCGACCACAACCAACATTTTTGCCAAAACTTCGAACACAGGGCATTAACATGTGTTTGCTGATGCTGTTTCGACATGACAACCATGATAGAGCACGCGCATCGTTGATATATGTCATTGCGGCTTGCTATTGCAGATGAGGAATGAAAAGCAAGCGATGATGAGCTATGCACATCATCAAGAACATATAACTGGACGACAACACTTTTTGAGGCGAGTGCTTGTGTACGGATACACTGTCGCGTTGTTGAAAAAACATCAAGACACCGTAGTAGATTCATGTCTACGATAGACTCTTTTTTCAGCGACTAATGTTCGCGATTGGCTCGACTACGGTGCACGAAACCTTCGGATGTGTTTTTGAAATGCGAGAGATTATGCTCTGGAACGTTACAATTTCTATCTGAACAGTGGACAAGTACTCATAATTCACTGCCTCATACAGAAGCTGAGATACCGATCCCCCACTCTCTGGCAGATTTCGTGATAAACAAGTGCATCGCTTCTTTGCAGCACTCATGCAAAGCGCCTATCCATCTCACAAAGATCAAGTTTTGTTCCTAGCGATCATGGTTGCGAATGCGATGTAGGTATTCGAATATCGAGCTAACCCGCATCCAGCGCTAGCGCCACACCACCAGTGCTAAGCGACAATCGAAATTCAGTGAGTCGCAACATTGACGCCGACGACATCGACCACCAACGAAGCCACACTCAAGACCACCCCGCCGTCTACCTACAAATCGATCAAAATGGAGAACGAACGCGGAGAGCTCGTTGACCTTTACGTCCCCCGCAAAGTAAGCCAAACCTCTACAATCGCAATGAATGTCTGCTAACATAACACAGTGCGTGAGTATCCAACGACTAGCTACCTGACCCCGAGACGCGATACTAATACCTACAAGTCGGCCACCGGACGCATCATCAGGGCCAAGGACCACGCCTCTGTCCAGCTCAGCGTTGGCAAGGTTGACGAGAACGGCCGCTACACCGGCGACAACCAGGCCTACGCCATCTGCGGTTTCGTTCGCGCCATGGGCGAGGCTGACGACAGCTTGAACAGGCTCGCACAGAAGGACGGCTTCCTCAAGTCCGTTTGGAGCGCGAGCCGGTAAGCGGTTGGGGATATGGAGTTGAGGTATGCACATGGCGACGCCTGTGAGGTGTTTGGACCGAGGCTGATTGGAAGCAGGAATTCGGGATCTGAACTGCCCTTCGAGGGCGCAGGCATGCATTTCACGGCGACTTAGGCCTTCATTTCCTTTCTCCCGCGGATCAACGATATCACGAGGAATGGGAACCGGTTGAGACATGAATACCATCAAATTCACAAACCCTGTCACGTCTCATGCGACTACACAACCTTCGCCAAGACGGTTGTGATGTATACTCTCAAATTCGTGAAGTTATGACGGTCGCTAGGCATATTGCTTTCATGTTAGCTATGTGGTCGAGGCATTGTACAGTCTCGTTCTATGCAAACTGATTACGCGTCGTCTCTAGGTACATGGATCAAAGCCCGTCAGAAAGTACTTCCTACCTCGGCTTCTCTGTTGCTGCCCAAGTTGCCACCCATCGCACCGCAGCCGCCCGGCAAGATCATCAATACCCACAGCAAACGACACGCGTTGTATGCGACATGCACATGGATAGCTTGTCGACGCAGCACAGAAGAAGAGCTCACAATACATGGCCACGTGGTTCTTGCATATCGCGTCGCTGCTGGATGCGAGGAAGCTCTTCGCTAACAACATCCAAGCCCGGAAATGGATGTCGCCGAAACCTACACTACAATATGATACAGCATGCAAAACTGTGCGAGTGTGCTTGGTCCCAAATATCAACCATACATCGCATGCAACGCGGGCATTGTCGCTGTGTTCTGGCCCAATGTACCGAGCCAGCCCACCACGCCTCGCTAAAACCCATGACCCCGTGGGCTATATTTGCCTATAACATGCTGATCGTGGACCCGACGTTGCGGGTGCGATTGTTGTGTAACATCAGACGTACCAGAGCGGAAGTCTAGACACCCACTCGTAGTACTGAGGTTACATATGACGACACTATCAGTACCAGAACACAAGTATCGAGCGTCTATCGGTTTGCAGTAACTGTACTGCGGTTACTGATCACACCAAGGATGCTCCGTGCTGTTGGTTTCGGATGATACTGATAGCCACCAATACGCCGCCCTTGAAGCCTACCTTCCACACAATCCTTGCAATCTATATCTTACCCGCAGTACTGATCCTCAACAAACTCGTATATAGCATCGCTGGGATTGCGGGGATGCAGTGATGATGCCTGGCAGCGGCCCGCTAGGATACATAGAACGTTCACCGATGACGAGGCTTAGCGATTGATCAGATGAGCGAGTTGCGTATGCGTGCATGAGGTGTGGTATGATGCGAGAAGTACATGTGTGTGGTACCGACGGCTGTGGTCATGGTGGCGTGGTACGTCCTACGTATATTTCATGTTTGCGTCACTAGAACCAGACAGTCAGGTATGAAAGAGGATCAGTGGAGCCTCCATGGCATTGTGGTGTTTACCTGCTCCATGTCACCAGTAGTATTGAAGGTACGCGCGAGTGAGGAGCTAATATAACACCTCTTGTATCAAATTATACTCTACGTCGGTCCAGCACACGACACGCACGCATTAGGAAGATTGACCAATCATTAAACACGTTGCCAGCGCGAATTACTAAACATGAGACGATGACCACTAAAAGGTTGAGACCATGGGCTCATATATTTTGCTTTTCCAATCTAGAAGTATATGCAATTATACAAACCTTATATTATGATCGGATGGGTGTAAGCGATGGTCGCATGACAACGGTAAGGCTGCAGGGCGCTAGGCTACGTTTTGTTCCCGAGTGGATACAGTATACGCGGAAGGTACCCATATGCAGGCGGACGAGCTGAATTTTGCAGTAGTCGACCGTAATATGGCAATAGAACGTTTGATGGTCATTGATAGCTCGAAGCGCGGATAGCGATAAAACTCATCGCGATTCAGGCAAACACAAAGGTCGTTGTTGTTCAAATACCCACCGCCTCCTCAATCCTGAATATCGTCATCAAACTACCGAAGCAAAGTACATAGTATACACATTAATTCCCGCTCGCTACCAGAATACACGTGGCAGACCCACGCACTCTCAAGTCAGCTTCCCGCATCCGGGGAAGCGGGTTGAAGCTTCAAATGGGGACAGTCTTACTTGTCTTGGCGCGCATACAAGCGGTGTGATTATGCAGTATGCGGGCAGCTCCATGAATGTACACCGACGTATTCAAAGGTGCGGATCCGACTTTTTCTTCGACAGATTGGATGCAGAGTTTGATGTGTGGTGATGTCAGACCGGACCTAACGGGTCGGGTGTAGGTAGCAAGTGGATGGGGTGCGCAGTGGAAGGTAGCTGTCGGGCCGACTCTCAGTGGTCAAGAAATGTCACAGGCCGGAAAGTATCGCACTGCGGATGTCGGGCTATATTGTCTTGACTCTAAAAGTCCCTCATTTATCGACGCGTCGGCGTTGTAGTCCCAGGATTCGGGTGTTGTTGATCCGGAATAGTGTCGAGGGCAGCATTCCGAACCGCGGACACGGCTCTACTCTCTCTTACCTTCCAATCATCACCTTTGCGCACGACCTTAGATCGGTCCTTCTCTGCTTTCCTGAGTAGCATCTCCTGAATCTTTGCGTCGCGGCGTTCGCCTTGGACACAGTCGCAAAGACAGCCCTCGGTCGGACATGCCCCGTCTGATAGTACCGGGTCGGCGAACCATGTTGATAGACAATTTGAATGTCCTCCATGCCCACAGAGTGGGCACCACGTCCAGAGCGTGGCTGCAGGCGGCGACCACTTGACGGGAGTGGTCGGCGAGGGTCCATCTGCGACTTGATCGCCATCATGGTCTGGATTCGACATGAGAGACGATCGTTGTCTTTTATGTCCTCTATCCTTGAAGGCGGATCGCGATTTCGCTTTCGATTTCTTCTTCGCAGTAATCGATTCGAAAGCCGGATATTTAGCCCAGCAAATCGGGCAGGGTGCCTGCATTCGCTTGCATGATTCGCATCGCATCTTGTCTCTAGGGTTATTGATTGGTGACTTGCAGCTTAGGCACAGTAGGCCAACTTGCGTTTCTTTCAGCGCTTGCTCGTAGACAGCGGGATACGTCGGATATGCTAGTCGACGGAGAGTAGCGGCGGAATTGAAAAGTGACAAAGACTGTAGCTGCGCATGGTATGTGTGGAGGATGGACTCTGCTTGATAGGGGTTGATACCAGTAGCTATCAGTTGGCTCAACTGCGTCGAGAGGATGGCCTTTGCTTGTGCTTGGGTCAGTCCCAGTGAGACAAACGTATCACTGAAGACGTTTAAAACGTCTCCCACATGGACATTCGGGGTATTAGTAGGGTCATGGGTTTGTGGTAGTAATGGCGCTAAAAGTAAAAGGAGAATTGAACTGAACTGTGCATCTGACGCTTCCGTGTGATAGTCGAGAAGGTGATTCAACAGCCCGATGACGGAATAGGGGGACCCGACTTCGGCGTCGACGTGCACGGCCTCAAAATCAGACAATAGCAATCCTTCCTCTGCTGTGAGGTCAAGTACTGGAGGCGCACTCCCAGACGCATGTGGTAACGAAGTGGGCGGCTTGAGGACATGTGGCGATCTCACATCCTCGAAAACATCGGGCACGATGGTTCCGCTTGCCTCCATCTCAGCGTTGTATTCAAATGATGATGAGGAGATGCTTGTGAGCGCTTCCGAATCAGAGCTGTCATGGCGAAGTAGTTGGTTGTTCCGTCGCAGGTGTTCCATATCGCGAACAGCTTTTTCTCCGCTGCCAAATCCATCCACTGAGCTTCGTGGATGTGTATGGTCGACATGAGCGATATTTTTGCCAATGGGTACTGTTGTTGGAGATATCGGGATGCTTTTGCCCAACTCTCGACCTCCAGCGTTCCTTGGTTTTCCAAAGCTGGAGTGTTCCTGGACAGCCTGCCAATCATCTGACAAGGACTGCCCCTGGCCTAATTGTGAATTGGTACTTGCGAAAGAGCTTGGCATGGAGTTGCCCTTCTGTGAATCTGAGGACGCAGAAAACATGGTAAAGCTTTCGTCAGAATGATGTCGCTCTAGTGGGGGAGGCACGTTAATGCTCCCGCCTTGTGCGCTGTTCGGTGCGAGGCTCAATGGAATTCGCGGTGATGCGCGATAGCTGCCAACTAAAGCACGGCGTTCATCGATGTCATCTCCTGAGTGGTACCATTGTGGCCCACTGAACGTTCTTTGCGTCGGCGCAAGTGTTCTGCTTGCGTCGACAGGTGGTCCATTGACAGCAGGCGGGAGCTGATCAATGTCCTCCTGATCAATATCAAGCAAGTCTGGCCTTTGAGTGTTGTTGACGGCTTGGTTTATAACTGGACGAGCAAGAGGGGTCGCGAGATTGGAAGTGCTCTCTCGCACCGACGGCGATCGGGATGGTGATGTCGACTTCTCTAGCGTACCCAAAATAGCTCGCACTGCAGGATTTGGGGGGATCGTCAAGCGCTTGTCGTGTGCCTCCATGTGCTCGGAAGATGATTGTTGCATCTTTCCAGACTGTCGGGGCGCTGTGTTCTGCGGTTGCAGCCTTCTTTGTTGTCTGTGTAACTCTGCTCGTCGTCGTGTCGCCACGGCAATGGACGTACCAACGATTTTCCATGCCTGTGCGAGTCTATAGAAGGTTGCGCGCTGCGCGTACTCAGCGTTCTGCTCAAAGATCCTCTCCAGTCGAAGAAAAGAATCCAAATCAGGTGGATCGGAAAGAGGTATAGTTCTGTACTTCTGTGCGAGATATTCGAAGACCTGAGGATTGGCCACGCCTGGTAGTAAGCCTCGTATGGCGACCTGATTTGGCCTGAATGACTCGCTATAGGCGACCATGGAATCACTGAGAAACATGACTTTAGGTGCAATATCAGAGGGCGGGGTATTGCTGAACGACTTGGTTGACCTGTTGCTGGCGGTGCGCCCATGATGCCGCTTCATAGACGACGTCAGGAAACTGTCATCTAAACTATCATCTGCTGAGTTTCGAAGATTACCTTTCTCAGGGCTATGACGTCTTGCACGTGGATCACCAAGGTATGTATCGTCGGTATACGCTAGGCCTGTAGAAGACCGCTGCCGCGGCCTCTTCTGGGCAACGGCGGCAACTTCTCCACTTGGCGATACTGCCAAAGCTTGCAAGTTGCGTCGATCTACAGTTTTAGGGGCGTGATGGACGTCGTTTTGCTGGAAAACGCCCTCCTTGCCTACAGTCCACAAGGTGTCACGCGAGTGCCAAAGCATATCGGAAGGTGCGCTAGGAAACTTGTTGATCTCCCGAAATGGCAGGAACGGTCGACGGAAATCCCATACGTGAATAACAGAATGTTCACGATCATAGGACGTGGCCAGCTGTGTGCATTGGTAGGCGCCCTTTTCGTGGTACTCATCGGACCAGTATGGCGGCCTCCAGCGAGCTTGGTATACCGGGAATGGTGTGTGCAGGACGTAAGCAGCTTTCTGGCGGCGCCCAGTAACGGAGAAGTCCCAGACCTTGACCGTTCGATCGACGCCAGCGCTGAGTAGATGCTTGCCGTCTGGATGCCAGTCGATGGAGGTGCAGATGCGCTGGTCGTGAGCTGTAATCTTCTGCTTGGGCCCCTTGTTATGGCGGAAATCCCATCGCTGTATAGTTCCGTTGTCAGTGCCGAAAGCGAATTCTACGGCGTCAGTAGGCGACCACTGGACATCACGAATGCCGCCATTCATGCCAGCGTAGTGATCTCGACTACGACAGACGGTGACGTCTCTGCGCATGTCACGCAAGTCCCACAGGCGAACGGTGTTGTCATGGCTGGCAGACAGCAGCAGATGGCCTTGATGAGGGTTAAAGGCCAGCTTGTGTACCTGACGCGTATGTTCGTGCAGCCTGGTGAGCTCAACGCTTGCGCGGTTTAGGTCGTACAGTATGACTTTGCCATTCGCAGCGGCAGTTGCGATATGCGAGCCGAACTGGCCGTGGGACCATTTCACGTCATGTATGCCCAAGCCCTCGCGCTGTCGGGCATGCGAGTCGGCATAGTTGAGGACAGCAGCCCGTAGGTTGGTCTCGTCGACAATCTTGGCATCTTGCACGCGGACTGTTTTTAGAATCTCCTTGCCAGCGAGGACGGCATGGGTGCGTTCACGGTTGATGTCGAGGGCAGAGATGTCGAGGCCTGTCTTGTGGCTTGCATCTTGGGAATAGCCTGTGCGGATGCTGAGAGAGTTTAGTGAGTGCAGGAGAGGGGCAAGGTAGGCTCCGTGATATGTCGAGATACATGGCAGAAGGTGAGTGGAGAGCAAGGTGCAAGGCGTAACAGGGAAGGAGCAGGCAAGGAGCAGGCAAGGAACAAGGCATCGGGGGGAAAGAGCGACTGGCAAACATCAACAACAAAGTGCAGAGACAAAGTATGGTGAGAGGGGCAGCCAATGAGAGAAGCAGCAATTGGGTGTACTGTACATGACATGCGAGTACTCAGAGTATGTGAGAGTGAAGACGTACCCGGCAAGTTTCGGCACTAGAGGGTTCGGAGGGCCGCCTTCTGGGCCATGGGCATGCACGCTGGGTGGGCGGGATCCATAGGCCGTCGTCAAGGGCTGCGCAACGAAACGCTCAAAGTACGAGCGCGACTTTTGCTTGGGCAGTGGCAATGGCGGCGCCGGTGGTATCTTGGGCGACGAGACGGCTGACGTGCGACGGTTTTCAGTCATCTGAGCAGCTCACTAGGTCGGACCGTGTCATGGCAGGTCCAGGGCTGCCAGCGGCGATTTGTAGCTGAAAGAGCTGACTTGGTAGCGACAAGCCTCAGTACGGTACGGACGGTCAATACCTCAGGAAGCGTGTAGTAAAAGGTAGTGTGACGAGCTGCAGGCTTGCTGCAGGACCGACGCTGGTGGTGCACGACTCGCTCGGTGTCCCTGGGAGCATGCAGGCCGGGGTCAGCGCGGTGGTCTGGATGGAATCCATCATCGGCGCGCACGGACAGGCCTAATGCCTGCTGCATGTGCGCCACAAGTCTACTCTTGCTAGCTCTCGTCCATGGCACCGTCTCAGTGTGCAACATGTCACCGCGTTTCTCTTCCATAACCTCCATCTCCTCTTTCCTCTCCCTTCCCCCCACCTGTCTCTGCCACCCGTGAGTCCTCGCATCAGGGTCTCACGTACAAGTGGAGAGAAGCTCCATCATGGCTGGTCCGCTGCTCCAGGTCGACCTCGCCGCCGCCGACAGCGACAACGACCACGAGAGATGGACCTATGCCGGCCCTGTGCGCAACACCATCACCGTCCTACAATATGCCTATCCCATCGTTATGCTCGTCTTTTTTCTGGCTGCCTTCACCGTCCGCAGCATCGCCGCTTCTAAATCTAATACTAATATCGCCAAACCTACCACAACCGGCCCTGGAGGAAAGCCGCTTCCTGCGACCGATCCTACCCGCAACTTCGTCAAGAAGCTCGTCCATGATGATGTCACGCAGACGCAGAAGAGGGTCTTTGAATGGGTCTCACTGGCGACGGCTTTCACCTTTGTCGGCAACTCGGTCATCGTCATTGCGCATGCTCTCGCTCAGACGCAAGAGCACTGGTGGGCAGGCAAATCTGTCGTGGTATGTACGAGGCGCAAACTCAAAGTTGGCTAATGTGCTAACGTGTCCAGATCTACCTCGTGGGCGCCTTCTTCGTCTACTGTCTTTTCCTCATCTCCCTACTCGATTCCAAGCCATCCCCGACCGAGGCGCATCTGGCAACATGGAGTCTCGCAACAGTGCTAGAAATAGTACTCGTAGCCCTCTCCTTCGCCGTCTACACGCATCCCCACAAGGAGCCTACCGCGGGCCCACCGGCCAAGCGATTGCGATTTGGAATGACTGAGTGGGAATCCGCCGAGGTGGCCATGGACCTACTTCGCATCGTACTGCTCCTCGCACTCATCGCCTTCTACGTACTTTTCGTCATAGTCCCACAGCGCAAATCCCAGCAAGAGTCCGGTAGTCCGTCTGAAAACACTTCCCTGCTAAGTAGCGCCGATCAAAACGGTCATGCGGAGAACGGTCACGCGAACGGCTCATATGGCTCAGTCCACCCCGTCGGTGGCAAACATCAGCACACCGAGGGTGCACCCCCCGCCTGGAGCAGGCCCACTGGCGCACCCGCGCGCAGTTGGTGGGAATACATCAAAGGCTACCACGTCTTCTTTCCCTACCTTTGGCCCTCGAAAGATCGCAAGTTGCAGCTCGTAGTCATAGCTTGTTTCGTACTCGTCTTGGCCCAGCGCGTCGTCAACGTCGTAGTCCCAGATCTCACGGGTGAAATCGTGAACCGCCTCAAGGACCCCTCAAAAGGAAATCCTTGGACTGCCATCATGCTCTACATTGCCTTCCGCTTTCTACAAGGTAGCAATGGTTTGCTCGGTGCGGCGCGATCTGCGTTGTGGATTCCCGTTTCGCAATACTCGTATCGCGAACTGTCCGTTGCGGCATTTGAGCACGTGCACAGTCTTAGTCTTGACTTCCATCTCGGTAAAAAGACGGGCGAGGTCCTATCCGCACTAGGAAAGGGTAGCTCCATCAATACGTTCCTCGAGCAGGTGACCTTTTCAGTGGTGCCAATGCTCATCGATTTGGCTGTTGCCATTGCCTATTTCCTCGTCAGATTCGATGCTTACTACGCGCTTGTTATCGCCATCATCACCTTCTGGTACATCTATCTGACCATCCGCATGGCGCAGTGGCGTGCTGAAATTCGCCGAGAAATGGTCAATGCCGACAGAGAAGAGGACGCCGTCAAGTAAGTAACTACCTGTGAGTATCATGATCCGACTAACCTTTTGCAGGAACGACTCCATGGTGTCATACGAGACGGTCAAGTATTTCAACGCCGAAGCGTACGAGTTCAACCGCTACCGTGAAGCTGTTAAGAAGTATCAGAACGCTGAGTACAAGGTCATGTTATCGCTGAACATCATGAACATCACACAGAACATGGTTTTCATGATCGGACTCCTCGTCACATGCTTTATTGCAGCATATCAAGTTGCGGCCGGAATCCTCGAGGTCGGCAAATTTGTGTCGCTTCTCACGTATATGAGCCAGCTGCAAAGTCCTCTCAACTTCTTTGGTACCTTTTACAGGATGATCCAGTCTGCTATGATCAACTCGGAGCGAATGCTCGAGTTGTTCAAGGAGCAACCCACCGTGGTCGACAAGGAGGACGCCCAACCTTTGGCCTCGTGCGAGGGTAACCTTCGCTTCCAGGATGTACACTTTGCTTACGACCAGCGCAAACCAGCGCTGACGGGTCTCGACTTTTACTGCGAGCCAGGCACGACGACTGCGTTTGTTGGTGAATCTGGTGGAGGTAAATCAACCGTCTTCCGTCTGTTGTACCGATTTTACAATACCATGTCTGGTAGCATTCAGGTTGATGGTCATGACGTTGAAGATCTCACCATCGACTCGGTGCGCAGCCACATTGGTGTTGTGCCTCAAGACACTGTGCTCTTCAACGAGACACTCATGTACAATCTCAAGTATGCAAACCCAGAGGCAACCGACGAACAGGTACACGAGGCGTGTAGAGCTGCTAGCATCCACGACAAGATCATGACATTCCCAGACAAGTATGAGACCAAGGTCGGTGACCGCGGCCTGCGACTTTCCGGAGGTGAGAAGCAGCGTGTCGCTATTGCTCGCACGATTCTCAAGAATCCGCGTATCATCATGCTTGACGAGGCCACTGCCGCTCTCGACACGGAAACGGAGCAGCACATCCAGGAAGCATTTACAACACTAGCCAAGGGCCGCACTATGCTCATCATCGCTCATCGTCTTAGTACCATCACCCATGCTGATCAGATTCTCGTCCTGCACAAGGGCAAGGTTCAGGAACGAGGAACGCACGAGGAGCTGCTTGATCGCAATGGTCACTACGCTGCCATGTGGAAAAAACAGATTCGCGCTCAGAGAGCCGCTGAGCAGGCTCAGTACCTTAAGGATAAGGCTGATAGACTACGCCGAGAATCCAAGGATGGAACCATTGGTTTCGAAGATGGAAGCAGCAGCCACTCGAGTTCTGATGACGAAAACGCGAAGAAGATTCGCTCCACAAGCCAGAATGCATCAAATCAAGAGGAGACGTCAGGTAAACCGCATGGCCGTCCTTAGTCTGGCAGGTCATCGTTTTTCTGAGTTTGCTTGCTACAAAGCAGATCTCAACCACCATAGCAATTTGCAGGATTTATCCGGACGCACAGACGACCATTTCACAGTCACTAGAGCACTCTTTTATGAGTTGCGCTGTTGCTATAACCTTCGGACCTGGACTAGTCACCTACCTACCCTCCTTTTTTTTTTCCCTCTAAAACCGAGGCCCTCAATTTCCATCCAATCCTAATCGCTTCTGTGTTTCCCATGGACCCTTTCCACTTTTATGTACTGGAGTTGACTGAGAAAGAAATCGTAATATTCGGCTGTTTCCGTAATGTCACAAAATACGCATGGATGATGGGAAGTGTTGGTTGGATAGGACGGATGGGGCGGCGATTTGTTGTTTTATACCAAAGAAAGGACGTGGGTCATGGACGGATTACACAAACAAAGTAACCCTCAAGGGTTTTTGCGACGACAGGGCGCATTGTCGTGTCGCGGTGGCGTATGAGAAATGATTTCATGGACAAGCGTGGGCTGGTGTTTGTTGTTGTTTGCTTTTCATGCACCTAAAACTCTTACGCAAAATAGAGGTATTGAAAAATGCATATGTTTGGATCACGATTGATGGACATGACTCGTCCTTTTATACGACATCATTGCTCTGGCTTTATTGATCATATGGCACTAAAAGCCTAATACTATGATACGTGCCTCATGGATACACGATTCAGAAACGGTCGACGCAGTTATTCATCAAAGTGAACATGTTTGGGTAATATCATTGTCTCATACTCTATGCATTACTGTATCGTATGTCTGCTTTGAGCGCAAATCTGGTTTGTTACTCATGCCGGTTTACGAGCCTTCTCTGAGCTGTGGTATGTGATCCTACTCCTCCATCTCCACGTCGTCACCGCTGGTCGCGTTGCCGTTTTGCCGTGAGTTTGATTTGGGTACTGAGGCTTCCTTGTCAATCATCTGCCTGGAGACGGAGACGATGTTGTCTTCGATGAGCTGCTGGCCGACGTCGGAGATGTCTGTGATGTTTTGTTAGTACAATATTGGTGTAAGTTGTATAGTTGAACATACGCTTCTTGGGGTCGACCTTTCCGACGTATCGCGTCTTTAATTGGTCCTTGGTCAACTCTGTCTCCTCCTTGACACGCTTCTCGTAACCATCTGCCAAAGTGACGAGCTTCTGCAACCTGTCGGTATTCCGCTCGCCCTCGCCCTTGAAGTCGTCCATGAGCAGTGCCTCCGTCCACACGTGCTTGTGGAGGTTCATCAGCATGTTCTCCTCCAGCGCAGTTTTTCGGTAGTTGATGCCGATGGAGTAGTAGTGGCGGTTCAGGCCGTGGATAAGCGCCTGGATTGATGGCTTGTTTAGGTGGCCGACGTTGGAGGTGGTCTGGCGGGGCTCGTGACCCATCATGAGAGCCTGGGGGTTGATGAGGCGGAAAGCATCGATGACGACTTTGCCCTTGACGGACTGAATGGGGTCAACGACAACGGCGACGGCGCGGGGTGTGAGCTGCTCGAACGACTGCTGTGTGTTGATATCGACCGAGGAAAGCCAGCAGCCGAAACCAGGATGTGAGTGGTACCAGCCGACAACAGTCTCTTGCCTGTGTTTGTCAGCATTGGATGGATGTAGTAGGAGCGGTGGCGGCTTCGAGTGTTCAGCCAGCAAGTGCATACCTTCCCGTTTGCCTCAACATGTCCATCATCTTGGTTTGGAAGACAGGGTCTACAGCCTCGACGGAGACACCGGTTCCTGACTGCGGCATGGCGAAGACATCCACCACTCGTACTGTGTAATCATCCACAAACTCGCCCAACATCAGACCCATGACTTCCATAGGCACACCTGCCCGGCCGTGTCGCAGCATCTTGAGTAGTGCAAGCGAGGAGATGTAGACGGTTTCCGAGTTATCGATCAGGTTGGTGTCGCCCTGGGGTCCTCCCATACCGCCCATGCCACCTTGAGCGGCGGCGAGCATTCTGGTTAACCGGTCCATGGTGGGGTGTTGGCAACGATTCTTCGGGAGATATGAGTGAGGTGGCTGGCGAAAGGTAGAGGGTATCGGAGTGGTGGGCGAAGTAAGTGTTTGGGTAGGCGGCGGCGATGATGGAGCTGTCGATGCTCGGAGCTCTCTCACCTAACTGCGCGACTGCCAGATGCGGCGATTCGGTTATTCCGGAACCGGCGCTAGGCAGGGGTGCCCTGTTGCAGCTCGATCCATGAATGCTCAATGGCGCGCGAGGGTCTTTGTTAAAGCTCCCGCCATCTCTCCTCTAGGCCCCTCCACCTTTCCTCGATCGCTGACACTCGAGTACTGCATATATCTGAAGTCACGCTTCTCTACCACCCCCAGTTGAAGAATATCTTGCATTATCAAAGTAATACCACCAAAATCCCCGCAGTCGCATAGCTGTGCGCAGCCAACAAAGATATGGCTTCCACCGACATGGCACCCACAACGGGGTCCTTTTCTTTGGGCAACGGCGTCGCATCGCAACCAAAGAAAGTTGCCTACTTCTACGACTCCGACGTCGGCAACTATGCCTATGTAGCAGGACATCCCATGAAGCCCCACCGCATACGGATGGCGCATAGTTTGATTATGAACTATGGCCTGTACACTAAAATGGAGATTTATGTAGGCAGACGCTGATTCAAGTTCGCGTGCATCTGTGCTAACTCAAAGACAGCGCGCAAAGCCGGCTTCAAAATACGAAATGACGCAATTTCATACCGACGAATACATCGAATTTCTGCACAAGGTCACGCCCGACAACATGGAGAGCTTCACGCGCGAACAGAGCAAATACAACGTTGGAGACGATTGTCCCGTCTTCGACGGTCTTTTCGAGTTCTGCGGCATCAGCGCCGGCGGAACCATGGAGGGCGCTGCACGCTTGAATCGAGGAAAGTGCGATGTCGCCGTCAACTGGGCCGGAGGACTGCATCACGCGAAGAAGAGCGAAGCCAGTGGTTTCTGCTATGTCAACGACATCGTCTTGGGTATCATCGAACTGCTCAGATACAAGCAGCGTGTGCTGTACATCGATATCGACGTTCACCATGGAGATGGTGTCGAGGAAGCCTTCTACACGACCGATCGCGTCATGACCGTCTCATTCCACAAGTACGGCGAGTACTTCCCCGGTACTGGCGAACTACGCGACATCGGTGTCGGCAGCGGCAAGAACTACGCGGTCAATTTTCCCCTTCGCGATGGTATCACCGACGACACCTACCGCGACATCTTCGAGCCTGTCATCCAGGCTGTCATGACATACTACGGTCCAGAGGCTATTGTCCTGCAATGCGGTGGTGATAGTCTTTCCGGAGACAGGCTTGGTTGCTTCAACCTAAGCATGAACGGCCACGCCAACTGCGTCAAGTACGTCAAAAGCTTTGGTGTTCCAGTCATTGTACTCGGAGGTGGTGGCTACACCATGAGGAACGTCGCCCGAACTTGGGCCTACGAGACAGGAGAGCTCGTCTCGACAAAGATGTCCAAGCAGCTGCCTTTCAACGACTACTATGAATATTTTGCTCCCGACTACGAACTTGATGTCCGACCGTCAAACATGGAGAACGCAAACTCTCATGACTACCTGCACAAGATCAAATCAGCCGTCATCGACAACATTAGGAGGACCGGAAAGCCCTCGGTTGAGGCCTTTACTAACATACCGGACGCCCCTCCTAATTTGTATCGCGCGGCGGACTCCGATGCTGAAGATGAAGAAGAAGATCTTGATGCCGACGAGAACAAGGACGTACGAAAGACACAACTTTCACAGGACAAGCAGATAGCGCATGACGGCGAGATGTACGATGAAAGCGACGACGAAGACTACAAAAACAGCCTTGGGGTGCGCGCTCAGCCCGGTACCAAGAAGAAGCGGAATATCACCGACTTCCCAAATCCCAACGCTGCCCCGGCGGACGATCTGGACGGTATGGAAGAGATCAATGGTGAAAGTGCTGTGTCAACACGCCAAGCATCTGCAGCCGTGAAGTCGCGCACACAAACTCCCGCCACTGGCGAGCAAGAAGCTGATGAGGATGGTGACATCAACATGGATGCACCGCCTGCTGCGCCTGCTCCCGCCGATGACTCAGCACAGTCGCAATCGCCTGCAGGAGGTGTTGTGACCCCACCTGAATCTCCACCTACCGCACCAACAGCAATGGCACCTACCTCTGCTCCAACGGCGGATGTCGAGATGGAAGGCAATGACGATAAGGAGGAGATTGCCGCATCCAAGGAAGAGGGTCAAGCAGAACGCGATTCAGAAAACGTCAAGGGCGAAGTCCGGACCGAGGTTGCTAAGGACTAAGCACCCTGATCGCGGTAGTTTGGTGCATTTGGGAGGCGTTCGTTCTTCAGTCGCACTTTTTCTGGTTAAGTTCTTTCTGACGGGTAGCGGGATAGGTGTTCTGGTGTGATGGGAAATGGCTTGATTCGCTCTAGCTAAGGATACCATTTGGATTTTCTTTTCTATTATTTTGATGCAAAGTTCTTATCGTCCTTCTACCAATTCAAGCTCCGAGGGCCAGAAAGACTATGAACAACTAAGCAACAATCAACTCTACATATCAAACGCCTGGTCATCCCCTCCTTCACTCCTCTGCTTCGCTTCTTGACATCTCAACAGTAATGTCCGCAAGGCACAACATCCCATACTGATTTCTTAGCCACCTCCATCTTGCCTCCTTTGGGTTTCTTAGTTTCCTCATATGCACCAACCATCTCCTCGTCGCCCTCCAACAGACTACCAATGATGCGCTCAGCCATAGTACAGAAGCCACCTATCAAACACTTCTGATGAACAATGGTACCGATCATGTGCACCAGTACACAGATACATGGTCTGGACAATGTAGACGTAGATGCAGATGCGGACAAAGACGGAGAAGGACAATGCCGAGTCCCCGCTGTCTTCTTCGCAGATACCCAAGTCTTCGCCTCGCCATCCCTCTTCTCCGTTGTCGCCGGAGTAGCAGATATAGCAGAAGAAGTGCTAGTAGGAGGAGACAACGAGGTCGTCTAGTGGACTACCAAAGCTATCTTATGTGCTATGACTACTTCTCCCCGAAAACTGACAACAGGTACGTCGACAATGGGCACGCTGATGCTGAGGGGGTTGACGCAAGGGTTGTTGAGGTAGTAGCGTGAAAGGAAGGCAAGATGCTTGGTTGTTCGTTCATGATGTCTTTGAGATGTCGTATTGGGATAGTTGAAGATTGAGGTCTGAAGAGATGCGCATGCAGACGGGGTCGATGGGCTGGGTCATTTTGAATGGTTGGGGTGGTGTTGGAGAGATAAGAGAAGATAAGAAGACGGTTTGGGCACGGGAATGATGTTATAGACGGCCAGAGCATCGATTAAAAGAATGCTTGGCTCTTTTCAGGACTTTGTTTCTCCCACTGTGTTGGAGATGTCAAGCCGCGCCGTTGTTGTGAAAGGATGGGTCGATGCATGCATGATGCGAGCTGCATCATTTGCTAAGTGTGCCACGAGTTCACGGAGAACCACAATTCATATCCAAAACACTCCGTTGTAGCATTGTCTGTTCATCTCTAGGGGATTCCTTTATCAATGATTGTCTGGGTACGTGGAGACATCGTCTGATGACTGCATTCTGAGATCAAAGTACCAAAGCCATCTCATCCAGATCGATATCTAATCCCGAGCTCAGCTGCGGAATCTGTTTGTAGTCACTCTCATCCAACGTCTTCCTTATGAACTTGAGTGTCTGCAAATCTGTTAGTAAGATGATAATCAGCTAAATCAAACTCATGTCCAGTACTCACCTCTGCGTAACTCGGATTCTGACTGCTCTTCATCATTTCCAGGAACGCCCATGTCATAGCGCCCGTAGGCTCTCCTTGAATACGCGCATCGGCGCTGGTCTGGTCATCTCTACAGCCAGAAAACATAGTTACCATCTTCCGTTCGCTCCCATACTGTCCCGCGAATTCTCCGCTTTCCAATCCTTCCTCCTCTTCTTCCCCAAAATGTTTCAGACCTTTGAAGAAGGTGCTGGCGCCTGCAAGTAACTCCCTCGCTTCACCGACTTTGTTATAGGAGAAGCCACCGGAGATGATGTCGCGAGCTTCGTTTGCGAGCGTAAGCCCAGCTTTCAGGTTATCCATCAAACTGATTTGACCATCGCTGTCAGAGCGGTAGACATAAGGTAGTTCGAGCGCGCTACCGGAGTGGCAGCAGTCCATAACGACGAAGAGTGTACAATCACGCGCCATATACGTGACAAGATGTTCGTGTAGAATGGTACTGGAGATCTGACCTCGCTGTTCAAAATCCACAGGAACGATCGAAGCATCCATACCCGTAGTCCGGTTGCCGTCTACGTCTGCAATCTGTCCGCCGTGGCCAGAGTAGTGCAGAAATAGCGTGCAACCAGGTTCTGAAACTAGCCAATCCATGGCTGCGAGGAGGTTGTGGCCTGTAGGAAAGTAGGGTGAGTCGTATGGTACTTCCGGACGATCAGTCAAGATGACCCGGTCTTTGTGTGAGTTTGTGTATCCACGGTAGGAAAGAAATTCTGCCATGTTGTCTACATCGGAATGGCAGCCCTTCAGTTCGTGGCTGCTGCCGACATAATTGATGCCGATGAGGAGACTCTTCTTGCGTCTGTAAGACATTTTGGGCTAAGAACTGATAAATTGGGGTGAGAGTGAGATTGAAAAATTGAAAGTAAGGTTGTTGGCAGCAGTGGCTGAAGAGTGGCGGAGGTTTGTAGCGTGCTGTCAAGTTGGAGGGGTAGTGAATGATGTGGCTGATCACTACCCAATCAATCTTAGTAGGAGGACGCGTCCCGCTCCGCCCACGTGCATGCGCGATTGTACCTGACAAAGGTGTATGATGAGACATGCCTGCACTTTGCGAAAGGGTGAAAGTTTTAAGGTTGCATCTACACGCTTTTGGGACCCCGCAGATAAAGAAACAGGACATGACGTCACTCAGTTCTGCGAGCACCTGGTCCATCCTACATTCCCAAACATCAATACTCCTGACCCGTCCTTCGTATCGTCACTACGCAACCATGAACCGTGACATCAGCCCGCCACCTGCAAAAAGACGTAAGATCGGTTCCAGTATAGTGACGGCTTCCCACCAGACAGCACCAGCAAGCACACTTGCACCTCTTCCACCACTCAACGCAAACACCTTACGCATATTCTCTTGGAACATCAACGGCATCACCCCATTCCTACAAAAACCAATTACGTCATTCTTTCAACCCACCGAGTCTAAAGTTACTGCGAGGAGACCTCCAAAAGACGCGATACCACCAGCGTCCTTGAGGGCGTTTTTACACAGATACCAATGGCCGTCCATACTGTTCCTACAAGAAGTAAAAATCGCTTCCACAGATAAAAAAACTCAAGATATTGTCAAAGCAGCCCTAAATTCGCGCTTGCCAGTAGAATCAACCTCAACGGATGCGCAGGGCCCGGTATATAATGCATTTTTCACCTTGCCAACCGATCATTTCAACGCCCGTGGACCCGGAGGCCGTGGCAAGATATACGGTGTATGTAATATCATTCGTCGTGATCTCGCCAACACCTACCATATTGGTGTGCGAACTGTAGGTTGGGATAACGAAGGACGCGTCTCCGTTGTAGAAGTCAAGTCGAGGAGTAGTACCGCAAAACTAGCAATCTTCAATATTTACGCAGTGAACGGAACGGACAATGCTTATCGTGATTCTGCCATAGGTGCTGTAAAAGGCACAAGACATGACAGAAAACGCGAGTTCCATAGCTTACTGATGGGAGAATGTAAAGAGCTGGAAGAGCAAGGATGGGATGTATTGCTAGCAGGAGATATGAATGTAGCACTTGATGAGCGAGATGGGTTTCCCAAGCTACGTGTCTTCCCACAGGCACATGTTATCAACCGAGCAGATTTCCACGATAAGCTGCTGGAAAATAGTGGAATGGAGAAGAGTAATGGATTTGGCGGTGTCGATGTCTGGAGAAAGATGCATGGTGAAGAGCGGCGGTATACATATTTTTCGCCAGGCAGGAAATGGGGAAGCAGTTGTGATAGGGTGGATTACTTCATTGCTGGAAGGAAGGCATGGGAGAAGGGATGTGTCACGGCTTGTGGGATCATGGACAGCGAGGAAGAAATGATACCGAGTGATCATGTGCCTATTTGGGTGGACTTTGAGATGAAAGAGGAGGATGATAAGTAAAGCGAAATAAAGACTGGGGACAGTGACCTTACGTATGTTTCGTATTCCTGATCGAGGACTACAAGAATCGACGCATACTTCAGACCCAACGAAACGATCCCAAAGTGCCACGCCTTACCGGTACGCGCTCACACCCGGCTGCGCATCTACTCCATGTCCCCAGTGTCAGCAACAAAGAATGGACTCGTTCCCATTCCATTAAATGCATTGACCTCCCACAACTCCGTCGTCCCATGCAAAACCTCATATCGGTTATACGCTCCACATCCACTCTCACGGTTAACGCACTCCGTAGTAATCTGCCCTGCAATACGTTCTCCAACCTCCTGACCCTCAAACCATGCGCCGTGCAGAAAACCAAAGTACTCCGCGCTCATCGCTTCACCAGCAAAGTACAGCCTGCCTACGTTTGCACGAAGATTCTGGTGCATCTCGAGCGTGGTGCCAGCAGGCCAGTTGGAGTAAGATCCGTAAGACCATGGTGTTTGAGACCAGCGTGGGTAGGTGAACGCAACTGGTTCTGGAATAGTGGTGTTGGGGAACATCTTGCGAAGGACGGCCATGCCTTCTGCCTTTGTGGTTTCATCGTCTTGTGCCTCAACACGGTAAGATTGTTCGTCGACTAGTGTGGCGAAAATGATGTTGGAACCTGGTAAGAACCCTGCCGTTGACAAGCTCTGCCACACTGTGTAGTATCCGCGCGTCGTGGGATCGGCGTAAAGAAAAAACTGCTTGTCGTCTGGCCAGAACGTCTCGTTGAACTGGAAGAAGAGCTTAGTGTATGTGCCGAATGAGAATGTGGCGATCGCGGATTGCTTCCATTCTGGGAGTTCGGGCTCGAACGTGATGACATCGTTCTGTAGCACGCCAAGCGAGACGGTGGAGATGGCGTAATCGGCTTCTACGCACGAGCCATCTAAGGTGGTGATATTTACGCCAGTTTCTGAGTAGGTGATGTTTGTTACGATGGTATTGAGGAGAAGGCGTGGATCGTTAGGCTTGAGAAATTTTGACGCTTGATACTTGAGCCACGTATTGAAACCGCGCTGGTCGGTACAGACTGTGGGGAGTCTGTGTTAGTCTTGATCATATTTTCGTGCTTCAAGTACATACAATTGCTGATCTCGGAGAAAGCGTAGTAAGTCAGATTGTATCCTGTGATGCCGTAGACGAAGCTCGATTCCTCTGGCGTCTATGGAGCACATTTATCAGCATATCTGACGGACAATCACTCTCGGGTAGACTCACCTGGGCAGTCTCCCAGTCCCAAAGATAGTACTCAACAGCCTTGCGTGCCGGATCGCCTTTCGGCCTCCACCCACTTTGCCAAAGGCCGGCGCGAAAACTTCTGTCTTGCAGGTTCTCAGATAGTATAGTACCAGCGCTTTGCTCGAAGTCACTCCAGTACTCTTCGAACTCATCTAAAATGTTTGTGTAGTCCACAGCACCTGTCTCGTTGTAGGTCGCGATAGAAAAGACATCCGAATTTGGACTTGTCAGGTTCACTTGTTTCGAGAAAGTCCAGACAGGGTTCTCTGGGCCGTCTACGGTATCTTCACCTAGTCCTGAGATCCAGTTCGCGCCTAATTCGACAGTGTAAGGGCTGCCGCCAGGATCAGAGCCAAATTTGGTGTTTCGCATACGGCCACCGATATGGTCTTGATACTCAAGGATCAGGAAGTCGGTGACAGATTGGTTGGCAAGTGCTTGCTAGAGCTCATTAATAGCTGCATTCAGAAACATCTATGAAGCGGGAGTGTGATGATTTGATGAACTTGACCTTTGCTCATTCTTGTCCGCGTCGTTCAGGAGAGAGGTTATTCACGTATACGTACCGCAGCTGTAATGCCGGCAACTCCGCCACCACTACGTATCGTTAGCTACTTTCAATCTATAATCGTTGAAGTAGAAAATACATGACCGCCACAGTAGTCTTCCTACATGTGCTGTGGTAGTTACGCCCATGAACCGCTGGCGCAGCGAATGTCAGTGTTGGTACAAGACCAGCGGTCATCAGCAGCGCTTTTGCTAGCACCATGATGAAAATGCGCTGAAGAATGATTTGGATGGATACGAGGCTCGTTCAAGGCCGGCGTATCTCAGTAGGTACTTATTGCTTGATCCGATAGTGCATGCTAGGGTGCATATCTACAGTGTAGTCCTACTTAGATTAACATGCGTTACCTTCCCCGCATTAGTCCCACAGGATGAACCAGGGATGGTGATCGTACTCGAGGTACAGAACCAGCGGTAAATAGCATCGAACGGGTAAGAATGTGTTAATGATTCGCTGTTCATGTGTCACTAAGCAGATACAGACCTGCCTAATCAAGACATAACCCCAGGAGAACATGGAACCAGGTAGTAGTTTAACGCGCACCACACGCAGGAACGGAGAGGACGGATATGCAGCTTGATGGAAAGAGCATGGTGTGGAAGGTCGGGTAAGGACCGATGCAAGTCAGAGGTTACTGGTAAACGCCGAAGATGATAAGAGCGCCGCGTGTACCTGCTGGATGCGCAAGGTGACATCGCTATGGGTCGTCTGTGCTCGTCGGTGACACCGCAATGCTCCTGCCACAGCTGCAGGATGATGTTGTTTTTTCCATTAGAGATAACGAGTCGTTGCAGTCTTGACGCGTTGATGTTAGCTGGGCAAGGCTGGAGCCGAAGTCGCACCGCGTGAACTGGAGGAAGCTATAGCCACGGAGGTTTGCATTGATTCTCCCACCATCACCACGCGTGCCTGTTGCGCATGCGTGGGAAACCTCGGTTATAGTCAGAAGATCGTGAGGAAGTTGAGCCTACCTATTACGTGAACATTCCAAGACACGGGAAAAGCGCAGGATTTTCGGGACGGCACGATAGCGGGGTTCTTGGTCATGTCACCCTTCGTTCTTCGTCCTTCGCGTCAAAAGTCACATCAATTTCTCTCCCGTTCCATTGAGACTCAATTCGCCTTCTCATCCTTACTTTTCAGTTCTCAATACGCGTCGTTGTTTCCTCACAAGTACGGTAACATAGCTAGGATGCAGCTGAGTAGCAGAATGCCCGATCAAGGTAACGTCAGATAGCAGAACGCATGAGACCGGTGTTCGCCCGCCAGCATTTTTGTTGGCAGCGATCTGAGATATACGGTCTGAACTTGATCAGGTTAAAGCCTGCGAAAGGACTCATGCTTTGCATTCCTCCGCCCCGAGGCTGCTACTAATGGCTCCAGGTCGCTGTCATGGACCCCATCACGAACCCGCGCGATGAGAAGAAATCTATATTCGCACCGAATGCGAGTAAGGAGCCCCAACTGCCTGTCAGCGCACGCGATACCGAGCATGAAGGGATGGCAACACACACCAAATGGCAGACCATGTGGAAGACGTTTGAAAGACAGCTTGTCGCATACAACCTCGAGGCTCGCGGCATAGAACGTGTTGAACCAGAGGAACGACAGGACTTGCGTTTGCTTGGATACTCTCAAGTGGCCATCATGTGGTTCAGCGTCAACCTTGCGGCTAACAATATCACGCTGGGCATGCTGGGTCCTGCTGTTTTTGCCCTTGGCTTCCTCGACGCTTGCCTGCTGGGCGTTTTCGGCGCGTTCGTTGGCTGTCTCGTGGTGGCATACATCGCGACGTTTGGCCCCAAGAGCGGCAATCGGACTATGATCTTCTCGCGATACGTCACGGGTTGGTGGCCATCCAAGGTCGTTGTCTTGCTCAACATTATCGTCCTGCTCGGTTACGGCATGATCGATTGCGTAGTCGCTGGACAGATCCTCTCTGCCGTCTCTGGAAACTCCATGTCGGTCGTAGTCGGCATCATCGTCGTAGCCATCATCGCGTGGGCCATCACTACCTTTGGCTACCAGATCTTCCACTACTATGAGCGATGGGCTTGGCTACCGCAACTGATAGTGCTCTGCATTCTAGCTGGCGTCGCCGGTCCACAATTCAACATCTCCTCCGAATCTCATGGCGATGAAGATCCAGACACCATCATCGGCAACCGCATTAGCTTTTTCGGCTTGACGCTTGCCGCGGCTATTACGTACGGCGGTGGAGCAGCAGACTACTTTGTCTACTATCCGGAACACGCATCATCGTTCAAGATTTTCGGCATGACCATGCTGGGTCTGATGTGCAGTTTCACGTTCGCCTTCGTCGTGGGTATCGGCCTCGCATGCGGTATGTTGACCAACACGGACTGGGAAACAGCCTACGGAATATCGCAAGGTGCTCTAATAGTCGAAGCATACAAACCGCTGGGCGCTTTCGGCTCCTTCTGCGGTGTGGTAGTTGCCTTGGGTCTCGTCGCCAACCTCATCGTCCCTACATACTCTTCTGGGATTGACGCCCAGATACTTGGACGTTATGCAGGCGCTGTACCGAGAGTGATCTGGAATACCATCGGCGTAGTCATCTACACAGTTTGTGCACTGGCAGGGCGTGCCCACCTTGCTGAGATCTTCACCAACTTCCTAGCTCTCATGGGCTACTGGGTCTCGGTCTGGATTGCCATTATCCTGGAAGAGCATTTGATCTTCCGTCGCACGACTGGATTCAACTGGCAAGTCTGGAACCAGAAGAAGAAGCTACCACTGGGCATCGCCGCTTTTACCTCATTTGCGATCGGTTGGATTGGCGCAATCATGTGTATGGCCCAGGTTTGGTACATCGGACCAATCGCAAAGCAGGTTGGAACTTACGGAGCGGATGTAGGTACATGTCGACATTCAGATTAACTTGGAGCTAATGTGGTTAGATGGGTAATTTTGTGGGTTTCGCATGGGCTGCAGTCGTCTATCCGCCTTTGAGAGTGTGGGAACTGAAGCGGTTTGGCCGATGATGAGGAACATTCCCAGGCACGCTGTGAACATCACACGCAACTGATGACCCTCCGGACCTCGTTGTTGTCCAAGTCAAGTATGTCAATTCTTCGTCATACATTCGTACCCCTTCCGATCTGTTACGGGATTTGTGGTTAGGCAAGATCTCAAACACCGGTTACAGTTTAAAGATTTACGTATAAGCCATTCGCAACCACAGTTCTAAGCTTTTGTTGTGAGTATAATCATTCAGACCCTCAGGCTGTTGCAGTGTTCCCTTTCAGTTCTCACGTCCACGGTCTTTCACTTCCCACCGTCGAGCCGCTCCTATACACAAACCACACTATTCTCGTCCTGCTCAATATGGCCAAACGCGATGCCTTACAATCTGCGGTTCCACTCGGTGCGTGAAGCATACATGGACGTGTACGTCAGCCCGCCACTCAAAGATGCTACCGTTGCCTCCTCGTCGAAGTTACCTGATGCCACCGTCGAAGTCGCAAATGAAGTCGTCCTCATCCCACATACAGGTGCTGTCCAGTACCCCATGGACAAGCAAGTAAATGGCACTCATACAGGGGGAAACGGAGAGGGCCATCGAAGAAATGGTGAAGTACATCAACGAGTTCAAGCAGGGAATTAATATGCAGAAGGAATAGTTGGCCTCACCAGCCATCGATCACGTCACGCCTGCTGATTGAAGGGATGCACAGCAGAAAGACTCCGAGGACCACTCTTAAATATCATCACCTTATCCACCATATGTTCTATGCTTCCAGCTTGAATTCGATTTTCAGCTTTTAGGCTCGCTATGTGGTGCGTTGTTGCCGCGCGTCTGCCGCTCCTGCCCCCAGAATCTATCTCAGGCTTGGCGCTGTGGTGACTGCTATTTCTCTCACTTCACCTGCCTACAATCAGCATAAAAGCTACCCCACCCGGAGGGTCGTCTCCCTCCCTCCTTGACGACGCGATCATGACTCATGATCTTATCAACTTTGACGACGACAGCGTCTCTCTCGAGGGCACCGCCAACGCTCTCATCGGCAAGATGGCGCTCACTGATAAGCGCGCGAAGCCACCTCACCGGGATAGCTTCTCAGATCTTGCAAATCTAATGAGAGCTAAGAAGCTGTACACCCCTCTACCGACGCCTGCGCCACCCTCGCCGTCGCTCAACGTCGCGCCCAATGGTAGGCGCTTCAACAATGTATCCCCCTGACCTTTGGCTGACGTAATATAGGCCCTCATATCTCCAGCCGTATCCAGCCTGGCTCCAGTATCCTTTCTCCGTTGGCGCGGTCATTCCAACCCCCCGAATCTGTCGCTTCATTTCTCCAGGAGCAAGAGCTGGCGGCACTAGCACCGGCACTTGTCACTTCCGAGCCCATCCCAGAGTACCGTACAGAGAATATGAGGATCTTCGAGAACATGACTCAGGCGATTATCAACTACAACAGCGACGACGATAGCGAATGCGATCATCGTCGTTGTAAGCGTTCCCCATCGCCACCGTATAGGGAGCCACTCCTAATCTCAGGCCTCGAGCTACCTGCCGGTATAGGACCCATTCAACCACCAACCCCCACTGAGTCCCTCCATACATCACCAAGCGGCTTTCGATCCGACCAAGAAGCAGTTGTACGAGTGACTAAGCAGACCTGGGATGCCTTGGGCAAGGAGCTGAACACCACTATGCAGCAGAAATTGGAGCTAGAGAACCAGTTGTCGATTCTCGAAATAAATAATGCAGCTCTTCGGGACGTTGAATATGACATCGGCGTACGGCTAGGCAAGCTCAGGTACCAGAACGAAGCTAACAAGGCTCAAAAGGCAGCAATGGGTCGGTCTTTGTCTGAGAAGGAGGTGGAGATCAAGACGCAGCAGCTTGAGATTGACGAGCTGGTCGGACGGATCAAGACGAAGCAGATCGAGGTTGACAGGGCGGTCAGACAGCTGGCAGGAGCAAAGGCTAAATTTGAGGAGTTGAACCTTGACACTAGCTCCGGTAAGTTTGCACCATTCTACAACATCAATATGGCCTTGACTAACACATGATAGGCGACCTCACCTATCTCCGCAACATGAAACATGATCGCGCTCTTTCTGACCTGGCTGCAACTAAAGACCGCGAACTGGAAGACCTCAAGCAGAAGATCAAGGAGAATGACTGTACCATCGAAAAATTGACAAGCGAGCGAGACAAGGTATTCCGCGCCCAGGCAAACTCGGATGATCATTTCAACCGAGCCCGTGACCTAGCCGACGCCCTAGCGCAGCGCGAAAAGCTTGTAACCGGTCTACGCCACCAGCTGGTGGTAGAACAGCTCAAAGTCACCGAATTAGAGGACGATCTTGAGGTCATCAAGGCAAAGAACAACCAGCCAGACATTGACGACATTAAGAGCAAGCTCCGTGAGAAGACCAGTGTTTGCGATCGCCAGCGGAACGAACTCAAAATGGTCAAGGCGCAACTCAGTCAAAGCCAAAGCCGTTTGATGAAGATCACCAACCATGGCGAGTCTCTTCATGGTGCTGCGCATGTAGTCAAGCCTGCCGAGACCAGCAAGCTTCCGAAGTTGGTGATCTCTTGCGTCGAGTGCTACAACAAGAACTTGCCGTGTGATAACGGTGCTAAGTGCCGCAACTGCATAGAGAACAACACCCCTTGCGCGCGCTGGAGGTGCTCTCTAAAGCACAAGTACGGCGATTGTCCTCTCACACCCTGCCCGCTCTCACACGACTCTCAAGGCTGGCTCGTGCTGCGAGCAGAGCGTCCCGAGTGGTAGAAGGCTCAGTACACCGGCTGACTAGCTGGAGGAAGTGCCGTCGAGACAAATCATGCATAACTTGCCGGCATTGGCGCTAGGGCTTTGATTAATGTGAATACGGAATTTTCAGGATCACGAGCCACTGAGTGCTGGCGGTCATCTGGCAAGACATCACAGATAAGCAGAGAATCATTATGAAAAAGTTTGAATTAAACCGTTCAGGAATAACCATCAGAGGTTGAGCATGTAGACCAGATGGTGTATAGTGTCACGATGACGATATGTGCTAGCCTCGCTGACACTGTTGTGTAGCGCGAAATGCTAGGTCAGCACGATGAATACCGCCATCCAAACAGTGATAGAAGACTACAATGATCGCAAAATACAACACGTTCACATCGATCCAGTATTCCAAGGGCATCGGTTCTGCGAAGAAGGTCATGCATGGTTCGAGCAGATCAATTACGGCTCGCGAGTACATATCTGGAACAGCCCAGCCAGATTCTGGCTGACTATCACCAACGGAACGACAACTGCAACTTATTAACAGGGCGGCGGAATTCTTCCATCGGCAGATATCTGACACACGTTACAGGATCACTAGAACGACGAAGCTAGGCAGGAAGGCCATTATACAGTAGTCACTTTTTACAACCCCGAGTTTCCAGAGCTTAGAATGGAATGGAAGGCTGAGCTACAGGGCTCGGATAGTCTTAACGGACGTGTTGCTCGCACGTTGCATCTAACTCCGGACGGGCACAAGGACACGGGGTGTTTGGTAGTAAAGTTTGTTAGTGAGCATTATAAGCCTGCTCCCGTGAGCCTTGCTCCGGACGAGACTTCTACGCCACTGTCGACCATCACGCTTGATCCTTGCCCAGCTGGGCTGCACTTGTAATGGTCGCGTCCTAGTTTGCTCTTAGAGTGTCTGTTGGTGTCTTTGGTAGCATCGGGTTCTTTCCATAAGCTCGGAGAGCAGTTTAGTGGAACAGACGAACGAAAGTTTTAGTATGGTTACTATAGTACAAGGGCTTGCTAACCGCCTCTTTTTTATTACCAGACACAACATGCCCCAATCCTGCTCACTGTTACGAGGAAAACAATCAATCAAGCACGTATATACTATCATCACTCTTATCGCCTGCCTCAACAGCCTCTTCATCACGAGGAGACAGCCGTTTCTAACGACTTCCCCTCCTTTCTGGTGCAGGCCCAGGAATCATGACTTTGAAAGGCATCTCGCGACCCATAGCACCACCTCCCATGCTCACTGGTGCGTACGGGCTGAAATGCTGCCCTTGCGGCTGTTGTAGTTGTTGCTGAGATGGAGCAGGTGCCAGCACCTGCTGTCCATTTTGTGCGGCACCAGTACTCCTTGGCAAAGACTGACCACTGCTCTTTGGCCTTCCACCCGCTGGAACTTGGGGACCATACGGGCTAGGGTATGTGGGCATGCCCATAGGTGCGGGAGCAAGCTGACGTGGGCCAGCTCCAAACTGTCCACCTGCGGAGCTCGGAGGTTGAGTAAGCGGGATACCTGAATGATGATGGGGCGGATGGTGGGTGTATGGACTTGGGAAAGAACCGGTTGGTAAAGCCGCGAGTGGCGAGTATTGCATCATGTGGTGCGGTGGCGGGGGTGGCCCGCTGACATACATGTAATGACCAGGCGGGCCAGGAGGACCTTGGGTATATTGTAGGTATGCTTCTGAAGGGGCATGGTGAGGACTATGCTGTGGAGGAGCATGTTGTGAATGGTGAATTGGAGACGCTTGTTGCGACTCTGAAGGCTGCGGCTGGGGTGTCGCGCCAGTTGCCGAGCCTCCAGACTGCCGCGCACCCCTGCGACTCGATGAATTTGAGCGCGACGAATTGGGCTTGACGGGCTTTCCATCTTTCTCATCCTGCTCACGCTTCTTCGCCTTTCGTTCAGCCCACCACATAGTCATCGACTGGCTTCGCTTCTCACTTTTGACGCGCGGTTTCCGTCTCGAACCTGACGTTGGGGACGACTCGTCGACATAGTTGTTCGTGTATTGGCTCAGTGGTGCAGTGAGCATATATGCATCGGGCGTACTGGACTCGCTTGGATGGACAAGTGGCACCTCTTGAGGTGGCGCATTGTACTGTGACGTGCCTTGGAAAACCGTCTCAGCAGAGTTCGGTGCCATCAAGGGTATGCCCTCCGGGAAAGGCTGGGCATCAATGGTAAACTGACCTTGACCTTCACTCATTGAGTTCAGTGCGGGTGGTGGAGCGTTCGGGCCAATTGCTGAAGGAACCGGGGTTCCGGATTCGCTCGTCTTCTTTCGTGGACCTTTCTTCACTCCATAGTCGCTACGTCGAGCTACATTCTTGCTGCCAGCTGGACGTCCACGCTTGGGGTTTGCATCGGAATATTCGTCGACGTCCATCGCTGAGGACTCCTCATCTCCAGAGCTGCCGATAACCGACTCTTCTCGCATCTCTTGGATGCGTTGGTGGAGCAAATTACTAGCCGTTGTTCGTGCTCGCTTTGTGCCTCGCCCTTCTGGTTCCGGCGTCTCAGAGGTTAGCTGTGCAAATCGACTGACACCCTTCTTGCGTGCACCGCCCCATCCGTTGTGCTTTTTAGGGGTATTTGCCCCTGTGCCGGTATCAGTGCCATCGAACCTGCGAGTGGCTCTTCGTTGCCGCTTTGATGGCCGGCCGTCCTTGTCTTCTTCATCTTCATCTTCGCTAGGAGCTGCTGATTCTAGCATGTCACGCGTGCGACGCGTCCGCAGCTCTCTTCGGCCTCCCTTCTCTGCGCCTGGTCGCTGTGCCCAAGGATCCTGACAGCCTGGAGGCTTCTTTGGGTCGTACGTATAGCCATAAAGATCAGCCTCCTTCATGTCCTCAAAGATCTCCGGAGCTAGAGGGATACGGCCGCCATTGCAGGCTTTCTTTGCCGGATGCATGTGAGGCGCGGTCTAGAACGATTAGCAGATGGGATGAGGGGAATGACATTTACTTACTCTAGCATCCAACATGAGATACTCGTCCTGCCAGGCTTTGAGAATTTGTTGCGCATTCTGCGTTAGTGCATATAGATTCTCGGTACTTCGTTGCGCCGCCGGGAACTTGGTTAGGGCGGCAATGGCAGCTTGTACGTCAGCCATCGGCTTGAAGCGCTTCTGCAGGAGGTAGTCTGCTCTATCTTCACACTCAGCCTCGATTGGAGAAGGCGCATCTTCGATGAAAGGATCAGGGAGGTCCGACTCGGAGAGCACATCCTCGTCGGGATCCAGCAGTTTCGGAACAGCGGACTCTGCGGGTGTCGACGCAGACTCTCGTGGGGTTTGCGAGGCCGACTCTGGCAGTGCAATTTTGGGAACAGCAAGTTTGCCGGATTTCCTGGATGTAGGCTCGGATCTTGACTCGTGTGCGAGGACTGATGTTTGCATATCGTCTTCGAACGAGTCTTGACCGGGTGGCGCAGAACCTTGTGGCGTTCTTGATGGTTTCTGGATGACGTCTATGCGATCATACTCAGGCTCACTTTCGTCATCTTCAATCGCTTCCTCGTTTTCGTCCTCGGAAGTATGCGTAGAGTTGATGTTGTGTAGTCGCATGGTTGGCTTGGCATTGCCGTTTGGTGTGCTCTGATTGGACGGTTGATCATCATCATCTTCTGTAAATGGAAAAATGGCAGCAGCATTACGAGCAGCTTTTGACGCAGACGTAGTCGCTTTCGCGAATCCTCCTCTTCCGCCCCTCCCTCCTCGACTACCCCTGCCGCCGCGACTGCCTCGGCCGCGTCCACCACGTGAGCCTCGACCACCGCGTCCACGGCCGCCTCTTGGCGCTGGCTGAGGTGCAACAGGCACTTCAACCTCACTTTCTTCTGCACTCTCTTCTTCAGAGTCGGATTCATCTTCCGGACTAGGCGACCGTTCCATTAGAGATCCAACAAGAGATTTGCGTTCTTTTGGAAGTTTTCCGTGGTGCTTCTTGAGACCATCGAAGAACTCAGGTGACAGGCCGAAGACCATAAACAACGGATGCTCGTACGAAGCATAGATTTCGGGTGCAGCCTCGAATGAGTTACCTGAGATATTGGAGGCAGACCGAGTCGTCTTCCTCGTAATGGTTGGACTCAGCTTGGTGGGACTGAACCTTGGTGCAACCGTCTCGGGCGCATCTGATTCTGATGGGGCTTGTTTTGCTCCTCGACCATGGGTCCGTGTAGGCGTGTCATCTTGCTGCGAATTGCGACGTGGAGCTGCGCGCGTAGCGGCACCCCTTGGACGTGGCATCAGGATGATACGGTGGACTAATGTGAGTAGTGAATGTTATGTTGAGTTTTGATGTGTACTTGTCGAGGCAAGGTCTCCATGTAGGGGCCCAGGGAGGCGTAGCGCGAATCGCAAGCCTTCAGGGTGACAAAAGCTGCAGGCAAAGATGATGAACAAAACCTTGCGCCCCAGCAATGAATGTGCGCAAATAGAGGCAAGCAGTCGATAGAGGGTATCAAGAAAAGGAAATGGCAAATGGAATAGTCAGTGAATCGGCGTGTGATGATCTTTGTCTCGGGGCGTGGCTGCTTCAGCAAAAGCGAGCCGAACCATGATGCGCTTGGCGCATGTCCGGGCGGCCAATGACAGCAAGACACTAAATTGACTGGCATCTAGCTGTCAGATGGTCCAAACAATACGGCTATGACTTGAGTGTTGTAGTAACAGCCGCTCTATATACACGCCTTCACCCTCTGAGTAACTTGCTATTGTCGCCTCTATTATCCAAGACTAGTTTCTCTATCTTCTAGCCATTATGCCGCCCAAGACAGCCGACGAGGAGCTCGCCGAACTGGAATCGCTGGCTGAGGCTCCCGTACCCCCGCCCAAGCATACCAAAGGTGCCCGCGCGCCACGACGGAAGATCCAACATCAGGAAGATGACGATGCATTGAAGGAACTCGAGGAGCTTGAGCAATTAGGAAAACAACAGCCAGCAGCCGCTCCACGCCAAGTCAGTCGGCCAAACACACCCAAGGTATCCTCGTCGTCGACTACATCGAGCAACCGTCGCGCACCAGGCGTGGCCACTCCCTCTTCTACTGGCTCGGCACGTACCAGTGAAGACAACAGGCCTGCAGCACCGAGGAAGTCGGGAGAGAGTACTCGTTCGTTCCACCAGAGCTTCGCGCCAACTGAAGAGGAGCCCGCCAAACGACAAGCACCTGAGCCTCGTGAGGAGAAGCAGTCAGGAGGGTCTTGGTGGGGAGGCGGATGGGGAGGACTGGTATCGACAGCCACTGCAGCTGCAGAGACGGCGAGAAAGCAAGCAGAGGCCGCCTACCAAGAAATCCAGAAGAACCAAGAGGCTCAGCGATGGGCAGAGCAAGTACGGGGGAATGTGGGTGCTCTTCGCGGCATTGGTACGACTCAACCTCACACCACATCATGTCTCGATCTAACAACATGTAGGCGGCGAACTTGGCAAGCGTGCCGTACCTACTTTCACCAACCTACTGAACACTCTCGCACCACCAATCTCACAACATGAACGTCTCCAGATCCACATCACACACGACCTTATCGGTTACCCCTCGCTCGACCCACTCATTTACCAGACCTTTGCCCAAGTCATGGCACAAGTAGAAGGCGGCGACCTCATGGTCATCCAACGAGGCTCAGAGTCAACACAGCGCGCATCACTAGAAGGCTACCGAGGCGGAGGCGGAGGCTGGAATGACGGACCATGGTGGCGACACACTGGCAAGCGCGATCTTTCTGTAGTCAAGGGACTAGTAGAGGGCACAAAGCTTGCACGAGTCAGTGCAGAGTCATACGCAAACGAGTTCTTTAGTTCAAGAGGAGGTGTAGAGGAAGCTGCTAAGCAAGCTACCGAAGTCCTCAGTGAGACAAACCCAGTACGAAGTAGCGATATCTTCATTGCGATCCAGGCCATTAGCTATCCAGTGCAAGACGACCTCTTCGCCACATCGTCCTCGGAGGACAAGTCGGACGTTCAAGAGCCAAAGGACGACGAGGAGCAGGTGGCGTTTGCAATCTATCTGCATGATCCCATCCACGGCATCTCCTTCAAGTCCATCAGCCAGTCTTTCCCATCGAAATGGGTGGACTGGCTAGACGCGCCTGCCAATACCGAGGCGGCGGGCGAGGAACCACAACTACCGCAAGAGATTTATGATATTATTGAAAGCGGTGGTGTGGACCCAAGAGAATGGGTCAGTGAGTGGATGGAAGAGACGATCAACTTGAGTGTAGGCATCGTCGCACAGCGCTATGTAGCAAGGCGGATGGGAGTTGGAGAGGGAGGACTAGGCAGAGGAAAGGCTAGGGAAGCGGTTGTCGATGCCGGAGGCGGCGAAGCTGCACGAGCGGGTATCATTTGAGGACACAAACATAAGTTAATGGTTCCTTTCATTTCTGTAGTCACGGCAAGGCGCTAGGACATGCTACCTGAAGACTCACAGGATTGAGCTCAGCATTTGCCCTGCGGATGGACGATTTTGTTCACCACACACTTTCTCCAGCTTTCACTTTGTCTCCAAGTGTACCTTTTGTCGTCGATTTTCGCAAGTAGCCAGTCGTGGCCTGTCTTGTGTTGCGCGATAACACCGCACAAGGCTCGTAGGTTCCATGCTGCTGACCACACTCACTGAACGCGAAGCCACTCGCATGTCTGAGTGCTTGTGTTCGTCTTGAGCCTTTGGGTATGCAAAACTACAAGTCTCCGTACCTTTGCCAGTTGCTGGATAACACCATTTCAACATTTCAACTTTTCAACCAGACTTCTTCTTGTCACCACCTTCTTTCTTATCCCTCTTTCCTCCTTTGAGCATCTCCAAATGTCCGGCCTTTTGCGCGAGGAGCTTCTCTGTCTGCCCTACTAGTCCCGAGCTGCTCTTGTGCACAATCTTGTTTTGCTTTATTATCGCGGCATTCTTGGGCTTGATGACACGGGCGCCGCGCTGGACTCGCTGGGTCGGCCTGAAGGCATTGTGTCAGTACAGGTGTGTTGTAGATTGGCTGCCGAGCTAAACTCACTTCTTCGGCGCAGCGGCCTTGGTCTTCTTGACTGCACCTTGAGCCATTGCGGAGGTTGGGTCGTGAGGCGTGGGGCAGAGATGCGCGCGGAGGTTTGCGCGGAGGCTTGCACGAAGGCTATTCCTGTCGAATCGGAACGGTGAAGGTGCTTGATCGGGTGATTGCAATCCGAAGACTAATTACGTGATAGTACGAGCCACGATGTCTCCACTAGGACTTGGTTGTGGCGTATGGCGAAGACGGCTGCTTTGGATAATTGAAAGTCGCGCTTTCCAACATTTTTCGCGATCCTTGGCGTTGCCGCCGCACTAGCCAAGACGGTCATGGCACAATGCGGGGGAGTGCATTTAGCCTTTTCACCCAACGTGGGGAGACGCTCCTTGAGACCGAGGACCCGTTTTCCAAGCCTCCGCCTTCGCCCTTGGTGTAAATTTCCGCTCTTCAAGGACCTTCAGGCCTTGACATACTGGTGACAGCGTAGGTCGACGATGAAGCAACACGGAACAATTTCGTCGTCGTCTCAGCATCCTAGAGCTGACTACCTGCATGTCTGGACTCCTGTCCAGCATCTATCAATCGCGCATCCTCACCCATACCGACTTTACATGCGTCTTACAAGGATCCGGATATTTGCATGCTGCACGTGTACCCAGACTTACCGCCAAGACACATTGACTGCCCTTCTAGAAGTCTTGCAGCTAAAATGCGACTGGCTGCTATACGTCACTTCAATTTAGCCATGCAGTACAACCGGTCCCGGCTGGGGTAAACGACTAGGGTAAGTCATATCGGGCCGTTGGCCAGTACTGCATGCGTACCTGGATTTGCAGTCATACTAGGCATTCGACAGGAAAGTGATTTACGACGTGCACTATGACTAGTTGATTAAAGGGATAGCTTGGTGGGGAATCTTGGTTATGGGGTACGGTTGTCTATCACGGGGCGATGGTTTGGGGAAGCATTCAAAAGCAGGGTGTCTCCGCGTTCATTTTGACATTGTTCAGGACGTTGCTCAACTACTGACCAAGCATCATGGAGCTCCTCTCACACACCATCGTTGGCGCCCTTTCGCTTTCGGTCGCCTTTGCTGGATCCGCTTCTGCTGTTGAAGCCTTCCGTAAGCCGACTGTGACAACCACAGGCGGCAATGGAACTCTTCTTGCCTCCCGTGGCTCTCCAGTCAGTATCCACGCTGATGCTGCGGATTGGCCCGGTGTCCTACGCGCCGCTCACGACCTTGCTATCGACTTTGGGCGTGTTACCGGTACCAATGGCACACTCACAGCTTCCGGAACGGCGACAGCCAATGCTTCGATGATTTTCAATGTCACTGGCATCAGCCAAGATTGGAGTGTTAGCGGCAGTGCTGCCTCAAGTTCGACCGGAGGAACTATTATCGTGGGAACCATTGGTAACTCAAGTCTGATCGATGACCTGATTTCAAGCGGACAGCTTGACGTCAGCGAGATTGAGGGTCAATGGGAATCCTACGTTAGCGCTGTGGTACACAATGTTGGAAACATGACTGGTGACGCACTTGTCATTGCTGGTATGTATATCGAGACTATTTATCGATTTCAGATGCTAACTCCGCATAGGCAGCGATCGCCGTGGTGCCATCTATGGTATCTACGATGTATCTGAGCAAATCGGTGTGTCCCCATGGCATTGGTTCGCCGACGTACCCGCGAAGAAACACGAGTCTATCTATCTCCTCCAAACTACGAAAGTCCAGAAGACACCATCCGTGAAGTACCGAGGGTTCTTTATCAACGACGAAGCGCCAGCTCTGACTGGTTGGGCAAATGACCGTTATCCCCTGTCTCCATATGGCGCACCCTTTGGAGCACAGTTCTACTCCAAGGTTTTCGAACTGCTGCTCAGGTCCAAGGCCAACTATCTCTGGCCGGCTATGTGGAACGGTATGTTCAACGTAGATGACGCACGCAACCAGCCGCTTGCCGATGAGTACGGTATTGTCATGGGAACATCACATACCGAGCCCATGGTTCGCGCCACTCAGGAATGGAGCAAGGTCGCCAAAGGTGCTGAGTCTGGCTGGTCTTGGGCAACCAACAACGCGACTCTCTACGACTACTTCTACGAGGGTGCCGAGCGTGCTGCCCCGTATGAGAACGTTGTCACAGTCGGCATGCGTGGATACCACGACACAGCAATGTCCGCCGATGTTCAAACCTCGGTCCTTGAGGCTGTTGTCGATGCCCAGCAGGATATTCTCAACAAAATCCATGGAAACGCGTCCGAAGTTCCCCAGATGTGGTGCTTGTACAAGGAAGTCCAGGACTACTTTGAGGCTGGAATGCAGGTTCCGGACTGGGTTACTCTTCTCTGGACCGAAGACAACTGGCAAAACATCCGCCGTCTTCCAGTTGGTGACGAGAAGAAGCGATCCGGTGGTGCTGGTGTCTACTACCACTTCGATTACGTTGGTGACTCTCGTAACTACAAGTGGCAGGATACCATCCAGCTTCAGAAGACATATGAGCAAATGAAACTGGCCAAAGACCGCGAAGCTGACCGTATCTGGATCGTCAATGTTGGTGATATCAAGCCCGCTGAGATCGCCATTAGCCACTGGTTCGATATCGCTTACGACATGGACTCTTACGATGAGTCGTCCGTCCCCGAGTGGCTCACTGGGTTCGCTGCTCGCAACTTTGGCGAAGAACATGCCGAGACCATCGCGGAAATCATGGATGAGTACGGCTTCCTCGCCAACATGCGCAAGTTCGAATGGGTCGAGCCCTCTTCCTTCAGCGTACTCAACTACGAGGAAGCTGACCACATCCTTGCTCGCTGGGAGGCACTCGCGGAACGAGCCAACGAAGTCAACGCTGCACTATCTCCTGAGCAACAACCTGCTTTCTACGAGATCATTCTGCACCGCGTGCTTGCTGGAGGTAACCACGTCGATGTACAGGTTTCGGGCGCGAGGAACATCATTTACGCCCAAATGGGTCGTAACAGCGCGAACAGATGGATGCAGCGAGTGATTGATGGCATGAACAAGGACCACAATCTTACGAAGCTCTACCACACCCAACTCAACGGCAAGTGGGATCACATGATGGATCAAACCCATCTAGGTTACCAAGGATACTGGTACGTTCTTCACGAGATTCTAGAAATACTTCCATACTAATCTTATGACAGGCAACAACCTATGCGCCAGTCTACCCCTGATCTCCGTTGGGTACAGACTCTGGAGCGTTCGCTAGCAGGCGATATGGGTGTTTCAGTCGAAGGATCCAACGCCACCATTCCTGGTGATGACATGTGGCACGGCAACGGCGCATCCTCATTGACTCTACCCGCCATAACTCCCTTCACTCCTAAGCGATGGGTCGAGATCTCCCATCGCGGTGTTGGACCATTCTCATGGAACATTAGCGCCGACCCATTTGTCACGCTCTCTCAAGTCAAAGGAACTATGCAACCCAACGATGAGGATATCCGTATCTACGTTGACGTCGACTGGAGCAAAGTCGAAGACGGCTTCGGTGCTCAAAGCAAGTTGAACTTTTCCAGCTCAACTGACTACGGTACTCAAGGCGGCAACCCCCAAGTCATGGTCATGGTCAATAAGACCTCCATCCCAGAAGACTTCAACGCCGGCTTCGTAGAATCAGCGGGCCAGCTCGCGTTCGAAGCAGAACACTACACACGCACCACCCCGGGTTCATCCGACCATTCTTACCAAGTCCTGCCAAAGTACGGACGCACTCTATCTGGTGTCAAGCTCGCCGACAGCCTTGCCGAGGGTCTGGACTCCTCAAGTGCTCCCAGTCTAGAGTACGATTTCGTTACCTTTACGCCTACGACTTCCGCCAAGGGTCTCAACGTGACCCTCATCCTCACCCCTACCCATAACATCAACCCCAAGGTACCCCTTGCCTACATCGCACAGGTCGACAACAAGACAGAAGCGCGTCGCCAGTTTGTCATTGACCAGCCTCAGCCCAACTTCCCTGTTGGCTGGGGTAAGGCTGTTGCGGATAGCGCGTGGTACAACACCACTAACCATGGCGAGCTTGCTCCCGGAAAGCACACCTTGAAGCTTTGGCTGGTTGAGGCCAACGTCATCCTTCAGAAGGTTGTGTTGGATCTGGGCGGTGTGGTATACAGCCACAATGGTCCACCTGAGAGTTACCGCGTCGGTGGTGGAAACACGACCATGTATTAGATAAGTGTGGTAGTGGATAGGCAAAGACTTGATCTATGCTAGATGATTTGAGTAATGTAATGTATTCATTCGCAAAAGACCCTTCGATTTTCTTCCCGAGTGACCATGCATTCATGACGAGAGTGACTGAGAAGAGAACTCAAAAAGAATTGTGCTCCGTGTATTGATTGAGAGGTGAAGCCCTCATTCAAATGCATCGCTATGCTACACTTTCGAAAGAAGAAGAAAGAAATGCTCCTAAACGCCGCCCAAACCCATACCCTTGTCTTCCGGTAGTAACCAATCTGCTCCTATCTCCCATGCATATTTTATTTCTCCTTCAATTATCCAGTAATCCAAACACATGCCCCTCTACATCGAGCTCTTATGCGATACCACCACCACCTGCGCCTCCAGCCGTTCCACCCTGTGCACCTCCAGCATCAACGCCAGCTCCAGTCTTGCCAGCTTTCCGACGCATGCTCTTGCTGCGGTGCGTGTAGTAGTTGTTCGGCTCCTTCATCTCTTCCTTGTCCAGGCGCTCTTGGCTGGGCTGAAGCTTGCCGTTCGAAGCTTGTTCCTTGACTTTGCTGACCTTGGACCCCATTGTACAGGGATTGTGTGTTTTGGTGGGAAGGGCGAGTAGCGCGGAGGTTGCAGGGGGGGAGGCGGACTTTTCGTTGCTCAAGATAATTACACTGGTCTCATGTTAGTATTTGTGTCTCCACAGAAATTGTTGCTCCATCCTGTAGGTCTGGGACATGTCGCGTGCACGACTCACGAAGGACTGTCTACTTACGGTGGAGCTGGATGCGGTTCAGGCTCAGGTTTACTGGGTGGACGCGAGGAAGTGTCGATAGATTGGGAGTTGTATTGTGAGGTTTCTAGCCTATAGAATAAAGAGTTAGGAGTTGAAAGACAATAGAGAAACCATACCAGATGTTTCAAGCAAGGGTGCATACGTACGACGGGGATGACGTAGGTGGTTGCGGCCGGACTTGCTGATCGGCAGGGTCTGGTACCTGGAAGTGGGGCGCAGGTGCCTTACCAGATCGGGACAGGATGATGATTCTGATTGGAAATGGTTAATGAAACAGTCACAATCTTGGTATGACTCATTCAATGATAGATGGGCGTTGGATAGGAAGGACTCAATACATACGGTGGTGCAGCTGGTGGTTCTGGGTCTGGAGGACCATGTTGACGGGTGTCGCTCCCAGTGCTCAATTCTGTGGAGTTTGTGCATGTCTTTGGCTGGTAAGACATTGTACTTGAGCACTGAAGATATCGTATGGACTGCCAGAGTAGCCTATACACTTTTAAAAGGAGAGCGTGGGCTTCGATGACAGACACGGCATGCAGAACCATGGAAGAGTGTAAATCGGTAAGAGAAGACTGCTCAATATTGTTCATAGCACCGAAGTTGGCTTGAGAAGAGGTCTGGGTAAGAGCTGGCGAAATGGTGATCCTCATGGTTTCCATCTTGTTGATAGACCGGAAGGCCTGCCATCCCGACTCTTATATACGACATGAGGCCTCTCATCTCAGCACGAGCTTTGCACCTTACCAGCTATCTTCTACCGACTCGCGACCTAAGTCACTGCCTTGCCAGCAGCACTGTACTCTTTCGATTTGGCCCCATGATCCTTTCCAGTTCTTCATCGACGAGTAGGATTTGTCGTTTGCAAGTTGAAGACGCGCTAGAGCCACGCTGGAAGCTCGGCCAGAACGTACAGTTCGGATCAAGGGCTATGTTTGGTGGCCGTGACCCGCTTGAAGTAGGGTATAGGAAAAGTCATTGGAGCAACGCGTTTGTAGTCAGATGGAAGCCTGATGAGGCTCAAGTCAAGCTTTCTCGCATGTCTCTGAATAGTGACCCATTTCGGTATCTAGGTGCGAGGCAGCATCGTCGGCAACACGGGAGATTGAACTAGGTATATCAGGCGAGCCAATTCCTATTGTCGGCTTCAGTTTGCTCTTTAGCTTGAACCAAACGGATCGCATCCTGAGCAATGCTATAGGCAAGTGGCTGTGCGTGGGGAGCAGGCATGGTGTAGTTTTGCTTGTACGGTTAGAACTTCCGTTCGTGGGACGCCTCATAGGGCCGAGAGGGAGGCTTACTATAGGTCGCCACCCTGGCGGTGTTGGCCATTATAAGGCCCTCAATCATCTGCGATGAAGATGGAGAGAAAGAGGAAATTGTGACATTAGTGATGGAATCAGGATCGGAGATGTTTGGCTGTTCGCGACTGCAGCATGGCGCATGGATAACCCCCACTTGAGGTTCGCTACACGCGGCTTGCACCTGCCGACCTGCCCTCAACTGCCTTGTGCCAACACCAACACCGTTACTGCGCTTAGCTATCACTCTTCTCATCACCTCTCGCGAATAGCCATCCTCCTGTCGCGATACCTGGTGACGCATCATTCCTATTGCTCACACGCCTCTACCGCGGCCAGTTCCGACATCCATGTCCTTGGGAGCACCGAAGCCCACATCGCTCAGACATCAGCGGCTTATCTCAGCCGTAAATAGAGAGCCTTCGCGGAGCTACGGCATTGGTCCTGGAATTAGACTCGTATTCCAATCATGTCTGCCTCGCCGTAAGGTAAAAGTCATTGGGGGCCAATGGCGGTGCACGCAGAGCCCAGTTTCAGGGCCGCCACCAAGTTCTTAACGGCTTCGTCTGTGCTACTGCTTATATAACCACTAGTAAATTGACTGTAACTAATTGACTGGTTCCAAACCCAGCAACCACACAATCTCTCGCAATTCTATATCATTAATAGAAGGCTCAGCTGAGGTCTAGTCCTTTTTTCGACCGGTGAGTTTCCCGTCTTACTAGAGATCACACCGTCACCACAACACGTGTGTGTTCGTCACCACAGTATCACGTTCTATGTGCTTACGTATGGGGTCTGACGGACTCGACGTGGGATTATATTCAAACGGAGTGAAAAGGATTCCGGACGAGCGCATGTAGCGGAATACGGCATGGGTATGATCTGTACTAGTAGGTAAACATGACTCCGAATCTCATGGTGAAAACCATATCACTTCGTCGTCGATAGATTAGATATCAAATCCACTAATCAAATGATCATTGTTTGCTAAGTCCTGAAGCCTGCGGAAGCGCTGTTCAGGTGAGTGATCGCACTAGCTCTCCAGTCATCTTCTTCCAGACTCAAGCCATTCCTCCTGAACACCATGTTTACTGCGCTTCTGTTTGTGTATGCAGGCCAGGTCAAATTAGAGTCTAGAGCTGCATATTCCGTTAACACCAGTTTGTAACGTGGTAGAACAAAGTACACATACCATAATGAGCATTCGGCGAGAGCTCGTTGACGAAGCTCAACCACATTAGGCTCATGCGTTTACTTAGTTGGAGATACTCATCGCGTTCCTCTGTGACATTAGATGCAAGAAAGTTGAGTTCATGTCCAACACCATTGACATTGCGAAAGACAAAAGGAATCTCTGCATAATGGGCAGCACCTAGGGTCTCGGGTGAAACACCACTCGGCACAGTATCAAAGCGATAGCTGTAAGCAGGAATGCCGTGTTTAGCCCACATACTGGTATCAAAGCGTCTCGGAGCGATGAAGAGCTGATCTCCTCTGAACAAGGTGGCTCTTCCGTAGAGAGCCCCGTAATCCGGACGGGGCGAAGGCAGCACGATGCCGAGAGAACTTTGGATTTCTCCTGGCGACAATCGCTCAAGGTACTCAGCGACAACAGCGTCAACGGTCGTGTTGGCTACATCTTTGCCCAAATATCCTGAAATGGCTGTTCGAAACTCAGTGGTACTGTTTACACTTAGGCCTTCACTGATAGCGAACGAGGTTCCTTCGTTCGTGTTCGTACCAGACAGTATAGGTCGTTGTATAAATCTTCCCTCTTTCAAGGCCCCAAACGGGTTCTCTACAACGATATCTCCGTCTTGAGCAGGCAAGTACGATACTCCTTGGAAAGCGGCTTTGAGCGTTTCGACAGGAGTGCCTCTCAAGCATTCGAGTGTGTCGTTTGAGCCTATACAGCGAGTCTGATTGAGCACGTCGTTGTAGAGGCTATCCTGTTCCTGCAAAGATATAGCCAGGCCGATTGATGCCGGTCCACCACTCTGGACTATGCCTGCGCGGAAAAGGCCGTCGTCACGTCCTCCATACGCGAGAAAATGGGCTCCAATAGATAACGCACCCGCAGATTCGCCTTGTATCGTAACTTGAGATGAATCACCACCGAAAGCGGCAATGTTATCTTGGATCCAACCCAGTGCCAATCGTTGGTCGTGCAATCCTAGGTTCGTAGCTCCGGACTGGCGTAACACGCTACCAGGCAAGAAGCCAAAGCCGGAAATTCTGTAATTGATGGTGACTCCGATGATTGGTGCTCCAACGTTAACCGATTCTTGTACCAAAAAGGACATGTTATATCTCTGATCCGCGCCGCTTCCCTCCTGAAAGCCTCCGCCATGTATGTAGACAAGGACAGGAAACTTGGAGTCGTTGTGGGCACTGGCTGGCCGCACAACGTTGAGAGTCAAGCAGTCTTCGTTCTCCTCGTGAGAGAATCCTGTCTGAGAAAACACGGGCAGAACTAGAGGCGCGGAATGGCACCATGGGCCGGTTTCGATAGCATCTCGCTGCTCCCAGGGGCGGGCAAGGGGCTCGGGACGTTTGTATCTAAGATTCTCAATAGGTGGCTGGGCATACGGAACGCCTAAGAAGAAGTCCTGGTCGTATTGTGTGTTCCTGACCCCAACAAGCGTGCCATTTGTTGTGTTGACGATTGGTCGGAAGGTGGAAGCAGTTGTGGTACATGCCAAGAGATGCAACAACAGTAATCGGACATTAGTCTTTGCCATCTGCAACTAATAATGAATATGATTGATATGGGCCAAGAGATGAATTGAAACAGATCAAATATATATCAATTTGGTAGAGACCGACGGCATCTCTATTCACCTGGTGGAAGCCGACGGCATCTGTGATCATCCAGCGGAAGCCGACGGCATCCGAAGAGAGTCTTTTCAGAGATGACACGGTTGATCGCAAGAAGTCGGTCCGATACGTGGATGAAAAGGACATATCCGACTTGGAACCTCTGATCGGGAGAGGGTTGGTTGTGCATAACCGGGCCTGTTGGAAGAGCCTCCATGTCACTTTTGAAAGGACTGAGCAACTGCGGGGAAGCCAAGATTGAGCAAACTTGGGCTACGTCGGTGAAGTCCAAGGAGCGGGGTGGTTAGAAAATCGTACTCTCCGTCCGTTCAACGGAAGACTCCCCTCGACAGGATTTGCACACGACGCACTATTACCAAGGCTATCTCCGACCGTTCATGAAGGAGGTTGTAGGTCAGCTACAGCTGGCAAAGGTCTGTTCGACGGATAGCAGTCGAATCTGTTGTCAGCCATGTCGGGTATTTACGAGTCATGATTTGCTCCCCCAGCATTTGCCAAAGCAGTTGGCACAAGCAGTAGATGAGCCGATTCGCTTGTACAAGACTATAGAAGGACGTTCGAGTATTACCTACCAACAGTTATCTCGCGGTCAAGCACCAACGCCGTGGACGTGCTGTAGTAGAAGGCATGTATCAGTTCAAAGTATGCTTAGCTAGGCTCCAAATCGACGATCATCATCCGTAATTCAGCCATAGCAGCACGCGTATGCTCTTCCAGGACGCAAAGTCGGTTCAGAAGACATGATTATCTTCCGGAAGGTCGCGCTAGAAGTCGTTGGGGAGATTGAGAAAACCACGCGGAATCCAGTACTGGTGGCGGCATTATCAGGTAAACAAATGGCATCCACCGAGGATAGAAACGCTCATTGTTCCTTGCGATGAAGAGACGAAGTAAGAGTACGCGATGGCACAATTCGCGTGGCAGCTGCAGCCTGAGGCATGCATGCAGGGGCTGGCTCGCTAATCTGACATCGATCTGGACCCTCCATGTTTCAGGAACCATGTGCGTCACCGATCGGTGCTAAACAGACGCGAAAGCTGAACGCGTCGAGGGTAGCATAGCAGCGATGGCTTCATTTCTGCTCCTTTCAGGAGCCCTCCAGTCTTACGTCCATCCGGTACTACGAAAAACGCATGACATTCGCACATGCGCGGTATCAGATCCACAGCCTCCCACGCGCCAACCCATTCACACGAACACACACATCCCATCTGTGGTCGACGCCATCCTGCCCAACTTTCTCAGCGAAGAGTCTAGCCATAATGCCACCAAAACGTAAAGCGAGCATTCCCCTCAACGCGGCATCTGCAAACAACTACACCGATGTATCCGGCGACGCACCCAACAAGCGCTCGCGCATTGCCAAACCCCTCCAGAAAGCCTTCACAAACGGCGCGCCACCCCCAGAAGCGATAGCGAGAAACACTGAAAATGGGGCGCCTGGACAGGCAGTGAAGAACGAAGAAGGAGGCTTTGATCACTCGAGACCGGAAGAGAGGGCAGGTATAGTTGACAGGCGATACTATCCTGCTGAGATGAGTAATGAGCGATGCGCCCTGTACAATGCAAATGAGATACCGCGGCCAATTGAGGTACTGGGAAAGACGCTGGAGAGCACAAAGCATAGGCGCCAAGCTATCAGGGAAGCAAGTAAGGCGCAGTCCGGCGATGCGGTGGTACACTGGTTCAAGAGGGATCTGCGGATCAGAGATAACACAGGCTTGTCACAGGCTGCCAAACTAGCCAAGGAGAAAGGGGTGGGCTTAATAGGCGTGTGGTTCATGAGTCCACAAGACTGGGAAGCTCATCTGGTCAGCCCGCCGAAGTGTGATTTCGAGCTGCGCTCCGTAGACTCACTGAAGAAGGAGCTCGAAGAATTGGACATCCCACTCTACGTTGAGACAATTCCGGAGAGAAAGAATGTAACAAAGCGACTCGTAGAGTTGGCGGAGGATTGGAATGCGAAGAATGTGTTCTGCAACCTGGAGTATGAACCTGACGAGCTGCGGCGAGAAGAGCGTTTAGTACGCAAGATGCTGGAGAAGGGTATCAACTTCGAACCACAACACGATGACTGCATTGTACCGCCTGGAAGTCTTAAGACGGGTGGAGGGAAGCAGTACGCGGTGTATAGCCCTTGGTATCGGGCATGGGTTGCATATCTTCACGCCCATCCGCATCTCTTGAACGAGCGACCGATGCCTGAACGTAATCCTCCCAAATTCCGCCAAGCTTTCACTCAGCTCTTTGACTCCAAGGTCCCTGACCTTCCAGATTGCAAGTCGTTGACCCCTGAAGAGAAAGATCGTTTCCATCATCTGTGGCCCGCAGGCGAATCCGCAGCCATTGACCGCCTCGAACGCTTTTTGGTGGAAAAGATCGGCAAATACAAGGACACGCGCAATTTTCCAGCTAAGAACAGTACAGGACGCGTAAGCCTGCATCACGCAGCTGGCACGCTAGCGGCACGAACCAGTGTGCGTATGGCAAGGGACGTCAATAGTGCGAAGAAGCTTGATGGTGGTAAGGATGGTGTCAAAGGTTGGATTGGAGAAGTAGCATGGCGGGACTTCTATCGGCATGTCCTTGTACACTGGCCCTACGTTTGGTATGCTTGGTCCTTTCGCCTAGTCTTACGAAGATGCTAACACAACTTCAGCATGAACAAGCCCTTCAAGTTCGAATACACAAACATCGAATGGGAGTACAATGACGCACACTTCCAGGCTTGGACCCAAGGTCGCACAGGCTATCCTATCGTCGACGCAGCAATGCGTTGCCTCAACCACACCGGCTACATGCACAACCGCCTCCGCATGATCACAGCCTCCTTCCTTGCAAAACACCTCCTGCTCGACTGGCGTCTCGGCGAACAATACTTCCTCACGCACCTCATAGATGGCGACTTCTCGTCAAATAATGGCGGCTGGGGCTTCAGTGCATCAACCGGCGTAGACCCACAACCATACTTCAGAATCTTCAACCCATGGATACAGTCCGAGAGGTTCGACGAAGAGGGAGAGTTTATCAAATTGTGGGTACCAGAGCTCGAGGATGTGGAGGGGCCGGCTATACATAATCCTTATGCTGCGGGTGGGAAGGCAGCACAAACCGCGAAGGCGAAAGGCTATCCTGAGCCAGTAGTTGAGCACAAATTTGCGAGGGAGAGGTGTCTGGCGCGGTATAAGGCAGGCATCGGGAGGGAGACCGCGTGAAGACCTGACGATACAACATAAAGACTCTTCGCGACTCTTCGCATTTGCAACTCAGCCGTGGTACTCAGCAGACACAGTGCACATGGTCTTTGCTTGAGGATAAGCTTAGATCCCGCGGTCGTTGTAGAGTCACCATCTCTACCGTGGTCGAGTATGGAGATAACCACTTCAGGCGAACAGCCTAGCAAACCACTATCTCCAAAGTTTTAAAATTCTATGTACGACCCCAGATTCCAGCGCTAAGATCCATTAGGTTTGATCGCGAAGACTGGTAGAAGGACAAGCTTAGCTGTGTATATTGAGTCTCACTTTTTGGTGTTGGTGATCTGCAACGTGGGGGAGATGAAGGTGGAGAGAAAGATGTGGTGTGGGAGAAAGACTGGGAGGGGATGGGAGAGGTCGAGAGGATTGTGGCTCGATGCCGGTGGGATACCTGAGTTGGGGTGGGAATGGTGGTGTGGTGATGTGGTGGTGAGGGTTTGGAGCACTGGTTGGCTTGGTTCTGGTGTTCTGTAGAATGTAGAACATTGTACAACACTGTTTTGCAGCGTCTTGTTATGCCTTTTTCTGATGTTGAATCAAAGTGATCAGGCGCGAGAGCGACAAAAACTTCGGTCTTACGCACCGGTACGAGTTCTTCGAAAACTAGATCGTGATAGTAAGAGCTTTCGAAAAAGGACGGTGTAAGACAAGAAGGATATTATTAGCTGAATGCAAGAGCCAAGAGCATAGACTAGCCGTATTTGGACACGCCATCTCAGCACAGATATTCGCCACCCGCGGTGTACGGATGCCATCCTTCGTAATCATCAATATCCGCCATTTCACTTGAGAAGACTGCCTGCATAGTCATGTGAGTTTCTAGGTCATGCAAATCTCCAATTCATGAGCGTTGGTCGACCGTACTGCCCACTGCGGAAATATTCCCGCATCTGATTTGATCGTCAGCCAGGCAACGGCTTTTTGCAGGCATCATACCATAGCATTCCCAAAACAAACGGCAAGCACATCTGGACTCTTCTGGGGTTCTAAATACAACCCACATAGTCATCACTAAAAGTCTCTCATGACACAAACCGGGAAATGCGACACGTGTCGTCAGCGGAAGGTCAAGGTAAGGCGCCCTCTGACAGGAAGCAACGTAACTCGTAGTGAAATTGAAAGCCGTTGGGAATGGAATAATCTTTTAACTAATGAACGTACAGTGTGATGAAGATCGACCCAAATGCAGCTCATGCAAGAAGAAAGACCGACCATGTACCTACTCCTACGGAAAAGCTTCGGTATTTGTGGTGCAGGACCCAGTCCAGTTGACCAAGCACGGAAAATCAAAAACCGCACCCATCACATATTCCCTGACCTCTTCTGGTGAAGACGCTGGCTTATCTTCAACAAAGTCTTTGGATCTCCGTGTTACAACCGAAAGGCACACGGAGGACGGACAAGGCTGCTTCCAGACCCTAGCACTAGGCTCGAAGTTTAAGAGCCATGCCTCGAAGAAGAAGATAAACAAACAGCAACGTGCGCTTGAGGCTTACCTCCGGAAGCTACGGGAAGAGACAGCCCTCATATCTTACCAGCCATCCTCTCCTGAAACCACGTTGATCGCCCGATATGTTGGTATGCTGGGACCCGACCCTACGGGAAAGCAGCCTTTTGAGATATTGGGAACCTGGATACAGTCCATACCTTCGCGCATCGGTTCAAACAGAATGCTAGACCTGGCTGTTGAGTTTTTGGTTGATAGCTATGGGACGTTTCGAGATGACATGCACTCGCGGCGAAAGGTCGCCAAAGCGTCGAAAGCCAAAGCATTGAAAGAACTTCAGCTCGTTGTAATGAGCGCGGATAACAAACCAACGTATGATGTCTTGTTAGCAACAAAGTTGCACTACGCTGCGGAGGTGAGCTTGCATACTGTAAGCTGTAGATGTTTTACTAATGACTTCCAGGCTCTCTTGGGGCTGGATACCATGTACCACGCCATACATGCATTCGGTCTCGCCGAACTGCTGAGGTCGGGATCAGTGTCGGAGGTTGATGATGAGCATTTCTGGGATCTGATCGACAACACTTATATTGACGATGTGAGTATCTTTCTCATCTCTAACGTTTGGTGCTAATGTCAATAGGTGAATGAGGCGATGTTGGCAGGCCGCACGTCCGTATATTATAACGATTTCTATTTGTCAGCTACATACCCGCCACCGATCGACTCTAGCGCAATCGTACTATCGCCATCGCAAAGAGCATCGATGGCCATTATGCACGTCTTCATTCAGTGCCCCTATGCGGTATCCTTGATCCGGAACGCCATCGCGAACCCCAACGACACGAGTGCCCTTGCGACCGCCATGTCGCACCTAGAGTGTCTGATACAAATTGATCTTTCACAACATGTATCTGAACTGATGCAAACATCAGTTTCTTTTGTATCTATACCGCCATCGCCGGACATCGCCGACCTGATGCTTGATACGTTAGAGTTCGACTCAGTACGAAGTATGATTCTCTGCACAAGATACTGGATGTTGCAGACGGTACTTTGCGGTCTTGCGGACACGTTATATCGACACTTCCCGATCGAGGCTGGATTATCGCTGCTTCCGTCGCCTCAGCAACTACGAGCCATTGATATTGATAGCGCACTACATATCGCAAAGTCGTTAAGATGGGCAAACTCTATTTCTCAAGATCTACCACTTGTAACACTACGCTTACACACGCCGCTTCAGATGACGATCGGCCCATGGCACCGCACGATACGAGAAATCACTACCCAACGATCACGATCTGCCTCACCAAACATCCTCCCCGAGATTGCTACAGAGCTATCACGCGCCGAGCGCATGAAGGCCTGGGTGATCGGTCAATGCAACTTGATACACATTCAGTGGAACGTATCCGTTGTCGATGAACAGCCCCTTCTGGAAGCTCTCGATACTATGGCTGGAGAGAAGATACCAGATTGGCTTCCTATACGTGTGCGCTTCGAAGCCGAAGACGGCGAAATGGTTATGAAGTTGGACTACGAGAATAAAACAGGAAGCTTCTCACAGAAGATTGATGTCAACACTGAGCCCCCGCCCAAAACACGAATGCCGCATCCTGGAGCTAAGGGCCAAGAATGGCAGAGGAAATACCTTGCAGTACAAGAGCTGCCGCTTAGGGGTGGCCAGAACGAAGGTACGAGGCAGAGTGTGACCTTTGACAATAAGCATAAGAATGCGTGTTTGGCTCCGAGTTGGACTACCAGACCTGTGGACTTCATCCACAGCACCGGGAGGAACTTGTGCTCAACTTCTGGGTGGTGGCCTGAGACACCGAAAACCTCCACAGTCTTGCTAGATAGCACGCACAAAGCCTCAGCGTTTTCGCGCATGCCACGTCAATCTAATACGGGTGTTGAGGGTACATTCAGAGAGATAGATGGTCACCCGTGCTTGGCGTCAAGTTGGTGGCCGCAGACACCCAACAAGTCATACCGATAGCTGGGAGGTATTCGAGTGCAAATCAATTGGTGTTCTCATTGCTCTCATGACATCGTGACAACTACATCGCTTTTCCTTCTGTCCCTCTGCGAACCTCAATCCCCGTGTCTTCTGCAACCACATCCTTCCCATAATCATGACACCAATTTCTACCCTATCGTATCCACCCACGGGCATCTTAGAACCCCTTGTATCCTTCACCTGTAGTACTGTGGTACTCCTGTCTAAAAGGCGCATGTACGAAGTCAGTGTATGTCTTACATCTAGTTCATATAGGGACATTTATACCACATTCCAGTCAACTGCTGCGCGCCACACTTTTAGCACACGAACTGGTGCTGAAACTGCGGATATGGGCTCCGTGGAACGTTGTGAACGATGTTCGCGGCACAACATGCGGGATTGCAGCAGATGTAGGTGTAAGAGGATGTTGGTGATGACATTGTTGTTTATGGTAGTAGCTGGAGGTGGTTTTCTTGGTGATGCGAAATGGCTTTGTGTGCGATCTTTGTATGTGGATTGATGCGATAAGTGCGCGTTATGGAGTTTCAGTTTGGCTTTGATATTGTAGAAACTGCTTTGGTAGTTTCTGAAGGAAAGTCATAGATTGCGCAGGAAATAAGCCTTTTGTATCAACGGTGAGGCTGAAACAGCAGTGAGCTGTGTTGGTGAACATGGAGTATGAAGTGACAGACACGCAGTGAGTCTCCTCGAAGTGGCCGCGTCGAGAATAGCGTCACCACTGCTTTTGTATGCCTACTGACGTTGCCGATCCAGTAGTCACTTGATTTGACGTACTCAGTGACTCGTATTCACAACAGTGACACCAATTCTTCAGTCTTCCGCGTTGCTTTAGGTCTATTAATGAATACTTCTACAGAATTATGAGAGGGCGTAACACAACGTATATCACTACGTTAGCATGCAGAATCTAACCCCTGGGGCTTCTGCTTGAGCTGTTGCTTTACTTCTTTGTGTACCTCGCACCCTTTAGTGTCTTTGCTTCCGCCGCGACAGGCAACGCAGGTCCGTCCGTGCTGTATAAGAAAGAAGTGGAGTTTGAACTTGAGATCGGCTGGAATCACCGCATCCAGATGTAATTGCGTGTTCTCACGAGTGGCTTCTTTCGGTCTCCAGCCCCACAAGCCAGCTATGCGATAGACGTGTGTGTCTACTGTGAATCGATTCCTCTTCAAGCACCAGCCCAAGACGACAAAAGCAGACTTTGGGCCAACGTACTTGTAGCTCATAAGCTCCTTCATGGCGTCCTCGTCAGTTGCATCCAGAAGATGGTCGAGATTCCAGCGCCCGTATCGTCGCTTGACTTCATCGAGAATGGACATGATGATCTTAGTTTTCCTGATGTGGAGACCGCCACAGCGGATAGTTTCTTGTAGTTTCTCTGGTCCACCTGCATGTATCTGATTGTAGGCGAACATGGACCCGTATGTATCCTTCATGCTATCCATCGCGCGCTTCGCATTGCTCCAACTCGTGGCCTGACTGAGGACTGCGACGATCAGAGCGTCTAGAACGAACGGGATCGTTTCCGGTGTGTTCGTGTCCTCGAACTCAGCTTCCACGGCGTCATTGTGGAGTTTGTAAAGGATATCATATGCTAGCTGGCATTCGCGGTTCGTAGGATGGGCGAAGTTCGGGTATGGTGTTGACGTCGCGTGGGCAGACCACGACTTCCACTTCTTCTCCGCTCCAGCCTCGTCATCTACCTCAGGGCTGTCCGGCTTGATACTCTTGGTCTGGTCATCCTTGTTCCGCTTCTGCTCCCAACCTTGTGCCGTACCAACTTTCTTTACAGAACGGCTTGCTGCTTGACTCTTGACGCGCTTGCTGAGGGTCTCGTCACTGGTCGAGGAATCAGAGTACCTCCTTTTCACTGCACTACTCGCTGCCTGTTGCGCCGTACGTGTAGCCGCTCTCGCTGATCGTCTTAAAACCATCCTACAGAATAAGGGCTAGAGACAGTCGCAAGTCTTCTAGGTCATAATGTGAATGCGCTTGCATTTAGGGAGTACTCCGGCGGATGTGTCGTAATAGGTAGACACTAATCCGCACACTGATGTCGTCATCAGTTGTGAACCTGAGCCATGCGCCCCTGGTAGAGAAACTCACTAATGGTTCTCATGCAAGCGTCGGATTCCGCGGGCGCTGAGATCTGGATAATGCGGACGCGCTGCGGCGCGTCGGAGGTTCGGCAATAAACCCATTCTTCGCCTGTGAACCCACCGCTCGGCGTTAGACCCACAGGCCGACCCAACCTTGTCTCCAGGATGCCAATGCGCAACTATCCGATGACCGGTGGGCAATGACAGGCTAAAAAAAATTGAATCCGGAGTAACATTCAGTACACTGGAGTAAAGACTAGATGCACAGGCCAGACCCGCATCTCGGCAACTGGAACTTTCATGGGAGACAGCACAGGGAATAGACAGCATCCGGTCTGCAAAATTACTCAACATCCACTCGATGAAGAGAAAGAAGTGCTTGTGTGCGAGATGCTTTAAAAGCGATGGCGGTACGGAGTGGTCTCCCTGACTTCGAGACGAACACCACTATCTTAGCACTCAGCTCAACACCACTCAACAATCATGATTCGCGCTCCTTTACTTCTATCAATGCTGACAGCAACGGTCTCTGCTCTCCACGACTTCACTCCAGAGATCTCATCAACAGTATACGATGTATTCGTTCTCCCAATTCTCATAATCACGGATCAATACTAACATAGTTTGCCAGGATAAATTACCAACACAACTCTCGTTGCCCAACTCCCAATTAGCTGCTGAGGGTTTCAACTCCTACTGGTTTTCTCACTTCCTTACCACAGCCAACAACACTGAGTATGTACTTCTGTCTCAAGCCGTTGTACTTCCCACGAACGAAATCACCATCAGAACTTCCTTGCTCGATGTCGGTAACCCAGAGTCTTATTGGCAGAGTTCAAAGACCGTTGCTCTTCAGGGTAATACGGCATCTGAGAATGGACAGTTAAGCATCAAGGGAGAGGGGTTCGAGCTGTCAAGTAACTCAGATGATAATCTTGCAAGCATGGTCTCTCGTGGTGCAAACGGTCAGTACGAGTACAATCTCACAGTCAGAGCAACTTCGAGGGTGATCTTGAACGCTGGAACCGGCTTCTTCAACTGGGGGAAGAACAACACCACGCAATGGTCTCTCCCGAGTTGCCAAACCTCGGGTACGCTGTCCATCGGCAACTCGTCGTACCAAGTCAACAGAGACCGCTCAATGACCTGGTACGACCGACAGTACGGTGCAAATGGTCCTGACGGCGGATTCACCTGGTTTGGAGTCCAATTCCCTGGTTCTGATATCAGAGCAAGCATCTGGCTCTCCGACAACGAGGATCCTGAACAGCGTCTCCGCTTCGCAACTGTTCGCACTAATTATGGATTATCAATCATTCGATTTACTGCGACTGTCAACCCGGACGATGCCTGGACGTCGCCAAAGTCCAACACCACGTATCAGACAAAATGGTTTCTTGATTTCGACAATGGTGACTTCTTGGAGGTCAGCAGTGTGAGGGAAGACCAGGAGATCTACGCGCAAGGGTTCATGGCTGCTTCGGCGTTCGCGTCTGTGAGGGGACGATTCTTTGGGCAGAAGAAGGGGTTTGCGCTCGTTGATGTTGTACCTGCTGCGTAAGCAGATGGAAATATTCTACGGGTCGCGTCATGGGTGGGATTGTGGCGTCGCATCGCTGTGAACCTTCCGGATGTTGACATAGTCACACACCGTAAAGTTAAATAGAACGTAACATTCTCGCTTGTGTTTTGTTAGAGGCTTTCAAAAGTCATCAAAAAAAGCTGGTCAACGTGTGTGTTCTAGGCGTACCAAGGCGCAATAAACGTCGTTAGAGTTGTTCTCGCCTATCCCGCGTAGCCTTTGTGCTTGCGAATGAAATCATGCAAATCATGCCCCGAGTCACAAGGAGCGGGTTGGAGATAACGGCAGCTCTGATCTCCCGTCCGTACGACTGTTAATAAAGTCCTCGCAAGCCACCAATACTCCTGGGCATGCTTCTCGAACCCCAGGTGTGGCAAAATTTTACCTTCATTGTCTAGGCTCACCACGTTCCACAGACTTTTCCATCGATCGGTCGCACGTAGCATAGGCTCTATCGTCATGGGAGCCAAAAGGTTCATCCTAGCTGTCATAACAAGAGATAGTAACGCTGCGATTGGTCAGCTATAGTCTTGTAGTGGGGGTAAAGAGACGACGAACCGCAAATGAGTATTAGCATTTCTGTCGGTGAGATTCGCTCGTGTTCCTTGTCGTTAGGTCGGCAGGGAGGTCCAAAAAGAAGGCGCGATATGAGTTCGGGCAGCGTATTAACTCGGGGTCTCGGAGGTACAAGTGAGGCTGCACGCTCGAAGTCTACGGCTGACTCAGCTTTGAAGAGATCCTCATCACATGGGGGATTGCCCGTCATCTCAGCGATAGCGACTTGTGGAGGGTTGTTGAAGAACACTGATAAAGTTGCGTCGAATATGTATGTCCATATGCCCGCTCTGTGATTGCTGTTAGTGGCGACAAGGACAGAACGCTAACCAGTTTTGGGCACCTTAATCGTATCTCATCAAAGATGAATCCTCGCCAGTCATATACGTCTTGGCCCATGATCAAGTGTCGTCGCTGGTACGCAAACAACCCCGAAGCTCGCACAGCGGCAATTAGTGTTGGAACTCTCCGGAGTCGCATTCGCCGCCGTGTAACAAGGTCATTGGTGTTGTTCAAAAACACCAAGAACAATAGACCTGCTTGGAGCAATTCAAGCTCCTCGTTTCCAATGGAGGCCGGAAGAGGGAGCTGTAGCATTTGCCGAGAGTCCAACTGATCGAATATGTATGTTTCCGCAACATAGGAGAATTGCCGTATCGCGATGGAGCTATCCGAGTTATCAGAAGACATTGACCCAAAAAGAACGAGTACCAGTAAGAGCGGAAGTGATGCTGTTTGTATGTCGAATGTTGGCTTGTGCAGTATGGGAAACGAATAGTGGAAATAGCGGAAGAAAGCCCAAACGAAGTGTCTCACATTACCCACTGTGAAGACGGCTTCCGCAAGTTGGATGTCGAAAGTGGGCTGGACATCGGCATTTCGTTCCAACATCGAGTTGTAATGAGTAGATAGTTGGTGTATCAGTTCTCTCACACGGACTTCCAAAGCGTAAGCGTCTTCCAGCTCTGGCGTTAGACTACCGCTTATTATCGGAGATATATACTCGAAATCCTTGCCTGACATCAGTAATGGGAAGCCAAAGAACACAGAGGGAACGTCAGCAAGATCGAAGAACCCCTGGTCGTGAGCCATATGTTGGTCTTCCAGATTTAGCTGTGTGTGTGCTTCGCCATCTGGATCATCAAGCTCGGCAGCTTCTGCGGCAATCGTTGCAGACGGACGATAGCCTGATGGGTTTGTGAAGTTTAGGAGAAAATCGATTGATATTCCTCCACGTTGCCCACTAACACTGGCTCCTGTGTCGCCGGCCTGACTGTGGCTGGAGCCCACTTCGACCTCGGAGTGTGGTGTGGCAGGTGAAGAGGCGTGGTCCAGCCGTTCGTAGGTGCATGCTGTGCCACTAGAGCGGCAGCGTGTACAGGGCAGCTTGGTATCGCATGACAGCTTCCGTTGTGAACATCTATCACAGGAATGGCGCTTTCTGCCACGCTTCAAGGTAGGCAAGATAACCTTGTGGTCTTGCGCACAGCACTTCTGCATGTGACGCTGAGCGAGGTCTCTACTCTTACGTTAGTTTCCATTGATATGAACTTTCCAGCCAGAAGAACACGCCGTCTCGAAAACTGTGCCTGACATGACGGGCAAGTCAAGTCTTGCCTACCAAAATCTAATCATTGTGAGCCGAGAAGTACCGCTTGAAGAGGAGATTCTCACGTGTCGCTTCATGCCGACGCAGGTGGCTATTGGTTGAGTATGCCTTGTTGCATATCGTGCAGCGGTGCTTGCCGGAAACGGTTGTTGTGCGTGGGGAAGGCATGTGCCGCGAGTCGACTCTCGCATGTGAACCCACGGGAGACTGTGGGTTTTATTCCGGTGGGGTGATCGCAGGCGCATCATCTAGCGTCTGAATCGATCGCGTTCGGGCCGATAGGTCCAATCTCCGACTTATCGATATGTGCAGACGCGACAAAAAGATGATTCATGAAGGCCTTAGCGGCCTCCACGGCTTCCGAGAGGCCCATACAGAGCTAGTGTACGGGACAATGCGCACAGGCATTAGCTTCGATTTTCTGAGTGAAGATGCTGACAGTTGGTCCGCTTTCGATGTTGGTAGCTGAGCCCAAGACGCGGTGGGTTCATTACCGATCTTAGAACCCTTGCAAAAAGCCGATGGGATGCATCAAGCAGTATCACGTTATGCTATCTTAATGAAGACAGCTCATAGTAAGTCCCTACTGGAACCTGTGCAAGATGTAGGTATGTAGCTCATTGCTGACGGCCGTTTGCAGACAAGCGATGAACACCTCAAGATACACTTATCGCGACCTCGACGAGTTGAAGAAGTTCTCTACCACGTCGCCGCTTCGTGTCATTGCATTAATCGACTTCGACGCTTTCTATGCACAGTGTGAAGTTGTTAGATTAGGTCTACCACCCACAACACCATTGGCTGTTCAACAATGGAACGCCATCATCGCGCTCAACTATCCTGCACGTGAATCTGGTCTCAAGAGAGGTGCGTCGATAGAAGAAGCCCGGAGACTCTGTCCGGAGATCGTCTTGCAACACGTCGCAACATGGAGAGAGGGCGAGACAACATGGGCATACCGCGCAGATGTCACAAAGCATATGTCGACCGACAAGTCAGCCCTAGATCCGTATCGCCTCCGGTCACGCAAGTGTTTCGAATTCATTCGCACCTTGTTGCCTAACGAGCCTGTTCAAAGAGTCGAGAAAGCTAGTATTGATGAAGTATTTCTGGATCTGTCGGCCCAGGTACACCAAATCCTGCTCCGACAGTTTCCGGAGCTTGCGGAGCAGCCAGCCCACATGGAGCAATATCTTCCTTCGCCCGGCTTTTCCTCACTTTTGGACTGGGAAGGCGACCACGTCGTAGATCTTGAGAGCGCTGAACCGAGGCCAGATTGGGATGATATCGCCCTCAACATCGGAGCCGGCATCGTTCGACGTATTCGTGCTGAAGTCTGGAAGCATTTCGGATACACGTGCTCCGCAGGTATCGCGCGGAACAAGGTTGTTGCTAAGCTTGGTGCTGGCTTCAAAAAACCCAACCAGCAAACGGTAATCCCGACACAAGCTACATGTAGCTTTCTAGCTATTCATGTTGTCAAATTTACCAAGATACGTGGGCTAGGTGGCAAACTCGGTCAACAAGTCATCGACGCATTTAGCTCCGACCGCATAGATGACATTCTACGCATCCCGATCGAGCAACTGAAAGCTAAGTTAGGCAAGGAGTCTGGATGCTGGGTGTATGACGTCGTTCGTGGCAGGGAAACAAGTATTGTGACATCGCGACTTGTAGTCCAGTCAATGCTGTCCGCAAAAACCTTCGTTCCGAGCGTAGGTAGCTTCGAGCAAGCCATGAAGTGGCTTCGCATATTCGCAGCAGACCTGATGGGCCGTTTGGATGAGCTGCAAAGCGAGTATCCCCGCCAGCCAACCGTAGTTGCGCTTCATCATCACATCAATGGCCGTTTTGGTCCAACGCGATCAAAGCAAGCCACAATACCGTCAGGTAGCAGAGTCGACGAGATGGCCATATTTGCTTGGTCGAAAGCTTTACTTCGTCAGATTTGTGAGGAAGGGGTAGCGTGGCCTTGCGCCAGCCTATCTGTCAGCATATCGGGATTTCAACCTCTTGTTACGCAGAACCACCGCATCACCTCGTTCTTCACTACAGGACCTGCGAAAAGGAAGCGCGTGAGTGATCCGTGTGAGGATGAAGATGAGCAGCGAGAGCAAAACAGGGGTCGCAAGGAAGGTGGCCGCGAATATTCATTGCAAGAGACGGAGGTAGCCCGCGCATGTTCCGAGAAGAGTAAGATACGGTCGCTGCCTACCATGTCGCATGACGTGCAAGTCGAGGATATCTTGCTGTACAGTTGTCCGAAATGCAGTCAGAACATCCAACCTACGAAAGTGCTTGAGCATCTCGACTGGCATACTGCGCTCGAGATACAAGAATCGGGAGAGTGACGGCCTCACTCTTTGATCCGAGGGATCGACTCCCTAAAGTATGGAAAGATTCACTTGGTATATGCGCAGTATCTAGGCATCTCTTTGGCAGTGTGCACGCTTTGTATACCCCTCGACCATACGGCAAGATCAGTAAAAGCCCTTCCGCGCACCGCCCTTGCCCCGCCCTTCTCCCCAAATACAGCATATACTCAGACTCTCACACCACCCTTGCGCCATGTATCCCTCTAACTCCTTCTCTACTACGAGCAAATCATCTCCGTCCTTCTCAATACTCATCGCCGCCTCGCCTCTGATCTTCAAGTCTGAGTTCCAGGCTTTGATCTGCTTCTGCGTTGCTTTCTTAAACACGCGTATCGACGTGTTGGCGTTCAAGTACGCGGTGAAGTCTTCAAGAACGATGGGATCATACATGAGGATCTTCTCGTGCCAGGTAGGCTTCATGGGATCTGTAGTAGGAGGTAGCGAGCGGATATGCGTCGATATCTGTGAGAAAATGCTTTGTTTGATATGAACCCACTCTAGTAGGTTGCTTGATATGCGGTGTATAGGTGTCAGAGCTGGGTCAGCCGCCAGCGACTTGGTCTTGGTCGTAGTGCTTTTTTTGGTTTTACCAGGCGAAGTGGTGGGTGAGAGAGAGATCAAGGGTAGAGGTTCAGAATCAACATGTTTTCGTATTCGTGGTGATGTAGGTGAAAGTACTTGGAGAGCTTCATCTTCAGAATCAAGAATTTCTTCAATGTCAATGAAGCGGCCTGACCCTCTTGGTGGGGTTGAAGGCGTCTTAACACTGGTGTTTGCCTTCACCTTGGGTTTCGGGGGTAAGGGCTCCAAAATTGGTGTGGAAGATGCCGAGACTGACGTAGGTACTGCAGGGTATGACTTCGGTAGCCTTCCGCGCTTCTTTGGTGAGCTGATTTTGCTTGGTGGTGCTGAAGCTGGGGGTCTTAACTTCAGAACAGGTGATTTTCGCATTTGGGCGGAGGGTGGGAAGTCGAAGTCATCAATGTCAACAAAGCTATTCGGTGATTCGGCGTTTTGGTTCGAAGGTGGCGGCACTTGCGTGAAGTTGTCAATGTCCTCGAAGCTCGTATCTTCCATTGGACGATCGTTTTTATGAAGCTCCAAAGTTGGGGAGGCACGGGAAGTGGCGTCGAGTGGCGTTGGCAAGTCAGAAGATATAGGGATTGCTGGAGGGGGATCTGGAGGTATGTCGTCGATATCTATGAATGTAGATTGATCATCAGACTCTGCGTCAGGCACGTCGATAGTGCCGTCCATGAGCAAAGGGATGTCTTGCGTTCGATCTGGCTCTGGTATATAAACGTCTTCTCGGTGCTCAAGCATACCGCCTTTGTCATCTCGTGCACTCGCAGCCCAGAGCCCTCGTTTGCCTTCAACCCTGCTGAGCCGTGGCCACCGTGGCGGTGCGCCATATGCAAAGATGTCAAGATTGTTGACGTCCTGCTCCGACTCCTTCATTGCAAATTGGATTTGGCGCACCATGGTGGGTGACTCCTCGAGCGCAAGCTGACTTGATGTTCCGAACAGAACATCTTGATTCTGCAAACGCGACATTGCAGATGAAGGGCTGAGCAACTTCTCCGCAACAGGCTTAGGCTTAGCGGCAGCTTTCGCAGATGCTTTCTTCGATCTCGGCTTAGAGTCGGCCTTCTCTGTACCTGACTTGGAGCTATTGCGCCTCCGTACTGGCTTCTTCGGTACTACGCTGCCATCGGTTGTGGCCGTGTCGTTCAATGGCACCGTTGTTGTAGTTGTTGAAGACCGAGACTCAAAGAAGTTGCTGGTTACATCGTTCGGATTCGGTTCTGCATCCTTCAATGCATACTGTTCCGTAACAAGATCCGTGATCGTACGTGGTTTCTTCTTTGGTGCTTTACCCTTCTCAGGCGAGGAGTCTCTAGAGTTGGCCTGGTTGCTAGGTATCTCGACGAGCTGCCGATGGTGGTCAGCAAAGTTGTTCCACGCTATAGGCCCAAGCAAGTGGGCTTACCTCGATTCTCCGACGCTTAGTCGCTGCCGCTACTTCCGTACTTGTGTTGGCCGACTTCGCGGTGACTTGAGCAGATGGTGACTGTGTATAAGCAAAGTTGGAGAGCAGATTTGTGAAGGTACCATCAGCGTTATGCGTTAGCGCCTTGTTTTCCTTTCCGGTTGAGTCGGTGAACGGCGATGGGATTGTTGTGTCGGGTGGCGGCGTCCAATCTCGTCTCCTTACGACAGCCTCCTCCAAGTCTAATCCTTCTGTAATGGAATCTGGCTGACGCTGTTTTGGCGCAGCCTTCGTCTTCGGCCGTGGGCTTTCAGGCACCTCCCAGATCGATGGATACTCGATGCGAGCATCTTGAGCCTCTACAGAAGGCCGTGTTGCCGACCCCTCGCCTCTGTCTGCTTCCTCTGGGAAATGCGCAGACACAAGCGGCGTATCTTTGCCCTTACCCTTCCCGTCTTTGCCCGCCCCTGCTTTCACTCTTGTGACTCTTGGTTTCTTAGGCTTCGGCGCAGACTCTACTCCTCCTTCATCGCTTTTCTGCTTCTTTGCACGCGGCTTCCGAGGCCTGCCCGACTTGGTCAGCTTCGGCGCATTGGAGGCTTCGTCCGTAGGCTCGACCGGAGCTTCTGACGCCTTCTCGTCGAAGAAAGGGGACTTTGTAAGTCGTTGTGCTGGGCATCGGAGTTCGTCATCCGAGTTGAGGATCTCTTTGTCTGATTTGGGCTTCGGTTTGCGCGCTCGAGGCTTCGTTTTGGGCTTCTCGGATCCGTCTGCAGCAGCAGTAGTAGTAGCCTTCTTTGTAGACCGCTTTGTAGGCTTCTCCACAACCAATATAGGCTCTACATCAACCTGCGACTCCCGCCGAGAATGCGCTTGTTGTATCGCATCGAAGTCGTCGTCAAGACGGCTCGTGAAGTGCTCGGAGCGTATGAGGCTGCCAACGGTGGCAAATCCTCTCACAGCACCATCAGGAACGGGAGCTGCTCTTGCGTTGCCCTTCGACGCGCCGGTTGTCGTTCTCAGTGGGCTCGCAGGAGGAGAGAATGATAGAGGCGAGGATGCAAGCATGGCGACGCGACGGGAGGGGGCTTCATATTGCGGGGAAGCGGCCGGCGGACTTGAGCTCAATACCACCACATCGTAGGTATTGCCTGCCATTCTGAGGCGAGGAAGGAGCCTCCAAGCAGCCAATGCGGGCAGTTGCGGAGGGGCGATCCATAGACTCAGCTCGGGTAGTTGGGAAGGGTGCAGTATAGAGTGGCGCTGGTTGGTGATTCGAACAATGCACGGTCTTGGAGTTAGATGAAGTTCATTGCTGCAACACCGAAGTCTCTATCACCACGTCCCGAGCCATTGCCCCTCCACCGACAAAGCATCAACATCAATTTTCTGCAATAGAGCCGTAATGCTTGTCGGGGCCTCACGATTGCTTGCTGATCATTGTTATCGAATTGATGAGCTAGCCTCCAGGCGCGTACAACTTCAATATTGCCGCCGTGGACGTCCTTCTACATTCGTGGTAGCCACCTTTACCACCCCCCGCCTCCGACAGCTATAGGGAGCGACTACGGGGCTCTGCAATGGCTCTCAGAATCTGCTCAGCAAATCTCCGCACTTTTCGCCAATCCCGTCGGTACGATTGAGTTGGATATGTGGAGCTATCTCTACAAGGCCCCAGCCACCAAGCTCAGGGCTTTAGCGTCTCCGGGCCTTACGAGAAGACGTGCAAAGAGACCTCAACTGCTCTCAGTACGTACCTTTTACACACTGCCGAATTTGTTGAGCCTTGCTGCCCCGCTCCGGCTGGCCTTCGCCGCTACTCTTCTTATGTGCCCATCACCCAATAAGAGGGGATGTGGCAGTATGTTTCTGATACATCGGGCTGACAGATCACAAACTCAAGTTGAGCGTTCGTAACAGCAGCAACGTGTCCCTACGAACTGGCTCTGGGTGCTGTTGCCGAGACCTTTCCCGAGAAGAGTAAAACGACAATGTTAAAAGGTTACCGCACCCTAATAGTGCCCTCGCAGACTGCCTTGTGAGGGATGGCAACCTGACCCACTCTCAGACGCCCCTCGCATAACCGAATATGATCTCCTTCGTTCGGTGTCGCCAAACGACACCGAACGAACGAAGGGCCCGGCAGTGCGGAGATACTGAATGAGAGACTCAGTCTACGTCAAGCGACCCTTTAAGTATGTAGGCCAACAAGAGAAGGACATATGAGCTTCGCTGCATCGACTTGCAACTGGCCTTGAAAGTGTCAATACATGTTTTGATTTAAGCTGTGCTTGGGTCATGCCGCGTATAAGCTGTCAAAACTTCCGAGGGGTCGTCAGCCATTGGCTTAGTCGTCACCCGACGCAGGCACCGTTCAGCCAATCTCGCTGTCGAAAGGGTCTGTGTTACGACGATACAATCGGCGTCCGTCGTTAGTGTGCTGGGCAAGGTTAGCTAGACCTTGTATGGTACAGCGATTCAGGTATAACGTCTTGGAACCCTGCTCCGCAACATTACGTACCAAAACTATGAATATCAGCATGCCAAGCTGCGAAAGGAAGCATCGGAGCATCGAGAACCATCTGAGTACACTCCGGAAGCCGTACCCCTGAGGAGTCAGGTACCCACGACCTTTAGGGCTTAGATGGGATATTTGAATGTTTGCATCAGCAGCAGTGTTTGCTTCATCTGTCAGGATCACGCCCAGGACCGATATTACACAACGAAGGAGAGAAGACACGACGTTTGAAATTCATGAATGCCTAGAGGAAGTCAGCAATCTATCTCTGTCGCATGCCAATGATTCACAACTCCCCATCGCTGCATTTCGCAATACGAGGATGTATTTCAAAGGGCCTCGGAATCATCCCTGCAATTGAACCATAGCGTGGATTCGCCTGACAACCTGGGCGACATCTGCTCCGGTCGTGAGTGTGCTGGTGATGGGCGCACTGAGAACTATGGTATGTCTTCTGGCCCAGCGGGAATTAGATCGTCATGGCATGAGGTCGAGCCCTCGATCTTGATCTTCCGACTTTGAACGACCCTATTCTCACGTTTGTGGCCTCCAGGCTCGCCGGAGGACAGCATCTCAAGACCAGATGCTCTCACATTACCCGGCTCTGTCAAGCTCGGTACGCTGCACATTGGACGTATGCATGCGTGTGCAGATGCACGACTATGTCGCTACAGAAAGCGAGGCAAGCCTTCGACGTGTGTGGTTCACGGAGAGTCATCTTCCCCATAGGGATGAGGTGGTCGCTCTTGCTCACCGACCGCTTCAGCCCTTGGGAAAAACCGCATCTATCTTCCCATAGCTTTGGTGAGGTTCGTAGGAGAAGACGGGTACGCCAGTACTCTCTTCCGGCGCCCGATGACTGGATCTTATGGAGCTTCCCACCGATTGAGGTATGCAGCTTGTCAAACGGCCGTGCACCTAGCCAGTGCAACTTGGGGCTGAGAGTACGTCCGCTAAAGTCGAATGTCCCGGTTGGTGGGGTACACAAAGCGGGGGTTTGTCGACGTCGACTATGTCCGTTGTAAAGTGTAGCCAACCTAGCGGGGCAGGAAACTATTGCCTGTGCTGGTTTATCGGTCATTGGTGTCCTCGAGAGGCAGGTGGAGTAGTAATTGCTGTCATGGGTAGGATGGCCGGCACGGCCACCGCAGAGCCATGGTGTCCATCATCTTGGTGCTGGACTTAGGCAGAGATGCCCGGGGCTGCGACGATCTAGAAAGATGATAAAGTCAGCAAATTTCAGACATTGCCGGCTTCGGCAGACAGGGCGGTGGTGCCGAAGGGGGTGCTTTTTGCTGCGTGGCTGCCTCCATCGACCTGAGCCTTGTGAAGGCGGCGATGTCAACAATGATCAACCAGGGACGGAGTCAGTGCATACCTGCGGTGTTGTGGCCATCAGCGCTTTTTGTCGAGCTCTCCGAAGGTCACCTTCGCGTCGCTGGAGAGGGGATAAAGTTCAACTTCGCCTTAGAATCGTCACTATCTTCCGCGGCGAGCCCAAAAGCATCACCGCTGTGCAGTCAGGAGTTGCGTAACAACGCGAAATGCTCAAGAAGATGAATAATGTGATGCACAGCAAATATTGCGGCTTTTGAGAGTGTTGTGGAGTTGGTGGTGGGGAGGTAGAAGACGGTCAATAAGTCTCACCTTCATGCGAACTCACCCGCTCTGTTCCGCACAGGCCATGACAACTGAGAATGTGTCTTGCAGAAATAGCTCGACGACGAGAAGGAGAAGGTGTTGTCGACGGCAACCGTCATCTGGATATGCTGTTGCAGCAAGATGTCAAGATCAGACTCAGACGGACACGGTACGCGATTCAATACTGAGTTTGCCGCAGCAAACAGTCTGAACGCTTCCTAGATGGCAATGGCAAGCCTCCAAAGCCTGAGCTTTGATTGCCATTTGAGCACATGCAGAGACGCTTATCCTTCTCGACGAGATAGCCGCTGTAATCTGGTCTGACTTTTCGTGCATGACGGCCGTGATATCACAGCAGGCTAGCCACTGCATGCGTGCCTCCAGCGTTTGAGACCAGACGAATGCAAAGCGCGCTATTCACCCTGCCTGTCAAGACAAGCTCGAGATATGGTAGACTGCTAGCTGTGACGCTTCTCGAAATCTGCCATGTTTTGCGCAGGTGATTGGTTTAATCTTAACAGATTTAGGCATGACAATGTATTCGACATTGATCAATCATCAGATGAGGATAACGCCAAAGAAGAACATTCTTCAAGCACGTTCGGTAGAAGGTGAAAGACTAACCCACAAGTGCAAACTCCATCACCGTTAAAGATCATACACTTCAAGGTCTACGTTCTTTAGACGGCCCATTAGTACGACACCACAGTACATCGTGTATGCTGGCTGCCGTGTAGGCTTATAACTAGCATGTCTTGAATGCATTTAGGCATGACCATTTTGGCCGATCGATTAAAAGCTTTCGAGCTCCATGCTAACTGCAGACTTAGCTAACCTTTTCCTGCTGCGTTCACCAGTCTGTCCGGTGTGTCGCAGATCGCATGCTGTACGACCAGGCGATACCTTGGGACTGACTTCCCTATGTCTGTCTTGCTTCAATCGTGCCCCACACCTTTACCTTGTGCTTTTTATGGGCATCCCGACATAGGACGCCAGGTGTTCCCTTGTTTCCACTTCTCTCAATTCCACCACACAAAACTACGCCTTCCACGCCTTCTGTCTTTATGATGTATCAGTCTTGTTCCTCTGGCTGAACACAGTCACTCGTATCACTGTGTATCAAATTTTCTCCTTCCTCCGTCGACTCTTCCGCCTTCCATCCTGGTCATCATCTATGCCCTTCGCAAGACTGGTCACCAATGGTGCTATCTATCCTACTCTTGCTTTCTTCTCATAGCACATCTTCATATGCTGTCCCTATCCCTACCCTTAAACAAAATCTCTAATACTCTCTACTACCCCAAACCCTTTCGTCGCAAGCCAGTAGTCTCTCATCATCTACTGCTTTCTGTTCTGCACGCTGTTGCTTCTCATAGTTATGTCCCGGTCTCTTTTTCCCTTGTCAATTCCGAAAAGTGTTCAGACACACGCCGAACCTCCCTTCGCAAGCTTCAGCATCAGAAGTCATTGCTACCTTCTAGCCACACCTTCTTACTCCATTCATGGCCCTGAGATTGCTCGTGCGCTGTGGGGTGGGGTCGTTTGTAGCTGCTGTATCCGCGCCGTGTAGGATTTGGCTCTGTGAAGATGGGGTGGCGGGTCGAGAGGCGATGGTGTGTGAATTGGACGGCGGAGGACTTTGGGACGTGGAAGGCGCGTAATGATTATGGTGAGGATGTGGAGAGAGCGACGAAACGGCTTCTTTTCGGTATCGACTAAGACTGTCTGCGGCTACAAGGCTACGTCAGTTTTTATCTCCCGCAGCGAATCACCCTCTATCGTCTTTCTCATATCCCATACCAGCTTCGTCTTTTATCTCTTCCATCAGCGACCTGAATCAACCTTAAGCCGAGTTCAGTTTTGCCAGTTCATCTTGGTTTGAGCCCGCCATATCTCCCGTCTTCCACGATCGATACTTGAAGCGAATGCTTGACTCGGAACGGCCGCGAAGTGGCCGGCCCCATCGCTTTGCTTCGTAATGCGCACGCGCATCCTCCGATCCGACGATACTGCTAGGTACAGGACGTATATGTGCTTTTGAGCATTGAAGGGATGTTGGTGCTATGAGAAAGGCAGGGACACGTCGTCGGATGGATGATATCCGAAGGTCTGCTCAAGCGTGATCGGATGACGCCTTCCGCTCCACTTGCAACGCAAACTTCAGCACGAACGTCCCTGCCGATGCAGCACAAACCACATACGATGCCTACTCTAATAGCGAAATGTGAGAGCTGGGCATATATTTCCTAGTCAAAATCTGGAGTTTATGAACGTATCTTCTCAGCTCTAAGTTCCATACAGGTTTACAGCAAGAAAAAAGACACTCGTAAATTCGGCTTTTCTGCAGCTACCGATTTCCAGCTAATCTCGATACCAAGCGCAACGATGCTGCTGTCGAACACGACCTCACACATGTATCCACGGAGAGCGCATCAAGAAAACCTTAAAGAGAAGCGATTCTTGAAAGAAGCTATAGCACAGATCATGCGACTCAGTAGTTTTGCGAGTCTAATGCTTACGTCGTTTGACTGTCTTGTGCTCTTACACTTGAGCCTGTGATCCAATGTTGACGCTGTATCATCAGAGCTACCCTTTATTACGAGCAAGGGTTACTGAACGGTATGATATCAAGAAAATATGAAGGTCTTACATGTATCACTGTAGAAGAGAAATCAAATACACATTGTTGTGGGGAATATAATCCCTCATTATTTGCTAGATTGTGATGCACAAGGATTATAATGTAGGCAGCAGATAATGAAGCTAGGAAGGAAGCAAATCATGCTAGACTCCATCTGTTATCGATTTGATCTACAGTAGGCCATGGGCGTGGGAACTCTGGGAATCAAGATCCCAGAGCTCTGTGAAGTTTTCCTGGCCATGCAAGAGCAAGCGGTGAATCTGAGAGTTCGCATCAATCTCCTTTCTTCGTTCCGACTACGAGATAACCAATATCCTGGTTCTATGCTCCCTCTGTTGTTGCTAAGGCTGTGATGGCGTGGCCTGCGGTGTGGAAGTGTGATGTGATTGAAGATAATCTGGAGTGCGTTACTAATGATCATAATGGGAGGGATTGGAGTGAGGTGCCCTCAGAAAGAGTTTTATTATCATGAAGTCAACAATTAGAACTGCCAATACGACAATCATCTTGGAGCAAGTGTCGGTGGGCTTCGAGCCATCGAATATGGGGATCAGAGGCAAGGGATAGGGAGACTCAGCTTGATGCAGTCACGCATTGTAGTAAGTGCTGTCGACGGTCGAGGTGGTAGAGTGTGATAAAGCGTCTGTAGGTGACTTAGAGTACAAGACAAGGGAGAAGGGGCAGTATTGAGAGTTAGTCGCGTTGTGGGGCACGTCAAAAGGTCGCGGCGTTTGGCCTTCATAATAGCGCGGCCTCGAGGACAATTCGCTATCCAACACATCTCATCACAACAGTAAGAAACCTTTCGGTTTAAATGACTTCGAAGAGCTCGACCAATCTGACCTTTAGTCACCATACACACACACACACACACACACACACACACACACACACAATGGCAACTCCTACCTCCCGCCCTCGCTTCGCCAGCACGCTCATTGCCGAGCGCGACAGCCTCGAGCAAGACATCCGCAACAACAATGCGGCAATTGCACGGTGGGCGGTCATGCCAAGGTGGAACTGGCGGGAGCTTCGAGCGGCACGTATCTTACAGCGCCGCCTTGACCGCGAGGTCATTCTACTCACCATCGATATCGACATTGCCTTGACGCGAGAGGCGGACAACATGGAGTGGCTACTGTCACTAAGCCAAGTTAGCTCTTGAAACCCGGTTGATTTTCCCGTACATGAATTAATACCTTCGCAGGAGGAACTCCGCGCTCGCCTGAACCTTGCCTGGCAAGCGGTCTTGTCTCGGTAGGCTTGTATGCCATGGGAAGAAGAGGAAGAAGAGGACAATGAAGAGAGAACGGTCTGACTGTCGAATCACATACCTGTAATGGGTCTCCCCCTTTGGCTGAGGCTACCCGTACTGTCTTCAATGCCTGTTGTCAAGGACTGAAGACGGTATACTTGCTAGGCAACTGGTCTTAATTGACTGCGCGCTAGGCGAGGATAGAGGCGGGCCGATGCGACTATCTGTGCAAGCAGATAGTTGGGACTTTGGCAAAGCTTCTGGCGTTCAGTGCCGCCAAAGATAAGTACCCTTTCGAGGCGAAACCAAATGAAGCTCGTGATCTGATTTGGGTATCCAGAAGACCAACAGGAGGTGAGTATGTGTTCCCCACGCTTCGACTTGGGCTATCAGATAATCCGCAACATACTGCCATAGCCTTCCTACCACCCACCTTCGATCTCGCTTTCTTTCTCCGCAATCATGGATCTTGACACCTCGAGTCGGTGGGGCCACTGGCTATAACGGCACCGGCAGGCGATACTGTTCAATCAAAAGGATTCTAAGGGTTGGCATGGGTATTACAGTCTCGCTCGTGTATTCTTTTGTTAGTAGTTCCGTACGCCGGCTCTAAGGAGGGCTTTCGAGAATTTTCGGAAATCAAGGTTGATTAGAAGGATGTGAGCGCCCAACGAAGTGAACTTGATGTATGAGTGAATGGTATAATTCGAGCGCCCTGGAGCGAACTTAGACGTCCTAATCTCTGCAGACGCATTAGAATACTGATAAAAACTATATTGTTCTATACTGAGTCTTCTCGGAGCATTCGTAAATGATACCAACAACAAGCGTTATTGAAGGTACGTTGCAACTTCTTCGTCGTATACGGAAGAGGAATTTAGACCAAAACATGAAGTTAATTCTACATCAATGATTCATAATTCGAAATTTTGCCCCCAAGACGGTATCATGATGGCGTGGGTCTACTGCTTCAGATCGGTCGAAGTGTGCAAAAGACTTTGGCGCATCGTGGCGCCATATGTGCGGCAACAGTGGCGACGATTGAGCGACTAAAAGAGCTATCAAAGACGCAATGCCTGGAGTTAATGTTTCTGAATCGTGTGTTGTGAAGACCCTGTCGCGAGCAGATGAATATCGCACCATGGACAGAGTTGTGATCTGCAGGCGGCTACGTAGAACCGAAAGCGCCTAACCCCAGCCTATTTGCATAGCTTTCTCTTCCCGCTCCGCCCATGTCCTGCCTGGAACCGAGCCTAAATTCCTCATATCCTCTCTATCCTCATATGAGCTTGTGTGGTCGAAGGGACAAGTCGCCGTGTTTGGCTGTTGACCGAGGGTGGGTTCAGTGGGCGGTGCGGCTGCTCGTAGAGATAGGTATCAATAGATGTGCTGATTTGGGCGTACTCATAAGACTTCCCAGTAGCCAAAGCTTCACTAGATAGCTTCCGCTGGTTCGCTGCGACTCCTTATCGCTGTAGGATGCTGACTGAGGAGAAGGTAGCCTGGAGTTCGGCCGTGGCAATGGCAAGACTAGCGTAGATGGACAGAAAACGATTGCGAGTGCGTTCGTGGAGATGATTGGTAACGACAGAATACAGATTCAAGATATTTCGAAACAAGGCAGATCGCCATGGCAGACACATTTGGGCTGATAGCACGTTCAGTGTTGTCGATGCAACGCGTTGAGCGCGTCACTGCTAGCTACAAACACCAAAACACCAAAACACCAAGAAGGCGGCCAGCGTGTTTTTATCAAACCTTGAGCAATGCTTTTCGATAGTTCGTAACCTAGAATCAACCTAATTCAGCCTGGCGGATACCATGGGCGCAGCCCATACAATTCGCAAATGCAATCACAAAGCAGCTGTGGCTACCACAGAGTCATGATAACGGCTATTTGATTGAAAGAAATAATTCATCCTCAAGCGACTCGCAAGCGAGAAGACTTGATGAAAAAAGGTCGCATCAGCCAGAGGTAGTGTAATACTGGCGACACTGTGCCCGACGAGTATGAACAAGTTCAGTGACTCGTCAGCTGAGTCAAAAGATTAGGAAAGCTGTGAAAGGCAGGCCGTATAAATCGGAACTCCCTCGTCAATGAAGATGCATGTAATGAGGAGAGAAGGGACGGGGGAGAAGGTGTTTATATCCTCCGCCGCTTGGCACGCTAACGTACACATCACCTGGGAATCGTTTGTTCCGGTCTTGGGGGTCTCCAGCATGGCTAATCTTCGGGAATGGCTGGAGGCATCGGTGGTAGGAGCATGCAGTGACCTATTGCCGCCCTCAGGTCAACATTCGTGCCCTGTTCGGTGTACGAGCCTGGCAACGGAACGTAGATATACAGGTGAAGCCTGTGCAACGCATCAATAGTGACGCATAGAGACATTTTGAGAAGCAGTTGAGAGATACAATAGGTAGTATAATATACGCACGTATTCATCCACCTCCGCATATATATCGTGCATTTCCGTCGAGATGAGATACAGGATAGTGGAAGTATTAGTGGCTGTCTTAATATCTCTGTGTCGCCTACGACACGCAAACTCTTCTATCTTTTGTTACCAATGTAAGATATTATCTTTATCGCATCCTAAGAAGTCAGGCGGCTCGCTGTCTCCTTTCTTCCAGGGAGTTGACAGTCAGCTGTATCCCATTGCACGGAGAATGCGTTCTCTCTTTTCCCCTTCATCTCTTGGCATATGTCCTAATCTCCTCTCTGCAATCAGCGTGTGGACTGTTTGTCCTCGCTGCTAAGTGAACAAGTCTTTTCGAATTCCCACCCGCACCTTTTGCATCCACAACAACAGTCATAAAAGGCGAATCCCATTTGCATTGGTATCTTCAGCCTTAAAATTCTTATTCATGGCATTTCACCTTTTCTTTCTGTTTTCACTATCCTTACTCCTCCAGGCGGCAGTGTCGTAGCTGCGCCACGACACAAGCGAGGGCCACAGCGATAACTCAAATAACGACTTCCATTAGCACTTCCTGGTCTTCAGTCAACAGGTACGAGATGACCAAGGCCCTCTAACTTACACGAGTCACCGCCCCACATCAGGTACGTACTTTCTTCACAAGCACTCACCTTTTCCTGTGATGATACCTGAAGCACCAGACTCTGAGTCCACCCTTGAAGACCAACGCATGTGTCTGATGAGACATCTTCTACATTTCTCAGTATCCTTCCTCATCGCACCTTGCTGATGTTTGAACACGTCCCTCTAGCTTCGTCGAAAATTCGCCAAAATGCCAGCTTCAGTGGCAGTCTGCGACAGATGTCGATATGGTACGTATGCATCCTTCTCTCTTCACAATCGCACGATGATCCCCGATACATCAGACGGTATCTGATAGACTGATCCCCATCACTGGCACTATTCGAAAGCGCTGACTTCCCCTTACTCTACTTTCCCGTCCAAAGCTTTTGCTCGAATCCTGCTGAGCAGAAACATTTCGAACAGTTCCACTCACAAGGCCGATAGCTGCTTCCGAGAAAGCGCATAACTCCTCCACATATCCGCAAAGCATCACGATTGCATCCTCTTGCTGTACGCCCAACACTCCCATCGAACTTCTTCGTATTCCGGTACGTCCAGACTTCATCCTTTCTGTCGTATCATCCACGTTCTTTCGCGACACATGCAAACCGGTCAATCGTACTTCTTTAGGAACGATGGCATGCGGCGCCGCAAAAGTAACACACATTTTCTATCCTCGTGTCCTTGAGGCTGTGAGCCTCTCAGTATCCAAGGGCGCAGATGGGCAGTTGAGGTGAACGTTCAAAAGGTCTGTCTTGAGCTTCTTCATGAAAATGGCAGAAGGAGTGGCGATTACACACCAATTCCATCCTGGGGTTGGTGAGCGTACGTTGAAGTGCGCTGACGATGTACATCTTGGTGCGACGCTTTGTCGATAGTGTATCTAGAATGTATCCAGTAGATGGAGTATTTGACTGATTTTTTCAGTTGAAGACTTGCTGGTAGGCTCTCGAGGGTATCAGAGCTGGTGGGTATTCTCTCGTGGATGTTCAGAATTGGCTTCTTTTCTACCCTCTTGTGTCCTTCTGCTGCATGAATACGACTAAGCGTGTAGATGTTGCCAGTGAAGCCTATAACATGTAAAATCCGAATGAAGAAAAAAAAACAAGCACCATATCGCAATTCTCACCGTGCAAATTGCAATATTCCACTTCGAACGGTGAGCATTAACGCTCATTTCTCTCCCAAAGCGCGTGTATGATATGTGGATAGACAGGTACAAGTCCGCGTTTCCGCTCGATTTCTGCTTCTCAACCAACACTACCTTCCACCACGTAAGTATTGTTTCCAAAACCTCTATTCCTGTTCAAAAGCTAACCTTTGCTATACATCGTATGTATATCTAAAACGTAACAAGCTAACCACTTGAAAGATCATCGATCTCAACCCAATTTCGACAAAACATGGTTCGCGCTCAGTCCGAGCGCATGGCGATTCGCCTGCACCGTCTCCGTCTCCGCGTATATATCCACTCCATCTACCTGGTTTATAAGAGTCATCTGAGTCTAGTGTTGTAGATTCTCCGGCTATGTTACGATCGTGGCCTGATCGTGCGGGCAGGCTTGCTGCAGTACCAATCGGCCCTGTACCAGGCCATGGGTCTCGAACTCGGGGTGCTTCGGACTCGGGAGCAAATCCTGAGTGCGAGGCTTCGTGCCCGCATGAGGGCTGAAGTAACCCGTAAGTCTAATCCTTCTTCGTGATATGTTAATGATGTATAGTGTGTGGGAAAGCTGAATCACCAAAACACTTTCACAAATACCTCACTTTACTATACCCTATCAAACCAAAACTAACAATTGAACAGACTGATCAGCTCACCGTGGTCCACGCCAGCACCTGCGCCTGTACCCGCCGCAAAGGAGATGAGGAGAGGGAGGACGAATGGCCTTCGAGCATGACAAAAGTGTTTTTTTTTTGTGTATATCTGAATGGACTTCTGCTTCTCTCCATTCCTTGATACTGAAATCTCGTCTGTGTCAGTGCATCGTATACCTCCTGGATAAACTACATGTCTTGGCCCTAGCAGCCAATGATGGCCTAAGGGCATACTGGCATGCCTGTCAGCTTCTGACTCTCAATTCACTGGTATGCTTCAGAGAACGTTAAGATCTTCAGATCACAGCTGAAAGAGAGACACACCGGCTCCAGGACTATACATTACCTCACCTACGGGTGAGTATAAACGATTGTATACCTCCCCGCCTACTCTTCCAACCAGTCTGCAGCACTACTAATTGCTTTGCTAATAATGTCAACCCATCTCCGAACACCATCTTCACTCTTCTCTTCTATGGATTCGACGATACCAGGAAACGTTGCACCTGAATAGCCTGTCCACTTCCCAGGAGCAAAGACGACATGCTTGAACCAGCTTCGTCCATCAAGACCATCGGGAAACAGAAACTTCCTTTCCAGGTATTTGTACTTGGTATTAATTGCGCGAATGGCGAGGTACAGCTGCACCTTCTTCCAAGGCTGCCACCAGGGTATTTCGCCTATGTTGGAGTATTGGATTGTGAGGTCAGAGGCCGTGGCATCGTGGAGGGTAGATGCGAACAGGAAATGGGACACGGCTTCATCGAGAGTTTGCCAGAGTTCGCCCGGGTCTCTACTGGGTGCGGCGTCGTGTGCCTTTTGTTTGACGGCGTCGACGTACTTCTGAAGACCGATCGCGTAGTCTGTGGCGTTGAGTTGGAGGATAGGTGTCTCGATAAGTTTCGCTGCTACAAGTGCCCAGACCTTTGCTATTGTGGCGTGGTACTCGAAGCTCGGATCTCCATACTTCTTCATCCAGTCGAACGAGTCATAGTTGCTGTGGTAGTGGTAGACAGCAGATTTGGAATCACCGCCAAAGCCCATGTCGATACTTGGAATGCCAGCAAAGTCTTGGAAAGCTGTAAAGTCGCTCCCGGAGCCCATAGTCTCAATGCGCTTGTCCCATACATCGTATACAGTTTGACCGGCGATTGTCTGGTTTGGAGATTTGACCATATGAGCTGGCACATGTTAGCTGAGTCAGGTGTACAGATTAAGAAAGCAAACTTACCAACTTCCTCGACCACCCTACTCAGCAAGGGCGCCGCTGATAGCTTGAAGTCCGGACCTACTGAGCCAACATCGACATTCAGATATGCGACTGTCGAACCAGAGAGCCACGGCAGGTACTCCTCAACCCACTCAGTGCTCCCAACGAGGCCGTACTCCTCCCCATCCCAGCTGGCAAAGACGATTGTCCTCATGGGCTTCCAGCCAGCCTGCATAGCAGCGCCGAAGCTTCGAATGACCTCGTTGAGCGCTGCACTGCCACTGTTGGGATCCCCAGCACCGCCAGCAATCCAAGCGTCACGGTGGTTGCCGAGAACGATGACTTCGTCAGGAATGGTGCCATTGATGATTCCGATGACGTTCCACAATGGTGTCGTAACGTACTCCTGCTCGTTAACCAAGTTCAGCACAAGGTCATCGGGCGAAGGTCCAATATTATATTCTACGCCCTGGTAGTCCAGCCCACCACCGTGCCAGTACTCGTTGAAGGATGAGGCTTTCGGGCCGTGGCCGTTAAGCGCTTTGAGAAGGGGGAACGCATCGAGGTAGGAGATGGGTAGAGAGGGGATATGCGGCATCGCGTGGTCGGCAGGCTGGCGAGGGCAGCCAGGTTTCGAGGGATAGCCTGGAGTGGTAGGATCACCTGGTGCGAAGCCTGCATATTGTCAGCATAGCATAGAGAGAAGGGCAGGTAACAACTTACTCAGAAACTGGACGCTCCCTCGCTGAACACTGCTGGGTTCTCTGGCCGGCCCGTCGGGGTAGGTCGCATAACCGTTCTTTTTGGTCACCTCTCCATCGTCACCAGGGTCCGTGTACATGGCGACGCCGACCATGCCCAGCTCTTGCGCGCGCTTGACCTTCAGACCGCGGAAGACGCCACCGTACTTGGCCAGGGCGATCTTGCCTTCCAAACTGACGTTTGCCGCCTGCAATTCCTCGAAGTCTCTGTATGTGCCGTAGTTGACGAAGACATATGGCGCCGTCACATTACCGGAAGCGCTGTATCCGTGGAAGGTAGGCACGCGATCTGCGAGTTGGCTTGACTTGTCCGCATCCAGGACGTCTTCCTCCAGTCGTGCTTCATATCTGACCTTCCATTCTTGACTTGTAGCTGTAGTGCTGTCTGCCATCTCATCTTTGTGCCCAACCTTCTCCATCAGGGCTAATCGGTGGCCTTTTGGATAGTTGATGTAGACATCGTAGTCTACTATTGTGCTTTGGACTCCCCATTCCTGCCATCTTTCTCTGGTCCACAGCGCCTGGCTGAGGTTCTTACCTGCAAGGTGCGGCCCGCTCGTGTAGTATCGGCTCCACTCTTCTGCCTTTTTGGCATTGGGTGTTTCTAGCAGGGTCACCTGCAGGTCTTCGAAGTCCAGGGCCGTCTTTCGCGCCCATCCTTTGGGTATCTGTGAGATTGATAACGAAGACGCGGAAAGTCGTGATGTAGGAGCTAATTCGTCTTGACTGGGTGGCGCAAAGCTGAAAATCAAGACTGCGACAAGTCCTCCTACGAATATCGTTGCGCTTAGCAAAGTAGTGCATATGAACCGTAGGTGATGATGTGGGTATCGGTCGCGATGGGGTCGAACGTCGACGCGTTGAATCAGCGGCGTGCTCTCGTCGGCCATGGTGGATAGCTTTTCATTGCTCGCCGGGCGCTGCATATACAAACAAGATGGCTCTTCTACACCCAACCGGAGGCATTCAAGATGGTAGCAGAGATGAGAGATAGCTGCGCTGAGCTATGCCGTGGCACCAGTGACACCTCGGGTCGATGGCGTCACACACTTATCTGATCCTATCTTAGCGCGCCTGTTATGTCAGGGGTCCAAGGAACCGCGAAATTTGTCACGAACCTCAACCACATCTCGCGTCTCGTGCAGAGGGCTACACATCATGCCAAACATCTTCATCAGAGCAGCTCATGACAGAACTAATGACTCTCAACACTACCGACATTTCTTAGCAACCTTACTAAACCTACCACTGTGCTTTTTATACACTCTCGGAGATGACCGCGAATACAGAAACTTCATAGCGAGCGATCGCGCTACATGACACAGTGATGCCCTGCTCTGATCTTCATCTGGTGGTAGGCCAACGTATATCATGACTTACTCCACAGTGCTCTTTAGCTAGTCTGGCGTAAAGTCCTTTTTTGTTCGCATGCCAGCTCTTCTGTCAGCCAACAAGGACATCGTAAAGCCGACATAATAGGCATGCGTAACAAAGTGACAATGGCGAGTTCCCATTGGGGCGATAGCATGTAAGTAGATCTTTATACCCATATAGGTTTTTTGTGATTCTTCCAAAAGCTGCAAATATACATTCGGGTTTGAATATAAGGGGCATTGTAACACAAATCAGAAAAATAACACGTTGGTTTCACAGTATAATGACTACCTCTCCGCTCGAAGCCCCGCAACTGATGGGAGTTACAGGCGGCTGCTGCGCGTCTTGCAAGTCGACTACTATTTCCTTGTACGCCCTCTCTTGTCACGAAAGCCATGACTTTCATTGCCGCGACTGCCTTACCAAAACCTTCCACGCTTTTGACGATCAGGTTGTACGATGCCCTCATCCGTCCTGTCGTCGCTCGGTTGGCTTTAAGCCGCTTACTCCTCTCGCACAAGACCTTCACTTGAATAATGAATTCTATGACCAGAAACGCATCGACAATATCCGCCACCAGTCGGAGGTCATGAACAACTTGATCGCATTCACAGGTGAGGAGGCTGAGGTCATCTTACATCATGTCTATAGCATGTTCGAGGACCAGATTATGGATCCCGTCGCGCTCGGTGGCGTCCCTGGCTACATCACTGCAAGCTCTGTGCAATCTCTACAAGCTAGCTTTGACTATAATCCTTTCATTTGCGGCTTTCTTGCCGAAATGAAGACTGATTCCAAGTTGATGACTACACCTTACGAGCTTGACGAAGACCTTAGCGCACTCCTCTCCAAGTTGCTCTTCCGATACGCGCAGTGGAACTACGGCGACGAACTTTCTCGTTACGGCGTCGACCTTGACAATGAAGAGGCTGTGTTAGGTGTAGCTTTAGAGAACTACAAGCCCATTAATGAAATCAAGGAAAACTGGGAACTGATCCTCAAGAAGTGGGTTGAGTTGCTGGCATGGAGGCATTTGGAGCGTCTGGCGTCACCTGAGGATGGTGCTGCAGAACGTCAGAATATGCATTCTTAAGGCATTAAGGATAGGCTTGGACCACTCTGCGGTTTTTAACACGATGTAATATGCTGCCTTTCCAGGTAATGTCATCAACAGGCTGGCCTATGGCCTGCTATATCTTTGAGTGAGTATCCTACCTGGATGCTACGGCACTGATAGGTCTACATATTGGTTTTTGCACATTAAAATTGTCTTCTTAGCAGCATAGTCTACTGGTTACAGGAATGTCTTGATTGGCCTTGCATGACCTCGCTATGCATTCGTACGTCTACAATATACACTTGCCCACGGCCACCTCTCTTCAACCAAACGTGATGCGTCCGACCTCCCCTTCACTAATCCTCATTCTCGTTATTTTCTGCTAGCCAGGAAATTGCAAGGCTCCAGACCATGTTGGGATCGTTTACGAAGCGACAAAGAAAGCACCAGGAATATTTCACATCACTAATATCTTAACGCGAGTTCGTATGGTAGTTTGGAGAAAAGGGTTTGATAACCAAAGCGCTATGCTACAAAGAAGGTGTACTATACACAAAGAAGTGAAACAGTCGTCGTATCCAACGAACGAACCAAAATGTCTCAGAAGAATGTCCATCCATCATATCATCCCCTAAATCTGTTCATATGCCAGAGACGTTGCCGATACGAGAAGCCTAGAAGAAAGAGCGGGCGTGGCGGCGAGCCTTGGAGGCAGAGCCGCTAGCCTTACCCTCGAGCCACGTGATGAAGGTGTCAATGGTGAAACTCTCGGGCAGCTCGTCACCGCCAGTGGAAGGAGCAGCAGAGGAAGCAGCAGGCTCCTCCTCGGCAACGGGGGTGGCAACGGGAGTAGCAACAGGGCTGGCGCTGGAGGCGGGGCTGGAGATAGGGGTGGTGGAGTTACCGCTGGGGCTGGGAGCAGCAGAAGGGGTGCTGGGAGTGGTGGGAGTGGAAGAACCGCCGGAGCCGAACAGAGCAGGGCCGGGGATAGTGTAGTCGATGGTGGCGGCGTAGGGGCTGAAGAGAATGCCAGGGTCGGTAGGGGTGTAGAGCTCAGTGCCGACGACACCCTCTGGGGTCTCGGTTCCGGAACCTGTAACCTCGATGTTAAGGCCTAAAAATTTAGATTAGTGATCGGTTTTGGATATAGGATTTAGAGGTCGGACATACATTGAGGGTAGTTCTGGGCACCGTTCGCCTCACCAGCGCCGTGGAGGGCAATGATCTCGTGGCGGAAGACGTACTTGCCAGCGGCAAGGCTCTCAGGGACGGTGACGGGCCAAGTGTTGTTCTGGCCGATCATCTTGACGGCAGCCCACTCGCCGTTCTCGTAACCAGCAGCGTCGATCTTGGTCCACTTGAGCTCTTCCTTCTTGACTGCGGCGATGTCGCCGGTGTAAGGAGCGACATAGGTGATGACGGGACCCATGTGACTGTCGGGCCAGACAGACCAGTGGAACTCTACAACGCCACCGGCGGTGACCTTGGCCATGCTGTCGGAGCTGCCCTCGGGGCTAGCAGCCTTGTGGCAGATGATGTCGGGGTCGGAGAAGGAGTTGGGCTCCACGAAGCCGTTGTCGAGGTTCTCGGCATACCAGCCCACGTGCTCGGGGGTCTCACCGCCGTTCTGCTTGGCGTAGTAGTAGTCGAGCTTGAAGCCCTGGGAGAAGACACCGTCGATGGTGATACCGGTGACGGTACCGTGGGCGGTGGCGGTGGCAGCGAGAGCCGCGATGGCGCTGAGGGAGGTGATGGTCTTGTACATGTTGGCTGATTTGGATGGAAAGGTTCTTCGAAAGAATGAAGTTGTTCGATGGAAGCGAAAGTTCAGTTGGTAGTTTTTGAAAGAGTGTCTGCCGGCCTCACACAGTGAAGGGACTTGAAGAACGAATGTGGATTGAAAAGAAGGGACTGGTGTAGAACCGAAGATTGAAGCTGTAGCGATGATACTTCTGGAGAGGTACCGACGTGCTTTATTTATTCACTTCAGTCTCTGCTCAAATGCTCCGCCTACATTGGCCCACATCCTGGGTGACTCGCAAAATGAGAGCCCAGCATGGCGGATTCATGCCGCGCGCAAAACTATGCACGTCTTCTGGTTTGTTTGAATCGCCATGTTTCCTCTTGAGGAGACACTAGCGATATTGTCAGGATTCGCAGGACGTCCCGTGCCTGCAGCCCAGCGTCAAAATGCGGCTCTGGGGCAGTGGAAGGAGCACTACACCCTGCCATGATCCAGTCTTCGGTCCCCGGTATGCATCGTACGCCTGGTTATCGTCTGAATGAATCGTTTCTGTCGGTGATGTAGTGGTTTCGGGTTCTAGCGACAGCGTAGAGCGGGGCGGCATGAAACGTGCATTCCGCCTGTTCCTGGTTTTCGCCCTTGCATACTCGCGCTGCCAAGATCTTAGCTGTTTCTATCAGACGAGGTGCCGAGAACGCCGCATTTGTGTGGCGCCTGTCAAACGTCTAGATTCGATTGTAACGGGGTTGAAGGATGTGGTGTTGATGAACTGGAGGGTCGGAGTTCATGCACGCGATTGCGAGCTTGCAACAAACGTCAGCAAGATCGGTACGGGCGAACCACGGCTTCTGGATCCCAGCTCACCATATGTCCCCATCCTCCCTTTGTCAGAACTGACCCTAGCCATTTCGTCGCACTGCATACCAAGCCATCAACCGATTCATCTCATGATTCACAGCTGTTGTCGGCTCGTCTACTTCGCGCGCGCAACTGTCATGCACCCCTGACAGCGTACCCGGACCCACTCCACCGACCTTCGCGTGTGCAGCCTCGTTTCACACGTGAAACGGCCAATATTCCCCCAATAGTAGGGTGCGGCGTTGCGTCTAGATCGGGGCAGGCGTGTTTGACGATAACGTCGTTGAGATTAAACAAGTCGGGTGTTCGGAGGGGGCGTTCTTGGATGGCGGGCGCGGGGGAACCAACATCGCAGGTGCGGCGCCGTTGACTTTAACGTCTTTTGCTTTTCCTCTTTATCCGTCTTCTTCCTTTTAGGCTGCAGTTGTGTGATGCCTGTGGGCCTAATGATAGATTCTCACCATGTCTCGAACGTAGCTCGTTAGAAAGTTTCTGCTATCGATCAGCATAGCAGAAAAGCCTTGATTCCTTGCCAACCATCGCGTGTATCTCCTGGCGCTGGCATCTCATTGGTATTTCGCAGCTCAGAGTCGCCGGTAGACTTCCAGGCTCTTTTACCATACTTCCTTCTCCTAGGCCAAGACATTGCGCACATCTTCTGGCATTTCGTGCCTATTGCTAATATTGGTCCTCAAATCCGCATGGATACTGTCAGGCTGTGTTATTTCCTATTCTCTGTTAAGTTGTGGTCGTTCAAGTACTTATAAACTCTGCCATCATCTTTCTGCTTCCTGGGTGATGATGCCTTGTGTACCTTCTGGCAACCCTCCAAAACCTACACTGACCGCAAGAGAATCCGCTCCGCGTACACCTCGAGGCTCCCATATCACTTTGCTCTATCACTGCAGAATCGGCCGAATGCCTCCTGGCTCTCACATCGTACTGTTTTTCCCCAAGCCAAATAACTGAGCCTGCCTCCACGCCACACTCTTGGTTTCCTACTTGTACCACGAAACCAGCCTCTCGTCCATCAAAACATTCCTAGATAGGTCTCTTGGTCCAGTGGTTGAAGACACTGACTTGACGTTACTGTGTAGCCAGGGTGCTCGTGGAAACGAGCATGTATCTGGGGCCTAGCAAGCTCATCCTGGTTCTGTAGAGTCTGTGAGAAAGGCTCGTTCGACTCTAGCAGAGGCCGATAAAGTTCTCTCTTTTTGCTGATTTTTAACGTGTACGGAACTGGTGGAGTGAAGGACGAATGCGTTTGCGTAGCCGTGCGGCTTCGATTTTGGCTTTTGCAGGATTGGATGCTAGTGGTGAAGGGCAGTGCGTTTTGCTTTCGAGTTGCTCCTCCTAGCTGCGCACTGTATCTTGCACATGTGTTTCAGAATTTCTTACCCCTTTAGCCCGGCAGTCAAAACGTACAGCATTGTTCACTACCTTAGATGTTCATACAAGTGTTTGTTGTAGGAGGGTATGCCGCAATGGTCGTCTTCCTTCCTTGCGCCGATATGTGAGAAATTGAGGCTCGGCTCCTCGTGAGGTCATCCTTATTGCTGGTGCGGCGGGTGCGAAAGGGGGAACAGACAGCGCGGGGTTATCTACTTGCAGTGATGTTTTGATTGCAGTCCCTCAAACAGAATTCCAGAACCAGTAAAGAGCATTCTACTTCTTGTTGCAAGAACACACGCTCTCGGGTTGCCTATAAATACAAAGCTTCAAATCCATTGTTTCGTAGTCGGGTATAGACGCTTTGGCTTAGAAACATGCGCAAACAGCCGCACACAATATGCTCACCTCCCCCACAGATTACATGTCTCAATGTCATCAACACGAACCCACTCACGCGCTTCTACGTATTCAGTTATTCCAGCCACGCTTGCATGCCACCAACCAACAATACGGCTAAACCCAACACCCACTGCGCGACTCCGAAGGCGCCCTGCACGTCGTCCTTCTGGATAGTCCATAAAATCGCAAACGCCGCGCTACCTAAGCCACAGATACCCATCGTTACTGCCCATACCCGCTGCGCGAGAAAGCCTTCCACAAGATGAACACCCCAGCCCATACCAAACTCCAGACGCTGGCGCCGCTTTGGACTACGAAGATACGTAATCAACTCGCCCTCATAGTCCTGAGGGTGCTTGAACAAATGAAGAAGATAGGTGCTTCCAACAGGAGGCAGCAGATCATTGGGCTCGAAGGTATACGGATGTTGAGACGGCGCTTGTGACTTCTCTGGCTCGCTAGTCGACCCTGAAGAGGCAGCGGACTTGGGTGGCATGGAAGGTGCAGCACGGATATCAGCGAAACGATTACGATGGACTTCGAATTGAACGAACTCGATGGTCGTCAGTCCACGAAGGCGAGCCCAGTTGAACCACCGTCGATTAAGCTGGTCATAGTGCTCTCGTAGCGCGAGCGCAAGGTCTTTGTCGCTTCTTATGCGTCCTTCGTTGACATCGAGATGAACAATCTTAGGCGTAAGACGCCCCTCATTTGCACAGGTCAAGAGCCAGGACTCCTCGGCGAATGATGGCATACGGACACTGAAGGGGTTGGTAATACGGGTGCGAGACGGACTGTACTTGGAAGCATCACTGCCTCTTGTCCAGGAACTAGGTCCTCCGTAAGTCGAGGATGGTGTGGTTAGTGTGGATGCTCTACTGGACGAGTCAAAGATGGAAGCCATCGATGATGCCGTACTGCCTTGGCTGGTAGGACTCCTTGGTGTGTGAGCCCTCGGGCGGTTGAGAAAAGCTTCGAGAAGACGAGCAGCATTTGGTCGCTGTTCGATGAAATCGTCATATAGTGGCTCACCACATGACTGTACTTTATCAGTATGGTCTAGCTGGATGGCATATCATGATGCTTACACAAGTCCATCGAACACGAACATGTCCCTGTGGCACAGCAGGCTCCGTCCCGAATGTGTCACGAAGCAATCGGAAACCTTCATAAGCTTTATCCGACAAGGCACTCAGTGCAAGACCCCAGTATATCGCGGTTAGGCTGCGACCTCCAAGTGGCGCCGATCGAATCTCTACTTCCGAAGGTAATGTTATCTCACCAATGTGGTCGCTATCTAGTGGCTCAATGATCTTGGGTACCGAGAACTCTCTGGTGTCATTCTCGTCATCTTCGTTCCTGGGAATGAATTTACCCAGCGCTCTTCCTAGAGCTTCATGAAGCTCATTTGAGCGATCGATTTCCGCCCACTCAGGAGAACATGGCACATCAGCATCGTCTGCCTCCATTGGTGACGATGAGGATGATGCGGGCTTGCGGAGCCTAGGTGACTTCTTCCGCCGCGTCGCTGGTGACACATGTGCTGACCTTGTTTGAGGCACATCAGTCACAAGGCGCAATCCAAGCTTGGGTCTGGAGGGAGCATGTAATTCGTCCGCAGATAAGTGACGCAGATGTCGCGGCTTCACTATACTGGTTTGTCGTATTGGGTGTGACCAAGTACCATACTCATCATTCGCTGGACCAGATTCATTAGATTTGCGAGACGTCGGACGTATGCGTTGGCGCAAAGTCGTCGACTCTGCTGCAGTCTCCATAAACACACTATCTGATGCATTGACTGTTGATACTACGCGATGCTTGACGGATTTATGAGCATCAGATCGTTTAAGTTCTAAGTTCACCGCACGGCTCTTCACACGAGGGCGGGTCTTCTTCTCTACTACCCGCTTTCGTACAGGTCCAACAAGTGATAGACCACGAGTCGGTGTCTTTACAATGCTGGAGACTGAAGCCGACCGGGTGGGGGTTGTTGTGGTCTGGGAGAATGGCTCGGCGTCGGTCTGGTCTTCATCCATACGGCCGTATATCGAACGAATATCGGGTATCAGAGTCTCGGCATCACTCAGGCCATCTTCAGCAATCGAGCTCCTAGCTAGGCTATGGCGCGGCAGATGTCTCATTGATGGTACGGCAGGCTCAATAGGTCCAGCCATGGCGGATGGCAGTAGTCGTTGAATGCCAGGTGTATTCGAAGTACCGATTTCAAAAATATCATTGCGTCCAAGAAGCGTATCGGCGGTCGATGTAACAGTAGAAGGAGGGCAATACAATTCGGCTGGCAAGGTCGCGGAATCAAGCTCTTGAGTTTCAGATGTTTGTTCTGCGTTGAATTGTTGACCCAAATCTACTTCTGCAATCTCGTTTGAATCCACGGAACCTTTCAACAAGCGCACCACGTAGCCCTTTCCTTTCTTCTTGATCCTGGCCTTGATGTCGGTAAGTCGTCTGGATTGCGTAGAAGCTGTTGAGTCGCTCCGAGAAAACGATACATCCCAATCTGGCACGACCTTTTTGAGAAAGTCTGGAGGTACATTGTCTAGATCGGCCCAGCCTTGCGTATCATGCAGAGGAGTAGTTGGTGGGCTTCTGCTCTGAGGTGCGAATGATACTGGATGTTCTGCATCCGACTTCAAGCTGTCTCGTGGAGTTGTACGAGAAGCAACATGAGATGTGCAGTTCAGAGGTATTGCATTCTGCAGCTGTTGTTTTGAGCCAAGGTTGAAGACAAGCTGAAACTGGCCGGGATTTCTTGCATCTTCTTGGAGATTCAGGGTGAAGGGCACCGATTGCGTCTGCTCGTATTGTGGAAGAGGTGTCTCGCGACCTGCATCAAAGGCCTTTGGATCATTGCTCGTCGGTTGAGGTTGGTTGAAACGCAACGGAACTGGAGAAGCTATTGAGGAAGCCTATCGCAAGGTGCAAATCAGCCACTGAAACTAGTACACATCCTTTCCAGCCTTGCGATAGCAACAAGTTGCCCCGCTTCACGCCTGAGAGCCGCATAGAGACTTACCATGTTCGCGTAGTGCTCGCCGCGCGATGCAGGAACAGTCGCCCGAGGGACGCAAAGAAGGGCGGCATGATGATAGTTTTGACCGGTCAAGGCTGCAGTCAGCTGTGTCCAGGACAAACCAGAGATGGTTACTGCGGTCGTTCCTGCACTGCCACCACTCCTGCAAGGTGATCAACGAGGCTGCTGTGCCGCCCCGCTGATTGGCGAACCTCATCAGCCGAACACATTCATCACCACAAGCGTGGGTTGCCTCATCTCTGTCTACTCCCATAGCTCTGGAAGTGCAAGTCGACGATTGCGCAGCCTTGATGCATAAAATACCTGCTTTTCGCCACCGAAGGCCAGCTGTTCTCTTTTCGTGCAGACTTCTCGCGCGTCGATTCGACACGCCACCTCCATACATCTTACCTTGTATAGGACGAAAAGTGCATCGTATGATGCAGAGATCTATGCGTAACGACACAATTGTCTGAAGACGATGTTGGGATAGGCTTCGTGGCTTTCGAAGTAGCGAGCTGTCACGTTCCATGGCACGCTCCTTCCCGCTCGCCAAGGCCGTGCGTCATGTCCGTACGCCGTCTTTCATTTCCAGTCCCTAACTCCGACACCTACCATCACAACAATACAACTTCGGCATCTTCCCGATACCTAGGACTTGGCTTTTGGAGTCCCGGACAGACTCTCGTCACATGCTCCCAATATTCTTCCGGACCAATCTGTTCAGAGCTCTTCCTCCGCGCCTCGGCACGCTTGATCACTAGCTATTAGCTAAGCTAGCCAGGTTGCTGGTAGAAACACCGATGCCTCGGTGTATAAACTACCGCCTTCCCCGCAAGACACGGAGATCCCTGTTCTCCACAGTTTCTCCGGACAGCGGCCTCGAAATTCCCCGCCATTAGAAGACTTAGGTTCCATGGAGAGCAAGGATGCTCACCAGATGTGGCAGGGCAACATGACGTTAACGGGCAGACTCCGAGAACTACCTCGCACCAAATGCCGGGAGCAAACTATAGATCGCATGGTACGATGGTAGGGATCCTGGTAGAATGAGCGGAGGACATGTATTGGCGTTTGTTCATATACCACGTCAATACCGTCCGCATTTCTTGCTTCATCATCTTGCACACCCCTCAAGCCTTCAAGATGCGTCTCTCCACCCTCTTCCTCTCGCTCGTTAGCGTTGCTTCTACGGTTGTCTCTGCGGCCCCCAAGAAGGCAGAACAACCTACCTTCTCTCGCAACGTGATCTTTTCACCGCCCAGAAACGCAAACTGGACTGACCCTGGTGTGCTTTACGCCCGCAGTGCGCAGCTTCCTGACGGTTCGCTCCTTGCAACATGGGAGAACTACTCGCCTGAGCCACCGAAGGTCTACTTTCCCATCTTCAAGTCAACCGATGGCGGAAAGTCCTGGAAGGAGTTCTCACGCGTCCAAGATACGCAAAATGGCTTCGGTCTGCGATACCAGCCATTTATCTACGTGCTGCCTGAGAAGATTGGTGGCTACAAGGCCGGTACCGTTCTAGTCTCTGGATCATCCATTCCCACCGACCTCTCTACAACTGAGATCGTTCTCTACGCGTCCAAGGATAGCGGCAAGACTTGGGAGTTTGTCTCCTCGATCGCAGCTGGTGGTGAAGCTCGCCCCAACAATGGCCTGACTCCTGTCTGGGAGCCTTTCCTGATGATGAACAAGAAGACTCTTATCTGCTACTACTCCGACCAGCGCGACAACGCCACCTACGGTCAGAAGATGGTTCACCAGACCACTACCGACCTCAAGAAGTGGGGCCCAGTCATCGACGACGTTGCTTACCCTACTTACGCTGACCGCCCGGGAATGCCTACTATCGCCAAGCTGCCTAACGGAAAGTACATCATGACATACGAATACGGTGGCGGACCCGCTATCACAACCTCGTACCAGTTCCCTGTCTATTACAAGATCGTCTCCGACCCCGAGAAGTTCGGCGAGGCTACCGGTATCAGCCTGAAGTCTACCGATGGCACCATCCCCACTGGTTCACCATACGTCGTCTGGAGCCCTGTTGGTGGCAAGAACGGAACCATCATTGCCAGCGCGCACAGCGGGACCAACGCTTCTGGCTCAGAGGTTTACATCAACAAGGGTCTTGGTCAGGGTCCTTGGATCAAGGTCAACACCCCTGAGGGAAGTTCATACACCAGGCATCTTCGCGTTCTCAAGGATCAGTCGAAGTTGTTGATCATGGGTGGTGGACAGCTGCCACCAAGCAACACTAACTCCATCACCGTCACTGTTGTTGACATCAGCAAGTGGTAGCCGAAATACTTGTCATGATCTCAATGCACAAACGAATTAATATCGATAACATAAATATTATAATGTTATTCTGCCAGTGATTTTACAACATGTTTTATCATGCAGTGACTCGTGCAATGACGCCCCTGATCCGATGCATCAGGGATATGCGCAGCGAAAGCAATTGAGCAGTAGCGCAAATATACAATTATGTTCCCTTATTTGTCTCTACGCATTATCCTGAACATCTCAGACGTCTCTGTGAATACCACAACACCAGGCAGAAAGGTTCACGCAGAAAGTCGAGCGGCACAAAACGGCGTACGTAAACCATTTTCTGTTTTGTAAAAGCAGACTTTGGTAGTCGTAAATGTCCTCGTATTGAAATGTTGTTATGTCAATAGTGCAGAGATCTGGGCGATCGGTAAAGAATACCAAAGACACGTTTAAATATCGGCCGAGAGAAGCAATGTCTGTAGGTTGGTATGGTGTGCAGTGGAAGTAACTGCAGAACCATGCTTCATTGCGCATTGAACCCACGATGGTGTTCTCATGGTGTTCTCATGTTGTTCTCATGTTGTTCTCATGTTGATGTTGCACGGTGCTGAGAAGGATGACAGTTCGCGCCTCACTCTAGCGCCCCTACTAGCGCCGGCCCGACCATTCTTCCTAAGCGAGCCACCGTGGGTCGCCGAAATTGGGTGCTGCGACTTGCGACTTTCGAAGATATCGCAGCAATCCAACGACAAGCCCTCCGACCGCCTCTCCCTACCCTAACCCGACAACCTCGATTAGATACCGACAAAATGCCTGGTGTAGGAGTCAAGGACATTGAGTCCCACAAGTTCATCAACGCCTATGCTGCGTTCTTGAAGCGTCAGGGAAAACTCCCCATGTAAGTAAATCGGTTGCGCAAAACGAATGCAAAAGCTAATAATACATAGTCCAGGTTCGTCTCTATCCAGCGGGTGAAGGATGAAGCCTGAATCCCGTAAATGGGGGATAACCTCAGCTTGCTGACCCTTATCTACAGGCTGGGTTGACACTGTCAAGACGAGCCGTAAGTTGATATATCAGTCCTCATGATGCGCATATTAGAATGCTAACAAACCGCAGACTCCAATGAGCTCCCTCCCCAGGACATCGACTGGTTCTACGTCCGTGCCGCTGCCGTCGCCCGTCACGTCTACATGGTACGCGAAGATTTCGAGACAACGGATGCAGAAGCAGGATACTGATGAATGGAACAGCGCAAGACTGTCGGTGTAGGCCGCCTCCGCAAGGTCCACGGATCCACCAAGAACCGCGGCTCGCGCCCTTCCCACCACGTTGACGCCTCCGGCTCCGTCGACCGCAAGGTCATGCAGGCTCTCGAGAAGATTGGTGTCCTTGAGCAGGACGAGGACAAGGGTGGCCGCCGCATCACACAATCCGGCCAGCGTGACTTGGACCGTATTGCCCAGACCACCCTCGAGGCTGAAGAGGAGGAGGATGACGAGTAAATGTTTCCATAAAGCATGTGGCAGGGATGCGACAAAAGCGCTGTCTAGCATTTGATTGCGGGACGGTACGGATCTACACGGTTTACGGCTTATGGCGTTGAAGATATGACATCGCTGGGCCTGCATTTAGCCTAGGATAACCAATGATACTGGGCTTGGGCCTCAAAAGCAACATGATACCCCTCTACATCGACAGCTGTGTGCAATCTTTGTTTGACCATCGTGACTTTGCCACCGACATGATCTTGATCGAAAACGGTAAACTGCAAACAAGTCTGTTCGATCAGGCTCGCTATCATCAAAAGCGTCGCCTGTGGTCTCCTAATATGCACTGTTCTTGCTTGATAGCGAGAGTTTGTACTATGTCTCCTGCACATTCAAACTCTACATGGTCTGTTCTCAAAACAAATCCGTCATAGCGCCATGGCTTGCATCACCTACCAGTCTGGCGTACTTGGCCAGCACACCCCTAGTAACTGGCATGCTGGGCGCTACCCACTCCTCCAACCTCTCGTCAATCTCCTCCTGCGATACATCCATATCAATCCGGTTCTTCTCCGCATCGATAGTAATCATGTCACCGTTCTTCACAACAGCGATAGGTCCACCGACCGCAGCCTCAGGACATATGTGTCCTACGATGAAACCATGGGAAGCTCCAGAGTATCGCCCGTCCGTGATGAGAGCAACGTTTGTCAACTTGGCGCCCATAATGGCCGCTGAGGCTTTGAGTTGTTCTGGCATTCCTGGACCTCCCTTGGGGCCCTCGTAGCGCACTACCACGACGACGTTTTCACCATGCGGAATCTGTCCGAGGTTCAAAGCACGGTCGAGTTCGTGTTCCTTGTTGAAGACGATAGCTTTGCCTGTGAACTTTAGGCCTTCTTTACCTGTGATCTTTGCCACGGCACCAGAGGGAGCGAGGTTACCACGCAAGATCTCGATATGACCGGTAGGCTTGATCGGGTTATTTAACGGCCGGATGAGTACCTGATCTTGTGGTAGTGATGGATACGATTCGATGTTTTCCGCTAAAGTCTTGCCCGTGACGGTAAGGATGCTGCCATCAAGCAAATTGGCGGCAACAAGGAGTTTCATGACAGATGGCATACCACCGATATCGAAGAGATCGGCTGCCATGTATCTTCCTGACGGTGCGAGATCGGCGAGGAAAGGTATCTTGTTGGACACACGCTGGAAGTCGTCAAGTGTCAAGGGGACGCCTGCTGTACCCGCCATAGCGAGGAGGTGCAAGACGGCGTTTGTAGATCCACCTAGTACCATCATCATGACAAGAGCATTCTCGAAAGAAGCCTTTGTAAGAAGTTTCCGGGGCGTAATGTTCTTCTCCATGCAGACTCTTATCGCGGCGGCAGCTTTGGCACATTCGCGCATCTTCGCGGGTGAGGTTGCGGGGGTTGTAGAGGAGTTGGGAAGGGTCAGACCCATTGCTTCAATCGACGTTGACATGGCTAAACGTGGGTGTACGAAGTCAGTATATGTCTCACATGCAGTTCATACAGGGGCACTTACTATTTGCCGTGTACATTCCTCCACAAGCGCCAGCTCCTGGGCAAGCATTCCTCTCGATATCCTCCATTATCTCGTCCGGCGAGAACTTGCCCTCTGTTGCACTCTTCAAGTTCTTGTATATATATGCGCCGTGGCTTTCGTAACACGTCGATATATTGATGGGCTTCTTCAGCGTCTCAGAGTAACCTGGCATTATCGAACCGCCGTAGACCATGAGCGAGGGACGGTTGTGTCGCGCGAAAGCCATAATGACTCCGGGCATGTTCTTGTCGCATCCGGGAATAGCTATGCAGGCGTCGTGGTGCTGGGCGCATGTTACGGTCTCGATACTGTCGGCGATGACTTCGCGAGTCTGGAGGGAGAAGCGCATTCCTAGAGGGTTGTCAGATCATGCGAAAGTTTGCCAATACCGACTAGCATACCTTCTCCACCCATGGTAATCCCATCAGATACGCCAATCGTGTTGTACTGCCATGCCAGCATGTTGTCATTCTGAACATGCTTCTTTATTTCCTTCCCGAGATCCAATACTATGGCGTCGTCAGTATACAAAATTGAGGTGCTGCAGCCATTGGTCTATTTCGCGCCGAAGGCATGCGTCTACTCACAGTGCATGCTGCAACATCATCAGTACTATGACCACGAGTCCATGGGGTAAACTGACTTGCATGGGTTACCCTCCCACCAAACGCTTGCAATCCCCACGTGGGGCTGCGTCTTCATGGCTTCTCGTGATGGCACACCAGCTGCGTACAGCATTGCCTAAGCGATGAGAGCCATTAGTGACTGAAGTACTTGAATCATCGTGACACCGGGAATAGCGAACCTGGGCTCCCGGGAAGTTGTGACCAGTAGTGAGTGTGGATGAGTACTTGTTCAACGCAGGCATTCCATTTTCAAGTTTGGCATCATCAGGAAGGTGTGGAAAGCTGAGAAAGCGTGGCTCTTCCGGTTCACGCTGCTTCTGAAGGTTGCGCGGATCCATGACGGGCGAGCTGGTATTTTGCAGTAAAATAGATGAGCGCGATCAATGGTGTAGAGGTAATTGTGTAGAAGTAAGGGTGCACAGATAGCCAGGAAGAGAATTCGAAGACTGAGCAATGATAAAGTTGACTCAAAGGCCGAAGTAGTCACCCGGGAGTGAGATACGGATGATAGCTAGCAGTTACCGCGTGTACCCAGGTACTCCCGCAGCAGGGATATGAGCAATTGGCGACTGCCCTAGTGATGATGGAGCAATCCGAATGCTCCAACAGATGCCTGTGTGGGGCATTGACAGGACTTTGTCACATCGTGCTGTAGCTAAAGTTCGGAAGGATGGAGGGGTTCCTCGGATGAGGGCACATTGGTACTGCACGCATTAGTTTTGACAGACGCTGAGGTTGACCAATACGACGAAGCTGATTGAAAGCCGGATTATGACGATTGGAGGCCATCTAGCGTGGTGTCGTTTGGCCTGGGGATTTGCTTTCGTTGCGGCCAAGTCCGGTGTGTGTCGGCGTAACTACCGGCGCGGCTTCGGCTTGACCAGATGCGGCGTCTGCAACGGCGAAGTTCGCTCGCGGGGTGTTCTGGAAAGACGCCAGTTCACGATGGGTATGGCAGGGAGTGACTCGCATGCATGCCTTGGATTCGGTATGCTTGTGAGGTCGTCGGAGTTCGTAAGGCTGCATGGCTCGGTTATTTACACACTTGCAACATGTCCATACTGACAACTTCTAGACTAGTCGGTCTAAGCCCGAGTACCCGGTCGATGGAAGTATATTTCACCTTTAAAAGGTTGGAGGAATCAACGATCAAGCATCAAGAAAGCATGTGTTGTTGATATGTCGGGCTTATAGTGTCGCACCGAAAGGTGCGGGGATAACCTACACAGCCATGCGGGTGACTGGAGGCAAGTTTCAATAAAATGGGGAAATGCGGAGACCAAAGTCAGTCTCTCATAAAGTTTCGCGATGGATGGGAGACGTTCAGGGGAAGACTGTTGGAAACGAAGGCTCCAGCACTCGAGCACATCCCTGCCAAGTTTCCCACGATGGATGGAAGAAAACGCCGCTTCCGAAGCCTGGCAGCAGCCCAACCCAACGTCATCCCGCCCATGCACCCATAACAAACCTCTTTAGCTAGGCAATTTTCACATCGCAAACACTCCCACGCGATTCCTTGTCCAGCTAGGTTTAGACGACACTATCGGACAAAGCAAACACCGCTCGCTGGCGCTATCTCTCCGTATCGCTGGTCAGGATGATATTCTCAGATATCGAACCAGTCTTCAGCTTCCAGATTAGAGACTATCCATCATAGCTGCGTAATCGTTGTTTCCCCAGCGTGCGCAAGGTTTCCAGTAGGAGACGCTCTCGCGCACCGGCTCTTACTCTCCAGCGATCCGGGCACGAGAGGCAACATCTCATTCCATTGGCTGCCGCACATCGCTCGTCACCGTCCCGCACGCCAGCACCTCGACGCCCCGTCGCATATACTTTCAGCATTTGAGCACGAAAAGGGCCATGGAGCCTCATTCGCGTCCTGACTTGTTCCGTAATAGCACGTTGCGCCTTCCACAGGCTCCCCTCGCTGCCTCACCTGGTAGCCCAGTGACACAGACCGCTTCAGACCTTAATCCCTGGTACGACCAGAGTATAAAGCAATCCGCTCATCGTCTGCTCCAGCTTCTCAATCCATTCGTAGTTAGTGGAGGGCGGTTGACTCTGACTTTTGTGGGCATGCTCCAACTGACAGCACTGTGTGGATTTGGATCCGTGCTTTGGTATCGGAGCAAAGGGAAGGGGAAAGGGAATGCCATCAACACGCAAGATGCATCTGATACCGCGGCTGGTGAGTTGTTTGAGGCCTTAGTGACACCCGTGGATACCCACGCAATCACGTGGTTCAGCTAGTAATCATCTAGCCTTGTCTTGCTAACCCTCCGCAGATGAGGCTGCTACGACTGATTCAGGCCTACTGAAGAAGTATTCCACTGTTCGCTCGTACACCGTCCCTTCCACTGGCTTCATCTATCCCAGGCTTCGGACCTTTTATCGCCCACATCATCAGGAGGACAAACTCCCCAAGGATCCGTACCCAGTTCCACTATTGGTGTTCATCCATGGTCTCGGAGGTTCTATCGCTCAATTTAGTCCTATCCTCACCAGCCTTTCCAACCTTGCTCCATGCTTGGCCGTAGATCTCCCTGGATGCGGCGTGTCGAGCTTCGAGCCAAAAGCATGGGACGCCTACACTACGGAAGCTCTTGTAAAGCTTCTTGCCGTCATTATCAATTCTTATCGTGCAGCGGATAGCAGACAGTCTGTCGTTCTCGTCGGCCACAGTATGGGGTGTTCACTGGCCGCACTCCTAGCTTCTCCGTCCTCGCCATATGCACATCTCTTATCGCAACATGTTAGCGGGTTGATTGCTATATGTCCTAAGGCAGAGCCTCCCACTGAGAAAGAAGTCAAAAAGCTGCGATCCGTCACATTTACACCCGTTGTTCTCTTCGATCTGATTAGACTTTGGGATAGGAGAGGCGGTGTCAACAGCAAGAGCGTTCTACGCATGGTAGGAGTGGACGCTGACGAAGAAACGAAGAAACTGCAGTTGCGCTTTAACAAGCAGAGTCGAAGTTCGGTGTGGTTGAGGATGGCACGCGGCATGTGCCCTGATTACTCAAGCGGCTCGCCGAAAGGGGGTCTTCCTGGTAAAGAGGTGTGGAAGGGACTGAACATTCCGGTATTCCTCGCCGCTGGTGAGACAGATATGGTCACTCCTGCGTCAAATGTCAAACAAATCGTCGGGTTTCTGGGAAGAGATGTCAGCGCAATCCTACCACCAAGCGAGAAGGCAAGCTTGCCCATTGCAGCAGCTCCGTTCGTGCCTTCAGCGATCCTTCCCGACGAGCCAAAGCGGACAGAGCACCAGGATTCTGGTATTGATGCAACAGATCTACCCAAACTCGAAGATGATACCAAGACCATCGAATCAACTTCAGTATTCACCACCAATGGGAGTCTTATATCTGCAGAGGAGAATACAACAGAAGGGAGCATGACTACAGCTGACGGACCAATGCTTTCCAATACTACAACTCCGTCTTCACACATTCCCTCGCCTCATCCGCGTCGACTGGTGGTCAAGACTGCAATAATGCCCAGACCTGCTGCGCATTCCCTGCTGTTTGCTCCGTCTACGTCCCGCATAATAGCCGGCCTGATAGGCACTTTCTTTGCCGACTACATCGATCCTCGTCTGTCGCTCGCTTGGCAACTCAACTATCTGTCGACTGAGGGGAAATGGGATGTCAAAAACTTGGAGAAGTGGAAAGCTGTCCGCCCCGTCTCCGAACCTATCGCCGGAGTCTTTCGCGCAATGAAGACGCTTCGGGAGGTCGACGAGGAGCACACACCAAAAGTACTTACCAGAACGTGGGCGGGCAAGCTTTGCGCAATTATCGACATCTCGCACGACAACCCTGTCTACGATCCAAAGGGACTAGAAGAAGGCGGCATCCCGTATCACAAGTTTCCTACAGTGTCAAAGCAACCCCCGCAGACTGCTGAGGTCAAGGAGTTCTTTGATCTCGTCGACAAAATCCGAGCCGAGGGTAGACCGGGTCTGATTGGAGTACATTGTCACTACGGCTTTAATCGTACCGGCTTCTTCCTCGTATCGTACATGATCGAGCGACTTGGCTATAGGGTTGAGGACGTGATCGACACCTTCCAGCAAGCTCGGCCACCAGGTATCCGACACTCGCACTTTATCGACGCACTGTACGTTCGGTATTGTCAGGGTCTTAAGCGCGCCCCGACACTATGACTGGCGTAATGGCAACATTCTTCTTGCTGATTCGTACTGTTTTGGGCAGTCTTCTTGTATAGTGTTTTTTTCTAATCGGTTCTTCATTCTCACTCGGTCTGGCAAGCGCACGCGTTCAGGCGTACAATCACTATCGGACATGGGCACGTTATGCAGCATACAGGAATATATGGTATAAGGATCGCATCCTAGGAATAGCACTGGTATATGGCTTGATCAACACAATGACGGCCGAACTCAAAACAATCACTGCAATGATAGAATCTCGTCGTTACTTACTCATTCACACGTTGAACAACCAAACAGCGTTAATCATACGCGCCATAGAAGAGCAGTGGGTGGTGCGCCCGATGTATGGTTGCAACACCAAGTCAACCCATCTTTGTGGGAGGTATCTATGTGTATGCGAGACATCAAAGAGTCAATTACACCCCATACATGACCCACTGAGACACAAGCCAAGTCTTGGAAAAAGTCATTTATTACAAAGGATGGCGGTTCATATACCGCATCATCCCTATCGCTAAGTTCAAGAGGTAATTGCCTCCCGATCTGTCATTACTTGGCTTGCTTTTTTTTTAATCCAAGCCAAGTGTCGTTCGTCAAGAGTATACAACTACAATGATGCCTGTTAAGCCGATATGAAATCCTTCCACATCGTCTTCGTCAGGTTGGTGTACCTGTCTGTCCCTACTGTAGCAATAACAGTATCATTTTTGGCGCTCTGCGTGAAGAGGACAAACACGCATAGAACCGCCACATGCTGAGGAATGCGTTCGTAAAAAGTGACTGGATAAGAAGACATGGATTGAAGCGAATGTCGTGAACGCGTTGCGCATCTCGTTTCTGTGCATCCAGCTACGATAGGAGTCTGGACGATTGACTCCAGTGGTTGGGAGGCTGGCCTAGCGGTGCATGGCTCCCAGGCTTCTAAGGTTCTTGCCACACTGCCCTGAGGTTCGTTTTCTGGACTTGCGCTACATGATAGTGAGGCAAGCGACCTTACGATGTTCATGGCTTCTGTTCTTGAGATTGAGGCTCCGGTGTTGATTCGACACCCTCCATACCCCCTGTGTCCTTGCTTCTTGAGAAAGGACCGCCTTCAGTGGTGGTGGGTGTTCCAAGCTTGTTCGTAGGATACTTCTCCAGGTCTTTGTGGCTCGTCGAAAACGTCGATATGACAGGCGTGTAGTTCTGCGGGTGATCGGCCTGCGTGGGCGTCTTCGCTTCGGGTCCGGCCGAGACTGGGCTGAGTAGGCTCTCGGGTCCGTTGTTTGCTTCAGGAGGCAGCAGTTCGGGCTGCGATTGTATGGCACCAACTAAGCCATTCCAGCCTCCTTCAATGTCGCGCAGTAGGCGAACGTATTCCTCGGGCACAAGTCCGCTCTCGCCAGTCTTCGGGTCTTGAGCTACCAGCCAACCCTGACCGTGTCTGTATGACACCAGTATCACTTGCCCTTCTACCAGCGGTAGTTCGTTGTCGTTTTCGCGTGCGAAGTCAAACAGGGCGACTGCCTTGCCGTGCATTTCCTCGTCGGGCGATGCGATCGTGAACTGATAATCGCGCGAGAAGCGATTGTCATCGTGTATGTAGTCCTCAGGTTCTGACATTTCATCGTCTGAGTCATAAGGCGGGCCCTCGACATCTGCGTCGGCATCTGCGTAGGCGCGTTGTGGAAGGGTCGTTGCGAAATGTGAGTCTCGTCGTGATGCTCCTTCTGGCACACCGAGCCGTGACGACTCGGGTGGGTACGTGATGTACTCGCCGCCAGGTCCGTTTGCAACCTCATCGTTGACAAACTGACTGCTCTCGCCGTTCATAGGCACTATCGAACCCCGCCGTTGCTCCTCCGGATATCCTCTTCGCCCACGAGTGTGATCGAAGTTGACAATATTGGATTTGTGCTTCTTGTGCCGTGCGCCATGGTGGCTGGTGACTACCGGGCTTGAGATGTCGTCATCCTCGCTGTAGGGCGGGCCTCCGTCGTATGCTGTCTGTGGCAATTGTTCGCCGTCTTTCTCATCCCAGGACCCCGCAGACCAACCACCTCGGTCACTACGCCATGCTACGGGTGGCGGGTCTGATAGTCTCCGGTTGTGTTCACTCGCTGGTGTTGAGATGTCGGAAGGCTGCTCAGGAAGTGGGCCATAGAATAGAGGATGTAGCGGGTCATATGCGAAGTCGCGCACGAGCGAGTAGGGTAGACTCGAGTGGAAGATCGGGAAGGCAGTTGATTGGGGCCTTGATTGTACGGATTGATGTGTATTAGATGTGTTGGAGAAAGTGGACAGTCGCTTGTTCATGTAGGAGCTTGCGCGCTCAAGCTTCGCTTTGGAAGGCGGGGAAGTGACAAGTGGGGGCAGAGAGGTGCGATTCACGCCCACTTGTGCGGATGCACCAGGATCGCTCCGTGGTGATAAGACGTCGGCAGCCATATCTTGTTCGCTGTGTTTTCCTTGGACAGCCACTCCTTCTGTTATGTCCTTCAGCCGCTGCGAGTCGGTGGCCGTCTCTGGTGCTGGGTTGGTGTCTGTCATGCGCAGTGCAAGTACTTTATGCAGTTTATCTGGGTCGTCGGCGGTAAGCTATATGGACTTTTCAAGCGCGGTAGAGGGCAGTGTGGGTGGCAGAGTCGGTTCGCGACACAGCTCAGCTTTCAGTAATAGGGAAAGAGTTCGCAGGAGGAGCAGCAAATCGGGCTCCAGGTGGCCAGCGCACAAGGCGCACAAGCAGCTTTCGAATCAGAGCGACCCGGTACGTCTGGAGCGGCTCTGGAATGGCAACGGCAGATGGCGCAGTGACTCGATGTTTGTATCGGATGGTTCAAGATGGACGACGACCAATGGGTCCGCGGGCGCGCTTGAGGCCTTCTGGAAGGACGGCGTCGGCTACTTAGATACGCCTGGCGATTGGGAGCGGGAATGGTGGGCGTGAAGATATTTCCAATGTAGAGCGGCTGGAGAAGCGCTCGCTGGGGGTTGTGGGGGTCAGGCCTGGCGCTAACACTCGCCCGGTGAACGGCTGACGAGCTGCGCACCCGAGGGACAAGTTTGTGGCTTTGAATGGGTACCGTGCAGGAGGGGAACGGCAACAGCGCGGCCAAAGGGCGACGCGACTATAGCGAAAGACTCGGCGGGTTCTAGATGTTGTCGTACACCAGCGCGCGCGTGGTGGTGAAGGCCAACTCTATTTTTGGCACCAGGCGGCGGGGGAGGTGCTAGATGCCAATGCTATGTTTCAGGACAAGTTTGACAGCGTCGCCAGGGTGAAAAGGCATGAGAAAGAGGTTTGCAAAGGGGAATAATTATCAAGTAGAATAACAAGTCAACGGGCCTCAACACGGAGCCTTGCTGGCATCAACGAGGGGTGTGTGTTCTGACGGCTCTTCCTTTCCATGATTGCAAACCCCATCAATGCATGCTTAGGCTACTTTCACCCTAGTAGGCGTTTCAGGTCATTGACTAGCTGCATGTGGATTGCGCTCGCACCGCTTGTCGAATGCGCTTCGAGTCCGACGAGGACCTTCCTTGACGGAATCTTCACCGTGTGCTGTCACGAGATCAAACACATCATACTTGACTCGGATATCATTCCCCTCGCCATGTCATCATTGTTTTTCGACCACAGTACCCAGACCAAAACGCCGTGTGACAGGTGCGTTTGAGCTGGGTTACCTAGGCATACCTATTTGGGCACAGGGTATGCTTGCGCAATTGCATAGCGCCACCTACGATCCCATCTAACAGGATACGATCTATACTAGGCAATGCTATGCTGTCCAAGCGCTCTAGGAACAGGTAAACGCCTTATGTCAACATGCGAAAGCATCAAGCCTATAGTGTTCGGCGGCCCGCGTAATCTTTCACCCGAGTGCTTAGTCAGCCGCTAAAAAGACATTGACTTGAGCTCGGAGCTTGACAAAGACTGCAATCCTCACAGGCCTCGTGCCTCGCATAACCACCACAACCACTACTTTTCTCTACCCGTACTCATTCCCTTGATGTATGGGACTATGAGCTTGAGTAAATATTCGTGCCACTGTAAGTCTCTTCCCACCCCGATGCGTGCCCACCTCTGCGATGATGAACACATATTGGAGCTGTCCTAGGCAATAGCCTTTGAGGACTCTAATAATAATATACACTGAAAATTCTGATCTCGCGTGAATGTTACCTTAACTGTTGCCTACAAATGTGTGGAATCGTAGCTAACTCTTATGAAGAATTTGCAGAGCTGCCTACTCAGACGCGCTGAGCAGCAGTCCATCACACATCTACAGTCACGACACCTCTCACCTTCGAACATGTCTGCTGACCCACGGCTGCGCGCGAGGCAGCAGCAGGAGCAGCAGCAGGGGCAGCAGCCTACTCCTACTGCTGTTCCTCCACCGCCGCCGCCGCCAACCGAACGCGATTCTATGGGTATGGACGGCAGCAGTGACGCGCACGCAGAGCAGAACATGGTGCCTGATGATGGCTTCAAGCTCAAGTTCTGCACTGTGTGTGCGAGTAACCAGAACCGGTATGACCATCGCTGATCTGTAAGCCGAACTTTTAACTAACTAGATTAGCTCGATGGAAGCTCACCTCCAGCTTGCCTCAGCGCACCTTCCCACTATCAGCTTTGGTACTGGCTCTCTCGTCCGCCTCCCTGGGCCGACCATCACGCAGCCCAACGTCTACCACTTCAACAGCACCACCTACCGCGCCATTCATGATGAGCTCGCCCAGCAGAATACGGCCCTCTATACCCATAACGGCCTGCTTAACATGCTTGGACGCAACTTGAACATCAAGGGCTACCCTGAACGTTTCCAAGATTGGGTACCTGGCAAGCCGCGTTTAGACCACGCAGAAGACAAAGGCTCACAAGGCACGGAATCTGGTGTCGTCGATGTCGTTATAACCTGCGAGGAGCGTTGTTTTGATGCTGTGCTAGAAGACCTCCATAACAAGGGTGGAAAGCTCAACCGACCTGTTCATGTCTTCAACGTTGACATTAGGGACAATCACGAGGAAGCCCTCGTTGGTGGTAAAGCCATTCTCGACCTTGCGCTCAGCTTGAACGAAGCTGCAGCTAAAGAAAGAGAACAATATGGCGAAAGTGGATGGCAATCAGGTGGCGGAGCTGCTCGCTCTGGCTTCGACGAGCGTGTCCCTGACATACTTGCTACCTGGCAAGAGCGATGGCCCAACATGCCTGCGCTCTGGAGTTTGGCTTGGTTCTAGTTTCTACATTACGGCGTTGACATCTTACGCAACCTGGTCTGAGGTCCTTTGATACCCATATTGCATAGCGAGGCGTTCTGGGTACCACATTCATATCGCTGACGAGTCCAATCTCGAACGATCACGACTAATGACGAATACACGATTCCATAAAGTTAATCTTTGGTCCTCTCGCTCATGCATTGATGCTAATCGCGACGTGATATCCGACATGACGTCGTATTACCAATGTAGCGTGAGCGCACAAACGTCCACCTGCAGTGGCACGGTCTGCAGCTAGCCACGTGTGCGTACCACGAGCTCATCGCAAAAGTCAAAGTGCTTTTTAAGTATCCTAGCAGTAAACAATACTTAATCTCTTCTAACATTTCGATCAACATATTCTATGCGTGGAGGGTCACAACCTAGACGCCCTTGCCCTGCTCATTAACATCATGAACCTGGCACTACTCATTATGCTCACTGTGAGCGTCATCGCAACATCTGAATCAAGAGGGGGAACTGGAAAACGATATTGTGGATGGGAACTCATGCAGAACCTCCGTACGTTCATCAATGGCCTGTCTCGTCCACCCTCAAGCGATCTAACATCATCTCAGAGATTCCCATACCCAAACTCGGCGACTGGTACGCAGAGCAAACAGGTGATCGCTCTTTATGTGTACTCCAGGATGATGGTTCCGAGTACTGCACTTGTATCTATGAGTGTGGAAATGGTGTTTGGAGGACTGAAAATAAGAGCAGCACGTGGGAGTGGGAATCAGGATGTAAGAAGTACTGTCATTCTGGGATATGTGATGGACAGGGTTGAGGGAATCGAAGCGGGGGCAGAACTAAGGTGCAGGTGTGCAGAGGCGGCTAAAGGCTATGTTTGAAGAAGATAATAAGGAGGTTCCATAAAATGAATTTTGGAGTGACAAGTTCTTCTCTGTCGCGTTAAGAAACACTCACTGATCCTAAACATGTACCACTGTTCCATATGAAGAACAAGCTGGCAGATTTAATATCGCGTATCTTGGCCCAAACACATGCTAAACACGCATGCTCCATACACATCTGGTTGCTGTCCATGGCCAGTATCTAGCAAAAAGACAAGCCAACAAACACACAAAAATGGAGTTCCAAACTCAAAATCATTTAGTACTGCTGGATTTGCCTATAGAATAGGCAAAAAAAGACGACGTTGGCCAGATTCGAACTGACGCTCCCGAAGGAACAAGATTTCTAGTCTTGCGCGATAACCACTCCGCCACAACGCCTGAGCCATTGCTGGTGATTGATGACATAATCTCCAGATCATTTCTATATAAACGTAAAAAAGTACATACGCTGTCTGGGAAGGTCCCCAACGGTGTGCCGAGTCGTGTTGTCTAATTGGTGGGGCTTAGGGTCAAACAGCATCTAGAAGCATTTACGGTCTCAAACCCCACATCAAATCTCCGCAATGTACATGGCACTAGATACTCAAAGTCTCAGTAGACTTCTTTCAAGCGCTGGCCGTGGGATCCATTGACATGTTCAAGGTTGATGATGTATTGGCCAATCGCAGAGCATTCTCTTCAAAGTAAGGCGCGACATCGATGCGCTAACGTTAGGCGTCCTTTCCTACCACCGTCCTTCTGCATACCAAGAAAACCGTCGTCTTGGTCATCCAATTTGTCGGATCGCCAATGTTCCGCCACAAGCTCCGGTCTCTACGAAACAACATGCATCAGTTTTGTCGGAACGTTTATCGTGGCTTGCAGTCAGAAACACGCGTCGACATTAATCGTGTGCAACCTACGGTCACCACCTGAGCAGCGTCACCACCAGTCTTTTCGTTGAGCTACACGCAGAAGAGACACAATGCCCTGCAGCCTTTGAGCAGGACTCTACTGCAGGCTGTGTCTTTTAAGGATCATCTACTATTACCCTCCGTACCCTTGATGCGATAACATCCGTATTCACACGTTTCCACAATGGTGTATCGCGGGCGACCTTCGACGGGTTGTAAGAAATGTCGCGAGAGAAAGATTAAAGTGAGTAACGAACCCTATACACATATATACCATGCTGTGCGGTAATGACTTCATTTGGGAGCGTGCCGCGCGTGGTCGCCGCTGCCTGCCGTAGGCCGCGACTAGCTTCTTCCTAACTGGGAATCCAGTGCGGCATGGTAGATTCAGATCTCAGTTCCGATTCGTACTGAGCGTTCAATTTAGCCTCGGTGGTCCAGGTTGCTGACTAGACTTTTACAGTGCGATGAACGTCCAGGCGGCTGCGTGAAATGTTTTGAACGGAAGTTCCAATGCCCAGGATATGATCGAACTATCGACGCTTTCTTCCATGATGAGACCGCACAGACTCAGGCGAAAGCAAAAAAGTCAAAGGCAAAAGCCATCGCTGCACGCGATGCAAGGGACACCAGAGATCTGCGGGAGGCATATCTACAGATCATGACCAAACAATGCCCAGGGACGGCTATAACGGCGTCGCTCATTGATCAGGGAATCTCCTTCTTCATGTCTTACTACTGCACAGGAGTGGATCAGCCGTCGATACAGTCAGTCGAGTATCAGCAGCATTTATCCACACATGGCTTCCATCCGCTCGTTGCAACGTCCATGACGGCTTTGGGTATTGCTGGTGTAGCCAACCTCTACATGGATACCCGTTTGAAAAGCGAAGCGACACGCTGGTACCTCGAAGCTATAAATATGGCTAATATGGCGATTTCCTCGCCCGAAGAAGTGAAGGCTGATAGCACCCTCACTTCCGTCAACCTTCTCAGCATGTTCGAAGCAACATTCAACGACAAATCTCTAGCTGGATGGAGCAACCATGTCGACGGTGCTGCCTCCCTCATCAGAATGCGAGGGATGGACCAATTCTCCACTCCAGCGGGACAGCGAATGTACCTCCATACCATCGGTTTGCTCACCATGAACTGCATGGGAAAGGGCATTCCACTTCCTCAATATGTTCATGATCTCAACACCGAAGTCATAAAGCATTTGGATACCAAGGATCCCAGAAATCGATTCTTCTTCCTTCATATCAAGACCATTGACCTAAGAGCGAGGATACTGAATCAAGAAGCGTTTTCCTTGGCAGATATAATAGAGTCGGCTCTGGAGCTTGACGACGTTGCTGTCAACATTTTCAAGGACCAAGGACCTGACTGGGACTACGATGTAGTGCCTTGCGAGGAACAAGAGTGCTGCTATGAGAACTTTTACCATGTTTACCCGACTGCAACAGCCGCTCAGACATGGAACTGGGTACGCTACAATAGAATCTATTTCCATGACATCATCCGAAATTGTATCTTAGCGGACTTCACAGCCAGTCTACCAACGCTTGTTGGTATGAAGTATCACGAGCAGCTAGAGACAAGCGCTCGCACTCTATACCAGCTACAATCCGACATCATAGCAAGCATGCCTCAATTCTTGCACGACGTTCCTGATGCTGCACCGAGCGGAGCGACCAGCCCGACAAGTAGCGAATCGTCACCGGCAGGCGCGTCGGGACAAGGCAAACCATGGCCTGCGTCAGGCAGTACAGTCTCAGCATCTCCATACCGCATAGCTCTCAAATCTCTCGATGGGAACTTCCGAGGCAACACGCACAATCTCGTCCGAGCGCTAATCGGAACCGGATCAGTGAAGGACCGGCTTCCAATTGTACGTGTCGCAGGAGGGTATTCCACCGTATGGGCACTTTATGTGGTATGTTCAAAGTTGTGACTAAAAACATGTTCGTGTCACTAACGATCTTTTTTGAGGCTGCTGCTATGCCCTTGGCCTCTCCAAAAAGTCAGGACTTTGTACACAATTGCATGACCCGGATCGAGCACGAGTTTGGCATAAACCAAGCCCGTGTACTATCTAACGCATTGAAGCTCAAACGTCACCTCGCTAGCAGAGGAGCCATCGCTTTCGGTATCTGCCCGCAATACCTACCGCCAGATGACGGACCCTATGTTCCACAACAGGGTCTATACAACAAGGTGGGTCGAAAGGTTCCTGAAGTCATGATGGAATCATCTTTCCAAGCCTCAATTCCTTCTGTGGCGGAGATACTTTCTGGACCTACGTATTGAAGACAAACCTGACTCGTGCAGGTGATGGAGATGACCGACGAAACGCCTCAGGCGCCATTGCAAGATGATCTGGACTCAGTGTACTAAGATTCGGTCAACGCTACAATGTCTTCAGGACGGCGAGAGCTCAAAGAAACGACTCGGAAAACATATCAGCCACCTCACACAACACAATGAAGCGCCATACTTATGATCATCATTTGCGCTTTATCCGAGGAACGGCCAATCCAACTGGCCCCAGGCTCAAGTTACCCTGAAAGCTCACCACGACGCCAACCTCATGCCTTTCAGTTATCCAACCATTACCGCGTGCAGTTGTCGTAATAGGCCTTGTGTTCTGTTTGCGTGTGTAGTAATCTTGTGGCGTTCCAATTCCCAGAGCGGGTAATAAGAGATGCAAAGGTCATGAGGGTGGGAACTTCTCTCAATTCAGACAAGTGGTCTTCGTTCGCCCTCATGTCGCCCTCAGACGGAGTGAATGTTTCCCTGCCACCGCTTGTGCGTACAACACCACCCACTAGAGGATCGCTTCCGCCGCGCCGCTATATAATGTACTACACCTCTAATCTGCACACACGACACCTCTAACCACCCAGCTGCACGACTTGTGCCCCAGGCTCTCTGCATCGAAATCGACTTCGACCGTAACAATCTTCCCTCCACAATGGCGACTCCCTTCATTCCGCAACCAGGCTCACCTATACTCAACCTTCCAGGAGAGCTTCGGAACAAGATCATTCGAAATGTATTCAAGTACGAGGACCCAATTCTACTAACACCGTATGTTGCCCCGGTTATACATCCATCGCCGCCGGCGATGGCTTGTGCCAAGCCAGACATCCAGGTATTTGCTACCTGCCGCCAGCTCTATGGTGAATGCAGGAGTATCTTTCTCTCAAAAAACATATTTTTACTCTCCACGCAATCCAATGCTTTCAACGATGCTTCAAGCATGGGGCTGCTGAGCAGATGGATGTTCGATCTCGGTCCGTATCGCGACTATGTACGCAAAGTAATCATCGATCTGAGCCCACTTTGCCCAGGACCGTGTCATTTCTTCCTGCCATGGATCGACCTGAAACCGATCATGATGGAGATCTGGCGTTACCAAGACATACTTACGACGAATGGCAACCGACAGCGCGCAAACATCGAGATATCCTTCGCATTCTCAGGACGGCAACTTCATGGACATTCACACCATCCACAACGACTTACCGTCAGCGACTCCAACCTAAATGCGATGATCACGCTGCTGACTCCTCAGCGGAGTCCTGAAATTAGTTCCTATCTCCAATCACCACGAGTGCTTCGAGAGATTCGGACAAAAGTCGATAGCCCGCAAGCCTCATTCGTTCTAGCTGCACCTAGTCATCGCGATTGTACAGAATATCCAGTCATCAAGTACAAAGTGAGCAGCAACGGTCGACTCGAGAGAAGTTCTCACGGCGTGAACTCCAGAGTCGATATCATTCGCCTCCTATCTATGACATCAATCCGCGAAACGCTTCTCTCTATGCTTATGTGTTCAAACATCACTCAGCTCACGTACAACATTGATAATCGGATAATCGAACAATCTCACATCGCTTTTCTGAACCCTTCTCGATAAACCGCCGCTTCCGAGAGTTGGCCCTCAAGAAGTACACGAGTGTACATGTCGTTGGAAGCTTGACGTCGTATAGTGCGCGAGCCACCTACGGCGACCTGAAGTTGATGCAGGATTGGTACATGGCTAGTTCACTCTTTATCCATGGCAAACGCCGAATGCGACAAGCAGAGAACCCACCCACTATCCTGATGCGTTTCGAGTTGTCAGAGCGAGAAGATCTTTCAAACCTTTGGATCCCGATAGCCAACATCATCGTGGCAACGGTCACTTTCCCTTTGAACACGGAGTTGCGGATTGATTTGATTCGACTTGACTTGCCCGTTCGCGTCAAAGTTGCGGTCAAAACGGCAACTCTTCACAGACTTCAACAGCAGCTCCTTGTCTTTCTTGCTGACGTACTGGATTTTCATCCAGGCCAGGGTGCTCAAGTCTGTCCAGGCGTTATGATTCATGGAAACTTCATGATTCAGGAAGCCGAGTGCGAGCGAGAGAACGGGAGCAAGTTCCTAGTTAGGAACGATAATTCCGATCTCAATTCGGACGAGATGGAAGAGGAGGTTGATCTGTGCATCAACAAACTGATCGAACGTGATGATTCTGTTACAGCAGCATATCTCCCTCCTCTCGCAAGGAAGGAGCATGGGGTTTATACCTCGTTTGACCTGGATGCGCCGCATGATCCCTCATTGCAAGGAGTGGCTGTACGGCTTGCTTGCTGCTTGCAGGAAGCTAGTATAGCTCGTTAACTACATGTAGTGTCCTTTCAGTAGAAGACATGAAGATTGGAGTCCAGACTAGGTAGTTAGTTGAAGTTGACATAGTTTCCAAACAAACGTTGGCTGATTATGTGAATATGTCACACGCTGTGAGGAGCGAGAAAGTTTGCGTCAGATCAAGCGCGAATGTATACTAAAGCCCACACGTTGGATCACACCGATAATCATCGATAGCTTACTTTCTGATTAAGACTCCAGGCAAAATGGTGGCTACTATGAAAAGTGGTACACCGCCTGCCTACGCGACTCGCCAGCTACGTCGCCACCGCTGCTATCCCACTCTTTACGCCGAGCGCAGATACCTAGATGCTCCACATGCTAGTCAGACCGCCCCGTTGTTCCGGCTCCTCGATCTTCCACCGGAGTTACGTATGCTAGCATACGCCGCCGCGCTGACACTTCCCTTTCCCGTCGAGCTCTGGTCCGAAACCGACCATGATATCACCTCGCATCAGCATACGACCGCCAATTGTAATATGCAGTACCTGAAAGCGAAGTGGCGTGAACATGGCGTGGAACTAGGTCTGCTGAGAGTCTGTAAGCAGCTCAGACATGAAGCTACCCGATGTTTCTACGAAGAAAATGAGTGACGATGCAGTGGCACGAATGGATGGATGATCGCTGATGCTTTTCTGTTCACTACTAGAGTGTTCGGTTAGAAAAATATTCGGTCTATCACTCTACCGCTGCCATTCCAGTTTACACCCCAGGGTCAGCTAAACCACGGTTGGGGCAAAGTAAGACCGGCGACGGGTAACCGTGCCGTTGTTAGACTTGCTAAGTGTATTCCCTTCGATACCCCTAGAGATTGGACCTACACAGGTAGTATGCTAGATGTCTGTTGGGCGCTTGGTAAATGTGAGAATATTCATGTAGTCAACCTCGTATTCCCTGGTTGGTATGATCTAGATCCTGTTGAGGAGGCAGCGATGCAAAAGTTCATGGAGCAGGTTCAGAAGTTGAGGAAAACAGGTAGCAAAGGTTTGAAGATCCAATTGGTAAGGGTGAGTAGGACGGAAGTAATAGAAGGTAGTTTGACAGTATTTCAGGGTAGGCAGTGGAGATTTATGCACGAGTGCAGGGGGGAAGAGGATGGGAGGTGAAGCAGGCGAGGTGCGATAAATTTGGAAGATTCACTATAGGGGCTAACTGATAGGTGGATAGTATGATTCGCTCCCACGTATTAGACACTTTCGTGATATGCTTCTCTCATGGTTGGTCCTTTGTGTACTCTACTTCCAAGTGCACATGAGGCTGCAGCCTCATGAGGACGTTCCTAAAGACACAGGCATTCTGTCATCCTTTGCTTATAGAACGATTGTTGTTGAATCAGTCGCTATGCAAGCGGGCAGTTAAGCTCGCGGAGACCGCGGATAGCGGTGAGCTGAAGTCTCCGTCCATTGTATACCCTCCTAGACTGGTGGAGACCGGTCAAGTAAGGAAAGCACCTCGACCCTTCATCCCGGACATACACATGGAACATAGACTCGCCGATGAGATTGACAGAGGGAAACGAGCTAGCAATGATGATCTCAACGCTGAATCCGCACTAATCCAGGAGAGCATGCTCAGCTCTCCTGATCAGCGAACTGTGCCGCTATCTGGCTGGATGCCGATTACACGGCAAACATGATTCGTTCAGATGTGAATGCGAGGGTAATATTGGCTTACTTTAACCCATCATATTCATGTTTGAGTAGTGCAGAATGACGCTGATTTCTTCTCGGATCAGAGCGTTTCAGTTTCGTAAAATTTTCTGGTCGAGAATGCGCTTAGGCGACGAGACAGCGAGTCGTGTGTGCAGATGATGTACTTCCGTTGACCAGTGACGTGGACGACCTTAGCAACATATCCATGTGTCTGCACATATCATCCACGGTGCGGTGAAGGGTTCGAAATAGATTCTTCTTGCGGGCCATCGTCATTGCAGGAAGTAGTTTGTGCCGTGTCGGACACTTTCGGAACGGAGGTTAGAACAAAGTGGAGAGCACCACCGCTTCGGAAGCGCCACCTCCTGGCGGTCCCGCGCCACATCCTTGAGCCACATCTCAGCGCCACACTATCGCTTGCGGTCCGCCACTGCGGCCCTTCTCAAACGCGTGCATTGACCAAGCGCCACAATCAAATATCACTCACTGTAGCTTTCGGTCTTACACAACACGAACTCATATATTAGAATCCTTCAAACACAGTTGTGGTTGCACATACTCCGTAGGATCGAACAAGGGTCGAGTTGGCGTAAAATGAAAGTCATGCCATCGGATAACGACAACCCGGTCAGCGAAACGCGGCACGACACGCCGCAAAATCGCGTTATACCCATGATTCGCGATGTCGATCAGTAATCGATATGTCATTACAGAATACTACCAAACCACAGCATACATGGTTTAGGTATTCTACACCGGTATACATGCCAGACAAACAATCCCTCTCGAATTCGAACGCTGCTGGATCGTTGAAATAATCGGAATCATCAGTCCGATGAACGAGTCCCGTTAGCGAGGTTTCTTCGACATGCGCCATCGGTGTCAGTGTGGTCAGTGTACAAGAGCTAGAAACGACAACTGGGCGTCATGCACGACACGCCTGTTTGGCGCAACATGACATGCCAAGACGCAACGAGCTTGTTATAAGCTTATCTGGGAAGAGCTGCGATTGGTTCCTATGCGCTAAAGAGCAGCATTGAAACAACCTTACAATCTAGCAAGATTCTAGCGCAAGGCTCGCCCCGGACAATGAGTCGCAGACATGCCTTGGCATGACCCCAACACTGTTCCCGGAGAATTGCTTGACTGGCCAGACGTTCCATACGGCCAGCGGAAATTTCAGTTCTCCTTGGCGTTCCAGATAGGTGGTATCAATGTGGATATTTGCGCGGTTTCAGCTCAAAGCTTGGCATCTTTCCGAGCGTTGGTGTCGGCATGACAGTCTGAATCCGGTCCTAGCTGATCGGACATGGGACGTCTTACTGGCATTTTCGCGAGATGCCCATGATAACGCGCTTTCGCGTGGAGTTCGGAAGCAAGGAGTCTATCGCATCAGTCGATCTCCCTCCCTGAGTTGCAGAACAGATTCTTGTTCAGCCTGACGCCATGGACAGTGAGTCCAATATACTGGATAACATTCATTTTGTAACTGTTACTTGAGAGAATCCACGGTACAAGAGAGCCCTGACATAGGCGATGTCGAGACATCCTGCCATGAGCCCGTTTCCGACTTTCATGCCCCACCAAAGCACGGGCTCTAGCGCCTATGAAACCCTGTGGGCGTATCCTTCTGGGCCTGAATCCTATTTACAAACGCATGATGCGCTGGGCCTGGCCTCCTGGGTACCGCCGGGGAGGGAAAGTACCCTGTCTTCCACATGGCACATCTTCGGACCAATGTGTAAGTGCCACCAGTGTGGCGCGCAGAGAGTGAGTTGAGAAGAGTATAAGTATCACAGAGGCCACCGGCAAAAAGGAAATCATCCACCATCACATTCATTCAGTCTTTCGTTGCTTGAAGCATCCCACTTTCGCTACCTCTTTTCAGAGACTTACATTCTTTATACATACTTTGCCAAAGCATACTCTTTCGACTTTCTACAGTTTCGATCAACCAACTCAACCATCAAGATGAAGTTCTCTCTCGCCATCATTGCTGCCATCACTGGCTTCGCCGCTGCCGGCCCTGCTGCTTCCGCCCCTGGCGAGTTCTTCTCTCTCGCCAAGCGTGCCTCTCTCCCGGTCCCCGCCTCCAAGGGCTCTGTTACCTACAAGAAGCCCCAGGAGATCAGCGGAACCTTCGATGGTGGCATGAAGACCTACGGCCGTGGTGCCAAGTGCACTGGTCAGGTTGAAGGTGGTGACAAGGACGCTGTCTTCCTCATCAAGAACGGAGGCACCCTCAAGAACGCCATCATTGGCAAGGACCAGATCGAGGGTGTTCACTGCGAGGGTAAGCATTACCCCTGCAAGCATTTCATATTGTAAATGTACTGACTTAACACAGGATCCTGCACCATCGAGAACGTCTGGTGGGTTGATGTTTGCGAGGATGCTCTTTCCCTCAAGGGTGACGGTAACGCCTTGATCAAGGGCGGAGGTGCCCAGTCTGCTGATGACAAGGTCATCCAGCACAATGGAAAGGGAACCGTCACCATTGACGGCTTCAGTAAGCAACTCTCTCGATACAACACCCACTTGAACAACCGTTAACAAATCCACAGCCGTCATGGACTTCGGCAAGCTCTACCGTGCCTGCGGTAACTGCAAGAACTCTGTCGCCCGTTCCGTTGTCATCAAGAACGTCAAGGCCTACAACGGTAAGGTCCTTGCTGGTATCAACCCCAACTTCGGTGGTACCGCTACCATTACCGGCACCTGCGCTTCTTCCGTCAAGACCATCTGCGAGGAGTTCAAGGGCACCAAGCCCGGCTCTGAGCCCAAGTCCGTCTCCAAGGGCCCCTCCGGCAACTGCAAGTACACCGCCTCTGCTATCAAGTCTTGCTAGACGCATACTTTCGACTCGCTCGATACTTTTAATCGAACGAGAACATGGCGGTTATGGGTGGAGATCATTGAGTCGGTAGATGGAGACTTTGGAGTTTTAGAGGTAGATTCTTTGTACATATAACTTTGCGCACATGCGGTGCATGTAATACACTTGATATTCAAGCACAAACATACTTTTTCGGTTCTTTTAGTGATCTGTACTTGCCTTGGGCGGGGTTGTTCACAACATCAGAATTTACTGGGTGACCTTCAATTGAAGCGAGGGTACGATTGTAAGCCCTAATCACAATGCTGCGTAAATTCTCTAGAGCGCGGAGAACAAAAGTATGATACACCAGGAAGGTTTCGAGATACTCTTAGATCAGTGAGGTAGCTCACAGTAAAGTTTAGCGGACTTCCGTAACACTGTACAAGATGTCATCAACTACACGACACTGTTGAATCTCAGGAGTGGGTAAAATCAGAGCGCAGGTATTATTATGTAAATGCACAGATTCGCAACGCAGAAACAACGAAAAGTTACTATTTGCGGCGCTGTTGCAACACGATTAAGGCAAATCTCATGTACCGGGAGCCAAGGCTATAATCTGCAACACCGCGTAATAGCAGCGAAGTGAAGGGCGTTCCGGAGCTCGAAAGCGATATTGGTACTGCAAGTAAACAGAGGTACAATTTTGTTTGAAACATTGCACCGAGCTAGGAAAAGGATACTGAATCAAAGTAAGGGTATAGGGCGCCGGGAAGATACGAAACAGAAAAGCAAATGATCACGTCTTGCGCCGCTTCTTCGCAGCCGCTTCTGGACGGAGAAGGTTGACCCCCGGCTTTTCCTTCACCTGAAGCACGTCTTCATGAGCCCGTTTCTTGCCCTTTGAAGGTCTCTTAGGCCCTGGAGACTCTTCGCTGTTGGAACACTCCTCGGAGTTGGAGTGCGCCTCACTGATTGTGTGCTTCTCGTTGTTGGAAGACTCCTTACCTCTCGCAATAAGACTAGCCTTATGCGCATTCGCAACTTTGTTGGTCGCCGTGCGGAAGGTGAGAGTGCGTGGATTTCCGATGATCGTATGGAAACGGGTACCCTTCAGGATGTCCTGGCAAGTTGTCTTTGAGTACTGTGGATGCTTAGCAGTAGTAGTTGCAGTCACTGGGTTGAGAGACTCACATGAAGAAGCTCCCGAAGGGCTTCGAAACGATCCCCAAAGGTGTAGAACATTGTGGCCTGGCAATTCTCACGTTCGCCCTTGTCGAAGATGGTCTTGGTCCAACCGTTTTGATGGATATCGACCATAGCGAGCTGCACTGTGTTAGCGAAGCAAGGAGTATACGACAAGTTAATGACTTACCACAAGATCGCGAGAAGCTGCCTTGAATTCGTCCTCGGAGTAGTAAGTTGAATCGTCACTCCAACGATTCCGATATTGGCCGGTTGTAGTCTTCTCCCTACAACCGTGCCTGTTCTGCATAGCCTTCGTCAGTGTGTTGATGCGTAGGACTATCTCTGCCGGTGATGAAGGGATAGTTGTGTCATTGGCAGGTGCAGTCCAGTAAACGCCACCGAATTGGACCCCAGTGGCTGTCTGGACAATGTTGACGGATTCACCCATCTGCTCGACCACACTGTCCTGGCTCCGCTGCTTCTTCAGCACCGCCCTAGCTTGTTTCTCTTTCTCGACAAGCGAGTTTTTCACGACATCCACGGGTTCTTCAACATTGACAGCGCCATCATTGTCGGGCAAATCGGGCGATGTGAGAAGTTCGGCGCTGTTTGAAGGAGAAAGCCGACCCAGAGGATACGTGTACTCATCGACAAAGCCGTTGTGGGAACCTAACAGCAGTCAGTACAGGCTTCAGACATAACTTGGATACTACCACACTTACCGAGGGCGACATTGGTCTCTGGATACTGCGGAAGACTGGGTTCGAAGTGCTGGAGCTCTCCAAGCATGTTCCAACCGGGGTAGAACGTATCATGTTGAGCGTTACCCTGAGTTTGGTAAGAGTCTGCTTGATTACGGCGCCAGACTCTTTCGTTGCCCGCGTATACAGTAGGCTGCTGCATCAGGAAGTACTGGTCGTCCCGGATCACACCGAAGCCATCAAAACCAGCAGGTCCACGAAGCATCTGAGCAATTGACGCGACAAAACGGGCCGGTGTAGTAGTGGTATCAGCGCGCTGGCGGTCGGGGAAAGAATTTTCGGTATTCATTCTGTACAAGTGTCGTCGTGGTACCCAGAATGAAAGTTGAGTTGAGTGTTGGAGCGGATGAAGGTTATCTCTTTCGGCGGTGGAATGAAACACCAGTGTACGATATCGTGGATATATAACGTGTTCTGACGTTGTACATGACGTAAAAGTACTGGCAACGAAAGGCCCTCCATCGGGATAATGTGGGGCGCGAGGTGAATCCAGTATTCACGGACCAGTCATTCCTCGGCGAGGGGAGAGTCACTCGGGGGAAATTGCTAAAGAGAAAAGTCCAGATTGCTGGGAGTCGTTCGAGCGACCAGTGAAACGGCTGGCGCAATGTGCTTCGAAACCCCGGCGATATGGAGTTGTTGTTGCTGTATATAACCATTCAAATGGCGACTGGGCGAAAGTTGCTCGACACGATCAGATACTACGAGGGCCGAGCGCGAAGGAGGTACCATTAAGCGGAGATTTACCCTCCCAAACTCATTTTGCAATATCATCCAGTTGACTGTACCGTTCGGAGTCGTATCGGTTTATTGACGTGAACGGGAGATGATTTTAGGGTGGAGGAGATTAGTAGCTAGAGCAGGTCATCAAAAGAAAGGACAAGCCTACCTGACAGTGAGCGCAAGGAGCCACTTCTACTCAGTAAGTGAAGTTGATTCAAGGCCGCTATTTGACTCTCATTGATAAGGCGCTTGATGACAATGACAAAGACTTCCGATGTCGTTGCCGACAAACTGGTCGGGAAAGCACGTAGGATTCCTAGAACGTTTGCCATGACAGATACGCAGGTCGGGCGGGCAGGTTCAACATTCCTCACCTAGCAAGTGGGTGCCGGTAACGAATGCTGCTCGTGTCCCTCGTGTATGCTCTCACTGTTTGCCAATTCTCTTGTTCTAGTAGTTCAGACGGTGGAACTGAAGAGGGGTGCATCAGAGAAAAGCGAGAGAAAATACTAAATGATTGAAGCACATGAAAAGGTAGTAAGCCCATTGGTCGTAGTCCGTCGCTAGCGATCTGTAGGAGCTTTGTCCCTCAGTCCGCTCCGCCCACGTTTGATGATCTCTTGCACGTCGAATAAAGGTTTGATTGGATCCAATCCCTTTCAATGAGCCAAATAAACCTACTTCCGGTAATTTCTTGAAGAGAATGCTCGAAGAGGGTGGTCGTAGCCGATACGGACACGGTCTGAAACGGTGGAATTATGATATTGCGAGCATCTTGACTCTAGCATGTCCATCGGATTTAAGATTGATGTAGAGACCACCCCACCGTTCTACAGGCAAGAGTATGGCTTTATCGTGTCGTTGCCCCACATTCTGCAAGCGGCTTGCCTCATTGAGAAAGTCAACAAGCGGCGCAGCTGGGCAGTGCGAAGGGCATCATCTTATTTGATCATGCTCCGGGAAAACTAGTGAAAGCGTGTAGCGTCAGTGACCGAGAAAAGAAGAAAGCGGTAATGGATATAGAGGGGTCCATGGAGGTTCGTCGTTGAATTTGAAGTGGGATCAATGCACGCTAGCGACGACGGTTCTGCCCATCAACACTGGCCGTCTTTTTCCGCGACACGCATGACAGCATTCGCTTCTATACAAACCCACCACCAGCCGGTCTCATTCGTCATGCTGGTAATCATCCTGAGTCGAGCTGTAGACGTCTCTCGCGCGAGACGAACAGTTTTACCAGTGCCAAACGCTGGCTGCTTTGATCGTGCGAAGCTCCAATAGTTGGCGAGCCATGCCATCCATAATTACCACGATCCACACGATACCAACACCATAATCCAACGAACACATACTTTCTAGTTGTGGAGCATTGGAGCCATGAGGATGACTGAAAATATGCCACGACTGTTGCCCTTCGAAGGCGATATCGCAATTTCCTAGCTCAAACACACCAAGGCAACATCTCCTTTATTCTACGTCTCCGACAGGTAATCCTGTAAGAACAAATCTTCCAAATTGTTGCGATCATCTCAACAGTGGTGTATATACATGTTTTCCGGATATGCATAATACTATGGCATGGTTTTGCGATGACACATTGTTGACGCTGTATTCACAGCTCGCGCAGCCCAAATAATACCTCAATAATGGGATATCCCTTAGGCGAGCGAGGTTACAACCGCGAGAATGGTCACATGCGAAGTGTGCCACAAGCATGCTCCACCAGACACATCCTCTTGCATCTGCCTCCGATCGGAATTGGGTGTTCTTTCGGTAAGGTAGAGAAGTCATATGGTAAAAACTCCCTCTGGAAGGAGCTTACAGTTGAAAGAGAAGCACAGACGGTGTTTTCCGATTTGCTGTCGCAGCACAAGGTTCGCCTGTCGCGTTCTGATTTCAGTCGACGAGAATCTATCTACGTGTTTTCCGGCATGCACTTACGGCACCTCACCACAAGCCCTGGAAGAAAGCGGAAAGATTGTTTCTATTAATACAAGGCTTCGTAAGAATTCGAATGAGGTCCCGCTCGATGGGCGCCTTGCCGCTGTCGACAGCAATTGCTTATGCCAATGATGAAGCGACAGGCGTGCCTACCAGTATTGTGAGCCGACTCGGCAAGATACCTAGAGTAACCCCGTTATTGTGTACGACTCTCAGCTCAACGAGTGGGCAGACTATGCGAGATTTAGAGGGTATCAGTTCGTGCTACGGACTACATCAAAGCCACGGACATCATGTCTCACGAAGCCGACCTCGCTCCAATGTTCCACGCAAGAAGAAAGTCAAAACAAGGCATACCTCCAGCATGCCTCGAATGTCGCAAGAGCTTGTGGCACGCGACGAAGGTCATGGTTGTAGCGAACGTTCTCATGATCTGAGGTGAATGTGAGAATCTCACACGACGCTTGGATGACACTTTGGATGCACGTCTGTGTTGATCGATGCACGCAGCGCAACATACATAGCTCCCCTAGGAAACGAGGAACAACAACTAGTACCGCTTTTCATCAAGCACGAGTCAGATTCTGTGGCATTTCGCAGGCTTAGCGTGATCCGGTGATCGCACATCAACCTGTTTTTGTGACAGCTGGACTTTACTTCACTTCGCAGCCTACCTAAAACAACGCTTTAGGCCGTGCACTGCTTCACTCAAAGCTTGCCTGATTGGCTTTTGAGTGCTGTCCTCGTAGTACATAAATCGGCGTCCTAACGGCATTTCACTCTCTACGCCTTACATATCAATACATCAACACATCTTCGAACGTGGGTCTTTTCCAACTTGGACACTGGACAACGAAACAGAGCTAATCTCTACGTTACTTGCAGGCACTTACATCCAAGACACCAATCCCTCCACCTCCGCCAAAGCCGAACAACATGACAGACTGCGACCACGACGTGGGCACCCCACAGGGTGCACATGACAAGGCCACTATGATGATCCCGCTCGCATCTTCGTCTCCCTCCACGCGTAGTCTTCCTCGGTTGTCTGACCAGAAGCTGGAAAAGGTCCCCAAGTTCTTGAAAGCTGCGTCTCGCCCCAAGCCCAACACTTCCCTATGCTTGAACCAGGACATCCCAGTGGTCCAAGGTTTGTGCTTTAAAAACATAGCTGAGGCTCAGCGATCGATGGCTCTTGCTCAGTGGCACGCACCTCGAGACGACGATACCATTCCAAAGACCGAGGAAGAGTATCGCGATATTGCTAAGATGCTGGTGGATGCTTTCATGGATATGCGCATCGCCAAGGACACCGCGACCAACGCCTATCGCAAGCGTTTCACTCCAGGTGAATCTGTCTACTACCAGGACTGGGCCATTGAAGCTTGTGCATGGGATATCATTGTGAGTGAAAGGCGTGTGCTAGTATGACGACGATGAAATCGCTAACAGGTGATTTCTAGTCCAAGGTCATGTCTATCCACACGGAAGGCTTTAAGGTTCCGATCTACGACAAGTCCATCGTTGACTGTATTGGCCAGACCCAGAATTGGCTGTTCCAAGACCGGATTAACTGGATTTGCCAAGTTGTCAGGGTACGTCAGTCCTCTTGTACAATGCCTGAATTGACATTAATCCAACACGCAGAGCTCCAAGCACGTCGCTGTTACTCTTATGGTATGTTACGCAAGCCTATCACAATCAATGGATCTTGCAGCTGATACAATAACAGAAGCATGAGAAGAACTGGACTACGATCGGCGCGCCCCACAAGCTCTACAGCAGCACACTTGTCAATTGCATCTCGAATGCCCACCGCGGCAAGTGGGTCAAGGATGGTCGTGAAGCAGATAAGAATCATCAAGAGCGATCTATCAAGGGCAAGCGCACCAAGGACCAGCTGGCTATCTCTAATGGTGACGGTGTTGGCATGGACCCTGGAACTGCTGCTGGAGCTGAAGAGACAGAAACGCTGCAGCGAGAGCTTACGCGCAAGCGTCAGAAGATTGAGCACATCACATCTGACGGCAAAGACGTCGATATGGATGATGCAATCACTGGGGATTCTGATGCTGGTGTGCATTCTCTCAAGAAGCCCGAAAAGAGCCTCAAGCCGAGCAAGTCTTTCATCAACTCCCCACGTCCCGATAAGGAGATGATCGCCCTCTTCTATGGAGCACTGTCCACGAAGTCTGTTGCTGTTGTTCCCGGACAAGATACCGGCAAGCATAGCGCCCAAGCAGACGAAGCCGTTTCTGAAGATGTCGACCGGTCAAAGTCTCCCCACAAGGACTCTGTCGGGGAGGGCGAATACAACAAGGACACTTCTGTCGAGAAGAAGATGAAGAAGCACCACAACATCACGGTTGGCCTCAATTATCACCCCAATGTAGATACCAAGGGCGGATTTGAGTTCGACAACGGTTCGGAGCTTTCTGAAGCCCTCGATGGTCTGCTCTCCGACACCTCGTACGCTTCTCCTACCAGCAAGAAGACGGACGACCTCAAGGGCAGCCCTTCAACTCTAGATCCTCGTACCCACGATGCCGTTCACCTAGACGGCGCGTATATGTTAGCCTCGCTGCACACCGGCCGTTAAGCGACGTGCTGGTCTGTCAGTCTTGACAACTGATGGCCCCGAGCAGCCTCAGCGCACAAGGTCAGCGAAAGCAGCACCTACCCCTTCAGTATGTATAGTAAATTTGCTCTGTCTATTGGTGGTATAAGATCCGGAATGGGGCATCGATGGGATATAGTTCACGGGTTGAGATAGTTAATGGAGTCACAACGTTACAATTGTAATCCTTGATTACTTTACTACGTCGCGACTAAACATAATACAAGCTGATCACTCATCATTCTCTTGACATGCGACATTGCGTGAGCTAATTGACATCTATCGGCAAATGTTCCCCCGCATGTGAGCTTACGGGAGAGTGTGGGATTAGTCCCGCTGAGATCACGCAATGCTCGGTAGCCTTGTCGCGTCTCAACGTTAGTTCGGTTATGGATAAGTGTCGCGCTAAACTTTATCATTGCAATCCGACAGCACGTAACCTCGGAACCTGTGCACCTCTGCTCGCAGATGAGACGCACCCGTAAACTTCAATGCTAACATGGCCTCTAAAACCTCAGTAATCGTGTCGCATAGCTCTCTACCGTCTCATGGATCGAATATAAGTTTTCGCATGTCGTCCGCTGGACGACAGCCGTCTACCCAGACCCTCTACCGCCCACGATGTCCGAACCAAGAATCGAACACCTAGAAGACTTTACTGCCCACGGATGGTGCAACGCCCTATTATTCGATCCCTTGATAACGCGTATCAACCAACGCAACCTCGCTGGTAATGGCGACGAATGGAACTCCCTTTTTACACGCAGTCTCTTCACCGATGGTGCGGTTCGCGCCTTCCTGAACTTGTACAAACCTGGCAAAGGACAGAGAAGGGTGGTAGATGGAAAGAGCATAGTCACAGGCAAGCCGCCGATACTTGAGGAGCTTGTGCCGAGCGACTACGACAAGGAAGTCAGGAGGCAGGCGGCGAAGGAAGATGTACAATACAACCTTGAGGTTCCAGAAGCACCAGAGAACACGGTGTTAGTGTCCTTGGGTCGCGATCTCGATGGCGGTGTCGGGCGTCTTCACGGCGGCGTCACTGCATCCTTGCTAGATCAGTCTATGGGCGCTTTGCTGGTCAACTACTACGAAAATAGGAACGTGACTACAGAGCTGAGGATCAAGTACAAGAAGGCTGTTGAGACGCCTTGTATACTGAAGGCCAGAGTGAGGGTAAGCAGGGAGGTGGGAAGATGGATAGAAGTAGTAGGTTGGCTGGAAGATGGAGAGGGCACCGTGTATGCCGAGGGATGGGCCAGTTTTGTGTTGGCCAAGCTTGAACCGACGGCGAAGATATAGGTGAACCGATAGATAGCGATATGGAGGCACGAGGATAGGGAAGTATGTAATGGAAGGCATTTCGGCAACTGTTCGATTTCATCCATAGGCAGCTTCAATCGCATCGTACAGATCTCACGATCATGGCATATACGTCTTCAGCTTCTGAGCAGCCGATCATTTCGCACGCGACTAATGCGCCGACCTTACCATAGTTCAGATCGCGAATGCAACACCCACCACATGCTCATCCAAATCGGCACTATCGCTGTTGTTGTCAATGCACATACCCACCAACCGTCCCAACAACTATTATCGCAGCATGAACCGTTCTTGCCGGCCCCTACCAGCACACGTACCGCGACTTCTCGGCTTCTCCAGTGTTCTGAATATCCGACGAATCATATGCCGAGACGTCATGGCGTTGTGTTTCAGATAATCAGGCAAATTGGTTCTAGACCGGGGCTCCCTAGCTGTCGATCAGGAGAGTTTTGCAGCCGCTGGTGGGTTCACCCAACGAAGTTTTCTTATCGACAACGCACACACGCTGATGATATGGGAAATCTCTATGTATAGTGGGGAGGCCAAGGTAATTTGACAACTGGCTAATCTTGGAATGTGCACGGCATGGGTGCCGAGTATGCTGGTTTGAAACGATGTTATGCGTTGTGGGCTGTGTAAGTTATGTATAGTGGCTATCTACAGCTTTCGTCTTTTACGCGTAAGCTTCATCCTCCGTTCTCTCTTCCACTTTTTCGTCGTTTTTTTACCGTCGCATTTTGCGCAGTCTCTCGTTCATTGCTATCTTTCCAGGTTCAGCGAACCATACACATTCATTACAAGTTCATTACATTCTTTTGCTTTGATGAGCCTACATTCGATTCGACGACATCGTAAACTCAATATTTTCGTACCCATCACAATCTTTAAACATGATACCAACTTACATTGCCAACGCGATATCCCTCATCGTTCAAACTGCTGCGATTCAAGCTCCGCCACCAACCCCTCCACTATCCGCTGCTCTCTTGACTTCCTCAAGCGCCCTCGCTGCGTCGCTCAAGTCTTCCTTCCCAAATCAAGGTCCAGCCTTACTACCTCAACCGTACTGGTGGTGGCAATCTGGAACTGCTGTCGAAGCGCTGCTCAACTATGGTTCAACGACAGGAGATTGGCAGTACGAAGAGATGCTCAAGAACACAATCATAACTCAAGCGACAGTAACAAACGACTTCATGACCATAGATGCCACCGGCAATGACGATCAGGCATGGTGGGCACTCGCCGCCCTGACAGCCGCTGAGAACAAGGTACCGCAACTAGGAGGCATAGCCTGGGTCGATCTAGCAAGAAACGTCTTCAACGAGCAGAGACAGCGATACCAAGACGGCGCGAATACATGTGGAGGGGGATTACGCTGGAAGATTGACTACGAAGGCGGAAACAATGGATGGCACTACAAAAACGCCATTACAAACGGTTTATTTTTCCAGCTCGGCGCTCGGCTCGGCCATCTCACAAACGACACCGAGATGCTGACTTGGGCGGAGAAGACGTATGCCTGGAGTACGAAAGTCGGACTTGTGGATCAAGATTTCAATGTCTACGACGGGACAGACGAAGAGAACGGATGCTCGGATTTGAACCATAATCAATGGAGTTACAATGTTGGAGTTTACCTTTATGGCTCTGCTGTCATGGCGGTTCATACCAAAGACGACAAATGGGTTAATCGGACACGCGGTTTTATTGCTTCTGCGAAGCGTACTTTTACTTCGCCAGATACTGGCGCTTTGTTCGAATCTAAGTGCGAGGGGAAAGACATTGACGATGGAGGTTGTGATACGGATCAAGTTTCGTTCAAGGGCTTGCTGGCACGGTGGTTGGGTGCTACAGCAGTGATATTACCGGAGGTTCAGGAAGATGTTGAGAAGATTATTAATGCGGCCGCGATTGCGGTGCAGGATGGAGAGAAGACGGACTTGGGACCTATCGAGAGCTTCAATGCTCTGGAGGTTGCTGACGCGAGTTTGAGAATGCAGGGGTTAGGTGGTGCGGGAGGAGTGATAGGGTTGGGAAAGGGGAGGAGAACGAAGCGGAGCGTTGCTGGTAGAATATCATGGTGATAGAAACACGCTGAATAGACTATAGAAGAAATTATGCAGAGGCGTCCCAATTGTTTGCTTGCTTTTTTTTCTCTCGCCGTTTCTCTCCACGATCATGTCGTGTCTCGACATCGCCGTCATCCCAAGAACATCTCCACAAATATAGGATTGAACCCCTGCTATCTAGCGTCATCGTCTGCAGCCGGATCGTGGGCGATCTCATCTCGATGCGCGGGTGCGCTACGCGGATCGATGTGTCGGTTACTTGGAGGGGCTACGGGTGGCTGCAGCCCCTCAACACCAATGGAGCTGTTAAAGCTCTCATAATGACGTCGCAGGAACGGAAGCTTTCCAGGAACGTCAACAAACATGATTTAAGATGAGCTCGCGTGCAGACCAATGTCCACTGGTATTCCATCTTATCGTACGATTGTTGTCTTGCTGTTGATCAATTGATTGTTGGCTGCATAGCGAAATATCATGCCTTCTGTAAACTCAGCTGTAAGCATTTCTCACGCGACTACGCAAGGTATCAATTGACTGATGTCTGATAGGTTTTCCATGCGTACGCCTACGGTACTGCATTTTGGTACGGTCTGCGTGGCATGTGCCGCGTTTACGACCCTCTCATGGTTATCGGCTGTACGTTACCCCAGGCTCTCTCCAACTCTCTGTTGCAAATCATCCAGCTCGAGGCTCCAAGACTAACACAACCCAGGGTTTCGGCCTCCCTCGCAACTGAACCTTGCGCCGAACGACCTCGAAGTATACAACGTGCGCAACGATGGATGGTGTCTCGTCACCCTTGCACTGATCCTGGTATCATTTACCAATGCCGTGCCCTTTACCTCAGCGCCTGCGACAAAGCTTACGTCAATCCCTTATGCGAAGGCCGTGGTGGCTGCGACAGTCTTCCATCATATCACGACTGGCATCGGCGCATACCAACACTACAAGCTGCCGAGTCATTACAACACCAGTATGAGTATTGGCGTGTGGGGTAACGTGTGGCTGACGCTGACGGGACTCTTTACCTTGGCGATGCTGCAGTCGAATGCGGGAAACAAACCAGTCGAGGAGGTCACTAAGAAGGCGAAATAGCTGCGTAATCAGCAACCACTCATGTGAGCTCAGGAGAAATTTTTTGGTTATTTGAAGGTTACTGTCGAAGTGCGGTTGTAGGCTCTTGCTATTGAAGATAGGCGAATGAAGTTTACGCGATCTGAGCTAGAATCGCTGCGGATTGTAACGTATCAGAGAATAATGAGCGACAATACATGGTCCGAACAAGGAAAGAATTTGGTTGGTCATCCAATCGCTCAACAATTTGTCGCGCGATCTGTGGTGAGGTCAATTTGATGTTTCCAAAGAACAATCCAAGGATCATGTACCATCTCTTAACCTTCGCTTCTAAACGGCACCTTTGCCTTACTATCCGTCATGTGTATCTGGGGAAACCGCCAAGTCCTAAAAGGTATCCGCGGAAGTTCCAGCCTTGTTGAGTCATTTTGCACAGCGTGCAATATGCATTCCGGCGAAAGTCATAGCAGTTCTGTTCCTGGCATCTTCGGGATTGGTGGTAAGGGATACCGGGCTGGTTGAAGTACCGTGGATCGTTGATCTGGTTCAGGCCCATGCGGACGTGCTGACAGGGTGGGGCCTGTATGTACTCCCGGTGGTTACAACGTTCCCAGTGACGATGAATATCTCGACACATGGCTTTGGTAGGGTGTTTCAGATGATGGTGATGAAGCAAGAGAACTTGATGTGAGCTATCAGATCAGTGTGCTGTGAACGAGTCGTGTAAATGTGAATTGAACAGCCTTGCATACTGCTAGAAATTCTCGACAGTCTCACACTGACACTGCTCTTATACACATGCTCCAACCTTGCGATTGGCGAACACATGCTCACATTATCCAACCGTTGGACGCGGGGAGGGCGGAGAGTGGGTTTGAGCGAGAGCCTTGCATCATATACAGCGTGTAGCTATGGTATGAGATCTTCTTACACACACCGGTGAAAATTATACCTACCGAACGATGTGTGGCTTCCGCGAACGCAAGATACTGTCCGTGGTACTTACACGTCCTTTTCGTGAGGCCATGAGCACTAGCACAAACAGATCTCGCAACGCGAAGACACGTGGCAGAGAACTCGAACCGTTCAATATGCAAAGAGGATATGCGAGAGTCTTGAAAGCAAATCGGATCGAGGCCGTAGCACGCCATGGAGATGAAGCAATCGAGAACACTTTGCTCGACCTTACGTAGTCTGCCCAGTTTCCCGGATCTGGAGCATGCGAACGCCGATGGGGTGTGAAGTCGCCACAAGGCCATCGTGTTGTGATCCCGCTGGTCTAGACCAGACGGCTTGGTATGTGGTACAAATGACGCTCATGTTTGCTACACTGAGATCAACGAACGTTGACGAAAGCGACAGTAACATCCGGGCCGTGACCTAAAAGGAAAAGCCATTCAATTTCCTAGTCACAGTCAGCAGTGTATCCAACGGGATATACGTCAGCTTACACTTGTAGTTGCCCATGAGGGTCGATGCGGATACCTCCCTGATTACGCGAGCATCGAATCTGGAAACCATCTTAAAGATTCAGCATCCTTGCAGAACAGTGTCCCATAGAAGCAATATCGACCATTCTGGGAGTTCGCCATTGCCTCTGCTAGGGTATTGCATATCAGGTTAAGTCGCACAAAAGTTGGTAAGGAGAGCTACACGCTAAGCTAGTCCAGCTTAGCACTGTCAGCTCGAACAGTAAGGAGTGATTCAAGCAGCTGCAGTTGTAAGAATGCGAAACAAGAAAGGCACCATCAAGGTCAAAGTAAGAAAGACTAGAAGTTTTGCGATGAATGTTTTGATTGACGAACGCCTGTACCAACCCACACGGGTATAGGATTTTGTAAATGCTAATAAACCGGAACGCCAATATATGTATGCAAAGGGGTATCGCCCAATTCCAGTTCCAAAACGCTCAAATGCAAATCAAAAATAAACTCCTCAGCCTTCATGACCATGCAATCGTCACCATCGTCATATTTTTCCGTTCATCTGTGCCAGTGGCCTGCCACAAGAAAGCGCAGTACGCATGTTACCAAAAAGAAACGCTGCAAAGCAGCTAGGAAATCCACACCATACGCATAGTTGTATTGTTTACAATCCTCTGAACTTGGCACCATTCTTGTGGTAGATGCTGTGAACTGCACGAGGAGTGATTGCAGAAGCAGCGGGTTGAGTTGAAGCAGGCGCTGTAACGGTGACCATGATGGTGTCGGTCACGGTGACGACAGAGCCTAGACCTGCAGATAATGTGGGGGCTGCGCCAGGACGCCCGCTTAGAGTCGGGATATCGGTAGGGGCCGGCATGGTAGAATTGAGGAAAGGGGCGCCGCTGCTGATAAAGGGAACAATACTGCTGATAATGGGAGCGCCACCGGTTGGTGAGGGCACCGCGTCGGTAGCAGAGGGCGTAATAACAGGTGATCCGCCGGAAAATATGGGACCGACTTCGCCTTGCACAACGTTTGTCATGAGAGCCGTGCGAGACGCGAAGTCCGCCACAGCAATGGTCATGGCATCTTGCTGAGGGCCAAGATTGAATTGTGCTTCTGCAGCCTCAGCCATCGCGACGTCTTTGGACGCGACATCAACGTCGATACATGTGGTGTAGTATTCGTCTTTGCCCTTGGGGTAGCCTGGGTCGATGCCGCCAGAAGCTGTGTTCCATTGCCAGACCCAATAGAAAGTGTATGGTTTACCCATCTCGGCATTATCAGGAAGCTGAACGTTCGTTTCGCAGAAAAGAGGATAGTTTCCTGGTGCTCCGTCGACAGCTTGGCCCATTGCGAAGTTCGGATCAGACTTCATGCGCTCGAGGGAGATGGGTGAGCCGTTCTTTTCGTAGCAACGACCGTCGTCGAAATCGTTCATGGCGAGTAGCTTGCCGCGCTTGTCCCCTCCTTGACCATCTTGAGTCCAGCTCAAAACCGTTACTAAATGCTCGTCCTCCTTCGGTGATGTGGTGCCGTATACAAAGATGGTGCCGCCCTTCTCGGGCTTTCCTTTCTGGTTGTTCGGGAGAGAGACGTGGCCGTTCTCCATATATCTCATGGCTATGAAACCACCCGGCGTGGCTTGGAGGCGAGGGTACTTGTCCTGAGACTGCTCTTGTTTGCGTTGCTTCTCGTGACAGAGTAGCGTACTGTTGGTAATGAAGACGTTGCCTGGTGTTTTGGCGCCGGGAATCTCGTAGTTCATCGAGTTGCCATCGAAGCCCTGATCAGTTTTTGAGACCATGCCTCGCGGGTAGCCGTATTCCCCAACATAGTCGCCTTTATCATTGACGTTGCGCAGCTGCTCAATCCAAGTGTGACCCATCGCGGCGGGGGCCGCTGCCATCGCCGCGATTATTAATGTGAGAATGCTCGGCATTTCGAATGTAAATTTTTGTTCGTAGATGCGGTACTGAGAAATGTCGCGGTTTTGGCCTGCAAAACACGGTCGTTGAGTAAAAGCTCCGAGGTGGTCGTAGAGTCGGGAGACTTGTGACGTAGTAGTGTAGTTGCAAAGATGTCGTGCCTCGCGGATGAAGTAATGTCAAAGTGAAGACGACTATTGACTCATATAACTGGCAAGAACTGGCTCAACCAATACGCTGTGAATGAATGTACAGTGTCGAGCGACACGTGATCGATCAATTCGTGTTCACCGGGAGAATAGCAACAAAGCTATTGTTCAACGACGGTGTATGGTACTCCGGTATTACTACCCGACACAGTGGACACCCACAAGAAAACAAGGGAAGGAGAACGGAAGAGAAGAAGTGAAGACGCACGAAAGCCAGGTGTAATGACAAAATACAATGCTCATGCGGCCATGGTCCTTTATTCAGGCGGGTGAAGGTGGTGAGACAGACGCTGTTGAACGTTGTAATATCTCTGGCCCAGAAGGGAAGAAGCGACAGGAGCCAATAGAGAAGGAGGCACACGAAGTGTCGAAACACAGCGCCACTCCACGCGACGCCGCATTCAAGCTTTTGAGCCTGAGTTGTATGGATGTAGGATGTGTGTTTCAACGCTGGCCGACACTGTAGCCGCCAGCCATGGCTTTTCCGTCCCGCAGCATGGCCGCCGCGTAGCGCGCACATACTGCAGCCTCCCGTACTCTCCGGCGCGAGGATCGGCCTCTGGTGCTCGGTAGTCAGTGAGGTAGGTCGCATGGCAGGGCTGCGCTAAGCTATCCTCAGACATGCAGAGGGGCCGTTGAGTGTCAGAGGACCGTGTGCCGTTGATCTACGACACGACGACGGCAGCTAGGCATCATCTAGATCATTGTGCGATCTCGCTGCAGAGTTGTGGAAAAGTGATGGGAAACAACGACAGCCTGCCACTGACATGTTTGAAAGCCCTTTCGCATCGCGAACCCACAGAAGGCGCGCGACGCGTAGCGACCCACACAAGGTGGGCAGAAACAACGAGAAAAGCATTCAAACTGTGCCAGAGAGCGTTATTCGAACTATCCGACGACAGGTGAATGTGCGCCGATGCAGCGCTTCGAGAAGGAAGGTGAACCCGCAAGCGATGGGGTAGGGTGAAAGAAGTTTGGTGGGAGGCTCCGCTTTGTTTCAGGTTAGAGCGCGAGCGAGCGTTGATTGGCCGTTGCCGGCTACGCTAAGCTCCATACTAAGAATTGGAGATATCATCTGATTGGAGCGCAACACTCCATTTCACGATGCCTCCCAGCTAGACTTTTCGTACGACACGATTGACGCCCATCCACTCTCTATATTTGACAAGCGAGATTCCAGACATCTGGCCAACACCATGCGCCTTTTTTCCAAGGTTCCCTCGGCGTGCGAAAACATGGACAACGAGATGAGATATTTCCCGAGGTGCGCTCTCACCCACACGAATATGTTTCTTATCGATTGTTCGTGTTTCATCGGTAAGGGAAAACGGCGGGGCGCGGAACAGCCCTGAGGCACAGCAAACGGCACAAACGGGCGCCTGGCCAACATCCCCACCTGTCAAAACGGCTCGAAGATTGCAGGAACCAAACCCGAGGCTAACCACGTCGGACGACCATGGCAGTCCATCTTCTGTTGTGACTACTCAAACCCAAAGAGCTTGGCCATGTAGGAGACGGCCAGGCACCTTCCCGGAAGACACTTTCCTAGAGTCCTTATATCTTGAAAACCCTTAGTCAAACACTCGTCAACTATGGAAGTCTCACCCTGCACAACCAGTTGACATGTTTATCATATTGGCCCACTGGCGAATTGATGTGATCACCAGTTTCGCTTGGTTGAAATTGATATGATCTACATTTCAATCGATTCAGCCCGCACAATCACTCATCCGTCCATTTGACTGTTTATAGTCGATGACATGCGTGTGGCTGGGTAAGTGAGGAATACCAGGGATGTGAAGGGTCTGTATATTACAGGAATGTTCTCGCAAGGCACTACAACAAGTGGCGCTCAACAGTGATAGTTCGCTACCAAGACCATAGATACACTCCTATCGAATCTCGATAACACTTCCAAAATCCAATCCTCAGTTCAGCCGACACAGGCCACTTTCCTATCAGAGATTGAATTAACAATACAGCTTCTCACATCTACCCGCATCAACTACGCTGTCGGCATGTGCAGATACGCGCTCGTCCCTTACACCTGCTCCCAAACTTCCCGCAAAGCAACCTCCTGGTGTCTATCAAATCGCTTCGGTCTGTGCCACAATGCGCGGTCATACACTATCGAGAGACATTATGATGAAGAGTGCGATGCGTATCAGTTGGGAAGGTGTCGAGAAGTGGGGGCAAGGGATATGAGGAGACGGAGAGATGAGAGTAGACAATAAAATGTCAGTCGTATGGAAGCATTGGAAGTCAATGAGCGCTGCGTTGAGGTATTTAGTGATCATAAGACGTGATAATGTGGATATGAGCGAAAGGATGATGTGGACAGCGCATGTGGTCAACAGGATTGTTCATACGGATAATCATGAAGACAGCGAAGCAAGTGGTAGTAAAATTAATGATTTTACAACACCATTGTCACGACCTATCAAGCATTCAAGTAATTAATGCAAGCTTCTTCGCGCTATCGTCCGTCTGACCTCTGAAGTTTTCCGTTGCTCATGTAGGCGCATTCACAACTATAACACCGCACACATCTGCTTTGTCGACTGATTCCCTTTACTTACCTACACAGTAGCCCCCGAGCAAACAAACCTCCTCACCTTTCTGATATGCCACTACTCAACCCCAAACCAGCAAACTGCATATGCGCTGCAACCACCAACTCCTGGGCCTGTGGTTGCCACAGCTATACATATAAAGTTACTTGTTTAGGACCGATCTACCATCATCCCCCTGTCATCATGGGGATAGAGTTTCATTGGAGGGAGATATACGAAAAATGCTCAGAGAGGTTGGGAGTTGTGAAGAGAGCGTGGTGTGAGAGGCGAGGTGTATGTCCCTACCATGTACCGGATGATGAGGAGTCGTGATGTGAGAATGCGTTGTTGATCGCTTTCGCAATGTCATTCTACCTGTTCTCCGATTGCGAGTTCCCACAGCCGTATCGTACGTCAAGAACTCGAATACTAGCGAGCGAGTGGTACATTAGTACTTGATGTCAAGGATCCAAGTTGCAAACGACTAAGAGTCCAGCAAGTAGATGTAGTGTACAATACCGTCACAAGTGAAAAGTGGATTCAAAACCGCGTGAACAGTGCCACAAGTACTGGAGTATCATTTCCGGGTTTAGATGAGATGATGCCAAAGAAAGTGAGTGAAGGTGGCGCTTCTCGAGGATTCCTTGGCATTCGACTAGCTTTGTCAGCCAACCACGTGCACTAGCCTCCGCGACATTCTGCTTAGCAGAGAGCTTCGCGCATCGCGACTTTTCCAGCCCGCGCGCGACAACATCACCACCCCATCGCCGTTTGCCATTCACATAACCGAAGCGCACTCACATCGACATCTCCAAACACCGAAGATACTGCCTTGAACAACCGCGATCATGGCCAACTACCTCGCCTCCATCTTCGGTACCGAGCAAGACAAGGTCAACTGCTCCTTCTACTACAAGATTGGCGCCTGCCGCCACGGCGACCGCTGCTCGAGGAAACACGTCAAGCCTTCGTACTCGCAGACCATCCTGCTGCCCAACCTTTACCAGAACCCGGCGTACGACCCCAAGAACAAGATGAACCCGCAGCAGATGCAGATGCACTTTGATGCCTTCTACGAGGATATTTGGTGCGAGTTGTGCCAGTATGGACTAGTCGAGGAGTTGGTTGTTTGCGACAACAACAATGACCGTACGTTTTCCCTCCTTTACGGTAGCGCTTTCACACGAAGACAGCTTGCTAACCTAACCTTTGTAACAGATCTCATCGGTAATGTCTACGTTCGTTTCAAGTACGAAGAAGACGCGCAAAAAGCCTGCGACGCCCTCAACTCGCGCTGGTACGCCGGCCGTCCCATCTACTGCGAACTCTCGCCCGTGACCGATTTCCGCGAAGCCTGCTGTCGTCTCAACAGCGGCGAAGGCTGTGTCCGTGGCGGCTTCTGCAACTTCATCCACCGCAAGGAACCGACAGCTGAGTTGGACAGGGAGCTGGACATGTGCACGCGCAAGTGGCTCAAGGAGCGTGGCAGGGATGCGAGGAGTATGTCAAGGAGTCCTACGCCGCCTGCGACGAAGAACAGGGCTTAGAAAGGAAACGACTGGGGAGAACGAGGCTAGGGTGGAGTGTGAAGGGCGTTTTGGCGTTATACATGCTCGCGCAGTTTGGGACATGTTGGCTTTGATACCTCGATATCCGTAGCGGGCATGGCGTTGCAGATTGGCATTTGTAAATTAGCTTTGGGAAAATCAGTGAAGTGTGGATAATAGGCTAGACTAGGTTACGCAAAAGCAATCATGTCAGTTCACATCGGTCTGTTTGTATGCTCAAACAACTCTCGTAATTTGCGCAACGATGATGTGATCTCGTCAAGGAAAGAAGCAGACATTGCATTGTGGCCATGTAAGACCTGGTATCATCTAGAATATGAACAGAAGAAAAGGAGAAATCCATGCATCGTTGATGCACGTAGGTACCCAAACACCAACCCAACCCCCACAGAGAAGACATTAAACGCCGTCTATACACTCAGTGTGCCCAAAAACCCCGTATATACATCCATACATCCCGTCATAAGCCTCTTTATGACACTCGTTCAGATAATCTTGTGCGCCTTCAACACCAGCACAGTGACCACAACACCTGCTACCAGCAGGAGGAAGATGATCCAGAAACACCAGCAGATCCATGTCCGATGCTTGGCCTTGCGCTGCTGCTGAGCGAGCCACGAATCTCTGTGTGAGGCGTCAGCCGTGATGGTCGTCATAAATCCGAAGCGTGATTGCGGACGGCCGGATAGACTGAGGGAGAGGGTGGAGAGATTGGGAGTGCGAAAGAAGGAGCGGGATGGAGATGCGGGGAGCGGGGACAGTGAACGTTGAGGCGGAGGGGGAAGGGTATCTTCGTCTCTGTCTAAGGGTTCCTCTTGAATGGACATGGTTGGTCGCAATAGTGGTTTTGTCGAATTCGTCTTTTGCAGTTTTGACCGGGGTCGTTGCTTCCTCGCCCGCGGTATTTGGCTCGCAGACACCTCCCCCGACAAAGGAGATAGCGGCGATGAAGCAATGGACGACCGTACAGACGGGAGTTGGACCATGGGCGGGAAAGCAGGGCTTAGGTGCGATTGGGAAGTGGGGGATCCAAGGGGCGTGTGCGAAGGGGATGAAAAGGGACTGCTTTGGACGTACGATTGCTTGGGGTCCTGGAATGTCTTTTCAAGATCGTCTTGGTGTACCGCCACGCTGAAGCGTTTCCAGAATTGGGGATCGCGCACCATTTTGGGTGGTATTACGAGTGGTCTTGGTGGACGAGCGTATTGAGGCAATGATGGTACGCAGGCGACAGCGAGGCGCTGGTGTGTTGTATCGAGCTTGTACGTTGGTAGAGACAGTGGTGACTTTGTGGCCGTTGAGAGATGTGTTTGGGGCGAGGGAGGTTGCGGCAACGAGAAGATTGTTGAGTGAGAGTGGTGTAAGCGAGTGAGGCAGTGGACGCAGTTGCTCGTATTATTGGATGTAGAAACCGTCTAGTAGCACGAGGGGTACAAAGACGTATATAGATGTGTCGCTCAGCAACACGCGAGATTTGGTGTGGATATGCAGATTGCAAAGGGTCCAGTGAACCAGGAAACCGCCGCGTGTAAGGAATGACACAACGTAAACCTTAAGTCGCAATAATGATCGACGATGGTTTTACGAGTCAAGTGAAGCGGGAGTGACGTGGTAGAGAAAGGAGCGACGGTAGTTGGGTGAGGCAATCGTTTGCACAGGTGCAGCACTTCAAGGCGCAGTCGTGAATGGAAGTGGTCATGAATGAGAAGGAGGAAACTACCATACTTAACACTGCACGCCTATACAGGCCCCTAAACAACAGGCCTTGGGTCCGGGACCCATGTGATGTAACACTACTTGCCTAGACTCGACGTCCAGGTGTCAAAGCAGGATGTCGATATTATCGTGAGAGGGGGCAACCAGAGTGATGGTTCTCGTTGGTTTCGAGGCTCGGCGTGGGTCTTAGGAGCTGGCCAAAGCTGGCCAATAGAAAGCTGCGAGACCGTTTGGACCCCTGCAGGCCATCACGCTGGACACATGGCGCCGATGGCGGTAAGGCGCGGGAAATTGGAGAGAAGGTATCTGAGACGAGGGACCCATGTGCGACCGGTAAGGCCATGAGGCTGTTTGGTTGCCGTGCAGTGCGGCTCTAGAGTGGACCAAGTACACGGCAGCTGTGTTCGCTGCAGCATCCTGCATTTGCAGCTTTCGATGTCGCACCCTTCGCAAAACACCTGAGGACGAAGAGAGTTGCTGCCCACCATCATCAGCATGCATCTGCTCTTTCTCAGCAAGCGGAATGCCACGTTGAAACAAGGCGCGCTATACGCAAAACATGGCTTGACAACGGTCTTGCGTATGCTTCAGCGCGGTCCCACCCGCTGTTTCTGTCGTTCAACATTCCCTAGGGCTCACCGCTAGGGTTACCTAGACTCCTGCACCGGCATCCTTGCTGTGCCATCCCATACCCTGCCAGCACAATATTGTAACACTACGCGATTGTTTACTTTCGAAATCCTCACTATTTTCCGGAATTAGCAGCGGCAAGGATGCCACACGAGGAGTTGCCTTTCTGGCTGGTCAATGTTCCTAGGGATCAATGGCCGAGCGAGTGCCCGGACTTCTTGAAGAATATTAGTGAGAAGGACAGGGGAATCATCGGGACGCCTGATGAGAGCTACCGGGTGTTGACATGGGACCAAGTGAGGGAGATTGTAGGTGAGATTGAGATGAGACGCGCGATAAGCGAAACGCTGATGGTTGTGGTCAGAGAGCAACCGGGTCGACAAGTTTCATCGTATGCCGAGTGAGTTGAGGCGGTATCGGCAGTTTACCCATCGGCTGGAGAAGGACTATGGCAGTATAATGAACTTCATTGTTAATGAGCGGTTGAAGTGGGGAAACATGGAGCCGAAAGGCAAGCCGTTCGAACTCGATGGTATGTGCACTTGTGTTTTGATGATTGGCATCCCTGCTTACCGACCTATAGAGGACATCAAGATCCTATATAACGACTGGCCCTACGGCATTGATGCAGATATTGTGCATCTTGTCGTGTGGACCAAGTTTGAACTCGACGATGACCCCGACACTGGGCTCTCTACCGCTGAGTCCCAGAAGCAAATTGGTGACTATGTGCAAAAGACGTTTGCTCCAAAAGTCAAAGAACTAGTCTGGTTCAAGAACTGGAAGAGTCTGAAGAGCGTGCATGCAGTGGAGCACTTCCACGTCATGTTGTACAAGCCGGATGCTGTGTTCCTCAAGGAGATTACGAACGGCGATGTCCCCATGAATGAGAAGTTTTGTTAGCAAGGAAGCGTAACGGGGTATTTTGGCTGTCCTGTTGTCGAGAAGCAGAGGAAAACATGCCGATTATCACTAAGCGTATTTCTCACTTATTTGACTGCACAAGAGCTTGGGGTCGACGGGGTATTTTGGCATGCTAACGGCATATTATGCAGGCCAACGGGGTATTTCGGATGGAAATTCACAATCATTTTGTTTAGACGTGTTATAGACATGGTATGTTTACTAGAGTGGCCGTGCGACGTCCATAGAGGAGAATTACCTGTTATCGATATCATCCAGGCCTAAACAAATTCAAACTTCTCAGCCTTGTTCTGCACTCGGGCGCAAGGCGACGCCGATGCTGATCCAGTTCCCCTGAAGATCATCCGGTTGTTGTTGGGATTGATTGGAGCGGCGTGCAGACCGGGTTGAGGCCCAGCCCTTAGTAAGTTTGACAGGCGCGTCATTTCCCGTGGCGTACGTGGCGCGTGGCGTGTGGCGCAAACTTGAACTGCATAACTAATGAATTGTCAGAAACAACGAAACTAAGATATTTTGACCCAAGTACGCTGAGCTGGTCAAGCGGACTAGGTGTCGAACATCACTAGGCGCATGCTTTCTGCAGAAGCCGTTGTTATCTCATTGCCTATCGTCGAATAGAGACGTCTTCCTTGTACCGGGATACAAAGCGGTGAGAGTGGTGTTTGGCCTAGCGTTGACAAAAAAGTCGCGGGACGGCAAGGGGCCTTCCTCCACATTTGAGTCGGCACCGAGTGTGTCTTGTGCACCAGCCTCTACTCCCCCTCTTTACCTTTCCTCGAGAGCGGCGCGTTTACAAGTGTTGCGACGCCAATTGCGGGTTTCCGGTATCGCTCAGGCCCCATAATTGGAGACTTGACCGTGTCTTGGTAGCATCACCGACCACGGAGGGTGAACAAGGTATGGCGCTAGAAGGAATACCCGGTAGTGATAGTACTGACATGGTGAAAGGTCTTTTCTTGTAGCCATCCTCGTGATTCGCATCCAATCCCACTATACGCTGCGCACAGCCACTCTTCCGCGTCATCCCATGCGAGCGACTCTCTACAAGGCCTTGCAACACCTCCCACTGAATCAACTTCAGTGGTGACATATTCACCATGCTCGGATATCTCACCAGCCGCTGGCAGTCGACCGGCGAACAGAAGAAGACCAGTCCGACCTGGTTCGACCGCCACTTCTCGCCTATCCTTCTCTCTGTCGCGAAGAAGGCATGCACCCACCCAATCCACACCATCGTGACCATCGCGTTCCTGGCTAGCTACTCATACTTGGGCGTTTTGGACAAGGGTCTGCTGGAGAGTGGCATTGAGGAAGTGTCGAGCCGAGTCGACTTCCACACCCTTTTGGCTGGCAGCAAGAGACTTAGAGTAGGAGAAGAGACATCATGGCAGTGGGAGGCTGAAGAGCCCAAGACTGCTGTGTACAAGGATAAGGTAGGGATACCTGCTATTTTCCTAACATTTGACTAACCAGACAGACCGCACAGGAACTCGCTCTCGTAACTCTCGTCTTTCCCGAATCGAGCACCATCAACTCTGCTCCCTCGCAACAATCGGTTCCTAGCAATGTCTCTGCCGAGCTCCTCCCCAGCTCCTCCAGCTCTTTCTCTACTTTCTCCCACGATACCTCGCTCGCATTCTCTATCCCATACACCGAGGCTGCCGATTTCCTCCAGGCCATGCAAGAGATTTCTGCGCCAGAGGACGCTGCTCAATCGCAGGGCTCTGAGAAGGAAGGCACACACGAAGAGAAGAAGTGGATGATGAAGGCTTCCAAGATTGGCAGTGCACCAGGCGGCGTGCGTAACTGGATCACCGAATCATGGACGTCTTTCGTCGATCTCCTCAAGGTATGTCATTCGTGGATACGAACGTGAACTTGGCTAAGTTTGATACAGAACGCTGATACTGGTGACATCGTCATCATGGCTCTGGGCTATCTCGCCATGCACTTGACTTTTGTCTCTCTCTTCCTCGCCATGAGGCGTCTTGGATCCAACTTCTGGCTGGCTACCGCTGTCCTCCTGCAGTCCGCCTTCGCTTTCCTCTTCGGTCTTGCTGTGACAACCTACCTCGGCGTTCCTATCAACGTCATCTTGCTCTCTGAGGGACTTCCTTTCTTGGTCGTGATTATTGGATTTGAGAAACCCATCGTCCTCACCAAGGCTGTGCTCTCTGCCTCTCTGGATGGCCGACGAGCGGCGGAGGAGAGGCGGGGCGAGCCTTTGACTATCCAGTCATCCGTACAGACTGCCATCAAGAGGACTGGTTTCGAGATTGTTCGCGATTACTTCTTCGAAATTCTGATCCTTGTTGCCGGTGCCATGTCTGGCATCCAGGGCGGCCTACGACAGTTCTGCTTCCTCGGCGCCTGGATCCTTTTCTTCGACGCCATTATGCTGTTGACTTTCTACACTGCGATTCTCACCATCAAGCTTGAGATCAACCGAATCAAGCGCCATGTAGCACTGCGTAGGGCTCTTGAGGATGACGGTGTCGATGGCAAGGTCGCTGAGAATGTCGCTCGCAACAACGACTGGCCCAACGCTCGTGACGTGCAAGTCGTCAATCACACCACGACTGTGTTCGGGAAGAAGATCACAGTGCCCAAGTTCAAGATTCTCATGGTCGCTGGATTCATTCTCGTCAATGTCCTCAACGTAGTCACTCTCCGATTCGGCCTCTCTCCTAGCAAGGTTTCTCACGTTTCTGGCGTAGGTGCCACTCCTCCACTGGACCCTTTCAAGGTTGCTGGAAATGGATTGGATTACATCTGCGAGCAGGCCAAGAGCACCGCTACGTCTACAATCGTCACTATCCTTATGCCGATAAAGTATGAGCTTGAGTTCCCGTCCATCCACTACGCCGAGCCTTCAATCGCCGACAACGAGCTCGCATTCGGAAACAACATCAGCACTCACATTGTTGATGGTGTACTCAAGAGCTTAGAAGACCCCTTCCTTAGCAAATGGATCGTCCTTGCGCTTGTCATGAGTGTGGTTCTGAACGGCTACCTCTTCAACGCAGCGCGCTGGACCATCAAGGAACCCCATCAGCCACTCGCACCACCCTTTCCTTCAGAAGTTCAGGATGGAGCTCCCACTGTGCCTGGAACCCCTCGCGTGCCTTCAATGCACATGCCTACGCCGCCCCGCACTCCTGGTCCTGAAGAACAGAATGGTCGCCTTCAGCCTCTCACACAAATCGCGACACGAACACCCGAGATACCAGCAGGTCCTTCTGAAGAGCAACAAAGACAGCCAAACCGCCCCTCTGAGGTTCTGGAGCTCATGATCAAGGAAAAACAAGCGCCCAAGATGACTGACGAAGAGCTGATCGAGATGTCGCTCAAGGGAAAGATCCCAGGTTATGCCCTGGAAAAGACACTTGGTGACAAGACTCGCGCTGTCAAGATTAGACGTGGTCTTGTCTCGCGTACGCACGCTACACGAGAAACCTCAACTCTGCTAGAACGCTCGCTTCTGCCATACAAGGACTACAACTACGATCTTGTTCACGGCGCATGCTGTGAGAACGTAGTCGGCTACCTTCCTCTCCCTCTTGGTGTCGCCGGACCTATCCTCGTTGACGGTCAAAACTACTTCCTTCCTATGGCAACTACCGAAGGTGTGCTTGTAGCCTCAACCTCCCGAGGTGCTAAGGCTATCAACGCAGGCGGCGGTGCCGTTACTGTTGTGACTGGTGACGGTATGACCCGCGGACCCTGTATCGGATTCGACAGCCTTGTACGTGCTGGTGCGGCGAAGAACTGGCTCGACTCTGAAGAGGGCCAAAGGACGATGAAGGACGCGTTCAACTCCACATCCCGCTTCGCCAGGCTCCAATCTATGAAGTCTGCCATCGCAGGCACCAACATCTATGTTCGTTTCAGGGCCACCACTGGCGATGCCATGGGTATGAACATGATCTCCAAAGGTGTCGAGCACGCTCTCACCGTCATGGCAACCGATTGCGGTTTCGAAGACATGCGCGTAGTGACCGTATCGGGCAACTACTGCACAGACAAGAAGTCCGCCGCCATCAACTGGATCGACGGTCGTGGCAAGGGTGTCGTCGCCGAAGCCATGATCCCCGGTTCTGTCGTCAAGTCAGTCCTGAAGTGTGAGGTTGAAGACCTGGTGCAAATGAACATTTCTAAAAACTTCATCGGATCCGCAATGGCTGGTGCTATGGGTGGATTCAACGCCCACGCGGCGAACATTGTCGCTGCTATCTTCTTGGCTACTGGGCAGGATCCAGCGCAGGTCGTTGAGAGTGCTAACTGTATCACGATCATGCACAAGTAAGTCGCCCCTTTCGTAAAATGTAACAGCATCGAAGACTAACAAAGAGTAGCGTCAACGGCAACCTCCAAATCTCCGTCTCTATGCCCTCAATCGAAGTCGGCACAATCGGTGGCGGTACCATTCTCGAACCTCAATCCGCCATGTTGGATCTCCTCGGTGTACGAGGCGCTCACCCAACATCACCCGGTGACAATGCTAGGCAACTAGCCCGTGTCATCGCCGCCGGTGTACTGGCTGGTGAGTTGTCACTGAACAGCGCGCTGTGTGCGGGTCATCTAGTCAAGGCGCATATGGCACATAACAGGAGCAACGTCCCGTCCCGTGCGCCTACACCTGCGCCTGCAACACCTGTTACAGGAGCTCAGACACCTATTACCAGCGGTGGACCTTTGTCAGCACTGAGCTCTGGTCCTGCACCAAGACGGTAAAGCTCAGGAAGGGGTTAGGTTTGGCGTAAATGGTTGTAGATACGCGGGACGATACCTGGCTTGTTTATGGTACATTTCAGGTTAATCTGGATTAGGGGGATAAGTAAAGGAACGGGGATTCATATATACATGCGTTCGCAAAAATATGTTCTGTCATCTTGGCAGAAGTACTACATCATTAATGCATTCTTGGTAAGTTTTTTCAGTGTAGCCTCTGCTGCGATTGTTGGGTTTTACTCTGGACACGTTCCTGTGCATTGCAAGGATGTGTTGGGGGCAGCTTTGGTGCTGTCGCGAAAGCCGTATGCGACCATTATGAAAGACATCTTTGATAGAGTACTACAAGCAAACGTTTTATAATAGACCTTAAGATCATAGATAATCTTGAATACTCGCTAGTCTGTTCTATTTTTTCCATAACTTGGTCATTGAAATTGTGCTTGGGTGAGTAAAATAATTGAAATAGGTTTTAGGCGTCGCGGCTGCGAGGAGGCTCGTACAATACGTCGCACTCGTAGTGTAGTGACTACCTAGAAAAGTCGCAGGCGCATGTGTCGTATATACTAGTGGTTCCGGAGGAAACAACAAGAAGCGCAAGAGTTAACCTGCCAGAGCTTGGGATGATGCTATCGAGAATAACCTGTTATGACGTGACATCTGAGAGCTTTCGAAACGTTGTCTTCGTACGCGCCGTTTCAGGCGCGTGGCTGTGCACCAAACATAAAGGGAAAACTGACTTGCACTTCTTGGCGCCAAGGTTCAGCTCAGCTGTGGTGCGAAGGGGTGACCAATCAAGCTGCCCCGGACCCCAGTGCCGCAATTACGGGGTACGCCGTTCTTGAATGATCATCAGCTCGCGTTTGCATAAAAATACACGGGGCTTGCCCTACTCTTGAATGGTCCCACTCCTTCATAGGGCCTCCACTGTTGACCTTCTCTTTTCCTTTTGACACAATCATTCTTTCAACCTTTCAAACTCTTCAACTATAGTCGCTCCCTTACAACTTTTCACCAAACATGCGTTTCGTGTCAGCGCTCGCCGTCGCGGCGGCCACTGTCAGTAGTGCGCTTGCGCAAGACCTCATTTTGGGCTTCAACTCCGGTGCCTCTGACGATACTGGCAAGGCGAAGACACAGAAGGACTTTGAGAAGGAGTTTACCACCGCGCAGAACCTCGAGGGCGCACCTGGTAACTTCAGCGCCATCAGGCTTTACTCCAATATCCAGTGGGAGACGACCGACACACCCATCGCCGCCTTCCCTGCTGCCATCGCAACGAACTCCAAGCTCCTCCTCGGTATTTGGGCGTCAGGAACGGACAACATCGACAACGAGCTGAAAGCGTTGAACTCCGCGGTTGAGGAGTACGGAACAAAGCTAACGGATCTTGTTATCGGATTGTCTGTCGGTTCCGAGGATCTCTACCGTGTATCTGAACCTGGTATCCGAAACAAGGCTGGTGTGGGTAACAGCGCCGAGAAGATCGTCGAGTTCATCAAGACGGCGCGCGAGCGTCTTGCCGACACCCCTCTCAAAGGTGTGAAGATTACTCACGTCGACACCTGGACTGCTTGGGTAAACGAATCGAACAAGGCTGTCATCGACGAGATTGACTTCCTGGCTGTTAACGCTTTCCCCTTCTACGAATCCGAGCTTGACAACAAGATTGACAACGCCGGTAAGCTCTTGAGCAGCGCTATCAGCGCAACTGAGGGTGTCGCAGGAGGCAAGGATGTCTGGATCACCGAGACCGGCTGGGCTTACAGCGGCCCCGACTTTGGGGCTGCTACATCGACTGTAGACAACGCGGAAACATACTGGAAGGATGTTGGTTGCGCGCTGTTCGGCAAGAAGAACGTCTTCTGGTACACACTGCGCGATGCCAACCCTGCAAACAAGGTCAAATTTGCAATTTCTGATAAGCTGTCCACCACTCCCCGCTTCGATATTAGCTGCCCAGAGCAGAAGGAGCTTCCATCGGCGGAGCCCATCGGCAACAACGGTACTTCGACTGATGACTCGTCGAGCAGCAACTCGACCACAGGCGGTGGCAACAACAGCAACAATAACAGCAACGGCGGAAACAACAGTGGAAACGATGGTGGAAACGATGGCGGAAACGATGGCGGAAACGACAGTGCTCAGCCGTCTGGCGCTGCCGCGCCCAGCGGTACCGGCGCGGGAGCTGCTACCTCGGTTTCGGTCATGAACTCGATGGCCATGGCCTTGTCAGTCGTCTTTGCCATCGCTGCCTGGGCTTTGTAGGCGTGGATAGCGTACGGAAGTCCTCGTGATCAGTTCCTTTTTTGTATTCCTTTGTGTCAGTGTAAGATAGATGAATACGTTCACATAGGGTCGCGAATACATGATATTCGCACCTAGTTTGAGCGACTGGTTCGCAACACTATGGTTTCATAATATATCAAGAGAATGGGTTAGCTTTGCGCAAATATTTCCGATGCTATTTTGGCAGGTGATGAAGTGAACTTTGACTTGATTGAAGTTGATGAGAGAAAGGAAGGCGCTGACTACGCACTAGCCAGTTGAGACGCGTCATGACCCCACACCCAACGACACCAGCATTCTTTCCATTCTCCACTCTCCATCAGCTTCTCATCTCGCTGAGCGTCGCGATGATACCTATCGAGCATAGCACAGCCAACTAACGGGCTGTATCCTAAGATTTTCGCCACATGCGCCATGAACCTGGCTAACGGTTCATTCTCGCTTCCCCTGCGTCCGAGCCAAGATTTTCCCACTATTCTTCAGAAACGGCTGGCTGGACACGTTCGACCTACCCCCATTGTCAGACTCGTCAGAATAGAAAAGTCGAGGGCTATGGGCCTTATACCGTTGCATCGAGCCCAAGGTCGGGGCCATGTAGTGTGGAAGGCTCGGTTGCTGCTGAGAAGGTGGTGGTGATGGTGTTGCAGGTGGTGTAGTAGCAGCATCCACCTCGTTTTGATGTGAACGGGCTGCTTTCTTAGAAACAGGGGGTTTGGGAACTATAGAGACCCGAGGCGAGGTAGTCTGAACGGTTGGTTTGGAGCTGTATTTAGGCGGTGTCTGCTCCGGCGTCAAGGGTATATTGCTGGGCAACTTTGTCGTCGGTCTGAAGCCTCGAGGCTTAGCTTCTGACAGTGATCGCTGAGGGGTAGAAACCTTTAGTCTTCGAAAGGAACTTCCGATGGAAGAAAGCACAGACGCTGCACGAGGCTTGGGGCTGAATGCAGATGTCTTTGCTGTCGTTTCGACAGTTCTAGATGGCCCCTGTGGCTTTGGCGCGAGAGGCTTCCGGGAAGCGTTTATCAGGGTGAGTCTAGGTTTCCCCTGAGGCTTCGCAGGCAATTCTCTGTTCTTACTTTGAGGAGCATTGGCTGCGAATACAGGTGGTTGACTTTCGAATCCTTGTTTGGCGCCCTCCCCCGAAAGACTTTTCTCCCTTGTTTCCTTTGCTTTCACCAGCTCTGAGCCCTTCTTCACTCTTTCTCTCTGCGAATTTTCATGATTTTCCCGAAGTTCCTGAAAATGGATGGCCTGAAGGATCAACATTCTCGCAGCGACATTAATGTCCTGCTCGAAAATGTCATACGCGTACTCCATAAAGTCAGTCCACGTCCGCACTTGCTCCGGTAGTGGGAAGTACAAGTTCGTCGACTGATAAGCTTTGCGAAGGTCATTTGGTATATGTTTCGCACCCATGATAGTGGATAGCATAAGCGTATTTGCGATCAGCTCCTTTGCTTCGAAGATGAGCTTGCGTATGCTGCCATACAAAGATGCATGGGCACGGTCGCCGAGTTTTAGGTTGAGAACGCAACTCCCGGGGACTTCAAGTAGGTAACGATCTATCTCAGTATATCGGAGGCTTGAAGTTTGCTCCGAGGGTCTGAATCTGCCAACTCTCAACGACTTCTTTGCCGGGTTTGAAGCCTCTTCTTTTGATTGAGTCTCGTTCGAAATCGCCAACCCCCCACAAAGCACTGAATCCAACTTATATTCCAAGTCGAAGGAGTAGTCAAGCATACACACATATTCGTATCCAGGTCCTAAGTGGCCAAACAGCCACTCCCACGGCTCAGGTACCTGCTTGTTCATGCTGTGTATGATCCTCTCCAAAGCTTCATCAGGCGCGGCGTGGTCTATGAAGAATCTTGTGTTGGCGGTCAGTTTCCCAGGTAACATCTTGACATTGCGGATGTAGTTGACCGGCGCGCCTTTGACTATAGACTCACACGCTGAACTGGGTAGCGGCGTATGGCGAACAGGGTTTTTTTCCCAATCCGGCTTGGAAGGCAACACCTCGATACCTCGACCAAAAACGCGGAGAACAGTGCAAATGGTGTAAGGGTTCGAGGTCGCTACTCCGACGAGATCTCTCTGGATAGATCTGCCAACATCGTAATGCATGGCCAGGGTTTGTAACATCTACTATACGTCAGTGGCTGTTTCTTAGCATACCCAATACATAGTTCCTGCTTACCCGCGTAGCCCGTCTCTGATTGCGATAGCCTTTTAGCACCAACAACTGCGTTATCCACCACACTCGTTCGTCGCCATGCATCCACTGGCTCATAAAGCAGTGCCCAACCTGTCGGCCATCTTTAGTAATGGCTACCACCAGGATATTATTCGCTTCCTTCGGCAGACACAGGTCTCTCAGCCTTTCGCGAGTGAGTCGAATGAGCTTGCCTACACGCGAGAGTTGGTTATAGCTTCTTACTTTGTGCTTCACTTGAAAGTACAAGATACTTGATAACCTACCATACTCGGCCCAGGTGCCCATCACGAGGTGTGCTCTCCAGCTCCACACGCCATAATCAGACGAGAAGTGCTCGGCGCAAGTTTCCAGCCGTCTCTTCGTCACCAGGTCTCCAGGTATAATTCTATATACAATGTCTTCATCAATATCTGGGTCTTCGTAGAGATGGTTTGGCTCGCTGCGTATGCGATATTCGATACTCTCTATACTATCAGGATTACGGTAAGTCCTATCGCTTTGTCTGGCCAGTGATTGCTGGTCGTTTTTCATTGCGCAGTTACGTTATGTCTTTGTTGGTTGCTGTTTGGCTTGTGTTCTGTATCGCTCACGGACGAGTGTGTTTAGGGACGTTGCTGTAGATTTGGACTGCATCATTCACGACTTTTTCAACTGTCAGGTCCATCGAAGCGAGACGTGAGACCATGGTAGAGACTCACCCAACGATGGTGAGCGTAACCATCAAATAAACCCCCCGCATACTCCCATTTACTTCCGCACAAAGATTCTCCACTGAATCCATGGTACTGTTCGACTCAAAGGGATCTGCCGCCGCGGCGTTCCGCCGTAGTATTGGGTGAGGAAATCAGTATAAACGTCTGGTTTTAGGTTAGGATATCCGTCTCGCGCGCGCTTCAACGTGAAGAGACATTGCTCAGTCATGTGTCGGATCTCTGGCTTAATGACATTAGTTTATCCTTCAATATTATTGCTTGCGAAGGAAGCATTTCAGCCCGTACAGTGACCAAAAATCTAACAAAGCGCAACCGTTAATTAGCCTAATAAACCTCCTCCTATTAGCTGCAAAGGGGGGCGCTCTTTTCACGTAAGCAGAAAGAGACCACACAACGAACGTTAAAACTTCTAATATTTGTATATTGTTATTTATAGAACTATTCAAGAAAGTCCTAAGTCTGATTGTTTAATTCCTAGCCTGTCTACTACCTTTTACTTTTTTTGTACGTTTAGCTGTAATGGCTGAAAGCTTCCTTTAGAAGCACCCGCAGCCGTAATACTGTGAAGATCGTCTAAAGATGATCTAGGGTTGGTTCTTAGGGAATGAGTGGGCGACGATAGACAAGAGGGTTGTCCTAGCGCGATTAGTAGATCAATTGTGAGGGGTAGTTATAAGCAATAGTATTTGCTTCACACTACAAGAGAATAGTGGGGGAAAGCTCTGTATTACTACATTAGGTGGGGAGGTCGTGAGAATAATTCTTGCCCCTCTGCTAATGCGCGGGGCGCAGCTTATGAGCAGGTTTGGAGGCCAAGGCGATTACGAGAAAAGCAAACATGTTGAGACCATAATCGTCCCCCTCGTTCAGCCTCTGCTATCCCGTGTTACATCAATGTTATAACACAGGGTTTTTAAGAATTAAGTAGTAATCCTTAGATTAAAACTTAAGTTAAGCACAATAACTAGAGAGGTGCGTTATCTACTATCTATATACTAATAAGTGTTGTACTCTTGTACAAGCGTGCAAGTAATCGTAGAAGAGTAATAATGTGTTATTTTAGTTATCAGCTAACTAGTGTTGCTCGTAGAAGAGCAAGCTGCTTATAGTTTAGCGTTATTAGCTCGTAGACAATTAGTTACGTGACTGCGGCGTAGTTGCTGTGCCGCAATCTTTCGACCGTGCCGTACGATCCTTCAAAGTGCTTACGCTGACCCCTAGGTATCCCCTGGTCCAGATCGTAACAAATACGTTACAAACAACAACCAGCTTTACGTCTGACAAGATATACTTTACTAAGATTGAGTGCACTTGAGGATTCCTATGATTTCTGGGCTGGAGACATCTACCGTTAGTGATATATAGGTATTTCGTACAGGTAACATGCGATCCATTGCCCGCAGGAGCGACTTTGATGAGTACATAGCGTGAAGTAACACTTTCTCTAGGTATACATATAGCCACGATCTTACCACCGCCAGCACGTTAATATCCGGCTGTCTTCACCGGAACCGCACCCTTGAATCAAACATGCTTGTCACAAGCAGTATTCGGATCTCATGACGCCACAGGCCACACGTCGATGCCGCATCAGGACGCGCAAAAATAGCCACTGGCATTCTCATTGGTCGGTTCGCAAAATCACGTGCGCAGTGGATACCGCGCCCTCGAAGCGACTAAGTGATGTGGGGCACTTCTCGTGCTGTTGACCAACCATAGCGCCAGGTTGGCAAGGCACTATATTAAAAGATGCAATGTACGAAGATGTGGTCTGTGCACATGTAAGATAACGGCAACGAAGGATTAGGGGATGCTGGCAAGGCAGTATACAGGTGGGGTGTTGTTTTGGAATGGTGCATGGCGTTTATTGTTTGAATGACACTGCCTGCTGCTTTTCCCCTTTCCGTTCACTCTCGTTCAGTCCTTTAATTCAAGCATTACGCTGTACTACACTTCGTTCATTCTTCTTCAAAGTTCACGGGGAGACACGTCTCGCTATTCAGGAGCACCCTTTAGCTCCGTAGTTTACTGCGTTCATCAGCATACGAAGTTGAGCCTCTACGTCAAACAATAAGAGTCGCGCCGTTACCTAGCCTCCGTACCACAACAGCACTCACATCGAACCTTAAGTAATCCTACTCAAATCCGTCGGCAGTCATGGTACCACCAGTTACCACAAAAGCTTTCTTCCTCACACTCTTCACCTCCGTAACCGCCTCCCCCCTCGCAAAGCGCGACGATTACGCAATCCCACCGACCGTCATCGTCCTCCTCATCATGCTAGGCGCCGGTTTAGTCGTCTGCGTGGGCTTTGCCGTAAATGCGACATTTGGTTTTAAGGAGACTGCAAACGGCATCAAACCAATGAGCCAGGAACAACAGGAGTATATGGCTGAGGTTCGGGTCATGAACATGAACGCTTTGATGGCGGCAGGAGCGAGCAGCCATCGAGGTGGCCTAAAAAGAGGAGAGGTAGTTTACGATTAGGGACTAAAGGGTATAAAGGTGGAGGTTAAGAGGAGGTGCTGTGAGCGAATGGTATACATCAGGAAGACGGCATGCGTATGTATGCCAGGGGTAACACTTTGAAGCAAACGATGGGTACATTTCTCTGCTCTTTGATCTTCCATTCGGCATTGTATTTTGACAGAACGGATATCTATAGTCATCAAAGTAGGTACATAAAGCTGGTGACATAATGTGACGCTTTATACAATCTTGTTCTCAGACACTCCCACTAACTTCCGTACAATGGTGCCGCAGTTCTGTCCAAGATTTCATCTGTCTTATCTCTCATCGACATACATGGGCGGCCCTTCACCCCTCTCATACTTCGGCACAGGATCTCTGTCTTCCAGATCGCCCCCCTCCCGCACTACATTACCAAAGAATGTATCACCAACATCAACCCATAGATGCACTCTATTAATTCCTGTAGTTGTGCACTTCTCCACTCTTCCCATCCTTCCTTCATCTTTGCCAACCGCGCTGGTCACTGCTTGAACAAGATGTTCCTTTCTGATGTTTTCGTGGTGATGGAATTCCAAGACGATTTGATCCGCATAAATGATGTCGGGGTTCGACCATGACGGTAAGGGAGCATTAGGAGTGTAGCGGACGGAGTAAAGGTGACGAGTATATGTGGTTAGGATGGTGGGTGACGATTCCGGTGATTTGCTTCTTCGAGTCGATCGTGGTATACTTTTGGCTTCTTGTGTTCTGTCAGTTTCGTTCTTGATACTAAATAGATGAAGCGGTATCCTGGAGCTATACCCACCAAATGCAGCCACCCCGTCGATGACATCTTGGACCAGTTCGCCGGCCTTCTTCACTCTAGTCTCTGATGCCCCAAACCCGCCATCAATCACCGACATATCATTTCCGGTACCATTTGTCTCCTCCCGTTGCCGTCGTTTTCTGCGAACCAATTCGTGTGCCCATATCTCCATCAACTTTGTCCTACGACTTCCACCGCGATCTCTGCGATTCATATGCGTCACATCCTCGCGAGACCGAACTTCAGTAATGTATGGCGAGTCTGCAGCGTGATGATCGACACGGCAGCCCCAAGAGGCGAAGTCACGGGCTATGAAAGGTACAGTCGTCAGGAAAGGGCGAGTATGTTGGGTGGTGTGAACAAGGTAAACCTTGGCACCTTGGAATGTGCCTGACATGTTGGTAGATAATTGCGATGTCTCTGTCGAAATGATAACCTGACGAGGAGACGAGGCAGAGAACCGGTACTTAAGAGAAGGCGCAGATTTATTTTGTTTCAGACTCTCATATAGACTGCGTATTTGACGTGCGTGCAACACCATCGCAGCAGTGCGCCAGCATGTCCAGGCGTCATGGTCAGAGCTCATGGTGAAGTGAAGCGCTCCAGAGCAGTGCTGACTTCACTTCCGGCTCCAGCGAAGCTCAGAGTGCCAAAAGCGGTCTCTACGTTTTCAGCTGTATCGTGGAAGTCATTCCTGGAGTCAGCGCAACATCACAGGCCTAAACTGTGGTAGGGCTGAGTGCGCGATATGGCACAGTAACCCAAGATCGGCCTGACATAGCAAGAGCGCTGAGATGGTGCATTGTTCAAAGGCGAATAGGAGGTTAAGTTGTCATGGGTTTGAGGTTACCGCATGCGCTAAACCTTCAGCTTCCTGCAAGGTATCTACGTCTTCTTCCGCCGACGAATCCGGAGATAACTCCTGAGTCTTCCACACCGCACTTACTGAAATGGGCTGCGTCACCCAACTAGCCATCCTCGACAATATTGCGCAACTAACGGTTACTTCGTAACGTGCATGTAGCGCCACATTCTTCCTGGTGGTGGTTGTGAAACATTCACGCCTTCAATCTAGGGCGTGAATTGTGACCATGGGGATTCGGGTTGTTTAGCACCACACCAGCTTGCATTGAGCTCTAGACGTCTTCTAGGCCTGTCTCAACATCTCACTCTTCTCCAGGAAAATTCTATTAGAACAAGCTTTCCAGGGTTCCTACGTTCGACAGAAATTTGAGCGAAGGCTCATCCTGTGACAAAATGGCGTTGGTGGCATACGCTCGGGAACTTGCTTACACGTGCGTGAGGGCTACATCACGTCTGGCGCAATGCTGTCAAGCAAGCAAGCATTCATGAATCAACATATTGTCGAATTACCATATCACAATACTTCCGACATGTTTTCACAAAGTCTACGTAACATGCTCGCGGCTCGCATTTCTAAAACCCCACCCTTCTCCTCTCTCCCACACACTCCTACCCTATGCACTACAACTACAACGATGCTGACTTACATCCACCACCCCGCGGGCCCTGTCGTAATTCGCACAACTAATCCCGCCATAACACTCTCCTATCAAAATCGCGGTTGGCTGACCACACACTCATTCTCCGACGTTCTAGGTGACCACCCAGAATGGCAGTCGACACCCATGCTTCCCGCCTCTCTTGCGTCAACAACACCCAACAACAGTTCTTTAAGAGAGAGTATACCCGTTCGTTTAGGTACCGCAATACTATCCTCCCTTAGCGCCACGATGGCTATACTTCCGGGCTATGCACCGACTGGCGCGGGGAGTATGGCGCCTATCATGGTAGGGTATGGTAGAGAGGGTGCGCAGCGGAAAGAGCCACGGGAGCTGAAAAGTAACGCTGCGCCCATACATTGGATGACGGCAGTTGGAAAGGTGTGGTATCGAGACCAAGGAATTCCTGTCCCAATAACAGGCTGGCTTGTATGTGGTCAAGGAGATGAAACCTGCGAGTACAAGCTTATGAGTGGGGAGTTGGATATCGAGGAACCGCCGCCGGGATACGATGTCGACAATCAGTGGTAAGGATGCTAGCCCATGTCAGCCGGTTGAGTATGCGTATCGCAGTAGGAGAAAGACTAGCACGTAGAGGATAATGAACATTCTAATGGTATTGTAAGAAACTGTGGTATCTCGCAAGCAAGCTAAATGCAGCTAAGAAAGAACGAGGGTTCGATAACTTTTTGGATGTCACCCGTAAATGCGCATGCAATAGACCTATCCTTTCCTTACATGAAAACACCTTCCGAATATTACGCCGTGGTATCTTGTGGTCGTTTCGCCTGTTCTTTCTGTACAAACCCCATACATTGCCCCATAAATATCAGACATTCAGTGCCAAGAGCGCCATACCTCGTTTTTCATTCAACGCATGTTGCCATTTCACACATGCTGACTTCCTTACAGATCCGCACTCTTTGGGTTCACTAGATAGATATCAGGTACCTTTGGCACCTGCGGACTCTTCTGTAACGCCAGCTTGATTGCATCTCTCGACTTCACACCTTCTTTGTTGTCCCCACCTCCTCCGGTCAGTCGTCTCATACCGCTTCTGAAGCGGCTCCTCGTGTCGTGAGCAACAGGTTTAATGATGTTCTCCAGACTGAAAGTACCGCCTTTGTCTGTGCTGCTCGATCGACCTGCGGAGTACTCGTCATCGGAGAAGGGCTCGTTTTGTTCGTCGAGGGTGGTGGACGAGAGAGAAGGAGAGATACGTTGAGGCTGATTTGGCGCAGAGGGTGAAGTCACGGAGCGGGAATGGAGACCAGGGCGGGGATGACTTGTTGGGGGTAAGGTGCTGGTAGAGGAGTTGGCGAAGGAGCTGAATGCCCCCGGGGTCATTACACCTGGGTCTCTAGCCGGGGAGAGCTTGACATCGGAAATGAAACCTGATTGGAAGGAAGTCACGGATGCGTTCCGTGTGAGTGATTTGTGCAAGATAGGCGCCGTTTGCTGGTCGTAGAGGTTCTCGCGCATGTCGTGGGCATATGGCCCATTACCGTAGCGCCCCGAGGACGCGAAGTTTGGCAAATCCGTCAACGTTTCTACATCGTCATCGTCCTCAAAGAAGTCGTCCAAGCTGTCTAGTTTCATGACCAGCTCACCAATGTGACTGTCGCCGCGAGTATCTTCCGAAGTCATAGTCGCCGTCCGGTGGTAGTCGGATAATGGGCTGAACGGGAACTCCTCTTGACGGAACTCCACCTTGGGCGTCTCAGTGTCTGGTATATTCATGTCGTCGAAATTTCCGCAGGTATAGAAAACAGCGTGAACATTCGCTCTTGTCAGCTGCGAATGCAAAGCAGGCATTGGAATGGACCAGCCGCTTTCTTCAGGAATACCGTACAATGATTGCGTCTTCTCGAACTGCTTCTTGTATCCCCTAGTAGAGTGGGAGCCTGCCATGCTCATACGGATGTGCTGCTTGTCGAATGGCGTAAGAGTACTAGTCATGTTGAGATTGATGACGAAGTCAAGAACCTTCAAAGCTTGTGGGCAGTATGCGCTTTGTAGTAGTCGTAGGAGAGGCGAGAAAAGATCAGATCCTTTAGAGGCCATTTCCGGCTTGCGCATATCGATTTCAGGTAACAAGACGCAGAGCACTTCCATCGTGTTGATCTTCATCCAATCAATCTTGTTCATCAGCAGACCGAGAAGGAATACTAGGCTACCAAATTCATGTTCCGAAGTGAATGTCGAACGTATAGCCGACAGTGTCTGCGCGAGGAAATCTTTCTCCTGACGATACCTCTTCATTGCAAAGGCGGTCAATGCTTCGGAGAGCGATGTGCACTGGTAGTGCTGGTCTGCGACTTGTGCAAGCACTTCGGCAGTAGTGCGAATACTGGAATCTTGTGCCGTGGAATCGAATGAACGTAGAAACCTTGGCAGATTTGCGAGAATGGTGTACATCAGTCGGCTGTCGTCGCCAACAATGCGGCTAGAAGGTAATACCACCAATCTTTCCAGGATTCGCAAAGACCGGTCCAGGCATGTACTGGATCTGATGCCTTTGTACGTTAGTTGAGCAAGGCCTTCGAACTTGCCCTCCCATTTGTCTGGGCAACTTTCTTCTAGGATGCTCAAAACCTCCTCGTCACCCAGATCAAGCTTGTCAAGAAATTTGTCTAGCATCAGGAGGCTCTCCATGAACTCGCCTTCGTGTATAGTATCCAAACATGCGCAGGTGGTCCAGAACAGTTGAGGGTACTGTATCAGATCTTCCGGCGCTAGTGCTTCAATGATGGTTCGTAATGTTGTCAATATTTCCATGGAGAAAGTTTGTATGTCACTCTCCTCATCCGAGATCGTGTTGGAAAGTCTAGCGAGCATGTCCGAAAGCATTTGCTGATCGAGCGAGCTCAGAATACAGCGGAACAACTGGAACGATCGACACGCGATATGCCGGACCGGGCAAGACGTGGCCCAATTCAGTGCTACTCGACCCCAAGCTTCTCTTAGCCCAGGGTATGCGAATGAGAAGAATTTCATCACCTCGCCAGCAACGTACTCCATTGGCTCAGGGACTTTGAAGGTTGAGTCTGCCACGTCCTTGCCGTTCTTGTCGTCGTAGCTCCATACCACTTTGGTGTCATGTTGTCGAATGCTCTCGACGAAGTCTTCGATAGATCTTTTATCGATGCCCGGCGTATCATCTTCGATTTTGGATATGACTAGCTCATGAATCAAATGCACAAGCATCTCGCGAGATTGGTCCTGAACTACAGAAGTGTAATGATCCCAAAGCACCAAGACCACTTGTAGAAGCAATGGAATGTGCTCTTTGGCTACCTCTACTGGGGATACCATAAGGTCAACCAGCAAGATGAGACAAACCTGTCCCAAAGCAAAGCCAGACTACGATAGTTAGCTTGAGTTAGCTTACATGTCATTCCCTGCTTACCTGCTTATTGCTACTTGGCAAAACCTGAGTGAGATCGGCCAGGTATGGAAGATTGACGGCATCTGGTGGTGGCGGCATAGGCTCTCGCTTTTCGCTCACCATAGACCGCGGATTAATCTGTAAGAGCAAGAACTCCACCACTTTCAGCCCTGCAGGAGTGCTAGACAGATGGACTACGATTTGTTTGGAGTAGTCGACGTAATTTTGTTCTCGCTTGTCTAGGCAAAGGTTGATGATGAAGTTCAAGATGAGTTGAACGTTACCACCGTACGGTCCGGTTGCAAGTGCTTGCCAGAGTGCTTGAATTTCGTTGTGTAGTACGTTGCCTGATCTGTAGGTGATTTCGAATAGATTGACGAGTAACATGTAGGAATTAGCAGTCGGTCCTCCGTCTGGATTCACCTGAAGTTCGACAGATTGTACCCAAGGAAGCATAGCGGCAACCATGTTGCGCTTGTGGTCAGGCTTGAGATCTTTAAAGTAGTATGAGAATTGCGAAAAGACCAAGAAGGCGAGTTCGGCATGCTGCTTGGCAAGCCTTCGTGATGTCTCAAACTGTGCAAGTTTGTACACCGCGACTGTCTTGTCAGAGATGCTGATATCCAGGTCCTGTAACTTGGAATTCTTCCCCTCACGAGCCTCAAGTGTGCGAAGCAATCGCGTAGACTTTGTGCGTATCTCGCTGTTCTCGTGTCCAAGCGTGTAAAGACCAGCGCTTAGCACCTTCCAGAACGGCAATGTGTAATCCTCGTGTTGTGTGAGGACCTGAGTAACAACTTCGAAGTAGCTCTCTAGAGCTTTACCAGAAACTGCCAGATAGCACATTTCGATTGCTTTATCCAGCAAATATGGATGCTCGCGATTGTGCAGTATGAGGTTGGTGAGTGCCCGGCGACCAATGGCGTGTGTTCGATCGCTCGGGGTTTCGAAGATGCTCTGTATCCACGAGAGCATACGAATAACATCGAACTGAAGCAAGACCTTACTATCGGTTGTGATACTGACAGGCCCGCCACATAACGCAGCCATAGCGCTCAAAGCTGCGGTTCTAAGATCGCGTTTTTCGATTTCAAGAGCTGCAGTCGCGTTACCTTTGCTGCTCTTATCTACCTCCCGATCAAGCATGGAACGGCGCATCTGCTCCTCTCGCTGACGGATCTGAGACTGATTTGCCGCGTATCCGCACCATTCTTCCATCAAAGTAAATGCCGCTTTGCGAGCTTGGAACGGCATCCAGTGCAAGGGGTCACTAGTCTTGTTGATGCCCTCAAACAGAACCTCAACAAGGCCACAGTAGTGCGTACGTAACTTCTGGTAGCGTGCCTCGAGCTGAACTTCCGTATCACTAAGGAATATCCTTAGATCCTTAGTGTAATTCATCAGATTGTTGATAATCCACTCATCATTGTGAGCTTCCGGAAGTTTGAGGAATTGTTGTGACGTTAGCTTGTATACGTGTGTAATCTCTGTTCGAAGATGATCGGTCCGATAGTTGATTGGGCGAGGACTGCTGATGGTCCTATTGTGATTACCCAGACGCATCTTAGCTTCCTCTGCACAAGCAGCCACGATTCCCTGAAGCGATTCGAGCAGCGTACGATAAAGATTCAGGTTAACGGAACCTAGTCCGATAACCGCAGCATCTCGTATCGCGGCGTTTTCCACTGACAGGAAGGGGAGGACTTTAGAAAACAACTCGGTGGCAGTATGTTGCTTATTTGTGCTAGTCTGCGAAGATTTTGAGCTCTTGCGTGAATGCTGCCCTTGCGTGGCTGAAATGGCCGTCGGACCCAGGCTCGTCAATGTTGTGAAGGCAAATATGAGATAGAGTTTCCATTGTTCGATGACGACTTCTGGTGAGGTGGAAGCAAGGCGGCCACTGAACTTGGTATTACCGGGCTCGAAGGGTGAATATGGGGTTGTACGCTGACCCTCGGCCAAGGAGGATAGAGTACGATACATCTGAGCAAGTCTGGCACAGACTATGTCTCGAGTAAGAGTCACAGCAAAAGGGCAGACTTCAAAGCTGATTCGCACCAGGTTTGGGAAAATCTTGAACCATAGGGTAGCGTCGTACGGCACGTCGCTACCACAAAGCTCCACGAGCGTGCTCTGCACATTGCTCTTGCGCATACCGCGTTGTAAACGACTACGTTCAGCTAGCGACAGCTTCTCATCGCTAATGTCCAGCACCCTCTGGGGACTGCCCTCCATTACACGGATGACACGGGTATTGGAGCCACCCAGAGCCGTATCGAACTCAGTGATGAGACGTAGCACGGTGACGGCGTAGGAGCGAACACGATGTGAAGGAGAGCATAGGAAGAAGAGGCCATGAGACTCGACTTCATCAACGTGCGCCCACACCGAAGAAAGATCAAGCTGAGCAGCGCGATTCCCAGAACCATCATCGGGCGTGTCCAGTGCTGCTTTGCGTGTTTTCCGCTTAATCTCTTCAATCCATATCTCTAGTAGCTCCACGTAGAGCCTCAAGGTGTTCTCAATGTGCCCAGCTCCGAGCATGCCACCATCAGACATGGTAGCGTAACGATCGTCGAAGTTGAAGATGAAACGTGCAAAGCCAATCGTGACTTGCTGTGCATGTGACTGTCGGGCTATCGACTTGAGTGACTGAGCGGACGACACGGCGATGTTGCTTTGAACGTGAGCGGTTCCAGTACATAACAAATTTACAAGTGAGTTGAAGGGTATATGTGGGGACAAGCAGCGGGGTAAAGCCTGAACAGCGACATGCAGAAGATCATAGAACCCTTGCCGCAGATCCGTAGTATTCACGTGGTAGTCTTCGCGAGGAGCGAAACTGAAAGCCGCTGCCATGGGCGTTTTTGGTGTTTGCGAGGAGAACTTCTCGTCGAGCACGGCCTGTCCTCCAAACGCATTGTCGCATATAATAGTAATTTCTCCCAAGATTTTGCAAAAGCGGATATAGTACTCTTTGGCCACTTCGGCGAAACCAGCGAAATTCACAGGACGTGAAAGACGCTCTTCCTTGAGGAGACTGGACTTTATAGGTAGGGGTTGCAGAGGCCGCGGACTAGAAGGAAGAGCAGGAAGCTCGTTCGAAAACACATTTGGATCGTAGTCGAACGTGAGCGGGAAGGGCGGCTGCTCGGTGTTCTCAAGATCAGCCATGATAGCGAGGAAGGAGCGGATACCGATGACCATACGATCAGGCTCCAGATTTTCGACGCGCAACTCTCGCCCTGACATGAACATGTCCGAATTGAGTAGAGGAAAGATGATGGTCTTGAAGCAAAGATCTTGGTACTTGTAGCCGATGATGCGCGTGAGTTGTATCAAGGGTTCGGCGATGGCTGGTTCGGTCGAAAGGTATGACCGCCTTCCCGGTTGAAATACCATCCGTATAATCTCATCTAATCGGCGTATGGCGACGTTTGGTGCTTCAGTTCCCCGTCTGTAAATGTAAGTCCACACCAACCGGCATATACCTCGAAGGGCGATGGCTCTCGTTGCGCGCTCCTTGAGTCGTGGCTGAGTAGACAAGGCAAGCGCGAGCCACTGCGAGAGAAATGTTTCAGTCGGAGAAGCACATAAGATGGCAACCATGAGTGGAAATGCTTCGTGCCAGTGTTTTGGCTTGCCTAGCAATATGGCAGCGCGCTGCTTCATCATATCGATCACGGTCTTCCACTTGGGTGCATTGAGCTCAATGGTAGCCTTGGAGGTGATGCGGAGCAACAGTTCCCGCAAGACTTGACAATAAGCATATTTGACCGGCTGGCCGTGGGCACTGGTGAAGAGCTTGGCCATGGAGAGCATGAAGTCGCACGTCCGGTCCCATGTCTCCTCGGGATATGACTTTACTTGCAGGTGTCTTAGAGCGCGAATGAGCAGGGCGCCTTTAGCCTCGTGGTCTCTGTTGTACTGGTTCTTCATAGCCAAGTGGCCATCAACAATCTTCAGGTCGGCGACAAACTTTTCTTGCACTTGTTCGAATATAAGTCCACTGAGTACGCCGAGCAGCTGGCTATAGATGGTCCAGTTGGCGAGGTTGAGCGGGGATATGTCCACTAGATCAGGGTCAACAGTGCTAAGCTGGCCGTAGAAAAGACCAAGAAGACGATCGGCCATCTCAAAAGTCAGATTGTGGAGGTCGGTTTGCGTCATGATCTCGATCAGTACGCGGCAGAGGATGTAGGTTGAGACGGTGGAACGCTGCTCAGCTTGGGTGACAGTCTGTTGTAGAGCGACAATGTGATCAGGCCCAGATGCCACAGAGGCTGCAGATTGGTTTTCCAGGTGCTGGACGGGTTCGGTATTGCGTCGAGACAGGGCGGGGTGGAGTTGGAGTCCCGGAGTGACTTGTCGGGCATTAAGCAGCTGAGTACGCTGTTTGGACGCTTCCTCACTCTTTGCTTTCCGCCACAGCATGATGGTATCTATGAGAGGCTTCGGCTTATGGCGCGCAATGTGCCCCAGGGCTGCTATGAGCTGGTCGAAGGTGGGGTCTACACCAGGTCCGCAGACACCCTCTACCCTGGCCTCGGGCTGCCCTCTCTCAGTCATGCACTGATTGATCTTCTGCTCGGCTTGGCTAATGAACGAGTTGAACAGGTGGTGCAGCGCATATTCGCCAACCGTCTTGAGTTCGTGGGGGTGCGGCGGCGGGTGGCGCGATTGGGAGCGATGGTGATTATGGCCCTTACGCGAGGATCTGGCACTCGGCGCCCGCTCAGGCTTGCGCTGAGCTATGCTGCCGTCGCTTGATGCTGCCTGGGCTCCAACACCGGCGTAGATGTTCCCCGTACTCGCGCCAGGCTGCATGCCGTTGGCAACAAAGGCCTCCGCTATTGACTCCTGCGACATGACGGCTCCATCGAGGGTTGCACCGGCGGCAGCGGCAATGATTTGGGGGCTAAGCGGGCTGGTGGCTGGTGAGTTGACGAAGCTGGTATTCCTCGAGTGCTGTATGCCGTGTACGATGGACGTGTTGCGATTGTGGGCGTAGGAACCCGACGGTTTACGTTCAAGCGCCTGAAGGGTGCGATCGGGGCTCGAATTACTGCTAGTGGCTTTGACGGCGGGCGTCTGCGAGCGCGAGGCAACCGTTCGGGACGAGGCAGTCAGCGCACGCCCGCGGGTCTGGCTGGGTTCGCGGGAGGCCGACGAGGGGTCTATATGGTGCGACACATTCCCAGCAGCTGGTCGAGCTTGCAGGAGAGGGAAAGCAGCTGCATCGGGCAAGAGCACAGGGGTCAGCACAAATCTGATGCAGCGCGGAGAAGGGTCGACGTCGAGATAAAGCTGCCCATGGCACAGCAAAAGCCGGCACTGTCAAACTCCAAACCGCGTGGGGAGTGCGTTTCACGGTACCTCGCACGGGTTGGAGACGGCTATGCAATACACAAAGAAAAAGCTACTCACACATGCCGCAGACTTTCCGTGCAGCATCTTCCGTGGCGGGCGGAGAATACTGCAGTCCGTCAGACAAAGGCTCAAGACGTAGATGGCGCCGTTGAGAGGGTCGCGACGGCTGTCATGGATGTCCGGAGGTGGATGAAATGGGTACGTAGAGTTGCCCTGTGCCTGACTAGCCGGTGTCTAGCCTCATTGGTGGTAACGATCATCCATGGCGCCCGGCATCAACACGGCTCTGGAGATCGATCCGAGCCTGGAGATTATCCAGTCCCACGTGGTGCTAATCTGGGACTGGGCATGCGAGACCATCGATACAAGCGAGCTCGTCCTCGTATAAGTCTACTTGTACCATGTCAGCATACTTAAGAGTATAAGGGTCGGAGAGGTGATGCTCATAGACAAGACCCACCAGGGCCCAAACACCAAGACCGGAACCGACTCGCTACAATCTACACTCTGGGGCATGCATGGCTCTGGAGATGCACGTAATCGTCAAGAGAGAAAATGCGGTATATCATCAACGCAGCGCAGTAATGGGCAAGACGTATGATTATATAATGATACCCGCATCAGGTATAGGCGCATCTCTGTCTCCAAGCCCGCCTGCAGTTGCTCTGGCTGTGCATCAATCATGCCCAGGTGTGGACACTTGCAAGGTTCGCTTGTCCTTCCGTCCTAATCGCTCCGACATGCGAAGCCTCCATGGGAGGATACCTAGCAAACCCCAGCACCATAGATAACAACGGCCGCAGAGAACTTGCTAGATTCACAGCCATGTGCTAGCAAGATGCAACGCCAGCTTTCCGAGCCGACTGTGCATGGCTGCTCCATCGTTGTCAACATCGGCCTGACTTTGCTCCTCTGCTGGCTCCACAACTGCATCTGCCGTCTTCGTACGAAGTCATCATGGTAGAGGGCGGCAATTTTCCCCACAAAGGCACCGAGGTGCTGGCGGGGTTCTTGGTAGACATAGCGGAAAGACAGCGAAGCTCGGGAAAGTCAGGGTCTCGCAGCCTCCGCCGGCTCTCTCAAGCAGCCCCCAGCGGAATTGATGCGGAACACATCGGCGTCCGATGGGCGTCTGACAGTCAGTGACGGCACCACTTGTGGCCACTTTTCCTACTGCCGTCTAGCGGTCAGCGATATCTGAAATCTAAACAAGAGGGCATTGCATGGTTGTTCGTTGCGCTGTCTCAACGGCTTTACTTGCGGCTCACCGGCCCCAGGTCTCGATAAGATTGAGTTGAGACGCACGGCTACTAGCCATTCCGACGCTCCGTTACGAAGCCGACATACAAATATTACCGTGTCGCTTCCAAACCCCTTCCGGACGGCAACTAACCACTGTGTCCATGTCAGCGCTGCCCCTCCACCTTCCTCTGACTCTCTGCTAACCACCGAACAGCACCATGGCACAACTCGATACCTTGGACATTATCGTCCTGGCCGCTCTCCTGGTCGGCACGGTAGCCTACTTCACCAAAGGCACCTACTGGGGCGTCTATGGGGACCCCTACGGCAGCTCCCTGGCCACGGCCAATGGCACTGCAAAGGCTGGCAAGTCGCGCAACATAATAGAGAAGATGGACGAGACGGACAAGAACTGCGTCGTCTTCTACGGTAGCCAGACAGGTACGGCTGAGGACTATGCCTCGCGTATATCCAAGGAGGGCCACTCGCGCTTCGGCCTCAAGACTATGGTGGCAGACTTGGAGGAGTACGACTTCGACAACCTCGACACCTTCCCCGAAGACAAGCTCGCCGTCTTCGTACTGGCCACCTATGGCGAGGGCGAACCCACCGACAACGCCGTCGAGTTCTACGAGTTTATTGGCTCCGAAGATATCAGCTTCTCTGAGGGTGGCAGCACCGACGACAAGCCCCTCAGCAAGCTCAACTATGTCACATTCGGTCTCGGAAACAACACCTACGAACACTACAACTCCATGGTCCGCAACGTGGACAAGTACTTGACAAGGCTCGGTGCCACCCGACTGGGTGCTGCTGGCGAGGGGGACGACGGTGCAGGCACCATGGAGGAGGATTTCCTCGCCTGGAAGGAGCCCATGTGGGCTGCTGTTGCCGAGAAAATGGGTCTGGAGGAGCGCGAGGCCATGTACGAGCCCGTCTTCGAGATCACCGAGAGGCCAGATCTCTCCGCCGAGGACGACACTGTTTACCTGGGTGAGCCAAATAAGAACCACCTTGAGGGCAACCAAAAGGGACCCTTCAACGCCAACAACCCCTTCATCGCACCCATCGTCGAGTCTGCCGAATTGTTCAACTCTCCAAACCGAAACTGTCTACACATGGAAATCAGCATCGCTGGATCCAACCTGTCGTACACCACTGGTGATCACATCGCCATCTGGCCCAACAACGCTGGCAAGGAAGTAGACAGGCTGTTCAAAATTCTCGGCAAGGAAGACCAGCGACACACAGTCATTGCAGTCAAAGGTCTCGACCCTACTGCCAAGGTCCCCTTCCCGTCACCGACTACATATGATGCCGCCGTTCGCTTCCATATTGAGATCAACGCCGCTGTGTCTCGTCAACTCGTCTCTGTCATTGCCCAGTTTGCACCCAACGACGACATCAAGGCTGAAATTGTGAAGCTGGGTAGCGACAAGGACTACTTCAAGGAACACGTTACCGACCGGAACCTCAACCTGGCACAGCTTCTCGAGATCACCGGCAAGGGCGTGACATGGGACAAGATTCCCTTTTCATTCCTCTTCGAAACCATGGTCAAGATCCAGCCTCGTTACTACTCCATCTCCTCGTCGTCTCTGGTCCAGAAGGACAAGATCTCCATCACTGCCATTGTCGAATCCATTGAGAAGCCCGGTGCACCGTACGCTCTGAAGGGTGTCACTACCAATTACCTCTTGGCCTTGAAGCAGAAGCAACACGGAGACCCCAACCCGGATCCTCACGGTCTGAACTACGCCATCACCGGCCCTCGCAACAAGTACGATGGTATACACGTCCCGGTCCACGTCCGCCACTCCAACTTCAAGCTGCCTTCGGATCCCTCCAAGCCCATCATCATGGTCGGACCCGGTACTGGTGTCGCACCGTTCCGTGGTTTCGTCCAAGAACGAGCTGCACAAGCGAAGGCTGGTCAGAACGTGGGAAAGACTATTCTGTTCTTTGGATGCAGAAAGCAGTCGGAGGATTTCATGTACGCGGATGAATGGAAGGTAAGTTGTAAAATGCCACATTCATCATTAATTCGAGGCTAACAACATATGTAGCAATACCAAGCAGACTTGGGTGACAAGTTCGAGATGCACACCGCCTTCTCGCGAGATGGCCCCAAGAAGATCTACGTACAGAACAAGCTAGAGGAAGCTGGCGAAGAAGTGAACAGACTACTCGAACAAAAGGCCTACTTCTACGTCTGTGGTGACGCCGCGCACATGGCCCGCGAGGTCAACACCCTTCTTGGAAAAATCATCTCCAAGTACAGGAACGTATCGGAGACAAAGGGCGAGGAGATTGTTAAGGCTATGAGGGCGTCGAATCAATACCAAGAAGACGTCTGGTCATGATGATCTAAGAATTGAGGAGAGGAGTCTAGAAAGAGATTTTAGAGCATGCATTTCCATGGGTAGAATGGTGTGAGCGACGGCGTTTGATCTGACGACAGCATTTTGCGTTGGATTTTACTGGCTCTGAATCTGAGGCCTGGATCACTTTACATGGCCTACGATGTGGACAAGTAGATTTGATGAACTACAAGACATTAATACCTCATGATTTGCGTCTTACTCAGGTGACTTCAATTGATCTGAGAAAGGTGTTGAGCGACACGCAGCCTAATGCTGTGATGCCCTCCTGCCGTGGTAGGCAAAACGTGCGCTAGTCCAGGGTCCCAGCCATGATTGGTGCATGCGCACGCGGTGCCTGCCGTGGGGATCGCGTCCCATAAACCTCGTCTCTTCTAAAAACATCATCGTCGTGTGCATACCAACAGCTTCGACTAATATCGCCACCTGCCGTTCCTGAGTAATGACTGCGCCGCGATAATCGACAAAGAATCTTCACGATCACAAGGTCAAGCTGCGGCCCCCAATATCTACGTCGCCTACTTGAATCGTTGCGTGGCAGGCCTTCATTGCTCAGAGGTGCAGGCACATCTCGTTGTATAGAACACTATCGTCATGCGTACGATAAGGGTTTGCACAGCAGTTCCGGCTAAGTGTTGTCTTCTGGATTGACCTGGTTGCGCATGGTATAGCGAAAATCGTCATGGCAGGATAACCACAGCCAGTCACTCACCGCCACAGTCTGAGCGTGCGACCCATTGGCTCGAAACCCTGAGGAACGCAGTATATCGAAACGCCATGGACCCTAGTGAGGTTTATACGAGATCGGGCTCCTCCTCATTTCCTCTCTGTGTCACCCACGGATGCGATTGGAATGAGCTAATCTGCCTCATCTCTTTCTCTCTGCGATCATGGTAGCGAGAAAATCCGAACTCCAGGTCTGACATTGAGCCGAGTCACATTGGGAGAGTCGTAACGAAACACCTCTTAAGCATCCCAGTACAAAAGAAAGAATTTCAAGAGGCATGCATGTGGAGGAACTGCATGCTTCTCCGGGCGCACGGCATGCACGTATCCTAAAAGGACCTTACAGGCAAGCATGCTGAGAGAGATCGGCGAATGATCGTATAATAGAACGCCACCGGGCATGGACCCTGGAGACATCGTCCATCCACTGGTTCTAGGCGCGAGCAGATATTCTCTGACTCTGCTCTATCGGTATACTGCCTTGAGACCTACAACAGCCGCATCAAGAGCCGGAAAAACGCTTGAACAGCTGCTTCGCAATATATGCGACACGGTAATCAGTGCGCTTGCGCCCACGCAACACGCGAGGAAGCGGGACATGCTTCATTCGTGAGTCTGTATCACTCCAGCATCATTTGGTCTTTGGTGGAGCACCTAAGAAGTTTGTACACAATGCAGGTTAGTACCTTCTCTCTCACTAGGTCTGAGGCCCCCAGCTCGTTCGACACCTATCCGTGGCCCATAGTTGTATTCGAGTATAATCCGAAAGATCTTTCGCACATGTCTATCTTTGATGCGCTTGTCTTGTATGAGAGAGACGTTTCTCGTATTACTCAGCGAGATTTGTCGGGCCACAGATGTCGGATATGCCCCTTGTATCTGCGTACAGTCGCAGGCAACCTTTTGTTTCAATAATGCCTCGAGGGGGACGCATATTTTATCGCCTTGCATAACAAGAATATCTCGGACGACGGCGCATCTTCAATGGCATTGGTTGGAGCTTCCCACACCCGTCTCGAAACCGCGATTCAAAGATTTACAGTCGGCAATGGCTGGACTGCGCCGGCTCGTCGCGCATTTTGCAGGCGTGCAACAGGCGAGCCGCCCCGTCAGGCTACTGTAGGTCTATTATGGGTTGGCGGCAGTTTTGCTGCAGAGCATTGTAAGAGAGTTACCCTGTTTGTGTAGCCTTACTAACCGCCGAAGAGACTGGGTGGTCTTCAAAAAGAACCCGGGCATGCCTCAAGTCCTAGAATGGGCCACTGCGTGTACCCACACGTTGATAAATGTGTGGAGGTGAGGAAACGACAGGTCGAGTCTTCATGACGGAAGCATGCGTGCCAAAGTCATCGCGACTGCACAGGTCGACGTGCTTGCATACCACCTGCACCTCAACAAACAATGTCGTTCCATTTTCAACGTCATTCTGTGAGACTGTTAGCCCTGCTGCAAGGGCGACACGGCTCCATTGGCCGTTGCCACAGTGAGAAGTTGGCTACTTCTAGTGGAAGCTAGACTCCACACGAACGCCTCATCATTTGTATGCTACACAAACTGGCCTAAGAAAGGCATGGCTGCATCGATGTATGTGTGAGGAGTACAACACTGATGCGACTTGCTATGCTTGCAGCACTCGCGATACTGTGTCCCCAGTACGCGTACTCAACACTGTACGTGCTTGGTTGCGATGGATATATAAGAGCAGCACGCCTTGCATCACCGTGAGTAGGACAGCACCATAGCTTCGCCCGGAAGCCAAGTTTGACATCACTATTTTAACAGCTCTTTCAACAATATCACTTAAGGTTCGCTGCAGCGCAATATTCGGGCAAAGAAGCAACTATAGGCAGCGTGCAAGTGTTGTCGGTGTTGTGTGCTCTCATTCATCTACTCTCCTTCGAAGCGGAGTCATTAAGAAGGTGAGTGTCTTCTCTGCTATCATGGTGGCTCTTCGCGACTTCCTTCGTCAAGATCGAGGCTGCCAGTCATTCATTGCCGATGGATTTACACCGAGACATCATCACGACTGCTCTTTCCCTATCTGCTACGCCCAGACGCCATCGCTGGGTACAACATCTCACCCGATTCCACCATTCCTCCTCTTCTCTTCTTCACTCTTCTTCACTTCTTTCTCACCAATACGCATCAGTGGCCACATTCTTTGTAGCTTTTCCCAGGTCAGTCATCCGTTGCAATCCTATCCCATCACTGTCATGCAGCATACCGATACTGACACTCGGCAGCTTTGGAGTCACTACCAATCCCGCACATTGCAAAAGTTTGACATTTACGATCCAGTAAGTCCCTTTCACCTTCACCATCCCATCTTTTTTCCCCATTGCCCGCCCTGTTACCGCCGAAGTCATCTCCCGCGTTGGCTGGCAAAGCCTGCTTTCCTCGTCCTCATCGATCACCGAGCAAATCCGCTAGGCCACACCCCAGCCTCCCCACAATGGAAAAAGGCTAATCTTTCGAGCAGAGCAACGTTCTTCTCTGCATCTCAGTCTGCCCGCCAAGCTCGTTGTTAAGATCCTTCGCCGCAGTTGTCTTCAGGCTCGCATCCTTCGGTCTGTCTACCCTTCTCGCAGCCGCAGGTTCCATTTCCGGTTACCCTACCGGTCTTTCCACTCGTCTTTTGATCAGCGTCACCTCCGAGCTCACTACGATGTCTACCAACGGTCGTCAGCAGAACTACGCGCCGCCCAACGCGGGATACAAGGGACAACACATGCTCAACAACTACAACCAGCACGGCCAAGGTCATGGGTCCGCCCAATACCTCCCTCGAGGTCTGCCCATGTCTCCCCACGGTGATAATGGTATGCAAGGTCTGACGAGCAACATGGCAGCTCTCAACATGCACGCCTCGTATGGTTCATCCGCTACCTCCAAGTCTGCTAGCTCTGCACTGTCAGGGGGTTCATCCGACTACGGCAACATCCCCCTTTCCAATGGTCAGGGACTTTGGGTTCCCAACCAGCAAGTCCTCGGATCCATGTACCAGATGATTCCTGGTGCTCAACAGCAGACTGCCATGGCGGCCTCTTCCAGCATGTACAATCACACCGGTGCTTACGTTCCACAGGCAGCTTACCAGTATGGCCAAACTGTCATCGACAACAGTGCTATGCCACCAGCATGGGCTGCTCGCATGTCCTCCGCCGAGATGCCATCGCTCATGACGCCTCGTCGTGACTCAATCTCCTCCAACGAGAACGATAACCCAGGCACACCTTATGGCAGTGGTGGTATGTATCATCGCTATGGTAACAACACTGCTATCATGGATCGTTCGCCAAACGCTCTCTACTCCAGCAGTGCTACCCCTTCGCCATCTCAGCTGGCCCATCCCTACCAGGTCATGGCGCCCATTCCGAAGCAGCAGATCATGCCTACGTTGCCTCCCAATCTACTGGCATTAGTGCACCAGGAGCCCCCCATTCCGCGGGCCATTCCTGCTCCTAGCTCCCCGCACAAGCCACTCGACCGTAGCCTGGAGAACAAGACTGGTGAGACCAACGTTTACATCCGAGGCCTGCTTCCTGAGACCACCGACGAGATTCTTCACTTGTGGGGCAAGCGTTTTGGAGACATTCAGAGCTCCAAGTCCATCATCGACCTGAAGACCAATCTTTGCAAGGGGTAAGAGGTTTCTCAGTCATCTCATCGTCCCAATCACTGATGATCCTTCGCAGTTTCGGCTTCATCAAGTACCACAACTTCGAAGACGCTGAGGACTGTATCCGCGGTTTTCACTACCTCGGATACGAAGTCAGCTTTGCTCGGGTATGTTACATCACACTGTCGCACAACGACCTCCACTGATACTTTCTAGGAGTCATTCTACTCCAAGCTCAAGAAGTTCGCCGACGAGTGCAACACCAATCTTTACGTATCCAACATCCCCAAGAACATGAACGAGCATGAACTCGCCTCCATCTTCGCACCTCACAAGGTCTGCTCGAGCAGGATCCTCCGGGACTCTTCCGGTACTGGCCGCGGTGTCGGCTTTGCTCGGTAAGTCACCATTGTGTTGGCGCTTTAAACATCGCTGACCATCTATAGCTTCGAGTCTCGCGACATTTGTGACGAGGTCATCAAGGAGTTCAATAACACACCCGTGTCCAAACCCGGCGGCGAGGAGCATCTCATTCAGATCCGCTTCTCCGATACACATGAGCAGAAGATGCTGAAGCAACAGACCGCAGCTGGTCGTGTCTTCCGTGCTGCGGAGTACGAGGTCGGTGTTGCCCAGGCTAGGGCACTGGGCACGCCCGAGCGCTACCTCTCCGTCTCCCCGATACCTGCAGGTCACGCCAATGAGTTTGAGATGTTCATGCGCGGCCAGCGTCAGCCATGGTCGCCACCAGTGCCATCGACCCTTGGCTCTACCCGCTCATGCTACATACCACATGGCGGACCGATTAAGAGTGACGACGGCGTCTCTGAGGACGGTGTCGTCATTAAGACTAACCCTGCCACTCCCGTCAAGGCTGACAAGTCCGCTTCACCGAGTCGTACCGACTAAGCACGCACCGCCTTTTTCGAGTCGATCGTCAATATACTTTTCGTGTAAGCACTATTCTTCGGCATCATCCAGCCACATCTTCTTGGAGACCTCTTTTGGCATCGATCATATACCACGAGCATACTCTACAAAGACCGCACTATATCAACATGCCACAGCACGACACTTTTGTCGTTCCTTTTTGTCGCTCGCTCTGATGTTCATGCTCACGTCGTTGGGCCCCTAATACTTTGTTCTTGGCACCGGCACCTTGAACATATCCTTCCCATCGACACTCCAGTCTCACGTTTTCCTTTCACCTAATATACTTGGGCGGCTTCTTTCAAATTTTGGAAGTATTTGTTAGCATCTGGGCAAGCCAGCGAACCAAAAGGATGTTAGTGCGTTATTCAATGTATCTCTTTGTCATCGATGGCAAGGGCAGGTTTCAGCAGTGGTGGCTAGGTCTATGGTCGGATTTATCGTAGCTTTGATAGTTCGTCGTATGATAGATCTTCTTCCGGCTCGTCTTTGTATTGCTGGTGCTTGGTCTTCGATGTTTGTTCTCTTGTGACACCTCCAATGTTTTCTCTTCGCCTCCTTGCTAAGGGATCTGGAGCGTTTGGTTGTAGGCTACACTCACATTAATTCTCCAGCTTCTCAAAATGAGGCTATGGAAGAGCACCTAGTCTAGCGGTGAGACAATCCGCGACCACATCTTTCCTAGCCCTCCTAGTACTTGACCGTACTGCTCTGCGGAGGATAGCCTACAGTTTCTCTGGGCACACTGATCTTCCTTTGTTGCCTCTCTGCTTTCTGATATGGTGGAGAGAAGGTCATAAGCGCGTGCGACTTACGATGCAGGTCTATCTCGCACTCAACTACTGTTGCAGACATGACATATGAGCTACTAAATAGAGCAAGGATTTGTATCAATACTTTCATTTCAGTTCGTTGCTCTTGCACATCTATATATACAACGGTGTGCCCCTCGGACTTGTCATTGTGTCAGTGCAAGAGCTGCGGCAGGGACCGTAATGCTATTAGAATGCCAAAATGCTGGTGCAGGCCCTCTCTATGCTCTGCGAGGTGTCCTGGACACCTCTTCCTGCTTTCCGCCTTTTACCGGGATCGCTCAGTCTTCCCACTCTGGGTTCTGCAGATGGCATTATTAGTATGGCTACTCTGGATCATTAAGAAGTTGGACTATCGTACCTTTCGCAGAATGACTACACCCTCCAGCACGTTGGTAAGGCTGAGATACTTTTCGTCTTCCAACTCGGCTCGCTCACCGTGCGCCAGCAATACAGGCGTGCTCTGTGTTTGCCATCCGGTGATGGTCTTGGGCCTACCAGCTTGACCAACGATATCTACCGCCTGACCAACACGGACGTTGACTGTCAGTGGCTTGAGGTCCTCGTCAAGTGTGATGAGGAAGCGCGGCGACATGGCTGTAGCGAGGTAGTAGAGGAGATAATGTGAGTCACCAGCGACAAATGACTTGGCGTCGATGAGGGAAACGAGGACAGTGAGAAGACCCGAAGCCGCCACGCGAGACAGTACCTGACGGTCGGTGTGGAACGGGTTGAGGGATAGCGTGCCCTTGCCTGCGTGTAGCAGACCCTGTGCTATGCGTACCATGAAAAGGGCGTTGGGGTCACGGTGGTAGTAGCTGGCCAATTGTCGGAGGAGTTGTGCAAGACGGGCGTTGTTGGTACCAGCACCGCAGAGACCCATGGCGAAGATGGCGTTGATGGCGACATCGTTGTCATTGTCGTGGGAGTAACGCGAAAGAGTGTCGTAAACCTTCATTTGAGGATTGCTAGGACTGATGAGACCCAAAGCGAGAGGCACAGCCTTGCGGATGTTAGCCTCGCCGTAGTGCATCAGGTGGCCGAGAGTGCGGAGGATCATTTCTTGGCCAACATCCTCGCCCATGGCGACTAATGATAGACCAATAACAGCGTAGGACTGTAGTAGCTCGTCACCCTTCTTCTCCTCGTTTTCGTCCTCGATGTGCTCGTTGCAGATATGGAGCAGTTGCTGGATTTTCAGCACAGCGCCCGTACCTGCCCACGCGCATACTTCGGTGAGTACTGAGGCAGACTTGGCCATGGGGTGGTCGAGTGCCTTTAGAGTCTCCAAAATGACATCAACCTCTTCTTGCTGGCCGAAGAAAAGTAGCGCAAGACCAAGAGCCATGAACCGAGTCCATTTGTCCTTGAGCTGCTTCGTCCGGTCCTCGTCCAAGAGGGTGTTCATCAAGGCATCAGTGACATCTCCGTTGGCTGAACCAACAAAGATCATACCAAGCGACAGCGCTGCCATGGCAGAGAGCTGCATGTCGAGGCTGGTGTCGGTAACGATGGGCAGAAGGATATCCAGAAGGTCTTCCTTATTCGACCCCGCATAGGCAAGACCGAGACCCATGATGGAAGCGAGGCGAATATTCTTGTTCTTAGAGTTGATATTGTCCTCGTCACCCAGGAGGGCCATGGCGGGATCTGAGTCCATGCGCACACCCGAGTTGAAGATACCGGTAGCAAGCATGGCACCGGCCTTGACCATGTCGTCCTCGACGTGTGTGTAGGGATCGACCTTATCGAGACCCTCTTCTACGTCCCAGAGCATGAGCATACCCAGAGATGCGGTTGTTGAGAGCATGCCCTCTTCCTTGGTCTTCCATACCCAGCTGCTCTTTGTGTTCTCGTTAAGCATGAGCTTATCATTTGCGTAACCTGTGTTGACAAAGGCGTTGACAAAGGCAGAGGCAAGGTTGTGTCTGGCAGAATCGGTGTTGGTGAGTCCGGCAGTCCTGCTGCTCTCAAGATGTGTCTTATAGATATCGTCAGGGGTCTTGGGGTCGAGAATGTTAAGCTCCTTGCCCAGCGCCTTGAAATGATCGGGTAGTCGTGTGTTGTTGATGCACTCCTGGAGCTCGGCATCATCGTCTTCCGAGACATCGAGCCATATCCGCTGTCGGCCACAGAGGTAGGCCATTTGTCTTCGGATCGACTTGTCCTTGGTAGCGTTGAAGGCTTCGTGGATGAGATCGGTCTCGTGTAATCGTATGGCAATGACGATTGCCTGTGTGTACTGCTTGTATTTGGCGTAGATTCGGTAGGTAGTGCGGAGGAACTTGTCGTTGTCTGGGTAGGTGAGTAGGGGTACGTTGCTACTCAGGTTAGTAGCGCTCCTGTAGGTGAATTGCAACAATAACCTACCTGACCATGTATAGAGCCACTCTCGAGTATGTGTTCTCGTCAATGTATTGCTCAATCTGATCGATCATCTCCAGCTCAGACAGGATATCAACGGCATCTGCCTCTGCGTTGTGCTTGAGGAAGAAGGGCACGAGGTTCGAGGCAAGGTCGGTGACATCGTCGGTGGATTTCTCGTCGTTGAGGCGGTTCTGGTACTCTGTGCCAATTTCCAGCGCAAGGTGGCGCATGTACTCGTGGCCCCAGGAGCCGAGATCTGTTGAGGGCGCCTCAAGGCGGTACTTGAGGCAGTCCAAGCGGTCCTCGTCGGAATACGTCATTCCCAGAACGGACATCATGTCGGCGAGCGAACGCTGCTGCTGTTAGCATTCCTACGTCTTGCCGATCTCGCCATATCTACACACCTTGTTCTCGCCTGCTGGCCATGACGCGTAGGCCTTCTCGAGGGCCTCGTAGTGTGGTCGGAGGAACTTGAGCGGCTTAGGCACGGCCGTCATGGAACTCGTCGATGTTTTGATGAATTCCTTGATCTGTTCGAGCGCGGGCTTGTAGAGGCTGGTATCGGAACCCTAGTAAACACACCAGGTCAGCGCATGTTGCGGGGGGGCAGCAATCATCATAGCAACCTACCAGTATCCGTTCTGCCAGCATATCAAGGTCGCTCTTTAGCTGCTGGTCTTCTTCGCTGAGCTCCTCTGTGGTTTGTCATCAGTCCAAGTCCATGACGATAGCCATTACAGCTGTCCGATGGATAAAACATACCGCCAGTTGTCGCAACACCGCCTTTTTTGTCCTCAACATCTGGCTTTGCATCCTTGCTCTTATCCGCATCGTTGTTCACTGGCGCCTTGCCCTTGCCCTTGTCGGCAGCCGTGGGCTTCTTCTCGTCGTCCTTCGCCATGTTGATATGTAGCTTAGGGCAAGCGGCGAAGTGTGTGTAGGGATGAAGCGGCGTGGATAGCGACGGTGAGAGGGAACTTGTGGTGCTATGAGATGTAGATGCGCCGCTCAAATGGGTCAGAGGAGCGAGAGACAAGTCAAGTGGGGAGTGGTAATAGGCGGATTGATGTCGATGAGGCAGCTCTTGCTTCGCGTACACCACTTCCGCCGCGCTAGGGCCAAGCACCGTCCGCCGATGATGAGCAGCGCCGCCGCCGCCGCTCAGGCCTTCGAGAAACCTCCAAAATTATTATCGCCGCACCCAAACCCCGGCACATACGCCAGAACACACCCGGGAGGCTTTCGGAGTCGCACATACTTTCACCATGAAGCTGAACGTCAAGAACATCCGCTATCTGGCCGCAGATGACTGGCGGGTTCTCACTGCGGTATGCGCCCGCACTGTCTTTTCGTACGTAGTGGGGGACTAACGCTGATGAAGACCATGACAGACAGAGATGGGCAGTCGGAACCATGAAGTCGTACCAACCCCCCTGATTGCCCAGATCGCTGCCCTCCGCTCAGGCACTGGCGTTCACAGGTGCATCTCCAACCTCGCAAAAATCGGTCTCATCGCCAAAGTCCGCAATGCCAAATACGACGGATACCGACTCACATACGGCGGGCTCGACTACCTTGCCCTACACACCCACCAGAAGGCGTCGACAGTCTACTCGGTCGGCAATCAGATCGGCATAGGAAAAGAGTCGGACATCATAGTCTGCGCCGACGAGACGGGCAAGCAGCTGGTTCTCAAGATTCATCGTCTGGGTCGCATATCTTTCCGCACCGTCAAGGCGAACCGTGACTATCTCCGCAACCGTCAGGGCGGATCATGGATGTACATGTCGCGCCTCGCTGCTCTCAAGGAGTTCGAGTTCATGAAGGCTCTACGGGCAGAAGGCTTCCCGGTGCCCGAACCGGTTGGCCAGAACAGGCATACCGTCATCATGAGCCTAATCGATGGCTTCCCTCTTCGTCAAATCTCCAAAGTCGGTGATCCGCAAGAACTCTACGCCGAACTGCTCGCCCTCATTGTCCGACTCGCGCAGTATGGTCTCATCCACGGTGACTTCAACGAGTTCAACATCATGATTGAAGAGAAAACGGAAAAGGACGGCAGCTTGTCACTGGTACCCACCCTTATCGATTTTCCACAAATGGTCTCCATCGATCATGCCAATGCCGAATACTACTTTGACCGCGATGTTGCTTGTGTGAAGCGCTTTTTCGACCGCCGATTCGGTTTCAAAAGCGACGAACCAGGTCCTTTCTTCAAGGATGCCACAAAGAAGCTTGTTAAGAGGTTGGATGTTGAAGTGCAAGCTTCCGGATTTAGCAAGAAGATGGCGAAAGAACTTGAACTGTATATGAAGGAGCATGGCATTGACGGCGATGCTGGAGACGTTGCCGCAGGAGTGGATGGAGAAGAGGGAGAAGAGGGTGACGACGATGACGAGGCAGGTGTCGAGGATGACGAATTTGGGGATGAAGAAGACGGTGGTGTCTCCCTTGAGGGTGGCCCGGTAGGCGACGAGATGTCTGCTTCTGGCGATACAACAACGGATGGACAGCCAAGCCTCACCTCACAAATGACTATACTCGAGATCCGGGACAACGATCCACTGCCGGACCTCAAGGACATCAAGCCGCCTCAACCGTCTGAGCCCACCATGACCACCAAGGCTGCCAAGAAGAAAGCCGGGTGGGCCATCTAGGCCCGCGAACTGCATCTTGTTTCCATCCCGTTTCTGCGATACCCTGATCCCACCACTACCTTTCGGCTACTTTTTTACGTCAAGGTGGGCCAAAAGTTCATAGATTTTAGATGTTAATCACATCACGATTACCATGTCCATACGAACTCGTTTCTTACAAGTGTTAATCCTAAACACTATGAAATATCCTCCAGATATACACTGTTGCTTTTGTTAAACTTGCAATGTATACCTCAGGGCACATGTTTAGTGATAAGTACAGTTCCCACCCACGATGGGCCTACCCGGTCGAAGCTATACCCAGATCTATACTCGAGCCTCACCCAAGCCATCTTCATCCCAACTTCCGACCCTCCTTTTACCAGCACCATCATTGTTATGCCCCTGTTTCGCACGTCCAAGACGTACAAAGCGCCCAACAAAGCGGAAATCCGGCTCCACAAACCCATCTCGCATAAGCAAAGCCCGAATCTCTCCAGCCAGCTGATTGCCATTCAGGTGTTCAATGTCAATCTCTACTTCACCGTTTTCAAGTTCTCGTAGACACGATACGTTGATATATTCTGGAAGCATGTTACGCTCGGTTTTGACGCCAGCCCATTTGTGTTGGTGCCGTAGAAAGCGCGATATCGAGCTGTTGATGGTGGCGAAGACGATGCTGTTTCGGGGTGCGTGGAGGAAGTGTTGCATGGTGAGTGATAGTTGTCACCTTTAAATCTGTGGCTGTGGAGGGTTAGGAGTAGGTTGAATGGTGCTGCGAGTGAAAGGATAGGTAAGAATAGGTGCAATTCCATGGGGTCTTGGTAAGTTCACAGTCGAAGATCATAATCATAAAGTACAATGTAGGATTTTTTGAAATTCACCCAGTCAATGGATACGCACGCTCCTCGATCCCGAGAGCTCCACCTTTTCTGCGCATTTAGGCGACCGGTGTGAATGTTCGGAATCCATGACAAAGAGCAGCCTCACAGTGTAGGAATCCAGTCACGAGGAACGAGTCCTTGCTACCTCTTCATGTGCACCATAAGACTATGAAGCCAAGCTCTGCAGACCGTTCCTCTATACCAACAGCTTCCCAGCAACCTCAACAGCCAAAATCCCGCAAATGAAGACCATGATAACCATAGTCGCAATCCCATCTTATTACCGAACCGATTCCTACGTCTTCATCTATAAGGATTCTCGGAATGAGCGGCCCACAACAACAGCACGATATATAGTCCTCACGCCAGCTTCCACAGAAACACTCACAATACGTAACACGGCCATAGCCAAAGACGTCGCCGCTTGGGGCTGGCATATATACAACACCCACCCTTCTGCTGCCAATATGGAAAAGTGGTTTGAGAAATACGAAGCCGCAGCCAAGAAGAATACGTGGGACGAAGACATCTGGAGGATCTGGCAGAGGGAACATGGGGTTAGGATTGCGGAGGCTGATGCTAGACGCAAAGGGAAGGAAGAGAGCGACAAGGGTAAGATGGCGGGAGTGAAGCATGGTGTCAAGAAGGCGGGTGTGTTGTTTTGCAAATTTACAATTACGCTTGATTATGATGAGCGGCGGTTGAGACAGGAGGAGGCGGGGAAGGAAGAGGAGCGGAGGTGCAAGTTGGTAGATGAACAGCTCGTGAGGAGGCCTATGGATTTACCTGACGATCCTTTTGCGGATCCTCATACGGAGTGATGATGCGGAGGATGAGGATTTCAAGACTGGCAATCTGAGAGGTGGCGAAGGTGGGGATGCAAAGACGACCGCAGCGTCTGATACAGGGGTGCTGACAAGACACTCGTGGTTGTTGGGAGGCTGAGTATCGCTCATTCCACTAGATATGTATATCTGCTTGACATTATCATAGCTTCTATTCTCCATCTCCATCTAAACACCTTCATTTCCATCCCCCGTTTTCTCACTCTTCTCACTCCTAGCCCTCTTCATCTCCTCCACCCCCTTGGTCAAATCTCTATGCACAACCCTAACTTCCCACTCATCATTCTCACTCCACTGTACTTTTCCCAACTGCTCTGCAAAGGCCACACTCCTATGATGCCCACTCCCACATAGACATCCCACCCTTACTATCGCTGTTTCGCCTTCCCTACTAGCTCTTACATCTTTAACTTCCATGAGTCTTCGGATATCGTCTTCAGCGCGGGTTAAGATATCGCTGAAGGAGTCGCGGCACATGAGCTCGTCTTGGAGTGTCGAGTCGAGTCCGGTGCATGTTTTCCGTGTTTGGCGCGATGGGTTTTGCGTCATGCGGCAGTCGTATTCTAGATCTGGTTTTGGGGATGGAGGTGTGAAACGGTCGTAGGATGTTATTTCGAGTATTGGTCGTTGTTGTTGATGAGTTTGAGCAGCTTCTGAGTCTTGGTTTTCCTTTTTGGTAGACGAGAGTTCATCCTCGGTTGGTGGGACAAGTCGTGTGGTTTTGATCTTGGAAGCCATGTCTGATAGTACGCTCATTGTGTTGATGATAGTCTGGCCGTAGATGACGGTGAAATTCGAGTGCGTTTAGCGTCGTTGGTGAAATTTGTATAGAATACGAAGGCTTTCGCAAGGATGATTGAGTGTGTCGAGAGTTCATCATGTCCAAAAAGATGCCATGGCTCCGGCTTTGTGTCTTTTTTCTTATGACGCTCATTTGGGTAAGAGGTTGCATGCCCACTGTGGATAACTTCAGGGTCTTTGAAAACTCCATTGGTGCACGAACATGACGTTGGGCGTTTGTGGATCCACGGGCGCATCCGCGGGTACCAAGCAAGATGCGTCATCTCTAATTACAACCGCAGCAAGTGTCGCGATGGTCCATTGCCACTGTGCCAACTTCTATTGGCTAGTATCTCTTCTAAAGACATTATAGGTCATCTGCTCATTCCAATTAAGAGTATGTCTTCCAGAAACGAAGAAGCGGGTTGTTACTGCATTTGGTGAGAGCATGTAGCAGAATGCAGGAAGACGCGGGCCCTTCACAAGTGAACGCAAAATATCTGGGTGTTTGGCTCTATTCATACGATGCATTCCAGACGCTGATTGTAACGTCAAAAATCAAATATCCTACTCACTCGATCTTGTTGCTGCTTCACCAACTTGTTTCCTTTGTACGACCCGGATCCCCTAAGCTTCTCTCCAATGTTGCTTCCAATGTTACGCAGTGTGCTTCGCAAGGCGGCCCGTCGCGAATATCTCGGCGCATTGCGTTCCTGCAATGTCGTCATCTGGGACGGACTGTCATTGAGCGATGCATGCGACTGTTCTGCACCATGGAATTTGATCCAGTTGTGTCCAATGACTTCCTCCTCGGAAGGACGCTTTGTCAACTGCGGCTTGTTCTGTCGAGGAGCTGTCTCAGGGACCTCTTCGACTCCAGCTTCGGCAGGAAGATTCGTGTCGAGCTGTTCGTAAAAAAGAGGAGCGCACGGGGTGTCATCATCATGGTCTGCCGCGGAACATGGAAGAAGCTCAGATTTGCCAGGGGCTTCCGGTTGATATTGTGCGGTAGTGGAAGAATACGGATTGACAGGCGGAACATATGGCGACGATAGTGGCTCATCATTGAAAGGCGTTCTGACTTCTGGTGGATCGGCTGCTGCTTTGTAGAACAACCTCTTCGTGATACCAGAGGGTGTTCGCATGTCCGCCAGCGAGTCTATGCGTGGGTCATACGAGATAATCTCGACGCCGCAAGACTGAGCAACGGGCGTCGATGCGTACCGATAAACTCTTCTTCCTCCTGATGCGTCTACGTGGTACTCGCCGTAATATACCTCGACAGGCATATCAATGGATGCAGGCGCGGTGAGTGTGAAATTTACAGATGTCCTCGAGGTCGGCAAAGGCGAAGGCGGTGGCGCGAGAGAAAAGGGTACGGTGGTATTGAGGGTGGAGCTCGAGGCGTTTGCGTTGAGTAGTCTCGGAGGCGATGACATCGCATCGTCAGCTGCCACCATTAGGTATGGGTCTTGCTCGATAACAAGCGTCTCACTCGATGGTTCTGCAAGTGTATTTGGCATCGGATTTACAGGATCCAAATCCTCGAAGTATGAATTCGACTCCGCCTTGTCGACTAGGCTCGAAAGTTTGGGCATGTTTGGGCTGATGAGATAGCGACCTGTAATAGTTTTGTGATAGAGAGAGACGCGGATATTGATGCGATTACCGTAAAGGCTAAAGAATGTATGAGTGGTATAGTGAGCTACTCGTGAAGTGTGTTGTTGGTGCGCGAGGAGAAGAAATGAACCGTTCTATTGACTATCCATCTTAGCAAGGCCCGATGACGGGAAGGTAAGAGCGTACCATGAATGGTATCCGCTAGATATTCAATAGCAACCACACCTGACCACCGACGGCTTCGTAGCTGCTCATATGAAGGACTCAGTGATGAAGGAGGTGCTTGCCGAGTGGAACCAGTACCTGCTAGAGCTCACCTTCCTCACGCTCCCTGATGTCAGACAATACACTTTGGTCTATGTCATGCTCCGTCAACTTTTTCTACTGTTTCTTCAGTTGATATGGCTGCGTTCTCCATCGGAGAGTCAATCTTTTCCCTTGGTTTTCTTTGCCGCTCAAGCGCCTCAACCCAGTAAGCCTCAAGTTGCTCACGACGCCTGTCAGCCAAGCAGCGCTCATCCTCTTCTGCCCGGAACGCCTTGCAGACTACATCGTGAAACGGTCGTGACTCACAGTCCCACTTGAATAGTTTTAGGCAGTCGATGTAGATCCTCGGATCGTTGGTAATGTAGGGCTGCGGGACTTCAGGCACGTAAATGATGTAAGGCATTGTATCTTTGGGTTGTAGTAGTAGTTGCTGTAGTCATGGATAGATGTGCAAGTGAGATTTTATGCGCTCTCTCGGCTGCTGGTAAGTGATCACAAGCCAATAGTGATTAGTGTTTTGGTAGGAAGAGAGTATAAACAGCGAGAATCAAGGGGATCTGGAAGTACGTGTTGGCCTTCAATGAGTCTGACCTTTCCAGTAATTCTGTGCAGTCACGGTTCGCGGTGAGTGAGATAGGCCAGCTTATTGCGGTATAGCAGATTGTAACCATGGTAAAGCCTGAATGCGGTCCAACGAGCGCATTCTCCACAACAATTCAAGCGATAGATGGAGCGTTTGATGACGACCAAAGCAGTGGAGTGGTAGGTGGTCCAAACAGATGTCTGGCGGTTCGTGAGCTCCATTACAGCAACACATAGTGAAAGTGGATGTGAAAAGTCAAAGCAGGATGAGCAGTTTGCTACCACGGTCGCTGTGACGAATAGTTTGGCGCGTTGAAGTGTGAACGCCTGGGGGAAAGGTGATGATGAGGTTAACGCTCCGATCTTGGCGAATGACTCAATCGCGAACCACCCCTCCAAAATATCCAAAAGTTGACGGAACACCGACACGCCGCAATCAACCGTCAAGATGAGCACCGAATCAGGAGTCAAAACACAGTCGACCTTTGATATAGTAGCGACATATCGCCGCATCCTCAAAGATGACCCGGAACTCACCATGCCCGTCGCGGCCATTGAGGCGCTCGTAGAAGCCATCGCACAGAGCTCCGTCTCCACCGTCGCCGAGACGCTCGACCTACTCGAACGCCATACGGCCGCCCTGAAGGCTTCAATTGCGAACCCAATCTCTCTTTCCGCCGGCACAGATCTCTTCCAGCGCTACCTCATCACAACGCTCAACCGCCCCGCGAGCCTGAACCTGGGCCCAGACGACGACTTCCGCGCGATACGGAACCACCTACTCTCCAATGGCAAGCTGTTTGTGGATCGGGCCAAACAGAGCCGGGAGAAGATAGCGAGCTTCGGCAAGCACTTCATCCGCGACGGGGGTACTGTGCTCACAAATGGTGGATCGCGAGTAGTGGGTGCGCTCTTGAGAAGGGCAGCCGAGTCAAGCACTCTCCGCTTCAAGGTCATATATGTCCTACCCTCGTCAAGCTCCTCGGACGCGAAAGAGGGCCTTCAGACGGTCGCCGATCTGCGAGAGCACAACGTTCCAGTAGCCACGATTCCAGACTCGGCCGTCGCATACTCACTAGGCAAGGTCGATATGGTCATCGTGGGAGCCGAAGGCGTCGTAGAGAATGGTGGTATCATCTCGCGCATGGGCACCTACCAGCTGGGTGTACTAGCTAAGAGCAAAGGAAAGCCTTTTTACGTGGTTGCCGAGAGCCACAAGTTTGTCAGGCTCTATCCCCTCAGCCAGTTCGATCTGCCTATTGAGCAAAAGGTGCTAGACTTCAAGGTCGCAGAGGAACACAAGGAAGAACACAAGACCAAGAGCGATGAAGAGCAACGGAACGTCTTCGACGAAGCCATTGCAGACATGACTGCGAAACAAGCGTCGACAGTCGCTCCACTCGACGCTCACGACGCCGTTGACTTTACGGTATGTTCTACCCATTGCGCCTAGGATATCATTCGCTAATCTGAACTAGCCTCCCGATCTGATCTCTGGCATCATTACCGAGTCCGGCGTTCTCACCCCGTCTGCCGTCTCAGAGGAGCTGATCAAGATATGGTTTTGAGCCCTCCCTGAGCATGACCTCCCACCCCACACCAGAATCTTTGCCTTACCACAAACCACACGATGGGCATACAGCTTTGTGGAGTGTATTCACATCAGCGATAGGAACTTCGTGGAAGGCGAACCTGTGACTCCGCAACCTTCACGCCTACGCCGCAGCCGGCGCAGCACGTCTCCAGACTGGGACACATATGCCGCAAGCTATTGTGCGTATGAAAAACTCGCTTGATAGCGCTTCCAATTCGGCTATGTGGCCAGAAATGACTGGAATACGAGGGAACGATTAAAGATAAGGACCAACTACAGTGTGGTACTGCGCTGGCGATGCCGGCATATGATACCCGATAGATCTATTCAATGGCAACATTTCCTGGCCCTCCTGAATCTTCAAGGAGCTGGCCTTTTTGTAACAAGAGAATGATTAACGTGAAGTATCCGAACGTATTGACAACAACAGCAACTTTGTTCGACGATGAGTACGCTTACAAAGTCTCACGACCTTTACTCTATCATCTCCAGTATACAACACATGTAGAAGAAGATGTTGTACCTGATCAAGCCACCAGCACACTCTATCGACGCCTGCAATCCGCTTTTGACCTATACGCTCGCTGACTCCACCCCCTCCGAGCTCTCCAAAATCAGAGATCTTCAAACCTGGGGCTGGGATGTCTCCGTGCACCTCCAAGATGACGCGGAATATCTCGACGCTATAGAGGAGACGGAGAAAGCAATAAAGAAGAGACGGCGCATGACGCAGATGGTATATGGTGATATGGTGGGGGATGGTCCCAGGTTGACTTTTGACGAGGTTTGGGAGAGGGAGGCGACTAAAACGTTGACGCAGGGGCTACATGGAATTCAGGAGAACGAGGAGGAAGTCAGTGATGAAGCTAGCATCATGTCTCAAATGACACAGCAGAGAGCTTGGGTGCGTTGGGCTGATGAAGAGATTGAGCTGGACAAGGAGAAATCTAACGTAAGCAACCCCCAGGCATGAAGCTAAAAGGGGTATGGCACAAACATGCAACTGATAAACTCAGACAGCTAAGTCGAGCGGTCAATAAGTGGTCCCACCTACCATCTAGCTCAAGTTCAGAAGCCTGTGCGAACGCAAGCGAGTACGTGTACCGAGGGCGTGCTGACAGCCCCATCATGAGAAGAAATACAAAAAGTAAATCCCGTTTCATTGAAGAAGATGAAACCAACTGGCACGCAATATCATCACATGAATATCCTCAACACGCTAATCCTCAGCCTGTAGATCAAGAAATTTTACGGCCTTCTACATCTTCCACACCTTCCACATCAACAGTCTGTACAGAGGATTCACACCTACTCTTAGATCCCTATATGCTGGCCATGGCTACATGCGGACACTGGTCTCCTCCTATATTCTTCCGAGCTTGGTCGCGTCAGAATCCCCGATCTCAATCTGCTGCACCACGTACTGAACTTCCATCGAAAAATCCGAGAGAGCCTCGAAAACTCCGAAAGAAAGTTGCTCGTTTTGAATCAGAGCCTGGTTTGAGTTATTGGCTACCACCTAGATTTGTTCGGCCTTTATCCTGGGTGAAAGGAAAGCGAATTGAGAGAGCAGGGGGAAATGCAAACTTGATCGCACCGGAACAGTCACGAATCGAGGAGCCAGGCAATGCACAGAGTCCTCCAGGTTCTACTCCACAACACAGCACGTTTCAAGCTCTTGGGCTTTCAACTCCCACCACCCTGTCAGATAATCCTTCGAACACTCTTCAACCCGCCACCTCAGCGGATCATCCAAACCCAAGTCTTGGCTCATACCTGAATACATCAACTTTCCTCCCACCAGGACCTCGTGGTATTTCACCTGCACCTTCCACCACCTCCAGCCTCATCCTCCCCGGTCGTGAAATAACCCAAGAAGAGTACTTCCGGCGCACAAATCGGCCACGGGAAAACTTACAACCACGCCAGTTGACGCCACCACCGGGCCTAGAAGCAGAAAGGGATCCCTACAATTGGCAAGCTTGGGCTCGTGGACGCACAGGGCAAGAAAGTAAAACCGATCGTCTACTCAGAAAAGACAGCATCATGCGTAGACCAAGTACAGGAAATGTTAACAAGAGGGGAGATAGGAATAGTTGGTATGATGAGTTTCGGAAGAAGATGAAGGAGGAGCAAATACAGGCACGAAAGGAGCAGAAGGAAGCTGACAAGGAGAAGAAGAAAGAGAAGAAGAAGTTGGAGAGGCAGGAGAGGAGGAGGAAGGAGTATGAGGCGAGGGAGTCGTTGAGGAGACAGGGTATGTTTTCCGGGGGGTACTTAGCTAGATATACATGATTATGGGGTTGTTGTATCAGCATGAGTTGAGAAGTTTGACTATTGAGGAAAGGCTGTTGAGAGAATATTTACCAAGACTTAACAAGTAAGTGCGATTGTACAATTCAAAGAATCGCTCCCTATCCAAACACTAGACAGAATCAGAACCGGGCTATTCCGCCCATACAACTCTTCAGTTGCAGTACTGTGCGCCTTCACCAGGTTTGACAATGCCCATATCAATAAAAGCCGAGTAGTTCCAGTAATCCCCTTGGACACCCTCCCCTGCCACAGGCACGTTCCCAGAAAACTTCGCAGTCCAGTAAGCACTTCCTCTCGTGTACTTTGCGAAAGCGTACAGCCCGGTGTTTAAATTCTTCCTGCGGTTGGCAAACTTGTTGTCCGCCGCCGTCTCGATCGACCATTCCCCAACAAACACAGGAAACTTGCCATCTCCTGCCGAAGCCTTGGCGTCGGAGCAAATGTCTGCACTCACAGTATCAGAGTCGGTGGGACGTCCAGCGAAATAGTAGTTGTGTACGTCGAAGACCAGATTAGCTGAAGCTGAGAACCTGGGAGACCAGAATGCTTCACCTTTGAAGCTACCCTGCAACATGACGGGTGTGTTCTTGTTCACAGCTGCTGCTTTCGCGACAACCGCGTCGAAGTACTTCTGTACCCATACAACACCGTTGTCCGTCAATGCGGCTGGGGTGCCAAAGGTTGTGAAGTCGCGGTTGTCCACTGGTTCATTGATTGGTTCGAGCGTGTACGACTGCGGGGTTCCGGAGGATTGAATAAAAGCCAGTGCGGCATCGACAGCGCGTAGGGAATAATCGAGGTTCGTCATGTTGTTAAACCACCCAAAGCGACCTTCGCCTTCACCGAAGCCCATGCCGTTTACGCCTCCAGGAAGGGAGTGAATGTCAAGGATGATATGCATGCCGTATTTTTTAATGGCATATGATGCAATATTTTTGAAGAATTGAGCCTGGTTGCCGCTGTAGAAGTTACTGCCAGGGACTTTGACCCATGCAGCATACGTCGTTGGGATTCTCAAGACATTCACGCCAGCAGTAGCTAGCTTGTCGATATCTGTGGGCGTGATGAACGTAGCATAGCGGCGCTCGAGGACAGGACCACATCTGGATCCTAGTTTGGCACAGCAAGTCCACTCGTCAGTTGTGGTGCCGCAGTTCTGAGACCACCAAGTTGGGTCGATAACAGCTTCTTGGGTGAGCCATCCACCAAGATTGATGCCGTTAGCTCTGAAAGTCTTCCAGTTGAGGTAGGTAGACTGTCGGCGCTCCGTTGGATTGGCAGCGGTGAAAGATGAGAAGGAGAGAAGTGACGCGGCAATAATGCTGAAGGTAACCATGTTTGATGTTGCGGTACTCGTGTTCCTGCTTGACTGTGTGGAGTTTCTCTGATATTCAATCGCTGGCCTTTATATCTCATGGGCAAGCCTCTTCTTGTCTTCGCTATTCCGAACAGCGCCCAGCACGATCCGGTGGCATCGTGACAACAAGCATGAAGTACGACATGTGGAGCCGATAGGCCTTGCTAGACCTGAGGACCAAGTTAACAATATGAGTAGACTTGCAAACATTCAGCCCCCTTCAGGGTATAGTTCTGTAGACGGCTGCACAGCTGACAATGCCTTTACCCCAGACTTTACCCCAGACCTGGCGCCATATAGTGGGTGCATCATAGTGGCTTCGGCTTCCTGGAAAGTTACCCCGAATCAGGGTTACGAACCTATCGTTGTCCATATGGGGTTCACATTATCCCGAGCGACCTGATTCTCCACATCGGGTGGTATGAACGCCGAGTGGCCCACATCCCGATATGAGCGTTGTTCTATTCGACTGACTCCAAATTCTTGAATATATCTCTTGCTTCGATGATACTCGAAAATATGGTCAGACGTCGACATAGTGGCAGGGCGCGCGAGAGGATGATAGATGCTGTCGGCAATGTGAATTTAAAAAAAATCCTACAGGATGACTTCGTGGTGCTAATCGCAGATGCCATCGCATTACACGCTCTCCGTTAGCGCTGTACGTTGTTAAGAAGCGAGAAAGATGCCGGGCGGAAGTACGTTCATAGTGACGAGTGTGTTTCGGCAAGCCGTCTGTGCATTCTCTGAGCGCGTGTCTCGGCCACCTATTGGCTCCTCTAACCTTTCACAACTCGGTTCTCTTCATTGTTCTGATCACAACATGATTCGCGTCGTCGGTCTACTTTGTTCTGTCGGTCGTGCTCACATAGACAAATTCACTATCCGGATTGTTCCTTCCACGATCAACAAGGGATGCGTTGAGGTCTCAACGTTGTGCACAGTAATCAAGACCTATCACAATAGGTACATGCTGAGATTCGAATGTTTCAGATCATGGTAGCGGTACAGAAATAGTGTAATCGGCGCTTCTTAGTCGTTGTCGATAGGTTCACATCGCCATCATGGAATACTCCTACGGTGACTACACGTATGCCTGCTACAAAGTACCTCCTACACAACCCTCTCAGGCTCGAGATCGCAACATAACCCACCTAAATCCCTAATCAGTACCCATACTAGCTTGATTTTACATCTGTAGCAGATATGGGAAACCAAGTGTCTTCAACACACGGTCTGCCTAAAGACGTAGAGCCGGCACCATTACAACTGACCGGCCAGATTAGCAAAAAGACGCACCAATGCTCAAGCAAAGACAATAAGATACCGCCTTCACGACGGCTACGCACCATCTCAAAAAGTCCTGCTATGGATCCCTGGAAACATAGCCTGCTCAACATTCCACCCGAGTTACGCAATCAAATTTACACCTACTTATTCGATAGCAGAGATTGCATCGTGCTATCTCCACTAACGCGTACAAATATTCCAGGGCTCGTGCTATTGCGAACGTGTAAGCAACTCCACGACGAAGCCGCTAGCTTCTTCTACACGGTGAATTCATTCCAGTGCTACATCCGTAAGAGCGTGCTGGTACAATCAGCAACTGTAGCAAACATTCAGTTACTTGACATTACTTCACTCATATCTTACAAGTTCTTTCAGGATCCTCTAGCCATCCGAGGTGGTATCTTCTTTCCCGCACCGCGGTATCATCGATATCTTACTCGACTAACTATCTACTTCAAAGTATCGATTCGCGACCTGGCTTTCCCGGATCCAGAGAAGGGTAAATGGAAAGACCAAATTTGTGTAGGCTTGGACTTGTATCAACATATTCGCCTTCCTTCCGACAATGCCGCTATTACACCCGCAAACATGGGGAAAATACAGCAGGCAATACAGCATGAGGTATTTGTCGTGTATCAGAAGATGAGACACCTTTGGAGAAAGAAAGAAGGTACATGGGCCGGTAAAGTGGTCATGCCAGCGAGATCCACAGCAACGGATGAGTTGGAGTATTGGATCGAGCTTACGACTGAAGAGGATCCCACCTGCCAATAACATCCTCGAGTGGAAAGACGACCAGAGGAGTGAATCCTTTAGCTGGTCATGTACAAAGGTGACGTTGGCCTCTAGCGGAGTTTGGCTATCTTCGAGGAGTTATCGTGGACTCTTTGGGTCAACATGATGCATAGCAGTCATGACATAGCTCGCATGCATAACAGAAGTAATCATTGTGCAGGAAACTAAAGGACCACTCTCCTTGCTTTTGTTACCACGTAGTCAATGCACAGTCAATGCATGCGGCATGCAAGCACACCGCAAATCACAACCACATTTCACATCCTCACGCAGCATCGACACGATCAAGTGATTAAAGTACCACAAAAAATTAAATAGTAGACATTAGATAACCAATACTACCCCGATCATAGCCGATTGATCCGTTTTCTGCCCCCAACCTGAATCGAAAAACCCCACACTGTGCCAAGCCAACGCGTGCTTCCCTGCCCAATCCATCGTCGATCGGCACTCTCCCAAGCTTCCTTCGATACCAGCCAAGCCAAAGATGCTCTCCTTGCTTGCATATGTTCCCCACACGCCATCTCCACGCCATCTGAAAGTTTTCTCCGGTGGCATTATGGGGTCCAACGGGTCGACTGTCGTCATTTCGGAAGAAAATGTTGCGATTGCAATGAGGATATGGGAACGATGATGTCAGTCGTCCATGATTTTTGACTCGTGGTGATTAGTCGAGGCAGCGACTAGGCTGCTTGACAATAACATCCGCTGCTGCTGCTGGTTCCGCCTTGCTTGACTGCAGACGAGTGCAAGGCTTGCCGGTCATTCTATCGTCTCGGTACGTCGCCTTGGTATGAGCTTATCACTCGTCGGTGTCGTCGACGCTCTCAACGCTCGGTGAGGGTGATGATTCGCGAACGTATCTTGACGAGAGCGTTGGGCTGGCAATGGGTTGTTGCGAGATGGAGATTTGGCCCTCTGCTTCGACGTCTTCGATGGGGATCCTGAGCATTTGGCCGCCAACTAGGTTGGGAACGTAGACGAATTGAGTAGCTGGTGAAGACATGTTTGTTGATAGGATGGGTTGCATTCGAGGTTGGTATGATGGTAGTAGTGGTGCAGTAGTGTCTGAGTAGACTCGAGAGATGATGATGATGATGATGATGATGATGATGATGATGATGAAGTAGTTGAAGTCTGATACAGGAAATCTGCGATGTTGTGTCTTCACCTTCATGTGGGGATACGACTCAGCTATATACTGTGCCAGAATCCCGCGGCTCACCTGAGAATGCCATTGCTCATGCGGCATCCCAAACCCCAGCTCCACGCATGCATCCACCAGACCACCAACCCAAAACCCTATCCCCGACAATCCAAGCATCGCATGCTCCACCCGTCACTTCCGCAGCCAATTATAACACACTACCAAACAAGGATGCCTTAACGCCAGCTCCGCTGTGTCAGCCCAACGCGCTGATTCGGCCCACGACCTGCACAACGCGTGGCAAGTCTCCCCGAACAGCTTACTGTGCCGCTCCGTTGTGTCCGACCAGCGGCGATAAGTGGTTCATGCGTGCGTAGACAAGGCAGCCCCGCACCAATTTCCTCTCCGCCAGCCGGCCAAGCAGCGCCTAAACGGTGCGATTCACAGTTTAGCCCGGCCAAGTCGCTTTGCCCGCATGGTCTAGACCATACGCTTGTTATCGTTGTGTAACTCTAGACGGGGATGATGCAAGGTGTTGAGTTGGAGTGGTGATAAGGAATTATTGTGAGGGAGACTGGGTTTCGGAAGATCGGCGTTTACAAACTCGCGATTATTCACCTACTTAGAGTTTTGGGATTATGTCCGGCCCGTTTACTAAGGTTATGGTCGGGGCTTGCATAGCACCGAGCGTGAGTATTGACCGAGCGCTTCTTCGACAGTCATCTGCTATGTTTACAGAGATCGTACAATCGCGGACAGACATCTCATGTTTACAGTTCACGATGACGACTAACAAAATCTTTGTCACAACTCGTGCTGGGCAATTCTGGGCGCTGCCGAGAATGCTGCCGAGACCTTCTGTATGGTTCTGTGTAGTTCTGTTGAACCATGGCACTCGGCTAGTAAACGAGTAGCAATGCGGGTCGCCTCTGGATAGAAACTACCATCGTTAGACAAAGTAGCCAACGATAACGAGTGTGCACCAAGATGTGTGACTATCCATTGGAGTGGAACTGCACCATAACTGTAGGCTTCGCGACTTCGCAACATTCGCATGATGGCACGTTTGCTTTGTAATATACTATTAAGACTTTTCTCCAGTGGGGAAGGACTACCCACCTGCGCAGGCAGGTCAAGGGCGGGAATTCTTGGATCCAAGCAATTCCGCTCGACGCCAGCTGTTCGATACGAGGTCATGTGGCAGGTGCACCAAACCTAATAAACGATGCCAGGACGCGCCAACGCACCCCAGATCCCGAATAGCCACGGAAACCCAATCTCCACGGTTCACATGGTCAGCCTCGTTCAAAGCGCAGCTTATTCGCATTCGTATAGCGAGCCTTGAAATAGTACAGCTTGTCTCGACCAGCTCCAGTGACAGCCAAGTCAGTATTCGTATAGAACAGCTCAGAATTGAACAGGGTATCATGCTAGCATTACAACGCTCTAGTAACCTTACGCCTCGCTCGATAAACAATAATTCCTTCAATATTGGACATTACGGCCTGATCTTACCAGCCTCTGGGTTGTCCCTGTTACCCCGCCAACCCCAGGCTAATCTGGCCATCGTCTTGTCTTCGTCCTTTCCTGGCCACAAGACTTGTCCGAGATATACGGCACGAATGCAGAAGACTGCCGTGACGAGCCACATGATGACCAGCAGAATGGTCAAAGCGCTCGCGACACCATTAATAGCTTCGCTGTGTAACACTTTCCCTGCTTGTATTGTCGCAAGTGTAAGGCCTGCGTTGGGAAAGATGAACGCCCACCAGTTCAGCGAGAAAGACATGCTACGTGATCCCACTATGACGGCGATGGTTGTTATGATGAAGAACCAGTAGGCGAATAGTATTATGAAAAGGCCTGACATGATGCCAATGATGCGTACAATCTCGCCGTCGGGTACTGAAATGTTCGTAAAGTAGTTTGCGGAGATGAGCGAGGGCGCTTGGTTGGCGAGGGAGAGGAGGCCAGCAGCAGTGTAACCTATCGTTGTTAGTATCTCCATGGTAAGCGAATATGCAAGGAGTATTGACTTACCGGCTGGACCAACAGATACGTACATCCCAGGTCGGGTAGTGGGAGACGGCAAAGAACTCGTCATCAAGCGTTGCATGTATAGTCCATACAGCAGGAAAGAAACGACCCATGCGAGTCCCTGGAATAGGACTGCTCCAACAAATATCTTCCAGCTGGGTGTCTCAGGTTGGGAGGGAAGTATAGTACCAGCCAGCGTGCCCACTACAAGCAACGGGTATATTGGGAAAATCCAAGCAGGCACAGCATCGCCAACGTTGAGGCGTTCGAGACGGAAGAAAAGCGAGTACTGTATGACACCGACGAGGAAGGCCGCGGCGCAGTACATCCAATACACGATTTCGAGGGCTTTCGTGAGCCATGCCCCCGTCGACGTATTGCCATAAATGTATGTGCAGTTGAGTATGAGGGCGACTGACACCCAGTACGTGCCGAAAAACAGACCCTCGACTGGGTGGTGTAACGATCCAAGTAGCTTGCGAGGGACCAGTATGAATCGCGCCAACATGCAGAGGTTGAATATGGTGAAGAGTACGAGGTCGAAGATGAAGACAATCTTGCCGATGGTTTGCAGGCCAGTAAATGTGTTTGGCGTGTTTCCTAGGACCACAGCCAACGATCCTGTTGACATGGTACATGCGAACCATGGCCTGTGGAATCATGAGCTCGTTATCTGAATGTCCCCAGCGCTCAGACATACCATGTGAAATGCACGATGCGATCGCGCAGCCCAACCTCTTGTGGTGGCTGCTCCTCATCCTTCTCGTAGGTCGTATTGGTTCTGTCGCGGAATCGCATCTTGGTAATAGGTATCAAGCACGCGACCAGGTGCTGAGTAGTCCTGGGCCATGCTTCAGGTAGTATTTACAGGTTCCCAGGAATGACATCTTCTTCCCAAGCATTTCGGAAAGAGTGCCGGACGCGTTTCGTCATACGGGCCCATAGCGTGCTTGTCTGAGACTTAGTGGCGATCTCGGTGTCTACGCGCCTGATGAGAGGAGCGACGGGCAGCCCCGTAGTCGAATCTCGGAAATCGGCACGCAAGCGTCAAGCAGAAAATGTGAAGGTTGAGGCTTGGCGCACGGATGACTGTGACGTCAGAGTCCGGATGACCGATCGCAGGGCATCGGGTTGGACACATGCACCTCAGGTAGGAGAAGAATTCGACAGTCTTAGCTGGGGGTTGAGGTGTAAATAATTGGATTTTCTCTTACCCTATGTGTATGTATGCCAGGTGTTACTCACTTCAAAGAAAATTGAAGTAAGCAGAGGCACCCACCCTATTCAAAGGGATCACTTTACGCTCTTAGCGACCTCTGTCTTTCACACGCTCATAACATTATAACAACGCCATTAAGGTAGGTGTTACGTACGTCGAGATACGTTTCTTTTCTTCTCAGTATATCCTTCAATTTCTTTGGTTTTTTTAGTTGTGTTGCGAAAGATGGCAGCGTGGTACAAGACGTGCTGTCGCTATACCCTGTTTCAGGTGGAGGAATCAACTGCCGAGTTATTGGCGAGACGTGGATGTCGCTCATGCTGCAGATGCAACATGACACGAAATGCGCAGGAGTGGTACGGCACAGTCGCCAGTCTCTGTTCATCTCAACCACTCTGCGCCTTGTGTGCTCAAGGTTAGTAGGCACTGTGGATGCGGGTGTGGTTGCGGATATGGGCGAGGATTACGAAGACGATGACATCTATAACTCAACCCATAGAGTCACATTGACTAATCGTCATGATGGTGGGAACTTCTACACCACAATGTTTATACGACACCCTCGTACTTCCGAACCACCATCCAACTTCTGTCGAAGCATCTACACGGGTTCGGATGAATGTCTGGAACGCCGCGAAGTATGGCTACAAGAATGTCTGGCATTCCAGCGATAGGCTACCGGCTATAGCAGGTCTGATAGCTCACTCTTCAGAACGTAAGTATTGAACGAATATAACGGGACTGTGGAAGGAGCACCGACTTTATCGATTTACAATGGAGAAATTTCCATGACATATGTCGTCCACGTCGCAGTATGGTCGTGGATCAGTGTACAAAGCCCGGTAACGTCAGCGTCTAGTATAAGGGACTTCCTGGCCGAAGCATACTTGGATGGACTCGACAACTTCGCTGTTGTCGTCCACGGTGTTTCATTCGAACCATCAGACTTTGGCACGTGGGCATATTACTCATCCGCGCCGGGTGAGCACAAAAGGAAGAAGGAGTTGAACATTGAATGGGATGCCAGTGAAGCAAATTTTGCCAACCAGCCCTTTGGTGTCCCTTGAATGTGGGTAGCTTTCTCAGAGCATCTCAAGCCAGATGGTGACGAGGTCGTTCTGAGATGCCTTTGTTTAGTTGCGGACGGTTCCACAGGCTCGTATCGACGTTGTAGATACGTCAGTTTCGAAACAGACATGAGAACTGCTCTCGAATACGACATTCGCCTCCAATCAAAACAATTATTTCGCATTGTATGAGTTAGGCACGTCAACAGCGACTTGGGCGCGCAACATCGCCAAGCTACCTGGGATTTGCAAAATATACTACTTCAAACTCCTTTTTTGTCATCTAGAAGCCGACAAGCCTCGTCCAACTCGCGCCGTGTCGAGGTGAAGATTATTTTCCAAATGGCCGCTGCGTAGCTTTTCGTCCAGGCAACGGCTTTCAAAATCCATGCTTCAGCTTGCATAACATAAGGGCTCTCGTTTCCTGCATAGCAACGCTTCCTTGCTCCAAGCTTACCGCGGAAGAAAATCAAAAATCAAAACGCAGGGTTACCCACGATGCTCGCCACCAGCTCGTGCCGGGCGAAGCGACGCGGCAACGGTTCCTGCTGTAATCCCGAGCCCGAGGCTACGGTAGGACAGGAAGCCTGAAAAGCTTAGCACCCCATCCTACACATGCACAGACACACAACGCCAAAGAGATTGAAATCAGGTAATAATCGAACACAGATGTTACGACTAAAGACGGCGGTTGAAGGGTATCAAGCATAGATTTGCTGTGTCTAGGGATCTAGAATCTAGATGCCAGGGTACAATATGTACATCCTTGATGCAATAGAAAAAACCGTGTATGTACACTCCCAAGCGCCATCGTCGCGCCTATCCTATCATATCCTATCCTATCCTTTGCAGAACCAAAGAAAAAATGAGGAGTTCCCTAGTGTAGCATGTCATTAATGATTCCCCAAACCCCGACCGATTAATCCAACTCTAAATGAAGCAATGAGGCGGGAAAATCCTATCCATGAATGATGGGGATGAAAAGCCTTCTGTTGCAGAAAGAACGCCGTCATAATGCATATGCAATTCCGTGATGCTTGTGTTGGTTGACAAAGGAAATATGTTTCGCTACACCTGCCATTACGCGGTGATAAACGCCGCCATCATAGCCAACACACCACTCAAGATGGCGTAGTTGGCACCACCGATCGGGGTCGAAGCGGCGCTACTCTTCTTCGACTGCGTGCCGTCTGGCTTGAGAACAGCGGTACTGCCTAGTTGGAAACCAATGTTTGCTACTACAGCTTGGCTATCGCGGACAGGGACTGAGATTCTACCGTTGCCGTCTGCTGTGGTAGTTGTGACGGTGTTCTCAGCAACGGAGGATTCGCCGGTGGTGTCGTCGTAGCTCATGCCGTTCCATGTGACGCCTGTCTGCGAGTCTGCGCCAGGGGCTGTGAGGTAAGAGACGTAGACTTCCTTGTTGGCGTGTGCAGAGCCGAGGTTAAGGTTAAATGTGAAGCTGCCTTTGTCTGATGAAGAGGCATTGGCTTGCTTGGCGTTGATCATAGTGATGGATTGAAGCTTGTCGTTTGCGTAGGCTGCGTATGCACGAATGCGGCCGTCGTACGCTGCACCTACGTTGCTTGTACTAAGAGCTGCAATCTGTGTGGTTCCGTTGCCGTTGCCAACAATCTGTGCGACAGCGGCATGGGCGTAGTACTGCGGACGTACGAATGTGGTTTGACGACCATATATGGGAATAGGCGCCCAGGCACTGGCGTTGGAGTTGTCGGTCATGTGCATCTGAACCGAGGAGATACCAATAGATGCCGCGTAGAGGAAGAAGTTGAGAGTCCAGAGAGAGGCACCGAAAGCGTCACTCACACCAGGCATGCCTATTGGCCCAACAGAGCTCATCTCACGAAGGACGTATGGGTGGTTTGTGTTTAGAGCAATTCCAACCTGCTTCTCCCAGTATTTGAATTGTGTGTTGGTGGCATCGAGATCCATGAGGTCGTCGAGAGTGAGGGGTGTGGGGGTAACTCCGATAACTGTGGAATGTTAGTAGGGCAAGGAGGACTGGTGGGGTCATGGCATACAGTAGAAGTAGTCGTGCTGGTTCCAGGTGGCCAGGAAATTATCGCCGTTCCTACCCTCCATAATGCCATCGTCTACAAGTTGTGCAATCTCAAAGGTGGTTCCAATGGTGGACGCCGTCGCAGGAGCTTCGAAGAAGGAAGACGGCAGACCGGCAGCCTTCAACACACGCTCGTATACAACCTCGGCGCGGTCCAACCATTGGTCCGTGTATGTCTTTCCATCCCAGGGCGCAGAGCGGAAAGAGTTCTGTAGCCACAGATCGGGCTCGTTGCCAATCTCGAACGAATATAGTTTGACGTTGTTCATGCCATCCACGGCGGCTTGGGCCAATGCGGTGATTTGGTCCTGGTAGTCGTCGTCCATGTATGCCATGTTCAGGCCAAAGGTTACGGGTGTGTCCTTGGGGAAGCGGTCGAGTGCGCTGAAGTAATTGGGCCCAATGATCATGGAATCGGCGGCGATGGCGCCCTGTGCCGTCGAGTCTTTGTTTGAAGTCCACGCATATTTCTCATTGTTCGACTCAAACACCATATAATCCTGCGTGTTTCCTCCTAACCGAATGTGCGGCGGCGCGCCGGAGTAGTCTGCGAGGTTCTGGAGTAGCTTGATGGAGAATTGGTTCGTGTCCTCCTTGCCGGTGAAGGAAAAGAGATTCGAGGGCTCGATGCCGAAACCAGCATACGAGGGGTCGAGGTAGTCCGAGGCACCATCGGGTGGGCTATTCCCTAGCGATATGGAGATGGACTGGGCGAGGGCAAGGCGCAGGGCGGGTAATGACAGTAGGGCTAGACTGCTGGTTGATAACGAGGGGAACATGGCTGCTGATGTGAGCCGTCCGGTGCAAACGAGTGCAAACGAGTGCAGATGGTAGAAGAAAACAGCGGAAAGTAAAGTCAAAACTAACAATCAGTAAAAGCGAGCGCAGGGGAGGTTATCACAGGAAACAGAGAGCGAGGGACATGTAGCCAGGGTCGATGATGAGTGGACGCTTGCAGAGTGACCGGGGGTTGGACAAAGTGTCAACACTTTCAGACATGCGTCACTAAATGGGCCAAAAGTGGCGCCGGTCCGGGCAATGCAAGAGACGACGCGCCAGACTCAACAACACATGACATCACGAGCCGCCATGCATCCGGACGCTGCGACACCAAGCAAACCCGTGTGAGACGCGCGACCCCAAACACTGCAGTGGGCCGCCGAACATCATCATCCCACACCTCTTCCCTCGTCCATCCAGCGTTGCGCGTTGCGCTGATAAAAAAGAGGATAAACGCGTCAGCTACTGCCGACGACACTCCGTGTTCCAATTATGGTGGCTGCCTCAGATGTGCACCAACGCCCATCTGAGCGGCTACCGAACCCTTGGCCACGAATGATCCGCGGCAGGAGGCTCAACAAGCCTTGTTTCGCCATGGCCCCGAACCCGCATCATGATCCTTTCCCCGATCCTGTGCCGTTGTACCCTCGAACCAGGCCTCTTCATGGCCGTGAGGCCGTAGATCTTCGCGGCAGCTTAGACCACCTTGGAGCGCGCGGTACGCCTCCTACGCACTCAGGGCCACTACGCACTCAGGACCCCGACGCGCAGCGTCTGGATAATCGCAATTCAATATTGTCTCCCGTGCTTCCGTCCTGCGTATACTACCACCCAACCCCTGCACCCGTTCGCCGCCTCCATATTGGCCCGTTGATAAGACGGCCTGCAGACTAGAAGCCTTGATTTATTGCCCAGCCTCTTTCCAGCTCCCCATTCCAGCCCCTTCGTAACAGCCGCACCTGCACTCACTCACGTCTACCACCTGATGATGCAAAAGGGAAAACTTTCTTGACTGCACGTTTGCTAGACTCAAAGTTTGACATGACTAGCAGTGTCTGCCACCATCTAGTTTATCTGCACCTATAATAGCACCAGGTCTCGAACATGTCTACCGGGCATTCTCGTCCGCCGTTGTCCACCATCCCTTGGCGGCAGCCGTCTGATGCCGAAACCCTGAGTTCAAAACCTATACATAGTCGGTGTGCACCTGCAAGAGGCAAAACGCATGTCGCGGCCTCTAGAATGTAAGCTTACACCATTACGGTCAATGTACAACACACATGATGATGTGCGTGGAGGCGTTGCTTGCGAAGACACGGCCAAAATTCCCCGTGCTGGGCGGTGCCTGATCCATACTTGCATACTACTAGAATACAGCTCCGACTACCGCATAGCTATGATGCGCATCTGATTGTAGCGAATCGAACTACGTCCGTGTGATCAAGAAACTTGCTTGCAGAGAATTTGGTCCAACATTGCCGTAGTTCCGACACGGCATTGATCGATATGACGTATAGCTTAGTGGAGAATGCCGACAGTGAGGAAAGTATATCGTGAGTCGATCCGATGCAGGGAAAGCATGCTATACCCATGTCGTATTGCTGCTTACTTATGGATAGGGTACATGTCTTTGCCTATTACTACCTGCTCTCGAGACAAGCTTGGCCGGTGAGTTCTAGCATCACAGTAGCACCAGCATGAACAATACTCTTTCCAAATTTGATCTCGTAGCGTAGACCCTAAATGTGAGCTGGAGCGCTGTACCACACCTTCTGTTCCTTCTCATAGCCTCGACATCTTCTTACAACTTGCCCATCATCAGGTTTCTAATCATTTCCCGTCCAGTGACCACGGTAGTCCTCCAGAGGGTTGGGAAGTCCAATGTGCTCGAAAAGGCTGTCATGACTTTGTTAGCAATGGACAACTACAAGTCATTCCCTTGTCGTCGCCAGGAAAACGACAAGATAAAAGGACAGTTGGAAGAGAGTCGAGAAACTTACTATCAGCATACCCAAACCCAAGCATAGGCGGAATCCATCCCCTCGCATACTCGAGCGCAAAACACCCACTCTCCATCTTATACTGCTTAACGTCACCCCTGGTAAGATGATGCACACTCCCCTGGGGATATCTCTCAGCCTCGTAAACGCCCTTTCCAGGTCGATAAGCCAATTGCTCGCCCTTGAGAATATGGAAATAGTCATCCGCCGTATGCCGACCGGTATGACCCTCGGTCCCAATTGCCGTCCCAAAAACAATCAGATACTCGGTAATTGATGCGTGGATAATGTACATGGCGCCCATGGCACCACCCGCATTGTTGAAGATCCATTCTTCGTCTAGGTTGATGTGGGGACCGTGGGTTGCAGACAGGGAAGATACAATGTGCGAGACGACAGAGGCAGTGTCGTTTCCGTAGAGGGAAATGGCTTCTTGGCTGAGGCTGTGCAGTGAGGATGGGGTGAAGATGTAGAATTTAGCGAGGTGCGAGTCGAGTGTGTACATGAGCGTTGTTAGGACACCGAGGATGGCGCCGAGGGCGAGGAGGATGCGCATTCTGGGAAATCTCTTCCTCTGGCGAGGAATGCGTGAGTTGAAAGAAAGTGACGGAATCCGACTACAACCCCTTTTGCGAAGGAATGTAATGTGTGAGTTTCTTGTGTTCGTGGCACTGCACTTTATGAGGATCGTGAGGTTTTTCTTCATTATCAAAACGCACGTGCCAGACGGAATAGGAGAAGCCCGGATCCCCGGATCGTCAGCTCATATCAAACATGGGCTGTTGTCTACTGCGAGCCTTCCGTCCTCCGAGCGGAGAGACGCAGCCTTGGCTTGTCTGAACAAACGGTGGCTAAAGATAGTCATGCGTTGAGTGCCATTTTGCGCATAGAGAGAAGCGTGAAGATAAGGGGGTATAGAAATATTCTACAAACAAAAGCTGACTACAACACCGAGAGTATTACCTCCTCTTCCATCCTCATCATTACTCCTGGGCGAGTATTAGAAACAAGCGATAGATGATATCCCCATGCCATGACCTTTTCCCATACCTAGTAACGCCCCAACCCATGCAGAACGTCGTAAAAATCATGCTAGACACGATTACATATAACCAATATATCCAAACGCCATATGCACATTAAGAAAGATTGTCCCTGTCGTCATCACCATCCCCCAATAAAAGTGATGAAGCCATCAACCATATCAATCCAATCCTGACCATTCAGTGTCCCAGCTCGTCTCTTCTCCCAGAGCACCCCCACCATCTTGCCCAGGTGAGCTCTCGCCTGCTCACCTGCCTCACTCGTACCATCATTCCTCACAAGCTGCACCTTGCCGCCAGCAAACTTCTCACTCAGATCAATCTTGAAACTCGCGTCCCCGTCTGGAGGGCAATACAGTTCCTCTCGCGTTCCAGCCGCCGGTCCAATGACGCCCGGAGCGAGCTGCACAAGATGTCCATGGATCAACACACTCTGTGTGTGACTCCTCTTGGGCTTGAATAGCGAGCCGCGTACCGAGAAGCTGACCAGCCGTAACAGTCCTGCGCCGTCACCCAGCCGGATGATCCAGTCTTGAAAAGCTTCGTACATCATCTTGAACTCGACCTTTATGACCCAGAGATTGTAGCTGTAGAAGATGGCGAGGGCTTCGGAGCGAACGAGGCGTGATACCGAAGCGAGTGCGTGCTGCATCTGGCCGTCAAAGGTGGAGATGCAGTATACGAGGGGCTTATCGATGACGAGGTTTTCGCAATTACGGTAGATCTGATGGCGGATCTCTGGTGGAAGAGTGACAAAGGTGGGTGGGGCGGGCGTCAAGTCATTAGTAGGGCATGTATCGACCTGTTCGATTAATGTGGTCTGGACATGTTCCGTATGTATAGTCTCTGCCTTTTCTTGGTGCAAGGCAATGTGCGCGGCCCAATCCTTTTGCACGTCGTTGGATCCATCAAACTGGATACGGTCGAGGCTGTGATTTCTGGAATGGGACGGCGATAGCGCGTAGTCATCCATGTGTTCATCGTCGTCGGGTCTTTCCTCTGCATACAGTTGCAGACCCTCGAAACGCGTGGCATCGGGCAGGCTCGACACGCCGTACTGCTGCGAAAGCTCAGGCGTTGATGGGAACGAGGTAGCCTGGCTCTCGGAGCCGTGGCAGCCGTCGTGCTCGCTCCCATGTCCCAACAGATCCGTGTCATCCGAGTCTGTGTCTGTGTCGGAGCCGATGTCTATATCCACGTTGAGTCTATATCTCGGGATTTTGGGCGGCAGCTGGTGCGTGGGCGAGCTGGGCGAAGGCAGCTGGGTAGCGGATCGTTTGCTCGACGTGCGTACAATGGTGCCCTTTTGGGACATGTTCCTTCCTCTCCGCTGTCCGGCCGCGCTATCCTCGCTGCTTGTGCTCAGCTCCGGCGCGCCGTCACAATACCCGCACTGTGCTGTCTGCACACTAGTATCAAGAGGCTGAAGTTTTGGAGAGCGCGCTTTCATGGCTTCAGCATCGTCCGGGGGTGTCTGACCCGTGACCGAGTATCGACGTTGGGTAACCATGGTAATTACGGGTGTGGCAGCGATGATGCGAAGGGAAAGAAGACGACTGGGAGCGAGGCGATTGGTGTTACGTGGAATCGAGCGGCAGGTTGCAGCAAAAGCCTTTCTTCTGCGCAGATGTGCTGGCAGGCTGCACGATGACCTTTGGCACACCCTCGACGCGTGCAATGGGCGAGGCTTGCGGGGTGCGTTAGGTAGCGTTGCGGATGCGGCCGAGTGGACTGAGAAGCGGATTCGCGAGTGGGGAGTCACCACTTTTCTATCGATTACGCTGCCGGAGACGATGGAGCTAGATAACAATCACAAAGTACTCTCGCGGAGACTATCACGCAGCAGCACCAACACTATGAGCGAGGGGACAGAAGTATACACTCGGCACCAACGGATCAGGAGGGAGATGAAGGGCGTAGCATGTTTGGCAACTGGGCAACAATGCCGCGTTTCATGACACCGCAATTTGTCGTCAATGCTGCACTGCCCACCCAGCGATTATCATGCTCCACCGCCAATTTCTCGTGTAACCAATCTTCTCATCTTCAATATTTCATAATGCGGACGGTTTCGACGTCATGGCATGCGTGCTTGGGCTTATCATCATATTGCGATCCGCGGTGCAATGCGTAATGTCAGCACACTGTCTTTTCACGGCCTTTTTTTTTGGGGGAGTCTCTCTCGTATGGAAGGTGAAACGCGTTTTGCTTATGGCATGCTCGATGATCCCAACTACAAAGTCTGCTACAGAAGAGGAGAAAGCTCCATATCGTGTCGAGGAACCATCACTACTTGTTTACGCGCTGCAAGGACATAAAGTTATGATAATTGCAGTTGCTGACTTCGGCGTTATATGGTAATATATAGCAGGACGAAAGTAGCTAACAAACATAGACAAGCGCCTATCCCAACGATGATCCTGTTGAAGGATATTACAATCACCCATTACACAGAGCTACCTCTTCCGTTACAGCACACATGTTGAAATGGTGCATTCCGTTTCAGCGTCCGACCATCCTTCTACAGACCACTCTTCTTCTCAGTTCCAACAGGCTCCCTAACCATTATGTCCAACGGGATGTTCCTTCCACCTCTCTGCAGATTGATCCTCCTGGTTTCCTCAAAGCCAAACTTTCTGTAAATCGGAGGGTTCGTCTCGTTGCTCGACTCCAAGTAGCACGGCCGACCCTCGCGATCTGCCAGCTTGGTTACATGCTCAATAAGCTTGCGAGCATGACCTTTACCACGACCACTAGGCCTGGTGCCTAGATAGACGAGGTACCAAGCGTCATGCTCTCGCTCACCAAGCGCGGTATGCATAGTGTCGTGGAGGAGGGGCAGAAATTCGTCGAAGAAGCGGCGTTTGCCTTCGGAAGAAAGGCGGTAGTTGAGGCGCCACATACCAGAGCGGAAGATCGTCAGGTAGTCATCCATGTTCTGACCAGGCGGCATCCTGGGTGCGTGAGCTCGCAATCATATCAGGTTTACAACACCGATAACTTACCACAATGCGACTGCTTCAAAGTCGCCTACCGTAGTCACTAGTCCCTTGAGGATATGAGCATACGTCACGTACTCAAGGATTTCGACATGTAAAGCCCACTTTTGCTCCTCAGTCCAGTGCTCACGATCAGGCACGTCAATAAAGTACCTGGCAACGTCATCTTGGCCAAAGGCTTCCGCCAGACACTCGGCAGCCTGCTTGTACTCCGCAGCCGTAACGACGCGAACGCCGTCGGTGAGCGGAGGCAGAACAGCAGCGCCAGCACCATTTGGCTTCTGCTTCAGGATCCTGAAGCTAGCGGGTACCTCGTTGACCCTAATGTTAGCAGACTTCAAGGTTGATGACTTGGTGTCCACTGTATAACTACAGCTGACTGGCGTAACGGAAGAGAACGTTTTCGCCATGATTGCGGTTTCGACCGTAACCTTCTACTAGTATTCAAATGGGATCTGCCGCTTCGTTTGGTTATAGGGACAGTCGTGGAATACGCCAGCGTGAGGTGTTCCCCGCAGGGCTTCAACGGGAATCGGCGAGGGTAAAGGGTTAGTTACTTGAACTTCGGTATATCTAGACGAGGACCTTGAGTTCAAACAACACTACTAGATTGTGATTAGTCTCGTTGCGGCAATGGGTCGTCGTGGGCTGAGCAGGAGCCGTGACCGTCGATTGCCTGCCATGTGGTATACCTTTTCTGAGCCTTTGTTGGGTGTTTACGTTTTAGCTGGACGATTAAGATCTCCTGTATGAACTCTAGAGAGCTGCGATCTCGAGACAGTATCGACTCGAGAAGGGTAGCGTAATGAAGTAAAGGCTTGACGTAAATCTACCGACATCAATGTATGTGGCTAGATGAGCTCCCTTTTGAGTTCAGGCTCGACAGATGCAGAGTGTCAGTCCGATGAGGTAGTCTTGCGTCGACAATATGCGCCTTGGGTTATCGATGTGCCAACCTTTGTGTGTGTGTCGACTGGTGGCCGCTGATGTATGGCTGCTTAAAGTTTGGGCTTTGCTTTTTAACTCGCTGGCAGCTTTGTCACAAGACCAGTGACAGCACTGCAGTACAACGCTTGGCTGATGTCGAGCAGCGGGCGTCTTGTCGAGGATCGCGAACGGAGGTCGGCTGCAGCGGGTTGCGTATGGCGTGGGGGTACAGTGGCTGGTGACGTGAGGTGAGTGTAAGCTGACGACCGGCACCCTTTGCCAGATGTAAGGCTTGTGTGTCTTTGTGGTAGAGTCGAAGATGGGAAGTCGAGACTTTGATATACCCCCATCCACCCTGTCCGATCGGCGTACCAAGCGCCGCCAGGCAGAGGTCATGCTTCACGGATGTAGCTCGAAGCGGGAGCTATCTTCGGACCAACCGCTTAGTCCGTTACGCATGCAAGTATCGTTATCGTTCGTCCTGTGACCTTGAACTTGGTGTCGGGCCGAGGCGGCTCAACGAAGACATTGCCTTGTGGCTTGCTTGCTAATCGTTGGGCGTACAATTTACAGCTTGCTTGCGAACTGCACTTGGCGACAGAGAGTCAGAGGCCGACAATACCGCGTTGACATCGGAGTCCTGGCGAGAAACTGTGGGGTGAGGAGGAAGGGTTGCGTTGCACACCTCGGTTGTACCTCCTTAGAACAGGTAAGCGCAAAAGTAACACGAGCATTAGGGCTACGCTCTCTGGTAGGCTAATGATAAAGCAAGCACTCGGAACACTTCCGCTACTTGTTTGTCTCGGAACCTAGCAAACTGTCAGCTGGAGATATGCGGTAGGCGGGGCTAGCATAGATCAACTGTCACGCAATGTCATTAGAATACAACGATAGAAGAGGAGCGGACCTTGATGCACGCACGATAAAGCCACGACGACGATGACTATTGGGCGTGGGGGATGATTAAGTGGTCAATGACTGGATTAGATGGCAGTTGTGGTATCTAGAGAGGCCGAGCCTGCATGCACGTACCGCCTCACTTTCGGAAATGTGAGGGGGATGGCCTAGACCAAGGATCTGGGGGTCGGTACGCTTGAATAGCATCGGGAGGATTGATGCACATATTACGGTGCTCTTCACGTCGTTAGAGAAAGCTCGCTCATGCTTCTTACATGCGGCGGATTTCTGTCTCGCCCATGTACTTTTCCAGACCAGAATCGAGGTGGTCCCACCATTCGAAGAGCATGCTTTCGCAAATGAGCTTGAACCATGGTGTGAACTTGAGCGACTTGTCTTGAAACATGGTCTTGAGATCCTCCTGGGACACCCATCTTGAATCGCGGGCTTCGTTGGGGTTGACATTTAGGTCCACATCGGCCTTCATGAATAGAATATAGTCAACTGGCGAATCGTAAGTACTCATCCAAGTTTTTCTATGTCCAATGGCACAACTCACTCTCGTGTTCACCCCACATGCCGTCACTGGGCGACTTGTAGTGTATCCGGGTGAGGAACTTGAAGTCGTCAATAGGCACCTGTTCGGCCTTGATGCCCAGTTCATGGTCCAGCTTGCGCACTGCTGCGCGACGCACACCCTGGATTGACTCTTCCAGGCCAACGCCAGTCTCTCCCGGTATGCCTAGGGGATGCGAGCAGCAAGTGTTGGTCCACATATCCGGGAATGTGATCTTCTCGGTCGCGCGCTGCTGGAGGAGAAGGCGGTTCTGTGAGTCGAAGAGAAAGACGGAGAATGCGCGGTGCAGGAGACCCCGATCGATGTTCTCCATCAGATGGCCTGGAGTATGTCAGTGTCGGTCAATTTACGAGTCAGAACCACAATGCTCTCATTGCTGGTCACGCCTCTCGCCACAGGCACTTACAGAGTTTCTTGGTCGCACTGCCAATTGGGATGTCGTTGTTGTCCAGCACGATGCACACCTCATCCATCAGCCGTATCTGCTCCTCGTCATAGCCTTGGAGGGCATTGTCGCTCGTGGCGGAGTTGTGTGACCCTCCGATGAGGGTGGTGTTTACTTCGGGAAAGAGGCGCAGAACATTCTCCGCTGTGATCTCGGGCTGCTGCGTAACAGTCTCGATGGTGCTCATGATTGCGAACCGATACGGGTGCGGGCGAGGGTAATTGATGGGTAGAGATCAAGTCCTGAGGATTAGGAGGGGCGGTCGCGGCATTGAAGAAAGCGCGCACGGGCCCCTGTTCAATGCAGGGTCCACCTCCGCGGCGGTCTGGGTCAACTGGCAGTTTGCCAGCATGCATGTGGCAATGAGCAACGCGCCAGGTGACCAAGGGGAATCTCTTAGTTTGCAAGCGCTTTTGTCTTATTGTCTAAACATTGACCGTTGCTCATCATGCTATACACTTTGCCGAAGCCTGTAGGCTTTTCGATCCAGGTATCAATAACTCAGAAACTTTTCCGTAACCGGAATGACATGCACATGTGCTCGGAAATGATACCCCCAGATAGTAGAAAGGAAAACAACCAACTCCAAAAGTCACATATATACAAAGTGTCTCGCGCTTAAGCCACAGTAGCAGTCTTGTTCTTCTTGGCAACGGGCACCTCGGCCTGTGCATCTGCGGTAGCGTCAAGCTCCCGCTTCTCGGGGACGCCGTTCAGTTCTGCCTCAGCTTGAGCGAACTTCTTCTTCTCTTCCTCGGTCATACCGGGTAGGAGAGGCACCTCCTCCTTGGCGTGTAGGTTGTTGTGGTAGGTGCGGATGATGGAGTCGGTGTCGTCAAGAGCGATCTTGCGAATGTCTGCAATGGCCTTGATCTTGGAAGTGCACTCCTTGTACTGTGCATCAGTCATCTTCAAGCCAAGCTGCTCAGCACGGCTCTTGATCGCGTTCCATCCAGTGAGCCTGCTGGCGAAGTGTACGTATCGGGACATGCCGAAATCCTGAGGGTTGATAATCTCGTATGTGGAAGGGTTGTTAAGAATGGCCTTGGCGTGAATACCAGCCTTGTGGGTGAAAGCACAGAATCCGGTGATGTAGTTCTGCGCAAGTTAGTACAAGGTCTGCTGAAATCTTTACTGCTCTACAGTGGTAGATGGCTACTTACGTTGAATGGGATGTTGACCTCGACAAGATCGGCAACCAGGTCCTCAACCTCCTTTAGCGCCTTGATGTTGTACTTGCTGGTGACATATTCGCGGTCCGCAACAATCATGCGAGCCATTAGACCACCAAGAGGGGTGATTCCGTTACGCTCACCAATACCAAGTACCGAGGTATCGATGTGAGTGGCACCTGCCTCTAGCGCACAGAAAGCATTCGCAATGGCGCAGCCAGAGTCGTTGTGGAAATGTGTCTCAATGTCGCAAGAAACGACACCACGGAGAGTTCGTACAAGGTCGTAGACCTGACGGGGCGATGCGCAGCCAACGGTATCGGCGATACCAACACGGTCGACGCCAACCTTGTCGACAGCGCTGTAAATGGACAGAAGGTCAACGAGGTCCGATCGGAACGAGTCCTCGGAGCTGAATCGGATCTCCTTGCCCTTGCTCTTGACAAACTCAATGACCTCCAGCGCCGTGTTCTTGATGTATGTCATGTCTTTGCCGTGGCTGTGCTCGCGGAGGTACGCGGAGGTACCGATGACGACATCGAGGCCATCGACACCAGTCTCGACAGCGATTCGGGCATCGTCCATGTGGCATCGTACGTGAGTAAGGATCTTGGCTTTCAACTAGTATACTGTTAGAATGCGTTCTCACCGCCAAAATATGTCGAGAGAAAAAAATTACGTACTCCGAGCTTGCAAAGAGCTTCACAGTCCTTTCTTGACTGCTCAGAGGCAGCAGGGCTGGTAACTTCAATGTCTAGATTTGTGGTCAGCTTCTGAAAGTCTCGCGCAAAGTGCCGCGGAGCGTAGCCGTACAGTCAACACCGAAGTTGTCAAGAGCTTTCGCAATCTTGATCTTGGCCTCAAGATCGAAGTAGGCGTTGGCGAATTGCTCGCCCTCTCTTAGTGTGCTCTCTGCGCAGGCAAGTTAGCAACATTTCTATAGCCTCAATAGTAAAACTTCAATCGGCGCGAGTGCGCATCCGATAGCGCTGAGGATGGGCGTTATGACGTACCGATAATCTTGAATCGACCGACATTTGACAAAAAGTCACCAACAGGCGCGTATGGGCTCTTGTGTGTAGGGTGAGGGTTCTGTCTGGTCTGAACACCAGTGAAGCCTTCCTTGGAGCCATTGGCGCCGTTGGTGCCATTGCTATGGCCGTTGGTAGCAGGTGTTTCTTCGGGTTGGGGACACATGTTGGGCAATTAATGTGGGTGGGAATGAGAAGGTAGGAAGGTTGGAGGATGCAGGGCGGTATTTGAATGCTGGGGAATTGTTTCCAAGGTGAGTCAAGATGGACAAAAATCTGCTGCGAAGAGCGATGATGAAAGCGCAGGGCCGGGATCGGGTCTGTAGCTTTGCGCTAGCCACCTTTGTTCGCATGTGGGGTTGCCGTCTGGCGGTGGCCAACGAAATGACTCTGCTTTGCTGCACACAAGGCGGAGTAGACTTCGTTTTTCCGTTCTCAATCTGTTTTCTCTCCACAAACCTGGAGAAAGTGCGGCCGAGGCTCCAGACTGGATGCCTATCTTGGGTCAAGCAATGAGCGTCTGGATATAGACCATGCCATTGGCGACCCACCTCACCGCCTCGTTGCGCAGGCTCGGTAGTGATACTGGCCGCAGACTTGATGCACGCGACACCACGGCATTCTCAACATCTGCAGTTACAAATCCAAAAAGAAACTATGGTGGTGGGCCGCTTCACATGAGTCTGTCTTGAAAATATTTTCATCCCTTACAATAAGCATAGACGACTTTTCGCCAGTAGGTGTCACAAAACCCCGCTTTGAGTCAAACAAGTCGCATTACCAAAAGGCCCTGCACCAGAGCGGTAGTCACAGCCGGCATCAGGGAAAACTCTATTGATGGTTCATGTAGCACGGTACGGGTCGTCCCTTATTTCCAATCCCGTGGTACGACCTCAGGGTACGTACCTACTTGGGTAGAAACACTTGCTGTCCAACACAATCTCGCAACACCAAGAGGTACATCTCTTGAACTGTCATGTCAAACTCACAAATAGCTTTCTAAGCTCTAGTGCAACTTGGAAGTCTGATATGTTACCCTACAGTTTTCATTCTGTGTAGCTATGAGACCAGCTGGTCGTCTCCCGGATCACATGCAGATACCTCCGTTCGACATGGTGTATTGGATATGGTAAAGACCCTGATCCATAGTTGTTCTCAACCTGTATTACGTGTGCTAACATTAGTGACGTACGATGGACCCATGATGTGCGCTGTCCTTTGTAAATGTAAGTTCATGAACCTTGGTAGCTTTCTTGATGATGTGTTTGAAAGGCTGCAAGTCACAAGAGAAGGGCCGGATAGCGAGAGAGAGAATAGTAATTAAATCAGAACTAAATGGTATCACAAGCCCTGCAACCTGGTATCATCGAAAAAGATTCCAAACGCCGACGTAACTTGTTTATACGTGACAACAACGGCCTTAGATGCTTTGCTCCATCTCCGTAATGTAGAGCTTGATGTGGCTCTCCATCTTGATGTACTCGTCATGAGCAGCATGCACCTCATTCTCGATGTTGTCCTTGAGCTCGGCCATCTTCTTCTCCGTCTGCTCAATGCGTACTCGCCTCCTCTCCATTTCACGCCCTTTCTCACCTCGCTCTTCGGTCAACTTTGCGTGTGTCTCTCGTAGCTCCTCCATCCGCTTGCGCGCACGTTCTGCTTCCTCGTCTCCCTTGGTCTTGAGTTTGTTTGTTCGCGCGTTGATATTGCCTAGCTGCTTCTGTAGGAGGCGCTCTTGTCGTTCCACATCGCGAACGTTGTTGCTTCGATCTGCTAATGCGTCTCGGTGCCTTGATGCCTTTGCCAACTCCTCTTCCTCGCGTGATAAATCGGCTTGTACATCTGTAAGTAGTCGTGTGCATGAAGTAACGTCGGTGGCAACTACAGCAAAGGAGTCTGTGGATGTTTGAAGGGCGCGAGCACGGCGGTCCAGCATGTCGATTTGAGTCTTGTCCCCAGTGAGCCGGTCGCTTAGGTCCCGCAGCGACTCTTCCAAAGCTGTTGGGCTCTGTTGTGTGTAGGGCTTCAATTTCACTACCTCGCGCTGCACGTTCTCCTTGTTCTCGACTCTCTGTTGCAAGAGTTTCTTCAGCCTGTCTTGCTCAGTCTTGGCACGCTCGAGTTTCTCTGCAACCGCCTCTTGACCCCTCTTCAACTCCAGCAGCCTGCTCTTGAGCTCGTTGTTGCGCTTTTCCTTCTCTTGCATCAGCCTTTGCGTCGCGGCACGGTTGCGCTCCAGCTCAGCCAACTGCATTTCCTTTGCCTGCTTGTCATCGTAAAGTTGTTCGATTCGTAGTTTCGTGCGCTCGGCCTTGTTGAAGTGCTCATCTATGATCTCGGTTTGTGATTCCCGGAAGCGGATGAAGTTGATCATGTAAGAGAAAATCTTGACCAGGCGACCGTGGGTAGGCTTGTAGAGGTCGTTGAAGGTGAAGTCGTGGATGCCGCACTGAAGTCGTTAATACTGGCCGAAAGGCCCGATTTTAGAGACACTCACTTCGCGAAGAAGTTTCCTCAGAATGACGAAGAAGGCCATTAGATCCCTCGTGTCGCTCGTGTAGAGCCTCTCTGCATCGCCCCCGCACATGTCTTCGGCGGCAGCGCGCATTGCCGGCGCAACGACCTCGCGCGTCGTGTTCATAAGTAGCTCGGCGAGCCATTCGAAAACCTTCTGGATGATCTGGGGATTCGGCTTCTGCAGGTCTGAGACGGAGAACTGAATTCCGATGTCCGAGATGCAGCCGGCAATTTCATGATCGGGCTAGATCTGTTAGTGATGCGCAAAGCCAGAGGGAGTTTGCGCGCATACCAAGGTCATGAATGCGTCGTGTTCGTTGGCGGGCGGCGCACGTTGGTTGTGTTGAGTCGTTCGCGCCATACTCATGCGCCCGTTATAAGACATGTTGAATTATTGCGCGATCTTAGTCGGATGTGGGTGTCTCAGTCGTACGGTGTCGGGCTGTTCGCTATCGTGGGGTGGTGATATTCAGGCGGTGGGCGGTGTTTGTTTACAGGGTCCAACGGTTTGTTGGCATGGAAGGAGCAACCTCGGGTGCCGCCCTTCCGGATACAGTATCGCGTAACAGCGCATCGATCCATAACTCCACCGACAGCTCATACATTCTCCATCATTTTGTACAAGATGTGCAATGCGCATAGCCGCTGTATGCGCCCTTGCTCCTATGGCCTTTACCATGGAAGATATCTTCCGTTCCCGCCCCGAGAGGCGTAGTGAATAGTGATGGGGATAATGGATACATAGCAACTAGGCCTGCAAGTGAGTTGATGGTGGTCCTCTAGTCATTTTTAATTGTCATCGAGTACTCGGTCATCAGCAGACTGATCAAACAAGTGCGAAAGAACTGAGCCAAGAATATCCTCAGGATCTTTGCATGCATTTGGAAACTCTATGGACAATCGTACCGACAGTCAACTGGTTTGGTATACGTCTAATCACAACACCTATTCATGCTGCAATCCGACTTGAGACTCTGCAGTATCATCCTTACTATTCAGCATGGGTGGCTACTGTGGGATGCAGGTAACATGGCAAACGTCGTAGTTTGAAGATCGTAAAGGACAAGTAAATGATGACAAAAGTTTTACACATAGGATCTACGCTGAGCTCTTTCACCTCCACTAGAGACATGGGAAGAGAAAGCGGGTTTGTGTATGTGTACGGGCTCTTGTACATGACAACAACGGACACAGTGAGTTGTAATACGTTTTGTGTCGGTATCTTCACCTATAGCATGGGCTCAGATGTCAATACTGGGACCAGATAATGTCGCTCGAAGGGATAGTATCAAGGTTAATTGGAACAGTACACTAGAAAATCTTTGTATCTCAAGTAAGCAGAGGACTAAGGGTCAGGAACTACACCAACTTGGCGAGGAGACAATGCTTACAGAACGCAAGTCTGGCGAGATGTAGTTCCATGCTCAACCTAAGGTGCACACACCATCTGCAATAAGAGCTCTCTTCACACGATGCACTGGTGAACATGTCTGTACCACTGGAGATCGCAGGACGCCCAATTCGATTGGCCATATTCTGCCTCATGATCAAACTTCACAAGCGGGGCGGACTCATGTCTCGGTACCGGGAACCTCACTAATGCGTTCCCTGCATCTACTATGATCCAAAATCCAAGATATCGCCCAAACCTTCCGCTCGTGGACGATGGACGCGACGGACTAGGGGTTGATGACACCAGCCCTACATTCGAAGTTTAATAGTGCGTTTCGTGCTCGAACTACTCGATTGACATGTGAGAACGACAAGTGGGTAAGTTTAGCCTTGAGGTTAGGCGCCGATCTCTCGATAGTGCTGGATCTGGACGCGTGCAAGCGTATAGATTTTCACTACGGCACATTGTGCGTTTCCCCAGACAAGGCAAATCTGGAACGCCAGACGTAGTCGAAACGTTCGTTGCTCCCTGCAGCAAGACGTCCACGGGTGCAGCGAAATGCCAACAACACAAGAAGCGGAACCAAGTATACGTACTGCACCAGCCGGCACGAGGATACAGATAGGGCAAGACACGATAAAACACAGCATCGTGCACTTGAAACATGAGCCTGCCACGCTTAGGTGGTTTCACGGCCTGAGAGTCTTGGAAGAGCCGTTAGTTTTCCGACGAGAACTCCAAGCATGTGACTAGCCGTTTTTCCCGCCCCGACAACGGTGCTGTCCGCAGCGATAAGGAACCCCCCGCATGACGAATAGGAAAGGTGCATGTTCGAGACACGGGTACCTGAGTGGAGGAGCGCACGACGTTGCTGTCGACGCTCCTTTGACTGGGACAGCTGCAGGAGGATTCAAAGTCCCTGGTTAGACAATTGGGCCGTTGGCCTGCAAGACCGACGTGGCTGTCCATGTCGCGCTGAGTTTTCGATATTCGATACTTCCCGCAGCACGCTCCTATGCATCGTACCGTTGCGAGGTGTGTTGTCACTGCAGACTCCTTGGACCAAACGAGATGTGTTTTTTTTTCTAGCACATCGTCATGGAAGTGGCTCGTAGCCATGCGACCAGCTGAGAATGTTGGTCGAGAGATTGACCTGAAGATGTCCTGGGCAGGCTGAGGCGCGTGATTGGCAGCCGGCTTGATGAGCGAGGCCCAGCTCCTGGGTGTGGGTGGCGTTCGGGCGTTCGTGTCGAGAAGACACTAGGCAGCTTTTAACGACAGGGCCTTTGAGCCGAGTTCATCGGCGCCGCCATCGAGAGATCGACCGGCCAGCGTGCCAGAGTTTGGTGGTGACGGACTTTTGATGGTTCAGTGTTGAGGGGTGCAAGTCACAGCGACGAAGCCGTGTGCAGCATAGAGCATCGAGGCAGAAGAAGCAAAGCAACGAGACTATAGTAAAAGCAGTTGCAGTCGCGCGGTGGACAGGGCCTCGCAAATGCCCGAAACAAAAGAAAGTTATTTTGGTGTGCCTCGTGGTGGGGATCGACATCAGCGAGGGTCGAGCCCACCAAGCCCTGAAGGCAAGCCTGCAAGCCTGCAAGCCGGTTAGGAGTACGAGCGGATCATCCGTTACATCACTCAGGCCGTGGCAGGCATTCACAACCGGCGTCCTCCCTCGCTCCCGCTCCATTTACTCCATTCACATTCCTTCCCTCGCCGTTCCTAATATCCGCACACAAGGACTTTCACATCCGCTTCCAACGTTCGCGCCAAGGGCTACCCGTCGCCCCATCCAGCCCGCCCACCAATATGCAGCCCAACCGACCGTGCAGCGACACTCCCGTATTCAGATAGCCCGCATTATCGCTATCACGCACACGTCACGCCCGCGCCGCCTAACGCGACGGCCGCGACTCAACGCTCAACCGTATTTCTTTTCTCCAGTCGCCGCTGCTCTGGCGCCCACGCATTCGCAGCTCCATGTGGCCGTTTGGGCGAAGACGCAGAAAGGCCGCTAAATTCAAAGACGGACCCACTGAGGTTACAGACAGGAAGCGGCCTGTCGCAGAGCAAACCAACACGATTCAGACGAGCAATGGACCGCGGCGAGGGCCCAGCCAACGCCAGCGCCGCAGAAGGGGTAGTTCACGCTCCACTGCCGCCTCGCTGCGCGGCGTTGAAAAGACGCTTCCCGAACCCGCCTTTGCAAAAGAGTGGCCCCCGTCGAGTGCCGAAGACATCACTGCCCTGCCCAACCAGCACCGCCTGGCTCACAGCCCGCACCTGCGCCCAATAACGCAGGAACACGCCGGCATCCCCTACAACTTCCACTCCTCGCACTCGTACGCCAGTCTGCCGCCCTCTGCAAAGGACCGTGGCAAGCTCCAGCGACCCCAGTCCATGCGCAGGGATCTGGCTACCGACTCTTCCCTGGTCCGCAGCAAGTCTAGCAAGAGGCGAAAAGAACATGATCACGTCCGCGAGGAGGAGATCCGCGCCATGTCATTTCCCATGCCTCAGAAACGTCCCGCTGCCAACTCTGGCGGCATGCTCCGCAGAGACAGCAAGAAGGTCAAGGGCGCCCTAAACCACCGCTTCGAGCGTCCCACGTCAAACGTATCGCTGCCCCTCGAAAACTCCATCCATTCATCCATGTCTGGCAACTCAGACAACCGTGCCTTCCGAGTGAGTGCACTCGACATGTTCTCACCCCGGCCAACCATCCGCGTCTCAGTTGGCTCCAACCACTACGCCAGTGACCGCATGTCACCCAACATCTACAGCGAGAAATCCACACGCCGACCGATTAGCAGTAGTGCAGACGAGAAAGCGAGCAGAAGGACAAGCCGAATCGACGATCTCGCCGACGAACTCGACGCCGGAGCACTACGCGACATCTTAGAACGAGACAAGAGGCGGAGAGAAAAGAAGGCCAGGGCCGACCAAGAACGGTTACGGCGAAGACTAGAACGTCGTGCAGAGAAACAAAATGCCATTGAAGCAAGAGGCACACCTGCAACTCCCCGCAAGGAGGGCACAGGCATGGTCGGTCTCGGTATCGAGCGAGAGGCGCCCATGCCTATGGAAGGTGTCCGCTCATCTACACCACCTCAGCCGCAGCAATTAGAGATGCCCGTTACACCTCGTGCTCAGGTCAACAACCAACTGCCGACACCGCTGGAAAGCCCTACCGAAGAACCTGTAGTATCCAATGCCCGGCAAGTTCGCTACTCACGAGGCAGCGCCTCGGCGCAAGTCCACACCCGCGGACCATCCAACGCCTCCATCCTACCAGAACTCATCTCAGAGAAGCTTGCAAACGATACGCCTGTAGAGTCTGTTGAGCATGGGCACGATGCCACTCGAAGCGGCTCGCTGCACCCTATTGACACCACCGACACCTTTGCCACGTCGAAGCAGGGCTCCTCTACACGCCGGCGTAGTTCAGAGGGCAGACGTATGGGTGTGTTTGCGTCACTTTTCCGAAGAGGGAAACGCAACTCGCAAGACCAAGCACGACCTACGCCATCCGAGATCTCCTTTTCCAACACTTCGCGAGAGTCCATGTCTCGCCAACCCCTCCCGCCTCATTTGGTTGGAACCGCACCTCCTACCCAACCTATCCAGATCCTGAGACCTTCCAGCGTGCCCCGGCGGACAATGTCCAAATTCAGGGAAGATCTACCAGAATTCCCTCTATCACCCCCGGATTCTCGCGTGCAGTCACCAGAAGTTCCCTCGACGAGCATCATTGCTGCCCGGCGCAGAAGCCAGCATCTCTCAGACCTCCATGTTGGGTCGCTTCCGGGAGATCGATCCGATTCTCCAGTCAGTCCAAGTGCACCTGTCAACGTCATGTCACAATCACTTGCCTCGGTCGACTCTGAGGCATCGTGGCTTTCTGGTCGACCACCGAAGCGAGCGTCAAACAGATCGCAGATACGCTCCAGTCTGACGTCTTCAGCTCCGCAACGGAATGACGACTTCAATGCATCCTATGAGGAGTTGGGCATGGCCGATGATGAATACTTCAAGAGACTGACGCCGCTGCCAGACCACAGAGGTCGATCCCCTCATTCAAGCGATGATCGGGGACGTAAGGCTAGCAGTACGCTTATGAGACTAGATGCTGCGGCTGAATCCGATGAGGAGGTTGCGCCTCCGTCCGCACAACTGCCGTCTGGTCAGGAGGAAGAATTCGTCCAAAGTAGTGTCGGCCGCCAGCCTACTATTATTCACCGCCGACCCCGTGTCAGGTCGACTGAAGGTCTTCTCAGCATGTTCCTCGATGATACTGAGGATAAATCATCCAAGGTTGCCGATATGGGCCAAGGGTCATCCGACCCGGATTCACCAACGTCCCCAACGTCGGAAACCGAACCAGTGCTGGTACAACGCGCTAAGAGTGTCGATCTCGGAAAAGGCCATGGTCACGTTCGTCATCTCAGCGTTGGTTCCGCAAGACTTCTGGATATTCAGAAGCGATCGAGCACACCAGTACACGGCCGGTCGCACAGTAGGATGTCCGAGCAGGAGTAAAATACCCATTTTGATGATTGATTTCTTCCTGGAACACGCATGCATGCCAGCCACGCCATTCATTTTGCTTTCGTTTGTATCCTGTCACTCGTTCAACATTTCTTTACCAGTCTCTCCTCCAACTATAGCCACTCGTTTGGATTTCCTTACCTGTCTGTTGCTTTTTCTGGCTTGGCTGCATGCGTTCCTGGACCAATTGACTCTTCGGATGGATGTCCCCCCTCAGATTACTCTACTGGATTTGAATCATCTTCCAGACTGCATAGCGTGGCGTTGGCATTTGTTTCAGAGTTATTTTTTTCTGCGTGATACCACAAGCTGCCTGGGGCGACTTCTGTGATACCCTATTTTTGGGTTCTGTTTTTCTGGGCGTGTAAGGAAATATCTGTAGTATATAGACGGGCTCGAGGCCCGGATTTGGGTCATTTGGACCGTCACATTGTATAAGGTTTAGGGCATATACCATGGACATGGCGTCGAGAAGACGCTGCGTCCACCACTCTTTATGAAGAGAGGTTAGTTTAAATCAGCTGTATCAGCTTTGTATATTTCATCATTAAACCTCCAAAAAGCATTTCATGATTCTGTGACGTAGTGTGCACGTGTTTGGACTGCTCCACGTGGTGCTCCTGTGGAATGCACAGGTAGTGAATCTAGCTTGAAATCTCGCGCAACACAAGGTCAATTGCGACATGGTCACAGTGTACAACACAGCGAACTTGTTCCTGTTGTCTTCGTCCGCCGTATCGGGCGTAAGAGGCTGCACAGAGGAAGCATGCCGCCGTCGCCTTACCCAACGAAGAAGGCAGACCCTAGTGGGGCAAATCGGGCGGTCGGGCAAGCACGTCATCTATCATCGCAGCCCCTCTGCGCCGCAAGTGTACAGTAATCCGCGCTTTATCATCATAACGCCAGATCTAAGAACCTTTTAGAAGCCCTACTCCATCGACCATCCCAAACACACGCAACTCCTCGATATTGTAAGTAATTCCCTCCATATCTCCGCTTACATTCCCCCGGCGTCACTGCGAGTCTTCGATTTGCGCAGGGACTCAAACGGCTTTGCCGAAAAATAAGCGCATCAGAATTGTTATCGGCAACAGCGGCCAGTTGATTCCATCAGCCGAGTTCTTTGAAATCGCCTTCCCCTGCTGTCTTACCACGCTTCTACATATACTATGTTTGCGCCGTCGTCCTTCAGAGCCACCAGAACACTGCTCACATCTGCGCGCCTGCAAACAGCTATCAACCCCACATCGACCGCAAACCTCTACCGACCACTCTTCACCCAGAAGTTCTTCCACAACACCGCCAAGATGAGCGACGACAAGAAGGGTGTACATAACCTCGCCAAGTGAGTTGAATTCCTATCGCACCTCACATGAGATGCACGATGTCATATGCACTGGGCACGGGCTGACGCGTTGGCATTGTAGCAAGGGTGCATTCGAGGAAGCTATGGCAGTCAAGGACAGCCTAATGGTCGTCGACTGCTTCGCGACATGGTGCGGCCCTTGTAAAGTGATTGCTCCCCAGGTCGTCAAGTAAGTTTCCGCCTTGCCGTGGATACCACCCATGGTTAACTGTTCTCTAGGTTCTCCGAGAAGTACCCCAGCGCGCGCTTCTTCAAGCTCGACGTCGACGAAGTCGCCGACGTCGCAGGAGATCTCGGCATCCGCGCCATGCCTACCTTCATCCTTTTCAAGAACGGCACCAAGGTTGCCGAGGTCGTTGGTGCCAACCCCAAGGCCCTCGAGACCGCTATCCAGAACAACATCGATGCATAGAGCGCACGACCGAAGCCGCCCCGCAAACACAGACGATCGCGTCCAGCACCAGACTAGGCTTGGGCATTGAATAGAGGGATACTGTTTTGCTGAGGGATTAAATGACTGGCAACAAGCGGCCGAGTGAAATTATGATAACGTCTTTCAAATACCAACCGTTGCATTCTCACACGTGTCATAATCCAAAAATGAACTTACTTGGTGATCTACTCATACACCCGCTGAGGAGAAGGACAAGCGACTATGCGGTTGACACTATTCTAACGTTCAAGTAGGTGGCAGCGGCAATAACCGTCTGGACTCCTGATTTACAGTCTGACTGAACAGACAGTGAAGCGTACAATGTGCCGAGCAGTATGCAGCACGCGTGCGATGGGAAATCTAGGCCATGGAATCAAAGGCTCTCAGTCCATTTCCATACTTCTTCTGCACCTCTTTCCCATTCAATATGATTCTGCAGATGATGTGCTACCCCTTTCACCACTTTGAATCTTATACCGTCCCAGTCTTCATCATCATTTTCTGTAGCACGCACATCATACTCGAGGATGCCATCCAACTTTCCAGCTCTTACACAATGAAGAAACGCGGCACGGTATCGCTTCGCCGCATCAAGTAACACTGATGGTGTGCAGAGAACGTCTAGTTCAGCCGCCAGAACCAACAATCGTGGCGCAATGGTAACTCCATTCCCGTCCTCGCCGGTCGAATTCCGGGGCTTCCATCCAGTAGTAGACTTGATAACATCTGGACCAGTAACGAACGGAAAGAGTGACTGCGTCGGCCAGCCCATAGATTCGTAAGGACTGAGAAGACGTCCTAGGTCTTCGACGATAGAAGCCGGTGTCGAGGGCGAGAAGAAGGCGTCGTGAACTTGCTTAGTCGTCGCTAAGACGTATCTTGGGTGGAAGAAGCGGTAGAGGATATTCAGCGGCGCTGAAAAAGCCCAAAACTTGTAGCATGACCATCTATCGTCCAGTCAGTGATCTGTACAAGTAACATCAATACAGAGATGGACTTACGATCCGAACCCCGGTACCGCAGCGAACATGCAAAAGCCCTGAACCCTCACCAACCCTTTACTCAACACCCACTGGCTCAGCGCACCACCCGCAGAATGCGCTATCAACACGACCCTGACTTTTTCCTCTGCTTTTCTTCTCTCACCCTCGAGTCTCTCGACTTCTTCAATCCCAGCCACAAGGTCTTTTGCGATACTCTCACGACTTGTGAAATACATGTTCCAGAACCCAGGGTACCAACTTCCGCCGTGTCCCCGGTAACTCACAGCATAACAAGGGTATCCACGGGATGAGAAGAAGAGCATGTAGGAAGCCCACATGGCAGCGCAGCCGAAGCCGCCATGGGCAAAGAATAAGGGTGGCTTGGTAGATGGAGATGAAGGGAGGGCTGAGAGAAGTTCGAGAGGGCCAGATGGCGTTGGGATGTAGCTTCTTATGATACCGTTAGGAAGTGGTGTGGGAGGTGGTGGGTTGGGATCTGGCGCGCGCCATTGTAGGGCGAAGGGACCGAATGGCATCTTGGTCTTCCTGCACGGGAAAACAATGCGTCGAATATCTCAATGGGGTATGCTCGTGTTCAGGATAATCAGCGCATGAGCGACGTTTGATCATTTAGCATGCAGCGAGAGCGCCAAGATTAGTAATGTTTATGTGAATGGCATGTGCTGGTGTAACGGCCGTTCAGCCGCACGCATTGCAGGCTGGGCGAAGTGGACGGTGGCATTGTAAGAGATGATAGTGGCTTGGCTTCGGAGACTTTTGTTTCAATGCCTACTGCTCATAATGGTTAATTGCTCAGCTGATGCATCTTTTTGTATTGGTAGATGGAAGTACAAGGTGAGCTTTGAGTCAGGGGAGAAGGTACGATCGTGACGCTAGTGGGGTCACATCACATGGTCGTGTCACCATCAGTGTCTTCGTCATCTTTGCAATCTGTTGTCATGTATGGCATGAAATTCTAATTCTATCCTCTCCTATTTTTCTCCGAATTCGGCTCGACTCAAAGTACGAAATAGGTTGTGTAGGAAGACACTGGTCGCATTGCTATAACATCGGAGCTTTTCCATAGGTAGCTTTTTCTTTCGACGCATCCCAAGCTTCTCTCGACGTTCCCTTTCCACAGTATCATCGATTGTCCGACCCATACTGTCAATCTGGATGTGAAGGTAGATATCGCAACAAATTACTTGCGACAATTAGAGCGCAATCAGCCAGCCTTCGTTCTTAGCCCCTCTGTTGGCGCCCAAACTTTCGTACGTGGTGAAAGGGATTAAGACCGCTCATGAAGCGCTTGATGCGATCACGCTTCGAGTTACTACGTTGTATACCCGAAAGCGTTTGTAAGCCTCCCAGAGCTGGCTGGTACATGTCAACGCCGATGGCCGGTACACGTACGGGCGTGGTGTGATGCTCGGACATTGTCGACTCGTACGTAGGAGCAGGCACGTGTGAAGGTCGAATGAGTTCAGACTGAGAGCGCTTGTTGTTCAACCTCAATTCGAGTTTAGAGTGAGGTTTGACACTAGCTGTCGTAGGATACCGTTCAGGAACGCCTGCGGATGATTGTTGTAGCTCGTGCTCATTGTTGAAATCTTCGTGGAGATATGAGTCTGGTTCGATGACTGGAAGGTCTTGATCTGAATCGTACACTTCAGGTGGCGGCGCGGGTAGTGGGTGGTCGGGTCTGAGGAAGTCTTCCGCTGTCGGCTGACGGATCATACAGTTGAGACTACAGTGCATAGTACTCGCCGAATTTCTATCAATGTCTTGACTGTGTAGCGGGTAAGGTGGTGTTCGTAGAAAGTCCTGCTCTCGTCCACCCGAGCGACGATCGGCTCAAGGTATTCGTTATAACCAGGCATATTCATGGATTGCTCTTGCATAGAATCCATATCGCTCATGAATGTACTGTATGGGTATGAAAATGATCGTGGCCGGCTGGGAGTGTTCTCCACTGCGGTTCCAGAATGGTGTTGTGAGTCGATACTATCTCTAGATAGATACTCCCATGAGTACCGATCTGCATACATAGCCGGCCGCGTGATAGCAGAGAAGGATGGCGATGGCTGTACCGGCCGTGATGTTGTTGTGTATGCAGATGATGAACTTTTCGAGGGCTCCATGCGCGAGGGCGTACCATAACGTGATGACGGGTATGAGACTTTAGTCCCGGTAGTGATGTTGGAGGAATCCATATCCCACGGTGTGTCTTGGCTGCGTATGTTTTCGCTTTTGCCTTTATCGTGATAGAAGCTACCTAGATTTTCAGCTCACGAATGGACTGAGTTTGAAGGCAAGATCAGACGCGCGGTTGGATTGACAATAACTTGACGGTGGGGGCTGAACGCACCATGAGGCGACACTGCACAGCAAAGGCAGTGTGAAAGCATCGTATGCTCGTGACTCGAACAAAGCAAGCGAGTGCTGTGAATGACATGGCGGGATCTGCAAGCACCCGATCTAGAGGGTTCACTGCGTTGCATTGCTCTAGACACTAGAACATGGATGCGCTCGGTCTAATATCAATGTGAAGAGCTTGTCACATGCTCACATTACCCACTTGTTCCGAATCTAAGCGCCAGCGGCTGAGCTTCCAATGACCAGCGGACGCTTGATGTTCCATGTTAATATTCACAAGTTGTTCATACCCTAATGCGTGTCTTTGAGTCTTGTCAGAGAGGGACGCCGAAAACTTCATCTTCCACCATCATACCCAAACCTATACCTAGCCGTCATGTTCCCACCACTCAGTCAAAATTTAGGGATTGCCCATCATACTGCACCAGCGTCTGTCACCAGCATCCGGTGGGACAACGCTCGAGAGTATAGGCGGAGGATATAGCGAACGACTCAAGTGGATCCTCGCTCTGACCCTTCTATTCCAGATTTAGAGCAACATGCCGAGTTCTGGGTACGGAAGCTTGTCCTTGCCATGCTCAACTTGGAACTCATCAAAGATCCCGAAAACTTAAGCGCGGCCAAAACAGTTTGTTTAAAAGCTTACGACTCTCTAATTCTTGAAGCAACGTATCGCGAGATCTTTCTGGCTTTGATCCACCGGTGCAAGAACAGTTTCCGAGGGCCGGCTCAGTTCAACAGAGCGCTTAAACCCCATCGAGGCCTCGAGGCCTGTGCTAAGGCGACATATGCGTAACGTATGCAGAATGTACTGAATGCGCTGCTCTGGAACAAAAGAGTTGCGAAAGATGTGTTGTTTGAAGATTGGAAGATTCGACTGCTTATGAATCATTCTTTGGCTTACGATAAAAAGAAGGATTCGGAAAGGGGCTCGTATGACCAGCGGAGAAAGAGACTAGACTCTGAAATAGAGAAGCTGAGGAAGACTGAAGAAGAGTTGCTTGCTTATCGCCCTAGCATGAAGGATTTCTAGTTGCGATGGTCGCGAGCGGATGACCGGATATCCTATGATGCTCTAAACATACAGAGATATTTGTTCTACGCTAATCAGCGACGATACAAGTTGTTTAATAGTCAAAATTTCACCAGGTAATGACTATCGATGAAAGAATAGCTTTTGGCGTCCATCATGTTAGTCCATATGTTAGCAATGTGTACGTAGGTATTTACCGCGCTTGTGATTGGGCCTGTACTGAAGGGAGCAGGTAACTGCAACAGATTTATCGCTCAAGTATGGCCTTGATGACAGGTTTCTAGCATGCGCTCTGCATGTGCACCGCATAGATGAAGCTTCCAATGCTTCCAGAGTCGCTGCACAGGTGAGTGGGCAAGGAGAGTTGGTGCTGGTCAAAAGCTATTTAGTTGTGCGGGGCATGCTTGGCGCTCCTATGAGGTGCGGCCTCCTTCATCCTTTGTTCTCGACACTGACAGTTACTATGGAAGCGGTCTTCTCTTCTGCATCTAACCTCTCACTGTCCACTCGATAGCGATGTATTCAGGCCCAACATCAAATACAGCAATCTCGCCTCCTTCACCAGCATTGACCGTTCACTCGAAAAGTCCACCACGACGATGATTTCGTATATACCCAGGAGTAGCAAATTAGTAAAGATATTCTTTTGTTTTCTTGGGCAATGTGCACACGACTTACACCTTCTGCGTAAAGGTTGCCACGCCGCTTGATGAGGAAGGTCGCGATATAAAGTAGGTATGTCAAGGTATTGTCAGATCTTGGATATTGGACAACCTTGCATCGCTATCAGGTGGCCAACAGCCCCTCCGTATCTCTCTCACACGTTTCATTGGATATTACGTGCTTGGCCTGGCATAGTGATGCCTGCCAAGATTAGGTTACAAACGTTCAAGAACGGCGCAGCCTTAGTATCGCTCGGCGCCAACCGCATATCCGAGATACCCAGAAAATCCAAGAACGCAGGATGGGATTCGAGCGAGTACCGAGCGCCATTCACAGAAAATTATTTCTGGGCGACCAGGGTAGTGGAAGGGTTGTTTGGTGCCGAGAACGTTGTGAATGGTAATACAATCCCACAACTTTGCTGAATGAGGCAGCTCGAAAACTGAAGGAATATGTTGTAGAGACTTATATAGCCCGATGAGTCGATAATCGTGTTACAGACAGTTCTATTCCTTTCTCACCTGTCGCCATGTCTACTGGCGCTAATTTAGAAGTTGTCGAAGCCGCAAGTAAATCCCGTGTACAAACTACATGTGAGACAGATACTTACTTCGTACACCTATCTTTAGGCACTGGCGAATGTACACGCCCCTCACAACGACACACGGGGTAGTGCGAGCCTGGAAAAGCAAGACAAGTTTGTGTCGACTTCCGAGAGCCTTCTCGGCCCTAATGGCGAGCAATACCCTACTGAAGAAGATTGGCGGCAGCTCCGTCGTGTGTATGGCAAAGTTAACTGGATGAGTGAGCGCATCCTCTTCGTGAGGCTTTTGTGTATCATGCGCTAACGTTCGAAACTACTAATAGTTTACATCATCGGTATCGTGGAGATGTGTGAGCGTTTCGCCTACTATGGAACGACCGCAGTATTCGTCAACTTCATTCAGAGAGACCTGCCTACCTCAGGACCTTTCCCAGAAGCAGGCGCTGCAGGTGATGGCCAACCTGGTGCACTTGGAATGGGTCAACGTGCTAGTACAGGCCTCGTCCAATTCAATTCTTTCTTTTCGTATATCATGCCTTTAGTTGGTAAGCATGCTCCTTGTTGTCGAGCAAGAATTATACTAAGCCCTTTTCTTTAGGCGGATGGGTTGCAGACGAATATTGGGGCAAGGTAAGTTGTGACTGTACGAAATGCATGTGAGACACACACTGACTTCGTATCTTCACCTTCGCAGTTCAAAACGATCTATTTCGCAATTGGTGTCGCGACACTCGGACATATCCTGATCATCATCGCCGCGATCCCCCAGGTTATGGGGCCAAACCCTGAAGGAGCTCTTGCCTCATTCATTTTGGGATTGATCTTGTTTGGAACGGGCGTGTAAGTGTCTCTCCTTGTACCAAGTATTTATGAGACACATACTGACTTCATAAAATTTAGCGGCTTTTTCAAGGCAAGTTCTGACTATACAAAATACATGTGAGGCATGTGCTGACTTCGTACCTCCACCTTTACAGTGCTGTATCAGTCCGCTAATTGCGGAGCAATACGAGGCCAGCCACCCGCGAGCTTTCATTCGCACCGAACCAAACGGAGAACGGGTCATCGTTGATCCAGGAATTACTTACTCCCGAGTTTACATGCGCTACTATCTCTTGATTAACGTTGGAGCGCTTGTCGGCCAGGTTTCCATGGGCAAGTAATTTCCCAGCAATTTGTACGGTGCACGGGAGCTGACCTCCAATACAGTGTACGCGGAGAAATACGTCGGTTTCTGGCTTTCCTTCACATTGCCAACCATTCTCTTCGCCCTCTGCCCGCTTCTGATGCTTGCTTTCAGTAAGCATTACGTCAAGAAGCCTCCGCAGGGTGACGTGCTCGTCAAGTCGATGAGAACATACGGGTTGGTTCTGAAGGGGCGCTTCTCGCTCAACCCTGTGCGCACATGGAGGAATCTCTCTGATCCAAACATCTGGGACGCTGCAAAACCAAGCAAAATTGCAAACAAGCCAGTATGGATGACCTTTGATGATGCGTGGGTGGAGGAAGTTCGGCGTGGCATCAAGGCCTGTCAAGTATTCTTCTGGTTGCCAATATTTTGGCTGCCTTACGGCCAGATGTGAGTATCGATATTCGTTGAACTACCTACGAGTCACGCTCTGACCGTCTTCAAGGACCAGCAACTTAGTTTCCCAAGCGTCTACCATGAAGCTCAATGGTGTACCAAACGACGTGGTGCATAACCTGGTAAGTTTTAGATATGCACGATGCATAAGAACCTTATACTGACTTCAAATCTCCTTCTCTGCAGAACCCATTCACGTTGCTGATTTCTATCCCGATCTTCGACAAATTTATCTATCCAAGGCTTGCCCACTGGGGTATCAACTTCACACCCTTGAAGAAGATCCAAGCCGGTTTCATCTGCGCGATGCTTTCTATGGTTGTTGCAGCAGTCATTCAGCACTTCATCTACCAAAAGTCACCTTGTGGAGAGTTTCCAACGGACTGCGACCAACCTCCAGACCTCTCAGTGTGGACCCAGGTTCCAGCATACATCCTCATCGCTTTCTCGGAGATCTTCGCATCGATCACTGGATTAGAGGTAAGATCTGGGTGTATGAAATGCATTTGAGGCATACACTAACTTCGTATCTTCACCTCTGCAGTATGCATACACAAAAGCACCGAAAAACATGCGCTCTTTGGTTACAGGCATGTTTTGGTTCACCCACGCCTTCTCTTCTGCGATTGCCCAAGCCTTCGTGCCGTTGGCTGGAGATCCACTCCTCGTATGGTTGTACATGAGTATTGCCATCTTGACATTCTTCGGCTGGGTCGGTTTCGCCTGGACTTTCAGAACATTGGACAAAGAGAATGACACGCTCGACAAGCTTCCAGAAGGTGGCTTCCAGTCTAATGCTGAGTACGCTGCAGCGAAGACCGAGAATGCTGAGAGAGCCTGATCTTGGGTGTCTGACTTTTCGTTGGATTTTGTTATCAGATCTATAACAAGATCATTGGTTAGCTACTACGAGGTCTTGAGATTAGTAAAGATAAGCTTCATGAGCTGCGTGAAGTGCCACACAGTTCGATAAGGGCATTACAACGAAGCAGAAGACGCTCTGTATTTTCCATATGAATCTCCCCAAGTCGTGTCGAATAAATGCGCAGAAGGGCAGCCTTGGTGTGGACGTGTTTCTGAATCTACGTCCTTACATCTTCACCAAACAAACAACCTGGACCTTCTCGCAATCATTGATCTTTTTCCAATCAACTTGACGAACCCTCTAGCATGCAGCAAGTATGAGCGCGATTTCGAAGGTGTAGAGATAATGGTCAAATTCGAGAACAACGAAGCTGCTGATAGGATTACGCACCCTCTTATCTCCGCGGACACAGCTGCCGAGGCTTCGAACGCCGCCCACGGCCGCACAAGTGCGCACTCTTTAAGTCGTCGCACCTGCCGAAAGTGACCAACCTCCCACCACCTCTATGAAGCTTTGTTGTCAGAAGAGTGTCAGGTTCATCAAAAGACGTGACTAAAAACTGCTTGTGGATTCAAGAATTCACTGAGAACATTTTCTTCTCCTTCTCACACGCACATTCAGAGCGTGAACTGGGCGTCGCCTTTCTCACTAGTGTTTTTCCTAAAGCGTCATAAAGGAGCAGTGTGTACAAAGACTAGATCTCCAGCATGTGAAGTTCTACTCACACCGTGCAAAATGCATAATAAGGTATTTGCCGCCTATTCTTCCAGATCGCTAGGTCAACAGTTATTTCCGAAGACATACGTCAACTGTAGCGCTCTCTTAGGCAAAGCGCGTCCTCGGGGAACAAGGGCTTCAGCGCCATCTGTGGGTCGAAAGTCTCTAGTTTTGGCCCACCATCGCATCTCCCGTCATGAGCATTCGAAAAAAGTTCCAGTTTTAAGGCAAAGCGTTCGGTTATGCATCGGAGACTCTCATTATCCGATGATAGCTCAGGGACGTCATGGAGTTGACGTTCTTCACAGTTTCTCACATCTATAGAAATCTGCGATACCATCTCCTAATCTCATCTCTGGGCTGTCAGCCATTTCTCTTTCCCCTATGGCATTCTTTTTACAATACAGAGCTATCCAGCGACATGTACGGGAAGAGCTGCAACGCGTAACTGAAGTTTCAGATCCATTGTCCGCTCGTACTACACGCTTGCCCGACGGAGTACATGAGCTGGGAGATTCGGAGTCACCTGGTAAGCTAAACAAAGGTGAACCGTTCACACGGATCCCAGGCATCACGTTGAGAGAAGATGGTAACAACCAGCTCTATTACCAGGTTGACTGGAGCGGCCCCGATGATCCATTCAACCCCAAGAATTTCTCAACCCTACACCGTATCTCTGCGACACTACTCGTATGTCTCGTCGCTTTTGTCGCGACCCTCGCATCTTCCATCGACTCTGCTGTGCTTACCAGAGCGTCTGCCGACTTCGGGGTTTCAGAGGTAGCAGAATCATTGGCCACTGCCCTCTTCCTGGTTGGCTTTGGCCTTGGTGCACTCTTACTGTCTCCGCTATCAGAACTACTCGGACGGTATCCCGTCTATCTCGGTTCTCTCTCCGTTTTCGCATGTTGGGTCTTAGGCGGTTAGTCAATTTTCGCTGTACAAACTGTATTTGAGACACGTGCTGATTTTGTACACCAACCTTTAGCTGCTCTAGCCCCCAACTTCGGTGCCCAGATTGTCTTTCGATTTCTAGCTGGGTTTTCGGCGAGCACCCCTCTCACCGTTGCGGGCGGCTCTGTCGGAGATTTATGGAGTCCGGTGGAGAAGATTTTCGCATTTCCACTATTCGCGATACCCGCATTTGGCGGCCCAATCTTTGGTCAGTTTCTCGTGCTTGCATCATTCACATTCAAACGATTGTGGGGTTTACTGACAGTAAATGAGAACAGGTCCTGTGATAGGTGCTTACATTGGCTACGAGCAAAACATCAATTGGAGGTGGACCGAATGGATAACATTGATCCTGATTGGGGCGACATTCACGCTTATATTGCTCTTCAAAAGAGAGTCATTCGCGCCACGCCTTTTGCACTATAAAGCACAGCACTTCCGGAAGCTTACAGGCAACGAACAGTTCAAGACTGCGACTGAAGCATCGCATGGCTCTATTGGTGAGCTCTTGTCTAGGTCCTTCCTTCGGCCTTTTCTTCTCTGCACGCAACCAATCGTCATGGCTTTTACATTATACTTGATGATTGTTTACATCATTCTGTTCACGTTTCTGGATGGGTAGGTGCCTCTTGCATGTTTCAAAACGTGGTGGCTAGCGCTCATTGCTAACATTTTTGCAGCTACCCTTACATTTTCGCGGAAACTTTCGGCATCAACGAGGGGTTATCGAACATCTGCTTCGTTGGATTATTCATCGGAATAGCTCTTTCGGCGCTTCTTGTCCCGGTAGCCTACCGCAAGACCGTGCGACAACTTGAAAAAGACGGAGACGATGGGTCTGGCAAGGCCATACATCGCGAGTCGAGATTGTTTTTCGCCATGATCGGAGCACCTGCATTGCCTATAGGGCTCTTCTGGATGGGCTGGACTGACTATGTAAGTGTACTACATGCATCCCCTGGTCAAACTTCATATACCCAGGTACAGATCTAACAGACGCTAGGCTTCCGTCTCGATATGGTCACCTTTAGCAGCATCACTGCTCGTTGGCTTTAGCAATATTTGCATCTTCATGTCCGCATACATGTACATCATTGACAGTTACGAAGCATACGCAGCGTCGGCCTTGACGTTTGTCGCGTTGATCAGATACATCGCAGCTGGCGGGATGACCGTCGTTGGCATTCCCATGTACAGAAATTTGGGGACTCACTGGACCTTGACGTTGCTTGGCATCATTAGTGTCCTTGCACTACCGATTCCGTATGTACTATATCGGTTCGGACCGAGTCTCCGGAAGCGTAGCAAATGGGCAGTGTAAGGATATTGATGAAGCATGATAGGATGTTTATTGTGCCAAGTCAGTATATATGGGAGCGATATGGCTTCAGCCAGATGCTAATGAGTAGATACAAGAGAAGGATATAATGATCCCGCTTTCCAATCCAGTTGTACTGCATTCTGTGACTTATTGCCACTACACGGAGTGACCTTCACTTTTCCGTTATCCAGGATTTGAAGTAGGAGAATTTAATTCCGGTAGTCTTACTTACCTGCTCATTGCGTTATCAGCACAGCGCCAAGAGCAATGCGTGCGCTGCCTTGATAGGGCAGATTGTCACCTTCACCTCTGATTTCGGACTTGGAAAGGCTTGAACGTACCTCCAAGTGCTCTTTTGTTTATCAAGAACACCCCAGGGTATCATTATTTCCCTTTCCTTGCAACTTCACGATAACGATTTCATTAGCCTAGACAAGCAACGAAGTCATGGCTAATGCAGGAAGTGATGAGACGACCAAGTGAGTAAACAGACATTGTGATTGATTAAATTCCTTACGAAAATTGCATCAGACTCGAAGCTGTTGCTGCCGATAGAAGCATGACGCCAGGCTTGGAAAACGTCCTGCACAGCCTCCGCCTGCGACCGATCTTGGAGCAACCCGATAGCCCTCTTCTTTGCCTCCCGGGAGAGCTACGCAACCGCATTTACAACTGTGCACTTACAGTCGGGGTGCGGTCCATTCGTTACCAAGAAGTACCCGTTTACTCCCCACTGGCTCAACTGTCTTTGCGGAGGTTCTATTTCGCCGAGCACTTTTCCGATGAGGATGAAGACTTCAACCAACTTAAGTTTGTCTGCCGTCAACTCTACACCGAAACAGCTCTCTTGGAACTCAGGCTCAATCGCGTCACCTTCTGCGGCGAGTTCGACACCAAGGAAACCTTTCGGCGTCCAGCTCGATTGTTCACCGAGTTTTTTGAAAGAATGCGCTCCAACTAAAGCGAGTTGGCTTTCACGGGTAGAGCTTGAATTTGGCGGAGACCAAATCCTGTCTTTCAACTCTTCCGTAGTTCCTCTCGAGTCTTCAGTGACACTAGAGCTCGTTGCAGACTTCTGCCGTATGCATCCTCAATGCCGGGTCAAATACATTACTAGGACGTTTAACACGGAGTCTGAGGCATACAGCTTCATGACTCAGGGCTACTTTATCACTTTAGCAGTGCGTCACAACGATCTCCTATGCCTTGCGCCAGGAGCTTATCCCTTTGACTTTGAGGCCGCAGTTGAGTCGGCCACTTCTCGATGTGTCAAGAGGCTGGATGTACCAAATTTCCGGATCTTCCCGCAAGAAGGTAGCCGCGCCGACGGGTACTTCTCGGGAGAGCTTAGAATGGCTCCAGGCATGACAGATGCTGAGAGGGAAGCGTCCTTCAAGCTTGCGAAAGACTGGATAAAGAATGGCATCTGATCGAAGGAAGCTGCAAAGCGTAACATTCTCGGGCATGTGGCTGCTTCCAATGGGCAAGATGATATCAGCAGACAGCTCGAGGTCGTTTTTAAACACGATATGCACCTTTGTCTGAATACAAGACACATGGTGGTAGCACTGGAGCGCGCGAGAGAAGGTTCGATGTCAGGGATAGCCTAGATGAAAAGACTGGCTGCTGGCATCTGGTTGTATCAGAGACAGATGTCAAGTCAATCGCGTCCAAACACATTGCGACCCTCGAACACATCGATCTTCGTGACTGGTCTGTGCGAATGCTCTGGCAGAATCCGTTTCTCGAAGAACCAACCCACAAGCACGTTTCCAATTCTAGGTTCGGCGCGGACGCCTCGTAGTCTTGCGACGCGACGAGGGAGGTGATTTAGACCGAAGATAAAGAAAAGGCCATTACAGGCTACTCGCGTTTGGAAGAAGTAGTCAACGAAGGGGGTGAGAACAAAGGCTGGTCTCGGAAATTGTTCGTGGAGGGACCTCATCCTGAAGTAGAAGCGTGGTCCTGGTATGATAACCTATACGGATATTAAGAGTGCTCGTCCTGCTGCGCTCCCACCATCTTGTGAAATGGGTCAAACGCGTATAAACACAAATCTCGTTGTTACAGACTAATGCTCAGTGACTCACCATTCAACATCTCAGGGAAATCGGTCGCTTTGAAGAAACCATCGTTTGCCGAGTGCCTTCCTGGACCTTAATTCCCACGATGCTCAGAGCCCAACGCGCGTCTTCAATTCCATTATCCGTGCAAAGTTCATTTCAAATCACGTTTTCTTCAACTCACGTCCTCATAACAATTTACCGAGTCAACCCCCCTCACGCCGATCACTGCGGAAAGCAGTAACATTTCCGTGTTCCCATCTCCAACTTCGGCGCAAGCGACAGACGCTCCAAAAACCCGCTGGGACAGGGGTGCACATGTCAACATCCCTACATGCGAAGACGTGCCGCAATCATACATGTTGAACGTTTGTCGAAAGGGTCAGCGTACCTGCCCCATGCAGACATTGCAGCGTGGTGTGTGCCACGGAGATTTTCTTTTGCCATGGTTGGGTGTCGTGGGGGTCCACATGTAATTTGTGAGGAAAGATGGGGGCACTGGCCAATCAGCCCGGGGGAGGGGTGTGCACGTGTGGCGTGAGAGATACCAGCTATAGGAAGTGCCGTTGCTAATAGCTAGGAGTTTGACGGTTCGATACCGGAAGTTTTTACATGGTCACTGCGCGCGTAGGATTGGGCACATAATCCGCACGTTCTCGATGCTGCTTTAGGTGGATATCATATTTACGTGGGGACCAGTGCTCTGGAACTTTGGCTCTGCGAGTGTTAGGGAGAACGCAGTAACGGCAGGGATTGTATGAGATGGCATAGAACGAATGAAACCTGAACGTGTAAGTAGGGAAGCGGCTTTAGGCATTGCTGGTAGGAATCGAAGTTGTGCAGTATCCTGTGTTGGTGCGGCATGTGGTGGTATTGTCCTTGTAATCCGCGCGCGATGTATCATAGTCGGCCGTTCCTCATCGCGTCGTTACCTGCTCCCACTCTAGACATCCTTTAGCAGCTTCTCAATCTCTTCCAAATCCTCAGCACTGTCGATCTCGATGATCCTGTTGACCTCGCTCGTATTTCGCATCAACTCCTTTGCGCCGGCGTACAGCATCTTCACTTCGCTGTTGCATGTTATCGGCAGGTAGTATAGCATGACGTATGGCACCGATAACCGTCCCGAGTCCTATCGATTGTTCAGCCTCTCTCCCAGTGTGTATGATGGGTATAGCGTACGAGGGTCAACGGGTAGCTCAAGAGCACGAATCGCGGGGCATGGTCGGGGAGCTCGTCGGCGAGGCTCTGTACATCGGAGTAGACGTCGTCGTCGGCCTGGCGTACTTCGAGCGTCTTCTTATCGATTTCGTCTGGCGCGCATGGGCGTCAGCGCCATTGTAGAACGTGGTGGGCAGTGGCAGGAACGACTGCGGCAAGAGCAGTAGGTATACGAACAGATGACGGCCTGCGGGTCTTTGGCGCGCGAGGTGCCTAAACGGAACTTGCGTAGCTTGGTCTTGGTCTCATCCGAGAAGGTGTATAATCGTGCCTCGGAACTCTGGGCCGAGGTATTAGCGAACCGGCGAGTATGATGCGCGTAAGGTGGTGGCGGCACTTGCCATGATGTCGAACGATGGCAAAAGTTAAGTTCGCAACGGGCGTTTGACGATGTTCGGGGGGTGGTGTAGGGCTGAGGGAGTCTGACGGACGGCACACGTTAGTGGGGTCTGTTGGCGGGGGTTCCTGAGGTGGACGGATGGCGCTAGCCAATGCACTACCGTCATGTCCATACACCTTCATCTTTCTAGAAGCCTTTTCTTCTCATGCACCTAGCTACTCATACTCTCTCTCCCTCCTCCCCTGAGCTATTTGTCCTGATCCATGTTCGGACGACTGAATCAGGTAGCCAGACACTTGTCTCGTCCTATACCCAACTTTGCGCATCGTTCCGCTGTCTCGTTCCGTCCATCGATAACGTCATCAGTCATGGCTTCGACACAACAAAAGAGTTTGATTCATACGGCGGCATGTTTGATCATTGGCGATGAAGTTCTCGGGGGGAAGGTATGTAGATGAAGATTTACTTGGTAATTCTGACAGCTGACACGGAACATAGACAGTCGATACGAACTCGGTAGACTATACCACAATGAAGTCGTGGTACATTGACTAATGTTTCACAGGCGTACTTTGCCAAATTCTGCTTCTCATTGGGCATCAATTTGCGCCGCATTGAGGTCATTGCAGACGATGAGGGTGAAATTATAGAAGCCGTCCAACGCATGTCGAAGAACTATGACATGGTGGTGACCAGTGGCGGAATTGGTCCGACGTGAGTGCAGCGCACTCGCTACACTACCCAGCCGCTGAGCTAACGAACGCCTAGTCACGACGATATTACTTACCAGTCAATAGCCAAGGCTTTCAACTTGCCATTGAAGTTACACGACGCGGCTTTTGAGCGGATGAAGAGCCTGTCGAAGCCGCACAAGTCTCAGCCAAACTTTGACTGGAACGTCGAGTCTGCAGCGCTCACAGCAAAGAAACGCATGGTTGAACTGCCTCTTGACGATGCGAAGCCAGATGAAGATCAAGTCATTTTCGTCAGCGAGTCACTTTGGGTTCCCGTTAGCGTCGTGAACGGTAACATTCATATCCTACCTGGGGTGCCGCGGCTCTTTGAAGCCATGCTAGACGGACTGAAGCCCCGCATCCTACCTAGATTGACGGATCCAGAGGGCAAAGGCGTGCTGCGGATCCTAATTTCGACTCCGATGGCTGAGAGTGCCGTTGCTGGATATCTCACCGAGCTGGCTGCCAAGGCGGAGCCAAAAGGGGTCAAGGTGGGAAGCTATCCACGATGGGGAAAGGACCACAACACTGTGACGCTAGTAGGACGCGACCGCGAGTTCATGGAGAGCTTAGTGCCTGAAGTAGAAAAGGCTGTTCAGGGGAGGCGCGTAAATGTAGAGGGCGAAGACGACGGAGAAACGTCTGACAAGGACTCATAGAGGCTGGCAGAGAGCCGGCTTGACAGATTAGACGTGCAGCAGTCACTGTATATATTGAGTGTTCAGATGCAGGGACTGTGTGTCGGAATGGAATGCCTGTGAAGATGATGTTGGGACCCAAAACTGGTATCAGTGTCAGCGAACTAGACGGCTAGGTTGCTTCTCGAAGATTTGTAGAAGCTTTGCCGCGTGCCACTGGGGCTGGCCGCCCTCGCTGGACCCTGATACGACGGATAGATCGAGGTCAGCGTTTGTGCGGTACGAGGAGATTTGCTTTTCAAGCTGGCCATGGAATTGGATGTCATGATTACATTGACAACCGCCGCTCGCTCTCGGGGCGAGACTCGCGTGCATCACCCAGCACCGCCGACCCCGCTCGATGTGACGCTCCCGCAAGCCAGCATCCTTCATCTTTGGCACCCGCATACTTGGATAGTCACATGCAAGCACAGAGAGCCATTGGTGTGAATAGAAAACTGCAGTGTGCCCAAACGCGAAAGCGACACGCTCTGTCTCCCCAGACATGGACGTCAACGTCAACGTCTTTCACGCCCGCCTCCCCCCTTCCTATCATGCCGAACCATCCCTTGTGCACAGTAGTGGTTCGTGGGAGGGCATCATGCACTCCGTGCCACATGGCGTCGGGCGCTGGGATCGCATGGAAGCGTCGGAGGCAGCCCGCCCATGCGGTGTTGCATGTCCATGTGTCGCCGCTTTTAAGAGTGGGCTTTGCTGGGGCTTTGCTTTTGGCTTGGGCGTGAAGAGGTGCCGAAGGCGTCAGATGGGGATGCAGGCGACCAGGCCGTGGAGCGAGTAGGGAAGCTTGTACGTCTGCAGACAAACGCCCGGTCTATTCACCTTGCAGCAGTGCAGAAAGCCGCCCACAGTGGTGGAGCTCGCGGGCTGTCCATTTTGGTTGGAGGGCAGGCCTATGCACGGCTAGCGCTAAGGCCGCGCCAGAGCCCATGTCCTAGTCAGAGCAGCCCTTCCTCCTTCAAGGCCCCAGATGAAGCTAGAAGGTCGTTTTTGCTACCGAGATCATCCTGCTCTGCTCTCCCGTCCTTCTCTATCGCGACGAGCTCTCCTGGCCCATTTCTCTCGCTGCTGATAATCCGGACTCGAGCATCACCACCGCCATCCATTGCCGCCTTGACACCGCGCGTCGCATCGCCACTACACGCCGGCCTCTGCCTGGATCGCCTCCCCCACAGCTTGCCTGTGCTCTACCTACCTGTCTACCTATACCCTATACCCTAATACATCACCCATCGCCCGCGACCTGTAACATTGTCCGGCACCCCCCTTCACATTCACAATGGCATCAAAGGTAGGCGCCCATCCATCGCCCGCGCCGCACGCGCCCCTGCTAACCCGCGCCAGTTTCTCCGAGAATACAAGCTGGTAGTAGTCGGCGGCGGTGGAGTCGGAAAGTCGTGTTTGACGATCCAGCTGATCCAGAGCCACTTCGTCGACGAGTACGACCCGACCATCGAGGGTGAGCAACTTCCGACCTACCGCGTTTCGCGCAACAACAACAACAATAACAACAAACTAACATGACCAGACTCGTACCGCAAGCAGTGTGTCATCGACGACGAGGTCGCTCTTCTCGATGTGCTCGATACGGCGGGACAGGAGGAGTACTCGGCCATGCGCGAGCAGTACATGCGCACAGGAGAGGGCTTCCTGCTCGTCTACTCGATAACCGACAGGCAGAGCTTCGAGGAGATTATGACATTCCAGCAACAAATCCTGAGAGTAAAGGACAAGGACTACTTCCCCATGATCGTCGTTGGCAACAAGTGCGATCTCGACGGCGAGAGGCAAGTGTCGACACAAGGTGCGTTTGCCTTCGCATGATTTGTTGTCTATTTGTGTATGCTAACACGCTTGCGCAGAGGGCCAGACTCTGGCGCGGAACTTTGGCTGCAAATTCATCGAGACATCGGCAAAATCCCGCATCAACGTTGACAACGCCTTTTACGACATCGTACGAGAAATCCGCAGATACAACAAGGAAATGTCGTCATACACAGGCGCCCCTGGCTCAAACGGAAACGGGCCCCAGAAGACAACGTTCGACACGGATGACCAGGCGGAGAAGAAGGGCTGCTGTGGATGCGTAGTAATGTGAGGACATGGAAGCCGTTGTCGTTGTTGTCGCGCACGCTGTGGAGAGATACCTACACCGCTGGCTTCGGTCAACCGCCCTGGCCATTGGCGATGCTGCTTGGTCCAGCAGAAGAAAACACGCGGTGCTGCTGTTACGTACTGCCAGTACACCTTCTCTTCGATACTGTCACTTTGGGTTCGCATTACGGGGTAACGGATTCACGTCTGCTGGATGCGCCTCCGAACACCCTACTTCTACTACTGGTATCGATTCCATCTTTCCTATCTGGTGGCGCTCTTCGTATTCGCGTTCATCTTATCTAGACCGATTTCTTTATGGCATTTTGATCGGTACACTGTATTTCCTCCTGTCGGCACGCCATGCGAGGCACCATGCAGCACGCTTCTGGGAGTCAAAAGATCTCTTTATTTTTGACAGCTATTAGGGTCGTTTAACTTTACCTACCTTCTATGAACATAATTCATCTCTACTCGCACCGCTCCGCAACCTCCTTCACTCACTCACTCACTCACCACAGTCTTGGTTCGCTACAACAGTACGGCAAAATTTCAGCTTCGTGCATCGTAACTTCTGCTGGCGGCGCATCCACGTCCATCGGCGACCAGCGGCGTCGCAATGGCGGTGATCGTCCCCTTGGAGTCATAGTCGCGTGGTGTTTCGACTCGTGAGCCTTGCCCGGGTCTCGCCATTGGATGCAGACTATCACAGACATGGCGCTACCTCTGCACGGCCGTTTCAGGGAGAACATCCCGACTGAAAGAGGGGAAGTCGATCAGGAGAAAGGCAAGTGGACATCGGCACATGGACGCGGGCGTCTACTGCTACATGATATCGACTCGATTAGGGCCGACTTCCAGGAGCTATTCTCCGGACGAACACCACAGCAGTTGTCGATCGGGATCCCTTGCGTGAAACGTTGGGTTGGAGCAGCTTGCCAAAATCCGATGCGCCGTTCCTGCCGTATCCGCAACACGTGCTGCACGTGCGCAATGCGTCAACCGGCGCACATCGACACCTAATCCATTAATCCTCAACTCTTCGGCCTGACGGTCTGTTCGCCTCACTTCACTTGTCTGCGGCCATTTTACCAAATCTCCCCAGTCCTGTTAACTGCAATCAAGCCACGACCCGACAGTCTGGATATTCACGAATTACTCACATCCCGTTGTTGTTTAGCCTATTTCAACGTGGCCTAAAACAGCAAGTACGCCCTGCTCGCGTCGGCGCGGATGGCAGCTTCGTTCGGCCAGTTCACTGTACACCGGTTTGGCTGCATCTTCACTCGCTGCTATACGGTACCATGCATTCGACGCCTTTGCATGCGTGTTGTTGCGGGTGGGAAAGCCACTCATGCCGTTGCTGAATTATCCCTGTAGTCCGCTGATCTTTGCAACAAACATGCAATCCACAGCCTCCACTCTAATGTTGAGGAACCAGTTCGCTCACCCCGTTGTAAGCGATCGATAGTCAGTACGCCCAACTGTGGAGTTTGATGGAGATCTGGACTCGTACGCCTCATTCCCCATCCGTGCGCACGCGTAGCGGATCAGCAGTGTCAAGATTCTCACAATAACTCGCATATGCACAGATTTTTAGCGATTACCTCCTTTCACGGGTATTGGTGCTTGCAATCCACATGCAACTGGACCGAGCGGGCAGATGTTTGGCTGAGCTCCATTCCATTGGGGCGGTTACGATCCCTTTTGTATATCGCTTCGTTATCCTTGATGTCAATAGCGAAGTCGGCAAGTAAGATTTGGTAGCGAGACAGCGTATGCAACCGCTTGCGACGATGGGAGTGAGAACATAGCAGCCTCTCTTCCTAGTATTGGAGTATGTTTTTTTAGTATGCCTGTTGTGTGATCAAATACACGCTCTCCCAAATTTTACTAGGTCTTACTGCAGCCACGTTTTAGACTGAACCTATCGGTTTACACGCATGAGGCCATCATTCTCGGCCCGCGCCTATACAGTCGTACCCGTATGGAAGGTCCCGCGTGCCCTGTTCAGGCACGGTTCCGTAAGTCTGACGTTATACGCCCCTTCACCAGGCCATATAACATAGATTCGACTCAGTCTATTTCCGTAAGCAGCTCACAGAACTGTAATTGCGGTTGACGAATGAAAAAAAGTTTTAGATTTACCCAGTAATACAATAACATGATGCGCAGCTGATGCAGGTGTTAAAAAAAAAAAGGTACGCAGAGCAGGCGCGTTTACATTTATCACACAGATCGGCACTCCGCGGAGGGATCTGGACCCTGGCGTTAGCTGGTTGACAGGGGTAGTGCAGCAACGACATTGTACCTCAGGTACACTGACTTTCTGCCGCGACAACCGCGGACAATAGTTGCTGGAAGAGTGTATACATTCAGTCTGTCAAGCAGAAAGTGATAATTATTCTCTTATACGGGTTCAAAACAACCCGCATCAACATTTCTACGCAGTGTTGCGTGGCTCGACCTCCAACACTACTACCTCCAAGTACATATAATCATCGTCGATGCCACACCTGCTTTCGACGTAATTAGAAATGCGGCATGCAAAGCCGTTCCGGGTTGTAACACAACATTTACGATCCCTCGATCCGGATTCGTGCATCGAGATCAGTATGCCTTGATTTGTTGCTGCTTAAGGAAATTGTGGTAGTAGAGTGTGGATTGTAGGTGGAATTGCGGTGTTTGGCGCCAACCAATGGGAGGGGTGGTGCGAAGTCGTGGAGAGATGTATACCTAAAAGTGCGATGGTGGTGGCTGGTGGTAAAAGTATATTGGCCGTTAGCTTTGCGGCTTGTGCTGGTGGGTTAAGTCGTGGTCATGTTCATGTTCATGTTCATATTCTCGTTTCTCGGGGTTGAGGCCATTCCTTCTGCTTAGTTGCTGCACCGCTCAAGTTTGCTCGAAATCTTCGTCTTCTCATCCTGAGCAATCTGATGTGTCATGTACTCTTACGAGTTTTGCTGTGCTAAGTAGCCGTTTGCACTGGACGCTCCCCTTTTTCAGCAAGACGATCATGTCACCTTTGCTACAGGCTCACACCAATCTCGCGTATCCAGTCAATCCATTCAGCTTTCATAGCACTCGCCGCATCATCCATAGCTCTTAGACATACAACACTCCCTTCATGTTCCTCAGATCAATACAAGCACTGGAAATCCATGTGCCCATCACTTGTCAGCACGTTCGTCATTCCAATAACGATCTACACGCCTGTTGATCACTGTTACTACGGCACGGCCCGAAAGATGTCATAAGAGAGAAACCACGTTGCGTCTCCAATCATTGTCATTGCGAACCTGAAGATCGCAGCCGTATGCGATTGGGCTAGATACCAGATCGAGATGTACGGGGTGTTGTAAGCGCAAAGTGGAAAAGGGCCGAAAGGTGCTTATGCCTTGCATGTCCGGGTAAGTGTAGAAGCGTAAGTGAACTACATAAGGACATGAGCGACTACGATCTCAATTCCTTGATCTCTTCTCGTACTGCATAGGTTCTTGGTTTCTGGTGCTTTTCTTCCTCCGTTGGGTACATGGAGCTGGTTCGTGATTGAAGAAACGATTTTGCTTAGGAGCTGGTAAGGCAGATACAAGGTTAGACGGACGACCACTGCAAGCAAATGTATCTGTTCGCGCCGAAAAATCGCTACGAGGACGATGTCGGCAGTCAAACGCAAGGTAAAGCTCCAGCAGAGGAATAGTATCGATGGAGTTTAGCTGCGGAAAAGCCAGAAAGACAGCATTGTGCAGGGTCGGGTTAGTGCCTTGGCACTGGCTGTTTCTCCGAGAGAGCAGTGAAGGATCGTCGTTATTATTAAGAACAACAAACCTCGCGATGCACACAATTGACCACATACACGAAAGAGGTGTTTACCAGTAGCACAGTTACCCCCTTTCGCTGCTGGATGTGTTGCAAATGGTGGTGGCTTTGCTACCGCTCAGCCTCACCTTAGCCTGGTCAGCCGTCGCTTATGCGTTGGCCATCCGTGATATCAATTCAGCATCCAGAGGCGGGATACATTGCTACTGCAGTCCAAGGTTTTCACCTTCTGTCCTTCTCCTCAACATGAGAGCACTATATTGTTTGCTCTTGCTATTTTTGTCGTCGATTATCGGATACGCCCAGGTCGAATGGACCCCGCTTCTGTTGTTGGCTTGGTGGCGGCATGCTCCAGCCTTACTAAACAATGCGCGAGCGTAGTCAACACTTTGCACGGAATTGTGGAAACCTACAAGAACGCCGAGCTTGCGATACTCTCTATTGCCGAAGAATGTAGCACCGTAGAATACGCGTGGCGCAGAATCGCAGAATGGGCGGAGGGTAACTTGTACAAGGTGGAAGATTTCGAGGAACTTGGGGAAAGGCTGCAACGGTCTATATATTGTGGAGAACTTGTCGTGTCAGCCTTGAAGGAGGAGATCATGGGTATCCAGTCGAATCCAAACAGTGTTAAACGTCGGATTAGCCTGCTTTGGAACAATGGCATCTTCGTCGAGCATCAAACTCGTCTTCGGGGCCAGGTCGCTGCTCTGCAGTTATTACTCCAAGTGCTCAGCTTGTAAGACCACCCAGAGACAGACTGTCGGATACTAATACCATCCAGGCCACGTAAGAAGGACCGCCTAGATACCCTATCAGTCAAACACAAGGTGTTTTCGGATGCCGACGAAAGTGCGCTCAGCATCATTCCATCTGATCGCTCGACCCGCTACTCGTTCGAAGGAAACCGAATGAGCATCGAACCTGACATAGGCAATGTTCAATACATACGATTTAGCTTTGAGGATGCTTTGTTCACGTCACACGTTTATAAACGCAACTATCGTTTCCCTGCGATGAAACCCAGGATAGACGCTGACGACCATTCGGAGCCGCCTACTAGGAGAACGACGGAGCTCGACACAAAGGAGTCAGATGTCGAAACTAAAAATGAGGATCATGATGATGGTGTTAAGTCGCGTGATGCGCAATCGCCACGGATCGTATCCGCCAATATTAATCCGATATCGGGAGATTTACGTGCAACGCCGAATCTGCTTACAGTCAAAATGCTTTCTTCTATGGACAGCGTTAGGAATGAGATGACCCCGAGCTCACTTCAAAGCCTGTCCAAAATCACAAAAGCTCGCAACGAAGCCGACAAGAAGTTGATGCTTTCCAGAGCTTTGAAAATGGCCTACCGAGCAGTTGCTTTGGATAATGCTTTTAATCACGTGGAAGCTATGAAATTTTACATAGCTTCATGCAGTTCGTTGTATCAGATTATGATCAAGTGTTCTAGGCTGGAAGATCAAGAAAAATTGGAAGCCATAGTAAGTACCTTGAAGGCAGTTTGTCCAATGACTAATCAATGGTCTATAGCGAATCACGTATTTCAATCGCCTCACAGAGCTTCGGTGCTTGCTTCGGACAAGGTCCAACGGAGACATTGCGCATTTGAAGGCTACGAGTGCGAAGAACATAGACTTGGATAACAAAACAATGGAGGACATGGATTTGGAATATTTGGATGAGATTATTGAAGGAGTGTGAGATGACCACTCTCCGGACTGGCTTAAGCTGTTACCAAAGAATAGAAGTGTAGTAAGACTCTGATTTCAAGAGTAGCACATCTCCCTTTTAGACACGCCAACAATCTGGCCGTGTCAACCCATCCTTTGCTTACGTTTGACTAGTCTAATCACCAAGGAACCTATCCTCCACCTCAGGCCGCATCTTTTGCATTCCACGGACATATTAGCATAGTTGTTGCCTACTCATGAGTGCATATATAATCTTATGATCGGCCGCTTGGTTTCCGGCTGCTACCGGGAGCGAGATTCAAATCCTACACTGGCGAGTGGGCTGTTAGCACTTGTAAGAGATGGGAGTGGCTGTGTTTGAAGGGTGGGTGGTTGGGGGAACATTGTTTGCTCTAACCCAAGACCTGAGCTGTATCAATGCAGTTCGAGCTTCGCAACTTGCGAAATGAGCTGAAGACGTCAGCTCAGTATGCTACATCAATGGCATCGAGAAAAGAATTCATAAGAATAGTGGTGTCATTAGGCACTATTACCGCCCATTGTCTTTCTGACACTGGTATCCGCTAGAGCATTCATGATCCGTTATCCGTAATCCCTTAGCCGCCAGAACAACGCCTTGTCTCTCCGAGCGCGGGATAAAGATGAAGAACAATGATACCAGACGCCGGCGGTCGCCTTCGAAGACCCCGAAGCTTTTACATGTAACGATAGTTCATCTCCACCATCTTAATAGTACCACTTTTGGCGCAACTGCTTTTCTTCAAATATCGGTACTTCGTCATGTTTTCCCCGATTTTGCCGTAACGCCTCAATCGTTTTCCAGTTCATCTAATTCTTTCTGTCTTCTTTCCAGCTCCAGTCTCATAGCTTCTGCTTCTCTCTTCAGTCTCTCCCTCCTCGCTGCCTTCTCTTCTTGTGACATGCCCGGATTAGGTGACGTGCCAGCGCTCGGGCGTAGCGGCACTGAAAGTGACGGGTCGATGTTAGCGTCCGTGTCAGCTTGGGAAGGGTTCAATATTGATGATATCGCGTTTGGACGATGGGGCATGGGATTTGCAGTCTCTTCAGGGTCCATGGTAGCACTGCGACTGCGTTTCCGGGGGGACGGTGCATTGGGTTGCATGTTAGGTACAAGTGTTGCAAGATTAGAGGTCATCGATGCGTTGCCGTAATAGTGAGTAAAGTCGACAGCGATAGGTCCTCTGGGTGGCTCGGGCGTGTAGTCTTCCCGAGACTCAATTGCCGTTGACGGGTCCGGGGAAACGGAATGCTCGAACGCGGGGGTTTGGGACGGACGCTGAGGTGGAGAGTAATCGGCAACAGAGGGTGTGGCTTGAGAGCCAGTGTCGCCGGCTGGCACGACTCGTTTTCGGCGTTTGATCTCCTGCTTCTTCATTGCGACGGGTCGATGTGTTCCATGGAGCTTGTAGTATAGTCCTGAATCGAAGTAAGTTAACTGCAATTTCTCGTTTGAAACGTACCTTTGAGCAGGTGTGAACTTACCACAAGCGTTACATATTATGTGACCGGCATCATCCCGTCTCCACAGGGGTGTGATCGTAGTTGCGCAATTTTGGCAAGCGGGAATGGCACTAGTAGAAGCTGCTGCCGCTGCACTAGACGCTGCGTCTGCGCCGTTCGTACTGTCATTCGATGCTGCATTTGCCTGAGCCAGGGCGAATTTCGCGGTCTTGGACACGCGATTGTTGAACGCTGGACAGCCACTACAGCCTTGCTGACCACCAGTACCATTACATCTGCCTCCACCAGGACATGTACCTGCCGTCATCTGGTCTGCGGCAACATAAGTCGCTACTCTGGGCGAAGCTGCAAGGTTTCCTGGTGACGTTCTGCTGGCGTCACCAGGGCCCGGAGTTGGACTTTGCTGCACGGGCATAATCGGCTGAGTCTGGGTGTTGCGTTTAAGGTTCACTGGACGTGATTGATTCCGCGCCTTCATGTACAGACCGCACGCGTTGCACACAGTTTCCCCAGCTGGTGATCGGCGCCAAAGCGGCGTTTGTGTCGTCTTGCAGTTGCTTCGGTCCGTTAGCGTCTTCCCTGCAGATTTGGTTCCAAGTGTAATCAAGTGACTGGTGGCAAGCACACAGTGAAATTTCAAACAACTTACCTACAGACTTGTCCAGTGACGGGCGCGTTGGATGCATCGTAGTTCATATTAGGTAGTTGTAGAGATGCTGAAGTTGCAGGTGTCGCTGGCTGCTCTGAAATGGGCACCGCATCCTCGAGTGAGTGGTATATCTCAGATCTTTCGTCTCCCGGGCTCTGAATTTGATGTTGTTCCTGTGAAGGGGTCTCTGTCCTCGGCCTGTGGTGTTCGTGGGCCTGATTGAGTAATCGCAGACTCTCAGCCATCTCCAGCTCGTCTTTGCTCGTTTCCCGTGATAGATGGTGTGCATGTGTTGGAGTAGGAGCCAAAGACGTGCCTCCGCTTCCTGCAGGGTGTGCCATAGGGCAGCGTCTGGTTGACCCAAGGTATGTGTCTAAAGAAGGTGTGGTTCAAGGTCGTAGTGATACACTGTTGCCTAGAATTCGCAAACAGAACCCTTCAGTCCGGGGATTTGCAGTTGCTCGATCCAAACAGATGTCCGGACTTTGCTATCGGCTTGATCTGATATCCGATGAAAGTGTAGGTCAATCTGGAGCAGGCGCTAACGTGACTTGGTGTGATTTGCGGGTCTTCGGGCCTTTGTACACAATGTTTGGAAGGTGTGGCACACCGATGGATGGCAAACAACTTTAAGAAGGACGGGTCTAGCAAGGGAGGATATCAGGTGGGTTCGGGATCTCCGTCGTCATAATTCTGCGCAAGGTGCCTACTGGGTCTGGCGATGCTGGTGCGGTACAAGCTGGAATTCTTAGGCGGTGAATGGGCGGCGGTGGCCAATCACGGGGTTGCTATTCTAAGCCGAGGTTTAGCGCGACAACACTGAAAGCACGTCCACGGCGACCATAGGCATCAGACGAGTTCAGAAGCAGTGATGAGGATTCGACTTTTACTTCACACATGCGCATGCAAGCATGCGGAGCCAACCATTCCTCAGGTACATGCATTCTAAGTTGCAGGCCAGGCGTCCTTATCTCCGATACATATGCTCGGCGGCAAGAAAAAGGAAAACTCGGCTCTATCAGTCTTGGACTCCACTTGAGCCTTACCATAGACCAGCTGTCAGCGGATCAGGATCCGGCTCGCCTATGACTAGCGATTTGTAATGGTTGCTCCTCCGCACGCCACTGATGCATGGCTAGCACCAATCATAGGGATTCGAGATGTACAACCAATATTGCGTCAACGTTAGTATCGCAACAGCAGCAGCATTCGATTAGAAGTGGACACTTGCTCAACGCAATCCTTTCCGGAATAATACACTAGCAGCAATGCAAGTACCGGTAGTTTGTCTTCGCTTCATGCACTGCGGACACTAAACAGACAAGCGAACACGTGTAATGACTACAGCCTCGTTTGAATCAGATAACCTATCATACATCGATTTTGTCCAAGGCTTTCTCCACTCATGTAATCAAAACCTCGATGTGATCACCGAACCAGCAGCCTACGAAATCCAAAAAGACACACACCCGATCCACCCTGTTAACGTCCGTAGACGTAACTATGGGCCATTCCAATCCATAAACATGCGATACTTAGTTTAGTACATAGAAAGTGTAAGACAGTTTTTTGCTGAGGTCCAAAGACCAGGCAACTGTTTCACTCATGAGGAATCCTCAACCGCCATCCTCCTGTGTATAGACTGCGAACTTAGACTTGCTCAGCGCCCCAGCCAGCGTCAGCGTCGCTGCAACATCGTTAGTGCCACGTGCAGATCGTTTTCAGGAAGTATTGAGGTCTTACCGCATGTTCGCTGGGGGCTCAATGGAAGGAATGAACTCCAGAGCAGCGTAACCTACACCGATTATGCCGACAATGGTGCCTGGTACGATGCGGAACCAGCGCTCACCCACGATAACCGAGCCGATGAAGATGTAGAAGATGCCGCGGCCGAGGAAAGAGAACATGAAAGAAGCATAACGTGCCACTTGCTGGGGGATCTGGAACTCAAGTAGAGCGGTTCCTATTGCTTGTCAGCGGCATATGGCAATATGAGGACGCTCAACCTACCGAGACCGAATATTATTAGGTATACACCGAGGATAATATGAGAGCTAGGCGAACTGTCAGCGCTTCCCTGGGCCACATGATTTGATGCTGTGTATCGGGCATGCCAGCTTTAAATTGCACAACGGTGGTATGCAACCCTCCAAGCTCATATGCTGCCTGCACACCTTGATATATGTGCAAACGCGCATGTATAGTGATCGAACCGAACGTATGCCGAGACGAACGTGGACCAAGCTGACAACAGTCCTCAACAATTTGCAGCCCGCGCCTGTCTCCAAGGCCCACACACACTCATTATGGTTCACCCGTCTAGACATGATATGCCATCTGATAGATATACGAACACGAAAGTCGACGCGACAGGATCGGGCTGCTAATGGATGCGCCGGGTACACTCACAAGTCGTTGAATGGGAACAACTTCGCGATACCACCGAGGACTACGAATACCGCAACGGCGAAATTCACCATGCGGCTACACAATGAATTAGCTTTCAGCCTCAACAATTCCAAGTTCCCAATGCCTCTGTCGAAAGCTGCTGCCTAGCTCCAGACAGCTCCAGCTGTACTCACAAGATGTCTGAGAAATCCATGGCGGACGATTGACCGGCGAGATGTGGGAACCGCAGTTTGACGACTTCGCGCAACGGACTGGGAGGGAGGCAGATGGGATGAGATGGAAAATGGAGCTTGTTGGGACAGAGCTCGGGAGTATGGTTGGTGTTGCGCAATGTCGGGCCTGCGACGAGACGTTGCGAGGGAACAACGGCCAAGCTCCCGCGCTAAACGTCATGCCTGGTTTCATTGGTTGATGCGCGACCAAGGGGTTCTTTCATCTCGTGCTCATCTACATATTCAACACCAACTCAACGTCCATACCCTCTGGTGGCGCAGCTGCTCTCAGAGTTGTATTTCTCTTCACCCTCGCTCCGCTGATGCGATGCGGACCAGCCAAAGCACAGACTTGATTCTTTACGAAGAGGCAGCAGCACCACAGATGAGAAGCTCAAGAGATACTTCTTAGGACCACGAAACTTCACACACCCTAGGCATACTGACTACCTTTATGCCAACTAAAGCAAGTCGAGTTCTCTCGGTTCTCTTTATGAACAAGCCAGGTCGGCTTCCAATGGCAGCTGCACTTCTACCGCACTTGTACACTTCCACATTATATTGTCCACCAACGATTCATTCTTTCACATACGACCATAGGACACTGAAAATTAGGCTTCCCGTCCGCTCAGCCATATACAAGCAGTGTACCGGCGGATTAGTAGTTAGGTGGGTGACCACTAGCGAATCCCCGCTGTTGTATGTTTTTGCTTTTTGCCTGTCTGCTCCATCTTCCTTACTCTTGTACAGTCTTTCACATCGCCTGCTCTGTTTTACTTTTGCAGTAATCACATACACTACGTCACGATCGTTTCGTGCACGAAGCTTTGCCCTTTTCGCATGCGCTCCAGTAGGGTTTATTTCCTTTGTATCGTTCGTGGCGGGGGGAGGCGAGAACCGCAGGAACGTGCTTTATAGCTCAAAGCATGCCCAACTACCAGAACGGGTCAATGCTCTAAACCCGGCGTGGTTAGCCGTATGCTAATCATCGGCTTGTTGTTTGCGCTATCACCTGAATCCACGTGTTAGTGGATCCAGATGAGGACAGTAGCTGGGCTTCGTTTCTATTTCGCAATACTATCGGATCGTTGAATAGTAATCGGACCCTAGCTCGCAATGCCCTACCATTAACGAAGGCAAGCTAGACACAGGCTGACCAATGACAAGCCTTCGTCATCAGCTCCAGAAGTATGGACGCGATCTATCAGGGACTAGACTGCCTGCAGTACATCAGGACACTAGCTTGGCCGATCGCCAGATACAGTTTGGCACTCGTACCCGATGGGTTGTTGGAAGGCTCATGGAATGGAAGTGTATGTTGGAGCAGCAAAGAGTTTATGGTGAGTTATGAGCGTATGGTTGCAAGGATGTCATTATGGTGGCCACTTGATAGCTGTCAGAGACAATAGTACCGCTCGACCCGGAGGTAGTGAACCTATGACCAAGGTACGAGGAACAGAGCAGGAAAGCACCATTCGGGCAAAGATCCGTTGTGGAGAAAAGCCCAACTACCGCGGTGACCTTGAAATCGGGGGTTTCGGGCATACGATATCCACGGAGCCAACAAGAGCATAATCACCATAGACGTTCTCTACTGTGCAGGCGTGGTGGAACTGTCGCCAACAATTTGTCGGGCATTGGCATGAGAGCTATCCAAGTAGCTAGTGCACACGCTAGCTTAACACAGGTAGTCCATCAATTCTTCCTAACTCTTCCCTCAATGGCACCACGGATGATCTTCAGCCAGTGAACTGGATTGTCGACGCTCATCAAACTACTTCTAGGGTAAAGGCTAGCGTCAGAATTCCTAGGCACGTCAGCAAGACCCTCATTAGGTACGGGCGTCATTGCTTCCAGCCCAACATGCTGAAGGTACTGAAGCATGTCATACGAGTATCTAGACATATGGATAGGACCCAAGATAATTATAGCAGTTCTTCTTTCCTATGCGCTTCGAGAATGACCCTGAGAGATATCGAGAGGACAGCTTCAGCAAAACTCGGAGGCCTTCAACGGTGTTTAGGGGTCTGACTACTTTTGTCGGAAGACGTAAGGGTAACGTGCAGATTAAGTTTTGCCTATTCTTAGTATGGAGCCCTGCAGCAAGCCACGATGCGGGTTCGATCAAACCTACCAGGACTTCCCAGCATACAAGACAGGCACCCATACCGAGCTTCTAACAAATTAATCCGACTTTCGACCACTCGTCCTTGTTCGCGCACCTTGCCACACGACTCCGATGTGGATAAAGTGTGTCTCTAGACGTGACGAGACATGAAGGGGCCGCTATGTGCATTACTCCTGCTCGCCACATGGGTCTCTACTGGATTCGCACAAGATGCTGGCGCACTCGCAGCAATCGAATTCCTTCCGAACTGTGCGGTATGTGGCATCCGGTGTTGGGTAAACGATATGTGGCTAACCCTTGTAGCAATTGTGTTTGGTGACGGCTGTAGCCGAATCATCTTGCCAACTTACGGACACGACATGCATTTGCACCAATACTAAACTCCAGGGTGCAGCAGAAAGATGCGTGGTTTCATCATGTACAGTGAAGGAGAGCTTGAGTAAGTTGAAATTTGCCATTACCTGCTGATGCATGGCTCACAAGACTGTTAGCCACCAAAAACGTCACCTCAACCTTTTGCCACGCGCCTGTTCGCTCGGACATTACACATTTACGAGTCGCCAATCTTCTTATGTGCTTCGTGACAGTTTCCTGCACCCTCTTACGCCTCGTCTACAGGAAATGTCTTACCGTTGGCGGGCTTGGTTGGGACGACTTCACCGTGGCAGTTACGGTACTTGTATCCGTACCCTCGGTCATAATCGTCGACAGGGGTATGCTCACGAACGGAATTGGTGTCGACCTTTGGACCGTCCCATTTGATCATCTCGAAAATTTTGTGCGGTGGTTATACACGATCACCCTACTATACTTCATCCAGTCTGCCATGGTCAAGATTTCGCTAATACTGTTCTTCTTGCGGATTTTCCCACGACAGCGAACAGTACAGCTCTTGTGGGGGACTGTCGTCTTCATCGTAGTATGGACCATATCCTTCTTCATCCCCGCCTCGTTTCCATGTCTGCCTGTAAGTAAAGTCCACTCATGAGACACGCGAGGCTCACGCTAACTTGGTGCTTCAACATGCAGCTTAGCGACTACTGGACAGCGTGGGATAAAGCAAAGCCGACAAAATGCCTCAACATTTATGCGGTAATCTGGGTGCACGCCATTATATGCATCGTAGTAGACATCTGGATGCTGTCCATCCCGCTTTACGAGGTCTTTCATCTCCAGATGACTTGGATGAAGAAGTTCAGTGTGGCTCTGATGTTCGTTGTTGGTACCTTGTTAGTACCCTTACAACGCACATCACTTGGCTTTAAGCTAACGCCTCCTAGTGTTACGGTTGTGTCCATTCTCCGTCTCAGATCGCTCATTGCTTTCGGTGGCACCAGCAATGTTACATGGGAGCAGACAAACGTCGTCTTGTGGTCAGTCTACGAGATCAATGTTGGAATCATATGCGCTTGCATGCCGGCTCTCCGCTTGATTCTGATCCGCGCCTTTCCCATGGTCATCAGCACGATACAAGGAAGTACTCAGCGAAGCAGCAGAAACCATCATGAAATTGGAGGTCGTGCCATAAAGAGAAACGTAGATACGATAGGAAGCGCCAAAAGTGGGAAAGAGAGCCTGGTCGTTGAGCCAAGCACGATTACATGTACTACGACATTTGCGGTGCAGCACGAGGAAAGCGACGAAGAGGCTGAACTTGTTCATATGGAGAATCTTAGTGAGAAGGTGAAAAGAAAGGGGGGTGACAGCTATACTAGTGAGCTGGGCGTGTAGCTATATAATGTTTAGATGTTATGGTTCGGGTCTGGAAATCACCGTCAATTACATGGCCTGCTCACTCGTTAGTGAGGTATCTGACTGTCCTTTGTTAACACGTAATGCGCGAGAATTGATACTTGACTTTAGAACAGCAGAGCGATTTTGTATTCGGTGCAAGGATAGCAGGTTCGATATTAACAGGGATACATGTGTGTTTCTGGATTGGAACAAGGTCTAGTAAAGAGATCAAGTGGATCAGCAGTAGAACATAATTGGCAAGTACTATCAAACCGGACATCAAAATGAACCTCAAAGGTACTCACGGTCTTCCGCTCTATCAGCATATGGATCACACGAAATCTAACGCCAACACGTCACCCCAGCTTTGATCTATTGTCTGTTTGTAGAGGTGCTCCACAAATCGCTTTGATGCCGGGAAACCGTTCTTCTCCGCAAACCGCCTAGCCCGCTCGTACTGGCTTTCAGGAGGCTCTCCAACTTCCAAACCGAGGTCGACATTGCATTGCATCAAAAGCGACATCGTATCAATATGACCCCACTCTGCTGCTGCTTCGAAGGCAGTTCGACCATGGCCCTTGGCAGGTGGGTAATTCGGATCGGCTCCGCGCTCAAGCAGAAATGCTGCAATGCCGCAGAACCCATTCATCGATGCTAGTTGCAGGGCAGTACCACCAGAGCGAACAGGAATCGTATCGACAATCGCATCTTGCTTGGTAAGGTACTGAACGATGTCGAAGCAACCCATTTCGGCGGCTCTTTGCAAGGGCGTGCGAAGGATTCCCACATTGCGTGTGTACTGAAGCTCTGCCCCGTATTGCAACAAAATCTTTACTATGGGGAGACTTTGTACGTCGATAGCGGCCAATAAAGGAATCACTCGTTGTAAGTGACTTTTGATGTGCGTCAGCATCCTCAGGCCTTCGAACGATATATATGTATTTGGATCAGCACCTAGTGCAGGTATACGAAGTCAGTATATGTGTCACATGAATTTCGTACAGGGACATCAACGCACCTCGCTGCAGCAGTACACCGACTGCCTCTAAATCTTTCAAGATTATTGCTTCGCCTAGAGGGCTAACAGGAACTTTTGAGTTCCGTATTTCGTCCGTCGACGGCTCAATAGCATCGATATCTACTATCCGACACAGAACATTGATGATGTTGAAGTCACGGAATCGAATGGCTTGACGGAGTGCCGCGATACCATAGGTTCGCTCAGCTGAACGCTTTTCAGTCCTTACTGGCCTGAGAAGAAGGTGGATAGTAGCGATAGTTGCCTTGAGATTTACTGCTCGGAATAGTGCCATAGAGTCGATAGGGGAGACACCTTCAGCCAAAAGGAATCTTACCCACTCTCTGTTATTCTTTTCGGCCGCGATGGCGAGAAGGGAAGGCAACCTAGGCCTGTAATCACCACCGACAGGGCCGCCGCCACCACTGCCGCGGAAAGTGGAGTAGGAGACCGGAAACTTTACAACATCGAATTCATACTCACCTTTATAACGCCTCAAACACAGTTCATCAGCGTCCATACCAAGCTGGAAAAGCCATTTGCAGAGCTTGAAATTATCCGTTGCGATGGCGTGGAAAGCAATAGCCCGGAAACACAGTTGTTGCTGTTCTAGCACCGAAGGATAGTTTTTTTGGAATCCGAAGAAAGGTGTAAACGAACGTTGGAAAATCATGGTTTCTAGAGGACCATAGTCGCTGTGTTGGCTTGCAGCTTTGAATGCAGACTCCCAGATAGGTTGCCCTGTAAGAAGAGCACTGACTGTTGTGGTTTGCCCATGTTCCAGTAGAAATGCCAGGCCGTAGATCCCTGAATTTTCGGAGTCTTCCATACCCTTAATGATGGTGATAGCCATATCATGTTGTCCGAGGCTAATTGCGAGTTCAACGACTTTTTCTGCATTAAGCTTTTTAAACTCGCATTGCTCTAGCAGGAGGTACGCAAGTGTGAGGTTCTTCTTTTTGATAGCATCCATGAGTTCTACATAGTTGTTCTCAAATGAGCGACCATGAGAAAGCCCCTCTAGACTTGGTATAGAACTCCGTTTCACCATCAAAGAGGCGGCCAGATGCCAATCGGCGTTGCCTAGTGCGTGTAGAATCGAATTGTCCGTGTATCCAAGCGTGCCGGTATTACCTACGCGGGCTACTTCGCTGTCAAGGCGGCATCCGAAACGACTGAGTGCTTTCAAGATCGTTTTGACAGCCCCTTTATGTTCTTCAGTTATGAAAACCCGCAATGCACTGAGAAGTATCGTCTTCAGCTTCGGGTCTCCCATCGGGAGATGATATTGGTAGTCGTGAAGGACAAGCTGTAGAAGATCGTCGGTCAAATCCGACCGATCGACAGAATATAATTCCAACAGCCCTGCCTCTAGCCATGCGATCATACCAGATTTCGTGTTGTTGGCTAGCTGCACAAGAGAAGCTATGGGGACACGATTTCTCAGAATACCCCCAGTTTTCATTGCCAGAAATTTTCTATTAGGGCAGGCTCCGGCATTGAGAGCGATGCACATGAGCTCGGTCGTTTCTGATTCCCGAAGACTGACAGGGCTTCTCAAACCCCAGCTGAGCTGCTTTCCTTTGGCGATGGAGCTAAGTGATTCGTCAAGCTGTGATTGAGTTGCTCCTTGACATATCGACGATAAGAGTATCTTTGCGACCAGAAAATGACCTGCGGCTATTGCAAATTCAAGGGGGTAGGTTGGTTTTGATCCATGCGGCCATTCCATCATGATCCGCTGGCGAGGATTTATGTTCAACTCCAGCATGGTCGACACGAGATCCACGTCCCCAGCCCTAACAGCCGTAGCGAACACTCGTTCTTTGAAAGCGTCCAGAATTGGAGTCGGGAGAGCCCTGAAGCTTCGCGATACAACATCCAACGGAAGTGCTTTCAGTAGTGCATATGCGTCGTTCGAAGTTGTATGGCTAACGGAAGATACGTTGTTGACTAGTGATGCAATTACGTACAACGGAAGTACAGTACTGTGGCTTCCACGTGTGGTATCCACGAATGGCTGATGTGATGGATAGAAAACTGCATCGAGTTGCATCTTGGAGGGCTCTTTCCACTCTATCAACTGATGGGAAGGAGAAAGGCTCCGCGAGATTAAATCCAAGCCAACAGAATGAATCCAGGAAAATGGCAAATCATGCTCGGCAATAAGGGTGGGTATGTGCAGGCTGTAGTGGTTGATCGACGGTGAAACCAGGGTAACCAGTTCAAGGTCAGCTATGGTTTGCATGGAAGAAGTCGACGAGCTTGTATCAGGAGCTGGTATGATTTGAAGGCCGTTCGCGGCGTCCATGTTCGGGGCGCATGATCGTGGTCGTACGGTGATCTCCTTTGGAAGTTTGCAGGAACCTAGGCATAGTTAGCCAAGGAAACAGGCATCACAGTGTAAACGTGCCATCTTGTAATGCGTTGTTCAGTGATCTGCGTCGCGCAATCTCTTGCAAGACTCTTTTCTGGGGGATTTCGTGTCCTCTGAACAACACTTCAACTTCCTCAAGGCGAATAGAGTTCTTCTTGACATATCTGATGATAACTGCCCACTCTGGCCCAGTAAGATTCTTTCGTAGACCCCATATCCTGAAATGCCTTTCATATTGTGATTTGCTTTGTGAGGTGTCAGTATTCATCAGTCTCTGGCGCACCGACGAAAGTACCTTGCAATAAAACCATGACGCTCTTTCATATGCGCTTCGATCTTGCTGAGCGAACTTTTCCAATACAAACTCTCGATCCTTGAACGATGATGTTCCCATACTTTCTCATCGACACTGTCAGGTCTAACGGTGTTGTTCATCTTGTACAACGAAGCGCGAGGCTCAAGGGAAAAGAGCGAAAAGTAGGTGAATGATCAGGCTGAATGTTCTGGAGCATACCTAAGTACTTGACCGGTCAGCCTTGGATTTAAAGCAGTGCCTGACGCGCACTGCGCCTGCCGCCACGTCTCTTGTGTGCTGCAACAAAACAACTTTGATCCTCCTGCATCTGTCAGCCGCGTACTAGCCGGCCAATCATGCAGAACCTGGCTGCATGGAGCTGCAGCGAGATTTTGTAAACAGGGCAATAATCTATGGGCAGATTGACCAATTATGCAAAACCCATGAGCGGCACAGAACATCAGCACGTGGCGCAACAAAATCTTACCGTGTGTGACGATCCAGAGGTGGCCCAATTTGGCTAACGCAAGATTTTGTAAAGATGGCCGACGTTGTCGTACCAGGCTGGACGGAGGCGGAGCTATGTTGCCCAATCATGCAAAACCTGTCAAGACTGGGTCTCAGATTCTGTAGAGGCTTCATTGACAGATTCTGCTTTTGACAATGTAATAAAGTCGTAATGGAGGTTGCGCACCTTCTCAAACGACCTTCCTCATAACACCGCAACGCATTTTATTCTACCCCTTCTATAAGCCTCAACTCAACTGACTTCGCACCATATACTCGTGAGTGTACAGCCTACATCCGATGTGCTGCACGTTAACCATTATCAGCAATCCCTCTACAAACTTTACCATGTCTTCGTGGTCGGTAGAGGCGATCATAGCTTTTGTGACCCTACTAGCCACCTGTATACCCGTTCTGGCACTTTTGTTGCGCAAATCCATGCCGCCCCGTCAGGTTCCGCGCTCAGAAACAGGTATGTCTTCCAATTCCAAAGCCGTCAGAATTCAGGCTTCTGACAAATACCAGATATTGAACTCGGAAATGTGGGATACAACCATGGCCATGTCGTTGTCCCTACAGACTTTGGAATACGTAAATGCCGTACACGGTAGGTGTTGAACTGATATTGCACCGTCTTGGCCTTGGTGTCTAACGAGCGTTTGCGTTAGTTCAATGACCTTGTGACGAAGTTTGGGATCTGCGTTCTCGACGCGTTGATCGTTGTGGAGTGAAATATTTTGCGAAGTAGATGGTGATGTTGATAGAGGTCAATGTTTGACGGGGAGGGTTTTGATGGAGAGGTGTTTGCGAAGAGTGGTAGCATCCATATCTGCTGGCGTGCCCGTTCATCCGGCAAAATTACAGTCTAGTCTCAGGGTCGACCAACGAAGCGACTGAAGTAGCGTCCAGTCTGTTGCTAAGTCAACGTGCTAGAGAAAACGAAAGAGAAGCGAAAAGCAGCAGTACACGAGCATTTGCTGGGTATCGATAGATAGACTTCTCTTTCTTAATTTAGCCCCATACGGCCAAACATCTTCGCCATTCAGATTCTATACAACCCTTACTGTAAACTCCGGGCGCCCAAGCTTGTTAACATAAAGAACTTCGGAGCTGTCTCATGCGCTTTCTGTCTCTCAAAGGAAGTAGTCCGCTACTGGCTTCTTCGCCGGCATGCCGCGTGAGTCCTGGGGAGCGGCTTCGAACACCCGGTAACGCCGTCCTGGCCCATCCCTATTCTTTTGAAAACTGTCGTTGAGCACTGAACTTAGCCTCCTCTCACCATTGGGCCCAGCATTCGAGCCCAACACCCAGCCTCCACCACCACCCGCTCTGTCGCCGTTCGATCTCCGTTGGAAACCGGCGTTTGATCCGTCTTCACCGAGCTCCAAGATGGCAGCTACGTTACCACAACGATAGCAGTAGTTTGGCGCCGACCATACAGTAACAATTGTTGAATCGAACATCTCCTTAAACCCTTCCATAACCAATTGATGAGCTCTTGCAATAAGACTGAGGTCGTTCTTGTGATTGAATGTCTTGACAATATCAGCTCCAAATAGAAAGCCTGCACCACGCGGCGACAGGCCCCAACCATCAATCTCATCGGGATCGGACCATAGGAGATCGCACATGGCTCCTTCGTGAGGCACTTCTTGTTTCCGGTCCAGCAGTCGGATCTTGTCCACTGAGTCGACGAGCGGTGACAGACCCCCGTGTACACATAGAATCGCTCCAGTGTCGTTTCGAGCTGAGCCGTTGGCGGAGGAGGTTGCGCCAGTTCCTGCAGGGCCAACACGTCCGGGTGTTGGCGCGACAGGAGACGAAGAGCCCATGTTTGCGCTTACTTGTGAGGCGGCGCTTGATTGGGAGTCTGAGTTGCGTGCGTAGCGGTACATGACCTCGCCGTTAGCGTTGAGCGTTTCAATCTCAATGTCTTGATCGATGTCGGGCATGTTTTCAGCGTTGCTGGACTCGGCTATAGGGCCATCGGTGGCTTGAAGAGACGTAGCGGCGCCCTGCACGAGAGCACCGAGGGCTAGGTAATCGAAGACTTCGCAGCAATATCTGCCAACGTCAGCATTAGGCTCCATTTCACGGCTAGCATGATTGTAACTTACCTCCATACGTTCGCGCTGCCATATTTCCGCAGGCACTCGTCGTAGAAACCGTATACGGTCGTGATCTGTCGTGACTCGTGGTTGCCTCTAATGAGCGTTATCCGGTCTGGGTATCGAACTTTGAGGCATAGAAGTAGGAGGAAAGACTCGAGGGAGTAGAAACCACGGTCAACAAAGTCGCCTACATATAGTCAGCACAGAGGAGTGTGGCGAGATTCGGTTGGCCTACCCATAAACAGGTAATTCGTATCTGGTACATCTCCACCAACTCGGAAGAGCTCCATGAGGTCGTGGAATTGACCATGGATATCACCACAGATCTAACAAGCACGTTAATTAGATGCGCCCATGAATTGATACAGCAAGGTGCCTACCGTCACTGGCGCATCCACCCCAACCACATTGCCCTCCTCGATCAACAGCTCGCGTGCCTTGTAACATAACTCTCGGACTTGGTTCTCAGGTATCGGACGACATGCGCGGAGCTGCTGGATGGCTCTGCAATCAATGTCAGCCCCATGTATTGTACATATGCTACCAGGCTGGGTGGCTATCCGTACTTGTCGAGGTCGCTACCACCGGCACTCATGGCGATGGCTTTGCGCTACACGCCCGCGCAGGGCTATTCGGAATATATGAGGTCTTGTTTTCCCAATCACGTGCGCAGTAGCTTTGTAGCGGTCGAAGCTATTTGTAACTGAAGATTTTGGTGGGCGCGAATAGTATATACGGTGGCGGTACGCGTATAGCGCGTTACGGATGCAGTGATTGCGCGGGTCGTGCAGTTACGTGATATTTGTGTGGGACTGTCAAGCTGAAGATAGCGATTGTAATACTGCGGTAGCTGTTTGGTTGGTTATCAAATCAATGTGGTGGGCTGGTGAAGTCGAGGATGAGAGAGATCCACAGCGGGCATGCCGAACGCGCAGGGATCTTCGTCAAGCCGTTCAGCTAGCTCAACCCTCTATGTTCACTCCACCAAAACACCATCACCACCGACAACCCCGCTTCCCCGCCATTCACACCTGCCCGAGGCATCTCAATTGGCACAGTATGCCCTTCGCGACTACCGGCGTTCTATTTATCAGCTGTTAACGACTCCCCAGGCCCAGTGATGCCTCCGCAATCCGCTCTCTAATTTCTATACTCACATATATAAAATGCCTTCACACCTCCACCCTCGGTCGCGCATGACGACTTCGCTCTTCGGGACAACTCTCATGGTCTCGTTCCTCGTCGTCGCAGCTCCACATCTGATACCCTGCCCCGTCGACCCTCGCACACTCGCCGATTCCGCAGACCCCACAGGAGAGAACAGGCGGAGACGGAGACGGAGAATCCCGGAAGATGAGAGCTGCAATGAAGTCATGAGCGTGGAACGGAGGAGGCAGCGGCTGGCGGAAGAAAAGTTGGCAGCAAAGAGGGAGTGCCCGGTGCCCAAGCCCGGTGGTCTCATTGGGCAGGTGCTGGGTGTGCAAGACGACGAGGGCAAGGAGGAGCAACAGTTCTCGATTTTGCAAAGAGTCGAAAAGGTGGTTTGCAGACCATGGGGAAAGAACAACAATCAATAACAGGAGGCCCGCGAGAACGGTTTAATGAATAGACATGCACGTCTGTACGTGTTCACAGAGACGAATACGACAGTCACGCCAGCCGGATCACTGTATCCGAGGATCTGTAAATATATTGCAGCATGAGAGGAAGGATCGCATCAAACTGTATATAAGAGAAACCCAGTCCTGATCGACTACCCAACATCCGCTCTTGTCTGCATACATGCTAATCGCAGTGACGTTCTGCCATTCGTGAGAACACACGTTGATGTGCATTAATGCGTTTAAGGGCCATGGCGCTATGGTGCACATATCCAGACCCTGAGATCCAGCACGAGCACGGTACATACAGTTACCTAATAAGTGACAAAAGAACGTGATCGCGTGTCGCGTAGCGTGAACACACTACGTCATGAACCTCGCCAACCACCGCGCTCCGTCACTAACCCTTCCACGTTTCGAGCTTGACATGCGCTGTTCAGATGCCCTCCCATGACCAAGCGCATGATCAAGATGCCCTCCGAACCCCTCACAAAACCCCAGCGGATGGCATACCGCATTGGTCGCGGTGAAACCGGCGTCCTAACGTTCGAGCCATATAAGTCCGAGATCCTCCCTCTATGGCGTTTCAAAACGCGTGCTATCGCTCGCAAGTCCTCTTCCGATATCTACAACAAGTTCCTAGAGTACGACAAGAACGATGACTTTATTGGCATGGACATGTCGCGCAAGTTCTTACAGATGGGCATGACCAGGGCAAAGAGATATGCGAATCATGCTGGAGGAAGAAAGTATGATAAGAAGACAGGGGAGCAATTGGAGATTAGTAAAGGGCATGAGGGCCAAGAAGAGAAGCTGGAGGCTAGTGGTATATTCAGAGAAGTCTGGGAGAAGGCTAAGCTGCATGAAGGGTATGTAGAAAAGAAGGAGAGGTTCATGAAGGAGCAGAAAGAGTGGGACAAAGAGAAAACGAGGGAGGCGAGGATAGAGGTCAAGAAGGAGGTCAAGAAGGAGATCAAGCCAGACATCAAGACGGAGATTAAGGAGGAATGAGTATTACTACGGCACTTCAAACCTGCAAGGTCCTCCACGCCTCGCGTTTACCGATAAAACTCGAATGAGCGCGAGCATTCTAAGATCTGAACTTAGATTCCTAGTCTCTTCTCGCACCTGCTACAGACTTGCACCGACTAGAATTAGGAAGGTCCTGTGCTATAATTGTCCCTGGCCTGAGGCATGGGTAGGCGTGAGCTGCTAGAAAAACTCTATCGATGCAGCAAGAGCGTTGTCCTACAAGACTCCAAGTACGCGGTTGCCAGCTGTATGGACCTAGAGCAATAAGGATGCGCAAAAAGGTACTGGGCTCTACGCGGATCGAGCGCATGTCTCGAAAGCTACTGTCTAGTCTGCTGCAGACTAAAGGGTGAGGACTCTACCCCGGGAACGACACTGCGAGTACAGGGCGCACCTTGTACTCGCAACTCCTGATGACATGGTTAAGTGTCAGGACTGTATTGTCTCCAGTGTTGCATTCGAGTGCCTTGCCACTGGACCACGAACCCTTTTTGGAATGGATGGGAAATGCGGAAAGTAGCGCGGGTCTCTAGGACCTAGAAATGATGCGACAAAGGGAAGGTAACAAGGTTTTTTGAGTCAGTTGTTGAGAAGCCTGGATGTTATGAGTCGCCGCAGTTCTGCGTCAGGAAATACTGCATGAAAAAGAGATGCAAGTCTATCCATCTGCCTCTCAGCGGGTGAGGCTGTTTGTAATGTCGCGGTGGATAGCAATGAACGTACAAGGGTGAATCAATCAGATATGCGGCCAGCTGCAGAAATTCGAAGAGTGATAATGTTACGTTTCTGCATCTCTTCAGAAGGGACATGCCTACTTCGAGTCTGGCGTATCGTTGGCGGTATGAGCTGTAATAGTAATGACAATACGGTGATCTGTCATTGTGTCCATGAAACGAACTGCTTTCTTTGGACCGATGAACCCGCAAAGAACTAGAATCGAACTATTCGCCGACTTGGAGGCAAAACGCTCTGTTATCTTCCTCCGCTCTCCACCATACTATTCCCTCAATCCGCTTTCTTGCGCTTCACTTGTGGCGTCTCAAAATTCGGATTCGCGCTCATCTCCCTCTCCTCTTTCGCATACGTCTTCTCCACGTCCCACTTAATCAGCCCGCCTTTCTCTGACAGCTTAATCGCCTGGCCCCTATCCTCCATACTCATAGTACAAATGTCTTTGTGCACAGCCCAATCCCCTTTCTGGCAAACATCCGAACAATACGTTGATGTGCCGCACCTTCCACACCGCTGTAACGGAATCCCCGTCTTCTTACATGCCGTACACCTAGAAAGATCGAGAGAAGAATATAGCCAATGCGGACTCATCGGTATTCCATCACCCCAAACATCCATTGGCGCATACTCGACGAAAAACCTGTGTTTCATCTTTTTCCCAGTCTCCCATCTCTTTTCCCTCACTATCTTCTCTGCAAACTCACAGCCTAGTTTTTCAATTTCCTCGGGATCCGTCACATCTTTTTCGCCTAACATACTCTCTTTGGGATTCGGTATCCACTTCCCTCTGTCGTCACCCTCTAGGACGATGTTGTAGGTAAGCATCAATGTCCAGTTATCGCCGCTGCCATCCAGGCTACCAAAAGTGATTTGGTTGCCGATGCGGCCGATTTCGATTTTCGATCCTTCGGGTGTGCCTTCGGCAATGCTTAAAGTCCATGTCATGGAAAACCAAGCATCTAGATCTAGGAAAGCTGCTAGAGCGTTTGGATGCCATTTGTACAATACTGTCGCTAGACCGATTGCTGGAGTAACTGTTTTGGAGGTTTCTGGAGTGAGACTGGAAGGATCGATGATGCTGAGAGAAGAGCCATTAAGATGTAGTGCAGCATCAGGGTAGTCGGGTAGCCTGAAATCGGATAATGAAGTGAGTTGAGAATCCATAATGTGTGATGTGTGATGCGCTGCATTGAGCAAGCGAATTGGAAAGTGCAAAGAGTGTGAAAGTGGGGTTACTGCTTGAATTCTCATTGGTTGGATTAGCACATCCTCAATTGAGTATAAAATGAATCAACATGATAACGCATAGAGAGGCGAGCCATCTGTCAAATCACAAAATCTGAAACATAAGGACTCTAGTTTTTGCATTCATTCATTCATATAGCTCTGTACTTGGTTATCATACACGGTTAACCTTTAGATTCCATCCTCTTAGTTGCCTCCGTGGCCTTGCAGCGGATGCGGCTTAGGTCCCTGCTGCACCGGTATGCTGTCCAGGGTTCCAGCATATCTCAAGAGACCCACGTCCGAGCCGGTCATGGTGCTCTTGTATTTACCGCCACCAATTTCGAACAAGAAGGACATAGGGAATCCAATATCGAAGGGAACAGCGGAGTCAATGTCATCAATCTCCTCCTCACTCAACTCGATTTCTAACGCCTCAATGTTGCCCTTGAGGTGGTCGATCTTACGGCCACCAACAATCGGGTATACGAAGGGGTACTTGTGTCGTACATACGCCAGTGCGACGCTAGTGATCTGAGTCTTCTTCTGGCTGGCGACAGATTCGAGCTTCTTAGAGATGGCTATGTGCTTTTCTGAGGCGGGACCAAAGTTGCGGCCCTGCTCGTTGTTCTTGCGCTTCTCTTCAGTGGTGAAGTTACCGCCACCTAGAGCACCCCATGGGCAGAGTGCCATACCTTCCTCGCGTGCCATAGGGATAATCTCACGCTCGAAGTCGCGCTCGGCTGCGGACCAGCGGCCTTGGTAGACACTGAAGCCACGTAGGCCATGGTTGCGGGCGTCTGGTACCGTTAGCACAATTGCCACATCTTCTCACAATATGACACTTACATTCGTTCGCCTTGCTGACGACCCAGGCAGGTGTATCACTGATTCCAAGGTAGAGGACCTTTCCGGAGTTGACGACGGCGTTGAGTGACTGCATCAACTCTGGGATGGATGTTGTGAAGTCCCACCAGTGCACGTACAGCAGATCGATGTAATCAGTCTGGAGCTTCTTGAGGGATGCCTCAAGCGAAACACGGAGCGATTTCGTGCTGTTACCAGCATAGTTGATACGTTGGCGAGGAGAGTTGTTTGGGTCTGGGAAGCAGGTGGTGAACTTGGTGGCCAGGACCATTTCGTGTCGTACGCCTCGCTCCTTCATCCACTCGCCGATCCAGGTCTCAGATTCCTCATTCTGGTAGTTGTTTGCGCTATTGCAGCGTTAGCTTTTATATCAAAAAGTTGCTGTCCTCGTATGAAGTACAGCGGTAGCGGGTAGTGTGAGAGACTCACGTATCAATAAAGTTACCACCTTGCTGGTGGAAGAAGTCCAGGATCTCAAACACCGTCTTCTTATCACACTTACCCATCATTTCCTCCCACGCGTCGCCAAAATTCATCGCTCCCAAGCAAAGAGGAGAAACACGAACTCCGGCAGTGGGCGACATGACGCGGTGGAAGTCCAGGAGGGACGCCGCCTTAGGTGGGGCACCAAATGGAGAAGGCATCTTGAATATGAGTTTTGAAAGGTTCTGGAAGAAGAATCAAATCTGCAGGTTGAATGTGGGAGTGCGTGTTATTGTGAGATCATTCGTGTAGGACGGAACCTCTTCTTATATCAATGAAGCTTTAGATGCCCATGACGTATTAGGCTAGAGTACCTCAGGGTCCACCATCGGTACCTTCCTCTATTGTATTCAAGTTCGAGAGTACCGAAGGTTGTCGGGGCCGATCGTTGTCGGATGGCGTTAAGACTGCGGAGGGGTAACATCTCGCGTGTTTGATGTGGAGAGCTTTGGTCATAGTAGATGTTATCTCCGCTAAGCTCCGAGTACATGTGTTTTCGAACTTCCCGCGTCGGACGAGTGCAAATTGTGTAGAATTTGTCCGTGACTAGAAGCTTCGGAGAGGCTCCAAGATGTGAAGCAACTTTCGACTGAAATTGTCGATGATTGGTAATTGTCGAATGTTCGGAGCTTTACGATGTTAACCAGGTCAGCAGTGTGCATGACGCCCCACCTCACTATACAACAGAAACTTGCATCATCGTTAAGTTCGCATTCCGTCTCAAACTACTCCATGGCTTGGATGGTCTTTGCTTCGCAAATAAGACACAAAAGCTCCGCGTGGAAGAAATCTATTTACTAGATATACGTAGGAAGATTTTATGTTCCATTTGCGGCTACAAGGACAACCTTGACCCAAGCTCATGGAAGCTGCCAACAATACACAATCCGATAGTAATGATGTACACGTGAACTTTTCAGGGTATCGGTACCATGCAAGACTCCATGTAAATGCAGCAAGGTGAAGAACAACAACAACAACAAGAGCACGTCTCTCTGTCCACTAATTTCTCTTCTTTTTCTTCTTCCTGTTCCGGCTCTTCTTCTTGGTATCCTCACCACCGACGTCAACTTCCGGTCCAACTGCGTCGAGGCGGATGTTTCCATATTTCTGTCGTATTTCAAGCTCAAAGCTGTCCTTCTCCAGCCTGAACAGCGCCATAGTAGCCCTGGCGTCTTCGACCGAGCTATGCGCACCGACTTGAATCTCCACACCCAACAGTTTCTCTGCTAACAGCTTCAGACCTGGTGTGCGCCCCGGTATTATGGCCAGCTCTCTGAATTTTGAGAACTTGGATGTATCGCGGATGAAGCGCTTGTCATGCTTCAAAATGAGCACGTCGAGATCGTTCTTCACCGCGTGACCAACGAGTATGCGCCCAGTAAGGAGGATCTTGAGGTCGTTTCGTACTTCGTCGAAGGGTCGCGCGACATCTTTGCGGAGATGCCTAGGCTCGATGCCTGAGACATGTGTTCGGTAGTCGGTGATTTCAATCTGTCGTGGTACCTGAACGTAGGAATCGTAGACTTGATGACCGTGAAAGTTGACTAGAGACACTCTTGCAAGCGCAGAGTCGCGGTTGGGCTCTGGTCCTACTCCCACCATCTCGCAATCTAATGCGACGTATTTGCCCGGCAGCGCTACCTCTGATACACCTTCATTCTCTACATCGGGGAAGTCGGGGTGTGGTTCGAGGATGGAGACAGCGGCAGCAGCGTCCCTCGGGTCGCTCAAAAGAGGCGTCTTCTTAAGAGAGGGCATTGAGACGCTCTTAGAAAGTGTTTTGGTGTCATGCTGCTTGACTGAGGCGCCTACAGACGCCGGCTCCTCCATTTTCTGTCGCTTTCTCGAGGGTAGAGGTTTTCGCGGTGTGTTCTTCTGTGAGCCGTTTACAGACTTTACTGATTCATCTCCGTGCTTCCCATTGGCGTGCTGCGTTCTCTTGCGCTTGAGTGAAGACTGCGTCTCTTCTTCGAACTTCTTGCTCTTCGGAGGTGTTGCCGGCGTTGAAGGCTTCAGTCGCTGTTGCAATATCTTCCAGTTGCTGGACAGAGTGCCGAGGTCGATTGGAGCCATTTTGTCGTCACCTGCAAGGCATAGCGGTGTGGGAATCGTCCTGTCAATGGTTGTCGCGAATGTTGGCCGTTTGGCTTTCTCCGCTCAGTCCCCGTGAGCAAAAGTTCAAACGCGCGCTAGCACATTCCAGATGTCGGCTCGACGCGACGCAAAGGCCCGATCGGCAGGCGGCAACATCGCGACAAAGGACAGCACCCCCAACATCATCGCGACATCAAACTTCACAACGTGACCTAAAATCTGCAATAATTGAGGAGCACACGGCGCATCACTATGGCGCCTCGAGAAAACTCTCACGAGCCCTCCGGCACGCCGGCGCCGGTGGAAACAGGCTTTGCTACTCTTGCACAGTTGAGGTAAGTGCGACACCATGCGCAAAATCTGAACACGTATGCTGATGCACTGCGTGCAGGACTGGTGTGAAGGCGTGGGTTGAGAAGGTACGTGGATAGTGATGCGCGACGCGAGCCCCAGGAGCATGATCATCAAGATGAGAAACACCAACACTTTCTAGGCATTTCGACTAACACAATACAGGATGGCGAGAAGCGCAAAGCCGAAATACTGTCGATTCAAACACGGCAGGGCAGGCCCAAGTTTTACGTTCATTATGAAGAGTTCAACAAACGTTTGGATGAATGGATCGAAGCCGAACGGATAGACTTGTCGAGAGAAGTGGAGTGGCCTGCGCCCGAGAAAGCAGACAAGAAGAAGGGCACTGCCGTCAAGACCGACAAGGCACCCTCAAAGTCTGATCAGAAGAATCTCAAGCGATCACGCAGTAAACTTGATCGCGAGATCTCAGGCACCCCAGAGTCAACGTCTAGCAATCTACCAGGCAAAGCACCAAGGCCGTCTAAAGCAAGTGGCAAGGAGAACCAAGAATTGATAGTCACCAGCGAAGTTATAGAGGGGACACCAAAACCTGAGGATGAGGAGATGGATCTCGTCGACGTGCAGGACGCTGCCGCAGCAGCCAAGGCCATGCCACCCCAGGATTATTCGAGAGAAGACGAAATCGAAAAGCTCCGTACGTCAGGATCCATGACGCAGAACCAGACCGAGATCTCGCGAGTGCGTAACTTGGAGAAGATTCAGATGGGCAAATTCGAGGTCGAACCTTGGTACTTTTCACCCTACCCAGTCGACTTTGTGGATTCAGACGTAGTCTACATTTGCGAATTCTGCCTCTCCTACTATGGCGAAGTAACGCAATTCGAGCGTCATCGCACAAAGTGCCATCTCCTCCACCCACCAGGCAACGAGATATACCGAGACGATTATGTATCCTTCTTTGAGATTGACGGGAGGCGACAGCGAACATGGTGTCGGAATCTCTGTCTACTTTCGAAACTCTTCCTGGACCACAAGACGCTCTACTACGATGTCGACCCTTTCTTATTCTACTGCATGTGTACCCGCGACGAACATGGATGCCATTTCGTAGGCTACTTCTCCAAAGAGAAGGAATCAGCAGAGGGTTACAACGTGGCTTGTATTCTCACGCTCCCTCAGTACCAACGGAAAGGCTTCGGTAAACTGCTCATCGACTTCTCTTACCTTCTTTCTAAGCGCGAAAACAAACTCGGATCTCCAGAAAAGCCCTTGTCTGATCTGGGTCTTCTTGGGTATCGTGCCTACTGGCAGGAAATTCTTGTCGACATCCTAATGGAGCCTGGCCGTACAGAAGCGAATATCGAAGATCTGGGTGCTGCAACTGCGATGACCACCAACGATGTTCTACACACCTTGCAGAATTTGAACATGCTGCGATACAGCAAAAATCAGCATGTTGTTGTACTTACAGATGCAGTTATTGCGCAACGGGAGAGGCAGAAGGCGAAGGAGAAGCTGAAAGGCAAGAGGAGCATTGATCCTGATCGTCTGATTTGGAAGCCACCTGTGTTCTCGGCGGCAAGTCGGACATGGAACTGGTAAATGCTTCCTCCGGTTACTTCTTTCCGCATCGTGAGGATCGGTTTGGCGCATGGCGTTGTCCGTTTACTCCTTTATAGTATACCCAAAGTCCCATTGATATCATTATAAAATGTCCAGCACCTTCTTACACTATGCTGCTTTCTCTATATCTCCCTCTTCATCCAGTGCTGTCCAACCACTCAAAACACATCATCCTTGTTGCAGCATCCTCAAATCTCCACTCTAGCAACACCTCTCTTCGCGCATCTTCTCCAAGTCCTGCCACCACCTCACTAGTCTTCAACATGTCCCTCAACTCATCAACCACATCTCCCATTCGAATACCTCTTTCTCGCTCAATCCTCACACAGCGCTGCTGCCACTCTCTCCTCGCCCCTCTGCGCAGCACATTCCCATATTCCTGATCCCACACCGCCCCTTCCACACAATAAATCTCCACACTCCGGATCGCAGGCCTTGTCAGGTACGCCTCCAACCCTCTCCACTCCTGCATCTCCTTCTCACCCCCTACGAACCAGTCATCAAACTCCGCAGCACTCGACTTTGTTCTAACACAAACCCCCATCTCTCCCTGCGTTATCTCTTCCAGCCCGCCAACGAACTCACACAAATACTTCCCCAACCAAGGATGCAAGTACTGGCGCAGCCCAGAAAGAAGACTACTGTAAGCACTTTCGTGCCAGAAGTAGTGGTCGTCAGAGATATCTAATAGCACTCCTGCGTTCTGCCATTGCGTTGTTCGAAGGAGGATGTCCTGGGCGACAGATGAAACGGGCCATGGCAGTTTCTTGAGCGTCTGTGGTCTTGTAGTAGTGTAATTATGTGAAGACAGAGTGCTGGGTAGAGGAAGGAGCCGAGGAAGGAGGTTGAGCCGGAGTGTTTCTTTCCAGTGTCTGGAGACAGATGCACAAGTAGAGAGATCTGAAGGGGGGAGGAAGGAGATGATTTGTATGAGGATTTCGGGGAGGAGGAAGATACGATGCATATTTTGATATGAGTGGTAGCAATGAACTTGGATTGGGGCCTGACATAAAGGTCAAGATGAGCTGTATATGACTACCGAATTAGTACAAGAGGCGGAAGCAAGCTGAATCGCCTACTCCGCTACACCGTCGCATTACCTTGGATACTTCGATAGTTTTGTACAATAGGTAGTCAGCCATCTCACGTCAGCCGTGCAATCAATGTCGTGCTTAGAGGGCGGAAGCAACCTGATTCGTGGGATAAGGCGCAAGGCGGAAATGCCGGGTATCTTGAAAGTGCTTGGCCTGATTACTGATAATTGCCCTTTTAAGACATGATAATCAAGCTTTGTAGTCTCACGCCAACGCAGCCATCAACCCCACAATACCACCCGAACCAATAGCCACCGCCCGAAGCATATTCAACTTACCAAACTTGTCTAACAGATCGTTTACTTCTTTATCCTCCGATTTACTACTCTCCCTTTTGGTCTTCTCTTGTGGCACACTCAAGTCCTTCCATTGACTCACATCATCCTTGCTATTCACAGACTCATCAGCGCTCCGTTCCTTTGATCCCGCCTTTTCTCGATACTCGGCGGATGCTGCACTCCGGCTCCCGCCCAATTCTTCGTTCTTCTGGATAAGGGCAAAGTTGGTCGGTATCATGAAACTGGTGATTGGTGCGATGCTGAAGGAAAGTACCGCGGCCGCGAGGTAGAGACCTGGCTTCCCCTTCACAGCATGCTGGAGCAACGACGATGTTGAATTGATGGACGAGGCGGGGAGAGAGTTGTAAGCGAGATAGATGAAGCCGGAAGCAGAGGTGATCGCGGCTGTTGGGAAGGTATGAGAGCCCCGTGAGAAGAGCCAGCGTATCATGGGAAGAGAGCGAGATGCCGGCTGTGATTGTACGATGGGTATGTCGAAAAAAGATAAAGCTGCGATACCGCCCGACGCTAGCAACGCAGTGGATATGCTTAAGATTTGTATGGTCTGTGTTGCTGACATATTGTTGGGATGGCGTGAAATTGAGTTCTTGGATATTGTTGCAGATATCAAAGGAGATGCGAGGAATACAAGAAAAAGAAAGACAAAAAGCTGTTTTCATATATATTATAAGCGTCGATGTGGTAATTTTGCTGGTGCACATGTAACGCGTTCCGTGGATTCCGAAAAGATAATGGTCGTCGAGATGATGTCATAGTGGCCTAAGACCAGCCATCGCGTTTCTCGTACTAGACGAACATTTCGGTCGCGGCGTCTACTGATCCCGACATTGTCGCAAGATCGGTAACTCTACTCAGTCCGCTTGCGCACCTTGGGCAATGCGAACCAACAAACCATCATGACGGCGTACATACCAATCGCGACAGGGTGAAGTACCCAAGTACCTACGGAATTAGTCAATCAGTGTTTGCGTTTAGGACAGAGGAAGCTTACCGGATGCTTGCGCGAGGACACCAGTTGTGAATGGAGCGACTGCACCACCCGAACTGCCTGCTCCTCCGATGAATCCAATTGCCGTGGTCTGAACGTGACGAGGCATGAGGCGTGAAAAGATGGTCTGCGCGCAAGGGTAGACAGGGCCCAATAACAAGCCCAGCAAGCATACAGCGACCGCATTTCCGATCAAGTTCGGCGTCAACCATGCCAGAAGCTGAAGGCCTACTGTGCCGATTGTGAGGATGACGACAAAGTTCTTCTCGCCTATCTTGGGCGCAGCGTGAGTAAGTACAAAACGACCAAGAGTGATGCCAGCCTATTCGATAATTAGCATATTCGTAACAGTGTAAAGGCATTTTACATACCCAGAAGCCTGCTGTAACGTATCCAACCTTGGCAGGGTCCCCGTTACGGTAGTTGATGAGGTACGAGATGAACCAGCCTGAGATGCTCACTTCGGCTCCTTGGTATGCGAAAATGAATAAGGCGCCAAAGATGGTCACCTTGTTTTTCAAAGCGAGCTTGAGGTTCTTCAGCTTTGACGCGGCGTTCTCTGCAGAAGTTTGCCTGCTCGTCGTGGTTTCCAAGAGGGTCTCCTCGGAGTCTTCCGTGTATGACCAGAAGGACCATGCTGCGAATGCGATACAGCAAATTCGCAACCCCACGGTCAGAAAGTAGAAGCGTGACCACAAGACTCCTTGCGAAACGATTGCTGTCCCGATAATGGGTGCGACTATTCCTCCGACGCCATAACTACCATGCGCGAGGCCAAGAATGACGCTTGGTGGATGCGTGTTCGCACAGTAGACATTGTTAAGTGCTAGGTTAATGGCGGCACCAAATCCTAGGAGGAAGAAACTGTTGTTGTTGTTAGCGGTGCGTTACTGATGTCTCGGACTGCACACTTACGATACGACGACGAGAGGATAAGGAGGCGTGCACACAAGAATGATGTATGCAGAGAGTTGTATCAACTCTGCGAAGATCAAAGTCTTTGCTCTTCCGAACTTGCCCAGAATCATATTCGTAAAAAAGGCGGCAGATATGAACCCAATGGCATTGCCAACGAAGACTAGGGACATGATGGAGTATGAGATATGATAGTACGACTCCATGTATGGGATCAAAGCACCAACGACTTGCCGCTGGTCAGTATTTATCCACAGCATAATACCATGAACATGGTGTACAAGTTCAAAGTCGTGGTCTTTCTTACCTGAATCATTTATACCGTTTGAGAAGTAGATCAAGCAGCAGCACAAGATCCTCCATTTGGTCATTGGCTCAGCGTTCCACAATCTTTCTCTACCGACCGCTTCTTCTCGATTCGGTGTAGCCGGTCGACTCATTTCAAGCTCATTGGGGGTTATAGGTGTCTGCGTGCCCTTTGGCATATCAAACTCTGAGACCAATCCTTGGCGACCATTGTCTGTTTTGCTAGAGGCGAAATCTGTGAGTTCGACATCCGGCAACACACCTACATCATCGAGTGCTTGAGGTGCTTTGCCTTTGCTCTTCTGGTACGTCGGTTCTGGATTGGTGATTTTTGACGTAGGTTGCATGTCGAATAAGCTGTGGAATGCGGACGACATGTTGGCGGTGTTTTCAATCGGCGGTGCTCTCTTGCGGCCTTGAAGAGCGAATGTCAAAGCCTTGAGCTATGCAACTTGGGAACGGTCACCTTTCAATCGTGTCTCAGGCTGTAGGAAGTACCGAAGAATCCACGTTCAACATGAAGGGAAGAGTCATAGATAAGAAGGTCTGCCGAGCACTGACTATACGGAAAACTCAGACCCTTAAGATGGTAGTCTACGAAGTGCTCAACGAAAGCGACTAACCAAATCAAAGGGCTGAGGGCGCAATCGCTGAGAAATCGGGAAACGCATGATTACCACATCCTGCTAGATAGAGAACCACCGGTCCCGGCTTCGGACCTATCACAGGCAATGAAGTACGTATCTTGTGGTCGCGCTCCAGCAGTGTGGGGATCGTGAATGGTCACCAAGTCGATCGTGAAGCTCGTGAATCATTCTGCAGCGAAACAGACGCGTCTACTTCTGCAGACAGCTGTTCCAGAACAGTAACGGATCCGACAGTTGGAGAAAGACAGGGCCTGGACCAGTGAGTGGAAAGTCGCTTTGCCTAGCTGGTCGCGAAAGTGCGAGTTTGGGGGTTTCGGAGCGGTGAAAACTTCCCCGCGGGCTCGGCGAACCTTTCCTACTTGGAAATTTCCAAGCCCCCCTCCAATACTGCACCACAACTATCGCCGTTAATAATTACCCCTCACACTGCTTACCCAAGCTCTGCTCCAGCATGGCCCGTCCAAAGCGTAATGTTCTTGCCACGATAGACAGTACCATTATACCGCCTGACGCCCTGTCGCCAAACCACGTCATCGCGCGTATTACCAAAGCCGAAGGGAAGAACATTTACGCCGCCGAGCTACCAGATGGCAAGCCTGTCCTCGCCGAGCTAGAAGCGAGGTTCAGATCGACGGTATGGATCAAAAGGGGTAGCTATGTGGTTGTAGATACTTCTGCGTTGGCAGACCGGGAGAACAAGCTGGACGGAGAGATTGTGAATGTGGTTCGTGACGAGAAGGCCTGGAGGAAGATGAGCTACTGGTATGTTCCAATTGGGTATCGTATAGTATGTGTACAGAGCGCTAATAGCATAATATACAGGCCCAAGGAGTTCGTGAAGAAGTCCACCTATGTTGAGGATAGCGACGAAGAAGAATCGACCGTTGGAAAGATGCCGCCTACCGACTCAGACGAAGACTGAGCCTTCGATCGCACTCACTCGGCGTGCTCATGATCCTCCTCGATTATGCCCTTCGTCACACCTTCATAATCCTTCCTCGTTCCCCACCACACGCCCGCGACTGTGATCGCCAGAACGCCTACAACCGTTGCCGAACTCGCCGGTGTACTCGGGTACACATTCCACGCCCACTCTTGCGCGCCCCATAATGCATATACCACGGCCGGATTGAAACCTGCTTTCCACAACAAGAATGGTGTGCTCCACGCAATGTACGAGTAAAACTGGTAGTGCAAACTCCTCGCGCAAAGTAGTCCGATTGTCATCGCGGTCAGCATCGTCGTCATGATAAAGTCCGGGGTGATCTTGCTGGACATGGTGTCTTGGTCCCGGGGCTCTATGGCTGGAATACAGAGTTTGAGGAACTCGCGGACGTTGCGCTTCGAGGGCTTGATCCAGCGGGTTCGGGCATACCAGATGAGGAGGCCAACATGCAGAGCGAGTAGGCCGACAGCGAAGGGCCGGGAGAGGAATGTAGATTCCGGGACGAAGCGCCAATTCACGGTCCATTTGTAAAGGAAGACACGGCTGAGTTCGAAAGCGCGGGCAAAGTAACTGGGTGCGCGCTTCCTGAAGGGGTAGCCATATAAGACCTATGCATCAGTTAGCATTGATACCATACGATGTGCCACCTGCATCTTATCTCCAAAAACTTCAAACAAGCGGGAATCAGAGATACTTACTGAAACCTGCACAATGATCATGGCCTGTGTCAATGCTTCTCTCCCACCCAACTTCATCACCATCAGAATGCCCATTGCGGGCAATGGCAACAACAAGCTCATCTTGACGTTCAGGCCTGTGCTATACAGCGCACTCCCCAAATGCCATTGATTGCGCTGGTAGCAGTAAACAGCCAACCAAAAGAATAAGACCGCGAAGCAATCGTTGAAGCATCGCAGCATGAAAATACTATGCATACGTTTTGACAAAATCAACAGCGGAAAGATGTATGGCGGGACCTATCAGCATGTTAGCATCGACTACAACATCTGCACCTTCATGCCAGCCTCCACCAACAACAAACAGAACAGGAGAGTACTCACTCTAGCCTTCCTATAACATTGAAACACCACACCAAGCGTAAGCAAATACACACCGGCGAAGATATATTGCGCAAGGCCTATATCCCGCCCTTCATCCGTCCACTTGTACAGATGCTTGTAGATCCATACATGCGCACCAGGATACACAAGCGGACCTGTAGAACCAGCAATGTTCTTATAGTCGCGCTCGCCTTTAAGGTATATGGAAATCTGCTGCATATATGTTGTCCAGTCTATCTCTGTATCTGAAAAGCCATCGTTGTTAGGACACGTGGTGTTTTGTGAGAGTAAGACAGGAGAGCACGAACAGGGTATCTTCTCGATTATCACGCCTGAGAGCGCGGCGTCTGCAATGAGTAGGAGAGGTGTCATCCATCTTGTGTGATCAGGATTGTAGGCTAGGTCTTTCGCGCGCGCGAAGAGTGACATGGCGGGCTGTTGTTGCACGCGGATTTGGTGATGGCGAGTTCGCGGGTTGACGATGGTGTTATAGTTCGCGTCGCGTGTCACGTGGGCAGGAGGTTCGAGGTTTCAAGGATGACGATTTCGCGCGACATGTGTTTCAGGCATCTGTTCCCTCGTGCGAGGTGTAAGTGGTGGTTTGATGTGGGGTGGATGGTTATTTTGGGGTCTGCCAGGTTTTAGGGTGTTGCAAATGTTCTTCCGTATTTTTGATGGTAAGTGCGAGTTCCCCACGGTAACGGACTTCCACGATTCTATCACAATCTGTATTCCAAGTATGATGGCTAACCGAAGAGCCGTCATTGGCTTCGCATCATCTATAATATGATACCTGTGCGCAATTGGCTGCGTACCTCCGTGTCTGCTCCAACCACATGTCACGATAGTTCCAACAAGACCAGTAGTAAACTTGAATGACCAGATAAGTGGTTGTATTAAGTCTAAGCAATAAGGAATGTCTATCTTGGAAGCGCTAATAAAAATTTACAAGAGAAGTTGATGCATTTTGTATGCTCGACCACCCACCGCTTACTCGTCCTCGGGGAGGGTGACGAGGGTGATGTAGGCGTCGGAGACGCCCTGGCAGACGAAGTCCTTGGGGCCGTTACCGCCAGCGCGGCAGTAGTTAGGAAGAGTGGTGGTAGCGACATAGGTGATGCTGAAGGAAAAGTTAGTACATCTGAAGATGAGGAGTATTCGAGAGTATGGGGGAAACTTACTCGTCGCTGACCTTCTGCTTCAGGAGCAGACCGCTGCGGTCGCTGTCGAAAGAAAAGTCCATGAAGCTGTTCTCGCCGCAAGAGTACCACTTGTGGTCCTCAAGCTTGTCCGCCTGAGCAGAGCAGGTGAAGTCGAGGGTTCCTCCGTTGGTGGCCTTGATGTTGAAGCCTAGGCTGTTGTAGTAGGTTCCCTCAGGCTTGCGTCCGTAGAACTCAGAGATCTTCCAGACGTAGTCACCCTGGGTGGAGACAGGGCAGGATGCAGTGTCCTGGCGAGACTCAAGGGGAGCGGCGGCGGCAAGGCCGGCGGCGGCGAAGAGAGAGGCGATAGTGGTGAACTGCATTTTGAAGGAGTTGGGTTGAGGTTACGGTTGAAAAATGGAGTGTTTGGTAGTTGAGTAAGTTGTTGTTGGATGGGAATGCTGTTGTTGGATGATGAATTGTAAACAGGATACTTGCCTAGCATTATATATTCATCGCACCTCGTATCTGGGGTATCCTACTACTGCCACGATCATCATGTCCGTCCTGTTCCAAGATTCAATACGAGGCAATTGACATCAAGCGTCCCCCTTGGACATACCCACAAGAACACACCAGAATGGCATACCATGAAAACTTCTCTAGAAACACGAGCATCGACCCATGCCGACAGCGCCGAGAAGCCACTACTACCCCATTTTTGGAGGCTCAGTACCCTTGCTAACGGTGACACGAGCCAGTAGCGGCATCCGGGGTGACCGGATGAGGCGACAACACGTCCTATCCGGACAGTTGGTAAACCTAGCGGCGCTTGGATCATGCCAAATATACGAGATGTGACGTTTAGGAGGATGAATTAGGTATGCACAGTAGCATCGTGCGCTGGCCGATCGGCCGTACAAGAACCCACTTCCGAACGCTAGCGGCATGACGTCCTGGGCTACAGGTATTCTAGTTGCTGTTACCATACATGTACTGTACGATGGTGGGAGGCGACTGCACCTTCAAGATCGATATTGTTTCGGTACGTACTGCAACGCTCGAGCAAGAACAGCAGTACCTAGGTAGTCTATCGGTTCACAGTGAAGACCTCTTCTGTGCTGAGATGCCGGATCGGATCGCTGTGGATCATGGAGAACACGGCCATGCGAATGATGACTTCAATTTACTAGAGTTCCATGTCGGTCCGTCCCCGAACGTCGAGCGGCCACATCGTCCACCGTGTGGTGACCCGAGTGCGATTGCGAGTTCACTAATCAGTAAACAACGTTTTCTATATGCAGCATGAATAATTAGCATGAAGATCTCTCGTGAACGAAGGATCGAAATACGACCTCGCTTGAGATTGAACCGACGTGTCGGAAGGTTGAGCCGTGAATGCATTGCATCATAGAGCCGGTTGTGACGGGTGTGGCTGCCGATCATCTGGATGGCTCGTGTTCAGGGTCCACGCTCAAAAAGCGGGGCTTGCTATCAACACCACCACTAATGCCCGATCGGAGTTGCTCCGGTGGTACGCTACCTAAGCATATTGCTATTTCTGGACCCGCAATCGAGAACTCAGCCTTGAACCAAGAATGAAAAAGCATACGTCCTACGTAGAGACTCATCTGACCTGAGGGAAATACATGAGTGGCAACAAACTCTCAATGGTGGCGCCTACCGTGCGTGAAGAAATTACAGATGTACACCGCGATAATCTGAGACTGTGCACAAATGTTGCACGGTTGCTCTCGGTCATTTACGAAGATCTGGATATTAAAGTTGGGGAGTGACGGCACCAGTCATTTCCTCCGGACATGACTGAACAGTTTGCTAATTACAATCGGAGTCTGACGGATCGATGTCTTGCACTGGAAACAACGACACTGGATGTGACATGGTATTTCGGATGCTGACAACGATTGAGCGAAGTATCGGAATACTCGTCCATGGCCTATCGGCGAAAAGGATACCGGCATCATAATACGGATTATCATACTATTCGTACTTTCAGGAACAGCCGAAAGTATGGGGCGACAAGACACCGGCATATATGGCAGTGCATTCCGACTTTGCTTGGCTCAAGCTACGTCAGGTGGTTGCGAAAGCGTATGAAAGGTGTAAGATGCACACGAAGTGGTTGATAAGATGCTGGCAGTGCACGCACTGGTCACAATGAGGGGTAGGACGAAGAGCTAACAGGGGAGAAGCAAAGGATCAATTTTTTTCGTAGCCAGGACGATACATCTTGGAGGCATTGTTCAAGTGACAATAGATTGTGCACCCATCCACAAATCAAGGCATGAAACCGAGCTGTTAGAGTCGCCAACGTCCGTTGTAAGAATGGAGCCACGAATAATATCCCAGTGTAGCGGACGCAGAAAACATTAGGAAGAAAGGAAATGTACAGCGGTTGGTACCCGCCTTGCTAAACAGGATGACACCCGCTGCAAAGCTGTGAAGGGTGTGAGGTCACACTGCTATGTTGATGCTCTAGGAATTGGGTACGTAGAAAATTCTGTCACCAAAATCGTACGTCATTGTCTTTCTAGTTATATGCAGTTCTTGCGCTACTTCGTGCACATGCTTCACAAGGGAACCAATATCAGCGATCTTGCTTGACTGGACCTAACAAGATAGATGCAAGCACGGTCACATTTGAACAAGAACAAGCGGACTTTATGGGTATGCTGATCAACTCGATCAAAGCCCATGAATGCATTCGGTAAATAGTGTTAGGTGAAACGTGATGAAATCCCAATATATCTTCTGAAAAAGATTTGTCAAACGCCGACCATGCAGACATACGCCATCAAATAGTTATTGATTTGAACCTCCAATCCTTGCCCACTTGTAGCTTAACCCCAAGTTCCACCCTCAGGATCCCGCCTCTTTCTTTACCCAAAATAGAAGCCTTGTGGAATTTTAGAGATCCTAACGGCGGTAACGATCGAATTTGTCGAGCAAGCGCTTGATCGATGCAAGCAGACCACCAGCATAGTCTTGTTGGGAAGTCGCTGGCGGAGACAGACCTGCTTCTAGATATCCGAGCTCAAGTTCGTGGGGATCGCTATCATAAGACCCATTGAAGATGCTGCGAGATCGTAGACCAGCCGTGTCAAAATAAGGCAGACCGCTCGTCCGTCGTCCTTCAGGCAGACTGCTTTCGGATGAGATGTTGGGGACCGAGTCATTGCCAACCCTCTCCTGGCCATTTAGCTGCTTGATAATATAGACCGTCAGGTCGCACAGATAGAAGCTGAGCGGGATGGCTATAGCAAGTGCGAAGAACGGATCAAGTTTGGTACGATCCAGCCAGTAAGTTCGTACTGATGCGAACGCCATAAGAACAAGCGTCGCGAATATACTGATAGTTGATGCGATGAAGCAGAACAGCTTCCCTCCGTCATTACGAAGCATCACAAGCTCACAGTATACGAGCATGAACATACCGTAGCCAAAGCCTGTCGCCAGTCGGATGATTCCTGTATCATCCGTGCCATCGTTGCTTGATGGTGCGCGGATCGATTGGAGCACTGCTGCAATACACAGCATGCCAAAGAAGGCCGATGTCTCCTTCTTGAAGTATCGGAACCATATGGCGATGATGAGACATAGAATCAATATTATAGCCGGAGCGACGAGAAAAGCGCATGATACCAGGATCTCTTCGAGCATAGCTAGGCTTCGCCGCTTCCACATCGGTTGTACGTCGGCATTCGGACTCTGCGCAGTGACAGTGGGGCTGAATAGTGCTAACAGCATCCATAGCGCAGAAGGACGCTGTGAGAATACTGATCTTGTTCTCCTGAGAGCCCTTGAACGTTGCGCGGTCTCGATCGAATCGTATCTGCCCGGGCTTGTAGCGATCGGCTTCTCGATGGCGAAGGCCTCGAGCAATACCAGATCATTGGAAGAGTCGAGGAATGCAGCTACGTCTATGTTGCCATCTTCGTTTGTCTGAGGTAACGTTGAGAAGTCCTTATAAGCGAGGGCAACAAACCTCGAAGGAGATTCCTTTAGAGTCTTTGTAAGGGCTGATCCGTCCTTTTTGTCTAGGGGTAGCGATGATCCATCGTTGGCCGAAATGTGAGAGCAATGCCGGAAGACAGATTGTGCGTCACCGTTTACGTACAAACGGTATCCACCATCCACGACAAGAACGGATCCGACAAACTTCTGACCAGACCAGACCCGAAAATTGTTTGCTTTGGCTCTTTCTGACCAGACGTTCAACTCAAGGCTTTTTCTCGCAAATTCAAGTAGCGCATAGTCCGATTTAGATCCTACCCAAACAAAGCCAACCCCATAGCCCATGGTACTAACAGCGATCGCTTGTCTGAGTAGTGTATCAAGTTTACTTTCTTCTTTGCTTGGAGAGTACAATGCAGATGGGTCACTCGTAGAGTTGATCGTAGACTTAAATATATAGCGAAGTGGGCGGGCCACACGCTTGGTGTCTTGTGTTGGTGTGCCAGTATTGTTGAAGTAGGTAGTGATCGAGCGAGCCAAGGTTCCATGACTTCGAGGCTTTCGTACGAGTCTGCTTTCTCTGAGTGTATCTGTGACACATTCGGCAAGGAATGTAATGAACGAAAAAGCCGTGTTTGCGAACTCGATGATGAGGGCGTTCCATGTGTATGTGCAGCCTTGTAAGAACAAATCGTAATCGTCATGCATAGAGTCTTCACAGCGATCCAGTACATTCTTTCCGTACAAGGAACGTTGTCCGGTTGCCGTGACCAAGAAAGTCCCGAGACCATCAACTACTCTGGATCCTGACAGGATGAGCGGGTCAAGCTTGGTGCTTGAAGAGTCGTGTATTGCACTACCCGGCGTTTTGGTAGACAAGCCAGACTCGCCTGTGATGAAAGACTCATCGCACTTGATGTTGTAACCCTCAACGAGTATGCCATCTGCAACGACCATGTCTCCGGGCTCCAAATGAACAACATCGCCAGCAAGGATCTCCTTGACGAGTATCTCGTATGTCTGGCTCGCTCGTACCACTTTGACAAGTCGATCTTCTTTCTGCCTTTGTCTGTCAGCGGACTTCTCTTTCCTTCTGCGTCCTTTCCAAGCCGCTAGCATAGTGCTAATTCCAATGACAGCAAATGTCGCGGCAACGAAGCGTAGTTCGCAAGGACTTTGCAGCTGTACATATAACGCGCAAACAAGCTGCGCGACAGCTGCAGCGCTGAGCAGGACGAGCACCTTGGTATCGTACGTCTTCAGTATCAGTTGCCAGATATCTATCGGTTTACGCCCAACCGGCCTTTCTTCGGAGAATATGCGCTTGCGGTCGGCGAAAAGGTTCGATGAGCTCGCGTGATTTGGTGTAGAACTAGAGCGAAGGTCTGTAGGGATTCCAGGTCCCTCTTGGCTAGAATCACGGGAAAGTGGCGGGCTCTTGATAGTATCCTCCCATAGTTCAAAACAATCGAGGCGCGCTTCGTCGATGCTCAGGCCAGCCTTGACGTCGGTTCGGAGACCCTTTGCAATTCCTTCAAGACCACCGAGCGCATGAAAAACACCGAGACTTTTCGGATTGTAGAGCATAGACAGCTGATCCGGGGAAAATGCGAATGGATTGTTTTGCACCTTAAAATCTGCTTCCGTGCCATCGTCAGGTTTCGGTGCTTCGGCTTTATTTAGTATCGTAGTTGACACGGGTTCGGCCGCAGTCACGGTTGGTTGCGAGAATGATCCAGATGTGAGTTCGGGAGAGGTCGAGTTACCCCTAGGTCGAGGGCTTGGGACGGTGAGCCAGCCTGTAGTTTTGCATCCTACAGCGGCTGAGCTGATCTTGTGCGGGCTTGTTGGCCGGATCTCTCTGTTGTCAAGGATTAGTGACTTAATCTACTGGTATGACTTGAGGCTAGTGGTCCGTACTGAATATGATGCTCTGGCAAGTCCACCAGCAATCTACCGCCGGCTGGGAGCCCTCGCGCACTCATATTTGGGGACCCTCGGTAGGCGAACCCTCGCAACAGTGAGTATCTCCCGGGGAATGGAGGCGACGCAGCTGATTTCTAGAATCCTGTTGACACAATCTTGAGTGAAAGCAATGGTGGTCGATGACATTCAACTGTAGCGTCGGAGGGGATATGAGATGCTAGAGAACAGAGCGCAACGGAAGCAACGCGAAGAGACGGGTGGCAGACATGAGAAAGAGCCGGAAGATGAGATTGAGCAAATGTTGCCCAGTCCCAAGTGTGGCTGTAAACTCAAGGCGACCATACAGATTGTGCCACGGGACAGAGCTGACATGCAGCCAGCGCCCTTCGACACAGCCCAGCTGAAGGACCTCGACCATCCGCAACCTCTATTGCCCAACCTTACCCAGCCTCCTCAAAATCACCCCCAAGCCGTGTCAACGGCATAACATGATTGCGCATCTACCCCACCACCGACACGAGAACCTCTCATTTTCACGATCCTCTTGCGCTACTCCACCATGGACGACATGTTTGCAGAGTCTTGTCCTCTAATGCCCTCGCTTCTGGAGCTCACATCCCGCTTTACCCATACTCGATTGGACTCTCCTGCGCCAGGTTCTTACCGAAGACTCGTGCGCATAGTCAATCTGTCGGTGTTGCATATGGAAGACCTAACAAGGACTGGAACAGAGATAGGAGAAGACGCTATAATATACAAAGATTGCATAGCTGCTTTCGAGAAGACACAACACCATGGTCCCGCGGAACACATTCGAGATTTTCTGGACGATATGACAATGCAGCAAGAGTGCCACGGTCGATCGGAAAGGTCGCTTATATGGATTGCTGATAACACTGAAGTCGATCTGATTTCCCGGGCGCTACTCCGAGCGGATCGGGACTCAAACAGGCGAAGCGACGCACACAAATCCATGCTCGAGTCCACGTATGGTGTTATCAGGCTGCAGAGCCATCATCGAAAATTCCTTCGTAGCTGGATACTCACTATAGGCCAAGCGAGCTCGTATTGGCTTCTTCGAAACTACGAAGTCTCTCGAGATCCCACTACATCAACCGTTTCGGTTCTCATGCTGTATGCCGAAACATTGCGCACTCCATCAGCGGGCGTATTTGTCATATCAGCACTCCTGTACGGTGTCTTCGCAATGCTCCAGTACCATATCAACCGAGCGGACTACTTCCAACAAATCTGCTTGATCACCGGACTCGCGGCGGGTCTCTTGCTTAGTCCATCTGTTCCATTTACCGTACCAGAGTCGCCGGTATGCGTGCACATATTCGCAGCTGCAACGAGCGTGGCAATGGTGTGCAGTGCTTGCGGTCACTGGGTCTGGCGGACGTTCTTCAGTACACGAGAAGCTAGACTAGAGAAGAAGCTTGCAGAATGGGGGGAGGATGCAAGGGACATGGACAAAAATACACATGTCGTTAGATTTTGCGAGCTGGCTTAACCAAGCGGTATATCGATTGTGGTAGGGAGCGGTGGATAAGCTGGAGTACGGCGTCAGTGGTTTGCTATTGGAAGGGATAAGCGTTTTAATCTTGAACATGTATTTATTCAGGCTGCAGGACGGGAAAATTCAGGACATGGTGTCGTAACTAGATGGACTGAATCGCATGAGAGATCTACTCCCATTGCGTGCCCTTTAGTCGTTGCATGAGATACTCGACTTCAACCTCCTTGGTCAAGGGAATGACCCAATCCTGTAGAACTTGTTAGAAGGTATCTACGGAGAGTCCCAGCAGAATGAAATACCTTGTACATGGCGACTACTGCATCTGCATTCACTTTGGACGATCCATTTGCGCCTAGGTCCGGGTCTGTGCCGTATGTCTTTGCCTTCAACCTCAGTCTCTCGAGCACCTTCTTCTCCACCGCAGCATTTGTGATGGCCTCGTCGATACCCTTCCTGTCCTCGTCCTTGATCAACTTGACGAAGCGCTCCGTCTCCTGTTGGAACTTGGCTTCGGCTACAAACTTGCCAAAGTGTATCCGCCTGGATAACGACTGGATGGTCATAACATCGCACGTCGCAGAGGATCCGTAGTTCTCCTGCGACTCTCCCCTATCCTCGCGGTCTGTGGGTAGGCATGCTGCGGGCAGGATGTGCTTGATGTAGCAGTCCTTTAGTTGGGCGTTGACGTTGACGTTGTTGGGGTGGAGGATCTGCGGGTAGTTGAGGGGCTTGAGGATGGGCTCCTGGAGAACTTCTGGGAAGAAGGGGTATTCATCGGGCGACTGGTAGCGACGGACGAGGGACTGTAGGCGTTCCTGCTCACGGAGCATCCAGTCGAACAGGCTGGTGTCGGGCTCGCCAATGTCGACGCCGCCAGGGACGTAGATGGTCTTGTTCAGAGGGAACTGGACGCGCTCTATCAGGTGGAAGGTGATTGTATCCTCTAGACGACTATTCGCCGTCAGGTTGACTCACGCGCGCATAGTGGGGATCACGTACATGAGCTGGAAGCGGATGTTGGCGAGGTCAAGCGCCTTGGAGGCATCGGAGAGGTCAATCGCCGCATCCATGATTACACCAGAAGAAGGGAAAAGAGAAAATACGCGAGTGCAATGTGTGTGTAGCCATGGCAGTCGACGGTGGTGATACAAAGACCAAGTACCCGACCATCGGCGTTGCTCTTCGGCCCATGACGCAGGCGCATTGCCGATGGCTGAGCTCCACCCACATGCAGTGAACAACACCACCCACCAGAGACTTGTATCTCACAGCACCACCCACGCGCCTCACCGCCTATTGGCTTTTTACATTGAGCACGCGAGCAGCACTGGGACTGACATGCGAAGATAAATGATGACATAAAGACGGTTTCCCCTACTGCGCCGCCCGTTGATTCCCACCCGCCACGCCTGCTCGCATGGCCTCGTCAACCGCCCGCAATGGATCACCAGGGCGCGGGAGGTCCACCAGCCCGCGCTCGCCGCGGTACTCGCAGGCCTTTGACGACAACGACGAGGGCAGCTATTTAGACTCCCTCCCAGATGTAGCCCCACCGTAATTTCCAGCTCGCAGACGGTGATGCTAATGCTCGCTAGACCCGCCATCTGCAAGCTTTTGGCAAAAAAGTGACTGCGACCGCTGGCAGCTTGATAGGCGCCGAAGGAGTCACCCAACACTACCAGAACGCCATCGGGGAGCTCCACCGTGAGCTGAAGCGCCCACTGATGCAGCGATCCGTCTTTTCCTTCGCCCAGACCACCCCCCGCGAGATCGTGCGCTCGCGAATCTCCGTCCCCGAGATCCAGCAACGAGCACTGGCCTACATCCCGAACGACCTCTTGTCCAACATTCCCGAGGACAACAGCGAGTTTTCCCTCTTCCAGGGCTTCGAGGCCTCATTGCCTGATAAGCCTGACAGCCATGCGAAGAAACATGGAAGGCACAATGCGAGGGGCCAGAGGCTGATAGGTGGCGGGGAAGACGAGGATGATCCCAACGTGCCGCCGTCGATGCAAAAGCTGAGGAAGCAGAGGCATGCCATGGGCCACCGATTAGAGATGATGGGCGTGCGGAAACACATGTGTGTGGCGGAAATACACGAAATCGACAACAAGATCGCAAACCTCAACACAATGCGCAAGATGGTGCTCGACCGTTTGGCGGGGCTCGAACTCGAAGAGGGGGAGCTTGAGCAGGACCTGCTGACCGTGGACAACCGTATCGAGGACCTGCAAGAAGAGCTGGACGACGAAGCCGCATTGGCGCCCAAGACCGCAGAGTCGCAAACAAGCGAAGAGCAGTCAGAAGGCAAGGGCGACTTCATGTCCGAGTCGATATACCAGAAGATACCACAATCGCCAAAGACGAAGAACAAAGCGAAGCGGCTTTCAAAGCGGATGTCGATGCCCGTGCTACACGAGCACCTACAATCAGGATCCAAGATCAAGGAATTGCCAGCGCATATGGATGCCATTACCGCTATGGACTTTGACGCGCCATGGGGCATGATGGTTACCGCATCCTTGGACGATACCGTACGAGTATGGGATCTGAGCGCCGGACGGTGCATCGGAATGCTCGAGGGCCATCTCTCTTCCGTGCGCTGCCTACAGGTCGAAGAGAACATCGTTGCGACTGGCTCAATGGACGCTTCAATAAAGCTATGGGACTTGAGCAAGGCTGAATACGCACCTATGGACAACCGGATAAACAAGCACGATGAAGAAAGCGATGATGGTTTGGCATTTGAAAACTCGGAAGACGCGCCACCAGCGCCCCCATCGACCAGCATGCAAGACTGCCCTCTGTTCTCTCTCGAATCGCACGTTGACGAAGTCACGGCGCTGCATTTCCGCGGCGACACTCTAGTTTCTGGTTCAGCAGACAAGACACTACGACAGTGGGATCTGGTCAAGGGACGATGCGTGCAGACGCTTGATGTCCTCTGGGCCGCCGCTCAAGCAACAGCTACGAACACCTCCCAAAGCACATGGCGACAGACGGGGCGCTCCGCCGACTCCTCTGCTGACTTTGTAGGCGCTATCCAAGTCTTCGATGCCGCACTCGCTTGCGGTACAGCAGACGGTATGGTACGTCTATGGGATCTGCGTAGCGGACAAGTACACCGAAGTCTCGTCGGCCACACAGGCCCCGTCACAGCTCTGCAGTTCGACGATGTGCACCTCGTAACCGGTAGTGCCGACAGGAGTATACGCGTAAGTTGGCCGTTCCAACCTCATATAGGCTCTCCTACTAACATAAAATAGATCTGGGATCTTCGAACCGGCGCCATTGCCGACGCCTACGCTTACGACCACCCCATTACCAGCATGATGTTCGACTCACGCCGCATCGTGTCTGCAGCGGGCGAAGACGTAGTCAAGGTTTACGATAAGACGGATGGAAGGCATTGGAGCTGTGGACCTGGCGCCGACGAGAACGACGAGACCAAGTACTCCATCATTGAGCATGTCAGGATAAAGGATGGCTATCTCGTTGAAGGACGTAGAGATGGTACTGTTGGTGTATGGTCGTGTTAGTAAAACTATACGAAAACGAGCAAAGAGAGAACTGTATATAAGAACATGACTGGTGCGCATATATGCCAGTCATGGAAATGGCAAAGTGTTGTACTATTGCAGAATGCTTATTGAAATATCACCATTGAATCAATCTACCAGCACCGCAATGACCAAGATCACTTTTACTCAGCATCAGTCGTGACGCATGTGGGCCGCTTCAAGCCAGTCGACATCATCCACAATTAACGTACTAAGCTCGATTAACTATGGAATCTGCCCGGGCGGGACGCATGGTCAGTGAGTACACAGTCTGAGTGAAGAATCGAAAAACATATATTCAATTGTGAGTTAAAGGACATGCCTTGGTTAACTATAGGCAATCTTCCAAACCCGTGTAGTACAATAAGTACAAGGAAGTAATACAGTTCTGACAGACGTTACAAGCACGCGTCTAACGGGGCCAGTGGAAGCTTGGTTGTACGATGCAGGGATGGCCCGCGACGCTCCGATCTGCCATGGTGACGTAACGCTGAACACGCCGATTAACATTTCCGCGCTTCCCAAGGCGCCTACCTTGTTCCCACGCAACCGTCACATTTCCATAGTACATTCGCTTGTCCTATCTACCTATGATACCTCAACTCTAATTTTGCGATTGTTGAATCAATTGCTGGCATACCTCCCGTAGGCGCATCCTACTCTCTATCCCCACCCAGCCATTCCGGCTTCCTCTCCCGCTTCCAGCTGCTCCGCTGGAGCTCCGAATGTCCGCAATGCTACCACGACAAGCCGCGTCGCTATTGCGCGGACCCAATGCGACTTCCAGAGCCTCAATCCTCTGTAAAAGACTACCCCGAGCGACAAACACACAATTCCGCACTTCCTTCAGCAATGGAAGTCTAGTTTCCACTTCGAGACGCGCCGCCCTACAACCCTCGCGATTGAGCGGGCAAACCCCCACCACCACCACAATAAGAACAGTCTCAAAGAAACCCCTTGACATTCCGCGATCACGGCTCGCTAGGTTTGCGTATAGAACAGCAGCGATGCTCGGCTCTTTCGTCGCCGTAAGCGGTGTTTTGGTCATCGCCTTCTTCGTCTACGACGCCTACACATACAACGAAGACCCTGTCGCGGTTGATATTCCCGTCTCAGAACTCGCGCTGAGCCCGAGGAGAGGAGGACCGAAGAACCTGCCCATCGCCGATCACTTCGTTGACGACGATGAATGTCCTGAGAATAAGAAGCTCAAGCACAAGCCAAAGTTGGTTATACTAGGTACGGGATGGGGCAGCGTGCCACTTCTAAAGCAGTTGAACCCGGACGAATACCATGTTGTCGTCATATCGCCATCGAATACCTTCCTCTTCACGCCCATGCTGCCGTCTGCCACCGTAGGAACATTGGAGCTGCGATCTCTTGTCGAACCAGTCCGAAAAATTGTCAGGAGAGTACGCGGTCATTTCCTCAAAGCCAAGGCTGAAGACGTTGAGTTCTCGGAGAAGCTCGTCGAGTGTTCAGCTGTAGATGCTCACGGACAGGTGCAAAGGTTCTATGTTCCTTATGATAAGCTGGTTATCGGTGTCGGATCTGTCTCAAACTCTCATGGTGTCAAAGGTCTCGAGCACTGCCATTTCCTCAAGAATATCAGCGATGCTAGACTCATCCGCAACCAGGTCGTAAAAAACCTTGAACAAGCATGCTTACCTACAACATCAGACGAGGAAAGGCGAAGGCTCCTGTCATTCGTGGTTTGTGGTGGTGGACCCACTGGAGTAGAGTTTGCGGCTGAGCTCTTCGACATGCTCAACGAGGACCTTTGCAAGCTCTATCCAAAACTTCTGCGCAACGAGATTTCCGTCCATGTCATTCAATCCCGCAGTCACATTCTGAACACCTATGAAGAGGCGCTATCCCAGTACGCTGAGCAACGGTTCGCACACGACTCGGTTGACATTCTCACAAACTCGCGCGTCAAGGAGGTTCAACCCGACAAGATCCTCTTCTCGCAAAAGGATGACAGTGGCAAGGTTGTAGTGAAGGAAATTCCCATGGGCTTCTGCCTGTGGTCAACTGGTGTCGCACAGACCGACCTCTGCAAGCGTCTCGCCGCCAAACTAGACGGCCAGAACAACAAGCACGCCCTGGAAACCGACACCCACCTTCGTCTGAACGGCTCACCCCTTGGTGATGTCTACGCTATTGGTGACTGTGCAACCGTCCAGAACAACGTCTCTGATCACATCGTAAACTTCCTCCGCACCACCGCCTGGGAGAAGGGTAAGGACCCTGAGAAGCTGCAGATCTCGTACTCGGACTGGCGCGGTATTGCCAAACGCGTCAAGCAGCGTTTCCCGCAAGCAGCAAACCACCTTCGCCGCCTAGACAAGCTCTTCGAACAATACGACAAGGACAAGTCTGGTACTCTGGACTTTGGCGAGCTTAGAGAGCTGCTGTTCCAAATTGACTCAAAGCTCACATCCCTACCCGCCACCGCCCAACGCGCAAACCAACAGGGCGAATACCTCGGTCGCAAGTTCAACAAGATCGCTCAGGCAGCTCCTGGCATGACGCTCAACAACGTTGATTACGGTGACCTGGACGATGCGGTATACAAGCCGTTCGAGTACAAGCATCTTGGTAGCTTGGCCTACATTGGTAACGCAGCCATCTTCGACTACAATGGCTATGGATTGAGTGGTGGTCTGCTAGCTGTCTACCTGTGGAGGGGTGTTTACTTCGCGCAAAGTGTCAGTTTCAGGACGAGGTGCTTGCTTGCCATGGATTGGACCAAGAGAGCGCTTTTTGGACGAGGTATGTTGATTCACTGTTTATCGTGTATTGAAGTGACTAAGCTAACATGGAACAGATTTGATGAACTTCTAAGCGATGCATGCCTTGCTGTAGCGAAGTTTAGACCCATAGATCGACATCCTTTTTTCTGGTACCTCGTCGTCCTTTGTAGACTACTTTTTTTTTTCATTTCGGTTCGAAAGGGGTGGCTTGATGCTACCATCAATGTTATTTTATACTGTTCGATGATATATATATATATGCAAAGTTTTAGTGATCTCTCCATTGATTCCTTTCCTTTTACGTCGTTACAAATACCAGTGGCCAACCAAGGCGTCTCGCCAGCAGTTGCAGTAATTGCTGACACGGCCACCGAAGATGCCGCCGTTGTCTTCACAGTGCTTTCCTCCACCAGCGAATGCTGGACAGATACCTGCCGAAGCATGTATTGATAAAAAGGGCTCAGATATACGCTTTCCAGTCCCCTCGACATTAATCTTTTACACGTGCTGACTCTTTCAGTTTTCCTCAATCTAGTCTTCGTGTACGCCTCTAGGAGTTGCAGTGGCAACGAGAAGCAGGTTTTCGCTAGGGAGAACTGTGTGGATGTTTCGTCGTTTAACCCTGTCAAGGTGTTCTGCCATTAGGCTAGAAGTGACTTGGAGAAGCGCGTGTAAAGCCATATTTCGTGGGTCAGCGGGAAAGATAGAGGAAGAGAGAGAATGGGATGAAGCGGGGTCTGTAAGTGCCGAACCAAGATTTATGGCCAGCTCTTGGCAAATGAGAGTGCCCACGGAGGTGCTGGTCGTTCTCACCACACACACACACACACACACACACCTCTTCAAGGCTCTTGCTCATCTGCCATGGCTTCGAGTCGGGTTCGGACCATGTTAGGATTCGATCGACCTTGCTCGTCTGTCCAACATTTCAATACTTCTTCCCGCATGATCCTGCGAGGAGCTCTCTTGCCCGTAAAAAGCTCGAATTGCGCGAAGCCTTGTTCAGGTAATAGGTCAAGGCCGTCCAAACAGATCCAAGACGCCGACGCTTCTTCGCGAACTTGTTTCGTCAAGGGCGTGTTGAGAGTGCGGTAAGCGAGCTCAATGACTACACCTCCTGATGGTGACTGCATCCAGTGAGAGGGAAGCGTAAAATCGGGTGATGGCTCTTCACCAACGGCATGCGTAGGTATACAGGAAACGATGACAGTCGGTGCACGGAGATCACTTGGCCAAGCTTCGTTCCTAGACTCGAGTATGCGGAATGTGGGTTGCGATCCTTGGACGAATGATGGGAAGAGTTTGGCTGCGGACGGGCTTGCAGCTAGTTGTGAAAAGTAGCTGACTAGCTTTTGTGCGTTCTTGACTGTTCGGTTGAAGATCACAATGTTCTTGATGCCAAGCTGTAGCATGGCATAGATCGCCGCTCGGGCCATGCCTCCAGACCCGATAACAAGGCTTGAGGTGGTTGTGGGCCGGACAGCATTGGCCGGAGATAGCCCTCTTCGTATGCATGATCGGATGCCTATCCAATCCGTATTATCACCGAACAGTGCTTTGACAGGCCCGGATTGGTTGCGTTCTTGGTAAAGCTCAACGCCATCGGCATCGGGAATGCTGCCATCGCAGTTAAGATGGCGGATTGGAAGGAGCGTATTGATCGCCCCAATCGCTCGAGCATGTCGACTCAGGGAGTGAGTAAGTGCAATGGCATCCACCTTGAAAGGCTGGCTGACTGCAGTACCGCCGAAGTTTGGTTTCCGCAATAGCTCTCTTATGTTCTCATCTAGTGTCGCAGTTTGAAGACGATCGAAGCGATGAGGCATGCCACACGCTCGATACGCCGCATTATGCATAGCAGGGCTCAAGCTGTACCCTGCTGCCGCGCCAATAATGTAAAATTCCATAGGGTCATATGTAAAAGAGGCGTAGAGAATATGTGTAGCCTCTGTTACGGTGAGCCATGAGGTTTCTGGATTTCCTTGCGCTCTAGCTTCGAAATTTGCACTCTTTCGGAACTTTTCTGGTATTACAGGAGTAAGAACCTGGTTAAAGCAAGCGGAACGACGACCGGCGCGTCCGGTGTTGTAGCATATCATGGGTATCTTCTGTGACTTGGCGAATATGGTGTTGCGGAACGATTGAATGGCGGCATTGTCATCCATGAAGTTAGCTGGCCTGGTAAAGCGTACAAGGCTACAGCCCAGGCGCATTGCAGTGTCGTATTTCTCGAGCCAGAAGACATCGTACCAATCCATAGCTGCGTGAAGATGACCGATTATCTTCGTTGAGCCTCTCGACGCAACAATCGCTCGAATGAGCTCCTCATCCATTGTGAGATCAACTGTGGCAAACTCGGGTGCCATCCGTAGGCCATACCATAAGCTCGCCAAGTAGGAAGATGTGGAATGGCTAGGGCGTGTTGAAGGCGGCATGACATGAAAGATAATAGGAGTTACCGTACTTCTCCGGACTCTGAATATGCTCTTGCTGATGTTTTCCGCGTGATCCGCTGTAAGTTGCGTCGGCTCGACGACTATCTCAAATGCATCGCAGCCGAACTCCAGTTCTTCGATATCGACGTCCTCGGCCGTGAGATCTGACAATTGTACTTGGACAGCACAGGTGTAGTTCCTTAATTCTAGATCGACGTAGGACAACGGAAAGTGGCCAGGATCTAGTGTGGGTGCATCGCTTTTGATCTTCCGGTGTGTATTCTGAGGGGATAATATCAGGGCCAGGAATTTGAAAAAGGTCCTTTCCGCTCGTTTTAAAGTCAAGAACGCAGGAACAGAGGGCTGATGTGCAGGTGCAACTGAAAGATGAGCCGCATTCGTTTCGGAGATGTTGTAGAACTCATAGTTCGAGCATCGTCGGAAAACGGGAGTGCTGAGAGCGAGTAACTCTCGAACTTTCGATTCGTCCGTGTCAAGATACTCTCGTACACTGCGCACGTCGCGTGTAATGTGAATCACTGGGTGCGCCGCTGAGAACTCGTGTAGCAGAGCTTGGCTGCTATTATCCAATGGAAAACCTCCGTTGCAAACGATGATGGCGCCTTTGCTATAGGTTTGCAGTGTGCCACGTAAGATCTCCTCTTGCCGGAGGCTACGATTTGAAGATCCGAACTGTTTGCGATATGCAGTGGTCGAAAAGCCTGTTGCTGTGTGAAAGACACTTTCCATATCAATAACCCTTCGTTGACAGGCTACCGAAGCCATCATAGCTAACGTTGCCTTGCCTGTTCCGTGCATCCCAATGAGCACGATGGATGCTCTGGAGTCGAACACCCTCCTGCATTCGTACTGTGAGGGTGCTGGTGTTGATCTTGCCGAATTTGGTAAACTTCGCTGTTTGGACGCAGGCGGAGATGGTGTTGGCAACGAAGCACGTCCATCCTTCGCTCCAGTTTCAGTGCTCATTGCAGCAAATGAACGCTTGGTACCAACCGTCACAGATGCCATTGCTCACAGAATCCGCGATCCGGAAATGCCTCGATGTGTCAACAGCATGAAGCACAGCATGGCGTTGCAATTGGCAGCGACAAGTGTCTTAGCGGAGCACGTGACGGCGGAGAGCCCCGCTTTTCTTCGGGGATAAAACTTTACCCTCATGCACAGACGCTTCCCCAGCTTCTCCACTACCTCACTTGGTAAGCTCGATGGCTTCTTTCGTAAGCTACACGGATGAGAGATGTTTGAATACCCAGTATCCGGGCGATCATCAACTCCCTCCTTTGGCAAGGCTCCATGAGGTGCTTCTGTGCTGTTTATGCGACAAGAAAGGAAAGCTGGCCAACCTATGTCTTTGCAACCCCAGGAGAAACGCCGCCAGGCCACACAAGATGTACCGGTAAAACGATTTAGGGTATCAAGAGCTTGCGATCAATGTCGCAACGCTCGCGAGAAGTGTGACGCAAATCAGCCCAATTGCTCACCTTGCCTGGAAGCAAGGCGCACTTGTACCTATACCTCGAACCCCAAGAAACGAGGGCTACAGCCTGGCTATATACGCAGCCTTGAAATGACACTGGCGTTTATATTTCAACAAAATGCTGAAATAGAATCTCTGGTGCACGACCAACTAGCCCAAGGAAACACGGTTTTGCTAGCGAGGGGCACTAAAGAATCAAACCGTTTACACAAGAGCTGGACCAAGAGCAGATTTTGTCGGGATGTCACCAAAGCGTTATCCGGAGAACAGATAGGAACAAGCGAAGACAGGCTACCAAGCTCAGATGACGACAGTGAGGTTGATACCGAGGATGCAACACTTTTTCAGATAACACCAAAACCTCAATCTCAACATTCGGTATTACTTCCAGACCAGGATGTTGATAAGCGCTGACCTGCTCAGATTTCGTGGCAAAGCGGTACAAGCTACATGTCCCAAGAAATGGGTCCGCCTTCGCTACCGGATCTGCATTCTCCGAGTCTGCAACAGTCTACAGGCTCGTCTTTCACACCACTGCCTGGCGACTGCTGGAGACTGATCGAGGTATACTGCACGTATACGCAATGCTGGCTTCCCATCGCAGACAAGCTTGAGATTCTGAAGTTATCATATTCTTATCCGGAACGAGGACTGGCTCTCTCCTGCGATATGTCCAATTCGGGAAGTCATGCTGAGATGTGGAGTATCTTTGCAGTCGGCATTACGCAGGACGACATCAACGTCGCTGGAGAAAGCTATCGTCCATGGTCGCCTGGAAAACTTTACGACATTGCAAGGCAGCTTATCCCTAATGAATTAGGCAAATTCGAGTTGGATCATGTAAAGGCCCTCCTCAATCTGGCATTATTCAACATCAACAGGAAGCTGTTCGATGCCGCTTGGCACCTTGTTGGCGCTGCTTTGCGAATATCACTCATGCTTGTTGAGACACCAGATATGGCTCTCTCTCGACGAAAGCATGTTCTGTCGAGTTGCTTCGTACTTGACAGTCTTCTGGCTCTACACTTGAAACGGCGTCCTTATCTTGACAGGACTGACCTGTCATGGATGGGAAAAATAGAGGAAGATGGAATGGAAGAATGGCAACCGTGGAGTGGGCAACTTAATCTTGGACCAACGCAACGGTCGAGCACTCCAACCCTCGCCTTAAGTACTTTTAACGCTCTTTTGGAGTTGGTTGACATCCTTGGGTGCACTTCTAGAGAGCAGACAGCACCAAACTTCTTACATGAGATGATCGGTCGTCTTGAGATGTGGAAATCAGCGCTACCACAGAAGCTTGAATACATCCGGAAAGACTCTGCCTTCACACCAGCAACGCCACCCGCGTTACTCCTTCGATGCACATATCTTGTTACCGCGTTCACGCTCGTTCCCTCTCAGGCATGGCTCCAACAAATCTTAGAGATATTGAGTGTACTGCAACAGCAGCTTGGGGTCACGAGGATGCCAGCGATCACCGCTTGCTTATTGCAGAGTATCAGAAGAAGTACTAGTAGCTTGACTTTGGATCAGCCGACCCTTACCCGGATCCGCGAGTTGTTTGCTGCTCTTGGTCAGCCATTCTATGAGTCATCAGAGGGACCATCGGCAGGTTTACGACCAGTACCGGCCACTCGAAGAGACACATCTTCAGAGAACTCTAGACCCATACAGACCTCTCCCCAGCCTCTTGTGCCACAACTTGGCGGTCCATTCGTCGAGCGATACCAGCAGCCACCCAACCCTTCCACTATGGTCCATGGTACGCTATCAGGCATGGATGCCAATCATCAAGGGCACAACATACAGCCATTTGAACCGAACTTATTCGATTTTGGGATGGCTGGACCAATCTTCGATCCCCACGATCCCTATAACGCTTTGGTATCGGGCGATCTAGGAAGCTTCCTCGACGACTTCGCTTCGAAACACGGTGCCAAAAAGCTACAGAATCAGCCACAATTCATGGAGAACCTAGGCTTTTCGTCGGAAGTAAGCATGGCCGACCTTTTAGCAGCGGACCCTGGCCGTTTCATGCCTACCGCGTCGAACTTGGGCGCAGAAAATAGTGAGGAATCCCCTCAGTTTCCGCTCAACACATTCTATGACGCTGGGTAAGGCCGCAGTCAGCCCGTTGAATCCAAGAGATAGAATGCGATCCGGTGGTGTTGTCGAAATGCGCGCGCTTTATGTTCTGGCCGAAACGCTTAAGAACGATGCTTGATTACTGGGTATCTTCTACATGTTATTTACCAAAACGCCAAAACGCATAGGTCGTCAAATGAAAGCACAATGCCAGACCCGCCATCACAAACGCGCATACTCGGCTTGTTCAGCCCTGTTTACTTCATTACGCGCCTTGCCCACAGACTTCGACGCATCATATCTCACTCCTGCATCAAGCTGTAGATCATAGCACATGGATACCCAGGCAGTTGCAGCACGCTCTGCCAGCTCTTCGACAACTCCATGACCCTCACTGTTCATAACCCGATTGAATAGTTCCATGCTGACCCAGCCGTCGAATCCAATCTCCTTAATGATGGCGTGCGCGACATCCTTGACGGGCAAGTACGCCCCACGGCTACTCTCGCCATAGAATAATCTGCAGTTTCTGCTCCAAGACATGCGAGCTGGTTGTTCAGCGTTGTAAAAGGGGTGACCGGGTTGCAATGGTTGTTGGAGACGCTCGGCGTCGACAATCTGGATGAAGAAGATCTTCTCTTTGTAAGGCTTGATCTGGGTGACCAGTCGTTGTATCGATTCGCGAACTTCTTGATCAGCCCCGGCGACCTTTCCAGTTGCCGAGGTGGGGTCGGCATATATCCTGCCCAAGATGTTGAAACTGTCGAGGCAGATGCCAAAATTCGATCGATCAACTCGTTGTACAATATCCCAACACACCTCCCACTTGTCAACGTGTGTTCCCCAGCTCAGGCTTTCGTATGCGAATCGGATGACCGGTGTCTGCTGTAATCCAAGGTCTGCAATCTCTTGGAGGTCGCTTACGATAAGATTCGTATCCGAAGAGCACTGATCGCGTGGAAGGAAGGATGAGGGCACTTGAACGATGTCCGTCTGGAGGACATGTGCCAGTTGCATCCAAAGCTTCATCTCTTCGATTCGCTCAGTGTGTCGCTTTCTGTCCACGAGACCCTCGTAGTGCATGAATGGCTGCAGGCATATAATATCGAGATCCAACGAAGAGCAAAGCTCACGGACCGAGGCAGCGCCCGCGATGAGATCAGACGGGGAGTCGGACCCGGCGTGATCGACCAAGTCCTCGTAGAATAGCTCGATGCCCTCTAATCCATGTTTCGCAGCCATGGAGAGCTTGTGTTCGAGGCTGTGGCCAGCATAGCACCGGCCCAGCGACATGGAGGAGATACCTGGACGGCACGGCATGATGTGATGCTGATGGGAGACGGTTGCGGAAGTATGTGTAGTGCGTGGTATGTAGTATGATATTGTGAGAATACAACTATAGAATTGAGGACTATAAAGCTAGGGATTGTAGTTATTCAACTGATAAGACGTCTATAAGACGACTGACGTATATCTAAGACCGCTCACAACCGACCGAGATCCTGATCAACACACCCTCCATCACCGTTTCCTACCGTGTAAAGACGCGGTAAATTCGACTGATCCAAACAAGCTCGGCGAATACTTAGCACTCAATACCCCGGAGTAATGCTGGAAAATGTGATACGGTGCCTTCCGCAACCGTGCTGTTCCGTCGCAAGCAGTGGAAAAGCACGCGCTGGTGACGGTGCAGACGGAGGTTTGGCGCTAGCCAAGCGGAAAAGAACTTATACCCCGAGGACGGCGCCACTTCGGTCACCGATTCTTGTCTCCGCAGTACGACTGCGAGCTCGGCGCAGAAGGAATGTGGAGATGACCATCCCAAGGGGGTTGTTCCTGCTGGTAACGATTAGCGGTTTGAAGCCGACATAGCCGATGACCCTCGAGGAGTTGATAGTCGTTCCGTGGAAGGTGACACACCTTGTATACTGAAGGGTGTATGATGTCATTGTGATGGTCACTCATTGGACTTGCTTTTTGTGATCAAATCATCAACTCAAAATTCACCAAGATCCCTCGGGTGATGAATTTGATGGGAACTACGTTAGGAACTAGCAGAGGGTACTGCTTCCAAATAAAGTATTGATACAGAACATACCGTGAAGGCTTCTTTCTAACACCGTTGGTTTGTTAAAATGTCTCCAAGACGGCGTATCACAAAGCATGTAATCTTCACAGCTCACGTTTACACAATTTGAAAGTGACTTTCGGTGAAATTGATTCTTTCATTGCTGCACGCTATATTGTACGTATGTAGGACAACCGAGCGCTTATGCCATCTCGGTGTGTTCATCCGCTCTCGCCTTCTCATCCCTAATTACCAAGTTTACTTCCTCATTCTCCTTCATCCTCTCAACCAAAATACCATGACCCTTGAATGCAGGCTTGATTGTGAAGAGCTCGTCCATACGCTCGAGTGGAATACCCTTAGTTTCAGGTATCAGGAAGAAAACGAACGGTATGCTGAGCAGCATGAGGCATGCGAAGAACATGTACACTCCGTAGCCCATAGAACTGAACATTTGAGGAGTGAACCTAGAGATGATGAAATTCCAGAACCAGTTGTTCGCTGCTGCAAAGGCTTGACCCAAAGAGCGGGTCTGCTGGCTGTACATTTCGGAGTTGATGACCCATGGAGTACCGTTCCATGAGGGTGTGTAGAAAGCGGTCCATAGGTAGAAGAAGAAGACTGCACTGATACCCCCGGAAGAGAGTTTGCCTGAGGGATTGGGGTTGTTCGCTGGATCGGCGATCTTGATGTAGGCAGCAATGTACCACATGCAGAGAGAGCCACCCAAAGCACCGAACATAAGGAGCTTGGTACGGCCAAGACGATCAATCAGCCAAATGAGCCAGACAAAGGTCAAAACGCACTTGACGACACCAAAGATACCAGTGGTGAGGAATCCTTCTGTGACACCAAGACTCTTGAAGACGGTTGGAGAGTAGTAGTTGATCGCGTTGATACCAGATCCGTTCTGCCAAAGGAACAGCATACCACCGAGGAAGAGGCGGTATTGTACCTTGCGTTGTTTAAGTGCAAGGAACGGCTTCCAGAAACCAGGTCCAACAGTAAGTCTGTCATGTTCGACCTGAGCATCAATGGCCTCAAGCTCTTCAACGATGTATGGGTGGTCCTGGGGGAGGTTGCGGATCCAGCAGAGATCCTTCAGTGCTTGCTCGCGCTTTCCCTTGCTCAAACACCAGCGAGGTGATTCTCGCATCCAGAAAGCGCCAAGCAATAGGCAGCCAGCGGGGATGAGCTGTACGGCGAAAGGAATAATCCATTGCTTGTGAGAAGGCGCCATGGTCTCCTGGAGACCGTAGTTGATCCAGCTGCCTGTGAGTTAGTATGTGCTGTTTGCGAACGATAGTAATGATTGACCTACAATCCAACGAGGCCTCCCATCTGCCATCCGAGCTCGTAGATACCAACAAGTCGTCCACGGACAGCTGGTGGCGACAATTCGGAAATGTAGATTGGGACCATGTTACTGCATCCACCTACTCCTAGGCCTGCTAGCACACGGCCACCGATGATCAAACCGAGACCTCGGTCGCCATTAGCACCCAACATCATACCAGCGCCCAGAATGAACTGAGTGTGTGTCAGTTTCCGCAGCTGTGTATCAGGAAAGCACTTAAGTAACCTACTATGAGAACCCAAAGAATAAGCGACATTCTCCTGCCAATGTAGTGGCTAGATGCGTATGCTCCAAAAGCTCCAAAAAATGCACCAGCCTGATATACCGAGACGATGTTTGCCTTTGTCAGGTTTAGGTCTGCGGGGTCCATCTCCGCAAAGCGGAATTCTTCAACAAAGGATGGCAAGGCCAATGTTGTGCCGATGAAAGCACTGTCGTATCCAATCATGCATGCTGCCCATGATGCGACACACGCTGCTGTATAGACTCTCCAGTTGTAGACAGCCTTTGGCGTCGGTCGGTCCTCGACGATGGTAAGGAGACCCATGTTGAAGTCGGTAAAGGGATGTGCCTGGCGACTTCAGAGGTGTTGGTCTCTATTGGTACCAAAGTAAAGAATGAGGTCGTCAGCCAGGGGAGTAGGCTTGGCTTGGGCGAGATGAAGGAGCAGTCGAAGAGATGAAGATCAGTCGGCACCTATATATCCTAACCGAGAAGAATCCGATAACGTGCTGTTTTGCGGAGAATGTGGAGAAAGCGCCACAAACCCCATGGAGATGAGCTACGAAGAAGTCAAGCAATCGCGCACACACTCATTGGCCGTCCAGTTCGCAGAAAGGTTGATGCAGACCTTGGCCCGGAAGAATCGCTAAGCACCCCTAGGAAGAATCGGACATTGTGCGATCGCGTGGAGAAGCCATGCTCTCGCCGACCCGGACTAATCCTAGGGGACCTGAATTTTCACGCCGGTCATACCTAGTTGGGAAGTGATGGAATTACCCAGAGGGTTGGTGATGTCGCAGGGTCCGGAAGCGCATTTACACGCAAGGTTTAGTGACCGGAGCTACTTCGCTGATTGGATGAATCGCGTAGCTGTCAACAGAACACCGGTCTGTAGCATCAACGTGAACGCGCTTGACTCGCGTCTTCTCCACGTGCAACATGACTTTTTCCGGTCCCCAACGCGTTGAATCCGGGGTATTGGCGCATGGGTCAAACGTAATGATGGAACACAAGTTGAGCTTTACCAGCAGTATTCTTCTTCCGAAACCTCATCATCTGGAAGAGTACCCGTCATAATCTGAACAGCAAACCTCACCAACCATCATCTCCATCTACTGAGTACACGACAAGCACATACTACCATGTCTACCGAAACGAGCATACCAGAGGTATCGCAAACCGAGCGTCATGGATACCTCTTCGGCCACCCAATTGCACACTCGATGTCGCCTTTACTACACAAGACCGTATATGACAACTTAGGATTAAACTGGGCACAATACCCTCTGGAGTCAAGAGACATGAGCCTGTTCCTAGAATTAGTCAAACATCCTCAATTCTACGGAGCCTCGGTAACAATGCCCCACAAGGTCGCTATACTGAAGCACCTCGACGGTCTCACAGAAGAGGGAAGGGACGTAGGCGCGGTAAACACACTCTTCATCCAAGAAGATGCTTCTGGAAACCGGTTATACATGGGCACCAACACCGACGTAATAGGCATAAGGGATGCCTTCGCATACAACGTTGAGCCAGCCAAGTTTGAGAACAGACCAGCGTTAGTGATCGGCGGAGGCGGTGCAGCAAGAAGTGCAGTGTACGCGTTAAGGAAGTGGATGAAAGCCAGTGCCATATATCTCGTAAGTGTTCCATCGTAAATGCCTCGAGATTAGAAGGTGGTGCTAACAGTGGACTCGCAGGTCAACAGAGACCCTTCAGAAGTCGAGGCAGTGATCAGTGAATGCACAGCTCGCGGATACGGCGATTCCCTCGTCCACGTCTCCACCATCGCACAAGCACAAAGCCTAGAGGGTGTCGGTGCAATCGTAGCCTGCGTACCAAACTTCACACCCGTCACACCTGCCGAGATCGAGGCACGGCAAGTCCTCGAATGCTTCCTGGCGAAATCACACAAGGGAGCGTTGTTGGAGATGTGTTACCACCCGACCACTTGGACGGAGATCGCGGAGATAGGGAAACAGAATGACTGGCAGATCGTGCTAGGAACAGAGGCATTGATATACCAGGGACTGGAACAAGACCGGTATTGGACCGGAAAGGCGGTAGCTGACTTACCAGTCGAGCAGGTGCAAGAAGCTATTGCCAGGAAGCTGAATGAGGCAAGGTTGTAGATTTTAATTGAACTGAACATACATCAAAACACATGTCAGGCGTGAGTGACTATGTGAGCCATGTGCGAATTCCAAAGGTGATATTCCAAGTTGTTATGCTCCAGGCCGCGAATAGTCTAGGTTACGGACTCGCCGCCATACCTCACGTACTGTCCTTTCTTGACTCTGTCGCCCTGTTTCTGTCGGCGATGGTCCAGCGGGTCTGATAGCCAGATACAACCGACTACCCAGCTTTACTTCCTCAATAGGCGCATTTGCCTCATCCTCTGGTGGATTCGCCGTAGTTACCAAACCCCCAGCTTCTTGCAAGATGGCAATGCCAGCCGCAACATCCCACTCCCAACACCCTCCTTCCCACCAAATATCAAATGCACCCATAGCAACATATGCCAAATCTAATGTTGCACTCCCTAGACTCCTGACTCCATGTACCATGCCTCCTCTACCTTGTCTTCCCCCAATCTCGGCCGCCATGTTGACAAAACTCTCAATCTTGCGATGCATATTGCCATCCGGCGTATCTCTCCTATCCTTACCCCATTCACACGAGAAAATACAACCACTAGGTGCTTTCGCCGGCATGGGTGGTATGGGGTTGCGCACTAGTGGAAGACGTTGGTTTTCATTGAAGAAAGCGCCGCGACCAGCGCAAGACGAGAAGAATTGGTTTGTGAACGGCGCGTATATGACGCCAATGAGCGGTTTGGACTTGTGGATGAAGGCGATGCTGACGCAGAACATAGGGAAAAGGTGGATGTAGTTTACTGTTCCGTCGAGAGGGTCAACACACCATGTAGGTGAGGCGTCGATTAGGTAGTCGCGTGAGGAGCCTTTGCTGTAGGATTCTTCGCCGACAAACCTATTTACTGTTAAGACATAGTTATAGCATCAAAAGATTGAAGGCATACTTGTGATTGGGGTACTTGTCGGCTATCGCTTTCTTGATAAACGCCTCGACATCTTCGTCCGTTTCCGTAACCAAATCGACAGCATTCTCTTTCTGAACATGTTCTTTCTCTTCTCCCGTCGCAGTCCCACCATCGATTCTCAATTGCGCAGCATCCATTAGCATCTTACCCGCCTGCCGCCCCAGCTGTACGGCGAACGCGTAGATCTCATCTAGCTCTTCTCTTGATATGTCTGTCATGTTGATCGCGCGTTGTTGTGTATACAAAGAGCACTGGACTGGAAACGCAGAAACGCCATGGCAAGCTTACACGCGCCAGAAGCGATCGCGTCGCACATGTTCCGTCTAGAGCCGCATCGGCTAGGAACGGAAAGGGTCCTGATAGCTACATGAAGGGAAGTGGGACGTCATTCTTTGGAATTGAAGGCAAGAGGGCCGATCATAGGGGTGGGGGTAAGGACTTTTCCCTTTCCGAAAGCCATCGGAATCTCGGAATGAGCGTGCATTCGTTCATCTACGCGACGCGAAAGACCAATCAATTCTGTTTATGTTAAACTTTCCCAACATCAGCGCTGTCTTACGAACTCTACAAATAGGGTTATTCAGTTCACTTAGGCCAATATCTACGACCTGGAAATATCCCACCTCTGAAACCTCAAAATGACCAAATCCATCCTCCTGATAAACGGTCCAAACCTCAACCTCCTCGGCACCCGCGAACCCACAATCTACGGCTCCACATCTCTCTCTGACGTTATCAATTCCGCGCAGACCCAATGCACCGCACAATCCGTAACCTTCTCGCACATCCAATCCAACCACGAAGGCGTGCTCGTCGATCGCATACACGAAGCACGCGGCAATGTAGACTTTGTTGTCATAAATCCCGGTGCGCTCACACATACAAGCGTGGCATTGAGGGACGCATTAGCTGGCGTAGAGATACCGTTTGTTGAGGTGCATATCAGTAACATCCATAAGAGGGAGGCATTTAGGCATCATAGCTATCTGAGCGACAAGGCCGAGGCGGTGATTTGCGGGTTGGGAGTTTTTGGGTATGAAGCTGCTATTGAGTTTGCGATGAGGTATCTTCGAGACAAAGAGGAAGAGAAAGCAAAATTGTAGAGGATTATTGTATTGGTAGCTGTTGTGGCGGCGAGCAATGGGTTGATTCCGAAACCAGTATCTAAGGGGTCCTCTGTCTGCCTGTACGACGCCCACTTTTAGTCGTGCCTTCTAGTGAAGTCCTTCTTAATATCCTGGCGCGCCTCCAGGTACGTCTGTAATGCCGTGATAGCTGGCAATAGAAGCATGACAACACTCAGCGTCTGTCCAAAACCCCACACATTCTCTTCATCGTCTTGCAGACCACAGAAATGCTTTGGATCCTCTGGTGCCGCGAACTTCTGTGTCAGGACCAGGGTAGCGGACAATATTGCGAGCAAGATCTGGACTATGAACGCAATGGCTGGATTAAGGAAGAGGAAGCATATGAGACGCAGACCAAGACGCGCTGAACATATAATTTGTAGTGAGAACGCTTTCTGCTTTTGTGTTGAGTCGGTCAAACGGCGTACGAGGGCTTGTATTGAAGTCTCTGAGCAAGACGATGGTGTGTCCAAACCTCTACCTTCCGGACCATATAGGATGCACACCATTGCAGTGGAGAAGCCGATCAAGATGAGAAACAGCGGTACGAGGAAAGAGAGTCTTTGTACACGACTGCGCACTACGGGTGTGCCATCATTATCTTCTACAAGGCTGGGCGGCTTCGCGATAGCAGCGATCATGGAGGTGAGAAGGAACACGGCGAAGCATATGACAAGCGTGAGGCGGATCTTTGCGATGAGCTTGTACTTGCGGAAGTACTTTCGGAGTGTTATCAGAGCAGCGAGATGGGACGACGACGAGAGGGCGCATATGTAGAGGATGAGGACGAAGTGAGCACCCTGAACACGAAAAGAGCCTTGCGCTACCTGCAAGTGTTTTTGTCAGTACAGTGAGTACGACGTGAAACCTAGCGTACTTTAATCCACCCACTCAAAAGTACAGCGTAACCAGTGATGAGCTGCTGATCACCGAATCCAATGATGAGCGGGTCTAGAAACGGACGCCACGCATAGTGTTTCTTCCATCCGTTCTCCAAAAAGCGTTCGCGTATGTATATCAGCGGCGCTCGAGGCGTGAAGTGACCTTTGTTATCGAAGGCCTGGTCGAGAAGCATAGCGAGGATAGAGGCGAATGTGGTCATGAAGCTTGCGATGACAAATGACAAGACGACCTGCAATGTTGTTAGATCAATGTGAAAGCAAGCAATGTTGCGAACTCACGCCGACGCCCGCAATATCTGGCTCTGCTCCATTGGCACAATTTCCATTCCAGGCGACAATGCTATCAAATGTGACCCATGGTGGTGCCATACACTAGCAGTAAGTCGAAAGCTGAACTGGATGTGAGACTGGAGACTAAGAAGCCGCAAATGCGATAGAATAAGGATGTCCGATTTGCCCAAACAGGGCATTACGAGAAGTTTCGAGATATGATATAGGTGAAATATGTGTGCGAAGATCGTAGGACGCAATGCAGGTGAGGAGACAAGGAGAGTAGCAGAGAGAGGCGGCCGATGTGTCTGAAGTGACTCGGAGTGACGATTTAGCCAGGCTTCACACATGCCATCGCACGTAACAAGGGCAAAGGAGGAAGGAGTTACCACTGAAGTTTGCAAAAGCCGCTATGTGGAAATCTCAGAACAACCTAACGAAACGCCTCAGACGCGAATTCGACATAACATGGGCAGTATGAGCTTGTTCGCTGGGTATCAAATACTATTTACACAGCCTACTTTACTTCTGCTTACTCTTCGCCTTGACGCGAGCAGCCAGCTTCTTGATATCGTCATCACCATCTGCAGCGTCTTGTTTTGACTTCTTTGTCTCTCGTTGAAGCTCTGGCTCATCTTCATCCTTGCCTTGCTTCCGCTTCTTGCGACCCTCCTCTAGCAGCGCCTTCATACCCGATGTCTCCTTGAACCTGGGGTTCGTAGGATCGATAGCGAACTCATGGCTCTCGTATAGTTTCGCGAAACGGGGATCAGTGGTGTCAATCTTGAAGTTGTCCTCTATGATGGGGGCGTTCTTCTTAGCTTTCTTGCCCTTCTTTTTCGCCTTCTCTGACTTGACGATTTCGTTCATGTCGAAGTGACGCAACTTTGAATCGTCTTCATCAGCCATAAGCAGCTCCAGATTTGCGCGCTCCGCTGCAGCTGCCTGATCCTGTTGCTCTTGTTCTGCCTTCTTCTTGGCTTTCTCGGACTTCTTCGACTTGGGCTTGGAGGCCTTTGCAGCTTCTTCGGGATCAGAAGCGAAGAATGGGTCGTTGAATGGATCGTCATCGTTCGCATCCGCTGGCTCATCCACCTCCTGTTCGACTGGAGCGTCAGGGTCTCGACCGGCCTTCTTGGCTTCCCACCTCTCCTTACGTTTCGCCTTCCTTTCCTTCTCCTTTCGAATGTACTTCTCCATCGTAGTCTCTTGCAGCGGGATATCATTTTCGAACACATCACCGTTGCCGGCGCCGTTGGATAACCCTCCTGTGAAGGTGATCTGCATCTCGCTATCTGGCTTCGGAAAGTCACGATCCCGTTTCGCAGACGCCTTTTTCTTCGTCTTTGAGGATTTGCCAGGAGCCTCCAAGCCCAGGGCTGCTCTGAGACTTGCAGCCTTGTCTGCCTTCGCCACCTCTTCCTCATCCTCGGAAGATGATGAGTCCGTACCCAGGTATGCTTGCAGCTCGTTTTCGTCAATCTCTTTGCGCGAGAAAGCACGCTTTTGCACCTCCTTCCGTGTTGCATCGTCGGCATCCCAAGTCAGCTTGACCTTTGAGTGTGTGAGCGCATCCGTTGAGAACTCATTAGGTTTGTAGCCGTCCGGCAGCTTTGCGCACTCGTCGTGGGGGTCTTGATCGAAGGTTGTACCGTCGGGAACGAATCGTAGGTCGAAGAAGTTGGCGCTCGTCAGGTACTCCCGGCCATCGAGATTGTCGTAGATTGACTTTGCGACGTTGGCAGAAGAGCATGTAATGACAGCGTAGTAGTATCGCAGCCTGTCCAGTTGGTAGGCTCGCAACTTGGTGGAATCGAACTCTTCGCCTGTTTCGTCTCCTTGTAAGTCTGCCCTGTTTTGTTCTTCATCGTCCACCTCTGAGGTGTCGTCGTCGTCATCGTCGTCGAGTGTACCAATGTTGTTCTTGTCTTTGTTAGATGTCGATGCGAAGATTTCCCGGGGTGGTCCCTCAATCTCTTCTCGCTGTAGCCGCTCCATACCGAACTCGCTAGGGTAGATGACAACGTTAAGGATTCGCCCATCAGCCGGAACAAAGGAATTTGCGACAGCCATGATGTCTGTTGCCCTTATATTGTCCCAGTCCATGTTCACAGCAGCCAAGCGTGCAGATATGTCGCCTGTCGGAACTTCGTTGTCATCGCCCGCAAGCTCTGTCTGCTCCTCGAGCTCAGCTTCTTCCTCTTCTTCGCTCGAGCTTTCATCAGATGAAGACTCGAGTCCACCGTCTCTGATGGGATCAAAGCCTTCTTGCTGTACTCTCTGCATTTCTTTCTTGACGGCCTTGTCTCGCTTCTTATCAGCCGGCCGCACTAGCTCTAGCTCGTCTTCGTCTTCGTCTTCTTCTTCATCTTCGTCGTCTTTGTCGTCGCTGTCGGCGTCGTACAACCGGTCGATGGCCTTTTTGCCAGCTTCTTTCGATACCTTTCGGCCATATTTGTCAACTGTAGCCTTGTTGTAAAAGTCTGGGTCGCTTCGCAATCGCGAGAATCGGGGATCGAGCTTCGTCTTTGTGTGCTTCTTGGAAGGAAGTCTGAATTTGGGGTCGGTTTCGAAGTTTGCGAATCGCGAATCGTCTATAGGAACTTTAGCGCAGTACTTGGTTGTCGCATTACACGCCACTTACTGGTAGGCACGCTGGCCTTTGCGCCTTTTACCGGTATAGCCTGTCGCTTTGGAAGAGGCATCGCGAAATTTGTGTGTTGGTGTAGATGGTGCGCAATCGCACCGCACTGGAGTGGGAGAGCTGCGGAACTTTTCTGCCGAGCGGTGGCAGATCGGCGCTGACAAGGTTTGATTGGATACCGCCTCGGAGGTAATCGACGGGTAGGGATTCGACAGCCGATCTGGGGAAGCTTTAGCTGCGTCACCTTCAAGAGGGGAAATACATCACACGACGGTCCCGGAAGGGCTCCGGCTGTCCCAACAACTTCTCCAGCTTTCGATGAACTTGACCGTCTACTTCCTACTCCAAAATACACGTCTCAGCTGAACATATCCCAGATAACACACCATGGCTTACTCCAGACTTCTCACGTAAGTCAAGCACCTTTCGAATGTTGTCGAGCTAGGGCTTGAGCCTATGCCTGGCATTCGGAGAGGTAACTGATGCTGACCACTGGCAGTCCTCGCAGCATGACGCTCATCTCTTTGGCTTCACTCGGCAGTGGCTACTTCATCGTCAAGTCCAGGGCACTCGCTGACAAGCAGAGAGACCGTGCTGCAGGCGACTACACCGTCACAGTCGACAGGTCAGGTATGCTACTCCCGTATTGCCTGCTTAGTTTAGATGATGCATCCCTGTCTCAAACCAGTCGACCATGGCGCCGTGCATTACGCTGACACCAGGCTCTAGGAGGCGGCATCTGAGCATACCAATCATCTAGCGACGACTGCGATGTTGCAGCTCCAGCATAAAACCAGCGGTGTGCAGCCTTTTCTTTCGCGACACAATAGCGTTCATCATGTTTGCAGCGTTTTAAGCTTGGCATCCGTATCTACCACACCAGATCTCATCAGCGGTTTTCGATCCGTGCAGATACGACACTCGTTTTTATACGTGTATACTATTACGAAAGGCGAGAGCATTGATCAATCTATCGCATGTTCTGTCTCAAGTGATACATGTCAAGGCTTCAAGGTGCTCACAGCGCATACTATTTACAGGATCACTACTACACCAGATATACTTGTATCCAGCGCGCAACTTCAACAACGATATGCCATACGAAGAACGTGCCTGTACCGTTCGAAATATGATCATATGCGCCGAACAGTTGTTTCAAACTCGCTCGTACTCGGGCGACCCGCATCCGTTGTTAGCTAAGATTGGCCGACCTATCCGATACTAAATATAACCCACTCAGCCTCGATCAAGAACACCCGGAAAAGCGACAACAGAGATGAAAATAGTATGTCGAACCTACGAATTGTCGGAGTGCCCAAGACCCGCCGCTACGAAGTCCCCCTCCACTTTATTCTGTGATTACGACTTCCTTGTTGAGGGCCCACTTCTCAGCTTTTTGGCTCAGCCTTTGTGGGCGTCCTTGTCAGCTCTCAATACGATTCCAGCCAATGAAGTCGCAGTCCATCAGCATTGGATATAGAGATTCTCGAATACGGGATCAGGAGAGCCGTCCAGTCTAAGAACACTGTTGTCGCTTATAGCATGATTCTCCACCCGTGCACCAGAATGGCGGAGCTGCAAAAAGATGCTCCAGGCCCAGTACTTCGCTGAGATCTTACTCTATCACTCTTTGGTCTTGCCTGTGCGGCTTTATACACCTGTTGCATCTCATCCACTTTGTCGTCTCCTCATCTGGAAACCGACTTATGTTCTGTAGTGATCTTCACCGCTTTTGATTTGATCGCGCAACACGACTACCAACATGGGATACCACGATGTCGCTGGACATGGAAAACAACGAACCAGTCAGGGGAACGAAATGCAAATACCGCCTCAAGCAAACGTGTTAGCGGCGGCGAGCCATGTCCGTCGACTGTTTGAGAGCAAGAAGTTCACTTATGCTATCATGGGTGAGCTTGCGATGCTTTGCCTGGGATACAAATGCGAGATACGGGACGTGTTCATTGCGTATGACGACAAAGATTACAACCGGATCAAAAAGAAACTCGAGGCCGATCGACGGTATGCTAGACCCGCCCTATTTAACTGATGGCTGGCTGACGGCGACAGTGTACGACTGCCTGAGGGCATGAATCCCTTGTTTCCCTCTAAGATGGTGGTACAAACTGGGCCCAGCTTTCTTGACACAGGATGTACACGTCCGGCGACAATAGAAGTATACCTGGTACCTTCTGGTCAGTTGCACGTAGACCTGTTTTATTCTCCAGCTAACACTGCATAGGATCGTATGAGACCCCATCAAACGGAACCCTTGCCAAAAACCTCGTCTTGCTGAGCCTCAGGGCTGACGGTGTATTGAGAACGTTTCAAGGATTGAACATGATATATCTTGTCAGAACACTACTTCACTTCTGTCAGATCCGAGGCTTAGCTTGGGAGCCACGAAATGGTATTCACTTCCTGTGCCAGCACTACGGAGACCAACTACAGTCGATCCGCAGCCAGCTGAACTTAGATTCCATTGAACGAAACTTCTTACGAACGGTTTTCGTCAGCCAGCTTCCATTCCAAGAACAGCGCAGATGCTATCGGACATTATTAGGGCGAGAACCTCCATCAACCACCCTATTGGCCCCTCCGGCAGCAGAAGGAAATCACACTCGGTCGCAGTCCGCTTCTGGGCCACCGCGAGCCCAAGGAATCTCTCGCGCCTCATTACCGGACTTCTTATGTCCACCAGAGTCCCAGAAGGTCAAATCATCTCAATCGCGTACGACACACACGACCTCGACGCTCATGGAGCATACTGGACTTTCTCCCCATACAACGGGAGATTCACGGTCTAGGTACCGAGTATCCAGTACCCCAAGCAGCAGACATACTAGTCCCACAGATCCTCAGCCTGGATCCAACCCACAAGTTCAGTCACCGAATGTAGCGCATTCAACCAACCAAGCATCTGTGCCTTCCCAGCACGGGCGCGCTGTTTCTTATTCAACCCCAAATATTCTTGCTCCACGACAGCAGTGCACAAATATGCGACCCGGCGTCTCAGGCTTACGCACAGCACGACCAACAGCGAAGAGCACGCTGATTGCCGGTTTGCTGCCACTTGATACTAGAACTACATATCAGATTCCTCGAAAAAGCCCTCCACAGACTTCTGGAACACTCATGCCAGAGCAGCGATCAAACAGGCTTCACATAGTCAAACCCGATGGCGAGGCTGTATCACGCACACTGTACAATATAGAGTCGAAAGAGGAGACGCATAACCTGCATCTGGTGGGACCCCAAGGAGTCTATCAAACCTCACTAACTTCCCGCAACCAATTCCCAGCCACGAGCGAGGCTACCAACGTGTCGCAAAATCCACCTCCAATCTTCGAACTCGACACGACGCCACCGCACAATACCATCCTTGCAGAGCTCTCCGCAGACATCGACGCTGCACTGCAAGTCAGCAATCACCCTTACACTTCTCCCCCACCTGCGCTACCACAGTCGTACGACCTGTACAGACCATGCGTCCCTCGCACACAGTCCGCTCCACTCAGTACGCTGCCAGCAAGCTTGACAGCCGGTAACGCCCCTCCCCTACTCCCGTCCACTCCGCCACACCACACGCCTTTTGCCGGTTCGACGACACAAACGAAAGCATCGAGATATTCAAAACAGTACTCGCCGCCATTCTTTGCACAAGTACCAAATGGCGTTCCTGCATCGCCACCTTTTACGCCAGCACCGTTGTCGGTATACAAAGCGTATCAACCTACCATCGTACCCACTTCAGGGCAAGCATATCCTGTTTCACCACCCGATAGCGCTGGCGCTGAAGACCGTATTCGGCCTACGAGCTTCGCACAGGTGAAAGATGTTGATGGTATGGGACACTACTTTGCTATACATAACCGTCAAGCCTCGCAAGCTGTCCAAGAAGTGAGTGGGTGTCTGGATTCGAGTAAATTAGCGATGGAGTATCGGGCAGCATTGCCCGATTTTGACGAAGGATATGGAGGAAGATGAGCATGAACACTCGTCACACACACATGTACATAGAAAGAGGGGCCCATGAGCATCTTAGTGACATACATTCATAATATCGAAAAGCGGTAACGCTCAACCAAATAATGGAGAGGGGTATCTACCATATCCAACAGCATTGACAAAGCACCATCTTTACAGCGGTACATCCTCCATCATCTGCATAGCACCTTCTCTTCCCACCGTAATGATAACGTCTCCTAGCGTCTTTGTCGAAAATCCTGCTTCCGAGTACCTGAAGTAGTAATCCCACTTCCTCTTAAACACCTCCGCACCCTCGTCATCCATACCTTCCGTGCTCTTCTCCTTGATGAGCTGCGGCTTGATTTTGCCTTCCCAGTTATCCAGGAACTCTTCCCGCCATAATCGTAGCGCTTTCGCGTAGTGTGGGCCGATGTTTTCTACGCTGTCGACAACAAGCGATCCACCTGATGCAGTTTGTATGCTAGCGACAAGTTCGGATACGGCGGGGAGATGGCCACCGGGGAAGATGTACCGACGAATAAAGTCATCGGATTTGGCATAGGCTTCGTAGCGCGCATCGGGCATGGTTATGCATTGGAAACATGCTACACCACCCTCCTTCTTGAGTAGCTTGTCGATGCACCTGAAGTATGTGACCAAATATTCTTTGCCCACAGCCTCCAGCATCTCGATTGATACCGCCTTGTCGAAGGGTCCTGTTTCTGGGACTTCCAAACTACGGTAATCACATAGAAGGACTTTGATTTTGTCTGACATGCCGGCTTCTCGTATCCGCTCTTCTGCTAGCTCTTTTTGCTCAATTGAGAGGGTCAGGGATGTAACTCTGCAGCCTGTCCGCTGTACGGCGCGCATGGCGAAGCTTCCCCATCCGGTACCAATCTCCAGAACATGATCTGTGCCCTTGATGTGTGTATTATCGATGAAGCGGTCGAGTTTTCGCATTTGTGCATCGTAGAGGCTTTCGCTCGCGGATTCTGGGTTTGATTTCGGTAGCCATATCGGGCATGAGTACGTCATGTCTTGTGAGAGGAAGGCGGCGAACATTTCGTTGGAGATGTCGTAATGCGCGGAGATGTTGAGGCGCGCGTTTTTGAGGTTATTGCTGCCTCGTACCAGGCCGGCGAGGCCAGAGGAGACGGCTGAGGTAAAAGTTGAGCCATTGGAAAGATAGTTGCGATTTAGAATGAAAAGCTACGAGTGTAAGTTGGAACCGTCCTACAAAGCTTACTAGACGCGGAACCTCACCTCGAAGAATTTGGTCAAGTCTGGCGTTGTAAATTCTCCCAACATGTAGCTCTCTGCAAAGCCCTAAGACCTATCAGCTCGTATTCCTTCAGATCATGTTGGGTGTTCGAGAGCACACCATGTCTGCGAAAAGCGCCAATCGCACCCAGAATTTCTCGTCGAGCACGTCAAGGAAAGCAATTGGAAGGCCCTCTTTGTCAGAACCAAACACAGAGGAAGCCTTGCTTGAACCGCCTTCGAATAGCACCAGCTTGCCATGCTTCAAGTTTTGAAATTGCGAAAGTGTGCCATTCTTGCATAGAGTAACAAGTGGTCCCCAGGCTTGTGATGTAACGGGACTGAGCAATGAAGACACAGCTCCAGTCACAGAGCTATAAATCGCCATTCTCCTAGAATAGACCTTTCGAAATCGAGATATTGCGGCTGGCGCAAACTCCAAACGTTCAATTGAAGACGTTTGAGCTAAAAGCAACAAAACTGACCAATTTTCGGGCGAGAGGAGCGCGGTTTCAACGCGAGAAACAAGATACAAATGCCGATAGGTCTCAATCTGCTTGAGCTTAGTTATACGATAGTAGGCTGTACAGTGCGCAGGCGGTCGTGGAGAGGAATTGGTGCAACAGTTATCCAAAAGCAATGCGACAATGGTATCGTGCAAGCGCTGGAAGAAAAGCTGGGAAAGAAGTCGGATAACGGTAGCTAGCCGGCTAACACATGGTACCAGAGTCTATTTCAAAAGCTCAGGTAGCTCGCCGTCGTATGGCCGGAACGGCCGAAAGCCGACACGGTGCATCTGGTTGCGCCGTCTCGAAGCCATACGTGTTGCACTCTGTCTGAGGTGCAGTATCGGGCGAGGAAGCCTTGCCAATTCGAGTGATCTATGACGCCGTCGATTCGCCTAAACATCGCGAATGGCGCGAGATCAGAGTAATTCCTACACGTCGGCGGACATTGAGGCCATGTAAAGCTTCTAAGGTGTTCGGAAATCCGTATTCATCTCCATTTCTGGCCTCTAGTACATGCTCCCAGACGATGCTTGGACGGGAAGTTTGTAGGTGACGATGAGCCAGATTCCAGGGTCCAAAAAATTATTTGGCGGGTTGTTTGAGAGGGGCAAGTTATGCAGGGACACAACTCATTGTGCGTCTCAGCCTTGGAATCGCGTGTCTATCTTGAGTCCAGAAGACCAGCGATAATAGCTCGTATATATCCCTAGCCTCTCCAGGTGGCACTAGGTACTACGGGCGTAAGCATAGGAGGCAGCATGTATGCGATCGGTGATCCTATAGCGGCGGCCGCGGGCTCCGGGCTGTCCAAGAAAGGATGGTCTGGAAGGCGTGGACTTTGTGACAGGTGTTCCGTGGTGATGGAAAAATTGAGCAAAGGAGGGAAGATGGATATGAAGTCGGTTATAGCTAAGCCAAGACCATGTGCTTGCTCATGCTCTCGTCGTCATATTGAGCTCGTGAATACCGTATCGGGAAAATATCCGTGCACGCCGCGGAGACACGCTTCGGCGCGTCGACGCGTCCTCCATAGATCACCTTTCACATGCTTGCACATTCACACCGTCCCACACAATCCAATCAAGCACCAGCTCGAGACTCACGTTTGTAACCTGTTTCCTAACGTATCAAACACTTACTCTCGACACCGATACATCACGAAAATGCTGTCAATTCAGCCCTCCAAACCTCAAAAATGCACACCAAGCCTGCTCCCCGCGCGGATAAACCACAACGGCCCTATAAACGATGCAGAACGATACTGGAAGCCTGAGACAGATGAAAAAGGTATCTTATCACCATCCAACAAGATAGACCCCAATTCTGACATATTTTCAGGAAAGCGACACGCATACTTCCGAGGTCGACACCTACACGGCACTACGCTCCCCCTTCCTAAGAACTATTCCGGCGCCATCTTACACATTACCGATAAGCAATTACCGCAAAGTCGAACACAACCACAAGAACAGTCTGTAGACGAGGACGACGAAGACGTCGAGGTAGAAGAGAGCATACCTGTGGAAGTTAAAATCGCGGAACAAATAGGAGAATTTGACCAAGTCGTTGTCTGGGGCCACGGAGGCGAGGTGGATGAGGGCGGCGATGCGTTTATCAGGGGGATGAATGAATGGGTTGGGTTTGCGGAGAGCATGCATGTCCATGAAGATGAAGATGAGCAAGATGGGGATATAAAGCCAGAGAATAAGAGCGTCTAAGACGAACTTTCGAACAGCACTTAGAACCTCGAATTGGGGCGGCAACATGGAGGAATGGCGTTGGATATAGATACCCGGGTTATTACAAAGCTCAGGTCGATCGTGCTCAGGCATTGACCACAGGTCAAGGTGGAATACCAAGCAACCCTCACGGCTTGCACTGCTCTGTGATTCTCGTACCTGGCCCATTCTCAATCTCCTCGATGAAGCCATGCATCGTTCCAAGCCTAGTCCTAGCCCTCATATGGACCGCGACCAGATCACTCTCGTACCTTGTCAACTGCCACATGCACAACAACATCCCACATAGCAAAGACATTATGCAGCGACCTCACAGTCTGCAATGTACCCGGTGCATTCAAATTAGCCCTGTTCGCAATCCCCTCATACCACCTATCATTGAATCTTCTCAAGGTATGGAACTGGCCCATGTTCGGTCGACCGTACTTGTTCCATATTTTATTGATTTCCTCGGCCAGCACATTCAACTTCAGCTTTTCTTCGGCCGGGTTGGTGTTAGGGTTGGGTTGCAAGTGCACTTTGTTGTAGTTGGTATTTGAGAGCCATGTACCGTGTATCTGAGTCAGTGTGACCACCCCCAGTGGCCTTCCATGCGAGATGAAGAGTTACCAGAACGAGTGAGTGAGGTGCGTTGAAGAGGCGTGAGTGGAGGGCCGTGAGTGCTCCAGAAATTTACCTGTATCGGTATTTGTTGAGGAAAGGGACGTGGTGGCTTTCCTAGTGTGGCATTGTGGAGTGTGGTTTGCGCTGATATGTAAGGGTAATCGTCGCCTGGTCGTAAGAGGCGGACCAGTGGGCAGCACAAGGCTGTTGTTCTAGGATAGTAAGAATAACGTAAAGTGCGACAGTATGCTGGTTAGGTGACAAGATACCGGCACGTATAGGACGATGTCTGGGTTAGGGATCCGGAAGAAGAAGGCTAATGCCCTGCGTGATGGCAATGTAGTTTTGGAGCGACATTGATTTACTCTCCTCTCTGTGCTGGAACTGTTCATTGCTGTTTAATAGTAGCATTGCGGTAGCCGTTGTGTAGCCCCATTCTTCTTGCCTTTGACTTCCACTCACAGCTTCCAATTTTTGACCCGTTCCTACCTTTGTGCCTCCAGGTCGTCTCACACCTCTTTCTAATATAAGGGAACGTTACTATATCAGTCCCAGCTCACCTGAAGCCAGCGCATCAGTCCTTCTTGAGTCTTCCGTCAGACCAGGGTTCTTCTCGGTTCGGGGTAATGCGCCCCGCTCCCACAGCTTTTTACCGCGCGGCGAACTCACATCTGGGTTCAAATCATCCCACGTTCTCGCCGCACCGTTACGCAAACTCAATAATGGGTCTGGGAAGCATGCAGTTGGAATAGTGGGCCAGGTACAGGCCGGTAAATCATTCTCGGTACCTGGTGGGCGGGAACGGTTGGTTCCGGGAGCTGGGGACGAGGAGAGGGTAAGTGGAGCAGAGCCGCAGGTGGTACTCATACCATACGTCACAATATCCCTGGTAATCCCGTGCAAGGGGCATAAGTAATAGGTGGTTGTTTCCGAGAAGAAGGGTGTATTTATGGGTATCTTTTGTAATCTAATACAGCAGCCAAAATCCCAATGAATGCAAGAACTGCTACCATGGCTCTATGGTCTGTTGAGCGAATAAGCAACCATCATTTTCCACCTCATGTAAGCGGGGACGCTTCTGTTCTCACAGTTTCGAACTCTCTTCGACTTTCATGCCACCGTCTGAGAAATCCACAAAGCTCTCCTCCCCACTGAAATGCCTGCCATCATCGCTCGTTAGCCACTTGCCGTGACGAAAGGTTATTGTAGTCGTTGGGGGAAGCCTATCAAGGGGAGGATATGGTAAGGAAAACGTTAAGAAGGGTCGATTCGATACCCCAACCATATGTTGTAGGTACTGACTTTGGCCAGTCTTTCCTGTGGTACGGGAAGAACCTGAATGTTACAAGGACACAACACGGCGTGGATGCAAGAAGTGAAAATTACACTTACCAGCCTCTCTCAGCTCCGCCCGAGAGATAAGACGTCTCGGAGTTCAGTTCGCAGTCCCAGTTTCCAGCGACGCCTTTCTTAGGATCGGCTGATCTCCTTACATACTTGGATAGCCCGGCTGTGAAGCACTGAAAGTCGTCTTCATCGGGGTTCTCCGGCATCTGTCCAGTGAGCACTCGGCCGGCTGCTATCATAGTCGCGGCGTGGGTGCATAGCAAGACGGTCTTCGGCTGCTCAGGGTCATTGTCCAGAGTAGTGACGATGTGATCTAGTGCGTGCCTCACACGCTCGTGGAGCTCAACGATCATCTCGCCGTTGGATCTCGGCACATGTACAGACGCATACTCGTCGTCTAGGTTCTGAAAATGAGGGGTCAGAAGTTCGAGATGGGGTGGAGTGGGATGCTCAAAGTGTGCGCGTCCAAAGAACTCTCTGTTGTCCACGTATCAGCATATCACTTGCATCCACATCACTCCACCTCCACCTACCCAATCCCCCGATCGATCCTTATCCTTCCCTTTGCCTTCCTTTCTTCATACAGCTTATCACTGAATGGCTTAAGAGTCTGCAAACACCGATAGAAAGGGCTTGAATAAATTCTCTCAACCGGGGGTTCGATCTTGCTCAGGTACTCGGCCAACTCCTTACTCTGGTCTACACCTTTGGACGTCAGAGGCGGATCAGTGGGTATCCCAGTCGGAGTCGCCATGGATGCGGTGTAGATACCCGTTTGGGGATCTACTGACCAGTTGGCGCGAAACTAGACAGCCCGGAGGAAACGTTAGGAGGAACGCCATGCTAGTGAACAAGGGATCTGCATGTGGAAAGTGTAGAGGATGGTGTTTCATGTGATGCAAGCGGAAGTGCAGACAAGCGAGATGTGTAGGGAGGTAATGCGAGGACGGAGATGGCAGGGAGGGCAGCTACCCGAAACGGAATGCTTTCCTCGACTACTGTATGGAAGCATCGGGGGGCGTAGAGCGCGGCGACACGGAGGCTGAGCTTTATACGTACCGCGTGCCGGACGATGTAAATAACTTCTATCATGGTTCCGTGGTCTTGTTACTCCGATAGAGTTCTTGCGATGTAGAAGTTTATTTGGTCGTGTGCAGTGGTTGCTGTTGGGAGCACGAGGTGTTCCTGGGATGAAGAGTGTAGGTGTTCACACGTTACCTCGGCAACTTTACCTTTTCGGGTGGCTTTTCGAGGCTTCAGCTTTAGTTGCAGAACTTGGTACACGGTGACTTTTCTACTTCAACACTCGAACTTTGATTACTGCTATTGAGATTTCTGGGTATCATTACTGCAACCAAAGCTTTTGCAGCGTTACTGCGCGTTTCGTTGTACTAGTGGCGAGGACAGTCGCAAGTCGCTTCCATGCACCAAACCTCAGCTGCCCGTTCGAAGACACCTGGATACCACCTAGCGTGTGCCGCACACTCGCGCAAACTCTGCAACGACCATCATTGTCGAAACTTTGCCGCGCCCGACTACGAGCCACTCACCGCATGATGCCTACATCATCGGTGAGCCCCCACGCTCAGGCCGTCTCTGTGCAGCCTCTATCTAGGTAGCATTGGCAGGCGCTAATGCGAACTTCACATGCACACATGCAACAGCATGCAGGACTTCATACTGTTGCGGCCGTAGCCCAGGAACGAGCCATCATTCAAACAATGCGCAATGTCGTACTGCTACTTACAGTATGTGCAAGCGCAGCGCAGGGACGCTTTGCACTGACGCGCTGCTTATTGGTTAGTATGCTGTCGTGCAAGCTGTGTCAATGCAACTGTTGCAACGTGTTTTGGCAAGGGTATCTGACAACATGGGTCCTGCGGGGAGTACAAAGTACCTGGCGAACGGGACGCTGTTGTAATGAACGACGATAGTGACGGGTTGGCCCTCACCCTTGCTTCTCATCATCGGCGCTTCCGAGTCTCTCCACAATCTGCGAGACTTCAGCCTTCACATGCTGTCTCTAGCCGGAAACTAACGGGACCTTGCCTCGGGGCGGGATGTTTAATGACAGCGGCCTAGAAAGCGATGGATGAGACACGGGCTAAGATCCTTCCAAGGGGACTATATTAGCTGGACGCGGGGTTAGAGATTACAGGCAGGCCTGACGGGCGAACATGCGTAGATCGCGATCGGACATGAGACTTTGCAGAGCAATCAGCAAATGAAGCCTGGAAAATTCTCACACATGTGTTGCCAGGGTATGCACATCGCATAGTCTTGACTAAAAAAGTGCAGTTAGCCTCGACAACCATCAGGGACTGGAAACCAAGGCACACGACCCGCGCTTGCCTGGACAATAAAGCACCTGCCACCTTAAATCGCATTCGAAACATTAGAGTCCTAACCCTGGTGATGATGCTGCAAGCCATCGATGATCACTGCACGATCACGACGACGTTATTACCGCAGTGCCATCCGAGGTCCGCTTCTAACGTAGTCACAATGTAGCGGGTGTAACTCTCGGAACAAATACGTTAGTGGCCTGGCGACGATCAGCGTCAAGTTCGACTACTGGACGAAGCTAGAGGCTATTCCGTCTCCATCAAGTTGGATTTCAGGGTTCATCTGGTAAGATGGGTCTGTGCGGCCAACCAACACCCTTCTCTCAGAACGATAGAACTCCGGGCAGTCCCGATGTACCGCAGAGACACCGCTTCTCGGGCTCGGAGCGGGAGACTTGAAATTTACACGTATTAAATGTTCACGCGCACTTTGAAAAGTACGCATGTGATTAGGTCTACAGCAATCGAGTACCTAGGTATTGTGATGCGTACTCAGGTCTGTCATAGTATCGGCATTTGCAGCCAATGAGCGATGCAGCGTCGGAGTTGGAATCAACCATCAGTGCAGCTGAGGCTCGAATTGTCTTCCGGGAGCTTGGGACAAACGTGAAAAAGCAACTCGTGTTGCTGCTGCCCAAGAGCCCTACAGCCATGGGCCCTATTGTCTCGATCACACAGCACTGATGGCGCAAAAACGACTGGATGGAAGCAGAAGACCAGGCCGTATCGAGTAAGACCAAGCCTGACACCTTTACAATCGCGTGGTTAGTACTTGGCACATGCACCCACCTCTCTTCGGCGTGCAGCAGTAGAATAGATCTTGCATGCTAGGACCACGTACCCTTCTCAAAGAGGTTAAAAACTGCCGCAAGTTAATGCAACGCAGTACATCTCCCCTGACCGGGCGGCCCCGAAGGATGAGAGCTCCGGCAGATGTGACTTGTTGAACACCTAATTTTTCTGCACGGCCAACTAGGATCAATCTGACGCGAAATATACAGAACGTCTAGACGCTAGATACTGCATGTAGACGAAAGCCGGGTGCTTCCAGAAGCTCATGCTGACGTTCTATAGCCTTTCGTGCTAGGGTTGACATCGCCAATATTTATAGAGGTGACTGATATTGATGTCAATGCGTTGTCCACCATTCTTTCTTCTTGTTTCTCACGTGTGGTTACTGATTGGGTGACCATCTCTCACGTGTGAGGTTGATTGGCTATCGCTTACTCATGTGTGCATCCCACAGGCCGCAAGCGCAACTGTGACAATGCGCAACTAAATCGTATGGGTGGCTGACGCTCAGGCATATGATCGACGTGACGCATCGAGGTGGGGGTATCCCTCAGTATGTACGGCTCCTTGGAATAGCTGCGGCTAATGATCCCACGTTCGATAGATACGAGGATGTAGTGGATCCAGCTCCAGATCCAAGTCGAGGTGGTTGCTTCGATGAGTCGCAACAAAAGCAATCTGCTAGCACCGACACCGAAGGGCTGGACGTGGGATGATATAGGCAACCTTAGGTATGCCCTACGAGTGTTCGCCGACCACTCTAGTAGACCTTCTGTTATCAACTCTGATGTTTCAATTCTATTTCATCATCGGTGCCTGCCTGTCTCCGATAATAGGGAATAACATGTCACCAGAATACCGGTATCTGGTACGCGGTGTGTGCAGTACTATGAAGAAGCAAATATCAGGAAGCGTAGGGGTTGCACCTGTGGAAATAGAGATGTGACTGATGCGCCACACAAACTCATGCCAACGTAGTGACCATCATTTCCAATTAGTAGCTGATAGTGCCAGGAAAGAGCATCACCGATGCAGATTGCGGGCAAGCAAATGAATGACGTGAAATAGAATTTAGGGAATTATTGTACAGTGTATTAAATGTTACTGGGCATAAAGGGGGATAGCGTTCCGATGACCGATATCCAGAACGTCGGAGACATCTCCACTACTTCGGGATGATGCTGTGTAAAGGATACTCGTCAGCGACCGCCGCTTTTTGACGTGTTGAAGTCTTCCCAGTCATCCTAAGCTTCCTCTCTGTTACCCAAACACGCAATGCGATGAGATACCTCACTATGAGGAAAATGATGATGGCGGCGACTAGAATGCCCACTATGTAAGCCCCAACTATTCCAGAAGAGTTCTTCTGAAGATCAAGGAAAGGATACACGTAAAAACCTTGAGTGGCATGTGTGAGGTAAGCCAAACCAAGATACAGGGCCAACAGGATGATAATTGGAATTAGATCCAACCATGGAAGTCGCTCGGTTCGGGGAAATACTATCTCGAAAAGCGCATAGACTGAGTTGAGAGCATGCTGTGAAGTGTTTGACCAGAGGGCGAAAGTGGTTGGGAATCGACCCGCGAGGAGCGTCCAGTAAACAACTATTATAAATTAGCCTTTATACGCTCAAAGGGTTTATGGCCGCGTCTGTAAGAGAACGATATGGTAACGGACTTGACGTATCATCGCGAAGCTCTTCTGCACATCAATAGCAAAGTCGACTAACTAAATTGACTTACTGGTTACTATGAACGGATACACAACAATGGTGGAGTAAAACATGCTGTGCGCCACCTGTAGCGCTTTGGGCCACCGGGCCAAGAATGGAGTCCCGGTAAACCAGTAGCTGCCGGAATGCACAGCGGCAAAGGCATAGTAGAAGGCGAGACCCCAATACGTCAGCACCGTAAAGAAGGAGAAAGACTGCTGCGATGCCTCGGACCTGCCATGGGTCCCGTTCCAGCCAAAGATGAAAAAGAGGGTAGCGAAGGCGTAGAGGGCCAATAACGTGCGGATGGCGAAGAGGGCACCTGGTGGGAGAATCCACGACGTTACAAACCGCGTGGGATCAAAGAGGCCGGCATAAGGCGTCGTTATTCGTCGGCCAATCGCCATGTCGAAGCTGTTAACTGGGATCCTTGTCGAGTGCCACCAGATCGGGTTCTCAAGCTCTCGGCACGTGCCGACGTCGTGGAAACTAGGTCGTGTAGTGCGCGAGAGATGACGCGTGGTACTTCGCGATGGTGATGATGCGACGTGGTGTTGCGAGACAGCTGCAAAACTCCTCCAGCCCCAATTTCCGAGGCTGGAGCTGAAAAGGGCAGAGACACCGAGCTCAGAGGATTGCCCTAGTGGACTGCACTATGTCGAGTTCGGCCTAGCCTCTGTGGCCGAAAGAACAGACAGGATCACCCGCGTTTTCGTAACATTACGCTCTATCCCGGTCTACTATCACGGCTCTGGGCCCGTCCGCTTCACACTCCCACGCTTGTAATCCTGGTCGCAGAGGCGAGGCATATTCCCACTTACATCCTTACCTTCCAGACGCGGGCTATCCAGGATGAGGCCTGCAGCGCGCTTGGGTACAAGTGGCTTGCTCGTCTCTATGGCACTGCCTTCTTCTTTAAGACTACGGGATGCCATCTGTCTGAAGTTATACTACTCAGGATGATCACCCAACTGAACACCCATCTTTCCAATCCATCCAATACCAAGCTCTTCTCTGCCGACCTGCTTCGTATCAAACATCACTATGAGTGACATCAGAGTATCCGTACGTAGATATCTATCACTTCCTAGAAGCCCAACTAATGACCGTTAGCAGAAAGCACAGAACCTCGCTCGGATTAGAGATAATCAGCGTAAGTTTCTCCGGTCAATAGCGGCTATTCTTCCTACCATCTTGCATTCCAAGCATGAAGAGTGGCGATACTTTGTGTCATGCACACAGCTGGACATTACATGGCCTTCGGATTTACTGAAAGTGTTTGCTAACAATACCCGTGTTAGGCCGATCACGCGCCCGACGCAAAGAGTATCTGCACGAGCTGGAGACTAAGCTGCGCAGCTATGAACAAATAGGCATCGAGGCCTCTTCAGAAATCCAGAGTGCTGCTAGGAGAGTGTTGGATGAGAATCGGAAACTCAGGTCGCTGCTCCATGAAAGAGGAGTGTCCGAGTCCGAGATTGTAGCAGCACTGGAAGGGATGTCTGATCGACGATACGAGCACGATACTGCGGCTTCCAGATTGCATGCGATGCTTGAACGGAGGGTCAACACCAACGTAATACCTTCTACAAGCTTGCCTATACCTTCTCATACGAGAGCTGCTTCGATGCCTCGGCAGAAACCATCAGTGCCACCCGTTACTATCCCACCTACGCGGCCAACGGCACTCAGCTACAACGATTCACCTAGCCCCGGATCCATGGTGTCAAGTATGAGTACACCACCACCGGCGTCATACCCGGCAACGCTCTACACTACGCCCATGACTCCGTCAGCTGCCCAGATCAAGTCAGAGCATGTTCAGTACGACTACCCCTACGACCAGCCATACAGCAGTGCATGGGCTTACTCGAGCGATTGCAACTATACTGCAGAACCGGTCTCCTATTACAACGGCTCGTCCTGTGTTGACGCTGCTAACATTATTCGTACGATGCGAGCTGGTGTCGGCCCTGAGCTAGAGGTCGACCTAGGACGTCACACATCTGATCGTCATTGCTATATCAACAATGCAACAATTTCCAACGTCATGGACCGATACTCCCAACATAATGCGCCAATATGAGAAAGAAGAGAGGACAATCTCTAGACACAAGTGTAGGGCTTACCAACAATTGGTCTGCCTGGGCCGTAGCAGGCGAGCAGGAATAGGCTGAACTATTAGAGCCGAGTCGCGGAGCGTATTGCGGACGACACGAGCAAGGTATCACTGCATATCAGTAGCTTGATGTGCGCCTTCAGTCTCAATACGCATACGTCTTTGGCAGAGTGCTGGGCCAAGACGGTCACCCAGAAGAGCTACAGCGTATTACTGCATCATACGAGAGTACATGTCCAGCATATCTATCATTAGACCATGCTCTCGATATGTATCAGTCCTCTTTATTCTCTTGCCCAAGGTTATGAATTCATGAAAGAAAGTCTTCTCATTCATAGACGCGTTTAATAGAAGAGGCTAGCCGTCCTACCAATTCCTTTCTTTGTGCACAGCCGTTCGCATGACCTTTCACATCGGTCGATCTATCGTCGTCGTCGAATGTTCTACCGGATCACAAGTCTGCGAGTACGGAACTGACAAGCATTCGAAACGGTCGATGGAAATCGGTACGCTATGCGCAACAATATTCCTTAATGACTTTTATTGATGGCGAGGCTCATACTGACGACATCACTCAACATTCTCAGAATCTTGACCAACTCCTTCTAGTCCGTAGCCTCATATTTATCCTTATGCTTCAACTGCTGCTTATAGTTTTCTGATGTTGTAATGGTTGTGTTCTGATTGCCATATTGCTAGGTTCAAGAGATCTACGTGACTTCCTTTGCCCCTTTAACTGACACGGTACGCGATACGTCAGTCAATCCGGCATCTGTTGCTTGTTCTTCAAAGACAAAGACCCATTCTTAGAAGAATACACTCGGAGCATAGCTTCGATTTTCCTGTCAAAGTTGCTACGCTCGCCCGACACATCGCGTTGACTGCAGAGCAGCATACTCGAGACGATACCAAAATGCCTTCAGAACTCAAAAAGGGTGACTAGGGAGTTGATCCACTCAAGAAAAAGGCAAAAGCAAGGAACACTCTGGAAGATGACCGACCTACGATCAACGTCAACTGGGCTATACCAAAAGAGACGCGTAAGCAGATCTATCAGGAGGAATACGCGACCAAATATGCTCAAACACTGTATCAAAGAGCACGAGAAAAGACAAGTCCGCAGTAGACACCTCTACTAGATCCGCAACTTCGAACACCCGTCTATCGAAGCAAGGGTGTCAAAGACATGTTAGCCGGAAACCCATATTGGCCCAGTGCATCACCACACAATCTTTTCAACGATATAAAGAGGAGAAGTACCCGGGAACGGGACAGCTGCTACGGATCACTACCGGCGATAGAAGCTTCATATATACCGTCTTGAACGCGTGGGCACTGGCTATGGGGATACATTGGTACCTTCCGACCGGCATTTCAACCAGACCGCGAATTTGCCAGATGAAGCCACGCTGAATTCGCTATGGGGGCGCCTTGAGGAGACGGAATAGCTTGATCAGGCTGGAGGGAGTTTAGATATTCAACAGCTCGCCCACGCACACAGAACCGATGTTTTGGAGGGAAGGCGACATAACATAGCTTGGCCATCGGATTCATGGTTCCAAACAGTACAGAATGAGTGCGTGAAAGATCTTGAACGTTGGGGAAAGTTAAATCTCATCGACACAAGTATCGAAGTAGAAAGGCACTGGAAGGACAACGCTTATAATGACGGAGTCCTGCCTAGAAGAGACACGTGGCGAACTCAAGATCCGAACTTTAGATCAGTCCGAAGATGTACTTCCTCGCTACAGGGAGTTTCTCAACCAACTACATCCATTGGGCATACTAAGTATCTTGGTCTCCGTTCCCGTGACTGGATAAAAGACTCTTTGAACTTGTACGAATGCATCCCGGAAAACGAACCACTATAACGCAGCTTCTCTGAGGAATTCCGCCGAAAGTTCGGCCATCTAGAATGTCAGGCGTGGGAAGCGAACATGGCCATTGCTGCCGTAGTCGAAACAATCGATGAAGAACAGAGAGAGCTCCATAAAAGGAATAACACTGACAATCAACCATTTGTTGGAGGTTTCTCAATAGTTCCAAACGCAGCGTTAATTGAGGCGCTGCTTGAGGAGTCTGCAGAAGGTCATGATGTCGCATCAAGGCCTGGAAGATGCTGGTTCATGCCTCTGAACATGAGCGGAAAGCTCTCGGATCGGGCCAAAAATGGATAAGAGATAACAAGAGACGTTTCAAAGCGTCAAAAGAAGGTCAAATCCAAGGTCATATATTGTCCGTAGTCCTTCAGGAATAACACGTACAAACAAAACCGGGGAAATTGCAAGTCGACATGCTTTTCCTGGATAGTAATCCGAACATATTAGATACTGCCTACGACTACCTCGTTGCTGTCATCAAGGATGCAGCAAAAGGTCTTGGTTGGGCTGCTCACCGAAACACCGCTGGTCTTCAAGCCGTTTCAGGAGTATATCCTGTACCAGCACAGCAACACGGCGGATATCAATGTGGTTATCACACATTCTTGAATGCCTGGATCCTCGTTATGGGTCTCAAACCAGACAAAAACAGGCGCGAATATAGTGGAGACATGTATGAGGAGGCATGGAAGCTCGCCAGAGCCGCGACAGCCGGATTACTTGACTGGAAGGCATTAGTAGCTTGGTTCTTCTGCCATAAACTGACCAAGGGAAGGAGCTTCGAAGCTGTCCCCACGAATCGGCGTTTCGAAACCACTATTCCTCAAATGCCAGCAACGCTTGGTATTCAGGAAGCACTCGGAGATGGCGAGTTGGGAGAACATGCGCGACAACGGTACGATACGGATGACAGACCTTTGGAGTCACTACCGATCGCCTAAGCCCCGTATACCTTGTCCAACAATATTGCACTACACCCTCTTCACGCTACCAATAGGAGGGACAAGAGCAAGAGCCCGAACAGAAGTCATGACGATGCAAACCTGGACTTTCTCAATAGCTGTGAGGGTACCAAGCGCAAATCACGCGAAGAAATTGACGACGGTCTGAATTTCCTACGCAACTCACAAATCAACTGTGATGCGGAGGTAGTAAACTCGGCTCATCAGACGCCTTCCAGGAAGAGACAGCTATTAAGCGGCGGCCTATCTTTCCTTCACACATATTGATCGGAGTCTTGTTATGGTATTTGCATCACGGCAGAAACACTATTGTATCTGTATTGCGCTGTTATAAATTATATATAAAAGTAGTTTGCTACTATGAGCATTGCATGGTGACGTTGTTCGTGGCACGTAGCGACGACGCGATGAAGATGGAACCTCGAAGTCTTGGCAGACGATGACGTAGTCCCAAAACCTTCACGCGTCAAGCGTCAACCCGCGAAACCCCAAACCTCTCCCATTCAAACCCATACCCTTAACCCAACCTAGTAAACCCCCCCAAAGATGATTCGACCAACCCTTCTCTCCACCTTCCGCCTCAATGCCCTCCCCACAACCAATAAACGTGTCTTTTCTCTCCTAAACCCCAAATCCCGCTCACACACAAACCGCGTCTTCGACCCGATCCGCCAACCCAATGACCTGCACACCCTCACCCTCCTCAACGCCGCCGACAACCGTTCCTTGATAACCTTCTGGACTGCGTCCTGGTGTCAAACCTGTCAAGCCATCAAACCCTTGATCAAACAACTCATCGAAGAAGAGAAGATTGGAGAGCGGGAAGGCGGACTGGGTTTCGTGGAAGTACTGATGGATAGCACATTGATTGAGGATTTGCCAATCAAGTATCGCATCAGTAGTATGCCGACGCTGTTGGCGTTCTCGAGACAAGAGGCGCAGTTTGATACTAGGTTGACGCGGCCGGAGGAGATGCGGAATAAGGATTTTCTGAGGGAGTGGTTGGTTAGGGAGGCGCAGAGGGGAGGGAGAATGGGAGGGGGTGGCGGGAGCATGTTTGGTTAGTCATACGTGTTCTGTAAGAAGATTCGATCCAATGCTGGACCTGACGGTCTTCAGGTACAAAGGGAGATGGGAATGAGGGTAAGGGGGGTGAAGATAAATGAGACGAAAGCTTGGAACATGGGAGGATGGAATGTACAGGTACGTTTGTTGAGCGCAGGTTCTAAAGAGTCAATGCTAATACCTTGATAAGTATATTCGATACCCCAAGGTAAACTACCGGATCATGACATCTACTATGAATTCAGTCTGAAGTTTGATGATTATCGCGGCATGCTATGCTGATGCGCTATACAACGCATCGACTGGTCTCAACGATGTCGGAGCTTTAAATGTATAGGGGTATATCCATGAAACATGCGAGGTCAAGCTCCCAAACGCTATCGAAGTGCTACAGATATGACTGTGACAATACTTTCCCTCCCCAGATTCATGTCATCAACCAATCCTGAAACTCATCTTTCTCAACAAGTCGAGATTGCGTCGCCTAGTACTTCCGGCCTTTAGACATCTTCACACCCTGCATCAGCGGATCCTCATCCGTCGTCCAAGCCTGTGCATCAAGTCTAGCACGCTTCTCTCCGCGCATGTCACCGAATACCTCGCCTCTCTTGTTTGACTTCTTGCTATTCTGCACAGGCTCTGTGTACATGGGTGTGCTAACGCGAGAGCCACGAAGCGCAGGAGTGGGCAGCGAAGTATCAGTAAGAGCAGGTGGGGAGGTGACATCATCATCATCATCATCATCGTCGGTCTGCGCATTGATCGAGTTCCCCTTGGAACGTTCTTCCTCCTGCATGCCGTTCGCATCGCGCTCGTTCAACTGACGCTGCGTCTCCTTACGCCCTTGCAGCCAGATATCATGATGATCCTTGTACTCTTTTTCCTTGTTCTTCACCCACTCTTTCTGTTCCTTACTCTCCCCGATGCAAGTAGGACACTTGATGTAGAAACCGCCAGTCGTAGACTCCTCGCCCATGAACTCAAACTCAGGAAGGTTTTCGCCGATAAGCTCAGTTTCGTCCCAAGCAAGGCAGTCCTCACAGAAGCCTTGCGGACACCAGCGGCAGCGGAAAATGAGACCTCCAGCATCTGAGGTCGATTTACCACAATCAGCGCAGTTGTGCTGAGGGCATTGGAAACCACTGAAGCCCTTTACCTTGGCCTTGTACTTGGGGTCGAGACAGTCAAAATGATAAGCACGGGGGCAACCCTTGCACTCGACCATGTGCCCAGCATCCGCGTCATCGAAGCAGCTTAGACAATGCTCCTCATGACCGAACTGGCGCCGCTTCTCACGAACCGGCTCAGCAAGGCGAGGGTCCTTGCCAGCGTACGTCGGCACTGCCTCCCAATCACCACAGTTCATGGACTCCTTGCTGATGGCAAAACCGTTCACCATGACTGTAGTGTTCTTTCCCTTGCGGCGATCTTCGCGCGTGATGGTGTCCGGAAGGATGTTTGCAGCCGAGGTGTTAGCCTTCCAGCTGGTATCAAGCTGGCGTTGATGATGCTTGCCCTCAAACACAGCGCATTCGACACGCTCCATGGTGGAGAGCCACTTGTCCTCGTCCACTTCGGAGTGCGTCGCGGATTCGGTCAAGTCGGCAGGATTGTCGCGACACTTAGCCATCATTGTCTCTAAGTTCCAGGACACCATTTCCTTGACGTCGATCTCTGGATGGGATAATGTCTGGGCGCCTCGCCGTACAAGAGTCTTCAACTGCGTGGTGTCCATCTGGGGTAGATCCTCGCTAAGAGACGGGCGTCCAGCCTTCTTAGTACCCATCGACTGCTTGCCGTGCACACTCTGCATTGACTCCGTGATCTTTGCCGACAAGTAAAGCTTCTTACGAATGCGTCCCATCATCTGCTCTTCGACAGTACCCTGTGTGCAAAGTTTGTAAATAGTCACCTTCTTGGTCTGTCCAATGCGATGAGCTCGAGCTTCAGCCTGAAGTGTAATCTGCGGATTCCAATCTTCGTCTAGGAAGATGACATCCTGAGCGCTCGTGAGGTTGATACCTAATCCACCTGCTCGGGTCGAGAGAAGCATGACCTTGTAATCTGAGTCCTTCTGGTTGAAGAGGCGGATATCCAGGTTGCGGCGAGCTCGAGCTGTGCTACCGTCCAGGCGAAGGGCTCTGAAACGCTCTCCATGGTTGCTAATGAGAGACAAGAGATCCTCACAGTAGTCGAGCGTGCGAGTGAAGCTAGAAAAGATGAGGACTTTTTTGCCTTCGTTGAAGATTGTGTGCTTGAGGAGTTTCTCCAGCAGGATGAACTTGCCCGATGCACGAATGATGTGGTCACTGAGGTAGTACGGATCAGGCGCGACACCTGGAAGCAGATATGGATGCGAACAGCACTTGCGCAACTGCATGACGAGGTTCATGAGTTTCTTCCAAGCACCCTTGTTGGGGTCAGTATCGGTCTGCTCCTTCGCTACGGCCTCTTGCAAGATCTTGGTGGTCTCTTCCCAATCGCCTTCAGCATTGCCAGAGCTGACCACCTTCTCCGCCTTCTCCATCTTTTCCAGCAGCTTGTTCTCCTCAGTGTCTTGTTGAATGGCTACCCTCTCCTTTGATTTGCCGTCAGCGAAGAGCTCGTCGAGCATTCCATCGTCGATGCGTGTCAAAAGACGGGTATACCAGAACTTCTGCATGGGAGTCAAGGGCACGTATAGCAGTACTTCTTCCTTGGGCGGTAGGCCGAGATTGACCGACGGAGAGTCTTTCATACGGCGTAGCATGATGAGTTCGAGCAAGCGGCGGGCGTCTGTCATGGTCTGTTTGTTGGCTTTGCCCTTGCTCAGATCGAAAGACTCGCGGAACAGCGTCTCGGTCTTGTCATCGAAGACGTTGGGGTACAGCCATGTCAGAAGCGACCACATTTCGACCAAGTTGTTCTGGAGTGGTGTTCCAGTCAGAATGAGACGATATTCGGCGCTGATGCTCTTTAGTGCAGTAGAAATTTGGGTGACGCTGCTCTTGATCTTGTGTCCTTCATCTAGAACGACGTAGCGCCAAGCAAAAGAGTGCTTGAACCATGATTGCTCAGCCTGAAAAGTTTCGTAGGTGGTGACAACAATCTTGTAGGCATCGGATCCTTGGTCGCTGGAGGAGAGCTTGGAGGCCTTTCGGCCAGCCTTGCGCGACGCCTTCCTGTCTTTGGCGCGGAGAGTTTCGTTTCCCTTCATGTCCTCCATGCCAGCTGCAACGCGCTTCAAACGGGTCCGCTCAGATACGGCGCCGTGAAAGCGCATGACTTTGAGTTGTGGTACCCACTTCTGGGCTTCGGTGACCCATGAGTTGAGAACACTAAGAGGGCAGATGACGAGGTATGGTCGAAGTTCTTCTGACGTCACGCCGTTCTTCTTATCCAGCTCTTCAAGATACTGAAAGAGCGACAAAGTCTGCAGCGTCTTTCCCAGGCCCATCTCGTCACCAAGTATGCCGGAGAAACCGTTGTTGTAGAGATGAACCAAGTACGATAGACCAGATAGTTGGTATGGCTTCATGACAGCTGTGACACCCTTGGGCTGCTCCGAGAGCTCTTCGTATTCGACAATGGGCTGCGCATTGCCCTCTGCGACTAGCTTCGCGACCTGGTTGTTCTTAGGTAGCAAGGGGAGGAAGAGGTCTTTGTTGGCGACAAGAAAGTTGTTCGCCCTTGCCTTGGTATTCTTAGTGATCTCATCACGCAGACGGGCACGAGCAGTATCGAGATTCGGTGGTGGTCGCACTGCCCTCCGGCGCGGTGGTGACGGGGTGGGCATGGTGTCTGACTCGAGGATAGTACTCTTCCTGTCACGCCCACTGCGCCGCAACCCCTCTGTCCGCTGGCGATCCTTCTTGTGCTTCTCCATCTTGAGCTCTTCAGTGTATGCTGATATCCTGGCGCTTGTCTTACGATTTGGGCGGGCGGATGGGGCAAGTTCGTCTTCGCTAGTTCCTGGGTCGGCGTCTACTTTTCTTGAGGTCGAGGCACGAGTGCTCCTGGTGGCTTTGAAAGCGGGCTTGTAATTGGGGGTAGATGGGGAGGCTTCGTTTGCGGATGAACCGGAGGCGACGTAGTTTGGCGTCGGCTTCGCTCGCAGGCTGCGTTTGCTGTCGCCTGTCGCGTCTTGCCTATTCTCCTGCTGCGAAGAGATACGCCTTCTCTTAGTCGCCGATTGCGCTGAGCTCTGGGATCCAAATTGTGCGAGGAGGTCTTGCAGTTGGCCGCCTCGTCTCTTGGGGGTAATGGGCTGAGGGGAACCCAGCGTTATGACGGGATCACCAGCCATTGTGACAAATGTACGGTACGCTGTAGGCGGGGGTATTGCGCAGTGAATGAGAATTGAAAAAAGTTGGTGTAAAGTACAAGTGAATATGTAATTAGAGAACGCGTGGTTGGAGAGTCGTTGGAAAGGGAAGACAAGAGGTCAAAAGATAGCAAACTCGTGGTGTGAGATAGGTGACGGTGAAGAGGAAACCAAGCGATGCAGTACGTCTAAAGGAGGGTGTTGAAACGACTAGGCGTTTTCGCGGTGAAGTGAAGCCTCGCAGCGTCATCAGGTACGGGAGGCGATACGTCAATCAATCTCAGCACGCGTTTTAGCGCGACTTGCAATTGTCCCTTCCGGAACCGTTCCGAGCTATCAACCCATCCAACACCAACCCTCGCACCTCGACATTTCTCGGATCCACTCCCTCTACCCGCGCAGCCGGCGCAACCTCGTCGCACATCATGGCTCAACAGCCTATGACGCCCTTCTTCCCCATCTTCGCATCCAAGTCGGACGGACAGCACATTGTCAACCTCAAAGGCCGACCTCTACGAAATGGCCCGACCGAGGAACAGCTCAACACGACGCCCAACGACCAGGGCCAGCGCGACTTCTACCGCCTCATAGACAAGGATGACCCCAAACATCAAGATTGGCGCAAAAAATTGGGTGGTATGCTTCTGCGCGAGATCGGTGGGAAGCAGTGCGAGGGTAAGCAAGGTGCGAGGCGCATTAACTACTGCGGACTGACATACGACAGACAAGTGGCAGCAGTGCATTCTGTGGGAGCTGCCGGAAAACTACGTCCTCTACGAGCACATCAAGACCAAGGCAGACGGACAGTTGAAAACGGTCAAGAACCATTCGGGCGGCGGCCATGATAGACAAGATGCATACCTCTATGGATACCCCAAGGGTCCCAAGAAGCGCTTCAGGAGCCCTGTCGAGTTCTTCCCCCATCTCCTGTGGCTGTGCACCGATGAGAATAGCGACATGACCAACTGCACGTGCAAGATGTGCTCGCCCGCGGGGGACGTCGAGAAGCCCCAAGTCAAGGTCGAAGTCAAGCAAGAACAGCCTATGGCTCTCAAGCGAGAGACCAGCTCCACCGGGGCTGCACCAAACAGCACCGTCATCGGTCGCAATCCCATCGTACAGATCCCCGCGCGAAGGTCGTCGACCGGCGCGCCTGTCCCAAGTCCCATCATCAAGCCCTCCACGCCCGTTACCGCCCCGAAGCCTACCCCCATACCCAGTGCTGCACAGATTAGGGCTCCTCCAACATTACAATCTACACCTCTCCCCCAGCCGCGGTCGCTCGAACAGCAGGTTGACCTGTCGTACAACAAGTTTCTCTGCCGAACTGGAGAGGTCGTGTGGTTCTTCCGGCCCAAAACATCAGCCTGGGGCCTGGGACTTGTAGTGCGAAGATGGGCTCTCAAAGAGCAACCCATGAGCAGATCATACCTGATCCAGCCACTGTCCCACCCCTTCGAGTCGCCGCCACAAGAAGTCGTGCACACGGATGAACATGTCAAGCCCTGGCTTGCGTGGTCAGCACCCAGCTGCACGTTCCCTTTCCTACAACAAAACCCGCAATTCGAATATGGTAATACCGACTGGAGAGCCCTCATAAGTGGGCAGGGGGGCGAGGGCATCGCGTCCGTCGATGCGTCTATATTAGCTGCAAAAGCCATCGACACCACATATACGCTCTTCGAGTGTCTCAAGACGTCCAAGGACGACAAGGGAAATGAAGTTCGACAGTACAACGGCATGTACCTAGGCGCTGAGAAGATCTGGAAAGGCGAGGCCGTCCGCCTGCGTATAGGCGCCACTGGAACTGACCTGATGGTTGTCACTGACATCGTCGAGCAAGTCTTTGCCAACCCACCGCCCAATCAGCCCAAGAGCAAAATTATCGCAGTCGGCGATATCTACAGCTACGCCACTTTGGATGCGCCAGACCCTAACCTTCCCCCCAAGCCACCTCAGCAAAACGGCAATATTCCCGCGCGCATGGTCCACGACATGGTATGGCGAAACCGAATGCTCGTACCGATTACTCGTACTGCAGCATGGTGGAAGCTCATCCAGCCATCATACAAGATCGACATCGATGACATCAAAGGTCGTTGGTACGAAACAAGTCTTGTGTTCCAAGACCCTTTTGCTAAAGCTGTGAAGAACGGCGAGGGCGGTAATGGCATCTGGATGAACTCGCGCGGCGATGCAACGGGCAAGGGTAAGGGAGCCAGCGTGTCGCAACCTGACCGCATTGGCGCCTTTGGGGCCTCCGTGCCCAAGGGAACGCGCATCGTCGAGGGCCTGGATCCTCCGAGTCAACCAATTGGTCAACAACAGCAGTCTCATGATGGAATGGACATGAATATGGGTGCTGGTAGTATGACGGACCCATTTTCCATTGATGAATTCATGAATGTGGATCATCTGGGCGACGACACTGGTATGGAGTACGGTGGTAATAACAACTTTACCTTTTAGCATAGCCGGATTTGGCACTCGTGGCGTATGGCATGGCGTAATTCGGAAAACATGATGGGATATTTATCTGTTCATAAGCATTTGTGGGATATGGTATGCGCATTCCTTCTATTCACATGGGAGATACCCAAGTCGTTGTTCGACTATATAGGCATTCAAAAGCAGCGAGAATGCATGGATCCGATGAATGACTTGGTCTGTTCCCTCATTAACACTGTCGTTGTCCCCGACGGATGTAAGGCAACACTCAGAGCGCTGGTGAATACCCTGGAACAAAACGTTCGAGCATACCGGCTTTCAACGCACAATGCCCTTTTCTCTCAGCTCGTCCCTCCACCTTTTACCAAATGTCCATTCAAGCCACGCAATCCCAAGACATGCGGCGCTTACGCCACCTAAAAGCGTAAATGTCCAACCAACACCGATACTTTTCAATATCAGATCAAGAACAGCTAGACCAAGACCCGCTAATAAACATCGAACTATGTTGTTGGCAGCTTGAGCGGCTGCAGGAGACTTTGGATGTATATCTATGAGAAGAGTACCACACATCTGTTATACCTGGATTAGCCGCACACCTGTATGGCGTGGTGCTGAACTTACATTGAAAGTGATGGCTATTGCACCGCCTATAACGAATTGAAGTATAAGAGCGACAGCCATGTGCTAAGCGTCATCCAGTCAGCCATATATCCCGTCATCTCTGCTATGCGTGGCGATGCTCACTGTTCTGGAATGCAAAGCCCATCCATAGCCCGTTGTACAGACTGCAGTAGCGATAATCCAATACCAAACACTCCTGAACCTTGCCTTCTCGATGGGAAAGTCTGCCAGATTATCACCTCTTATAGAGTCAATCGTAATAGCATAATCGCGTGCGGTGGCGCGGTAATCGCGATTCATAATGGTACCTGCATTCGCAATGAGTCAGTGACCGCGATGCAGTCGATCAGTGCAGTAGTTTGCTTTAGGGTAATGTAAGAGAAAGACCGACTTACCCGAACAGTACGCGCCGACGCAAGACCCCACGCCAAATGGCAAGTATACTAGTCCAGCTTCAAGCTCTGATAGGTTGTAAATTTGGATAAAAAGCGTCGATAGAGAAGCTTGTAGGCAGCTGAAATTCATGTAGTAGATGCCGTATATCAGAGTAATCAGGATGGTGTCCTTGGTAAGAAGCATCTTGAGACTTGCAAGAGGATTAGGAAATCGGAATGGCTTTCGAACGGGCGATATCTCCTCTGATGCTGATTTTCTTTCGGAATCTCCTCCTTTCTTGGCAGAGTGAGTGGAGGGATGGACTCGCGTTACCAACGCGCGATGAATACCAGAGACACGAGCCGAGCCGTTACCAACGATAAAGCGACACGTTTCGGGCAAGAGAACCGCCATCAGCACAAGGCAGGAACCGGAAGCTATCGCAAGCAGCCAGAATATCCAACGCCAGCCTGGCTTGTCTACTAAAGCTCCACCAATGACTGGGCCAATCGCGGTTGCGAAGTTGGGTCTGCAATGAAGCATGAGTTGATGGTTGAGTCTTGATTTAAGGGCTAGTATACCCTAACAAGAGAGTGCCGACGAATCCACCTCTTTCTGATGGAATAGCAATATCAGCCACAACACCATAGCCAATAGCAATTGTCGCTGAAGTAACAATTAGCTGTCTTTCGATGGAGCAAGTATTTATAAGTAAATTCTTTGGACGCACCGGCACTACCAGCGCTTTGTACCATCCTCAGTAAGAATAACGCCGTCCAACTCTTCTGCAAAGCGATACCGATGTTCGCGATACAGTATATACCCATGGTGATCAGATAGACTACCCTTCGTCCTGTGAAATCTGCCATGTCACCTATAATAGCCGGTGCAATTCCAGCCACGATCATGTACGATGTGATGGTGAGATTGATCTTCTCTACGGAAACATTGAGTGAGGCTGACAGTGCGTTGATAGCAGGAAAGAAGATAAATGATGACAACGGGGAAAATGTTGCTCCAAAGGTCACCAAGAAAACAATAAGTCTCTTTTGTCGTTTGGTGAAGTGCGAGTACGGTGGTGGCTCATCGTTGCCGCTTACTCCGATTGTTGCTTGCTCTTCGTGTGTCGATGAAACTGGTCTGGTGGAGGTTGGCGACTTAGCTGGAGTCTGCGTTGCGATCTCATCTTCTGGAGACGGCCGGTTAACTGACATACTCGTGGGAGGAGTAAGCGCGCAAAGTATGAGTGCGAATGGATCGTGGGCTGTGTTCAAGAACGCCTCGATTTCGAACATTGACCGCAGAGCCGCATCGGTTTGCAAGCGAAGCAGTACGGTGTATGTCACGCGGTCATACTGTATCACACGGTATGGTACACCGACGTGTGCCGTGTATTACGAAGAGGGGCGGCCAATGAATTCACGTATAGCTCTCCCCCTCACCTGGTATGCAGGAAGGATCCTTATTAGGCGCCCACAACGTAGTATGACACGTATGTGTGATAGAGATTTGTCGCGCAAGATACGTTCCAGCCATTTTCCTTTTGCATACAAGGCCAAGGAATTTTGCGGGTGTTGGCGCTGCGCCTTCAATACATACAAAGCCTTGGTAGTAACACTATGAGCAAATACCTTCACTGCACCGCAAAGCCTGCATGTACGTCTAGCCTGACCTAAGGTAGTCCAGACTCACCTTCTGGAAAGGGCGCGTATTTCTCGATCAAGTACGTCAAATTCTCGTAGCACCTGATGCACCGTTAGCATGACCCCTACGCTGATGGATTGAATGCTTACTGTTCACGAAAGCTCGAACCATTATGACAAGCAGACTCATGCAGTGTCATGTAGACACTGTACAGCCGGCTGCGATCCTCAAACTGATCCGCTGGCTCGCTGATCCCCATCCTGGCGAGGTATGTATTCGTATAGATCTTCGAACTCATGATCTTGTTGAACTTTGCTCGCCACATCGCAATCTCCATCTCATTATGCGCATAATAAACACTTGCGTCAAATACATAGATTGCTCCTGTCTTGAAATCTGTTCCAATGTTCCCATCCCAGAGGTCGCCATGTATCAGCGTCGGCTTCACTTTACGGCCATTCTCTTCGAGTGGTCCAAGAAGGATTGGTACAACGTATTTGACCAGGCGGTCGGCGCACTGTTCCAGGTTCTTCCAAGGGCCGTTGATCTCTCGGTTGAGCTGCATTGCTCCGTTGAACAGCTGTACATAAAAGTCTTTCCAACTGGGATTCCAGCCAGTCTGTTGAGGGAGATTTCCTTGACATGTGTTGATGTGGAAGCCGAACTGACCCGTAGGCGATTCACTCGCTTGATGTAACTGGGCGAGCTTGGTGCACAGTTGAATGGGATCAGGTATCTGGCTTGTCATCTCCACAAAGTCACAAAGGAAGTAGTAGGTGTCCGGGTTCGAGACGTTAAGCTTTCCCCACGTATACGGTTCTGGGACAAAGTTGGGCGCTGTCTTGTAGAGCTCAACCATTGAGTTGAATTCTCCCTCAAGCATGGCCTTGCCTTGCTTGCCGTCCGCGCACTTCACTCACGTTAGCCATGTCACTCGCAACGGAATATTCATATTTACTTTCAAGAAATACCACCTCGATTCGCCATTCTTAAGTGTCGTCTCGATTCTTGCAGTCACTGTCCACGCAGATGCGCCATATCGGTCACAGCTGTGAACTTGGCTGCCAGGAGGTAATTCTGTTACACGATCAGTACCTCGTGCTTGTATGGTCTACTCATAACCTACGGTCTATCACGACTTGATCCAGGGGAAAGTCGCCCTCAATCGCCTTGTCGCCACTTTTTCCGGGTATTACCAAGGGAACTCTCCCCAATGATTCGGTCGGCGGCTGCCATTCCTCAACGACTTCCGTTACAGTTGACATGGAGAATTTGGGTAGCCTCTAGGTATACGATTTGACTTACAGTTCGCAGCCTGAGGATGTCGCGCGTATCTATGCTATCCTTGGAATAGTGAAAGAAGACTAGCGTTGGTTCATGTCACGTCCCGCACCCTGCAGTCAGCTTACACCCTGTGTTTGCTGCCCTACTCAATGGCATACAAGACAAGTGTATCTGATATTATTGTACCACCTCGGTCAAGGCCACGTATTTGTAAACGCCATGTGTTGCTGCCTAGCTGCGCGTCGCGTCTTGAGCTGGACAATGTCCAACCACGACAAAAAAGAAACCTCGATGTGATACGCATACGCCCTGTTCGAGTACTGGAGGAAAGCGAGGTGCAAGGCTATGTACCGATCAAGACCGATGTACAAGGATTCCACCGATGAAGATGAGTAGTACGGGGACTCCGCAGGTTGTGTGTAGGATATAAGTGGGGGTGGGGCTGTGCTGTTGCCGCTTCAGTGAGCATAATGTCGACCAATGGGCTTGGACTACGATATTCACTCAGAACTTTCGACACACCCGGAGCCTCAAACCCTCATGCTTTGTTGCGCTTCTTGGTTGAAGCTCATTGAGTCAAGCCATCATGGTAAGAAGAACTCGCACCAGCATCCGCAAACACACATCATTAATGCATACAGTGGAACTCGTTTGGGAGCTTGAAGAAGAAAAGGAGATCCAAAACGAACGCAAGCTATCCCGACGGTACAGTTGCAGGCACCGACTCACTACAGATCGACAACATCTCGCCTTTGCCATCACCGAGTTCAACTGAGGGTGCATTGAGCCCCAAATCTACCCCAGACACACGTCGAGCCAGTGAACCTCCCCCTACTCGTCTCAACTCCAGAGCAAATTCGACGTTCGACGTGGCCGTTCGTTCTCGTTCTCGCTCCTCGAATCGTTCCCAGGATCCGCTTGGTCTGACAGTCATCTACCAACCAGAAACATGTCCACCATTGGATATCATCTTCGTCCATGGGCTTGGTGGTACCAGCCGTGCCACCTGGTCAAAAGGAAGAGATCCGGAGTTCTTTTGGCCGGAAAAGTGGCTTCCTACTGAACCGGCAATCTCGTCCGCGAGAATATTATCTTTTGGTTACAACGCAAACTTCGCTGCGACAGGTGCGGCACCGATTACCGGTATCGTTGACTTCGCGAAAGACCTACTTTATGCTATGAAGTTCGCAAAAGACGGAGAGCTTAATGAACTAGAACTCGGCACAGTAAACACTATTTATCGCATGGTGCAGACAATGTGCTTACGAACCGTAACAGCGGCCCATCATCTTCATTGTACATTCCATGGGCGGCTTAGTTGTCAAGCAGGTAAATGACTGTGAATCAGGTCTCTCGGAACAGAATCAGCAGGCTGACTTAAGCAGGCATACATATTGGGCCAAAACGATGAGAACTACTCCGAAATTGTATCGTCGATCAGTGCTATTCTCTTCCTTGCAACTCCCCACCGGGGATCGGACCTAGCTGACATACTTAATCGCATTCTTACCGTTTCTATCTTCAATCACAGCCCGAAGCTTTATGTTGGTGAGCTAAAGCATGGCTCACCAACCATTCAAGCTTTAAACGAACAGTTCCGGCACATTGCGCCCAAGCTCGATATCCTCTCCTTCTATGAAACTCTGCAAACGGCAGTAGGCCCCAAAAGAATGGTAAAGAGCCAATGTGCTATGTTGTGGCAATGAAGCTGACCCTCCGTCTCTTAGATGGTTGTTGAAAGGCAGTCCGCGACACTTGGATACCCAGCGGAAATCTCGAAATCACTGATTGCAGACCACCACACCGTCTGCAAGTACGATAGTATCCACGACACCAACTATATAAGCATCAGGAATGCACTTAAGACTTTAGTTACTGCTATCAAATCCAAAGGTTAGTTACATAAGTCTCTGTTGATATTAGCTGACCTACATAGGACATCATCTGCTCGCTTCTCATTCTAAACCCGAGATTGAGGAGTTAGAGACCTTACTTGCCGTTTCAGAGAATTATCAAGAAGATCTCGACTTCTTCAGAAAGAGGTGGACCACAGGTACATGCGAATGGATTCTCCATAACACAGCCTTCAAGAAATGGGTGAGCGAAAGTCATGGCTCCATGATGCTTTGGCTCAACGCCCTTCCTGCTAGCGGCAAATCCGTACTGTCTTCATACGTGGTCAACCACCTCTTGCGAGAATCATTCTGCGCATTCTATTTTTTCAGGTTTGGCGACCAACTCAAACGATCAACCAGCGCCTGCTTGAGGACCATCATCTTCCAACTGGCTGAGCAGCTACCTCGTTTCCGAGCTCAGTTACGCGAGATTCGTTTCACATCTAAGACTTTGGAGAAAGCCGATGCAAGAACCATTTGGGAGAAAGTCTTCATCAACGTTATCTTCAAGATGGGTCTGACCACGACCATGTATTGGGTTATCGACGCGCTCGACGAGTCCGATAGTCCACAATTATTGGCTGAGCTCATGCACGGTGTCTCGAAGTCGAATTCTCCGATTAGAGTGCTCTTGGTTAGCCGCCGCACCGACGAGCTCGTGTCAACACTCGATCGCTTAAAACCTGCTGTCCCCGTGGTCAATTTGCCTGTAGAGGACACCAAGCGAGACATTAGAGCGTACGTTGAGACAGAAGTCAGATACATGCACGCGACCGACGAGTTCAAGGAACAAATCGTGGAAAGATTGGTCGCTGGAGCGAAGGGTAATTTCCTGTGGGTCAGCCTAGCTCTTGTCGAGGTATTGAAATGCAACACTGAGGAAGACCTTGATGAGACGTTGGAGAGCATCCCGACCGGGATGGAAAATCTTTATCGGCGCATGGAGCAAATTATCGTCAATTCAACGAAGCCACGCGATCAGAAGCTTGGTCAAATGATATTAACTTGGGCAGTATGTTCGCGTCGGCCGTTGTTGCTGAAAGAGCTCAGCCAGGCTCTCCAGCCTGAGTTCTCAATCATGACAGATCTGAGTCATATCATCAACCGCGTATGCGGGCAGTTCGTCGCCATTGACTCCACTGACCGATTGGTCATGATTCATCAGACTGCAAGAGATCATATCATCGCCACTCGTTCTGTGTTGGCAGTGAAGGTCTCAGAGGGTCATGAGAAGCTCTTCACAAAGTGCCTGTTGGTATTGGAAAACAAACAGCCACGACGCCATGCTGACCGACGCGGAGGAACAACGAAGTTACCCGATTACCAAGAATTCCTCCGTTACGCAACCGTGTCCTGGAACTATCACCTGAACCTGCTTTCCTCTGAATCTGATGCGCCTCTAGTGTTGTTAGCGAAGTTTCTTAGTAGCACGGCGGTCCTGAACTGGATTGAGAGTCTTGCCAAGAAGAACCTGCTCAAGGTTCTTGTCTATTCGTCCAAAGCTATGACGTCGTATGCTCGCAGGAAGCGTCATAGAAACACAGAAACTAACCCTCTCCAACATCGCATACAAGAAATCGACCTTGTGGAGTCGTGGGCAATAGATTTTCTGAAGATCATCGGAAAGTTTGGACCCAACTTGATTGCCGCACCAGCTTCGATATACCACCAAATTCCTCCATTCTGCCCGGAGAATTCTGCTCTCTTCAAGCACTACGAGCATAGCACACCGAAGCCACACTCTTTAGTAATCAGTGGCATCGATCGCAAAGACTGGGATGATAATCTCGCCAGGATCGCGCTTGGCTCAGGCACCCAGGCCCTCATTGTCGCTGCAGCTGGGAATCACATTGCTGTTGCGTCGGCTTCCGGCCAGACAACGCTATACAACGCTGCTACATTTGAGGTCAGGAGAGTCTTCAGACACACAGAAAATATCAGTGCTATGAGCTTCAGTGACTGTACGAAGTTGCTAGCAACGTACGGCTATAACACAACCAAAGTGTGGTCAGTAGAGACTGGCTTAGTCCTACAAGAGATACCTAATCCGCAAAGAAGTCGGGCTTTCACAATTGCCTTCGCTGGCGGCGATACTGAGCTAATAATCGGATCCAATGACAGGTTGATAAGAATCGTGGACCTCACGGTATCTTGTCCTGGTTGGATTGTACTACACCCTGCACTCTTGAAGGACGACGCTGTTCTAGATCGGCCAGTACACAAAGTACCATGGCGGATAGCATTCAGCCCAGATCGAAATTACGTCGCCGTTGCGTATCGAAATTTCCCATTGTCAGTCTGGTCACTGGATGACGATAGACCGGAGCTTGTAGGACGACTTATGCGCGATGAGAAGTACGCAGGTAACTCCTGGACAGTCGTCGACCAGGTAATTTGGCACGCTGGTGGCCAAAATGTGGTTGGACTATACATGGGTGGACACGTCTTTCGATGGGATCCTTTCCAGAATACACAACAAGAATTGCAGGCTGAGGCTTCGATCTTAGCTTGCAGTCCTGAAGGTAAATTCTTCGCCATAGGTACCTCCGATGGAACCATCAAGTTGTATGACTTCCATCACTTCGCCCTGGTTTATCAACTCTCGTGCGACAGCATGATCAACGACTTCTGCTTCAGTCCTGATGGGAAGCGGATCTACGATGTTCGCGGTCAGTACTGTAATGTATGGGAGCCTAACGCACTCATTCGACACGACGATGGCGGAGAGCAGGATAGCGAAGAAAGAAGTGAGGTCGCTAGCATTCCCACTCTCGCGGTTTCCGAGGCATTCGCGGACGCACGCGACCAGATCACCGCTACTGCGATCCAATATCAAGGCCGTTATCAGGCTCTAGGCAATGAGTCTGGCTCAATCAGCATCATCGACACATCGGCAAAAGCGCCACGCCCTATCCAGATATGGCAAGCTTCCATACCCTTAGCCATCGGGTTCTTAGCGTGGTCGGATGACGGCCGGTATCTTGCCTGTTCAGAGCTGACAGGACGAGTGGTGGTAAAGAACGTCCAGCGTACCCCCGAAGATTCCTGGAAGATCACTCCCGTATTCGACATGAAAGTATCAGCCAACAGTGAGGGCTTGCAGCAACTTCTTATGAACAACGACGGGTCACTACTGATGGTTAAGAATGGATCTACCGCGGCGGTATGGCCTGTCGGACAAGCCGCAGGCCTGGAGTGTGGATACACAGCCATCGAGTCACCTAATACGAAATGGATCAAGCACCCCTCTGACCCCCGAGCTTTGATAGCTTTCGATTGTACACATATATACCTGCATCGATGGAACGATCTGTCGGAGACTGCGGTCGTTAGCCTCATGAGCGCACCTTTCCAGGCCAGTAGCCTTGCCTCCGCAAGTGACGACTCGGAGGAGAACAGGCTTGTGGGTGTCTTTGCCGATCCTGCAGGCTCTCACTGTATCATCGACGTCCTCCATCCCACCTCATCAAGTTCGAAGCGTATTACCTCAGTCTTCACAATCACAAATCTCGAGCAATCTACTGCCGTAAACCTACCTCTCAAGCTTGAAGCCATACCGGATGAGTTACAGCAAGAGATTGAGATCCTCGTCGGTGTTCTACCTCGGCAGCGTCTGGTCTTTTTGGACAAAAACTTCTGGATGTGCTCCCTTTTACTCAATCAGCCTCTTACCAGAGCCAGCGTGCAGCGACATTATTATCTTCCGAAAGATTGGCTAAATGCAAGATATTTGGACCATTGCGCAATACTTCGAGACGGCAAGTTTCTGGTGCCAAATAACGGTGAACTAGCAATAGTCGCCTGCACTGAATTGAGTGCACATTGACGCACTGGGTTTGGTTCAGACTCTCGAGTAATAATGTACACATATTCTAGAGTGAACAATCTTTCGTGAGTGTCTTCATGGCAACAGTTTCATAGTGTATAGAGCTGGGGAAAGTCGTGGTACAGCGTTTTAGATAGATGGTTTCGCCGCTTCCCGCCACATTCACCATTGGAATTAACGTTCACTCCTATACGCACCACTCTTGCTCATATATGCCTAAACCACCGCGTTGAAAGTCTCCAGACTCATGCGAAAACCCCGGATCTGAGTGTGTGCGATGATAACCATGCCTGTTCTGTATTGCATCCTGCGTATGTGGCCACGTCTGTGCATTGCTGCGCATTGGTCCTGGCTCTAAGGAAGGAGTCTCCGAGCTGCGACGCTCTTCACCGCTCATCCGACTCTCTGTTTCGTTCTGCTGATGCACCTGCGATGGTCTTTGTATAAGAGGTGTTGAAGAGTCGCCGCTTGTGCGGGGCCGACCAGGCATGTCAAATGGACCGAGAGAAGCGTCGCTCTCGTTGCGTGTCCGACGCGGTGTAATCGCTGATGGGAACAAAGAGTGGGCCATGGCTGGGGTTTCAAAGACGGCATTGGGCGGTCTATCGTCGTCATAGTGCGTCAATTCGATTGATGGTGCTGCACGCAACGGATCCCACGTGTGCTGCCTCGTCCACATAAGCGTCTTCTGTCGCTTCTTGATCAGACCAATAGCAAGAGCAAGCTTCTCTATCTGGGCCAACGTGGCGCGAGAAGTATGACGAGCGAAGAGCGTCAAGCTTCTGTAGGTGCGAGTCATTCGTAATCCGCTCATGGCGTCTTCGTAGTTTTCGGTCGACAAGAAGGATTGCTGACACCATTCGACGGTGATATAGAACATGGATAAACCCATCACTGTAGCTGTCAAGACGGTCCCCGACATCCAGCACCAGGCGACCCAACGGCTGTTCGACTGATCTTGCTGACTGAAATCGAGGTAGCCGCCCCCCAAGCCCAATTACTGGTCATACAATCGCAGGTTTTGTACCAACCAAATACTTGTGCCATGACGATATATATCTGCGGACGATAAATCAATGATCCAGTTGCTGCGAGGAGGATAGAAGCGTGACTTACCAGCCATATCGTATTGAACATCTCGACCGGCCGGAAAAAGAACAGTTCCCACCTTCTTTTTAGAGACATTTCACGAAGATCGGTTCTCATTCTCTCCAATGTGCCTTGAAATCTTTCCCTGGTAGCCTCCTTATCTATCCAAGGTGCTATGAGAGCCATGGAGACTATACAACGAATTAAAAAGCTGCTCGTGGCGTCAAGCATTTTTGAAGCTCTCCGCTTTAGTCTTCCCCATCCCTCCTGTGCATCGTCCTCCCAGTGATTGAAAGTGACATGGCTATGCAGGCGACTTCCAACTCTACATAGCCACGGTGCATCGAATTCGTACGGCGAAAGAAACATCCAAACGGTCATTTCGACAATAAGCAGCCCCAATGCGACGGCGAAGAAGATGGTGTAGCCTCCACTGCGGCAGCCGAGACCAACAGTGGGCGTGAAGTAGCTCAGAATGAACGCACCTCCACAGCTTCCGGCGACGATGATGATGGCGCTCAGCACCTGCCAGAACTCTCTGGTGTCAAACCAAACCAAACCTTCTTCGTTGACGGGTCCAAGCACGAGTTTTGCTCGTGCTTCACGTTCGTTAGCCAGCCAGTTACGACCTTTCCTTTCGATATAACAATTCTCGATATCGGACAGAATTGCATGTGCGGCACCATAATGCCACCGAATGCGCGCCTGACCAGCAAAGTCCACGAAGAATTCTTCCATATACTCGCCCTTTTCCGCCACACTCTCAATCCGGCACTTCAGATCATGGTAGTTTGGCTGATCTCTAAAAGTCTCAATAAACTCGTCGCGATGTTGTCTGTCACGTAGTGCGTGGCGAACGTGGTCGACCAGAGTACTGAGCTTTTTGCGGATCGCTTCTGCTGCTATGGGATTGCGATCGACAATAGAGCCCATGATGAGGATGGGGAACCAGGCTAGCAAACAGCCCAACGCTAGATCATGGGCAGTCGTGTTGGCCCCCAGATCACCGAAAGCGTCTTGTATGGAAAGTGCAAATGCGAACAAGAACCACATGATGGACACAAAAACTAGACATCAATTAGCAGGTACAGTCGTGTTGGAGAAGAGCAAATACCCGGCACAGTCCCTCTTCTTCTCATCTCGCGCACCTCGCGGGCCAGTATACGTCTCATTTGACGGAGTGTCTTGTCAGTGTCTGTCAATACCAAGTCTTTACTGAAGAGTGTGATGCGCAACAAGCCTTCAGCTTCTTTCTGGAGATCTTTCGACATGGCTGTTGGCTTTAGCGTGTACTGGTTCATAACCAGCAGGAGATACATTGAGTCTCGCATGCTACCAAAGTCAGTCTTGCGATGGGGGGTTTCGTCGTACTTGACAGCCATATCGACCATCAAGGCAGCTTTGGCGGACACTTTGATGTTCCATAGTACGTAGGATAGCGATGCGATTGGCGAGCCTACCCATCGAGTGATTGCCAACAATGTCCGTCGGGTTGCGTTGCTCTCAAAGGGTGCCTGCAAGAGTGTACCGATGACAGGCAGTATCCAGGTGGTGATTACACCTGAAACGTCTTTCCATGGATACAAATCCATGCCTTCCCCGCAAACGACTTTGCATCCTTCTCGAGTTATCTGGGACATGTTGTTATGTTTGATACCGATGACAGGACGATCCCCCCAACCGTATATCCGGCGCCATTCTTCCGCTTCTGGATTATCCGCTCTGAATCGACTGTAGCACTCATCGAAGTTGACAGGCATTTCGTTGGAACGGTGCGCAAGGCAGAACTCGCTGTACAGTTGGCATGGCGGGTGCACCTCGGCTTTAACACGCAATCGTTAGGTTGCAACGCCACCTCGTATATCTCGCAGTGGCTGCCTGTCAGTGGCACATCCAATAGGAATGTGGTTGTATAGGGTTCCGGGAGAGGTGTTCCAATGCAGCTGCTGAGCCTCATTGTTTACCGGTGAGCTTTTGAGTACCAGCGTCAACTCTTGCACCACATGACCTACCGACCGTTACCGTGTCTCATATCTAGCCCTACCTGTGTCTGCCGCATTATGATTGAACGCGACGACCCGCTCCAAGGAATTGGCATGTGCCAAGCACCAGCCGGCATCGAGTATTGCTTAATTCGGTTGTCTCCAAGAAGGATGTCTTTGTAGTAGCTGCTTCCGGCAACAGGGTATGCGGCTCTCCCCTGATTAGAAGCAACCTAATATCGCATACGGCCAATACTGACGATAGCGCGAATAAGACAAACAGACAAGTGGGCAAGAGATAAGGTTGACGTGAAGATATGACCAGGTTGCTGGGTGGGGGCGGTTCATCATCGCAATGACAAGGGCGCCACTTCGCAGCGGCAATCGCGCCCCGCAAAGCCCGCTTGCTAGCCAGCTTCCCCATAACCTCGATTCGTTGTCAGTACACTTTCCCAGTGAGATTCGGCAAATATAATATGCCATCGCATTACTTTGTACAAGTCCAGAGACTGATGTCGTCATTATTCGGTACGAGCCTGTCAGGCGTAGTACTCTAGATCATAAACATACATGGGGTATCATTCCCCGTCTTACAAAGCTGTACCCCAAGGAGGTTTTCCCACATCCAACCATGCCAAAACACCACGCGATGCAAAAATTCAGACATAAACCTACGATAACTCCAATCGCAGAGACATGAACAACAACCGCCATCAATAACCGTTCTTCCTCCTCCCTCTCTTCTCCCCATCCTTCCTCTTCCGCCCCCCTCTGGTCGAACTACCGGGATGATCTTCCCTCCACCACGCCTGTGGCCTAATGCAAACGTTCCAACCGTATTCTGCCACGGTTCTGTGTCTCAAGGAAATGTCGCAGATCTTCTTTGTCGCCATAATAGGCACGGAGGTGCGATCGTCTGGCGCGAAGAACTCGCGTTCAGCATCGCCCCGAAGCGCTGGACTAAGTCATGAGAAGAAGTATTTGGATTCGCGGAGGCGTGAAACGTCCCAGCCACCCTTCTGCGGGACGGGCGGGAAGCTGAGCGGAATCCATACTTGAATTGTGCCCTGGTCGGCGGCGATGCGGGACGCAGATTTCTTCTTGGCTACACCACCGCTTTGTGGGTCCTTTGCAAGATCTTGGGCCTCGTCTTCGACAATATCCATCGTAGATTCAGTGGTGGTGACAGCGTCAGCTTCATTGCCCAAGGCCTCATCCTTGACCTGGGTCTGCCTATCCGCCGACTGCTTGTCTTTGGTCTCACCAAGAAGACTGAGTCTGAAAGAGTGAAGTGCTTTAGGATCCTGATACGCAAGCCAGATGCTTGTCGGCGTAACCATCTCTTCACCTTGCTTCCTCTTCTCAGGATCTTCACTCTTCAGCATCTCCTGTCGTTTAGCCTCAAGCGCAACTTCCTCAAACGAGGCATCTCCGTGTCGCGCGCCATTACTCTTCGCGCGAGTACCATTCTTCTGGCGACGCTCATGTCTCCATAGCGTGATTTTCCGGCTAACTTCCGCTCCGATATGAAGAGTCGCTCGGTACATAGCACCTGAATAACGCGCAGCGAACTCGGCAGCAAGACGATCGACAATATCCTCGGTATGCATGCGCACGAATGCGTCGCGAAGAATGACGTTCAGATTGGGGATATCAGAAGCGTGTGTCCAGAAACTGTCGTGAACGGCGGCGAAGTCGAGACCCATCTCGCTGGCCTTCAGCGCCGAAAGCAACATATGGCTCGCATCGAGAGAGTGGATGAAGTTGGGCGGGAATGCCTGGAGCTGCTTGCGTTTGTCGACCTCATCCTGCTGAGACTTCTTTGAGACTGTAATGTCCTGGATCTTGGTCTTTATCTTCTGGGTACCTTCTTTCCTATAGGGTTGCACAATAGGCATCTTGAGCGGCGTAGTCCAGATGATGCTAGTTTGGAAGTTTTCCATGCCCTTGTTGAGTTTGTTCAACTGGGCTGTAGAAACCTTCTTCGGTGCCGCAAACTTGGTGTCATACAAAGCTTTCGTAGGATCCGATCCTTCGAAGCGGTCTTTGATCCTTTTAATTTGCTCGGCAGTAATCGATGTCGTTATGCGGTCGCCACATTCCCCGAGCCAGTATTGAATCTCTTGGGCGCCGTTGAAGATTTTGCCCAGCGCGTCGAAGATTTTGTAGGCAACATACAAAGCGACGCTACCAAGCGACGTTACCTTTTCTGTAGGCTCGAATCGAGGAAACAAATTGCGTAGCTCATCTTGTACTTGCTGTTTCGCACCCATGAAGGTAACTCCATAAACATTGGTCATGACGGTTCGCTTGACAACTTTTCGGGTAATGTGACCGTCAATAAAGCACGCAGTTGGACGGCCTTCAGCGGCGTCTTTTGCGACCATCTCTTTCACGAGTTCAGCAACGCCAGTGTAGATATCTTGCGGTCTGTCAGAGGGCTCAAGGTTGACCTGACGAGCACCAGCGTAGTCACCACCCAAGGCTGCGTAATGCTGAAGCCCATTACATGTTCCATCCTGGTGAACCGGTAGCTGTGATAGAAATCGAGTCGGATCGGGCAAGTCGAAAGCATTTTTCAGCTCCATACAGCAGGCCAAACATTGCCAAGGATCTTCTGCTTTCAACCACCACCGTCTGCCATCCAACGGATTCGTCGCAGAGTCGTAGATTTCGTCGATGTTGTCCATTGTGAATTGTTCACGTTCACGTAGGCTAGCCTTGTCGTAACCGTAAAGGTTGGCTAAATGAATCTTGAGCCATTGTAAACCGACGGTACCAAGCTCTTTACCGTGCGCAAACTTTAAAAGTCCTCTCGAGATATCAGACCCGATGTGATTGAGGATAGGTGGGATGGGGTAGGCACGACCTCGGAAGTCAACGCTGTGCGGGAAGAAAATCTTCTTTTCGTTCAAATATGCCCGTGCTGTCTCCAGTTGAAAATTTTGGAAACATCGCTGCGAATGGAGGCCACCAATGAGATTCTCGTACTCCTTCAGAGCCTTGCCCCATTTTGCTCTTTCCTGGAATGTTGCATCCGCTGGTGGTTCCTGGGGACGCTTTTGGTTGGCGACGGAGTCTTCTCCTACGAGATCCCCAATAGTCTCTCCTGAATTCCAGGCTCGAGCCATGACCTCAAATACGGGAGCATTGATTTGCCAAGGCACCCGACCGAGCACGTCTAGACCAGCCATGACCTTGGACATGTCACCGTTCTCGATGGCCGACTGGGCATAAGCTCTCTGTGCACTGTCACCACCCTTCTGTCGAACGACCTTTTGCGGAATGGTGTAGTATCCACCATCTTCGAAACTAGACCATGGTTTCGGTTCGACTACCATTGGTAACCTGACTGTCTGGATGCTATGAACAGATTCGGTTCGCAGTTTGGCATTGAGCTCATGATGAGGCACGAGATAGCCAAGCTTCTTGCCCTGATGAAAACCAACTGAGTGGTGGAAGGCTGCCATACTACGAGACACCTGCTTACCCGTCCTTGGGTCGCTTGCAGTCACGGTAAGGGTTGCAGATTGGAGTAAGAGCTCCAAGCAGAGGGCTCCAAGCCTTGTCCGTGCCGCTAGTGGTATGGCGGCCTTTTCGAGTGAATAGAGTGGCTTCTGGGGTGGCAGTCCAGAAGGCGTCTCTCGAGTCTCCTTGGAAAGTTTGTTGACCAAGTTCATCCGAGTTTGCTTCCGCTGCTTTCTGAGGAAAGCGTCTCGCCGAGACTGCGACTCAGCGTTGAGATAGTCCTGGATATCGGTACCGACAGCAATAGACAGGGCCGAAATCTTGTAGGCAGAGTTGTCCTCATTCTTGCCCTTTACAGCAGCCTGGGTAGCCCGAGCAACGGTGATTGCCGCCAGCTTCTCAGGCTTACACCTCTCGAGCCAGACACCGTAGGCCACGGCATCGTCACGCGACTTTGATTTGACGGGATCAGATAAAACCTCCTTGGCATTCTCAATACGCTGTTTGAACAGCGGTACGAGGGCAGAATACCAGCCATACATGATGGCCTGGATAGACTTGGTGTTCATGACGCCGTGGATGCCAATCTCTTGCAGTTTCTCGTCTTCAGCTTTCCACCTCTCAACAGCGGCTTCCATGCCATCCTGTTCCATCTGGAGTTGCCGCGCATATGCGTAGGCCTTGTCCTTTTCTTCCCGAGTACCTTGCATGTCGTGCGGGTATGGAACGCGGGCCTCATCGTCGAAGATGGTAAGGGCTTGCTTCAGTGTATCCAGACCCATGCCCTTTTGCTTGACAGGTTTGATCGGTTGTGATGGGTGGGATACCAGGCCGTGTTCGATAAGGTTCTTGCGACCGGAAGGTGTGCTGACGTGGAGATCCTGAACATGCTCGACGGGCGGGGGTTCGTTGAAAGATTCTGGTTGCAGGCGAATGAGCAAATCCCACTCCTCATCAGAGAAGTCGGGCGAGGCGTTGATCTGGTCGACGACATGCTCGCCGTATTTGCGTGCTGTTGCGATGTAATCCCGTACTGCGGCCTCGTCTGCACCATTGTCGAGAAAGTTCATGGCGGACCGGATCAGCGTAACAAAGGTTTGCGCATTCGCTTCAACGCCCTTGGCTAGCATTCTATCCTCGTACCAACTCTGGACCTTCTTCATGCTCTCAGCACTTGGGTCCATTTGGCCAACTTCGAGCAGTGTGTGCAAATAGACATTGTGTGCGTCGATGAGTTCTGGCGCATCGTTGTTGTAGACGGTGGTAAGGCGGTCGATGATGATGGCGGCCCGGTCGAGTCGTCCAACGCGCAGACAGGCGTATAGGTTTTGGTGAAGCTCGACTGGGTCACCGCCTACACCGTTGACGGCACGTACTGAGGGCGACGCCGCCAGCGAGTCACGGACGACGAGGGGATTCCGAGGGTCCCATTCCGGGAGGCGAGAGAGCTCGGGTGATTGGAATTGGCGCCCCAACGACCGCGCAAAGGGATCGAAGGGGAGCGCTGAGGGTGGTGGGGGTTGGAGTTCGGCGGATGTAGCGAGGGAGCGTGTCCCGTGCCGTGTGGACAGTGAAGAGGGCCGTTGCCGCTGCCGCTGCCGTCGAGTCGAGTCGAGTGCGATTGTGGATGAGATGGAAGGCGCATGCGAGGTGCTCCGTGATAACGCTGGGCATAGCCATGGCAGCGTTAGTTGATCTGACAGCGTCGTGGGCGCTCTAAAGGCATCTTTGCGGAGTTTCCGCCCTGCTGCTCGCGCGAGCATTTTCGTAAAAGCGTCCGGGAGCAAAGTCTATGGGGTATTAAACGAACAAAAAAGAAACAAAGACAAGACTGGTCAACGCCGGAAGACAATTACCAGGAATCGTGCAGGCGGGTCGACGTTGTCAGGCGGGCGTCGAGTTGCCTCGTAGTTGAAGATTCTCCATGGAAATTTTGGCCGACTATCGAATCCATGCCAGCATCATCACCGAAGAGGCATCGCCGCCTTGGCGACGTTTTCGCCACCCGAGTGCACGACCTCTACACCTGCATTCTGGGTATCCACTATGATTACATAACATATCTCCAGCAGAACACATCTACAGGCCTCGATGGCGTCAAGTGAAAGTGTAGTATATGTATATATATAAATACAGACGTCAAAATACAACTCCAACACGCTATACCTCATCAGCCACGACAGTGGGTTTCGTAATCGTCCTCTCTCTCGTTGACGTCGCCACACCAGGTAGCGCATCCTCAATCAACCTCTCCAATTGATCATCGATGGGTGCGTCAAACATTTCCACCTCTCTCATTTCGTCCTCCACCCAGTCACCATCATCCTCGTCTCCAAAACAGAACAAGTCGCTAGCTTCACCCGCTATAACCTTCTTATGCTTGCCCGTGGGTATCTTGCAGCCGCCAATCTCTCTGCGGAATATGTCCGCATATTCCTTCGCCACGGCGGATACGTTGACCGGAGCAATCTGCTGTCCGTCGTAAAGAAGTTGGGGTAGATGAGGAATTTCGGGTAGATCACCGTCGAATGGTAGTGCTTGATGCAGTGGCACTGAGCCTGGAATGACTGGCGTCTCGGGATTTTGAGGTGGCTTGGACGGTACGTCCGCACGCAAGATTGGCGCATCTGTCTCCAGTGGCAGGGCTGGGAACTCTTGGCCGTCTTTGGACGGCACTGAAGAGAACTCTTCGGGGGCGTGATACAGCTCGTTATGAATCGTTACCAACGCATTATATGTCGTCGCAGGATAAAGCAGCGAGTAACCCCGCGCACGCATGAACTCAAGCATGTACTCGGTCCATGCAGGGAGTGTCTCGGATACCAACTTTCCCCGAGATGTTGATTTTGTCGACTGCTGATGCTTCACGACGCGGTTGCCGAGGAACGAGTGCAACTCCGCCCACTTGTCCCCTAACAACAAGGTCGCATGGCTGCTTGGAGCCTGCCACATAAAAGGTACGCTCTTAGCGCCCGAGTGTAGCTTCTTGTATCGGTCAGTATGCATATCAGCCGTGGATGGAAGATCCAATTTCGTCTTGCCATCCAGGAGCACTGATGGCAACTCCAGACTCATGCCCATGAGATGTTCATTGTCTTCTGCACCATAAGTTGAATACTTGTACTCCAACAACGCGTACTTGACAAAGTGGAAGTACTGTGGCGATAGCTGCGCCTGTGGTGAGAGCAGTAGCACATGTGAGTTGATCGTGTTCGTGGGGTAGAACAACTCCAGGAAGCGAATTGCAGAGTCTTCCTGATTATGGCGGTGGCTTAAGATGCGGCGCCTGATGCTAAGTCCACTTCCCGCCATTGGGTTTTCATTATGTGGGGGCCATTTAAAGCTCTCAATGTGCTCTTTTACTGAAATATCAAGCTCGGCTGGTAGCTCGATTGTGATGCGAGGCGGTTTTAGACCACTGTAATCAGCATCTTTGATTGACCTCAGCAACCGCAGAACGCTCGACGAGTCTGGTGGCACTTGGATCAAAATATCTACGGTGGGATCATGCCAATGCCTGAGCGAGCCAGCGTCGAGTCGCGAAACCCAGGCGAAATCCTCGGATCTATCTTTCGGTACTTCAATAAGAGGCATCTTCAGCACTCCAGTTTTAGTTCGCATGCCTCGGACAAAGAATTGATCTTCTGAGATCGAATCGTCTATAATGGCTGCTTGTGGATGTAGAAAGCCGTTGATGTGTTGCATAGCACCCATCACCGCAGTCTCAGCGCGTACATCAGTGCTGTACCTGTAGACAACTTTGTAGTTAGCTATGAACATCCACATCTAATTCTCACAGCTTCAAAATATACTCCAGCAACTGTAATGTAGTCCTCGAGTGTTCAGAGTAAAAAGACAAGCGGGTGTACGTACTCCACATAATCCGGTCGCGCATCATGCCATATAGCAGGACACTTGGCCTTGTCTATCCCGTTTATCTCGAGCAGATCCTCTACCGGTATATCTTCTCTGCCCATGAAAGCCGCGTGTACATGGTTCCTATTCCATTGCGACATTTCGCATACCATAGGTAAAAGCGTCGAGGCGCTCTTCAGGCTCGACATTGCGAATAATATATTCCTATTCTTCTTCTCATAGCCACCCGTTGCCGAGGCGGATGGGCGCAGTGAGCCGGCGAGGCGGAAGAAGCGTATCTGCCCGTCGTACGTACGAGGTATCGCATCCCCACGTCTTGGCTTTTGCATGCCCGGCGGCGGTCCAGTAGGTTCGTCATCGTCGTTCGCGCTTGGTTTCTGATATGTTGACGTGATTGGTCGTCCCCGATATTGCGGTTCAATTGAATCTTCGTAGTCGTCCGAGCTGCTAAGGAAGCAGTAGTAGAGAAGGAACAAGCCTACTATTGCGAGTAGTATCCTTCTCCGTCGCCAGCGAAATGTATGATTCCACGTTGACCAACTGTTATGTCGCGCGGGTTTGTATCTATGGTCATCGTCTTTCTTGCCCAACTCTTCATCGCCCGGAAGCATCGTCTTCCGATACATGCTGCCACGAATGAAGCTATCCTGCAACCACCCGTTGTCTGTGGAGCGTCTCGTCGCTACTACCATTCAGCGTCGTCGGCCATGGCGATGTAGGGAAAGGTGTCGCGTGCGGTTCTACGTGCGGACGGTGCAAGAGCTTTGCGTGTATGCGACGGATTGCCGCGTGTGATTTCTGGGTCTCAGGTACAAGAATGTTGCGGAACGATCCAACTCGAGGACAAAGAAATTACAGAAGGTGTAATCATCAGAACAAGATGACGGAGCTCCGAGAACCCGCCAAGCGCGTGTTAAAGGCAATGGAAGAGGACATGTTGGAGACGCGATAACCTCGATTGTCCTCGCGGGAAGCACATCCCTGCAACGCATCATCCCGCTCGCCTGTGACTGCCGTCCTCGCTACGGTTTACCATCAACAAACCACCCTTTTCGTCCCTCACAACCACCAATCTATCTCAAGTACGTTTCAAGAGAACTTCTCCGTCATGAACATGGACGGCCGTCTTGGAACCCACGATATAGGCTCACACCAACACACAACATCACTGCGGAGCTTCGCGGACGCTAAATACCGTTTAGATTAATCAATACAACCGCGCTTTGTCAATCTACGGATACCACCGCTTACGCCTTCTCAAACTCAGCCAATCGCTCATCTGCCGCTTTAAGAGCCTCACGAAGTATTTGCTCGTTTCGCGGTTTGAAGAGAATCTCATAAGGCCGGCACATCGTCACCAAACTAGTCGGGTCTGAGCTGCCCCGGACAGGATGCACGTCCACCTCTGACTTCTGCACTAGCTCAAAGCTGTTCAGCGTCCGTAGGAAGACGAGATACAGCTCGCGGTTAGCCAACAATGAGCCTGCACACATCCTGTAGCCCAAGCCGTATGTGTGCAGCGGAGCGTCGGGCTGCTCCAGCCAACGCTCTGGACGGAACTCGTCTGGATCGCTCCAAACTTCGGGGTCTATCGAGTAGTCAGCATCGCTGTCTTCCATGCAAGCAAACATAGCTGAGAGCGGCTTACCCATATTACACGCCCATGCGTTTAGATACACCGTACTACCAGCGGGAATGAGCTTGCCCTCATAAATAACATCCTTGACTGTCGCACGTGGAAGCGCCAGACGTAGTACGGTATAGTACCGCAAGCACTCTCTGACCAGTGCGACAATATACCCACACTTCTGGTCATCATAGGCATCAGCCAGCGGTTCGTCCTCCGAGTAGAACTTCCGGATCTCCTTGATGGCCTTTTCCTGGATATCCGGCCTTTGAGCCAGTAATGCAACACTCCATTGCACGAGGGTAGTGATGGTGTCTAGACCACCTGACAACATCGTCAGACTGATGGACGTCAACTCCTCCTTGTTCAACGCGGCTTCCTTGTCCTGGATAATGTTTGCCTGGATGCATGTCTTGTGGGTGCCCTTCTCCATTCGTTCGTCCAACTCGCGATTCAGCTTCGTCAGGTACACATCTCGTCGATTTCTGTGCTCTTTCGCAGACTTGGTGCCAAAGCTGAACGGGTTAAGTCTCAGGATTGGGATGTAGTCCTGCAAGTTTCCAGTTGTACTACGGAATTTCGAAATGGCGGCTTCGACCTCGCAAATCTCGTGAAACATCGGGTCATGGCGACTACTCATACGTGTACCCCAGTTGAGGGTAAGGGCGAGCGAAAGAGAAAGACGTTCAATCATGGGCATTGGGTTGACACCAATGGCACCAGCTTGACCAGACTCAAACCCATCTTTTACAAATTCCTTCGTTTCAAGATCGAGGTGGTCAATGTACGTCGCAATCGAAGGCTTATTGAGTGCTGAAGCAGCACCCTTCCTTCTGCGCTTGAGCGAATCATTGAACGGCGAAGTCCCAATCGTCGTGCCGGCCGTGTTCGAAAGCACCTGGTATCAGTCAGCCATGTACCAAGGCTCCCTTGCTGTCCAGCTCACCTTATGGAAGGTCCAAAACACGGGTCTTGAACTCAGCGCCTGGCTGTTTCCACCGAAGATTTTTCTTGCAGCTTCCGCGCTGTTGACTACGATTACCGGTTCATTTCCGAGCTGAATCTGGTATACGGCACCAAAGGTCTTGCTCCATTCACGATACTTCTCCGCTGCATTGACCTTGATGTCTGGGATGTTGCCCACCAAGGGCCAGTTTGTCGGTCCAGGAAAGCCTTTGATTCGCCGCGAGTATCGGACGTATTCGTTTCCGACAATATATGATATGGGAATGAGTACTAACAAGAAGAATAGAGAGCGAGCTGGATGATCCGCAAACTGTGACGATAGTAGTGGGAGGATAGTGGAGATCATGGTGTTCGTTAGTGACTCCTTGTGACGCTTGCGGAATACAAGAAGATGAACGAAAGGCTGATTCGAGCCAAAACTTAGTCTTACGCTCTAGTTTGTGGAGGGTCAGACATTTTATTTATCTACCATTGCTCGTCCATGGCAACCTCCACGGACTTTGTGTGGAGCGAGGCCGGCTCATGCGGGGAAGCAGCACCGTTCATTGGGGGCTGCGGAATTAGGCGACAAAAAGTGCGGAACGTGAGCGCGGAAGCACCTCCATGCCATGACCTATGGCTCTGGACGTCTTCAATGGCTTGCAAAAGCTATCGCACACCTATTTCAGCACAAGAATCAGTTACTTGAGCACTTGACATGCAGATGTTGCGTGACGTCATCACCCCCGCCACCTCTCTCCATCCCATGGCTTCGTCCCGCTTTCTAGCACTTTGTTTCTCCACAGCCTCAACGCCCATGGCTGATGGATAGTCATCCTCAAGAGTGCCTCTGCTAGAACAGCCTTCTATCATGACTATTCTAATCATACACTAAAGCAGCTGATTTGCTTTGACGATATTAACTATTCGACATCAGTGCGCAACGATGCCATCGTCGTCTATTTCTCAACGTGGTTTTTGCAGGGGTTTCACGGACTCATCAACATGGCGATCCGATATGTATTCGACTCTGGAGTGCATGGTGCGGATAGCTGAGAAACACCACTAACTACGCCCTAAGCTCTGGAGAGTGAGTCGGTCCATCCGTGGAAGTCATTTGTAGTGAATGACTCGACTCGCTGCCTACGCAGATCCCATAATGCTGTAAAGCAAGACTGGGCAGCGTATTTCTGTATTCAGCCCTTCACGCAGACTTGGTGTTACTTGTTAAGCATGACTAAACTCTCGTATATCATTGTGTATGCCCCTTAGGCGTATGTCGTCGTAGAAAACAGCAAGTGGTATGAAATGTGAACGACCAACGCTTCAATGTATCAAGTACCAACAGAGTGCGGCTATGATGAATATTCCAACATGAAGCAGTTCTAGCAAGGGTTCAAGTAGGATTCTACTCAAATTGGCACAAGACGATCGTTGTAATGGAGGCAAGAAAGAGATTTCGCTTGAGACAAATTCCAGTATGTGGCTAGATACTTTATCTCCTCTTCATACCCTAGTTCAAAACCTATGCCTTGACAGTTGCTTTCCTGTATGCTTGATAAAGACAGGCCGAACTAATTCTGATCGCAAAGCTTCACATTTGATATGAAAGCTTTGTTCTAAATCGATTCAGTTGGCGTGCTCTTGGGTTTATATTCTCGAAGTAGGTACCATAGATGTAAGTAATATAGAAGAGCTTCAGGTTAAAACGGGAAGCAATGAGAACCATGGTGCGATAAGCTCAATGTATAGCCCACCGCTTCTCGAGCAGTATCTTGATATGGTTGAACGGACATCATAAGTGACCTTCACTGACAACAGTGACAGGTAGACAGAGCGACCGTGTACGTAGGATCCTATGAGTAAAGATGTGTCCGCTGACCTCTCAGTCAATCCCCTAGCATATCTGCTCTTCTTTTAGAGATAGTCGCCGAACTTACACCGTGCCCTTGGAAAACAGTGACCTCCCGCGACATGCCCACGTGGAGATGTATGATGCGATTGCTAGCGTAGCAGTTAGGATGATGTGCGACTTATGTATCAAAAGTCTTACTCAGCCAATTTCATACTTGTATAAGTCTAGAGATGATTCCATGTCACCTTGAAGCTATGCAAAAGTGAAGATTGCAGCTGAGTTGTCCCACCCACCCTACAAAAAATGGATACAGACATGACGAGGCAGTTCCAGCAGATCAGGAGAGCCATGCTTCCAAGTCTGAGAAGCGGTATCGCCGCTCCGAAGCGCGGCCTGCAGCACGTGGGTGATGGGATACCGGCAGGAGCTGGTGTTCAAACAAGCACTTGAGCCGCACATGGCACATGTAACAAACGTTGTGAGGATTTGAAGGCTGCTGTCGCGAACGCATTCAATAGCTCCAGTGACCCCACGAACTCCCAACGCATATCCTGATCACAAGGCACTGCAAGTGCCATCAGTATTGATAGGTATTCTGAGCGACAGACCGACGCAGCGGTTGTCATGGGCGTTCGCTGGATATATAAGACAGGGCTCTTCACGATATATGTAGGCAGATTGATAAGGATACTCTCTATCTCCAGCCGTTCTTCACAGTCTCACACATCAAATATTCCTACATATCAACACCGATACCTTCCCTGCCCCCTCATTCTTCAAACTATACAATACGAATAATATTTTAGACCTACGAGAATCACCAACGACTATATGAAAACAACTCTTCGTAAGGCGGAGCCGCCACTCCGTCAGAACGAGCACGACCCCGGCGATACTGACCCTGAGCGGCACACCTATACTCCGTCCAACGTAGACTACACTCACAGCTACTTCGAAGAAGATGTAAATAGTCCCAGGGATTTGGGAGCCTCGCATAAATACCATGATCCATACAGCCAGCACTACGGCAACGCAAACGACTTCAGCCAATCCCACATGCCGAACATCGGATTCGGTGCGGAAGGAACCGCATCGCATAACCCACGTACTTCGATGCAGGCACCACGATACACTTACAGCGACGACAATCTTCCACGTGGCGCCGAGAACTACGTCGAACTGACTAGCCCAAGCTGCCGGGAAGGCGAATCCAGAAGAGAAGATCCTCATGCATATATGATGCACCACCGGTCCATCTCCGCCGAAAGCCCCTCGCTCGCACTTATGTCATTGTCCAGGAACAGTGGCGCACCACCGCAGGCGGCAGGTCAGCATTATGAGCCATTCCGTGGTCACTTTCATGATTCCGAAGAAGCGAAGGAATACCGTCGTACCAAGATGCGGTTCAACCGAGAACCTTGGAGAGATCCAGCTAATGACCCGACTATCGAGATTGTTGAGCGTAATCGTAACATTAACGTAGAGCGCATCTACAACGCCATGATATGCGGTGATTACGCCAGAGACAACTCTGGGTCCACCGCACTCAAGAGATGGGTTGAAGAGCCACACTATCATTCAGATTTAGTGGAAGCATACGCTCACAAGGTATTCGATTGTTTAATCGAGCAAGTCAAGAAGGGCTTCCGCGGGTGGCAGCAGAATGACTACGTCAACGACGAACGCAAAGGCGAGGACGAAGACAAAGACGTCGACTGCGCCGGGCGCTTGGACAACATCGTCGACGCCCTCCGGCTAGAAAAGACCATTTGCGAGAACGTCATGTGCTCAGCTTGGCAAATCCGTATGTTTGTCAACGCGCCCAAGGCATACTCCAAGCGCAAGGACCAGAACCGGGTGGGCAATAGCAAGAGGCCGAACGCTAAAGGTAACTGTGTGATGGGGAATACTCCACGGGCAGTGAAGAGGCCTCGAACCGCCGCTGCTTCACGGAGCAGACACATGCGAGATCACTCGTCAACAGCTTCCGAGAAGCTATTGTCGCGTGGCACCACACCACAACAGACTTTCGAACCGACAGTACCGCCGTACTTCACTACACCGACGGCGCAGCGCATTGCCGCCTTGAGCCCTCCGCCTGCTTTCCTGGCGCCTCAGGCGCCGTCGATGCGTCCCTCACCCCGATCACACCAGGCTTCGTTTGGCCAACACCACGCGTCTGTGTCGTCGCCATCTAGGCTCTCATCGCGGGCGCAGCCACACACCTCTCAGCCTGAGCACAACTCGCGGATATCGTCAATCTCGCCAGTCCAGCAGTCGCCCTTCCCGCCCCCATCGAAGCCACTAGACAACTTCTTGGAGTCTGCTACCCCCGACGAGATGAAGGCAACCAACATGAACACGACCTCGCGCCTCGGTACTTGGGGACATGTTACATCGATTGTAGCCCCACCTGATCCTTTCACACTAACGAACCAATCTGACATCTCAGAGTTTCTGGGAATCGAGCACTGGCAGCATAGTGTGGAACCGTTCTCCTCACGCGACGCGTTTACCAATGCCAACCTCTTCGCGGAACATCCAGAGATGGGCGTGTGCCTCGCCGACGTGGAATTACTGCCAGCTTGTGCCATAGATGATGCTGTGAGTGAGGATGTATTCGGTTTCTGGCAGCACGAAGACGCTGTGCAGAAAATGCCAAACACCCCCAGTCACCGCCAGAATCAGTCTCGAGACTAGGGGTGAGTACTGTCATCGGATCTCGCAGCGGTCCATCTTGGTATTTCTAAGTGCTAGAGCTTGCGCTCGGACTTGTAATGTTCTTCTTAACCCTCCTTCACCACAATATGTCGACCACCTGGATAGTGTGGCGACTGGCCTGATTGCCGATTGTTTGGTAAGTGTTGACGCTCCATATGTTTGCGTGGTCGTTTCTATATGTATGCAATTTTTAATCAATATCCATTGGGTAATGGAGACGGGAGGCTCCAGCGGCGTTGGAGTTGATGTGCGGATCCCTATATTGCAGACTTCATTGGCGGAACTGTGGAAGCTCTATTCTTATGTTGTAACTTATTGTTAGCATGTACTGTAACGAATTTGATATACCGCATCTATCGTTCCACTGATCTCCGAGTGTAACACACAGGCAGTGCATGTCCGAGGGAGAAAGAACACGAATCCGCCAGTACCCAGATGGACGCGTCGCGCGTTTTCAGCGCTAGTGACGTCATACGCACGGGTGCGAAGCTGTCGGCTTTCCTATGGCCAAGCTTCCACACGTCTACATTGGTCCTCGAAACTAAGCCTGTGAGCTTTTTCGCAACCACGAAACTTCAGATAATCAAACCATTAGCGGCTTTTTTACTAGTGCTCGGAACAGACGCCTATCGAAGCGGCTGTTCCTTTCAGGCGCGGCTCTTAATCAGCTTAGATACTCATTCAGTAGACTTGTAAACAGCTACATGATGTAAGACCCTATTGCAGTAACGGCCTGATAAAAAGCTCTTTCCTTCATGCCGCAGTATCTGCACAAAGTACCAAACATGCCCTGTAAAGGTAACCAAAACTCGTCCAATCGGATGCTGTCCACTGCTAACGAGTTCATTGAAACTCCAACGGCCCTTTTGATCCACCTTTCCAATTACCACCACCTATGGCAAGCGGCAGCATACGGCCGAGCATGATGAGCCGAAACTAAGCTTGTAGTTTCAGCAGCATAGCGGGGAGCAAAGTCGGCAATCTCGGTGACCACCACAAGATGGCGGATAGCCTTACAAGCAGTTCCACGCCTGCCGTGCCGATTACTGATATGCCATCTGAAAGTAGTCCCGCCAGGCATATACGTACACCACTGACGGATGCGAAATCCCCCTCTTTGGTGGCTGAGACGAAACGCCGTAAAGATTTTGGTGGCGGCAGCGGCTTGGAGAATGGGAATGCTAACTCTGCGCTTTAGTAATCTCTGGCTTTGAGCAGGTGTATTGGACACTCATGTACGTACGCGCTCTTGAATCGTACGATGGCTACATTGATCATGTGCAAGAAAAAAGAAGAGTCTATTGATGGCGGATCTCGCGCATCGATGAAAGCTTCACTTTGAGCTCTCGTATCTTTTGCTTGTTGAACAGTACTTTGAAAGTATACACCTGTCAAAGACTTTCGTAATTTCCTCAGCATGCCTGTGCCTCAAGGTCTTGTCTGCATACATGACATGGGTATGCTCGTCGTTTTGGTCTCATCCTGTCTAGGTAAGTGGTAATCAACGAGCAGAGAAGGGTGAGGCGAAAGACTAGGCGCACCATATGGATATCACAGGCAAGGCACGATCGAAGATTTTACAGTTTCGCTCAAAGCGAAGAAATAATGTGCGTCATTGAATTGTATATTTACAACAGAAACGAACAGTAACTCTAACTATCTCCTACTCCCAACACAAGAAGTTTTGACTATTGTACTTGTCGTACAGATCATGTCTAAACGATTTAGACGCGGAAAGCACGGGGGTGAGCGCGCTGGGCAGCTACCATGCGGCGGACCTTGTCAGCGACACCAGTGCCGGCATTGGCGCGGAGCCAGGTGATGAAGGTGTCGATGGTGAAAGACTCAGGGAGGCTGGAGTCGGAGCCAGAGCCGGAACCACCAGTGGCGACAGGGGTAGCGACCTCCTCAGCGGCAGTAGGGGTGGGGGTGGCCTCAGGGACGGTGCTGGAGGGGGCAGCAGAGCTGGCAGCCGGAGCGGAAGAAGCGACGGGGGAAGCAGACGCGCTGGGCTTAGCAGAGGCTGAGGGAGCGGGAGCAGACCCACTGCCGGAGCCACCACCCATGGTGAAGTCAATGCAAGACTCGTAGGTCTGGTCGATTGAGGGAGCGTCCCAGAACCACTGAATAACACAGTCACCCTTGTTGGCGCACTCGGCGCTGACATCGGGCATGGTGATGTCGAAAGAGGTCCAGTCAGGGTGCTGAGACAAGGGAGAGGAGGTCAGGGCGTACTCGTCCCAGCTGATGAGAGGCTCGCCGATGACCTTGTCAGTGGCGATGTTGACGATGGAAACGTTGGCAACACCATCGTGGGGAGCACGGATCTCGACCTTCATGGGGATAACCTGGCCAGCGGTGTACTCGAAGATCTCGCCAGCATCAGAGAACGGAACACCCTTGCATTGCCACATGCGGCAGTCGGGGTGGTCGCCCTGGAGGTTCTGGAGGGCACCCTGAACGTTTCCGTAGTTGTCCGAGGACTGGGTGTTGTAGACCTGGTCACCGCAAGCAGCCTTGAGGCCCTCGCCGGGCATACGAGGAGCAGGCTCGCTGATGAAGCCGTGAGCGGCGACGGAAGAGGCAAAGCCGGCAATGGCGGCGGCGACAGTGTAAGACTTCATTGTGATGGTTGGTGGATTGTTTGAGAAGAGTGAGAGTTGCTGTAAAGATTGACGGAAGCCTGGCTTCTGTGAACGAGTGTAATGAATGAGTGTGGTGTTGAAAGAACGAATGTGAGGTCTCAGACCTAAGATGCACAAAGAAGCTGTAGTTGGAAGTGAAGAAACGGTTGTTTGATGGGAAGAAAACCGAAAGTACCAAGAGACCTATATAGAATACTGCGACATGGCACTATTCCTCTTCACAAGTCAGTCTGTGGGCCATGTCATTAAACATTCGAAACAAGTGCCCGATGGATTGCAGCCTCGAACAGCGCTTGACTGTGCCCCCGATTCAAAACGACTCCTACGCCCTGCCTGTTCCTGAGATGCCAGACATGGCGTGGGGCTTCTTGTCATGCTTGAATTGTTCCTCCACCAGTCACATGGAGCCATGGAGCAGCTAAGATCGCAGGGTGCTATTCGATACTGCAGGCCAAGCAAACATGTTCCCGCGACAGCGGCCACCATGCCTGTTGACAGGACACCAACCGGTTCTCGTAGCTGTCTAACCCTAGACGGCAGTATAGACGAGCCGGCTTACCCAGTTGAAGCGCCCTTGATCCCGGGTTGAAACGGTCGCGAACGTACGGTGGGTTTCAGGTGTCCCGAGGCTTAATGCAAAGAGCGAAACGAGACTGTGGCGCGTCTCCACCAACCTGGTTAAACATATTGCAGGAGCCTCGACTGCGTCATACACAGCAGTACCGCGCGCTACCTTTCCAGCGACGCATTGAACGCCATATGAGGTGTTTGGAGAATTGCCTCTGAGATTGATGAGAAAAGGTTGTTGTGAGTTGAATCGGAAGGCGGCACCGATCAGCTCTAGCCCATCGGAGATAGGTGGAGCCGCTCAATCTCGCATGCAACGATGCTGAGTCAATATGATCCTTCCTCAACACCACGCTTTCATCTCCGAGTTTTGTGGACAGCTTTGAGAGAGAAGGTCGATGTCCGATTCAGAAGCTGGAGCGCCGTGTGCCTGTGGTCGATGGATGTTGGTCAACCTTGGAATGTGTGCTCAGGTAGGTGCCTACGCGCTGCTCTTGTATTTTTGTGGCGCGAAGGATTGAGTTACTTTGCGTTGATTACTGCGCGCCACAGCGTCCTGAGTGTCACATTACACAGAATTGTAGACGTACCTGGATACTACATGGTCACCTGATTGGACAAGAACGCAAGCCTGGAGAATGTCCAGCTAACGCGACGACAAAACGTGGAGAGTAGTACGGAGTGGTGAAACAACGCGCAACTCGTTTCCCAGGCAGATTCGATAGGTGTCGAGACATATACCAGGCTGGCCCTTCTGCACCATTCGACCGGATGCTGCCCCTCCACGTACGGCTGGCTGCCCTGTCTGCCAGCCACTCGTTAATCCGTGCAAGCGCTTGTCTACGGGTAGTCTCTTGAGAGATGCGGGGAAGGTTGATGCTAAGAAAGCTTAGATATACCCCATAATAGCCTCAAGCCCATGTGTGTACCATCAATTGCCATCGGAGTGTGAGCCGCGTAGCGACCATCATGCGGCTCAAATAGCTTCCGCCTCTAGTACTGGCCATCCAAGAAAGCAATGTAGAATCTCAGTCGCAAAGACAGAAGCCCTCCACAGAGTATCGTTTCGAAAATCAGTTGACAATACAGTGATGGTCAAAGAATCAAGCGTACACGTCAGAAACAAATGTACATGCCAGCCTTGCTCCTCACTATGGAAATCTAGGTTCCGCCGAACCTTTTAGGTCCACCAACAAACGTTCAACTGTAGTATCGCACTAGTGGCCGGAGAACGGGAATATCGCGATACCGTGGTCTCGATTCAATGCGGAGTCGATAGAGATGTATATCGAAGACGGAACCAGTCCGTCAACGAGCTCACGAGACATGATAGCCGCGGCTATGCCATGTGCATCACCAACTCGTTGGACTGCTTAAATATTGAGCGAGAGCTGTCGCCAGACGATGCACACGTTCTCATACCCTACTGCTCCAAACATCAGCAGCGCTCTTCACAATGACTAGCCACGACTACTCTTCTACAACCGTGAACTGACATCAAGATGCGCATTATGACTCGGAAGAGAAGCTGCGTTATGAGCTTGCCAAGACAGTCACACTCACTCCAGAACTCTATGAGCGCTTGTTCCTTAATCCAAAGACGCAGGTAGCAGGAGACCTTCGTTCACGGTTTGGGAATCCAACACCAGTGGGCGTTATGGGGTTCACGATCGCCGTTACGCCGCTTGCATGTGCCTTCAGTACGTCTCTTATCATCTTGATACTCTCACGTGGTACTTTCGGGTAGCTGACAGTATTTGTAGTGGGCTGGCAGGGCTCGGGCGGTCTCAGCGTCGCGACTGGGACAGTCAACATATTTTTCGGTAGCATGCTCCTCATGCTCGCAGGCATTGGAGAGTTTCTGCTTGGTAACACATTCCCCATGATGGTCTTCTTTGGATACGGCGCGCATTTCTTTGCTTATGCGACAACGTTCGTTCCCGCCTTCAACGCGATTGGATTCTTCAAACCAGATGGAAGTGGCACCGGCAGTCCTGGCACGTCAAATCAGACGCCAGTATTTCTAGCTAGTTATGGTAAGTGAGCTTCAGTCTCAGGCGGTGTTCAGGCTGATTTGATACTCAACAGTGTTCTACCTCATCGCCATGTGCATTCTATCCTTCCTCTTCTTGCTCGGCTCGCTACGCGTCAACGTCGTCTTCGTTTTGATTTTTACCTTCGCGACAATCGGATTTGGTCTAGGCGCTGGGGCATTCTTCAGCCTTTCCCGTGGAAGCGTCGTGGTTGGTACAAGGTTGGCTACAAGTACGGGTGCTTGCTTTTTTGCAGCTGGCGTGCTAGGCTTCTACTTCCTGCTGGCTCTCATTGTCGCGATCGTGGAATTGCCCGTGCCGGATCTGCCAGTGTTCGACCTGAGCACAGTAATAAAGGCGAGACCGAGAGGTATGATCAAGGAGGAGTAAAGGACTATGCGAAGCATGCAGTTCAGAAGCTTGTCGCAATATACTTCACTACTGTCAGGGTATCAGAACTGGCGAGCGTTTAGTCGTGTCAGGATGTCGAAGATGATAATGTTTCAAGTGATAGAGATTTCGCTACTAGCTATGGATCGTGATCGTGATTGCTGGTGCGCCCGCAGTGCCTTAAGCGTCCCCGGCGCGTTGCCCCGGTGGGGCACTTTGCGCGTCATGCCCAGCGCGTCTCTTTCGCCAGCTCCACTTCTACACTTCCTATCTCGAGTCGCAGGATCACGAAAAACATGACAATTGCTGATTACCGCTCCATCAACTACGCTTCGCTGACTCGCCACACAAGGCGCTCCATACTCGCTTCTTTACGCCTCAGCATGTCCATCCCCTTTTGTGCCCTCTCCAACAACGTCGCGCCCTCCACAACCCTCTGCTTTTGCGGCGTTACGATACCGTCCTTCAACATAGTAGGCATTATATCGGGCTGTAAATGATTCTTGAAGAACTCGTTCTGTGTGGCGTTAGCAGGGTGCTCCCGAGGCAAAGTACTGACCAGCTATACACACGTTTAGGTAGAAATGTGTTCGCACGCCTCTCACGTCGACACCATCGCGCCACTCTGCCGCTTTGCCTACATCCATCTCATACTCTGGATCCTGGCTCTCAGTCGAGTCACGCACTACGACTGGTAGCAATATTGCGACCTTGGATCCGGGTTTCGCGATCTTGGCGATTGGTGCGATGCTACCCTTTTGGCTTCCGATGCAGTCCAGAACCAGAGGAATTCCCTTGTCACCGCTAGCCTTCAAAATGGATGCAACAACGTCTGTGCTGCCGTAATTGAATACCTGATTTGCGCCAAGGCTACGTAATTTCTCGTGGTGCTTCTGGGACGCTGTCGTCAGAATGTTCCTATAGCCGTAGTACCGCAGAATCTGGATGGCAAATTGACCGACGGATGAGGAGCCACCCCAGATCAATATCGGACTATCAGCATGGCCTGGCACATAAGCCTCGGCTTTTGGCCAGGGTGTTTCGAGACCCAGATCGGTCGTGAGGGTGTGGAATACTGTCACGAAGTTGTTGGGTAGTGTTACAGCTTCGGCCAGAGTGAAGCCTTCCGGTAGCTATAACATGTCAGCGTTCGCTTGATAAATGAAGAAACCCGGCACTGCTTGCCTTCGCCAAGAGCCACTCGTCTGTTGTGCAGAATTCCTGATGAGCCTTTTCCGCCAGGGTCCTCCAGGTGAAGCCGAAAACTTTATCCCCAACCCTCAGTCTCTTAGTATCCGGCCCCACTTCGACTACCGTGCCAGCCGTACTGTCACCAAGGACTTGAGGGTGCTTCACGAGCAAAGCCCCATCGTTTTGGTGAAGGTCAAGAGGCGTGGAAGCTGTCCATTCGACACGAACACGGACTTGCTGCCCTACGGGGGTAGGCGTGGGAACTTGAATAATACTAAGGGGTGCTTTTTTAGCCACTGTCGCAACTGCAGAGTGTGTGGACATGGTGAGCTAATAACAAGAGTGGACTTTGCAATGAGTACGAAAAGAAGTAAGTGATGGTCGAGGAGGTAGGAGCAAACTAATATGTTCTCATATATCTCTGGTCCCTCATGCTGCGTTTTATACTCGTCTGGAGTATTCATTCCTGCTTCCGATATTACAAATGCTGGTGGCAGTTGAAAGCGCTAGCAAATATTTCCAAATCGGGATTAGACACTGGGTTTGGTCAGATCGCACCAATCACGATTAACCAAGAGAAGGCGCACCAATCATAGCTAAGGCCTATGATTCTATAGTCGGATGGTCGTATCTGATGGGATACACGAAGGTTCCGGCGCATGGTGTGCGATGGCATTACTTTGCTGTCAATCTAGCCCACTATATGGCACCATGCGAGCCTGGCTATGTTCAATTACCATGATACAGCGAGTTCCTTGAGTTTGCGGTATTCCTCGTTCGTGACTGCCTTTTCCTATAGGCCTGGTATGTGTTGTGTAAATTGTGAGTGGCTCGTCTGTGCTGCGTCATTGCAGTACCGGTGGAACAAGTGGATGGTAAAACATGGTACAGCGACTCGCTTCTGCAACACGAATTTCATAAACGTAGACAGTGCTTAAAGGGTTCGAGTATATATCTTGGCTCATTACGCCCTCTCTCTCTACCACTTTAATACGAACACTTCTTCCAATCCGAATTCGAATTATCATACGAAAGATACATCTTCTCACCAGGTACTACCCTCAAAACAGTAATAACCATGAAGTACTTCGCGCAGCCTTTTCCTGTCCAAGGTAACGCCTATTTTCAATTTACCGAAAGCCGCCGTAACGACATCACAATTGGTCTTCAAAACTCCGAGAGAGTCTCTAGCCGCACTTCTCGTCAAATATCCACTAAAGAAAGCGACGACGCATTCATCCAGTCTCTCGAAGAGAAGAATGCCAGGAAGGCAGATAGAACAGTCCCTCAGTGCGGCGATATAGTACGAGCGATCTTCAAGAGACGGAAGAAAGTGGCAAACAAGACATCGCAACTTTTACGCAAGGAGCCGAAGAAGATCACCCAAGCACCGAAGCCAGAACAAAAGGCTTTATCGTTTGGTGAGTGTTCACAGCCATATGTTTTCTGGTAGATCACAACGCCAAAGTCGTTGTTGGTCCTGAGTGTTGTTCGCTACCGAACGCCACACACTGCTACGCCTCATATGGTATCCTCGATGGATGCAACAACCGTTCGGGCTTAGCGTGCGGTATTTCTCTACAACACAACAAGATTTGGGAAGGATCTCTCGATGCCATGTTTGAGGGATATATGAGTTACGAAACGGCGACCTCTTCCTGGCTTATGCATCGGTACTTGTCTCTTGTATTTCTCCTGCGCGCTGCACGGGTATGGGCTTGCCATTTCGACGTGTATACAGAAACGATGGACATATTTACCATCAACTCAGCGAAGGAGAAGATTCCGGAAACGATTGTGCTTTGATCTCATCGAGTGACGACCAAATCTTCAGCCGCACTGAAGTGCTCGGTCAGAGTCACACGACACACAAGCCATCACGAAGGGACAGAAGAACGCCTCAAACACATTTATACGCCAACAAAGGGACACAGACAGCACCCGAGTTCTGCCCAAGATCGTTATGCACTATCTCAACTTGCGCGTCATCAACCTACTCGACCTCTACCATCCCGACCTCCTTAGATACTACCCTTGTTGAACCCAGCAACTGTCAAAATATACGCCCAACACAATTTAGGCCCTCCAAATTCTTCAAATCATGTTCAAGAATCGACAGCGCCATCGAGTTACATACCTTCATTCCGACGTACCCGCACCGCTACCCGCCCGGCATCGTCGTCATCAAAACGGTCGACGAACAGGGTACCGAAGTATTCGAGGAGACGGATCTTACGCACCGGCATACACCTTTTGTAGATCCCAAACCCACCGTAACTACGAGAGCCGAGCGTACTGGCGTGGTGCAAAGAACAGGAAGGGCAGGACTAATGGAGAGGGCCTTGGAGAGAATCGTTGATGCACTGGCGAGAGATGATGAGTGAGAGACGTATTATAGAAGATGGAGAAACCCTGAGACCAAGCACCTGGCTGCGATGTTCGAGTCACATGGAAGACGCATCGTTAGGTCACGGCAGTGCCACTGCGTCTGTATCACTCAATAGCTGATATGGGTCGGCCAATGCTCATTTCGAACTCAACATATACTGTCTCGGTCAGAACCCTACCAGCCACGACACGTTCAGATAGCGGCCACTGCTCGCCGGGCATGGTGGTCATTAGCAGTGTCAACAAAGATCACTTGCAGCCGACAACTGAAGTATGGACGGCCTCCAGAGACGTTCACCATGAGCGAAAGTGCGCCAATGAGGGGACTATCAAGTTAAGGATGTGTTGAGTCTGCTAGCTCATCGGGGACGTGCGGGCATGTTGTACACATTGGTGGAACATCCTATCAATCAAATTTTGATTCTGTTGGGAACATGGGACTTGGGTTGAAAAGGAACATAGCTTACGAAATGCGTTCATTCTGTTGCTTATAGTATAATGAAGAGCAACCCTGATCACTCCATTTCTCCACTCCCCGCGTTCGTTTGATTACAATTTGCATCCACCCAACCCGTGAGTGATCCGATTCCTTACCATTCAAGTGTGCATCTCAAGCACAACACCGTGTGGACCTCCATCCTCAGCACCATAGTCCAGCTCAAACCAGTAGACCTTCAAATCCTTCTTGCTAGCAGGGTGAATAACGAATTGGGCAACATCTCCCTTAGGACATTGGAACCACTTGCTGACAACCTCAATCGCGCCGTTCTTCGACAGCACGTATGTGTCGTAGTGTTCGGTAATGGCGGGCTTGTTGTTCCAGGTAGTGCCGCCATTGACAAGCTTGGACTCGGTGCGTGAGATGTTGACGGCGAAAGGTGCTTCGCCTTCCAGACTTAGTGGGGCCTTCTTGAATATGTCGGTGTTGACATAGAACCGGAGGCGACAGATGTTTGCCTCGTTGTTGGGGACGTCGTAGTTGACAGCGGTCCATTGTTCGTCAAGGGTCTTGCTCTGTTGAAGGTAAGTACAAGCCAGGCGATCGTACGAGTGTGCGTGTGTTGGTGTGTACATACGTTGTAGCTGACCGTCGTATCCTTCTGGGTTAGAAAAGCGGTGTTTGGGTAAGACTTTTTGAGAGGCAGAAGCATGTGCGGAAATCTGGTTGTTGGTGTACTCATTCAGTATATGTCTCACATGAAGTGTGCAGGGACGTTCTCACTGCGTGTCGATCAAAGTCCCAAAGGCTGGGAGGCCAAAGACGACGGGAAGAAGAGCGAAGACGTGCATGTTTGATATCTGAGGGTTGGTGAAGGTTGTTAATGTGTGGAGATTGAAGCTGTCGATGTTGAGAGATGGATCCTTTAGTCTTCTTATACTTGACAGTGAAGCACAACAACGTTTGTGGTGCAACGCTTGCCTGTCGGTCAAGAGGTCAACATGACGGATGTGCTGCCCTTGCAGAAGTTTTTGTGAGACGTAAGCGATAGCCTACCAATGGTACGTAAACTGCATCCGCTACAATGGAGGAAGTAGCGAGCTGCACCACACTGACCAGTCCTGAAGTGAGCAGTCATTCGCGTGTCGTTACGGTACACTGGTATTGAAAACCGAGACACGGGTAGTATTGAGGTACCAGAAGGGTAGTTTCAGACATCGAATGACGCGTTTGGTTCTTTATTACAATCGCTGACTCCTGACTACACCTCGTTTTGCGGGCACGTAAGCTTAGATTTAACGATATCACAAAGACGTTCACTATGTCGCCTATGAGGAGTGTCAGCAGCTAGGTATATACTCTGTCTTGCTGTAGGTAACGGTGGAGATTTGTATCACCATACGTCCAGTCTTCACGAAGCATCAAACTAGGCTGTCCTACCTGAGCCCGAACGTCAGGAATAACAAAGGAAGGCGATGACGAAGAAGCGTGTGATGTGGACGTGAGTACTCGTGATGCACCTCCCGATCCTTGATCACACTAGTTTCTCTCAGGGGACGGCGCTATCCGGACTGTAGTGGTCTTGTGAATTTGAGATGATGACTCCATAGCCATGTCCTCGATGCAACCAAGTACATGCAGCTCGTGTGTTGACGTGCCTCGCGGTTGAGATTCCTCCAGGCGGAGACAGATAGTGATCGCGAATGCTTGACAGAAGATCCTAAACAGGAGGCACGTACTGAACTTGCGTAGTCTCGACGCGTACACAGGCCAGTTGTACCTATTACAAGATCATGATTATCGCTTGTGCCCACAAGCGTCTGATATAAGATGTGCTACCAGCAGATGAATGAGACCTCTTGGGACCAACTAATTTCTCTGATGCGAACAGAAACACGCTTGAACCAACAACTGAATGAAGTTCCGGCGCGGTGCGCTCAATATAGAGGCAACTGGCCACTCGCAAATTATGACTCTCGCTGTGGAGCTATTACATAGATTACTTTGGTTACGTGAGCTATTGGTAGGAGGGTAACGTGATACGAAGCGGGGAAACCCTAAAAGTAAGTAGCTACTCATGTAGAAGCCTTCGTCTTGTGTATCGCTATTGTGGTTCGATTCTATTAGGCCCAAAAGTGCAGAATGAAAGCGTGGGAAAATGGCGAGGTTGGTGGCAGTGACGGCGCGGGGTTAATGCGGCTTTAGGGCCTCGGCCAATGATGGTGTCGTCATTCCTCAGCGGTGTAGCATCCAACCTCAGCATTTCGCTCCAAGCATGATTCCACGCGTCTTTGTCTAGTTAATTCGATGGTCGTTTCAAGCTTGCCAGCATGGCGTTTTTCCCAAGACTGCGACCCGCCTTGAACCCGGTTTTGGCCCGATATCCCGCCCTTCACGTCCAGCGTGTACCCTTCCGACGAAGCCTCTACCTCGCGCCGCCATACCTGCTCGATGACTACATACCGCGCTATCAGCTGCTATCGTCGGTAGATGCCGCGAAGAAACGGTCTCTGGCATATGCGCATCTACGTGAATGCAATCTGTGTCCCAGACTTTGCGGCGTCAACCGTTATGAGACGACGGGCGTGTGCATGATAGGAGCTGAGACAGTTAAAGTGAATACAATTTCTCCTCATTTTGGTGGTATGTCGGATCCATCTACGCCCAGGATCGCTTGCGCTGACACCGATCAGAAGAGCCTTGTTTCCAGGGACACAATGGCAGTGGTTCTGTCTTCTTCTCAGGGTGCAACCTGAGATGCGTTTTCTGCCAGGCACGTTGCCTCTTGTCCCATGGTTGCATGTGTGCTAATGCTGTATCCAGAACCATGACATAGCCCACCAGCGCAACGGTTTCGATCTCACTCCGGAGGAGCTCGCCGAGTGGTTCATGAAGCTGCAGGACGTGGGCCGCGTCCACAACATCAACCTCGTTACACCCGAGCATGTCGTACCCCAGGTCTGCTTGTCGATTCTGCACGCGCGCGAGCTCGGTCTGCGCATACCCATCATTTACAACACGTCGTCGTTTGATTCGCTCGAGAGTATACAATTGATGGATGGCCTAGTGGACATTTACCTCCCTGACTTCAAGGTCTGGAGTGACAAGACAAGCCGTCGGTTGCTCAAGGCTGATGGGTACACAAAGGTGGCTATGGAAAGCATCAAGGCTATGCACGAGCAGGTCGGTGACCTCTGCTTCACTGCAGACGGTATTGCCAAAAAGGGAGTGCTTGTGCGCCACCTGGTCATGCCGGGTATGGAGGATGAAGGCATAGAGATCATGAAGTGGCTTGCGGACAATGTGAGCAAAGACATCATGGTTCACATCATGGAACAGTATTTCCCGAGAGCTCATGTGGGCAAGGAGCGACGTCGCCGTACAGGTCAAGACGTTGCGGAGCCAGGAGGTGTTGAAGCATCAGCCTCGACCAAGAAAGACGTTAGATATGCAGACATCAACAAACCTGTAGACTTGGAGGAAGTAGCGTCGGTCAAGAAAGCAGCTGAAGAAGCTGGCCTGTGGAGGTTCGTCGAGGCGTCGAGGCATGGCGGCTTCAATATCTGAGGAGGCCGCTATTGCACAGTCTACCATCGCTCGCAAATATTATGGAGTGTTCGGAACTTTCGTTGATGGATATGATTACCCGTACAGGCCGTGAGCTGTACAATGGGGAAGTCATGACTGTCAAGCCCCATTCGCAGCTGCCGTTCGTAGGTCGCCCTTGCTTCAAACACCACTCAGGCACGTCTTTGTCAATAGCCGAGTCAACAACTCCTTTACCTCGAACACCACCACGAACACGCAACGTATTGATTTGCGCATTACTACAATGCCGCTGATCACTGTGGACAACATCACCGACATCGAAGGAACCGTCCATGAACTCAAGATCGACCGAGACACTTGGCAGGCTGTAGCGCTCCAGTACAAAGAAGCCTTCGAGGCTCAGACAGCCCGCCTACAACAGCTGCAGGACGTATGCTTTGCCACGCAAGCTGAGTTGGAGAACGAGCGGGCTCAACAACGTCTCCAAGCAGTTTCTAGCGAGCGCGAGAACCATTGCCCTCCTCCATTCGGCAGTGGTGAAGACCTTCGAGACAACTTCATTTTCGGTACTGCTACTGTGCACTCACCAACCAAGACCGAGTATGATCGCTCACGCCCATCTTCCGAGGACTGTATTAACCCATTATTCGAGCACGTGCAGAAGTGCACTATCCAGCGGAACTATGGTACTGCTTTGGTCGAGGTTGAGCGGCTCTTACGCGGTCCGCTTAGCTACAAAGCTCGCGCCGAAGGCTTGCTCCTCAAGAGCAGTATCCTACGGGCCTCTGGCCCCGATGAGCTCCTCGATGCGCTAGCTGCGTGTAGTGAAGCCGTAGAGCTATGCGATCGTCTTTCCGAACTCCAGAGTTTCTTACCTCGAATACGATGCCAGCGCGGCTTGCTGTATTATGATTTGCGCCTAATTCAACAAGCCAGAGAAGCGTTCAGTACCAACAGTGACGACGAACTTCTCTCTGCTAAAGCTAGTGGGTTTCACAAGTCTTACGATGATGAGCTGGATCTGCTGCGATGTACCAAGCGTCGGTCGGGCTTTGATGAGAACCGCACTATGGAAGGCTTGCTCGCCCAGGTGGAGGACAAGGGTGCAGAGGTATTACTGCCCTAAGGTCCATACACCTGCGGCCTGCTGACCTCTCCTAGAACAAGTACAGGCGTACCAGTGCGCAACTCAAGCAGCGTGCCGTCGCAAAGGCGAGACGAATGTCATTACCTTACCGCTGGGTCTATTCGAAGAGCGAGGGACACCATCGAGAGTAATGTCACATCATCAGACTAGTCTGTTATCATAAAACGGCACAGAGCGCCCTACAAGTAACTAGGTGTGGTGAGTGTGTTACCACGGGGGTCAAACGGAGATTACAGTTCATTGTTCGGGCACCAAATATTCATGAAGCTATTGCGTTGAGGGTCCCGGTTTTCTTTGTTGTAATTGCCCCTCTTCCGCGCAAGGCTGCATTCCCCTGAACAAAGACCTCTCGGCGTGTGTTGGGGGCCGGGGACTGCATCTACAAAGAAGCTATCTTTCATGTTATGAATTATCACGCCGGTATCTTATCACAACGCCGAACTGTCCAAAACTACTGCAGGCTTGCTCCCCTACTTATTAGATTGAAATGTCCATCCACATTACACAACCGCTGAGCGTCTATGCCTTGCAAAATGAGCTCCCTAAGCATACCGCATCTCCTACTAACAACGCCCGCGCATACATTGAGGATTTACCTTTCACGACTGTACGAAGGGGATCTTTCGTTTGCGCGTCACCATCGATTTCCCCTTTTCGAGAAGATGAAGGCCTTATCAACAATAGCACGACGGATGGTACAGGTGGATTCGTTACCGACGGTATCCCTGCCGAGTTGAGAGATTGGGATGGATACCGGAGTCGCATGCGCATGATTCAATGTCGGTTATACCTGTTGCGTTGCGAAGTCTTACAGTCTACAGCCAATGCAGTTGAACAAAGAGCTTGGGCGCAGTGCCTCAATGTATCCACCCATCAATACTATGGCAAAATTCTGAAATATGCCCTGAAGGCGCAGCAGCTGGCCGACGCTACATCAAACCACGATCTGCAAGCACGTTCTGAATATTGGTCTGGACGAGGATGTGGCGGTCTGTGCGATTGGGGGGCTGCTGCCAGCCATTTCGCAGCTGCTGTGAAGCTGGATGTGCCGAACGATAATTCAAGAGACAAGCAGCGGCAACAGAGGGATGTGCTCCCAATCAAGAAAGACGACGTCGGTTTCCTGCTGGGGAGCGTAACACGACGCTATGAGAAAGAGATGCAAAAGAAGGAACAAGCACGGAAAGCTAATCATGGCCAGGACACAAGCCCCAGTCCCACCGAAGACGTTCAGCGAAAGATGCCGAAAAGACCTGGCTGGATGCCATATTACGAACACATGATTCATCTGGGGAAGCAGCAGTCGGGCGGAGTATTTCATCAACTTCTCTCGTGTGATTATGGGTCCACACTCAATAAAGAAGAAATGACCGCCTTAAAGAAAAGGCTGAGCCTAAATGACGGCAAACAAGAAATTCGTAAGACCTTTAGTGCACGGGAGTGGCTAATTATCCTACGCGGCGAAGAGGCCACCAAGAAGTGCAGCGACAGCGTTGGTATCCACAGTTCTACCCATCGACAAGGCCAGCACAGCGGACCATCCCGGACTCTGTCGCCCGCCTCTTCGATCAACGCCTCAAAGCATTCCTCACCCGAAATCGCCCACAGTCTAGGCAACAAGATCGATCTTACAGGCTACGAAAGTGGGGGCGCGACACTATCGCTTCTTGGAAGTACCAAATCACCTTCGTCCGATGAAGAAGACAAAACACCTTCACCACCAACAGCGGACCTTCACGGTCGTCGTAACGTGAAGTTACCGCACATCTTTACCAGGGCGATAAAGATGAATCCTAGCCTTGGTGAGGCTGTGCTAGGCCCGTTGGTACCTACGGATTCGGTGATGGAGAAAGACCCGATTGAAGCGGAATCGGAAGGGAGTGGTTCTGATGACGGAACACGTCATATTGGCAGTGAAGAGCATGTTGGTACGCCTATTGACGAGAAGACTGAAGAGAGCAGAAGTAATATTTCATCTTCGCGTACTGGTAGTGAGTGAATATGACCTTTATGATTAGAAAGTAGAAACTGAAAGTAAAAATTAGATTTCTGATCCATAGTCGCACGCTAGCCAGATTAAGCACATGGGTAATATGCTTTAATGTGACCGCTTCTTGGTACAAAAGCCAACATGTCCTATCATGTACTTATACGCCGTTTGAGACGTACTCGGGGTATGAGTTTGACCCCAGCTACGTAAAGAGACTCTTCGGACATGAGCTGATCCGCATTCTTCGGCTGAGGTCAGTACTTGACGTACTGGTTAGCATTTTTGGAGAGCTCTTTCTTGCCGATGTAGAGCTGTTCACACAAAGGAACAACGTCTCTGTGAGACAGCATTATCTACTTGGCTTTGCCTCTGCGGTAAACTTCTTTACAGTCTTAGACGCCAAAGACCCTTTGGGCATGCAATGCGTCTTTGTTTTTCCACGTCCAGATAACCTTCATTGCCCATCCGCCCTGAGATTCATCGAAATGGCACACGCAACTCAAGTTGTCTCATTGCTTCATCGTTACGTTTGCATCGGAGAATTTACATGCACTTTTGGATTCTACTCATCGTAACTATGCCACATATCTATGCAATTCCCGCATCAGAAGCGTCAGCATTTGCTCCACCAAAGCTTGTCAACCTTTGGGCCGCTGGAACCGAGATCACCGTACCCAGCTACGCCTGGCGCTTGACTGATACTTGTTTTCTCATGCTCTTCATCGTTCAAACCTTGTTATTCATTGGCTTGGTTTGCCAGGATGCAGATCTAACAGTCAAGCTGTTCAATCTCAAAGAAGGCAAATGGGCTGGTAAGGTGACGAATCAAGTCATAAACGGAATTGGAAGAAATTCGTTGAAAGAGAAGATCAAGGAAGAGATTTTGACGGAGCTGAGAATAGCGATCGCAAGGGAACAGCGCAAATGCGGCTCTGAACTTTCCCAGCACTAATCAACCTCCGCTTCGCAATTTGCGGAGCATAGCAGCGGCTATGCTGAGCACACCGCGACTATGCAAGAGGATGGATGGCGGAACGGTGTGCAGATGACAAAATTTGAGACAAGAAAACCATCACGAGTAGACAACACTTTTTCATCAAAACCTCGACTCGACGAGAATGCGGAGGCTGAATGGTAGTTTTCGGCACAAGCGCCTCAGTCGCAGCACCACGGTGGAGCAGATGGAAGAATGGTACTTTCCGAATTCAGTAATACGCAAGGCGTCTACTCGTCGAGTTGTTTGAACACAAGGATTGCATGAGCGAATTCAGATTTCAGCAAGGAATCTTACGTTTCGCGCCATTAACTGTGTCAGTCGCGTGTTTGTGCTATTGTTTTTGTGTTTGCTTGCGGCGACAACAAGATGTTTGAGAAGGCACCGTGATATTCCACGGGTCAAGATAGGCGTACAATTATCACGGAAGGCTCTGTAGATGGTTGACTACTCACCGGATTACCTAGCCTTGGCATTATAGTTGCGTCGAATTTATGCTCCAGCATAACTAAATAGAATGAACAAAGGTAACGTCCATCCCTAAGTAGCGGGACACCCTGCGTGATGGGATGCTACAGACACTCCCTAACATAACAAACTTAATAGAGGAATAAACACTCTTAGAATAGTAGCCTTAAGCTATTAAGTCTATCCTCTCCTAACGTCCTTTAGAAATAGGTTTAGTGTGAGGGGTAGTTATAGGCAATAGTATTTGCTTCACACTACAAGAGAATAGTGGGGGAAAGCTCTGTATTACTACACTAGGTGAGGAGGTCGTGAGAATAATTCTTGTCTATCTCCTAACGCGCGGAGCGCAGGTTATGAGCAGGTTCAGAGGCCAAGGCGCGAGCGAGAGAAGCAAACACGTTGGGACCATAATCGTCCTCCTCGCTCAGCCTCTGCCGTCCTGTGTTACACCTAGAGCGCTTAGTAAAAGTGTCGCACGGCTACTTAGCTACACGGCTATAGATCTAGCATTAGCAGTAATAGATTACAGCTAAGCTACTTTAAACTAAGTTTGCGGGGTTCTCTTTATCTAGCACTTCTAATACGTAGACTTAGAACTAGCATAGAAGCATAACAGCCTCTTAAGCTTAAGTGCATTGCTTAAGATAGGATAATAATATAATAGGCTATAAGTTAATAGACTTTAGAGAAGATATATAAGCTTTTAACCTACCTACTACTAGTTAAAGTAAGGTAGTTGTGTAACGCTGCTACTAAATTATCGTATTATATAGTAAGCTAAACTTATTCCTAAAAGACATAAAGAGAGAACAGGCGTTATAGCTTAGGGCTACTATTCTAAGAATGTCTGTTCCTCTAATGCGTTGTTGAGCTTGCTATGTTAGGGATTGTCTGTGGCGTCCCGTCACGCAGGGTGTCCCGCTACGTAAGGACGGACATTACAAGACGTCCTGAACGTGCCCTCCTTGCCACGAGTTTCCATCCATTCATGTCCCCGCATCGAGCGCCACAAGAACCACCCTGAAATGCCTTGTCACTGTGATGAAAAATACAAAGGACTTTTGTTCAGCGGCCTGCCAAGCCGGCAAGGCCGTGACCACATGACCGAAACGTTGTTGTGCAGACTTCGTAGTCGCCATCGCTTCAGTTCTCGCACTTCTTTCTCGGATAAGGAATAAATCTGTGGCGCCGCAACAAGATTGGCCCAACGAAGGTTGAGATAGTATCTGGAACACTCCTGATGCATGCGATTATAATGAGGGACAACATGGCCATCTCGGCTCATGCCTATGATCCTTAAGCTCCTTCGAATGACTTGACATGAATGCGCAAGATGCCTGAGTCCAAACGTTACTTCGTTACGGGTCTTCCATTCGGCTTTTAGAGCTGCTTTTAGATTGAGGCATTCGTTTCGCAATATTGTCGAATGGGCTGTTGATACATCTTCGTTGCTCTCTAGGTGGTCCAAGTGAAGAAAACTTAAGTTCGGGAGCCTTTGCAACGCTTCCATGACCGGTTTCCAGTGAACTTCCAAAGGGTTGCCATCTGAGCTCGCTGGGCGTAAGACTCACACCGAGCAGTGTACTAAGGAGATTCGAGTAATGCGTTCTGCCTCTAGATTCTCCCTGAGAAAGTGACACAAAGTTGTGTTTCTGGTCCAAAAAAGCTTGAAACTCAAGTGTCGCAAGTTCCTGAGCGGTAGATGGCGTATGGTTAACTCTCGGCCAAATGGAGGTTGCTGATCACGCTTATGTTCGAACCTTTCAAAGGTCACATCGAGAGCGTTGATGTTAGACTCTTGCCACTGTCCCATACATGATCCCAAAACCGGGACAACTGTTGTGGTGCCAAGGCAGAGCTGCAATCACCATGGTCGCTTATCAAAGCGTCGATTCACGGCAAGTCCTTTTGCAACTGCATTTTCATAAGAAGCAATAGCAGGGGCAGTCGGCCCATGCATACCCGTTATAGTACCGTTAAACCGATAGGCCGCATGAAAACCTAGGCTGACACCTGCCTTGAGCCGCGCGTATTCGATAGCCTTGGCAATACAGTTGGAAACTCCACTCTCGGTAACGTATAGGCTGCTCCAGGGAGCACAGTGGCCAGAGGGGCATTCGAAGTAATCGATTTCCAGCCCACCTATGAACCTAGGCCGAATCGGTGACTGATAATGTATAGTCGTACTCCAAAGGCATAGCTTGTTCAGCCTTGGGAAGCTCGGCAGCGCCTGTGCGATTTTGAGAGCGTTGAAGTGTGTACAATTATCGCGAAGCTGTTCTAGGTCTGGCCCTAGTAACTTCGAGTGCGGAGTATGAATGAATTGCTTGCGCATGACTTGAGAATCGTGGAGAGGATCAGTGAGCGTCATTTTCCATCCAAACCGGATGATCTGGACATGTTTTGCCAGATCCAGATGCTTTGTGATTTCTTTGAGTCCCGTGAGTCCAAACAGATTTATGCCGATGGATATGGCTGTAAAAAATCGCCGGCCGAACTCTTGATACACTCTGGCACGAAGGGTGGGTGACGCAGATTTGCACACGATCAATGCAAGGTTATCAATGTTTCTGGCGATAAGATCGATTAGCTCGCTGGGTAGATCGTGGATGAGTGGTCGCGAGATATGAAGTTTTTCTATGAACTCAGTACATGTGGCTGGGATGGGCTCCTGTGAGATATCTCTCGACGGTGCCATCGTGTGCTTGATAGGTGCTTGCACGGATAGTATGATCACTGTGCGCAGGGACGAAGCGGACTTCGATCGATTTCGTGCCGATGGATTTGTGCAGAAATTCGTAAGTAGCGAAAGTTCGAAGTGCGCTACCCAGTGCACGTTTCCGGTCGTACCATACATGGTCGATGACCTCCATGGCTGACAGTATTGGCCATGGACATGGTGTGGGGCTACCTGCGACAATCCAGAAACCACAAGATACATTCCCGAATAAGGCGCTTTTGCACTTGTATCCAGAAGTTAGTAACATATACCATGTTTCTTACTCGTGAGCACCTGATCACATGGTTATGCTATGTGTTGCGGAACTTGTAAGTCGCTCGTCTGCTTTGCGTCATTGCAGTACCAGTGTGTATTCAGGACATATGCATCCCTATCTCGGTGATCTCTCCAGTGCCCTTAACTTTGTTCAGTGGTATATCACTAGCCTCGCCCCCGGCCGTACTTGAGTCTCTAGCTTCTCTCTGCATGCTGTAGATAGCGCGATTTTGGTTCGCCTATGTGTTGAGAGTATCCGCAGCTTAATCGAGTGCCACATGCGTAAGCATGCCGATATACAGTGTTTTGCAAAGGAAGGCCGTTCTTTCCAAAAAGATGATGCCTACACATAGCTCGGTCATAGCCTATATCGCGACAAGTACTCATTTTGTCGAACCTGTAAGTAAGGTTAAAACACAGCGCAACAACTGACTCACACTCGATATCTGTGGCTTTCAAATCGAGTGATCTCGCCCCTGTAATAGAACATGCCGTGAGGGTCAACCCCATAGCCATCAATACCCACATCGACGGTTTCTTTCATACGGGCAATTGGATGTCTCCATGACGAAGATAGGACATGACGAGCAGAGCAGGTCTGTAATGATCGATACGCCTTTCAGTTCGGCCAGCTTCCAGTCCAAAGATCGGCTGCTGAATGTCTTACCAGCTTATACATAGATCGAGTAGATGCGCACTTGAGTCAGCCAGCACGTTCCTGGACCCGGATACCAGTAAAGGCTGATAGGCTTGCATTGAGCCGAGACAACGATGATGATCTCAAGAGCAGCAGCAATCAGGACGGCAATCACGATCACTTTCAACTACTTCATCTGGTATGAATGCTTGATACAAATGATGAGCAAGAGCACTGAGCATGGCCTGTGCTTCGCGCCTGAGCCTAGTCAAATGTGCAACCCGTAGCAAATAATCTCACAACGATCGGACCAAGACTCATTATGCAAACCGCAGTCAAGGATGGCTATTGGGTGACAGTGGGGGGCTTGTCCTTGCTGGTTCGCTTCGTGCCGTCTGCAGCCCCGAGTGCACTTTACCCACACTTCACTCGCTCCTGGTCCTCACTACCTTGATTTTGTGGATCAAACCTCAGCCCAGCAGTACTGATTCATGACGATAATAGATTTGTGTTTGAGTATTGTACAGTAGGCAGAGTGCTGAAGTTGTTACAAGACAGAATTGTGTACTGTAGGTGTTGTGAGTATGGCGGGTGAGTTAGCGAGGCGAGCCTGGTCAACGTGGTAGGCTCACCCAAGGCAAGGAAATGCTTTGGGGGCCGGCGAGTATGAATGTGCTCTGGAAATTCTTCCGCCAGCCGCCTAGGCTCTGCTGGCGTAACCGCATGGGCGATGTGCAGATACGAGCCATCGGGTGTACACATGCGTGGTGTTGACAAATAACAGGGTTAGGACGACCTCCTAGGACTGTCGTCATTCGCTGGGCGAGATGCCGTGCAATTTGAAATTCGATATCGGTTATCTTCCAGCGATGACCCCTCCACGGCAGAGATCCCCAGCGGGCCATTCTTAGCTCAACTGCTATGTTTGCATAGCGTGTGCTGAGTTCTCTCTATCGCAGCCCGCGTTGGCTAAACGTGTATGAACGGTGGACTTATGCGAATCGTGGGCGACATGGGCCCTGCTATAGATGGCTTCTCTGTACGGTATCTCGGAGTTTGGGGCTCATATTACTGCTCCAGCCGCCATTTGTTTTCCATCGTTAGATAATTCCCATCTGAGACTCCCTCTGCAAGGAAGACTCATCATAACTGATTCTTTTGCATCCAAAAAGCCAACTGTCCATGCAACCCATCTCGGCTCTTTTGCTTACAGCTGTGCTGGGTGTCACACCTGCAGCCAGTGCAAAGCCATATCAGGTACCTGATGGCAGCTTCGACTTCGTATGTATCTCCTCGACCGGAATAGGATGCTCTTGACTGAGCTGGCCTTTTATCAAGATCATCATTGGAGGCGGAACAGCTGGTATTGCACTCGCCACTCGGCTCAGTGAGGCTTTACCAAGCCTTTGTGTTTTAGTAATTGAAGCTGGACCGGATGGACGCGACGAGCAACGAATTTATGTACCTGGGCTAAGAGGTTCGACCTTTGGCTCCTCGTATGATTGGAGTCTTCCGACAGTGCCGCAGGCAGCAGCAAACAACCGGACTATAGGTCATAACCGTGGTAAAGTCCTTGGTGGCACTTCGGCCTTGAATCTGCTTGTTTGAAATCGTGCCACTGTCAAGGAATACAATGTTTGGGAAGAGCTCGGCAATCCAGGGTGGGGTTGGCAGAACATGTATCCAAGTATGCTGAAGACTGAGGTAAGATGCGACTGTACGAAATGCATGTGGGACATACACTGACGTCGTACCTCCACATCTGCAGAACTTTCAACGCCAAAATGGTACCGTACAGTACGGTGTTGACGGTATTGGATATGGAGGTCCAATCCAAATCGCTTTAACCGAGAATCCACCGCCTCAACTCCAAGCTTGTATTCCAACACTGACCAATCTTGGCCTGCAAGAAAATCTCGAGTCGTTGAATGGAAACAACCTTGGCACCATGTACCAGCTGGCCACATATCGCGTATCCAATCACACGCGGTCCCTACTCAGTGGATTACATTGCAAGAGCTGGCGATAACCTAGTTTTCATGTTTAACACCACTGTCCACAGAGTTCAGCTTGACAAGAAAGGGTCCAAAGCGACTGGCGTCGTGCTCACGGACGGCACGTTTGTCAGAGCCAGGAAGGAGGTAGTTGTCTCAGCCGGGAGCCTGCTTTCCCCAAAGATCTTGGAATTTTCCGGGATAGGCCAGAAAACCGTATCGAATAACGCTCTTATCAAGCAAATGGTCGATCTTCCCGGTGTCGGCGAAAACCTGCAGGATCATCTCCGTATCCAAACAACATATGAGCTTAAACCTAACTTGCTCGGAGTAGACATTCTGAAGTATAATACGACATTGGCAGCCCTTGAGTTGGAATTGTGGAAGCGTGGTAAACCGTCGCTGTATCAGTACGCTGGTAGCTGCTATGGCTTCCTTACGTGGAAACAAGCTCTTGGTGACGACAACAAGCTTGTTCGACTGGCGATGCAATCAGCGAACATGTCAAATCCTGTGGACCGAAGGAAACTTGAACTACTCACTGATCCTGGATCCAAAGCACCTGGTCTCGAGGGCGTCTTCAGCGACGGTTATATTGGGACGACCGGATACCCAAAAAACGGCACAGCTGGCTACGGTAGGCAATATGCCACGCTTCTTGCTGTCGTTCAGCACCCGCTCGCCAGAGGATCAGTTCACATCAACGGATCAGACCCTGTGAACAAGCCTCTTGTGGATCCAAGATATCTCGGTACGCCATATGATTTGGAGGCTTTACTATCAGCCGCAAAGTACACGCGAAAGATGGCCAAAACCGCTCCTTTCAAAGACGTCTGGGTGTCCGAATACGACCCTGGCAAGAACACTGAAACGGACGCAGAGTGGGAGACATACATCAGAAACAACGTATTTACGTTCTACCACCCATTAGGTACTTGTGCGATGTTGCCGAAGAAAGACGGTGGTGTGGTTGAACCGCAGTTGAGGGTTTATGGCGTGGAGAATCTCATAGTCGTGGACGCGAGCGTGATTCCCATGATCGTTTCTGCACACATTCAGACAGCCATTTATGGCATCGCAGAGAGAGCTGCAGAGATGATCACAGCGAAGCACCGCTGATGAATAGGTTCTGGGGATGTGATGGCGGAACGCGAGGAAAGATGTCACTGAGATGCAGCAAGGCTTAGCCTAATTTGTAGTAGCGAAACGCGTTGTGTCGCGTTGCGTTGTGACGGTGTCGTCATCATCCCCCTAAACCACACGGATTCCTCGTCTTTTTCTGTCAAGCACGTGATGAACATGTCTCTGCACAACAAGTACATCCATTGACCGGTTGTGTCCATATTTCTCCGGACTGAAGAGAAGCGTTGCAAGTACAGCTAAACAAGTGCACAAGACCAATGTGGCTTTCCAGTTATCAATCACCCCCTCGGGCATACCCGCATCGCGTCATCAAACATGCAAACAAAGTAATACACAACGCGAAACCAATCCCATAATCCAACTCCATTCTTCCATTGCTTCTGATCAGGATCGTGCAGCAAGAACTAAACCAGATCACGCGTACGCCAACTTTGCCGACTTCCCCAGCTTGTCACTTCCTCATGAAATATTCATGAGGAGTGACTCTTAGATTCAAGGCTTTGATGGATTCGTGGAGCGCCGACAACGGTGTACACATTGCCTAGAGTAACCACAAACGATCGTCAACGATCGGAATTGAGACGGCCAAGCGATCACTTACTGCAAATGCGACAGCAGTAAGGCATATTGTGGGCGTGACAGTAACCATACTCGGAGTACGCAGGTGGATATACGTAGCGATACTGCATTGGCACAGCGACAGATTGTTGGGTCTGTTGAACTGGTGTTGTATACGCTGGAAACTGGCCATTCGCACGTATCTGGCCAAGCACACGCTGGTGGTGGTTCATTGTAGTGGTCAACATAGTGCCATATACTCCCAAAATGCCCTCGAGGTCATCTGGTTGCATGTCCGATGTGCGCAGTTGGAACGCATTGTCGGCTTCTTGATGTAGGGTGCGCATATTGAGAAGTTGACCTACTGCCTCCCTTCGTCTCGCTGCAATATAAGCTTTGTGCTGCTCAAGCGCTTGAATGCGATCAGCAATATCGATAACGCTAAGTTTGAAATCCTTGAGATCCGCGTTTTCTTGCTCTAACTTGGCGATACGCTCTACCTGCTCTTGCTGCACTTCTTTTACGGCCTGGAGCTGCCCTGCGAATCCCATAGGCACCATTGTCTGAGCGTGTCCTGAATTTGGGAACTGTCCAGGTTCCGGAGTAGGTCGCAAAGGTAGATCTGGGTTTGTCATCGCTGAGAGAGTTTTTTCCACCGTATCCGGTCTCGCTTTTGGATTGTGTGTGATCCTGAACCTACTGCGTACAAAGTCAAGATTTATGAGCGGGCGATAACAGGAATTAGGTCCGGGTGTAATTACTGAGGGTGCAAGCGAGCAAATTTCCACAAACTCGTGGATGACGTTGAGAGAACTGAAAGGCGGTGGTGAACCACAGTGAGCGACGAAAGGCGCACTGGTAGATATTTATGGTGACTGCGGAGCACAGCAAACGCAGCGCTGTTTCGCGTCAGTCACACGCTCAACACTAATCACAGGGTAAATACTTTGCTTAGGCAAGTAAAGATCCCTCTCCGACTAGCACGAGACTCGCACATGACTGCACACAACCCGGAAGCTTTGGTAGGCTGTGATCCCATTGCCTGCGGTCCCAAGATCAGTCCTGTATCCTACATCTGGACTCTAGTCATTATCCCCCTAGGACTTACGTGTGCCAGCTGCTAGATGGGTTCCAATATCATTCTACAACCAAGACCAGAATTCGCAAGATTGGAGCTGATCATTGTTGGAAGTTAAAAACTACCTTGAGGAACTCTTGTATGGCGCCGCTAGGTCGAACGGATAGCAAAGTACATTGTCCGAAATTCCTCCCAGCGCACAGTGGATGACAGAGAGAGTGAAGCAAATCGATACCGCTTTTTGAACGATTACTTGGACGGATTATTTCGCAAAAATTACCTAACAATCGTACAGTCTGGGTTCAAGGATCTTCGAGTGGAACGTTGTATCATTGGAGTCACTAAGCGTTGAAGCTTCTAGTACTGATATTCACTCCAAGAAGAAAGTAGTCATACTCCTCGGCGGCACACTGGCCAAGAACACTGACCCATTAACTCCATACGTCCCAACCATCGTATTGTTGTGCTCATTGTCTGCCAAGTACGCAGTCGCAATACCCAGAGCCAGTTCACATCCCTTGATACTTACCTCTACCTGCCTCTCAAAGTGCGCCTCATTAATAACAGGGATAGCCAGCGTACCGTTCGTGTTCTCGAATGCCGTTACTTTGAGATTTTCCGCAGGGCTGATCGCATCGATTCGAACCGATCCTGGGCGTGCGAAACGGAAGTAGCCGGCGAAGGCCCAGAGACGGCGAGATACTTCAAAGGTATCACCGTCCAGGCGGACGAGAATGGCATCGCTACCTGTAGTATTTCCCGGGTTGTCTTGCGCGCACCACCAGTGGAGATATCCGGAAGTGTCGCTATAGACAAAAGCTTGGTGCCTATTCATGTCGTTAACATCGACAAAATTTGAGCTTTGGATTAGATATATCACTTACATGTAGATGGCCCATTGTAGACCCTCTGCAAGCTGGCCCGTCGTATCCCAGGTCGTATTGAAGGAACCACTGCCGTCCGACCACTCGGTCTCCATGTTCGGCTGGCCTTGCGTATTGAAGGGGCGCTCCGGCATGCTTTGGTAGTTGTGCCATGTCGCTATATCGTACATCTTGCCGCCACCAGCTTGATCCAGCTCGTAGAGGAGATTGCGTTCTTGACGAGCACCGGTAGCATCGCAGCAGGAGACCTGCAAGTCTTCTCGATACTTCTTGACCGTCGGGTAGAGTATTTCTAGGAAGTCTGCAGCTTGGTAGCCGTCGGAATCCATGCTAGCGTAGGTGACGGGGTTGAAGTCCGGTTCGTTGTAGGCACCAATCAAGCTAACATTAATGCCCTTCTCCTCATAGAGCCTGACGTACTCGACGAGGTAGTCAGCATATGCCTGTCTCCAGTCATATGTACAGTTTGTTCCGCGCACACCGCAGATTAATCCGCCGTTGATGTCAGTGGCATCAGTCTTAAAACAACCTGGAGCGGACCAAGCGTCAGCGTATATAAAGAGATCCGGATTGGCGTTCAAAGCTTGTTGTGTGAGCTTGAGTTGGCAGCTGTCAGCTGTGGAATCGTTCGTTCCTAGGCCTGAATAGTTGGCAGGCGCTGAAGGGGTCGGCGGACAGCTACCAAGGATACCATCGGTAGGACTGGATCCCACTCGGTTGCGTAGAACGGAAAGACCTCCAATGTTTTCATTGAAAAGATAGTCGCTGACAAGTTGTTGGTTCGAGGGCGAGAGTCCTTGGGATCCGGTCTGATCACAGGCAACGCCAAAGGCTCCTGAGCAGCCACCTCCGATCATCGTTTGATGCCGGACAGCAGCATCTATGGTGACCTTTGCGGGGGGTTCATCCTGTGTGTATGCCCATGGCACGGGAACGTATTGAGCGCAAACTCCACTTGCATAAAGCAGTGGAAGTAGAGATGTGGCAGCCGTTTTCGTCATGTCTGCATCGATGTACCTCAATGCTTGGATCAAGTCCCGCCCGGTGACTACTCTTATGGAATTTCCATATCCTCCTAACTAACCTCCCCTAACACGAAACGAGACAGTCTTGTACGCGTTGCTATTGATGACGACACAATGATCGAGGCATACCTACTTTAACCAGAAGGTACGGATCTAGGGTAAATTCGCTACGGATACCACAGTTTCCAGCCCGTCGCTTTTGCAGAGTGACGTGAGGGTCCATCGGACGTTTGGACGTCAGCACTTGAATAGCGTTATGCGCTAGTCCAATATGTCGGAGAGGGTGGGGCTGAAGTCAAGCTTTGCGGGATGGTTAGCGGGGAAAGGCTTGGAGATATGCGTGGCTCGGCTGAACTACCAAAGACCATGGAGATATTAACCGGTGGACTTCTACCAGGAGCTCGGTACGATCGAAACAATCGGGATCCACGGTCGAGCGAGGATCATCTGCCAATAACAGGGTTATGATTGAATACTTGAAAACAACCATCATTGAGACGTCCGCGGGACCGTAAGACTACCGCGAGTACTGTTGCCTACCCGGCACTCCCAAAAAATGCACCCCTGTCTTGTCAATGTAGGTATTGTAGACTTTCGTCGAGGCAGTGCAATCATCTCAACGTAACTCTTATAACTTAGATTTGATGGGGGCAAACGTGCTCCCTTGTCCTCCCCCAAGAGCTTCAACAAGCTCATCAACCTTTTGCAGGACCCATGTACATCCTTCATCACTAACCAACCATCTGATACCCTCTTCTTCACCAGCTTCGGGCTCTTGTTTCCAAGTGCCATCTTCCCAAGCCTTCCGCAGTCCAAACACGTGGCTAAGCACTTGTGGTCCGACTCCTTGTTGTGCCCTCAAACATGTAATGGCAATGAGGCTAGTTGTTATGCGGCCCACGGTGGCTCCTTCTTTACGAGGAGGATCGGTGAACAGGCCGCCGTATTCGTTGTTGATGATGAAGACGGGTAGATCGGGGTGGGCATCGCCAAGCTTGTGTTCGAGTTTGGTCTCCAACGGACGGTAAATGGCGTCCCAGAGGGCGCGGCCGCGTTTGTTTATGTGTTCGATGTTGGAGGGATCTGGAAAGCGCGTAGGTTTTGTGTTCAATGAAGACGCGATTGACGAGGGGAGTTCGGCACGGAAGGCATTTAACATGTTGATCGTGCGCGGAATCTGTAACCCGTATAAGTACACGACCTCTTCTCAGCTAAGAGGTTGATTACTTACGCCATTGAAGCCTATGCACTTCAGACCGATTTCGCGCATAAACTCCGCGATGGCAACGCCTTCACTCTCTGGTCTGGAGTCACTCGAGCTGTTGTATAGGGCGATCATCGATTCAGGCGAGTTCATCGTCATGGTCGCGGCTGTGGAGATGCCTAGCCATGACGGTCGCCCCAGTTTGCGGTCTGTAGCCTCTTGCTCTATTCGTTTGTATACGGCCTGAATTCTCGGTGGCGCTGGTACGGGGCCTGGACGCGAATGCGCCGCGTTGATGAGCGACTTGAGTGTTGGCGATAGCTTCGACATGATGCGAATGCGCGGAACAAAGTGAGAGCAAGTAGCGAAAGAAAATCACTAGAAAAGCAGCTAATTCAATTTCGAATTCAACGCCAACATTAATGGGTATAAAGCTGTATTGCGCTGTTGTCAAGGCGGGAGTATTTAAACTCGACGAACATGCAATGACGCGAGTCCGACGCCGTTCCGAGGCTCCAAGTTCGGCAGTTCTTCAAGTTCCGGGCATCAGGCCACGCTATTGGTGGGGAAAGTGCCCAGGTGCAAGCCACATTGGCTGAGCCGCCAAGTCTTCAACATGTTAACAGTTCTCGCCCTATAACCACAGCCTTTAATTTCGGTATTTTCTATCTAGCTCATGAGCTCTAGTCTTGCACAATCCTCGAGCACGCGATTTGTCAATGTTCCTACCACCCTAATTGAGCAATCGACAACTGAAGAAGTCATAATCATAGTGACGATAACAGAGCTGCCTGATGACAACAATAGCATAGGCGAAGCAAATATATTCTCAGCTATATTGATAGACATAAAAAGGCAAGCTGTGGCGCTTGAGGGGACCATGTACATTTTCCATCGTACGAGGGTGCTCCAGACCCCGACAATCCGGCGATCAAACCACCAACCTCTTCCTCTTCAGTTACCTCCGCCAGAGATGGTAGCGTCAAAAGGCTCGGCAATAGAGACCTGGCCGGCAGCGGCTGTATCTTGCTTAATGTTGTTGTTGAGCTTCGTCATCTCCTCCGCAAGTTTGTCGGCGACGGAATCGTCGCCTTGGGCTTGTTGAGCTTGAAGCTTGATGACAGTGGCCATGAGCTTCAAGACCTTGTTCTTGATCTTTCCGTTCTGTCACACGGTTAGATATTGCCAGTTCTACAATCCCATAGAGTCACATACCTGGATCTGATCGGCTTCATCGCCGGTAGCAGCCTCCACTGCTGGGTTGAAAGCCTCCTTCTCCGCATCGTTTGCGACTTGATTAACTTCATTCAAGAAGGTAAGGTCTGCGGGGTCGATGTTTTCAGGGTTCTGTAGGTCCAGCGCTGAGAAGACTGCAGCAGCCTCGGCTTGCGCATTTCCAGCCTGTCCGCCCGCGATGGAGATGTCATTGTAAGTTGTGTCGGCAAGAACTGGTCCGCTTTGGCGGGCGACCACAGCGCGCTTGTTGGGTGTAGGTGCAGCGACGGAGAATGCGGCGAGCGACAGAATGGCGAAAGACTGGAAGTACATGATGAGAATGTATGGAGGGGTATTTAAGATAATAAAAAAGTAATCAGTAGGAACAGCACAGCTGATATGGGAGATAGAGAAGGCGAGAATTGAAGTCACAGCGTCAAGCCGGATATGTTTAGAAGTTAAAAGAGGATGGATGAAAACGCTTGATGATAGTAAGAAACTTAAGATGGAGGTTTGCAATGCGTTCTTATACATACAATCTGTGCAGCATTGTTGTAAGCTAGATACACCCCAAGCGAAATCTCCGATCCTGAGGTTTCGTTCATGCCGAGCTATCCCGCCTGAGCGCCTTTCAAGGCGCCATCTCATACACGACCTGGAGTATCAGGCTCTATGCGCAAAGCGCACGAGCGCCTCAAGTCGGCGGCCGTTGGAAGACTTCCCACGAGTAGGAGAATCTGGCCTGAAGTCACAAACGTTACGCGTCGCCAAACGATGGATCGCGCAATCCTGCATGGCCTGAGCTGGATGTTGTTCCTGAACGGCAAGGCTGTGAAACCCTCCGGATGTCAGAAGCTGCTACTGTGGCACCGCTGTGCATGATCTTGGCGAAAGCTTGGCCTGTGAGGTAACTGTCACAGTATCAAAAGCAGTCTGGCGCCCGCGATGCACGAGCAGTTTCTGGTGTTTGGAGAAGAGATGATTACTTATGTTAGCGTTTGAGTATGGTTCGTGATGTTGATAGGAACGGATGGTGTGGGGCAGTGTCAGATGGCTTCCGCTATTAGCGTGATTTGTGGATTACATAACATTGGCCAGAGGAACACGAGGTTTCTACGCTCCACCATCGCGTCCGCTCAGCATGGCGCCTCTCTTGCGCATACGCTCCTCGATCATCCTTTTGCTGTAACCCGTCGCATTTACGCCAGAGCTGGCGCTAAACAAGCTCTCAGCCTTGCCGTATACTGCTTCGGTGTACTCAGTGCTCGGCGCAGAGAAGTCCATGGTGAAGACACTAACACTAATACCGCCTCCAGCGACCACGAATGTCTCACCAGGCAGACTTGTATCGCCGTTGTACGCCGCATTGATTCCAGCAGCTAGAGGGTCGACGTTGTCCCACGTAAATAAGCCAGTCGTCTCGTTGTAAACTGCCACGTCCGTGTTGGCCTCGCCTGTGAGCCTGGTCTTGATCACCGGGGGCATGGTGCTATTGACAAGCTCGGGTATGTTGACGTTCACACCATAACCCAAAGGAAGAACCTTTTGCCCCTCTGGTGTGTTGTTGATGAACTCGTTCACTACTTCGAATGAGACTTTGGCCGCTAAAGCGGCGGGGTCCGAGGCACTTGTCACGTTGAAGTAAGGCACCGCCTTGTTACTCGCGCTCGTGGCAATTCCAGGGATGGAGCGCGACACAGCGGCAAACGTTGCGCCTACAGTTCCACTCAAGCCCATCACGAAGGAACCAAGGTCTGAATGTAGGTGTACAAAGTCAGTGTATGTCTCACATGCAGTTCGTACAGGGACACTTACTTGTTCCATAGTTCGGCCCGGCGACGAAGAGATCAGCTGTCTGGTGCCAGTCGGGGTAGTAACGTGGCAGCACGTAGTCGAGCGCCACAAAGGTACACGCAGCAGGTGTACCATCATAGTACCAGATGTTGTCATCATTTGGATCGCGGCCGACTGCTGGTGCGCCTGCAGGAATTATGTCGTACTGGGACGGGATCGTAAGGTTTGCCGACTCGGCCCAGATGACGGTGCTGCCCTTGCCCGACTGCTGTTGCGCTGGAGCGACGATAAGTACTGGCGAAGAGTTAGCATCGTGTGATATGCGTTCGGGGTTGATGAAAGACTATACCTTCGTGGCCCGCGTCAACTAGCAGCTTGTACAGCTCTCTCAGATTTCCACTGCCAAACCCGTCATCGTTACCCATGATGATTTTGAGTGCATCTGAGGACGAGGCAAGGCCCAGCGCCACTGCCAGCGCAGCATTTAGAGAAAGGCGCATCTTGAGTGATTGACAAGAGTGACAACGTGCAAGCCTTGAGATTCGCAGAAGCCGCGTACCAAGGTTCCTGGCGTATCATCAATATTGGAGAAGTCACACTTTATATACGCACTCACCGACCTGTTCCGGTTGAACCGATGCAAGCTTTCGCTTATGCCACATGCATACGACTGTACTGAATCAGGCATACACCTAGGCACCTTTAAAGATAGTCGCTGCAGGAACAGGAACAGGAAACAAGGACTTGGAATCCCCGATATCGCGTCGAACTCTCACTTGTGGTCAAGTCGCGTTCTGATTCGATGTCGATAAAGATACGCGGAACGCCTCGTGGCTGGCTAAGACAGATTGGGAAGGAGGTCACGCGAGCCAGGATAAGACGCAGGATGCATCGGAGTACGGCGATCGCGAAGACTCCTCAACATGATTTGAGAGAAATAGACTACGAGCTGATATTTACGGCATGGCAAACTCACGAAAACCTCATCAATACTGATAGAAAACGGGTAACACGACCCCTTACACGCTGAGTGAGTCGGAGCTGCTGCATATCCTTTTTGGAGTGCACCTAAGCTCTATGAAGCGACTGAGATAATGCTCGATGGAGTCACTCTGACGAATATGCAACTCATTCATTCGTGAGTGTAATGGTGACGATGAACTGTTTTCTATCCAGAGTAACCTCTACATGAACAGGTTGATGACCCCCAACCGATCGCATGAGATAACCATGCCGTATGGCTGCTCAATCAAGGCCACATCCAAGATACGGTCCACATGACTCTTGAGCAAATACTGCTGCTGCAACGCGATAGCACCAGATCTTGACGACTTGCCTGGTACCTTCTTTGCTGAAGTACTTGCCCTGCTGTCCCTTCCATTGCTCACCTGGTTAGCAGGCTGCTGTAATCTCTCTGTAACGACGACAGTATCCGGGCTTGGTTGCGAAGCGACATATGTTGGTTTACCCTCATCAAGTTCTAGGCCACTCACGACCATCGAGGATTCTGTTCGGCTAGTATCCCAATACCGGACTTTCCAGTCGGGACCTGCCGTGAGGAGGAATGTGTGTTTTGGCTCGCCTTTCTCGTCGGTGGCCTGTGTGTGAATTGCTAGTCCGCGAATACCACGATCAGCCGTCGAGCTAGCTGTCGGTTCGACGCTGGTAGAAAAGCGGCCAAGCATACCACCAGGCTTCTCTTCGTCAAGGTCAATGAGTGTAGTACTTTTGCTGCCGATGTCTTTGCACATTCCCGTACGATATACTTCTTTACAAATGTGCTTTTCAAAGTCCCATACTGTGACCTCTCCCTGATCGCTACCACCGGCAATGTACAATCGAGTCTTCTTCAACTTGGGGAAGAAAACTTGACAGAGACGGTGTATGGGTGATGCTCCGTGGCATACCCAAGCTTTGAGACGAAGCTTGAAGCGGAGATCCCAGAGATCGAGTACGCCGTGGGAAGTCCCTAGCAGCAGCCAGTGTGCTCTCTTATCCACACAGAAGCAAGTAGGTGTTCCATGATCCAAAGGATTATTAAGGGTGTACAGCAGTTCCATGGTTCTCAAGTCCAGCGCAATGACCTTTGAGGTGTTGGTGGCTAACAGAAGCACCGACCTATTATCTCCGTTGTAGTGTTCCGACCATACGGTAAAGTCGCCTTTAGGAAGCTGATATTCGCGAAGAAGTCGAGGTCTTCCAAACTTTGCATTGCCATCCTGACTCTGGATGTAGTCTACGCGTACCACGTGTACACTTCCATCGCTTCCCGTCGCGACAAAAGAGTAGGTCTGTTCTACAAACACCAAACTTGTGACCTTGACATCTTCACCCAATCTGTAAGTTTGTCGCGATCTCCGAGTAATGTTACGCTCGAGACGCGACGTGTCCCAGACCTTCACAGTACCGTCATCTGATCCGCTAATGAAGAAACTTTGGTCCGGCGATACAAGAATTCGAGTTACTGCAGCGGTATGCTCTCCGAAGCTAGCCACTAAGGTACCCTCCGGTCTCCATGGTATGCCGGCTGGCGACTGATGAGCATCTTTGTACCTGATGGGCTGTCGCCGAATCGGAGGTTGTATGCGAGGCCCAAACTCAATCTCATCTGTGGGGAAGCGCTCAAGGAGCATTGAATCTAGAAGCTTGAGGATTGCCGGATCGTTGCCTGTGTAGTTATGTGCGTTCCTAAATCGAATCCGCATTGGACTTCGTTCATGTCGGTCGATAGCGAGAGGGGAGTTTGGCGGTCGAGATCGTGAAGAATCTCGGACATGAGTACCATCGACCTTTCCGAAAACGTTTGCAGATGTCGTACCAATTTCCGCTAGGGCTTTGTTCTCTCCTTTGCCGAGCAGTCCCAACGCGCTACTGTGGTGTCGAAGGCCATTTGAGTAATCAGTCGAGCCGATAGAGTTTGATGGCGAAAGAGAAGGCTTCGTGATATGTAATGATCTTCGGCGCGTATCGGTCTCGGAAGGTGGCGAGCCTATACCAGAGTGTACATCGTTGGAGGAAGACGTTTTCGATCGTATCGGAATTGTTATGCCCCTCTCTTCGCGTATAAGTCGTCCCGCTTGACTTTCAAAATGAGGCATACGGTCAGCCAGCCCATTGGCCTCAGTAGTCGATGCATCCAATAGGGCGTCCTTGATCGTTCGAGGTTGCATGTGTTCCTCTGGAGCATTTGGTTTCCTGGTTTGTTCCATGACTTGACGGACGTCTTCATCGAAGAGCACAGTCTGGGCTTTGATGCCAAGATCGTGCAACAATACAACACTATTGAATTTCGTAGTTGGAGTAGAAAGGCTGTCAGAGCGGCGGCGATGGCTTACTCTCCAAATAAATTCCCGCAGGGCAATGAGTCTGAAATCATCCTCTGCTGTCATGCCTGCATTGCGAAGCTTTCGTAACCATAGCTCGTCTTCCTCGGTTTTTGATAGCCGCTGTAAAACCTTCTGGTCTAGTTCGCGCCCAGAGATCGTTGGAAGGCTATCACCTGATGACCCAAAGGTAAAGGTGTGCTGATGCCTGGCTGCAACCCAGAACTGTCCCTTATCGGACTGTAGCGCCCAATTTGAGGCCATCTCCAGGAGCAAACGTGACATGGGTAACTTCAAGGACTCCAAGATTCGTAGTTCGGAGAACTCTGAGGGTATAACTTTGAGATACGGTCGAATGAGGTTGACCAAGATGCTGTGCGTATCGGCCACTGATAAATACCTAGAGGCAGCTGAGATGAATTGTGCAGCTGCCTCTCGTATCCACAGATTAGGGTGCATTGTAAGTCGGGCAACAATGTCCACCAGTTCCCAAGTTTTCGAGCGCTGGAACAAGCCAAGCTCTGCCATGGATGAAAGCGCTCGAATGACCTTCTCAACTACAAACTCTTCCGGATCCGTCAAGGCCTGGACCATAAGCGGTAAAATGTAACCTTCCAAGCTAGCACCGCCCACGAATACGGCCACGCCGACAATTGCCTCAAAGAATGCACACTTGAGCATCCAATCTGGGTCGTTCAAGTACGTATTGAGATGACTGAGAACGACGTCATTGGCCCTAGGGCTGCCGAAGAACACGCAAAGGTCTGAAACAGATTTAAGCATGGCTCGGCGAACCGAAGCGTCGCTGTCAGTAAGAAGAGCTTTCGTATGTTTCTCGAACGCTTCCACAAGAATGCGACGATCCGAGTCGAACTGGTTCCGGTGAGCGGAGGAAGACATGTCGTCTTCCGTTTCGGGATCTGCAGTGGGTAGAGATCCCTCTGCGCGCAGAGCTTGGATCATGTCTAGATATCTAGCTGCAGTAGTTGCCAATGTGCCAATGCAAAAAGCATACTGCATACGAACAAGGGAACCAACGTTGGTAGGACTATCGGGAAGATATGCCTCTAGTCGTGGCAAAACATACTCTGGGAAAATGTAAGCGTTGATGGGAGAGACAACTTGCACCATGGCGAGAATTTGCGTCAACGTGCGTAGGGCCGCAATCTTGACCTGTTCAGACTTGTCGACTAGCAATTGGGCCACGTAGGGTATCACTCGGTCCAGTTTTGCTTCGTCTGTCAAGCGCTCTGAGAATGCCAGGAGTAATTCGAGGCCCCGAACGCGGGCCGAAGCTCTGGCTGTTCCCCGTAAACAGGACACAACGATCGTAAGAAAAACCAAATTGCCGTCATCGATGGCAAGACTGCGAGCAGGAGAAGCTTGATGCTGATAGTTGGGTATGTTGACAAAGAGCGGAAAGAGTTTGGCGTTTGGCTTTGGAGGAGAGAACTCTGGTCTAGTGAGCTCCTTTCCTTCCTCGTTGGAGAGTAAGTGCGAGATTTTGTCGTAGTCGCTGTATATTTGGTCTATGCGCTCATCAGGTTCCCCAAGATGTTCTGAACCAGTGGTTACGGGTTTGCGCCCTGAGGATGGGTCGGTGATTGAGTACATGTACTGCTGCAAGAAGCCATAGAAGTATGTTGGGAACACCTTGCCCTTCCAGTGCGTCATATAGTCTTCAGCAGTCATCCGCGAATTAGGGTCCAGCTGTATCATGTGCAAGATCAACTCGCGTACACTAGCATCCTGTATTTTGTTGAGATGGGAATGTTCGGGATTGTATTCGCCTTGTCGATATTTGAAGAGCTGACTCAGAGAGAAGATGGGTGCTTCCAGGAATAGTTCGGCAATGACACAGCCGACGCTAAAGATGTCCATGGCCCAATTGACATCGCCCTCGCCTTCAGGTTGCTGTCCAGCAGCTAGGAACCTCTCCGGTGCAAGGTAACAAGTGCGACGACCGGAAAGGTCGAAGTAGAAGGAGAAGTCGGCAGGGTTATCTTCCGGTAGATGTGCTGGCTTGTATGATGAGGAGAAGTCGGCGAGATACAGCCAGTTCCATGACGTGACAAGGACGTTTTCAGTTTTGATATCGCCATGATAAATGTTTCTTGCGTGACAATCTCGCACAGCGCAAAGAAGCTGGAATGATAGCCATTTCTTTTCAATCTCCTCCAAGAATGGACGCGTGCTGTACAATGTTGAGTGGCTGGCACAGGCGGCAAGATGACGCTCACTTACCTCAAACGATCGTACAGGGAGCTATGGATGTATTGGCGTACAAGATAACCGCAAGCTGCGGTCTCAATAACGCGGTGATATGGCACAGCATTTGGCACATCAGCAAGCACTTTGCGTTCATCTTGTAAATGTTAGCCATACAGCTGGAAGAAGATGATTGCTGCGCCAAACTCACGCAGTAGCCGTTTGACATGTTCTTGGAAGTCAAACTGTGCATATGGTTTCATCACCACTCGTGCTACAACAAGACCATCCTTGTGGCGTGCCCGTACAGCTTTCATGAACCGCGCGGCTCCCAGCGACTTTTCATACTGCAAATCGGCTAGCTCGGGTACGTCGATGTTGGCCGAACCAGCCGAAAGCGTAGTGAGGGAAAAACCCTGACCCATGATGGCGATGGATGTGCGAGTCCGGTGGTAGTGGTGGTGGTGCTAGAACGTCGAGCAATGCTGATGCGTCGCGACGAACATGTTGGAGGGTGCGATGCAGACCTTTCACTGTACACACGCGTCGTATGTGCTTTGCTGGATGGGGTCTTATCAGACGGAATCGCACGCGTAGCGTCTAGATGTGCGTTCGCGCGCGTCAGGTGCAGCATTCCAGGTCATCGTTCACCCATCGCGGCCGCCTTGGGACTAACACCAAAGCGGAAAGGTCACCCGCAGCCCACTTGATCTGGTGCATCGCAACACGTAACTATCGTCTCTCGGAACACACAATGGCGGAAAAGAAGGAGCACGTCGTCTTCTTCCACCCTGACCTGGGTATCGGCGGGGCTGAACGCTTGGTCATCGATGCCGCCGTTGGGCTCCAGAACCGCGGGCACAGGGTCACCATCTTCACATCGCACTGCGACCCGCAACACTGCTTCGATGAGGCGCGCGATGGTAAGCTTCTACTACAGCACCTCGGACCACCCACCGCTTATGCCTGGCCACACAGCTGAGACCTGACCCGTACCCAAAGGAACTCTCGACGTGCGAGTGCGCGGAAATTCCATCGTCCCCTCGACCATCCTCGGCCGCTTCGCGATATTATGTGCCATCCTGCGACAGGTGCACTTGATACTCCACATCGCCCTCTTCACCCAAGAACTTCCGACACTCGCGCCTTCCTCGTTCTTCGTCGACCAGCTGAGCGCTGGCATTCCGCTCCTGCGACTCCTACAGCCCCGCCCACGCGTCGTCTTCTACTGCCACTTTCCAGACAAGCTACTGGCGAAGAAGGGCGGATTACTAAAGACACTGTACCGTGGGCCTTTTGATTGGCTGGAGAGCTGGAGCACAGGATGCAGCGATACCATTGTCGTCAACAGCAATTTCACCAAGAGCATCTTTGGCGAGGCCTTCCCTAGCTTGAAACACCGCGAGCCAGGCGTTGTATATCCCTGTGTAGACATTCACGCAGGCGAGTCGGCCGAGGAAGTCACGCCACTATGGAAGAACAAAAAGGTGCTGCTCAGCATAAACCGCTTTGAGAAGAAGAAGGACGTAGCGCTTGCAATCAGAGCATTTGCGGGCTTGTCGCCCAAGGAGCGCGAGGATGCGCGTCTGGTGGTTGCAGGTGGTTATGATCCTAGAGTGGCCGAAAACGTCTCGACATATACCGAGCTATGTGAACTAGCAGATTCACTCAAGCTGAAGCACGCGACTGCCAAGACCGTCATCACTGCCCAGGCCATCCCTGACGATATCTCGGTTCTCTTCCTTCATTCCGTCCCGAATGCCTTCAAAGCCACGCTACTATCTACCTCCCGTCTCCTCGTGTACACCCCCTTACATGAGCACTTTGGCATCGTACCACTAGAAGCCATGCTAGTAGGCACACCGGTTCTAGCAGCCAACGAGGGCGGGCCCACCGAGACTGTCATAAGCGGACAGACAGGTTGGTTGCGAGACGTCACCAAGGTACAAGACTGGACCGAGGTCATGCGCATTGCGCTCGAAGATGGCGAAGGCGAGGAAAGACTAAAGGAGATGGGTAAGTGGGGTAGGGACAGAGTCGTGGCAGAGTTCTCCAAAGAGAAGTTGGCCGAGCGACTGGAGACGGAAATTCGCGGCATGATGCAGAAAAGCATTCGCCCGCCGCTGATTCCGTTTGCTGCAGTCATATTGGCTGTAGGCTTGATGGGTGCCCTGGCCGCTGTGAGCATGATACTAGCTCTGAAACGGTAGATTATCCACCACGAGCAGGAATGAACTATAACTACTTGCCGGTTCTGCTCCCTTATTCTATGAATGTTTAGTCAGCTGCACCTCTAGTAGCACAGTGAAGCAGGCACCGTCGCGAACTCAGCTTTATCAAGAACTCGTGCCAATGAACTTGAAAGCTGTAAACGGCATCAAATTATGTTTACTATTTCCTCACTAATATCACTACTTCTCCATCACTACTTCTCCATCACTACTTCTCCATCACTACTTCTCCATCACTACTTCTCCATCACTACTTCTTCATCACTACTTCATCACGGCCTTGACGCTGGGCACTTCATCGTCCTTCTCAAGAATGTCCGGTAAAGGCCCAATAGGCGTGATTTGAAATTTGTTGATCTGACCATGACTCTTGGTGTAGTGATTCTTGATGTGTTCAAAGTTGGTGGTGTCTTTGAAAGCGGGGTAGTCCTGTTTCACTCATGTCAGCACGATAGTCCCATATGGACATGAACATTCTGCGTGTTCGAAACGGAAGATATAACGGAAACAAACATACCCAGTACAGATGGCGCATCCACTTGTGGAGAAGAGGATATCCTGACCTAATATCACGAATGTTGCACTTGAAGTGCTGAACATAGACGGGGTCGAAGCGAATGATGGTTGTGAAGAGACGGACATCAGCCTCTGATACGTGTGGGCTTGAAAGGAGGTATGGAGTCGAAGACTTGGACAACGATTCCTCCAGGCGATCAAGAGACTTGAAGAGTTGTGTTACAGCTTTTGTGTATGCTTCTTCGGTGCTGTACCATCATTAGTATGTTGCAGTCACTGTCAAATGAAAAGAGTAGGGTAACATACGTAGCGAATCCCGACTTGTAAACACCGTTGTTGACCTCGTTATACACCCAGTCATTCATAGCCTCGATGTCCTTTTGTAGATCCTTGGGAAAGAGATCCACTTTCCTGTACTTCTCCTCGATGAGGTCGTCAAACTCGGTGTACAGCATCCTTATAATCTCCGCACTCTCATTGCTGACAATCTTCTTGGCTTTCTTATCGTACAGTGTAGGTACCGTGAACCGTCCCTCATAGTCTGGGTTCTGCTCAAAGTAAATGTCCCGCAGATGCGTGTATCCGTCGTGAATCGGGTCTGGTGTTGTGTTACCCGGTACCTTCTCGTCAGGAGTCGCGAACCGCCAGCCTTTCTCTGCCATGTGCCAGTGTACGCTGTTGTAGGAGATGATGTCTTCGAGCCCCTTTAGCTGACGGACGATGAGTGTGCGGTGGGCCCAAGGACAGGCGTAGGAAACATAGAGATGGTATCGTCCTTTCTCAGGTGGAAATTCGGCATCCGGTTTGTTATGAATCCAGTTCCTAAAGACGGAGGTTTGGCGTTTGAATTCACCGCTTTTGTCACCGGGTTTGACCTGTTGTCGTAATCAGTATGCTGGTACAGGGATTGCCTTTGATTCAATATCCCTCGAGCAGACTCAAAATCCCCGTTCATACAAGCCATCTATCTATAACTACTTACCCAGTCAGTGATCGATCCCTTCTCCTCCTTGCTATCCTGCTGAGGCGCTTTATCCATGGCTGCGCGGCTTGAAGTAACAGAGAACGGTCGCGTATGTCGTATTGTTATTGGAAAACGCTTCGGAATCGCTCTGAGTCGTAAAGCACGAGAGAACATAGATCAACAACCTGGAACTACACACGAAGGTGCTGGACTATATAGCTGTCATTGAAAGTTCGCAGCTATACCGCGGCGGAGACGTCATAGCTTCCTTTGGTTCCGATTTGGTGGGGCACGCGTTCCGAGAATGGAGTTTACTCAGCATTGGAAAGCTTGACTAACGTCTGCCGTGACAAAGCACTTAGTGATGATATGCCGCGTTACCTGTAGATACAAGCCGTCAGAGTCGGCGCGCTTCAAGAAGTTTAAACAAGCCTTTGAAACGAAAACAAAACAATCACGACGGTGGGATGACACTCCAGATTTGATGGGTATCTAACGCTTTTGCAAGTCCAACTGATATCTACATGCATACGAACTTGTCCAAGAAATCAATACGCCCGAGCCATGTTATACACAGCGACCCGCCCACAGACTTCATGCTGCCTACACAAACAAAAAATCCATCGTCGCGCATGTGCGCTTCAGAGCAGGGCGGCGCCGACGTTTCCTAACGTCTGTTTCGTCACGTCATCCCGTACCTTTCCCACCTTCTTGGCCGAGTCGAGAATAGCACCCTCAATGGCCTTGAGAGCCTCGACCAGCTCACGGCGCTGATCGCGGGGCGCACTGCGGCTGCCAGTCAGTTGCTGAGCCTTTTCCATGGTGCCAGCCTCCATTGTTCGTAGGTGTGCTTCAATCTCGCGGATCTGGCGCTGGTATACGTCCAGAGTACTGCCGAGCTCGTCGGTGCGGCGATTGAAGTAGCCCATCAGGTCGACAGGCTTGGTCGGATCGTCTTCGTCCAAAGCGCTAGCTGCAGGGGCTTTTGCGCTCGACGCTGTGAGGTTCGCATTATTGCGGTAATGAAATTGTGCCGGTAGTCGCTGGTTCTCAATGGCACGGAAGCTGAGAGTCGCGTCATCGGCGTCCTTCTTGACAAGACTTTTGAGGTGTGCAATGTTGGCGGAATCGTTGTCGAGGCCGACTTCGACGGTAGACAGGATGGTCTCGATGTATGCTACGTCGGGCGCAATGGTGGCGATGTCACCCTCACTGCCAGGAAGAGCCTCACGGATCTGGTTGCAGTAGTTGACCTTGCGCTGAATGCCCTCATCGAACTGCTGAATGAGGGTCTGCAGTTCGGGGTGCAGGTCGTTGAAGCGCGTAGTGCCTCGTATTGAGTCCAGAGTCATCTGAACTGGCTGTGTGCTTGAGCCCATTTGGGTTCCTCCTAATGTAGAGCCACCGAGTGTATTCGACCTGTTTTGTGTGTTGGTGCCGCCAAACAAACTGTTCTGCTGTTGTGGCTGAGCTTGCTGTTGGGTCGAGCCGAAGAGTGAAGGGGCGGATGTTTGGTTTTGCTGAGTGGAGGTGTTGTTTCCGAATAAAGAGGGTGTTGTTGTCTGCTGTGTTGAAGAAGCGCTAGGACATGCAGTTAGCCTTTGTGTCACCGCCAATGTTCGTCTTCACCTACAATAGCGATGGCTTCGACTGGGCGCCTCCGAAGAGTCCACCGGCTTGGGATGGGTTCTGGGTCTGATTTTGGGTGTTCGCGCCAGATGCGCCGCCAAACAGGCCTCCGCTTTGCGGTTGTGCGGACTGTGCGGTAGATGAGCCAAAAAGTCCTCCGCTCGCAGGCGCTGTCGTCGCAGGCTTGTTCAGGTTGCCAAAGAGACCGCCGCCTGAAGGTTGGGAAGTCTGGGGTTGGCCGCCGAAGAGCGATCCTGACTGTGCTTGTTGTGGTTGCTGTGCAGCCCCAAAGAGCCCTCCACTGCTCTGGGGCTGGCTTGCCTGTTGTCCTTGGTTCGCATTGTTTCCACTGAGATGGTTAGTACACTCCATCCACACGTCGCCATTGCCAGTTGAACTGCGATGCGCGCACCAAGCACGGCAGTAGCACTGGTAGGTGCCGATTAAGAGCATTCAATGGAGGAATGCGGGGATACATACAAAAGACCGCCACCAGTATTGATACTCAACGAATTCGAGCGCCCAAAGCCTGCCATCCTGTCTGATCTTCCTTAGTTCTCTTCAGTCGCTTCGCTGTGTGTATGCAATCGCTCGCAAAAGATCCGCAAGAACAAAGTGGCAAGAGCGAGCCAGGGTTTCCAGCTAAGAAACTCGCAGAGGCTATAGCTTGGGTTGCGAACGAAAGCGTGTGGAAATGCGCGTACTTGACGGTGCAGAAGTCGAGTTCGTAGGTGATTGAGAACGTCTGCGTCTGTTTGGCTGCGCGCCAGGAACAGCACAGGCCCAAACGCGTCCATTCTACTCGGCTAATCATTCCCTCATGGAGCAACTCAAAGAAGCTCAGGTTCATTACCAGCCGCATCACTACAAGAAACGTCTATAGTACTAATCCTACGCCCGTTTCCACTCTCAACAGCAAACATCAACGACAGTCTAAATAGCGAGTTGCACAAGCGCGTTCGAATACTCCAGCACTCGAAAGAGCTGGATACACAATAGTTCCCTGCAAGCTCCCATTTGCTGGGGACGCGCCCTGCGACTGGTGGACCGAAGAGGACTGCACAATGGCAGACGAATCTGACGATGATCTCTACGGAGACGAGACTACCACGCAACAAAACAAGGATGCGAAGAAAGAGGAGGACGTCTCTAGTGGTGACGAGCCAATGGACGAAGAATCGAACGATGAAGAGGACGACAGCGACTCGGTACGCCGCACAGGAAGCTTGAGAATAGCTTGATGTCGTTCTAACAAAACTGCAGGATATTGACATCATTATCGAGAAGGCACCAGCACCCCCCAAACCTGCAGCGTAAGCTTCTATCAAGCTTCAAATATCTGTACATCCACTAACATGCCCATCCAGCGCGCAAGCACCCCAAGAATCCAAAGCCATCAAGATAGAAGCACCACCTGCCTTGTCCACCACCCCCTCGCAACAGGCGCCTCCAAAAACTGTTTCCACTACCGGCGGCACTGTGCCCCAACTCTCCGCCTCAGCCCTCTCAGGCACTGCCTTCCCTGCGCAACGCACCTCTACTATCGACGTGAACGGGAACCCTGTCTACCCTCCCCAAGGCAAAGAGATTCTTAGTGTAGACATCGATGCTGATCTGGCTGAGGAGCAAAAGATCTGGCGCCGACCAGGCGAAGACCAGTCGGATTACTTCAACTATGGTTTCGACGAGTTTACCTGGGAATTGTATCGACAAAGGCAAGTCAGTATGGCGAACACGTTGCAAGGACAGAAGAACGACATGGCACAGATGCAGGCTATGATGGGCGGTGGGCCGATGCCGGGTATGCCTGGTATGAGCGCTGGTCCACAGGGCAGCGGCGGACCAGGCAGTGCACCGCCAACAGGTCCTGGAGGAGGAGGAGGTGGTGGTGGTGGCGGTGGTGGCATGGGACCTGGAGGTATGAATGAACAGCAAATGCAGATGATGATGCAGGATATGATGGCACAGGGTATGGACCCCAGCCAAATGGACTTTGCATCATTCATGCAGATGGCAGGCCAGGGTATGGGTGGCTTCGGCGGTGGACCCGGAGGGCAACAAGGCGGGGGCTTCCAGCAAGGTCATCAAGGTGGTGGTGGCAGAGGTGGACGCGGTGGTAGAGGAAGGGGGTGGTAGCACCGAGAGCATCATTCCATGTCTGATCTGGACGACAGCATGGGATAGGGTCGAGTTTTGATGGTGCATGGCATCACGGCGTTCTGAGTGTACTACTACGATACCATGGGTGGGAAAAGCCTTATGGCGCAAAGCAGTCTGTTTTAATTCATACAGATCAATCTACTTCCAGCTCGAACGCTTCAGTACATACGCCTCTGTGTCTGTCGTGGAGTCACCAGGTCTTCGCTTGGACATTGCACGCTGGCGCGCGCTCCTTGGAAGCCTCATGCAGTGCAAACCCAAACCCAAACCCTCCCGTGCGTCACGATGCTCGTGCGCCTCCTTGTTCCCCTATAGGCGTGGGATCTCGCACAGTCGTGGGCTGCACTGTCCGCCTGATTGCACATGTTTCCGTCCTAGTCCAGACTCTCAAACGACATAGTCACTAAGTCTCCATGGGTTCCCCGCCTTCGAGGATATATGCTGGTATCCGTCCTTCAGCAAAGTCCTTCTCCAGCCTCGCCATCTCCGCCAGACTGCTTGCGTTGAGGATGGCAGCCCGCATGCGCTTCTTCTCCTCGTCGGTGTAGATGCGCTCTTTGCCCGACTCGGCACCGTTTGTGAATGTAGGAACGACGAAGCCTTTGGACTTGTTGCTTGAGATCTGGCAGAATCAGTATCCGATCGGAGGAAGAGGCAGTGTATAGGACGTACTTGGTTTGCGAGCTCGGAAGGCTCCTCTGTAGTTCCAAAAAGCTCCTTGGCCTTGTTTCGCTCAACATCGCGCACCTTGACAAAGTCTAGGAATCGCACAGTCGGACAGCGCCAGATAATCCAATACCGGTAATTCTATACGAAGTTAGCATACTGCACATGTTGGTCTTCCATCATGCGATCTCGAGCCGGCCAAACCGCAATGAGTGGCTCACCCTGCATCATCTCTGCTTCTCGGGCTCAAGTGTGCTTGCACAATTAGGCTCGAAGACTTATGGTTCAAGAAGGTCTGGTACGTACCTCTTTGCTTGTGACTGGATTCCCCATCAATGACAGATACACCAGATGCTTGAACCCCGCCAGCGGGTCCAGGTCCGCCAGCTCTGCAATCCTGTTCTTGGTGAGGACCAGTGTCCGGAGGTTGGGTATGCTCGAGGAGAGGTTCGGTTGGATGTTAGAGATGCGGTTTTGCGCGAGCAAGAGGGTTCGGAGACGAGGCTGGAGGGGGAAGTTGCCGAGTTGTGCGATGTCGTTGTCGGTAAGATCTATAGCATCGTTGTCCTGTAATCTTGTCAACATAATGATCCATGGTGAGCGGGATTGACTAACTCACTCTCGCTGCTCCCATGTTCTCAATGGCGGAAATCTTGTGACCTATATTATACGATATTGATATCAACTCAGCTCTCAAGTGTAGTATCTGTTCTCTTCAACGCACCTCGCAGATCGAGTTCACGCTCCGTGAGACAGTTGATGAAGGAGAGGGAATTGTTGATCAGGTCTGTCGTTAACCTCATATTAGCGGTTGATTTTCGTTGGTTTCCAGTGATTTCCAGTTGCGAGGGCGATAACAGAGGTATTCAGCGAGCTAGGGTATCGTCTGCTCTTTTGCGCGGGGTTGCGAAAGTTGGTCGCGAAGCTGGAGCTTCTACTGAAATTCATAGAGCGCCAAGAAGGTTCCCACTAGCGCGACTTCCAGCTCCTTGTCACTTTCAAACATCGCCGTTCAACCCCGCTCCGCCATATCGGAAATCATACTCATTACATACTCGCAGAATCCATCATAGTAGACTCTAAGAATTCAAAAGCCACCGCGGTGAAATGCAATGCATCTACAGTTTCTGTAAATCCAACATCATTTCTCTAGAGTACGCCTGACGTTGTTGCGTCGAATTTAATACATCACTTTCTTCCACATGCTAGTCTTTTGCTAAATTCAGAGATGCTGCTCATAGCATGGTTCGGCTTATGCAGCTTCGGTCTGAGTTAACCATGCTCACTAAAGTGTGCATGATATCGGTCACACATCGACATTTCTCACAAGGCTGGACTCGAAAAGCCAATAGCCACACTGCCTGATTCTCATATCCCAGCAGACCGGTGAAGCGCCAAATAGCCTCTCTCGAGTTCCTCATGATAGATATACATTCTCCGTTTCTTCTTCATTGGCTCTCCAATGCCGTGCAATCTGCGATTGGGTCGCTACTATCCGGTGAACGCTGCAAGCCATCAGGACCACTCGTGTATGCAGTCTGGCGTGTTCTGTTGCAGGTCGACATAAAGTATAATACTGACAGTTCGGCGCTTTCGAACTGTTTTTCGATTCAATCCTGCCTTGTCACATCTCAAGTCGACTCAATATGCCAGCCTGTAACATATGTGGCGTAAGGATCAGAGGTCTCGGTAGTCGATGCGCGCAACACCGTTATACCAGCCGTAGATACGACGAATATAATTACAGTAGTGACTCGACAGATCCTCGCAGCACCTACCACCGCACCGGCACCGGCACTCGTGCCCGTCACGCTCACTTCGCAGACAACCAGGACATATACGGACAATACGATACGAACAACGCTCTCGTACGGTACAGAACCCACGGGAATGCACACCACTCCATATCCCATCCCAATGAGCTAGCCAAACCTCTCGTCCATGTTTTCGATAGATTTAGCAACACCCACGCCATCGCATCTGTACAATACTCTGCGAATCCTTCCTCCGGCGATTATTCCCTCTCGGCACAGGCAAATCTCGATCGCGAACAATGTACCAACTGCCTTCAATGGTTCCCAGATCGTCTCAAGCTACAGTACCATCAACAAGAGTTCCCTGTCGAGTGCGAGCAGTGCAACGTATGTTTGAGGGGAGACAACATAGCATATCATGCGACAAACGTTGAACATGACCGATGTTTTGTGAGGACATGTGGGAGTGATTATAGGAGGTTGGGCAACTGGAAGCATCGTTACGTTGAGAGACATGTACTGGCGAGGCATTACTAAAGGAACACAAGAACAGACCTGGCGATGGGTTGAAATGGTTCATTTCAGCAGGATGTATACTGTGCTTACGAATTCATGACTAGGATGACGATTAGATATGGTCGGGGCACCTGTTTTTCAGTTGCCCCATGTACTTCACTTGTATTTTGAGTCAGCGGTTGCGTCATGATTTTACATTCCACAAAGTCAATACAGCGACTTTTTCAACCTTGAATAGCTGGAAGTACGACTAGTGAAGCTTGTGTGACTTGGGCAGCCACACAATGTCATAAGGCAATAGCTTTCCATATCGCTGATGCTGGCTCAACCTTACGTGACTTCTCTGTCCGAAGTGAGGTCGATGTAATGGATGGATTGAAACAATATGGCAATTGTAGCCTCAACACAGTCGTTGATTCGCCGAACAATCAGCAAAGCCTCCAGGCACAATCTACCTTCTGTGTAAATTGTGTCGCTTGGTCCTGATTATGTCTGTGGATAAACAGAGGACTGAAGAATGGAATATATTGATTGCATGCGAATGAGATTGTGACGTCTTATTGATGGCAACTGTTACCCTCGAAGATTCTTCGCCTGCTAGTATACTCCTAGATCGCAGGCAATGTGACTACTGTCTGTTGCGGAGATGTGCTTGGGTGCAACTCAACAAGTACACGATGCTCCACAAGATAATAGGAGAAACATCTAGCATGGACATGTAGTACTATATTCTGCAAGATGCGCCATGTGTTGAGAGAGGAAGAGATCGACGTGTGTTGGTGTTTCCGGGCTAAAGCTGAGGCGAGACTCCGAATCTCCTTCTACTGCTGGAAGTCGTCGCCGGTATCGGGTGACGATCCTGGAGTCCGTCCTTGGTATAAACTGATGCATAGTGAGGCGATCTAGGGAAGACTGATGCATCTTATTCCAACGAAGTCATACCGAGCGTCTAACGCGCAAACAGAGGCATCTCGCGGAGTGTGTTCATGTCTTGGATGCCACCGCAGCGCTTCTAGTCCTAAGTTGGTGTTATCACGACGTGTATAGGCAGGCTGTGGCAGATGCTATTGAGATATGCTTTGCCGGCTGAGCTTTCCACAATGCACTTCTACATGGACTGACACGGTTACAGGATTGCGATAAGTACCCGTTGGTTTACCCAGTAATTGCAGTGTTGATAGTGATTTATGGTTTGCTGGGCAATGTGATTCATCCAATAGAAGAGCAAAGCGAGTCCCTTCCGCCTGGGCTGATAGGCACTCGCAGGAATGGTCAGATGCAGAGCAAGTTGTTGATATCGAAAGTGCGGGTTGGCGCGCGTCAGCCTGTTGAAGAGAGCCGGGGGATTGCACACCAGAACGGTTTGGAAAGACGTGCATGCGATGGTCTGGGGTACCCCGGAAGATCCGCAGCCGTAGTCGTTGATGACTGACGGCTGGACATATCGCATGATGATGAGAGAAGGGCAATGGAGCACTGTCAATGATGAAGCCTATCACCATGTTGCAAAAGCGAATCTCCGTCCCACTTGGAAGACGTGTGATGATGAGAATTCTTGGGTGGAGACATGGTGGAGGGGTGACGTGCAGCTGTGATGTGCGTCGTGGGTCGATCTTGTTCACGATAGTCGGGAGTCGTCTCACCGCCCTTCTATAACTAAGCAACAACCGGCGTCGACTAAACCCAAACACTAGCAGCGAATCCACTACGTTACAGCGCGCTCCCCTCACTAACGCACGCGACACGCTTCCTCTCTCTCTGTTGTTGAAGCACCCCGCTGCTGAGGCCTGTCTGCGACTGCTGCCTCAAGTACCGTGCACAAAGGCACCTTGTGACGCCATTACCTTGACCTCAGCAGTCCGCACTCGCCTGCCTTCACCCGCTCGCAAAGGACCAGCTCTCCCTTACCCCACGTAGGACCCCCCCAGCAGCAATAGGCGCCTCTGACGGCCATGGGTCAACCAGCACGTCGCACTGCTCGAGCCCGCCAAACCCACGACGCCTCTCTCGCCCACTGCTAAGACGACGGGCGCGCTTCCATGGAGGAATGCGCCCACTGCCAGACATGATCGGACACCTGTTTAGCAGCCGAAAAGGCACCAGCGCGTCTCACGCGACGCCGCCGACGGTGCTCGACTCGGCGACGGAAGAGAGCCACACGCGCCATCTGCTGTATCCCGAATCCAACACGCTCTACCACCCCGAGGGCCAGCCGTATCCTCTGCATGCCGCGCCTCTGACCCCAGGGAGCGGCCATGACGGGCCCCTGCCGGAGATAGACCTCGACTACCCGCGCGACTGCCGCATCATCATCGCCCAGGACGAGACGCCCGCCATGCCCAAGACCATCCTGTTCGACTCGAAGCCTGCCCCGCCACGCGTCGACCCTCCCGCCTCGCAGAATCTGCGGACGCGACCATTTGGCGGCGCCAATGCCAGTAATGCCCCTACGGCTGGGCCAACGTTTGGGGGGTTGCACGCCCGGAGGTCGTCGCTCGTCACAGAGCCCACGGCACCACCACGTTCGCCCACGGTTGGAGGCTTTACGCGCATACGCACCCGCGGCAGCTCCATATCCTCCATGCCCAACATCGACGAGCATGCCCAGGTTCAGGCCAAAGCCCAGGCAAGGGCCAAGGAATCAACCGACCTGGCCAACATCTGCCTCGATTGTATGTTCGGCAACCTGGCCATGAACTACCGCGGCAACTCGAACAAGATACACATTGTACCGCTCGACACGAGGCCAGCCGATACCTCTCTACTGAGCACCAGCGCCCAGGACGCTACAAACTCTCTAGGTCGCGCCGAGGGCCTTCGTAGAAGAAGTCATCTCGCCAAATCCTACACACCCGCAAACCTTCCAACCGATCTGCCCCGCGCTGACTCCAATGAGAGCATACCAAAAGAGCCCAAGCGACGTACCATCTTCATAACACGCATGTTCTCCGTCACTGTACCAGAAGAGGAGCACCATGATCGCACACCTACCCCGCAGAGCTCACTGCCAAAAGGCAATGGCTTCCCGTTCCCAGCATCAACCGCGAAACCAGGTGCCCCCAAGCCGCCATACCCCTCGCACGTACGAAAGAGCCCCATGTATGCCATTACCATCATCCTCCACCTTCCCATATCAAATACGTCGCCTAGTATGAGACCCTCTTCCCGGAGTGCCAATATCAGAACTCCTGTGCATCTATCTACATCGGCTCCTGGACAGGACTCGCTCGGTTCTTCTCTGGACTCGGATCGACGCGCAGGATGGGCCTTCATCGACTCCAACCTGGGTGTCGATTCACTTTTATCCTCGTCACTGTGTAGCGATGTTGATGACCGTGTTGATGTCGTTGGGCAACACTGGGACGTCATCATGCGTGCCCTTAGTAGTCTCCAACACGTGGTACAAGAGAGAATATTGGCCCAATTCAAGGCACCGAGGTCGCCAGAAGGCATACCCACGCCTACAGCCCATCACCAGCGAAATCAGCCTTCACGGGCTAGTCTCCGGGACAACCCTCTCCACGCCAGCCGGCGAGCCCTAAGACTGCAGCCCAACGCCCTCATGATGGACAAAGAAATACAGAGTGCGGCAGAGCTGACCGGAAATCGCGTCGTGAGCGGCATGAGAATCCCGCGTGTGATGACAGGTCAAGGCAAATGGGGTGTCTGGCGCGAAGAGGCCAGATGGCTTGGTCGCTGGGCAGGTCGACGAGAGCAGAACTTTTTCTTCTTCAACCTACTTACTGCCTTCCTCGGGAATCACACCGAGTGGCTCAACGTCTTGGGGCCCAAGTGGCACCGTAAGCGTCATCGCGAACAGCAAAAGGCAGCTGCTGGTGAGAATCTGACTATTCCTAGTCGCACGGTCATCGTTTCTCCAGACAAAATGGCTGCACGGAGACTCATTTTCTTGCTCGCTGCCTTCTTGCCGCCTAATGCGTCTGCCATGGGTGAAAGCACCTACGCGCGCCCGGGCACTTCAGCATCTCTCCGTGCCTACTCGCAGTCACCTCCGACCAATATGCCACCCTCAAGGCAGCCGTCTCTACGGCGACAGATCAAACGAGGACCACGGGGCAAGCAAAGCATGTCCAATATCCTTTTGCAGCCACCCAAACTCCAGAGCATTCATCAGCCATCCACACAGACTGCAGACGAGCGTTCTGAGTCGGTCTTGATTGAGACTCAGGAGCCAATCCGGCCGCTTGGACACTCTCGGCGTTCTTCGGCACATTCAGTTCGCACCACTTTAGTAGTCCCATCAATGCCAGAAGGCCCGATCACAACAGGCAGCGCTGCTACTACCTCAACAGCCAACTCCCAAGATGCGATGCCTGTCGCTCACTTCACATTCCCTAGGACGAAGTCGTCTGGTACCATGCCTGATATAAGACCTGAAAGTAGTGATAGCCTGGCTTCCACGAATTTGATCAGCACCCTGCAAAGGAGTGGCACGGGTCAAACGAGTCTCGCTAGCAATGATTCTAGTAACACAAGTCGCTGGAGTGGCTTCATGAACTTTTGGAGCGGCCGTCGTTCTTCTTCGACCGATCAGAGTGAGTACTTCCAGACGACGGATGATGGCGTGGGCTACCGTGGGCAAGAGCGTCCTCGTTCGCAGCTTGAGCAGATGGTGCAGGAGCTCTCCATGGACCGCGTATTCGAGAGTGATGCTGCCGATTGCCCACTTCCACAAGATCCAGGCGAGAAAACCTCTCCTGGACTGTACTCGAACGCTGGCTGTCCTGGCGTTCCTGCGTCTGCTGCAAGGCCAATTCCAGAGCGTCAGAAGACTTATGAGAGTCATTTGAAATTATCTGTGAACGAAAAGGATGGCGTCATCGACGTCGACCTTCCATTGCCTGACTTCGACTCACCTCTTCAGTCCCCACTGCTAGGGGGTTTCGGGTCAGCTTCAAGTCAACCAGGTTCCAGCTTCGGCGAGTCTTCCGTTCTATCGGCGCCCCACTGTGAGGCAGAGCAGCCCGTTAATGTAGCGGGGTGGCTAAGTCAGTTTCATCCCGATTTTGCCGTTCAAGCTATAAAGCCTTATCGCGAACTTGTACGCGACATCAAGCGAGCAATGAGTGCTGAGCCTACACCTTTAAGTACTGTGACTACACCGAGCCTAGAGTCTGGCCCACTTGAACGTTGGATGGACATCTGTTCCGCTCTCATCGCCGACACGAGCAACTTCTCAATCAAACGCATCAGCTTACGGCGTCTCGTGAAGCTTATTCCTACGCCTACCTACCAGTCCTCGGCTATGACACCGGGTGTTACTGGTATGGCTCCCGCCCACTCGCGGTACGGCAATCCGTACACTTCCGGCTCCGCTGCCCCAATGATGACCGAAGTCCATCTCGCCGAGAAATTCGTTACCGAAACCATTATGGATTTTGATTCTATCCTCATCGATGGCGTGGATCGTGTACTGGCGCAATCTGGAGAAGTGACTCGCGTCAACTCTGCCCAGTCGTCTCGATCAAGCAGTAGAAGAGGCCGTCGAGATACCAGAACGGAATCGGAGGCAATTCCACATGTTGAAGTCCCGCATGTGGATTGCAAGAGTGTGCTCTTTGAAGCGCTGGAGATTGTCGTCAAAGATGTGGCCGCTGAGCGCAGTGGTAGACAAAACTCTAAAGAGGGTGATTTGAGGAAGACGACAAAGGGTATTCACCCGAGGACCGAGAATGACTCCTCTCTGAAGGAGGGTATTCGTAGATGGTTAACAGAGGTCGAGTAAACTCGGTAAGCTATTTTTGCTCTACCCTTTTTTCGCAGCAACTTGAACTTCTGTCATGCATGTATTATATCTTTCAAGTGTGTATTCTGTGGACTTTGCTGCGTTTGAGCGGGCGTTCGGGTGTTTCCAAAGCAAGGTATGACCTTTGTGTCAAAGATGTAGTGTGGACTTTTGCTGTGATGCCGACTGGAGCCGCATCATTGAATTAGGGACATGGTGTTGAAGCAAGTCGTGGGCAACATGTTCGACAGCGCTCCGGCGGAGAAGCGTAGACTTCTGATCATAGCCTAATTTCAATTCTTTGCTGATACGATGTGGGGAGAGGAGGGTGCAATAATAGAATCATCAAATATTCCAAACCTTCTTATATTCCAAACCTTCTTATATTCCAAACCCACTTCAGCTCCCAGGTGGATACCCTGGTCGCAATAGTGTCTCGACAACGGTTTATGTAAGGAAGCGCAGTGTACTCAGTCAATATCAGGTTCCCTCACTATCTAGCATGGACAGAGTACCAAATGGTCATTGACTAAACACAAGATGGATATGTCTGTAACCCTATCGATCCTAGCAATGTCGTGAACAGTCTACTCTTTAGATGTGGCCTTCCACACGAACATCAAACACACAATGCACAACTCCCGGAGCGTACATCTTCACTCTCTCAACATGGGTCACGGATACCTTTCTCCCAGGTACGCTATCCGTCGCGTATACCAACTCCTGAAATCTCATCTCTAATTTCTTTTGCATCGTCTCGACATCTTTGGCGCCTACGTTTTCGTGCACGTGAATCCAGCCTCCTCGCTTTCTATCAAGCATAGCGACTGCAACACGCCAGGAGAGTTTGGAAGAAGGCAGTAAACCAAGATTGATATGCCGAACCGGTAGCCTTGGCGACGGAAGTGACGAGTAGTCGAGATCAGCGCCCTCGTTGCTTTTTTGAAAGACGATGAAATCTGCGCTGCGGAGGTTCGAGGTGTCTACCGGGCCCATTTGTCGTAGTCGTATCATGTCTTCTTGTTTAAGTACTCGGCATGTCCACCCATTCATCTCTGCACCTCTTCGCAGCCCTTCAACACTCCAGGGATTGATCTCCCAGCATAGGACTTGTTTGATGCCTTTCTCTAACCCTTCACCACTCCTCCTGTACGAGAAGGCGAAGTAGCCAATTCCAGCGTAGAGGTCAACAGCCGCCGATGTACCGTCAAGACCGGTGGTGACAGAAGGCAGATTTAAGATACGCTTCTTCTCACGGATGTTGCCACGGCTGAACATTGTATAAAGTGGTGCCCAGGTTTGCCAGATACCATTCTGTCGTGTAGTCACCCATATAGCCTTGGCGAAGTCGGTTGCGGTGGGTGTAGAGATTGTTTGTGGCGTTCGTGTATTCCCAAAGTCTCCGTATAGGGGGGTAAGATTGACTGGACTGCGAAGTATGTTTTCTTTGTCGGCCGTGTTGGGTGATGATGCCGACGTGGATGAAGTTGAAAGTGGTATGGGAGAATTGATGGCGACATGAGTTGCGCCTACTGCTTCTGCCATGACCTGCCATACTGATCTCATCTTAATCGAGTCTACCTTATGTGAAGCAATGAGCCTCTTCCAAGGTGCGGAGGAGAGGGCATTGTGTGGTAAGAGGAGCATAGGCTTGTATACTGAATATCCATCTGGGAAAGCGGACACAAGGGCGTCGACTGTGAGGGCATTGGAAGAGAGTGACATGCCTAGAACAGCAGTAAGAGCTTCCTTCAACGCTTTGTGAATCGGATTCTTGTGCACTCGTTGTAGGGGCGAGGTCGTTACCGGGACGTGGTGTGTAAACGAGATATCACCAGATAGCGCGCTCAGAGAAAGATCATGTAATACTCTAAGTTTCAAATCGTTGTCATGTTCTTGATCCAGGGTTATGGCTGATCCGTCCACCTGCAGGCGATAAGGGATGGTTGTGGGAATATACATGCGCTGCTGTCCCGTCCTTTGACCATCTCTTTTTCCGCTACCACGAGCAACTTTAGCTGTGTGGCTAGAACCTTGGTGTGCTGCTACTTGGTCTTCGTGATGAACTCTGTCTTGAAGACATTCTGGGTAGACACATTGACCGCTGGTTGCATCGAACTGGAGCGTTGGGAATTGTGTCTGTTGTTCGGAGCTTGGTGGTGCCTGCATGGCTTCTGGCGTAATCACGGGTGTGCCTGTTGCGGATTGGACACACTCAGGGCGATCAGCATCGTGCCTCGATACAATGAGGCTATCGAGAATACTCTGTCCTTCTTTATTCCGTGACTCGGGAGTGATCTTGTGGCTCCGGTCAAGCTGGCCGGTCCGTTCGAGCGCTTGCTTTACGGTCTTGACGTACTGTTCGCATACCACGAGAGTAATTCTTGAGTTTGAAAATTGCTCCATGTTTTTTGGACACTGCAAGGTGAGTGAGTAGGAGTCGACAGAAACGGGCGGGAGATGGAAGCGTGTAGACGGAGCATTGTATAGATTTTGTTCAATATTGCTAGCTTCACGCAACTGTACACCAGTATAATACGCGTTCTGCGACTCCAAACCAAGTGACGTAGTTGCGCCTGGTTGATCCGTCAGACTACTCTAATCAGTAAACAAGCTATGAATGAGAAGGCATGTTACCATAAATGAGGAAGTAAGCTCGAAATAGTCGTTGCCAATTCAGCACCCCGCCCCCACCAGTTCGGAGGTAAGTAAGCATATGACGCAACTCGTGGAACACCCACCCTCTTTCACACGGAAACCCAACACACATCACATTATCACCCACGATGGCGCTCACAAATCTCGACCTCGTTAACCAATGCGATGGCTTCCCGTATCCTGACGTAAACTCCGAGACGTACCTTGCATCGATAAACACTTACTACCAATTGCGCGTCACAGGCTACAACTATGCACTGGGTTACATGCTCCCATCGGTTGTCGAGGTGTTCCGCGGGGTACCCAGCTGGGAAATCGACGACGATGCTCGCGTTCTTTACCTCACCGGCGGTTCCAACGCAGATGAGCGATCGAAAGCGGTAGAAACGACGCTATTGGCTATGCGACAAACGGGTCACTTCAAGGTTCTGGAAAAATGGCGAGGAGAACTATATGCCGTGTACGGGCTCGGCAAAGAATTGTTGTTCAATGTGGAGAGGAGTGCCAGCTGCCTGTTTGGCGTGGTCACGTATGGGGTGCATCTCACAGCGTTCACACGGAAAGATGGGGAGTTGAAAATCTGGACACCGAGACGGGCCCGTAACAAGCAGACGTACGGCGGCATGCTAGACAATGCGGTAGCGGGCGGCATTGCATCGGGTGAATCGCCGTTTGAAAGCCTTGTAAGAGAGTGTGGAGAGGAAGCTTCGCTTGACGAAGAGTTTGTTCGGTCAAGCGCAAAAGCATGTGGTACAGTCACATATTGGTACATTCGAGACGAGAGAGCGGGAGGTGAGACGAACTTGATGCAGCCAGAGGTTCAATACATTTACGATCTCGAACTTCCCGAAGACACGATACCAAAGCCCGGCGATGACGAAGTTGAGCAGTTCTACCTGTGGAGTGTGGACGAGGTGCAAGAAGCTATGAGGAAGGGCGAGTTCAAGCCCAACTGCGCGTTGGTCGTGCTGGACTTCCTAATTCGACACGGCATCCTCACGACAGAGAACGAGAGAGACTACATTGAGATTGTAAGTCGGCTGCACAGGAAGCTCGAGTTTCCTACACTATGAGAAGAAGAATGACAACGTGGTATTCTTTCGCAAGAGCTGCGAGCGGATCCAACGAGTCGATTGGGGGTATCCAGACGCCGTGCCGTAACTTTTAGACCAGATGATACCAATACCACCACACATGCTGTCATAACGCCTGTTGTATGCTTGCTTTTCTTATCCTCTGGAAAGGTCAGGGGTGCTACGTATTATGAGTGCTTGATGAGCATATAGATGTCGTCGATCTTGAGGCCGCTGAGCTTCCTGTGAGGGCCCTCCATGTATAGCAGCAGCCCGCCGAAACTGGCAAAGTACTTTCTGTGCGGACTATTAACCTTGACTGCGCCGTCTCACTCTGCCCGAGCTATACTCACATGATGTCCCCGTCACCACCCTCCATGCGGTAGTTCTTTCCGTAGCATACGTAGTCGTACATGTCTGCCAGTGTTGTCACACCCTGCTTGCCAACGCTCCTCCACATGGAGTCGTTCTCGCCCTTGGAGCTGCCGTCGAGCGCCAATGTCGTTGCCAGGACCAGGCTTATTGTCTGGCCGACCTCGACGGGGAAAAGCTCATGGTTGATGTCGAGCGACATGGTGATCTGGCTGTCGGTCGAAGTGCCATGGAGACGGGATACGCGATCGTATTTCTCGTTGTTGATGGACGTTATACTGAACGTCTCTTCGAAGACCTGGGCGTCGGCCATTGTGGGAAGGCGCGTAGGGATACAGACGTTGCAAGAGGCTTTACGGGCGGGTTTGGGGCGGGCGAAAGGTATTGCGACAGTTGTGTGAGACAGTGGCTGTTCAGAGGGCGAAAGAAAGCCTGCAGCCAGAGACGGTCAGAGCGCGGGCGTGTCTTGGCGGCATCGTTACCTCCGGGCCCGCTCCGCATCGCCGCTACAAGTCCAGCCACATCCCCGTCTCACCTTCTCCGCGATTGCGCTTTGGTCTTCGAAATACTACTGTGCAAACCTCTCTCCAGATACATGCGCCCCATCACTTCTCTCAATCACGCGCATAGTTGCCTAGGAGCACGTCCTGGTACACTCAGTGCGCCCCAGCCTGCTGCCGCTCCGCCGCCCCCTCGTCCTACATCTCCGCCCTCTCCTCCATGAGCTACGATCGCGACTTGATGAATCTGTTTAGCCTGCACGACCTGGACTACCTCTCGTCCGACATGCCCGACTTCACCCCAAGTCGCGAGTGCAGCCCTATCACGTTCGATGCGCCCAGTCAACCAAAGCACAAGGTCGCCGCGACCCAGAACAGTATGCTTCTCAAATTGCCAGACGATATCTTCAAATGTGTCATGGACTACCTGGATCGCGACGCTGCGTGGAGTCTGAAGAGGCTCTGCAAAGGCATGGCAAGCAGTGTGACCGTGAACCAACTGCTGTACAAGTACCCTATACAACTCAACGATGTGCGTGACATCAGGCTGGGCGACTGGAAGTACAGGAGTTTGGGCAGCATACGGTGGACCAGCTTCAAAGAGAGCATCAACGACGGAAATCGCCGACACGTACACAAGCTGGCCATGTCACACTGGGCAAGTATAGACGACTTCAAGTGGATAGAAGAGAATCTGCCTTGTTTGACAAGCTTGGATATCTCCGCTATCAAGGATTTCGTCTGGACACCGGAAGAGACGTGGACGTGGAAGATGATGGCGGAGGCTTGTCCTGAGCTATTCGGACGCCTCGAAGAACTCGAGGTCGCCAATTGGGCTGACTATACTGCGCACTCTCGAATTGAGTACAGTTACTCCTACCAGGACTATCGCTTCAAGCAGAGCTTCAGGATATCGAGAAGGCGGGACGGTGGTTCCGTCGCAAACGCCATTTTCCCAATATGCAAGAAACTGAAGACGCTGGCAATACGGGAGCGGTATTCGGGGTTTCAGTAAGTCTCGTCTGATGAGTCTGCCAACCAAGCCAAGTACTAATCCCATACACAGCACTTGGAACGAGTGGGAAGTCCATCAGCGCGTTTGCTGCCTGGTGGATGGCGTACTAAAGTACTGCCCAGAGACCATGACGAAGCTGAGGGTACACGACTATGCCCCTTATCGGTCCCTGTTCTCCACCGATGCGACAGCTTGGTCGCGTATCAAAGACGTTGAAATCGGCCTGTATTCCTGGATGGAGGACCGCCGTGACCGCGACGTCATCGGTCCCATTCCATACCGGATAACTCAAGGACATCATCATCGCGATGAAGAGGAGGCATTCGACGACAAGACATTCGACGCATGCGGGCGCGACCACATGGTGCTCGGGAACCATGTTGTGCAGGGTGTTGGGGCCTCGTTTGAGGACTTGCTCCAGAGCCTCCAGACTATTTCCAAAAAATATCCCAACATCAACATACAGCCCATTCGGAACCTCCAGAACATTGTACTTCACCCTTTTCATCTCGTCAATGTCATGCAACGGCGACATCACTTTGGTCAAACCACACAGCAAAACAACGATCAAGCACTCAGTGACCCCAGCTCCAAGCCTGAGGTACAGGAGGCGCTGAGATGGCTAGCAGAGAAGTGCGACTGGAAGCCGATACTTGCTTGGGAAAGCATGATGTGCGATGTCTTCCCTGCGAATCTTGAGCCCAACCGAACGTTTCTTCCAAAACATGATGTGCTTTCACGAATACAGACCATGGTATCAACCTTGCGAAGCCTGAACATCCCAATCCGTGTCTCGATTGGTGACCGCACAAACATGTGTCCTTCGTCCGGTCTTGATGGCAGCCTCTATTTTGGCGACTACAAAACCTTCGTTGGTGAGAACGAGAACAAGCGTGAAGTATTACTCCCAACCCAAGCCGCCTTCAGTCTTACGCCCATTGCTTCCATGGTTGACGAACTTACTATCCAATACCCCGCCGATGTTCCCGGCGTATCGGGGTGGCTTCGCACTGCGAAGCGACCTACTCCTGCGGAGGTAACTCTCATGCAACGCGAAATGGTCGGTTGGAGACGTTTCTGGGCTCGCTATGCTTCCCAGTTCAAGAACCTGAAGAAGTTGACTGCGAATGTGCCAGACGACATCTACGAGGACTGGAGCAAAAGTGAACTTACCAAGCTTCTTGACGATGAACGATGGCAAATGCTCGAGGTGGAAGAGAAAAAGGACCAGGCTTTGTTCGGAAACTACTTCCCGTTCAGCGGCAGTGGTTCATCGGTCCTGCGGCAAAACCTTTCACGTCGGCGCACGAGGACTAGGTTTGTTCAGCGAGTGTTCTTTAGGCTCGACGGTGAACCACTGGATCTCGAGTGTCTACCTCTAGGGTTGACAGAGAAGCAGAGGGAGGAGAGGGAGATTACCGAAGCTGAGATAGCAGATAAGGAAGTCTCGCGACATCGTTTTTGGCGAAAGAGAAATGACGCCATCGACGAACGAGGCGAAAAACGGAAGCGAGAAGGTGGTGAGGACGGCGATGATATAGAAGAAACGGAGAAGAGAACGAGGACTAATCATGAGACTAACGAACGTCACGAGCGAGCTATGCGGCTCTAAGCTACTAAAGTAGAGTATTACGAAGCTAAGGTACATGTTAAAGATATTGTTGCAGAGAGATAGTAATATTACATCAGATAATATAATATATTTGTCACGGTAACTACCGTGGTTCCCTTGACACGGAACGCGCCACAGAATCCGGGTGCTCCACCAAGCACCCGGATTCTGCTAATTGGCCGGCAAGGCTAAGCGTGTGAAGATCGTCCGAAGATAATCTAGGGTTAGTTCTCGGGGAGTAAGTGGGCGACGATAGACGAGAGGGTTGTACTAGCACGATTAGTAGATTAATATAATAACATAACGTGCCTACCGCTAAATGGCGCACACTACTAAAATAGCGCACCTCTACATAAAACTATCTTTGCATATTAATAATGCTCCACTATAATATGTAATAAAGGCGTATAATAGCTAGAATTAATCTTCTACTTTTACTACGTCTTTCTTGTATGTGCGCTTATTATATCCTGCCTTGCCGCAGTTCTTACAGCGTTAAATACCTCCTGTACTACTACCTACGCGCACCCTCCCCTAACGCCTCTCTACCTCTAACTAGATCTTAACATCCCTTTGCTTAACTATATCCTCTACCTCTACCTATAATAGGGTCCCTCCCTTCTAGATTTACTTTTTCTTACGCTTTTTACGTTTAGATGCTGCCTAGTTTGCCTCCTCAAGGTTAGCTATTCTAGCCTTAAGCAACGTGTGTAAGTGCACCTTAAAGTTAATCCCTTTTTAACCTGCAGCACTATCTTAATAATAGAATTAGGTAATAATTCCTTATAGTCTGTTATCCTCTTAAAAATTAGCGTTGTTTAAGCCTCTATCTCCTAGGCGTTGCTTAGTGTTTTAGGTTACTAAGGGGTAGGCCCTAGTGTAGGTAGTGTTAGCGTACGAGGCTGTACTTTTAGCCTAGATAATACTATATCTAGGTTATGTAGGACTAAGCTAGTTACTCTAAAGCTTAATAAGATATTGTTCTTTAAGAACACCTTATTAAATATTAGCTTAAAGGCAGCTAGGAAGGCTTTCTTATTAATGTAGTAGATGTAGCTGTCTCCTAAGCCCCTAAGTTCCTTCTTATACGCCTACTTTAGTAGGGTAAAACAACCTATATTAAGTAGCTGTAGGATGTGTAATAAGTATAGAGGCATGCAGAGAGTAATAATATTGCTTTGCTTACATAGATCCTAGAAAGTAAGTAATTTATAGCTCTTATAGCTATTAAGTGTAATGGGCTAGAGTCTAGTTAGTGAGTCCCCGATAATATCTCGGTCACGTGCGCGAGGCGCACTGTCCACAGATTCCGGGTGCCCCCCCTAAGCACCTAGATTCTGTGTAAGCAAGCCTAGCAGAAGGTTATCCCGAGCCGCCGCCCCCTAAACGACCTTTAGAACCCTAGCTACCTGTAGTTCTCTTCTCTATTAAATACAACTCTAGTATACCTGTGCGATAGCTCCCTAAGCGTAGCCCCTTACATTTTGTATTTAATCCTAATTAATAGAGCCTTACTTTAAGACTCTGTTAACGCGACGCGCATTAAGCTTCTTAACTACCTCTTCTGTTACGTGTAAGTAGGTTAATTTACTACACACGATTATTGTTATATAAGGGCACGAAAGGCCTTTAGACAATAACTAGGCATAAGCTATTTTAAGATTACTAGCCTAGGACTGCAGCTTTATAGGACGCTTAGTTAACGCGCTACTAGCCTTACGTAACGTCTAGCAGTAAACGTATATAGTACAGCTAGTAGATCCTAGTTACGCGCAGAGTACTATTTAGTAAAAGCCCTACGCAATACCTTAATTGTACAGAGGTATAGGTCCTGCTGTTTATAAAAGACCTTTATAAGAAGGTAAGTAATTACAGTTAAAGCCCTATTAGTCCTCTAAGGATTAAGGAATAAGAAATAACCCTACGTAATAGCTAAATTATAGCTAAGAAGTAAGCTATTATTAGAAGTCCTATTAGTCCTCTATTAAATAGGGTATAAGCTGCAATACTAAGTTAAAGTACTAACTAGTATAAGATTATAAGCGTAAGGTTAAAAGAACTACTAAAAGTCGCAACTACAACAGTAATTAAAAGCTGTTTAGATAAGCCTTACTATTAAGAGCAAGCTATAGAAGCCCTACTAGTCCTTACTATAGAGGAGTAGGCTACGACGCAGAAGCTTACAAGAAGCTTATTAACTAGACTAGAGCAATTAAAGGAGAGAATACTAATTAGGAAGCCTTGCACGAGAAGTAGGCACATACAGAAACGAGCCCTCTAATAAAGAATTAAAACATAGAGGATAACTTACCTAACCTTAACGTAGAGGAACTATCTGCCTACGCGTTAGCTAAGTACCTTACTAGGGTACTAGATAATAAAATACAGTAGAGTATCGCTTAGATACTTAGGAATAATAGATAGAAAGAAGCTACGATAACGCTAATAACTAATAAGATTGTATAGAGAGTAAAAAGCGCAGCAGGAAAGAAAGGGTTACCTAGGATCTTACTAAAGACCTCTTAGAATACTACAGCTAAGATAATAGCCTAACTAGTCTAACTACTTACCCTAATAACTACTTAGCTAGAAGTACTAGAATAATAGACCCTCTAACTAACACTACCTACACTAACACCTAAAAATTATTTAGGCCTAGACTTAGTACCTACTTACTCTAAAAAGCTATTAAAGAGAAGACTACCTAACCTAGACTGCTTTAATAGTAGTTATTTAAATTACCTAGGATAGAAGTACAAGTGCGAAGGGAAACTTAAGTACAACGCACACCTTTTCCCTATAAAAGACGCAAAGAAATAATACGTCCTTAGTTAAATAAAGGATAAGGCTAACTAATCTCTACTTCTATAGATATTAGAGAATTAATTAAGTTTAGTAGAGGAGCTGTAGGAACACATAGACGCACAGTTTCTCAACGTGCACTAGTAGAAACGCGCCCTAAATAAGCTTCAGCACCTAAGGTAAGGATAATAGTTAGTTCGTAACTATATCTTAGAGTTTAACTAACTATAAGTTAAATTAGGCTAAGAATTCAGTAAATCCGTCCTCTAAGAGATGTTTAGCGAAGGCCTTACTATAGAACTCTAACGCCTTATACGACGTACTCCTAAGTATATTAGCTTTAAGGAGTACACTAATAAAGCTATTGAGATCTCTAACAACCTCTACTAGATTAACCTAAATAGTAAATTACAAGAAGGATCCTTACGCTAACCCTATAAGCTGTACTATTAGAGTAACTTAAATAGTAAAAGAATACTCTTACTACTAGTGAACATAGACTAGGAGCTAATAAAAGTTAGTAAGGTAAGCACAACAGATAGGAAACTAAACAGTAATTAGATAGAGTGCTACTTATACAGTAAGAAAGGATATAAAGCTAGACACTATAGGAAGAGTGTTAAGCTAAGGAACACTAAGGTAAGCAGAGCAGCTTAGCGCAAGCCTTTGCCTACCTATAGGTGTTATGTAGAGATAGGGGATAGTAGTAATTTAGAAGACTTACAAAAAGAGTAGGTCTAAATTAGAGTCTTAGCTTAGAGCTACTAAAAATAAATTAGTAAACACGTAGCAAATAAAACTAGTTTTAATAAAAGCACATAAACACAAAGCTAATTACAGCACACCTAATTGTAAATACAGTAAACAACGTAACTACGTTAATAGATAGTAGTTAACTGTGCTACGTAGTAGTTAGTAGGAAGTTCGCTTACTAAAGCTACCTTTAGTACTTCTTAGTTGCCCCCTAGCTAACTAAAGGAATTAACACAAAGTTGTTAAAGATTAAGAAGGTCTCTTAATTTAAGTTTAATATACACAGCTACTAAGAGGTTACCTACGTAGATATAATTAACTATATAGACGAAGACGTCGTCCTAGGGAAAGAGTACATAGACTACCTAGACGTAATAATAGCTCTAGCTAAAATGAGCCTATTTATCTACTTAAAGGGCATTTAAGTAAGGTGTAACGAAGGCGTTGTAAACAGGAACGCACCCTAACAAGTAAACGCAGCTACGTTTGCAAGCCTCCTAAGGAAATCTAGAGATCTAGAGGCTAAAGTGCGAATATTCGCTGCCTCTATTATAGACATTAATAAGGCGCTAGCACTAAAGAAATTAGTAGACGTAAGAGCATTGTTACTAAAACACTATTAGAGCTATTACGAGCTCTTTAACCTAAAAGAAGCTGTAAAGCTCCCTCCCAGAGGGCTAGAGTAGACTACTAAATTAAGCTTAAAACGAAAAACAGTTAACAGCCCTAGCCGTAGGGCCTACTGTACAGCATGTTACAGAGGCGAGCTCCTACCTCTTAAACAGCCCTACGTCTTTATTAGAGAAGGGGTTTCATACGCGTAAGTAGCCTGCCAGTACTCATTTACAAGAAAGCTAAGAGGGCTAAAGCTCACAAACTACTAAGTGTTAAACGCGATTACTAAGAAGGATAGATACCCGCTGCTACTTATTTAGAGACGCTTAATAACCTAAGTAAGGTAAAGTATTTATAAAACTAGACGTAATTACAGCCTTCTATAAGATCTGTGTAGTAAAAAGAAATAAATAGAAAATAGCCTTCTAAACGCGCTTTAGTCTCTTTAAGTAGTTAGTAACTCTTTTTAGTATAGCTAATTTCTTAAGCACCTTTTAATAGTATATTAACTAGCTATTAAAGGAACACCTTAATAATTTCTACTTAGCTTACCTTAACGACGTGTTAATCTACATAGATAGTAACCTGTAATAACACTAAGATTACGTCTAAAAAGTCCTTAGTAAGCTATAGGACGTAGGCCTCTACGTAGACATTAAGAAATGTAAGTTTAAGGTAAAGTCTACTAAGTACCTTAGTTTCATATTAGAATAGATTTCTAGACAAGGTTAAAGTTGGGAGGCACCTAAGACTGTAAAAGGAGTAAAGTTATTCCTTAGGTTTACAAACTTCTACTAAAGGTTTATTAGAGACTTTGCAAAGATAGCTGC